GCTAAGGAGAGGAGATAGAGGAAAAGGAAGTAGAGACTTCCTTCTCTTCTACTCCTTAAGTTTACTATCGTTACTATTATACTAGATACCGCGTGCGTACCGCTAGCGTAGCTAGGGTACGTACGGCGAGTACGCTCTTCGATTTATCCCTACTCTCTTCCTTACTATAACCTCTTCGTCGTAGCCGTATCCCCTACGTAACTACGCCGGAAACCTTATATAGTTCGTATTTAACCTAAGTTACTAACCCGCCGAAAGGTCAAACCTTAGAGTAGTTACTTACCCGACCTATTGCTTAGAACTTACTCGTCTAACGAGCTCTAACCCCCTTGTACCGTAGGTATATAACACGTAGAGGGACAAGCTCGTAAGAATCTATCCGTAGTCGAGAAGGTCCTTATAGAAGTAAAGGAGGATCTATTAGAGGTTAAAGAGACTACTAAGGCTGCACTAGAGAAAGTTAAGACGATTAAGTCTAACTACGAGAAATTAAATAGTAAGAAAAAGCTACTAAAATATCGTATTAATACTTTAGAGAGTAAGTAGGATAGGCTAAAGAGTCTAGTTTATACTTTAGAGAGTAAGTAGGATAAGCTAAAGGGTCTAGTTCTTTAATATATATAACTATCGATTTAGGTCGGTATAGTAGAACTACGAAGGATAATAATTCGTAAACTATTAGGCGATATAAAATCTATCCCGAGTATACCTTTAAAGAATACTATCGTATCGACTAGGCCTACGTATATAAATCTCGATAACTAATAGGCAAATAACCTTATATACGCCTACTTCCGTTAAGCAGGTCTTAAGCACCTTTAGGAATACGCTAGCTTTCTTCGAAACGATACTCTTATAGCGGCCCGTAATGTATTCGTCTATAAGAAGGGAATGTAATACTAGTTCGCGCGTGCCCTCCTCCGCGCCGAGCAGGAGAATAATCCTACTTACTACGAATATACAACTAAGTACGCCGCAGCATTCTAATATACGCACGGAAAATCTATTAAGGATGTCGCAGCACAATAACCGTCAGGCACGCCGATGAGGGTCCTGGTATCTAACTTCACTTTATTACTTCGACATGCTGCAGGCAATTCTGAGATTGCGTGCTGTGGATGAGCCCAAAGCGGGTAGTATCCTGAACACACCTAAAGAAGTCATCTCATCGAAGCCGCTCAACGACTCTCCCTCAGGTACGAAACTTAGATCACCCGGTGGGGCGTGGAAACAGCTCAGATGTGGCTCGGGTTACTGGGATCCGAAGACGACATACATGGCCAAAGGCAAAGATCCTGTCTCCTGTCATGATGAGGTGGAGTGATTGCATTACCTTGAACATACTCAGTGCTGATGAAGTCCAGGTTTTCATGATCTCCTCGCTTAACTACCATATCTCCATCTTGAAGCTCACGGTACACGAAATTTACACCGATTACCTTGTGTCTGGCAACTTCCCAGAGATCTTGCCTGATGGCTACGAGTGGTCACGACCGAAGGTGCAGCGGTCAGAGTGGTTTGACATGTTCGATGTGGAGCAGCGGGTGCAGGCTTTTCGAGGTCTTTGGGGCGTGATGGCGTATCTAACACGAAGTACTGATACTCCAGTGCAGTCTGAGCAGACTGCCTGATATGTATGGATTTTATCTGTGTGACAGCCAATGGATGGTGCAGGGCCATGATTGTCTGCAACGGCAGGAGACATGTCAGGTGCTTCCTGCCACGCAATGACTTCACCAGCTCAAAAACAGCACCAATAAGGTCACACCTTCTCAAAATCCTCCAGCGCTACTCTGACCTACCTTGCCATTATGCGACAACCTGCGCAGACGAGTCCCGGAAGCCATGAAAGCGTTATAACGCACGAGTATGATCTTTGATCGTTATTTCGTGTACCTCGAGTACTTCGCGAACCGCGCTCACACGGTGTTATCTCTGCAGCTGCCGAACACCATCGGACACTTCCGATTCTTGCTGACAGAAGTACGTAGACAAATCTACGAACTTGTCTTTACTTCACATTACATTATCCACCATAGAGGGCGTCAGCGTCCTAGGACCAGCGCCGCAACGTGAGTCTACTGATTCATCAGCTACAGCGACTCTGCCGACTTTTCACACCAGCATGATCTCCCTGCTATTACTTTGCCGCTTCTTACATGACGAGACACTCAGGATCTTCTACAGCATCAATGCGTTCCGCTAGAAAGACCACCATCGTATTTGTAGAGGCTACATCGTCCCGAGAGGCATGGAGTTCGTGATTCATGTCGAGCTAGCAATCGAAACGTTCGTCGACTGGTTCACTGAACTGGGCGACGTTGCTCATGACTTCGATAATTGCTTCCGATCCATGGAATCTCTGAATACGGTTGTGCTTGGGATAGACAGTTGTTACGCCGTTACCAACGCTTCAGATCCACCCCTCAGCTTGCGGTCCTTGCTGATCGGCTTCAACCTCTTGCCGCGCACCAGAGTCGCCTACGTCGGTCTTATCAGGCTTGACTACCCTGGACTGAACCAGCAACTCTGGCTCAATCACTTCGCGCTTACCAAGAGCTGGAAGGCGGTGCAGCGAGATGCACAGATCTCCGAGGATCCTTTCCAGCAGTTGCTGGACCTCGAGTATGTGTGACCGCAGCCATTCTCAAAGCAGAAGACAAATCTGGGATTCTGGCTCCTGTGCTATGAAGTCTGGCGACGACGAGCTGAATGCAATTTTATCATATGCGCATGACGTTGCTGGTGTCCGAGCTCTTGCTCATCGAGTCGAGAAGTTCTTGGATTACGCTCTCGCCTGGTCGGACGAAACGCGGGCTATGCCGCCCGATCTGCCTCCTGATGCGCCTCAACATATTGAGATCATACCTGATTTTGGCACACTGTTGTGTCACTACGGCCACATGTGGTGGCTAACAGAGCTCCTCCTGTTGAATGACGCTCGAGGATGCCTTGATCTCTCATTGAGCATGAATAGAGAGGTGTCACTATGCCACGAGCTGGCCATAGAGTCAGAAATGGAGGAAGACCGAGGCTGTGAAGTCATCTTGATCAATCAGCCGTACTGAGACAAGGGCTATCTCATTGTTGGCGTCACACCATGGTCATATTTCTCCAGCCTGGTCAATCATCTGAAGAGCTTGGACTTCTCCCCACACGAATATCTAGATGGGCCGTGTGACACATGGGCTAGTAGACAGCATGCCCACCGCTAGCACTGATGCACTGCCCCGAAACCCAACTACTCCTCCCTTCAGCCAAAAACCCCACGATCTCCGCGATCTCCTCCACCCTGCCAGCTCTCTTTTCTATAGGCGTGGCCTCGAACTGAGGTCCCTTGATACTCTGGTCGACTTTATTCAGCATCTCAGTTTCGACGGGACCAGGGTTGACACAGTTGACCGTCGTACCGTCCTTGCCTAACTCGGCAGCCCAATTGCGAGTGAAGCCTTCCAAAGCGGCTTTGGAGGCAGAGTAGAGTCCTACACCTGGATAAGCGGCACGAGCCCCGACGCTGCTGATGTTGATTATGCGGCCTGGTCTACGGAGATGAGGTAGTACAGCTTGCACCATAAGGAGTGGAGCTCGGGTATTGGTGTAGAATACCTCGTCGAAGTCCCCGGTTGTGATGTCTTCGATCTTCTTGTCGCTGATCACAGCTGCGTTGTTGACTAAGATATCGATCTTTAGGCCGAAAGCTTTCACAGTGGCGTCAACGATCTGTTTCGCTGCCGAGGGGTCCTTGAGATCACACTGGACGTCTGTCGCCCCACTGCCTGTCTCGGACTTGATCTTCGCGACAAGCTCGTCTGTTGGCTGCTTGGAGCGATCGCTGCTGTACGTAATCATCACCTTCGCGCCACGAGAGGCGAGATCGTGGGCTATGGCTGCTCCAATGCCGCGACTGGCACCAGTCACGATCGCGCTGGTGAGTTGCATCAGTACTCTGTGGTATGTGAGAAGAACGGTCGGCTTACACCTTGCCCTCGAGCGTCCTCGGCGTGTTGTTGGCTGGCATGGTGTTCTTGAAGATCACTACCGTGCTGTATTGGTGGCTGTGAGCTAATGAAGTTCGAAATTGCTTGGTTGTAAAAGCTGGATCGGGTAGTGTACAGAGTGTGAAGCTCAGCTGAGGAGATGGCTCTAGTCACACCAGTCGAAATACCTACACATACGTAGGAAAAGGCCGCGAAGCGCAGGCTGAAGTTAAAGATTCAAGACAATGATGTCACCCGCCTCATTCTCGTCCCAACATGAACTGACTGGCTATGTCGGTGTTCGCTCGCTGAGATGTAGTAAGCTCTATGATATATAAAAAGTAGCCCATGAGCGAATTTGCTCAGATCTTGAAACCTTCACGGAAGAGAAGCTAGCTCATCCTACTCTGCTTCGCTTGGCATCAGAACAGCCAAACCTCTCCCGGCACTCTGCCAGTCCATCGGGCGGGTATAAGTCTCCTTGCGACTGTTAGATGTAGTATTGTGGTCTGCGCAGAACAAGGGATAGGAGCGGGATACCCACATATACTCACACAGGCCCGTAGCGCAACCATTAAAAGAAACCCATGCGAACACGGCCCGCTTTCTCCAGTATCGCACACATCTCGGACAAGGCCACGGGGCGTCTTCTCGTTGCAAAGATAAATAAGTTCTGAAAGACTCAATCCCCCCTGCGTACATCTGCCGGAAACTTGCATGGTGGATTTTTTCGAGACATCAGTGATACCCCCAGTTCGTTCTAGCCAAAGTGGAGACACCTGTCAGCCGCCACGCTACCTTGAGATCCCTCGATTTGGTCAGTTGATAAAGATCGTTCCAAATCTTACATAGCCTTGTCTTGTGCGCCAAGCGGATCAATACTGTACACTGCCCAATCTTGTATCTATCGCTTCAAGTGCTCAGACCATCCCTCAGACAATGCCAAACGCCCTTTTCGCAATGAAATAGCAACTCAATCCGAACGCAACCAGCCCAGCAGTAATACACCTTGAATCAAGAAGTCAGCGTCAACGACAATCGATATGAAAGAGGATGTACCCACCAGAACCAAATCAAATTACCCTCATATTCCTGCCCAGGTACCCAGACGTTCATACCCCACAAGCCGGTCACGATGTTCATCGGCAAGACGATTGTACCGAGAACGGTGAGTTTACCAAGGACGTCCGCCGTCTGCTCAGAGCGCTCGTTCATCCGGAGGTTGATCTGAGCCAAGTAGTTGCTATGAGCTCTCGATAAAAGACTAGACGATGTCAGGATCAATTGGTTGAGCAAAGTTCGCAGTCTTCTCAGCAGTGACTTACTTCTCGTAATGGCTCAAGTTGCCCGTCATCGTAACAATATGGTCCTGGATATCACCAAGATATAGACCAATCTCGCTACGGGGAGCGACTTGCCAATGCTCATTACACCTCTTTGCAAACCCCTTAATCACATCGGCCTTGTTGCCGAGCAGGCGGTACAAGCTCATAACTCTCTTGCGGCACTCCCCGACTCGTCTCAGCATATCACCGCCGGATTCTCCGATCGTCTTCTCGCCTTCAGCTTTCTGAGCACCCATGTCGGCTTGATTGGTAGGTTTGGGACTACCCTCCTTCTCATTGAGAGCTTTGCCAAGTTGCTTGGAGGCCTTGGCTTGTTGCTTCTGTATGTCGCCGGAGTTTTCATGCATGCCCAAGATTTGGTCATCGATCTCGTCCACTTCTTCTTCGATAGACTGCACTAATGGCAGATATGCGTCTGTGACATCGTCGATGATGCCGTAGCTGATCCAATCTGCAGATGGGCTCATGTAGTCGTTCAGCTGCCTTATGCGTCTTCGTACATTGGCCGGATGAGGTGTCATTGAGTGGTGGAAGGTCAGTACACCCTCACGGAAGACCACAATGTACATGTTGACCGGTTCCAGATAGTCCTCGGATTCCTGGTCCTGTTCAAACGACCGATAATTGACGAAGTAATACTTGGAGAAGAGTTCCACCTTTTCACGCTGCTCCTGCATCATGATATCTTCCACAGTCAGTTGATGGATGCCGAAAGAACGAGCGATAACTTTCATCTCTTCTTCCGTGGGCTGTAGCACGTCGAGCCAGAAGGTGGGCTTTGCGCTGAACCTCTTGCCATTCAACCTTGGTCGCGGCGTACCACTTTCGTCACGAGCACGAGGCGTATTGGATCCTGTGCCTGCAACCGATGCGGACGGTGAGCGCTTTCCTCCGTTGCTGTCCTGGCCAGTGTGAAGAGAATCTGGCGGATGTTGGCTGAGATGTCGTTGAAGTGTGTGCTGCACAGACGGACGCGCCAGGCCATTGTCATCGCCTTCTTCATCATCCTCTGATTCCGACGAGCTAAGTTCAATTGGCTCGGGCGTGAAGAGGTCACGGAACGATAGACCTTCCTGCTGAAGATCGCTGATAGTCCGTGCATGAATCGTACTGTCCATTAGCTCATTGAAGTAGGTAAAGCGGAAGGGCGCATCGTCTTCTTCGCGATGCCAGACACTCTTGCCAGGTCGAAGACGGCCACCAACCATGATCGGTTCCGATATCTTCTTGACACGGATCTGCTCCTGATGAGTACGCTCCTCTTTCTCTTGCATCGCCCAATCTTCGAGCATGCCATAATTTGGAAACTCCCGTGCATGCTTCCGTCGGGTCCTGCTCGCCACATCGGTAGATCTTCGGTCATCCTCACCAAGCTCTGATGTGTCCTCACCGGGGAAGCACACGTCTCGCTCTGCCAGATCCGCAATGGTAGGCCGGCGGCGCGAAGCATCGGGCGACTCCTCTGAATCCATACGATCTGGACGGTAATCTCCGTCTATGCTGATCACAGCATCACGCCCTCGCTGAGAGTCATGACTGCCCATCATGATATCGTCCATCGACCCTATCTTTGGCGAGTTCGGCACAGATGGCGGGTTATTGACATCGTAGTCACTGTCATTTTCATCTTGTGCAGCGCCTGGACGTGGTCGTGCAGAAATGTCGACTCCAATTTTCTTCTTCTGTGAGCCCTTGGAATGACCAGACGACCGCCTGGCTCTCGGCGATTCAAGGCGGAAACTGCTATTCGTCCTCGAGTACTGGGGCTTGGGTCGGCGAGCACTTGATGCTAGGAGAGCTGTCTGATCAGTCGCATCTTCCTCCTCGTCGTCATCCTCTTCGATAGCGGAATTAGCGCCTCGGGCTAGACGTGACTTCTTACCAGCAGTATACTGCGCCGAGTAGCCAGAGCCACGGTTCCGAGCCATGGGCAGACTGGGTCGAGAGAAGCCATGCGATAAGCTCTCTCTTCGACTCCGTGATGACTCATGCTCTCTGTGGTCGAGTAGGGCCTCGCTCTCGAGGCTGGTGTTGCTTCCCTTGCCTGCTCGCAAACGATAGAAGTTGTGCTGCTGGGCTGAAGTGTGAGGGTCGGGTACATCCAGCAGACTGGGTCTTTCCTCCTCCATTCCCTCGGCTCCGCTTTCTGTAGCGGCGGCGAAGCTTTGCTTCCGAGTCTTTCTCTTGTTCTTGCCGCCTCGCTTCTTCTTCTTAGGCTTCACTGCGTCAGCCGTAGCATCCATGCTGGGCGCGCCATTCTGGACCTGGGCTCCGATTGAAGATGTCGTCGGCTTGCTCATCGACTCCGGACCAGACACCTTCGACAGATCCTGCCCGTTGCTAGCCATCTTGGCAGTACAATCGATATCAATACATTAACTGCCTCTTGCCAGTCCTGCAGTGTGCTCGTGTAACGTGATGGCGACTCTACGCTCGTGAACAAGCTCCGAAGCAAAATGCGGCTCAAAAAATGACGTTGAGTTGCTTCGAAATCTAGACTAAACTCTATTCAAACCTGTACCACCGTGAATCAAATTGATGACCTTTGTTGACACATAGCTCGAGCAAGCGAGAGAAGAGATAGACTTGAAGAGCGTGGATAACAGTCGAAGAGCCGGTCGAAAGTCGCAGATACATCATACTGCCATTGACCCGGAGCACAGCAGGTTTTGCTCGTGTGCTCAATTACCACTTTCGCTAGCTACTACCGTAGCTATCTCCTAGCTGCATACATCTACCGATCGTGCTACTCCCCTTGCTAAGCTCAAACAACACAAAATCATCACGACTTTCGCAACTCTTCTGGCCCGTTGGATCCGCCACAGCCCGATGGTCTCGCACGTCGTCATATGCTAGCTGATTCCAGGTCTGGTCTCTAGTCCCATCCCGCTTTGAGCTTCCAGAAATGGATATCCGCAGAGGACGACCACTACATATCAGCCAGATAGGGACAATATGTGCCTCTATCCGACTAATTCATCATTCTCAATGATCAATCATCTGCATTTTGCTCGTCCGTCCGCACCTAATAGCGACTCGCTCCAGTTGATCTGCACTTGGATAGGTCGAGCCGTTCCCGCATGCTCAAGCACATCATCAATCACCTCTCCAGCCCTCACGCCGTCGTCTCTCATGATCTTTCCTCGCACCCTAACCTCCCAATCTTTCTCAGGTACGATGTACTTGCTTGAGTACAGGACCGTCGTAGAAGGGGGCCGCGAAGTCAACATCTTTCTCCAGGAGGCCTCTGTACGCAGAACGCTGTCCTCGGCCCTCAGCAGTGGGAATTGCCTCGGAATACCAGCGCTCATGGTGTTCTCAGTCAACAGATCGAGCATGTCGTTGATGGTGGGATCCGGATCAGCACGACGTCCACGCTCCGCGCGCAATTGAGGCCAGCCATGGCGAGACAAGGTCATGGTCCTCCATTTGTGGAGCATACTTACATCTTTCTCCGAGTTCCAATCCATCTGAGCACACTGTTGCCACTGTTGCCACTGACCACGCTTCGTCACAATGTACGACTTCCAGGGTTGGACAGATCTGAGGCAGGGTGGCGACCGATCGAGAGTGAACACCTTCCCATCGATCTCCCTGGTATGGTATCTAGCTTGCTCGTCACCGGTCTGGTCGCATTCATTCCGGTTTTTGGGCTTGTGGCGGAGATTTGTGTTGGGGTCACGCTGACCTGGACCAGTACCGTACCGTTCTTCTTCAGGCGGAGTGGGGTCTGCTAGCATAAACATCTTGCGCTGCAATGCTTGCGAACCGGTGATGACGTTGCGGAATGATTTGCTGGCTCGCTGGCTTAGGAGAATGTCACGGGTGTCGAGGTCCAGGTCGAGAAGGACCAATTCGAGGAGCTCGGCAGTAGCACAGAATTGCGTGGTGGCCGCCATGGCGGGCTTTGATCGGTATGATGATTTGTCTGCTTATGGGTGTTTAACAGTATCAGAGAAGCACACGAGGACGGGGTTGATTGTGTCTGGCAGAACAGGAGTATTGCAAGGAGAAGCTAACGGGAACATGCAAACAGAAATCATGAGCACGGACCTGCAGTGAATCTTTCGGGAAGGCGCGAGCACATGGGACTGCGATCGCGCGCCGTTCTATGCTGGACTGCAGCTTTGCCTTTGACGACGTCGCTCTTGGAGATCGTTTTTAGTAGATGCATTGTGTCACGCACATTGCATCTGCGTCAGTGGAAGCTGCTCGAGGTCTGATTACCACCTGCTGGTTTTCGACGGAGGATAAGCTGGGGGGCGACCAAGAGACGCGCCATAGCCGTCTTGGTCAGTGTGCAATACCGATGGTGCAGCTGCACTCGGTGTAGCGGAGGCGATATACGCAAAGTCCGCATCCTCCTCATCCTCCCCTGCTTCTACGTCTGCCTCGCTCTCCCATTCTCCACCTTCCTCTTCCTCTTCTTCTACTCCTAATCCTGCAACGTTTGACCCAATCGCAGACGTCGGAGGGCCTGCTGGCGGACGATGAGGATGATTCGTAAAGAGGCCTTGCCGGCGGGACTCCTCGTCGCCATGCTGTGACATGACCCTGTGTAGCGTCGCCGCTGGGCTGGGCGAGCGAAGAGGTTGTCCTGGGAAATGGCACGCCCTTTCAGGCTGGCTCGGGTGGCAAGTGAACTCAGGCTGTTGGCCGGGAGTTGGGGGTTGTGATTGCTGAGCACTATATGGGTTGCCGAGAGGTTGTGGCGACCACTGTTGTTGCGCTCTCGCGTGGTGATCTCCCTCATCATCGTATTGCTGGACGATGTGTTGAGCAGGGCGAAGAGTGCCCGCAGAGCTCGCGTCGTCCACAGCTTCATGCTCAAGCCCTTCTCCAATTTCACTGCCATGATGCAGTGAGCCTGCCTCAGAGCCATAGAATCCACCAGCACGGCTCGCAACGCGGGAGGGGGCCTTCTCCGAACGTCTCGATGCACGACTAGGTGCCACACTGTCCGTCAAGCCACCGACGACCGGCTCCCTCCTTCGATCTTGCGCTCCCGTCCCAACCCCAAGCTTCTCGGCAGGTTTTCGACACATACTAGCCAACCGTGAAGGCCGCAACGACGTTGCTACGGGGCCATACTCCTCCTCACCATGTTCTTCATGGATAGTAAGCTTATTTCTCCTGCTTGAAGGACCTTGTCGCGGTCCGCGACTCGACTCGCCACTCATCGCGGAACCCGCATACCCAGAGCCAATGCCCCGATCACGTCGCATACGAAAGTACTCAAATGCACTCTCCAAACTCTCCATCCTCGCCTTCTCAAGCTGCCTTTCGAAATCCTCCTCAGTACCCTGCATCGACATCTGTCTCGCCGCCTCTTCGTTCTCAACACCCTGCGCTCGAGCATAGTCAGGTGCCTCTTTTTTCGAGACCTTGAGGGCCTTCTTGAGCTGCCGGGCATGTACACGATCCCAGTGGCTATCAGCGCTCTTCTGTAACTGCTGGACATCCATCCTCCCAGAGCCGTCTTGGCATTCTCGACACTGGCCAGGCACATCAATCAGCTGAAGAGGACCTTGGACTTCGCACGATAACCCATGGCTCCTCTCGAGATGCTGCTCACATCGGACAAGGATTTCAGGGAAGGAGTCATGGCCGCAAGCCTTGTGATGATGTGCGATGGAGTAGCATTTGGCTTTCCAACTATCGGTAGCTGTGGACATCGTGGTAGGTCCGGCGCTGTACTTGCCTCTCTGGAGTAGTCCTGCAATTACGGTTCTGATAGACGTGGTGCAGATAGCCACGTCCCAAGTTGCGACGTAGTACTCATAAGGTGGAAGCATTATTCATTACCAAAACCCGAACGCAAATCATAACGCTAGATCCGTGGGTATCTTTTAGCATCGCGCCCTTTACGCCGTTGACGGCAAACGTTCGCCGTCGCTAAGACAAAGTTGGTGCATCACACCTCGAAACTACAGAAGACACCCATTAGCACTCATCTCAAGGGACCACAATAATGACGCCGCTATATGCAAAGGCATCAGCCCGTCAGGCAAAAACGAAGCGTCAGGTACCGGGCGAGAAAGACTTACTCATCATCTTCACCCCAAGCATGCCCACCCATACCCAGCCCACTCCCAGTACCCGGACTATCCTTGCACGGCACCCGACTCTCCCGCTGCAACACAAACTCCAACACCTCACTCCTAGGCTCCACGAACTGCCGCATGTTCCACGTGATAGGCGCCGCATAAGGCTTCTCCTCTCCCAATGCGGTCTTGCACGACGATCGCAAGTACAAGATCTGATTCTTGCTCTCTTCGCGCTCATAAATCTTGTCCGAGATTCCGAAGGCTAGGAGGCGGAGCTTGTTGGGCTTCGTCTCCGTCGTTGCGGAAGAAGAGGAGATGGCTTCAGCATCTGCCGCAGTGGGCTGCTCGTCCTCATTGTCCTCGTTCGTGTTTGTAGTAGAGGCAGCAGATCCGACGTCGCTCTTAGCGCCGCCCGTTGCCGCTATACTGAAGAGTCTTGTCGCCAAACCTTGCAGCAACTGCTCGTAGACTGCTCTGGGTAGCAACTGTGTCGAGGGTTTGTTGCTTGGGAATGTGCTCATATGGAGCGTTACCACCCCTTTCAGATTCGTCACCACCGCACTCTCGAAACTCTTCCACGACTCGGTTGGTGCACGTATTAGGCTCGATTGTGGCCACGCGCAGGATAGTTGCTCCAGCCGTGAGCAGGCCTTGCAAATCTTCTCGAAGTCTTCCACACTCCAGACGTGCTCTTCGCTGTCATCGCTCGTGCTCGTGATAGGATTGTTGTTCTCATCTGAAGCGTGAACGTTCAGCATCTCCAGTGTTTTGGAATGTCGCACGATGCCAGCGGCAGCTGGTAATGCTTTGACGTGCTCCAGGTCGATGATCATATGTCGGAGACCAGATACAAGACATAAGAAGCCGTCCAGTGCGATCAGGGCCTCGTTTTCATCATTATCCTTGTGTACGAATTCGAGCATTTTCAGCTCCCGTGGCAGGTGGGTGGCTTTGCTCATCTGACCGAACAGCGAGTCCGCTCCGGCACATTGGTAGAGGCGGAGGATTTGCAGCCTGTTGAAGTCGACCACTTTACACCACGTCTCTGCACAATGCCGCAGGTTGAGGCAGTGAAGCCGTAGTGATGTGAGCTTGGCAAATGGTGTGCACTTCTCGAACGGCATCAGATGAGCGAACATTGTCCGGGTCAGTATTCCCGGTCCAGTAGCCGAGTCGTTAAGCTCTCTCGCATCGACCACATCGGCTACTGGCCGAGGAGGAGAGTGATCTCGGTCATGCCTGGATGAACATAGTCAGCACCTCACCATCATACCAAATCTCAATCATCGAGCAGAACCTACATATCAAAATGCGCATGCACAATTAACTCCTCCACCCTCTTCGCCGCCTTCTGAACGAAGAACTTGCACAACTCTAAACTCTTTAGATTCTCCGGATATAGCGCCAAGGTTCTCGTATATGCAAAAATGCCCTCCTGCATCTTGACATTCTTCTTGAGCTCGGGCAGGACATCTTTGTTGAGATTCATAACCTCCAGCCATTTCATCCGTCGTTGTCTGCGGTAAAGAAGGAGGAGATTGTCCTTGTCGAAGCTTTCCCATGGACACCAACTACAACATCACACAGCACAAGTCAGTCAGTGTTCGTATGGGTGTTGAACAAGTAAGCCACCCATAGCAAGAAGCAGGGCGAGCTCGTACGTGTGATCCCACCTGAACTCTTCCAAGATATCATTTGGCAGGAACTCTAACAGCATTCTCGTTGCGAAGCTAGCCTGTTGCTTCTGGTTGCATCTGTCCCGTACATTCGCCAAGTACAGCCGTATCTGCCTTATGTGCTTCAGACCTATGTTGGAGGGGCTGAGGAAGGCTGAGAGGCGAGCATCATTTGCGCTTCCCAGGTCGAGAGCAATGTAGCGGTACAGCGGTCTGACGGCAAGGGTGTGGAGTTGCTTGTTCACCAGGCAGACGCTCTTGAGATCGGTTGGACGGAGGATCTGGGGCAGTCCATTAGCTCTGCATACTTGTCAGTTGTTTGGAGGGAGATGCCTTGCCCTGTCCACAATATGCACCTTGATATCCTCTGGCAGATCGTCAAATTGGAGCTTTGCCATGCTGTATGATATCGCAGCCTCCGCTTCCCTGGACTCTCTTGACTCCTTCAGTTCAGTACCGAGAGACTCGCGACCGTCATAAGCTATGTGAAAGTCTGAAGAAGCTCGAAAGTAGGGTGTCGTTGGGTATGTGGAGGTGAGTCAGTGTGCTTGAAGGTAGAAGCTTATTAGGCGATGAATACGAGTACAAGGTGACTGGAGAGGAACACGATACAAGCCGTCGTTCGATTTGATTTCTGGGAGGGATTCAGAAGTGAGGCAGCCTAGGCGAAACAGTCACGGCGAGACGACAAATGTACACCGGTACGTAGCGCCAGCCTTGCAGCCATCACATGCAAGCCAGTCGTTTGCAATGAGGCTGAGTGAGGAAGCTCTGCAGTGCAAGTGTGGAGAGAACTTCATGAATCGGGGGCGTTTACATGTATGTATGAGAATTTGAATTTGAATGAATAATATATATTGTACGACACCGCCGAACAGTGTAGCACGGATGGTCGATGGTAGTATTCTCGTCGGGAAAGGAGTATCGTTCATATGTTCTCACTATGGCTAAGCTGCTCAAAGGGCTACCGTTAACCGCCCAAGGCAACCACAGCCTGGCAATCCACGAGCCAGCACCTAGAGAACACCATCGCTATGCAAAGCACTCATATCTCATTCAGCCAGAAGCCGCTCTGCTATCTAACGAAGCAAGCAAGTCCGACTTCAAAACCCATCCTCGCCCAACTCAGCAGCCAACGCCGCCTCCAAATCACCCTCAATATCCTCGTCCCCATCATCATCATACACCTCAACACCACCACCTTTCTCGACCACAGCAGCCGTTTTACCGACCCCGTTCGCGGATCCAGGCCGTTCGACAACACTAGTCAGACTCGTCGTCCTCGTCAAGGCCTCCTTCTTCCTCTTCTGCAGCCTGCTCTCTCCTTCCTCGACGGCATCACCTCCGCTATCCGCTGCTCCGCCTTCGGCTTCGACAAGGGCATCACGTTTCCGCTTGAGACTAGGCGGTGTCACCAAGCCGTCCGCAGGGATCGTGCTTCCGCTCTTCACGCTTTCGGCGTCGCTCTCGTCGTCATCTGCATCGGAGCCGAGGAAATCGTCGAGTTCATCGCGAATATCATCCCATTCCTCTGCACTCTCGGGGACGGTAAGACTATCTTCTCGTTTCACAGTAGGACTATGCCGGGCCCATTCTTCTTTGTCGCCGTCGGTATCGTCATCGGTGAGGCCGTCAGTCTCGAGCGAAAGCTTCTGCTTGCTAGCACCGTTGACCAGAGGAGTGCGTCCACCGTCCGTGAGCTCGTCTTCCGTTTGCGCGGCCTCTTCATCCGAGGAAGACAATATCTGGTCTCTGCTACCGTCATCGAACCCATCGGGCAAACCTGCTGCGCCGTCTTTGCCATTCACTCCTGCGGTAGTTTCCATATGAATCAAGTATTCCTCTTCTGCGACCCTCTTCCATTGACTAAAGCATGCAAAAAGCCAATTCTGATTCAAGACCTTGACTCGTCCTCCTTTCTTGACAGCTTGCCTGACCTTCGCCGTTCGTCTCTCGGGCGAGGCGATCAGGTGGGTGGTCCGCCGACTGATATTCTCGCTTATGGTAGCGCCGAAGGACTTCGCCCAGATGGAGATGTCGTGATTTTGAATGTTGACGCCCAGTGGGACGATACCGGAGAAGACGAGGTGAACGCCAGAAAGGACACGAGTCTTCAATGTAGACATTATTGCTGCAGCGTCGGGAATGTTGTCGAGATTCTGTTCGGGAGAAAGTTTGTTCTTGTGGCCCGGTCGGAGTTGCGATACGCGATCGAGCGGCGCCGCGTCCTTTTTATCTTTGTCAAAGGCCGTGAAGTACTCGTTGTGGATCTCACGAAGGCTTGCTCCAAGGTGTTCCAATGCGTTGTCATCGTCTTGGAGCAAATTGTGTCGATATTTGGGGGGTGAAAATGTACCATCGCTCCCATTTTCATCCGTGTCGCCTTTTCCAGCTAGTAAGCTCGCAGCAGCCTCCACAGCTGGGGATGCTTTGGCTTCCTGCTCTGCCGCCTCCAGCATCTTTTGCTTCTGCAATAATGGTCGATCCTGCAATTGTGCTGCTATTGTTTCGTCTTGCTCTTCGGTCTTCTCTTTTAAGGTGCCTTCGTTCTGCTCTCCCGCCATTGACATAATCCTATCCACAGCTGACACTTCGCCATTGGTCGATGGTGGCGTAGACGCTGGTGTAGAAGCTTTGCTGGCCGCTGCATCATCTGTGACCTCGCTCTCTGCCGTGCTAGAGCCAATTTCGGATGTGTCTTCACCCTTTGCTGGCTCCACCTTTGCAGGCTTCGGCGGTCGGGCTGCTAGCTCTGGTCGCTTTGGCAGGAAACTGCTGTTGATGTCGCCGATGCCGACAAAGAAATCGTATGCACTGACTTTCACCAAATTTGGGCTCCAATGCCAAACATCTCCTCGGTCATCAATGATCACGACCATCTTGGTGTCCACGGGGAATAGCCTCTTCAGCGTCTTCGTGCTCATACTGCCGTTCTCATCTCTTGACAGTATCCGATTCGCGAACAGCTTCCGATCTGGATCTACCAGCTTTGCAATCTCCTCGGCGTAAGCCCGTGTGGCCATGGTGTAGATATGAAGCTCATAGTACTGTGAGACCAGCTTCAGGAACTCGTCCAAACCAGGCCGTAGCTTGATATAGTACCACGTGCCTCTTCCGCCGGGCCCATCGTCCACAAGCTGGAACTTCCTTACATGCTTCACGGCCTCGTGGTTCGGATTCTTCTCGTCCTCCTGCCATTCAGCCACTGTAGGGTCGACCGTCGCGTGAATGATGGTCTGGTCCAGGTCCACCACCAAACTCAACTTCCTAGACTTGATCAACCTCCTCTTGGCCTCATCGTCCTCTCTATTCGCTTCATCCTGCGACACCAACAACTTCGTATGCCCATGCACAGTGTTGATTTTCGCCCGCTCGGTATTCAGCTTCGTAGTGCTGTACGTGCTCTCACTCATATCCTTGCCGCAATCCGCACACATCCCTCCAAACTGCGTCTCATGCTTGCAAGGCTCCTCAATGTTCACCACTGCCGTCGATGCCTTGATCACCTGATCAACGCGAACATCGAGGCTGCTGACCGTGCCTTCCAGCTCGCTCTCGAACTCGGCGAAGAAGTCGGTGAGTTTGTCCACGGGTTCCCGTTTGTCCTTGTCCCAGACGTCGTGAACGATGGCGCGGTATTGATACACGAAGAGGGGCTCATTCTGTTGGACTTCCTGCCCCTTCTTGACCAGTACCTTGGTCACGGTGATGGGGTATTTGAGCCCGGGGGGCGTGACGAGGCGCATCGAGAAGGTGGTGTTGGTGCGATCACATGATATGATCGCAAGTGAATGACGGGCGACGTGTCACGCAAGAGGCACATTCATCTACGAGGGAATCGCATGACTACTGCCAAATGCTATGCACCAAAGTCTGTGGTATCAGCTTTAAGCCGAGCTTCGTCAATGGGCGTGGTTGTTCTTGCGAGCTGAAGAAGGAAGGGAAGGGTCGCTCGTGGTGTGTGTAGTATGTGACAAAGCTAGTCCTTTCGTTTCGTTGATCAATTGAACTCAGCCACGTGGTGTTTATTGGAAATGTCGCGTTTCGTGATTTGGTATGCGGCTCTGCTGGGGGCGTGCTGCTGTGTCTGCGGGGCGAGAGCTCCTTCTTAAATAATCCATTCGCCCCAAAGCTCTAAGCTCTGAGCGAGCGCCACATCCGCCGCTCCCGCAGGAGGCACGTGCTCCAAAGTGTTTCAGGAGCGACTCCACTTCACCTGAAGCTTGTGCATGACGATTCTTGGTCGTCGTGGAGATGGTAGACACAGATATAGTCTTATGTAAGTGCAAGTGTGCATCTCAGTTCCCGACGATCCTGACTATCCTACCCACCCCTGCCACAACCACGACCTTAGGGAGGCTATCATGTCTGGGAAACAGATCAAAATAGCCATCATCGGATCAGGAACTATTGGCCTCTCGTTCGCAGCTCTTCATCTATTGAAGAACGACGCTGCCGATGTAGCAGTCTTTGATACCAGACCCGATCTGGATGAGTACGTTAAGAGACATCTTCCGGGATATCTCAATGTCGAAGACAGTGGACGGTACATGAATCGCCTCACGATAGCCAAAACCCTTGCCGAAGCTGTGGAGAACGCGTATGCAGTACAGGAACAAGGTCCGGAGAAGCTGGACTTCAAGGTCTCCGTCTGGCCTGGGATAGAGCAACACGCACTCAGAGATGCTCTCTTCTGGTCCAGCACCTCTGGCATCCCAGCAAGCGAACAATGTAAGAACATGCAGGACAAGTCTCGACTGATTGTTGTCCATCCTTTCAACCCACCACATATCATGCCTGTCCTTGAACTCGTGCCTTCACCGGCCACATCTAATGATGTGATCGATCGAACATTATCTTACTGGCGGGGACTCGGCTGCAGCCCAGTAGTTGTGAAGAAAGAATGTACCGGTTTCGTGGTGAACCGTCTAGCTTTCGCCTTGTTCCGGGAGGCATGTAGTCTCGTCTCCTCAGGCGTCGTATCTGTTGAAGATCTCGATGAGATCGTGACCACCTCGATGGGACCACGTTGGGCGGTTGCTGGACCTTTCAAAGCTTACCATGCGGGAGGTGGCGAAGATGGCTTGAGTGGATTTATGAGTAAGATCGGTGGGACTGTACAGGGGTGTTGGGATGCTAGTGCGGATGATGTGGGAAAGCACGGGATTGTAGTCGGAGGGGAGTGGCAGGAGGCTATTTGTCAGCAGGCTGAGGAAGCTTACGGGCTTGTTGATACTAAGGAGAGGGATGAGACGACGAAGAAGGTTTTGGAGGCTGTCGGGCGGGGGTGAAGTTGAGCGAGGTCAGATGAAGTTGGAGAATGTCATACATCGATGCCGACTACGAGTTCGAAAGTAATCTCAGCCTCAGGGACCCAAGTACCAGCAATAACGCCACCCATAGAGACATTCGCAAGACGTGCTCCTCGAGAATGATTTTGGCCGCACGTCGTCATGTTCCGCCACGCAACTCGCAACTTTATCTTAGGTCATTCCTTGCCTTCCTAGAGCCGCCATTGTATGCGCAGGCAAGTATGCCTGGCCACTCTCCGACTTTACTCAAGTCATGAGCAGTTCACGTCCGCACGAAGTATCGCTCAGACGATGAAAGGCACCGGCACAAGCGGCATTTCCTTGTCAGTCCTCCGCTTAGATACCAGAGTTGGGGTAGTTGGTGGCCACATAGGGATGACCCCAGGAGGCACCGCTTTGCGTCGAGCCCTAGTCGTGGCCGCCGGGTGTTTCTGATTCTCGGAGAGCGCAGGTGGGACGAGCGGGCCAACTGGGGTGCATATCTGACCACCACCTGTCGGTGTACAGACTTGTTTGGGTCCAGTCCAGATTGGTGGCTTTCTTGGCGTCAGTGGGTCAGGGCTGTTTAACATAGTTGTGGCATCGCTTGAGGCATTGTATGCGGTCTCAACGTCGTCTGTCGGTGGGTCGTAGAGGTCTTCGGCTGTTGTTGCTGGCGAGACTCCTCGTGGTGTGGCCTTCGCTGCTTCTGATGCTGAGGCCAAGGAAGCGGTATAGGCCGAGTACGATCTCCATACTGGGCCCTCCACGGGTGGTGGCATGGTTGATGAAATCCTGCCCATCGATATGCCCATGGAGTATTCGCTCCAGCGAGGTCCGCGGATGCTCACTGGCACTGTGTTGTAGTCGTACGAGGTACCTGACTCGGCCATGGTTGATCTGGGAGTGATAGTAGGGTCATCGGCAGTCATTGCGGAGTGGGGTGAGTCGTGCAGGGGTTGTAAGGTAGAATTGCCGTACGGATCATCCCGCTTGATATCGATGAGTCCAAGATCATCATCACCAAGTAGCGGTTCGGGGTGAGTATTGGGATCGCCATTGGAGTCCATGGGTCCGACGTCGTCATCATCGGGTTGCCACGTTGAATCAGCATCTGGACCGTCTTGCATGACACTACCCTCAGCTCGTGTCTCAACAGATCCGACGCCTGCGACATTGGCTGCATACCAACCGAAAGGCTGGGGATCAGCATCGCCCACCGGTTTCTGGTCTCGGGTTGTAATTCCGTGGGAACACCATCCCGACTTTCGTGCATCTCCGACTCCATTGTGGAGCTGATCACGTTCGTACGGCAGATCAAGCCAATTCTTCGGATCCGAGGAACAGTGCCATGACGGGCCGAAGTTTACACACAGCTTGATAGTGTCTGCTGGAAACTGCTTCGGGAGCTTGTCAAAGCACTGAGTGCCGTGAGCGCGAGTTGTAGCTTTGTATGGGCATTTATTCGCGTCTCGTGTCTTTATGGCGTCTTGCGGTCTCAGCTCGGCAGACTGTGGAGGCCAGAAGGCTGGCGGGTCCTCATCGGTGAGAGTTGCCAGAGTTTCTTCATCGTCCGACTGCGAAACAGAGTCATGGCTAATGTCCCAAGGAGGGATATCCACCACCCAGGGCATGAAATTAGGTCCAGTGGCGACAGTCTCCTGTGCTGCGATGGTCGAATCAACTTGGCGCTTGATCTTCTCATCAGATGTTGGCGGGTCATTGCTTTCTGCATACAGAGGATTGGGCGTGGGAAGTGGCCAATTCTGCCGAGCAAGACGTAAGCCCTGGCCATCATGCTCGCGGCGATCGAAGCTTCTTTCAGGCCCTGGCGCGACACTAATCGCGACCGCGCATTGAAAGCTGCCCATCTGCTTATATTGTGCTACCTTCGCTTGCGAGAGGTGGTCGGAGTCAGCCCAGCCAAGCGTCATAATAGGGCTCTGGCACGCGGCATCCCTAGATAATCATATCAGCATAACGCCACGACCCCGCTGAATGCGGACGTACAAGTACATTGTGCAGTCGAGAGTCCCGTCGAGCCACATCGTTGACATATCCTGCTAGAATGGGTCGGAGGTCGCACTGCATTTGTCCTGTTTCAAGCACTTCTTGTCTTGCTTGCCGGAGGAGCTGATCTTCGTGATGCAGAACTGGGAGAAGGCAGACTTTTCAGCGTGTGCCAGGGTCGTTGATACATCCGTGGCGATCGCTGGGGTGTACACTGCAGTTGTGATGGTGGGATCCTCAGAGCCTTCGAGTTCAGACATGTCCATCAAGAGTGGTTCTGCTGAGGTGACTGATGCGTGTCAGATTTGTTTGTTACATGACACGTGTCCATGAGTGTCCTCCTAAACTCACTACATGACTCAGAGCTGATCGCTGGGTCGTTGACCTTGTTGGATTGCAGCATATCAGTCGTATCAGGCGGTGGGACGCTGGTGCATAGTCCCGCAGCGAGCAGCATGAAGACTGCACTGGTGACGGGCATCATGGTTGTTGATGTTGTCTATATGCTTTGAAGAAGATACAACCATCCGAGATGGGTTTGTTGGACTGTGGTGATGTTGTGTGAAGGGTGCAATGAGGTGAAGCGGCAAACTGCTTCGGGTCGTAAACATAAGTTTGAGTGGATTGAGAAAGCGTGTTGGTGCTGAAGGAAGCGCAAGTTCCCGAGGCAGCCACTGTCCTTGCCTATTAGTCAAGTCCGTGATGCGATTTACCATTGATGCGTACAAGAAAGTGATCTGCGCAAGCATGGTAGGCGGGACAACAATGCCACTTAGGGAAACCCACCAGAGGCCGATACTGGTGAGATTGGGAAAGGAGAAGACTTCGCTCAGGAATTCAGAAATTAGGAACATTGACATTCGTCCTGTAATCCTCCGCCCATGGTGGCTTTCCATCCTCATCAAATGCCGCCCAGTCAAAATAAGAACATCCCGTCTGACCAGGAGTGTAATTACTATGGCACATCCACATATACCTTCCTCGAGTGGCGGCTCGCTTCTGCACACATCTCAGTACAGCAGAAACGCCACACTTGCATTTCGGCGTGTACTTCGGGTGCAAGTATTCCTTGTAGCAGCGGTATGTAACGTTCAGACGCTTATTACCAGCGACTGGATGCGCATCGACAGTCTGCGCTGGTGCAACAGAGTGCTTCCATTCTTCTTGCATCTCCGCATGCATGACCAAGAGAGAGTTGTGCGGTAGATGTATGGCGATCTGACCTTGTGTATCTGCTGCCGCACCATCGACATTAGGCACGATTTGACGGACTCGAAACTCTCTGGCAACACCGAGAGACAGACTGCCGATGACAGCTCGTGGGCCAAGGTATGTGAGCTGGTCTGAGTGATAGCCTACACTCTCCTTGCCTCCATCATAGCAGTTCACAAAGGAAGCATTAGGCTGCCAGTCGTCCGAGGATTGGAATTTGAGCTTCTTGCCATCAGCATAGAAACGGCGAACCCTTCTAGCGATCTCCTTGTTCACGGCTTCACGCACAATTCTCGAGACTTTGAGCATTTCTGGTGTGGTCTGCGCCACGTCGGCCATCAAGCTTCCATTGTACATGTATTTCGTCTTCTGCTCCTCTGCCTCGTCCAAGCTATCCACATAGAATCGAAAAGTGTGTGGGCTCTCTACTGTGCGCTCGAAGAGCTGGAACGTTTCTGTCCTAAATTGCTTCGCTTCATCTAGTAGCTCGCGCAGAAGAGCAGCTGCTACATCTGGGTCCAGAAAGTTGTGGACAATAGAACATGGCGTATGTGTCTCTACGTCCTCTGGTGCATACAAGTGCAAAGTCTTGCCTTTCTTGGTCATCTGCTTCTTCGAGGTCGTGGCTACGCTACCGTCCATGGGCTGCTTCGCAAACGAGGCCAGGGAAGACTGGTACCCAGTTACTGCTGGGCGTTTCTGCGGCGACACGACTCTTGTGGATTCTAGCAGTGCTTCGCCAGCACGCTCGATCGATCCATCATATGCTAGCAGATAGTCCAGAAGTACCTCCTGCGAATGGCCTGGATGTAGTGATTCCAATATGGCCAACTTGTAGTCCGTGGACTCTGCCTCGTCAAGTTCAACCACCCTGGTCTTTGCTACAGTATCCGCCGACAGTTTGCGCCGCTTTCGCGATATGAACGCCTCCATCGCCTCCAGATGCTCTCACATGCAGACGCATAAACATGATCACGTCGACACGCGCTCGTTCGTGTCGATCGAAGAGTGTTCGCTTGAGACCAGTGATAGAAATGCACAGTGCACGGGCCTCATGCCCGTCTTCTCCACTGCCCTAAAGAGTCATGCAGATCCCAGTCACAATCATGGATCGATCATAATGGCTGAAAGATATGAGATGATGTCTTTCCGGTGCTGCTGTATGTATCCCCCAAGCTCAGTACGACTGTCGCAATGGCGGAGTCGACCACAAGCACTCTCATACAGCCGCCGTATCGAGAGTTGTTGACAGAAAGACTCTACCTACGGACGTTCCGGCCATCGGATGCAAAGGCCATACTACCAATACTGTCTGACCGAAACGTCATGCAATGGACAAGTCAGGGCGTGCAGACCGACCTAGAGCAGGCAGAACGATGGGCCAGCACACGATCTCTAGGACCTTCTGTATTTAACTTTGTCGTATATGAGCGGTCCAAGTACAACACCCATCCTGATGAGGCACCCATCATTGGTGTCATCGGATCATTCAACGCACCGTTCGTTGGCTATGTCTTTAATGCAGGTAGGCTAGCAAGTACCAAAATGCCTACGTGCTCCGGACAGACTGACAACAATGTTTGACCAGATTATTTCGGCAAAGGCTACGCAACAGAGGCCATGCAAGGCCTCATCCAGCAGATATTCGACCACTTTGCACCAAGGTCGCAAAACGACATCGCTTACGACCATATCGAAGGCTGGACGGACGCACTGAATACTGCATCACGGCGAGTCCTGCTGAAATCTGGTTTCACTCTCTGCGAGACACGAATGCAGGACTTCACCAGCATTTCATTCAACGAAGTGCGAGATACAGCTGTCTTCCGGCTCGCTAGGCCCGGAAAGTCGCTCGCGGACCTGGGACTTCTACCTGGTAGTACGCCAAAGGAGGATGAGCGACCGATCCCGCCGATAGAGTGACACTGGAGCGAGGCGATTATCCAATTGCTCTTGATCTATCATAATGCTATCTCGCACTGCTTCCTACACTTCATCACAATACTCCAAACGCCTTGCTCATGCACCCACATATCAAAGCCCGACCTCTAATGGTTCTCTGCACTGCGCATCGAGCCCGCTACGTCCCCACCACGCCGTCTGCCCCTCACTTACGGCCGTTAATGGCACTCATTAGCAGCCGACTCGGTCTGTAATCACCAAGCGTCCGCGGCTGCTGGAACTCAGGTCGCTGTTGCCGAGATCGACCCCCATGCCTCACCTGCCTAGTATCATGCTCATAATCCTTCCCACCCTCCTCAACATCCGTACTCCCCACCCTCACTGCCCTCTTCTCCATCTTCGGCGTGAACAAGCCAGCAAAGATGAATGTGCTGACTGTCAAAGCTTCCATCAAGAACTGCATGAAAGCCGAGATATAGACGTTGACGTCCTGGAAATAGAAGACGCTGCCTTGTGATGCGAAGGAAGCAGCGACGGTATAGATCACCCTGATCAACAGGAACGGCAGGACGAGGAGACAGGCGCGCGCTAGCAGACGTTCGTGGCTGAGGATACGGTTCGCCATCATACCGGTGCGGACATCGATGGCCACGAGCGCGAGGTAGATCGCCAAGAAGATGAGGGCAGCGGCTTTCATGAGTGTGCGGCCAGTAGCTTCGCCTTCGCTCTCGTTCACGCCGCCGACGATCGCGAGGACCAGACCAGCGATAGAGAGAAGATGTAGTGGGCGGAAAATGAGGAGAGGCAGACCCTTGCTCTCCATCCCCTGATTTACGCGTTCCAGGAACCCCATGAGCGCCAGAAGCATTGGTGCTGTGCCAACGGCGGAGGTGATGGCGGCGGTCTCGATCAAGCTGGCGGAGTAATTGTTGTTGACGTCCATGTAGATTGTCACCGAGCCGCCGATTAGACGGAGGATGCTGAGGAGTACGACGTACACCCAGCCTAGCTTGCGGGTGAAACCATGGCGGAAGAGGAGGAAGATGCCTATGCACAAGACTGGAGAGAAGAAGGCGACTTCTGCCGCTGCCAGGGAGCCCTTTGGTGCGAGCATTGTTGATGATCGGCTGGTTGTTTTGGAAGTTAAGTTTCTGATCCCGAGTGGATTGATGGACAGTAGAAGATGCTCGATGCTAAGCTTGTCTTGATCGTGAAGGATGAGATGGTTGTAGTGTGAGGGTTAGACTTGGCGTACAATGCCTCAGAATATATATCGAACAGACGTAGAGCTCCACCGTGGGAAATATCTGGATGCCTAGCAAGATCTCCAAACAATACTCACTCATTACATGGAAGCGATGCGCCGGCAGCGCAACACATTCTCGCATTGCGGCTGTGTACAATCAAGTTCATTGAACGAGTCGCAACAGAGCCCCAGATGATAGCCGCTGGCGCAACATGATCCATATACAATCAAGACAATTTAAAGCCCAGCGGAAAGCAAGCCACATGTAGATAGAAAATGCTTAGCAAAAACATGCTTGGGCGCGATGATGACCTAAAGCAGTTAGCAGCAGTGATCGCGCCAGGCGCACGGACATCACGGCCCGGGTGGACGATGACTGAGGACAGCACCATTGGCGCGAAGGAGACCCGATCGGGATGTAGAACTACGTAAAATACATCTCCTGCTTGTTCAAACCAAGTACCAGCGCCAGGGAGGCCCAAGTTGATTTGGGGCGAGTTTTTGCATGGCTTTGTTCAAGGGGTTGGGTGCACACGTTCTGGCATGATCAAAACAAGTGCTTTGGTATGATACCACGGGACTCGAAACCTTTCATATCCCTACAGCCACGCCAGGTAACATGCACAAGTTCAGGCTCAAGCCACAACTAAAAAACCTAATACCCACCTTGCTCCCTCCTGCCATCCCCACCACTCCCTCCACCACCCCCTTGCGTCGCCGTAACCATCGCTTCCCGCTCCTTCATCTCATCACCCCTCAACTTGGCAAAATAAGCCTTGATATCCTCCGCCCCCACCGCCTCCCCACTCTCAGCAAAAGGTTTCAAGAAGTCCTTCACCTTATCTCGGACGTGATTGTATGCCATCACGCCTTCGATAGCCTTCACTCTGTCCATGGACGATAAAGCAGCTTCGGCACGTTCGAGTAAAGAACCGGTGCCTGCACTGCGGCCGGAGATGGAGCCGGGAGCGCCGTTTGCTTGGTGTCCCGAGGGGTCGGATTCGGAGATGGGTGGGGAGTAGGTTTCTTCTTCTTCGAGGAGGTGGCGGTGTTTTGCTAGGCGAGGGAAGCAGGAGGGGCAGCGGCAGAGATTGGAGCGGAAGTCTTCGTTTAAGAAGAGGGTTATGGTGCCTGTTGGGGTGGGGGGGAGAGAGCTGTGCCGTGGCGATGTAGAGTCAGAGCGACCATTGCTTTGTAGTGCAGTCACGTCCGCTTCTGAGTCGACCTTCGCCTTCTTAGAGTCTTGCGCGTCCTCGATCAGTTCTTCGGCTTTGCGTTTCTTTGTTTGCGAGTCATCTGAGGACGTGAGAGGCACAGATGTGTCATTCGCTTCACTGGTAGACTGGACAGTGACTGCAGGTAGGAAGCCCGAAGTTCCGGCATACTGCTTGATCCAAGGCTGTGTGTTGACGCACTTGTAGCAGAGCAGGTACTCAAAGTCGTCCTCCGCCGGGAAGCCCGGTGGAAGTGGTGGCTCGCCTGCTGTATCTGGCACTGCTTCTTCACCTACAGCCACTTCACTTACAGCCACTTCACTGCCTTCGCCAACCTCCTTGACCGTCTCGAGGGATCCTGCCTTTGCGTGTAGCACAGGTTCGACCTGAGATCTCGGTAGTCCCATCAAGCACTCTGGATGCCACCAATCCTCGCCACATCCAACGTCTTCCACCGTCCCCAGCCCCATACACTGAAACATGGTGCCTTTCTCCATCTCCGGGTCGTACTCCTCACCGCAGCCACAGAACTTGCCCGCGAAGTTCTGGTTGTACTTGTTGCCCTCTCGGGCCTTGTCACCCTTCACATCTCCCTTTCGGCCAGTATTTGCATTGTGCCGTAGTGAACAAGGAGTGCTCTCTATCCGCGTTGTGCCGCAATCACACTCAAAGTCCCGCTTACTGAACAGTTCGACCAGAGTGTGTTCGCCATGGCAACTTATGCTGCAGCTGTAGCAGATTCCGGCTGGCGTAAATCTTTGATGCGGCGAAGCTGGTGGCGGCGTGCAGGTCAAGCAGGCGAAGAGAGACTGACGGAGAGCGCCCAGTGCTTTGGTGCAGGTGTCGAATTGGTAGGGAAGGGCCTCACGTGCGTCGGCTTCGAGTTGAAGTTGAGAGGCGATGAAGTCTTGGGCTGTCTGGGATGGTGCTGATGCCTGGGACCTGAGCTCACTGCCATCCAGCGGAGCAGTGGTGGACGACATGGCTACCTTGAGTGGTTGTGTGTATGGATCCAATCAACATTGATTGATGTATTGATGGAAAGTGACTTGCCTTATTCTAACCAGCGCAGTTTAGCGCGTTCGGTTCGCGTCAAAGTCGCGTAAAGTGGCTGCAAGCACTTTACGCCCGCACCCTCTTCCTCCCCTCAATCACAAGTGCAGACGAAGATTGCGAAGCACGAACACAGCAATCAATGAGCTCCCCACTACGATCAAACATGTCTGCTGCCAATCGTGGTCGCGCGCCAGCGAGCAGCAGGAAGCGTGGCAGAGACGCCGAAGACGATGCCCCTTCTTCTGCTGCTGCACCGCCATCAAGTCGTGAGTAGCAATTACTGGACACCGTACCGCATGACTGATGTACCATAGCCCCCGCTTCCTCCCCACCGGTGTTTCCTCAAGGCGACGATGTAGACGACGGAGACAACCTGGACCCTGAAGACGAACTCATTGGCGACATTGACGATGTAGACGAAATGGCCGAGGACGATGCAGGCATTGACCTCTTCGGCGACAACTTCGACCGTGACTATGACAGAGCGGAAGATAGAGGATATGCTGGAGCTGATATTGACGACGACGGCGACTATGACGAGCTCGACATTGCAGCACGAAGACAACTCGATGCACGACTCAATCGGAGAGATCGCGAGCTGGCGCGTAGAATGCCCGCTGCGTTCTTGCCAGACGAGGAGGAGGATGTTATGGACCTCACGCGACAGCCTCGCAGACGCAGACACAGATATGACGAAGACCAGGAAGACGAGATGATGCATGACGATATCATGAATGAAGAGCTATCGCTGGAAGCCTTGGCTGATGTCAAGGCCGCATCGCTAACAGACTGGGTGGCACAGCCGGCTGTGCACAAGACAATCGCTCGCGAATTCAAGGCCTTCTTGACTGAATATACCGACAGCACAGGCACTTCTGTATACGGCCTCAGAATACGAACACTTGGCGAGGTAAACGCTGAAAGCTTGGAAGTCTGCTGGGATCATCTATCCGAGTCGAAGCCAACACTTGCATATTTCTTGGTCAACGTGCCGACCGAGATCTTGCCCATCTTCGACGCTGTGGCATTGGAAGTCGCACTCTACCATTACCCTGACTATGAGCGTATTCATAGCGAGCTGCACGTCCGCATCACAGATTTACCGGTCTCGTACACGCTTCGCCAACTTCGTCAATCGCATCTCAACTGTTTATTGCGAGTGAGTGGCGTGGTTACTCGCCGTACTGGTGTCTTTCCACAACTGAAGTATATTAAGTTCGACTGCACCAAATGCGGCATCACTCTTGGTCCCTTCCCACAAGACAGCAACGCAGAAGTCAAACTCAGCTACTGCCAGAACTGTCAGTCTCGCGGTCCTTTCACGGTCAACAGCGAGAAGACAGTCTACCGCAACTACCAGAAGCTCACACTACAAGAGTCGCCCGGCACTGTTCCAGCTGGCCGCTTGCCACGACATCGGGAGGTCATCTTGCTATGGGATCTCATCGACTCAGCCAAGCCCGGCGAAGAAGTCGAGATCACCGGCGTCTACCGCAATAACTACGACGCCCAACTCAACAATAAAAACGGTTTCCCAGTCTTTGCCACCATCCTCGAAGCAAACCACGTCGTCAAATCCCACGACCAACTCGCCGGCTTCCGCCTGACGGAAGCCGACGAACGCGAAATCCGCGCCCTCTCTCGCGACCCGAAAATTGTCGAGAAAGTCGTCGCCTCCATCGCTCCCTCGATCTACGGCCACGATGACATCAAAACCGCCGTCGCCCTCTCCCTTTTCGGCGGCGTGAGCAAAGTGGCTCAGGGCAAACACAGTATCCGCGGCGATATCAACATCCTCCTACTCGGCGACCCCGGGACAGCAAAGTCTCAAGTCCTGAAGTACATCGAGAACACCGCTCACCGCGCCGTCTTTGCCACGGGTCAGGGTGCTTCGGCTGTCGGTCTCACAGCTAGCGTCCGTCGGGATCCCATGACGGCTGAGTGGACGCTTGAAGGTGGTGCGCTGGTGTTGGCGGATCGAGGTGTTTGTCTTATTGATGAGTTTGACAAGATGAACGATCAGGACCGAACGAGTATCCATGAGGCTATGGAGCAGCAGACGATTTCGATCTCAAAGGCTGGTATTGTCACCACGTTACAAGCACGGTGTGCGGTCATTGCAGCCGCAAATCCGATCGGTGGACGATACAACGCCACAGTGCCTTTCAGCCAGAACGTGGAGCTCACGGAGCCGATTTTGTCACGTTTCGATATCCTGTGTGTGGTGCGAGATACTGTCGACCCGGTAGAGGATGAAAGACTGGCGAATTTCGTGGTCAACAGCCATGGTCGTGCTCATCCTGTTATGAGTTCAGCGTTGGGAGCGCAAACACAGACCACGGCCGCCGCGACAGAGAATGGAGAAAGTCAAATGGACGTGGATGGCGAGGGTCTGCAGAGTCAGAGTGCGAAGCCGACTTCTCCCATCCCACAAGAGCTATTGAGAAAGTATATCCTCTACGCACGAGAACACTGCCGACCGAAGCTCTACCAGATTGATCAGGACAAGATTGCTCGGTTGTTCGCGGATATGCGGCGGGAGTCGCTTGCTACGGGTGCTTATCCTATTACTGTGCGTACTTCGTCGACGCATATCAACGTACATTCCAATACTGACATCAGCGTCTCAGGTCCGCCATCTTGAATCCATCCTCCGCACCAGCGAATCCTTCGCCAAAATGCGGTTATCCGAGTACTGCCACAGTGGCGACATTGACCGTGCCATCGCTGTCGCAGTCGACTCGTTTGTCGGCAGTCAGAAGGTGTCGTGTAAGAAGGCGTTGGCGAGGGCTTTTGCCAAGTATACTCTTAAGCGTCCTGGTGCTGTCAGGGGTAGTGGTGCTGCTGGTGCTGGTGGACGGGCTGGGAGGGCGAGGGAGGTGGGTGTCCGTGCTTGAGTGATGGGGATATGCGGGCTGGGTAGATTGGCCTGATGAGACGCTGCGATGACCATGTGATCATATCCTTGACATGAGTGATACTGTATGCGACCTGACCTTGGCTATGCGAGTATGGATGTATGTACGTGATGCGCGGCAAAGAGATAACGTAGTACTGGTGTACGGTTTACCGTCGATATCGCTAGACTTGTCTGCCATCGAGAGTGCTCGATACCGTGGGTTGATGGATTGATGGATGATTGATGGATGATTTACGCGGCAGACTATGAAAGCCATGCTGATGACTCTTGGGCACACAGCTGTTTCGGAGTGTCATAATGAAGCTGCCTGATTCCCTTGGCGGCACAGGCTGTTTGTCGAGGACAACATCGTTCGGCAGGGCTTACCGCGCTCTGCTCATCTTGACTTTCGTGGAGGCGCAGTAGATGACGCTACCTGCATGCATGAGCTCGTGCTTGTTTCATCTTATGGCTGTACTATCATGCAGGTTGGAAGGCCGTAGCTAAAGAAGCCGAGTCAGTACCAGGGCAGGTGGTCGCGTGCTGGACATAGAATAACACCCTTCAAACTCTGATGTTACGCCTTCGCGTGGATTTTTTATTACTATGGACAGCGAGGTGTAACGACGCCAATGCCGATATGTCAGGACATGAAGGAGTAGTGGTGCCTTCTACCATCGTGTTCATTATGAGGTGGTACGCGCGCTGACTGCGCCTTTCGCAAGGTCATTCTGCGGGCTTCGCAGTATTAGCCTCTTCAGGATGCCCCTCAGGGCTTTGCTGGCTGATATGCTCATAGCGGATACCATGTGTAGGTGACAGTATAAGTTGCATTGGTACTGGCTGAGTGACTGGAATTATGGTGCGCGGGCCATTGACAATATGTCAAACTATTGCAGCGGGCCCGTCATCATCGCTATTCTGAAATACTTCCGGACGGAAGGAAGAGGCTGTGTTGTGAACATGAGATGAGCATTTCAGCCATTGGCGATGGCTGTACCTGTCGATCATCAGTTGTCACGAAAGCGGAGCCGCTTGACACATGAACACTGTAGCTAGCGGTACTAAGGCAGCAGCTCAAGGCAACATCTTTCTCTCTTTCGTGGTAGGTTTCAATCTAAACCGAGGTGCAGTGGCAGAACGAGAACGACAACGATAGCATCATGGAGCGGAAAAGATAGTCCAGGGGTAGACGAAGCTGACGAGTCCTTTGTGGGAGACATCCGCCAACTAGCCGCCAAGCCCAATCATCATCGGCGAGTGGCATTCGAGCGCCGCATACCGCGAAAAAGGGTGGAGGCGCTGGAGGGGTGGTCTGGCCTGTCACTTCCACATAGCCATTGCATGCTCATATAAATGCACTAGCTCGGTCGCCCGTGATCACTTATTCTGAAGGAGATTGCAGATGATTCTATCGCAACCTCCCACGCATCGTCAGACGACCACGTTGTTATAGACTCATAATCGACAATCGTCTTCGTTGCACCGCCTCAGCACATCCTCTTTTCGGAACCAATCGCCGGTGACTTTGTCCCCACGTTGAACAAGCATTCCACTAGCGAAAGACTAAACTTTCGGGACCCTTGACCGAGCAGCGCAGCAGCCAGGCGGCTTGGTGCGTTTTGGAGCTTCCTGCGAGCTTCACCCAAGCTACTTTTTCTCCAGCGTATTACTACTTACTACACACACTCCTTTCGCGATAAAACTCGACAACAGCCACACCACACCACACCACACCACACACCACTCCTCATTGGGTCTGGAACTCGGATTATTATTGTACCGTCACTCTCCATCAAGCGATCGAGGTGCGGATAGTGAGAGGTGATAGGGCGGGCTTTCGCATGTGACGAGACAACAACCACCCACGCATACCTCGCTCCTCACTCTCCCACCTCTACAACGCGACAGCCATGGATCGAGGCTCCAGCAGTACGAGCGGCAGCACCAACACATATGCCTGGTTCACGCGCACGATCCCTGCCTGGAGCGTCTGCTTCATCGTGGTCATGCTCGTCTTCTCCTTCCTCGTTGAGCCCTACGGCAAGAACGGAGCGATCAGACGATATGACTCAGCAGCCACGCCTTGGCAACTGGTGCTCAGCGTCTATACGGTGTTGCTCCATATCATGTCCATTGCCTTTCCCGCACGCGTGTGCTACGCTATGGGCGATGTGATTCAGCATATCAAGAAGGAGTCGTCGACCCCGGTGAAAGAAATTCCGAAGAGGCGGAAGACGCAGACGGTGAGGACGGAGAAAGGCAGCCAGACGTTTCCGGTGCCGTTGTTCGTGATCATCCTGCCGGCGTACAAGGAGGATATGCATACGTTGGAGGAGACGTTGCGCGTGCTCGGGGCGCATCCACAGGCGCCTCATAGCTATCACGTGAGCATTTCGATCGACTATCTGAATTCCATGAGGGTTGGCCGACTGACTGGCGCATAGATTTTTTTGGCAATGGAGCAGAAGGAGGAGAAATCCGACGTCAAGGCTCAGACGCTGATCAATACTTTCAGCAAGACATTTTACAAGATGAGCTATACCATACACCCGTTGGGCATTCCTGGTGAGGCGCAGGGCAAGAGCAGTAACGAGAGTTGGGCCGCGAAACAAGCCTGCAAGGATTATCCTAATGAGGCGATCAAGCAGGATGTGATTGTGACGACAATGGATGGTGGGTCGTACTATCCCAAGACCATCAAATTTTGGAGACTGACCAATGCACAGCGGACACGCATCTCTCCCCTCGATACTTCCAACAGATCGCGAGATGGCACACAGACGCCCCGGAGACGAAGAGCACGACCATGTATGTGCCGCCTCTCGTGTTCGACCGAAACCTCCACCACGTACCATTGCCAGTACGAACAGCAGACTTGATGTGGGCCGGAGCTGGTCTTTCAAGCCTGTACAGCAGCTCCACAGTCTGCATACCGACATCCGTCTACTCGCTACCCATGACGCTGGTCGAGCATGTTGGTGGCTGGGATACAGATCCAGGAGCAATTGGCGAGGACATGCACATGTATCTGAAGTGCTTCTTTGCACTTTCAGGAAACTTGCACACACGCATCATATACGCTGCGGCTAGCCAGTGCAACGTTAGTAGCGATGTGAGAGGCATCAGCGGGTACATGGACGGCCTCAATGCGCGGTATGGACAAGCTTTGAGGCATATGTGGGGCTCGCTCGATACCGGCTTCGCCGTACGACAATTCTTCGCCATGCTTGAGCGACACCGAAGAGCGAAGCTGGCACGTGTGGATCTGCCCCTCAGCGCGCCAAAGTACGTCTGCGATGCGCTCAAAGTGGTGCGCAAGGAGCTACTGACGGCCTGCAGCTCGAATTGGACCGCCTTCTACACGAGCACGGGTCTCCACCGCTCCCTCACAGCATCGGAGAAGAGCTCTACAAAATCAACTTCAGCAAGCACGAAATCCTCATCGGACAACACGACTGACCTCATACCCTTACAACCAATCCACAAGATGAACGTCCTAACCATCTTCCTCCGCCTCTTCGAAGCCCACTTCCTACCTACCCACCTCGTGGTGATCCTCACCACAAGCAGCATCTTCACCCTGCTCACCCCCTCCTTCCTCGTCCCGGACGTCCTGGCCACCGCCCTCAACTTCTCCGGCTGGTGTCGCCTCATCGGCTGGACCCTCATGCTCGTCTTCTTCTGGCGCTACGAATCCTACCATAAACTCTGCGTCGCGCTGCGGCAGGAAGAGATGCGGAAAGCGGGGATGTTGGAGGAGATGACGGAGAGAGATGGGTTCAGTATGCGGGTTTTCCAGGTCGGGGGGCTTTTGGAGGCTGGGCTGTTCCCGTTGGGCGGATTCATTTTTGGGGCGATACCGGCTTGTCAGGCGGTGTTGAGTCATGTGTTCACGGACCGGTTGACGTATGTTGTTAGTCTGAAGCCGCAGTTTGAGTTGAAGAAGAGGTGGAAGAGGAGCATTACGCCGTAAGCTACTTTCCTCCTCCTATTCTTCTTCTTCGTCTTGCTCTTCTTCACCCGCGCAGCGGAACGAGCAATACATTGGCAGTAACAAGGAATACAGCCCTAATTTTTTGGTTGGCATGCAAATGGAAGGCCTTTATGATTATTCATTGATTGATTGACTGATATAGAGGCTAATGTATAATTTTCTTCTGCTTCATGAAGTGCTTCGCCGATATCTGCATCGTTTCCGCGGTTAGAGGGCGTGGGGACGGGGTTGCATCTTAATGGGCCGTTGAAGAGGAGGGAGTAATTCTGATGGCTGTGCGGTGATATGAACGACTTGCTGGAATGAGGCGGGTATGGTGTTCGTGGACGTAATGGGGTGCGGTGGTGTGCGATGGGTATGAGCTTCTGGCAGTACGGTGTGGCCATATGCGTGATGGGGTGGCAAGGCAGGTAATAAGATGTGTGCCGGAAAGTGATACGCGGCTTGGTTCCTTGTCGTCTACGAGGGTAATCGCTGTGTTCAACACCCGAGTTGGGCGATCTCTCCTACGCACAGGGCTGGCCGTGTTTCCCAGGGAAGGTCAACAATGTTTTTAGCGGCATTGCGTGCTTGAACGAGCATATAGATGATGATCGTGCGTATTCAAGCACAAGTGGCAGTATGAGAGCTATCAACAAAGCGGGTAAACCCGCCGAAGTTCTTTTTGAAGTCTTCTGGCGGTCATGGGTAAATCGCGTCTTGCTATGCACCGTTGATAGTCTGTGATGGTGGTTCTCATCTCTTCCGGGAAGAGAGAACGTCGCTGACAAAGCGATCTCACCCTGCCACGGCTCACCAAGCACTGCAGCCCGCATCCTCTAGGCATTCACTAGTCGTGCGTCCATGGTCGATCAGTCTTCCCTGCGCTTCACCATGATGTCTAAAACATTCATCAATAATGGTGGGCAGGCAGACCAGCGGCCGCTGTTCGGTCTGCAAGAAGCGGAAGGTCAAGGTGAGGGTTCCGGTTGTGTGAGGATGATTCGGTACTTGTTCTGATCTTACTACTAGTGTGACTTGATGCGTCCAGGATGTACTGCTTGCGCCAAGGCTGGTTGGCACTGTCCGGGATACGATGACCGTTTCATCAGCGTGGACAACAAGTCACAAGCACGTACGAAGGCGAGGACTGGAGCACTGGAGGCAGTGCCTGTACTCGAATTTCTACCTCAGGACATTCCTGGTCCACTCACATCAAAGACGGAACTCCTGCGACTAGAGTTCGTCTGGAAGATGGAAGTAGATGTACTAGCTGTTCGACTCGCCATGATGCCCGCCACTCATATTCTCAAGCACATTCCCGAGAGGATCGGCTACAGCAGAGCTCTGGACGATGCCGTGGCGTGCGCTACGCAGAGCTTTGACGGCCCGCCTGGACAGGAGAGAGTACTGTACATAAAAGCTTTGCGGAGCTTACGTGAAACGCTTGACGACGAGAAACAGGTTCAGGCACCAGAGACACTCGCAGCGGCTTCTATACTCCAGATGTATGAGCAGCATACGGATCACCCGGGACAGCAGTGGATCTATCATGCACGAGGTGTTGTTCGCATGCTCAAGGCCCGGGGTGTCGATGGCATGAATACGGCACTCGAGATGTCGATCTTAGAGGCCCAGTCAGGTAACACCTTTCTACACGCCTTAACGCGCAACCAAGACTGCTTCCTCGCCCATCCTGCCTGGGCACGTGCCTTAAAGCCCTCGGCGCATCCGCAAGGCCATCTCGACCGCTACATGCGTATGTTAGTAGACGGTGCGGTTTTCCCCGATATGTCAGCTTTGACTTCAGAAATGGTGCTGACCTGTCGATACGACAAGAGGACTAGCTACAAGACTCGTCAGAGTATAGCCACGCTGGCCATAGCAGATATTATGCGAGCACGAAAGCAGCTACTTTCCCAACTCGAGACTGGACCAGGATTCTCCTCGGAGCTAGGCATGGCCGATGCCTTGACGACAGCAGCTTATGCTGCCACGGGCTTCTTCTTGATTATACTGGATACTATGGTCATCGGGATGCAACAGCAGGCCGAAGCACTTGGGGTACAGATATCAGCCTTTCAGCAAGATCTTGTGCCCCAGGAGGTCCTCGGTGCCGAACGTCAAGGCACTCTTGATGCTGTTGTAGCACGCTTCAAGCTTCTACAGACGCTTAGTCCGCACCTTAGTACTACGGCGCCAAGGGCATTGCGGGTCATTGTTGGGACTATCTTGGGAATTGGTGAATACAATGATGGGCTCAATTATGAGGCATTGCTTGACGTACTCGGGCATGAGCTTGAAGACGAAAGGTGGTAAGAATGTCAGCAATATCGGACTCAAAACAAGCTCAAATTCTGGCTACAGACATGATAACAGACCTGCCCACCATCGCAAGACTATTGGTCGTCCTTGAGCCCCACCATCTTCAACGACTCAGACCAGAGCTTCTTCTCCCCTTCCGGACTATACGCCCATGACTGATATCCACTGAAACCAGGCATAGCGCCTTCTGGTATTGGTTCTGCGACTCTACAGTCATCCATATAAAACCCTCCCTTGCCTTCATAATCCTTCCCAACAGCCGCCAGAACCTGCGTAGCGGCGCCCTGCTCCACCGATTTCATGTAAGCCTGCATCTCCGGCATCTCGAAGAACGGTGCAAACTTGGCGGCAATCCGAGGATCCATAATCCCATACCCGGCCGTAAAGATGTTTCCCGGGTGCACGCTTAGACCGTGTAGACCTTGGCCGCCATAGCGGCGCTCGATCTCGTTCGCCATCCAGATATTGGCTGTCTTGGTCTGGCCGTAGGCAATGCCTGGATTGTATGTATAGTCGCCCTCGAGATCCAACATTGGGTGGTAATTGGAGGTCACCTTCTGCTCCTGTCCAATATTACCGAATTGGACGGTGGAGAAGGCGTGCGCAGTGCTGGCTATGGCGATCACACGACTGTGAAAGCCTGGGACCAAGGACTTGAGGAGCAGAGGCTTGAGGAGCTCGAACAGGTAGAAGTGGGCCAGGTGGTTGACCGCGAACTGGATCTCGAAGCCGTCGTCGGACAATGCATGCGGAACGTTGGCAATGCCTGTCATTCGTCAGTCGCATCCAGCTTACCCGGGTTGTGATTACTCACCAGCATTGGTGATCAAGACATTGAGCTTATCGCTGCGGCGGAGGAAGTCCTCGGCACCCTGCTTGACGCTCTTCAAGCTCTTGTTGTCGATCGTGATGAACTCAACGCGGGCGCCCTTCAAGTCACGATCGGCCTTACCCTCTTCCTCGATGTCCTTGACAATCTTTGCAGCTTTCTCCGGGTTCCTGGCGCTGAAGAAGACGCGGGCACCGGTCTTGGCGAGTGTGCGCACTGTCTCGAGTCCGAGACCGTCTGATCCACCAGTGATGAGGAAAGTCTTGTCGCTCAGCTTGCCAACGACGTTGTTGTCTTTGAGAATCTTGTACGCGGTCGGACGAGCATCCCCTGGTCCTTTGGGCTCTGCGTGGGCTGCGGCGTAGGGGTTGTTGATGATTGGGGGAGACATTGTGGGAGATAGTAACAAACTGACTCGTGAATAGTCTGGAGATTTCGGATTGTGACCTTGATGTGATGGCTACTATGGCGGAATGCCGCGGACTATATATTGAGAGATGCTTCTGACATGAAGGCGGCGCAGCAGCAACTCATTGACGTTCGTCGGCTTACCTTTACCATCTGGCTCGAATCACAGCATCGGACTCGCAACTTGCACTGTTCTTGGGTTGCATCATAGGGCTCTAAAGGCCCAGACGAATCAGCCGTCGGGTATCATGATGCTCCGTTACCAACCCTAAGCCAGCGACAAAGCCAGCTGCGAGATGTTCATTGGACCTCCCGCCAGATGGCACAAAATCGGTAACCGCTCCAGGCAACATTCGATGGACGATCCCTTTCTAGGGCCAGCTTACGTGAGAACCGGCAGGATAATACGGACGTACGCAGGATGCTCCTTGATGGGCTTAGTGCATTTTGGTTTTAGTAAGCCGGGTCGGAGGGCGGTTCCAGACTTCCGCCCTCGCTCCTCGACAATACAGTCTACTGCACTAAAGTTCGACTGCCTGCTTGCATCGTCCAGGCTGCTCGTGAGACACTCAGCACAGTGGGACTAGAAGCATATGGTCATTAAAGCTTTGCAACGAAGAACGAACGCTAGCAAAAGCGAGCTAAGCTATGGGGTTCTTGGTCACACCTGCTAGCAGCTCGTATAATGGCGAGATGTCTTGCGTCTTGTCCATGTTCAGGACCATGTTCTCGGTCTCCTCGATACGATACTTCTCCACTACGCTACCAGCCAGGAGTCTCCAATTTAGCAACAATCTCCTCGTTGCTCAGAGCTGGATCGACACCACGGGCCGCCTCAACTTGATGAGATATCTTTGACCCATCGGAGAAGTCAATGGTCACTGTCTGCCTTCCAAAGGGTGTATCAGGATCGCTCGACTGGATCCACGAGCTCATCTCGACAAGTCGCCACACGTCATCGTTCTCTAGCATATCATGTCGGAATTGAGCCGGAAGGACTTGACCATGTACGATCTGCGTAGCAGCTACGAACATATTGCTCATCTGTGCTCCGGTGGCGGTGATAGGTCGTGTAGCCTGCCAGCCTCCGTGGTGGTAAGCGGCCTCGCCGAGCTCGATCGTGATCTTGGAGATGCCTGAGATCTCACGCATCTGTTCGGGATCGGAAGCCTGCAGAGCTCGCACACCGTCGATCGTAGGATGCGTGCCAGCCATGGCGGCATATGGCTTGATCCGCACACCATTCGTCTGCCATACTGAGCCAAGACCCATAATGATCTCTCCGCTCCGAAAAGGAGGACTTTTTCCGTTGCCGAGGCTGAATTGCTTTAGAAAGCCACCATATTCCTGCTCGAGGACACCACGTATCCCCGTGTACCCATTCCGCGCCAGACAAGCAGCCAGCAATCCAGACGTGCTGCGAAGCCGTGCTGCATGCGCTTGACGTCGCTACCGAATTGTGCCGACATGAGGCCACAAGCTTGTGTACATGCTATACCAAGAGCATCTTCAACTTGGTCTGCGTTCAAGCCAAACAACTTGCTAACAGCCGCAGCACATGCAGCTGGACCAAAGACTGCGCCAGAGTGCCAGCCGGTGCTGAGGATATGAGTTCCGTAAAGGCCTAGTCCCACTCGTGGTCCGGTCTCGTATCCAGTTATCATTGCCAGCAGGAAGTCTGCGCCGGAGATTGCCTTCGAGTCTTGCGCAGTCTGGTGCTGAGAGGCGGCAAGCAGAGCTGGCAACAAGATCGAGTTCGAATGCAACGGAGCTTCACTATGCCAATCGTCCAACTCAAACCCTTGAATAAAGCTGCTGTTGAGCAGCGCTGCGGAGAGAGCGGGAATCTTTCTATTCCATCCGATGACTGTGGCGTCTCCTTGCGGCTCGAGTTCGAATATGGCTGCAGCAGCTTGTTGCGACCATGGAAGCTGAGCACCAACCAAGCCGCAGGCTATGCCGTCCAGGACAAGATACTTGGCTCTTGTTATGATCTCGGCTGGTATCTTCGCCGTCGATAGACCAGCTATCCATGCAGACAGGGCTGCCGTTGGTTGCGAGCCTTGGTTCGTTCTCTGGGAAGTCATGTCGAAATAGGCCTAATGACTGAGTAGGTGTTGAGACGATATGAGATCGCCAAAGATCGCCATCATCATCGAGCGAGCGAAGATGGCTTTTGATATTGACCGCTCCGCTCATATTTCCCTTGCAATGGCATCTTCACATACGTCGAAGCACCTATGCGTAAGCAAGTAACTTCCCGATATCGGCGCTCTCTGCTATATTCGGATTTGTCGATAGAAGTATTACCTCAAGGCACCAGCTGCGCTTCCGCACTACAGACACCGCTAAGTCCGCACGAGGCACTCGGCCGTTGTAAAGATGTAAGGGTCTCAGCGTGTCGAACTAGTGGGACACCAGTCAACCATGGAGCATAGGACTGATGAGCAGTAAGACTTTTAGCAACCAGGTACAACGCTGCACGATATGGGTGCGAAGTTGAAGCCCATTTCGTTGTCAATTCGCACCTACGGTTCGCTGCCATCTGGCTGAGTCAACATCAAGCGTGACCGACAAGTCTCATCTTTATCAATGCCCCATCTATATCTTAGTGAAGTTCCACCAACTTGATAGGTAGAGCTTCTTATGCACAGGTCACAACTACTTCGCAGCTGCTTGTGGGTCCCTGATGAGGCTCTCGTAGTAGAAGGAGCCGTATTCGGGTCGATCTGGGATATTGATGCCTTTGGGATGCGCAAAGTTGTGCCGTTTCTTGTAGTATGGTTGGCCAATCTCACTAGCATCCAGGTATGTCTCCAGACCGTCTTTGTCGGCTTGATCGGTGCCGTACTTGATCAAAACAGCACCAATACCATGTTTCTGGTAATCCTCGTGCACGCCAAGCATTTCGAGGACTGTGTTGGTCATCAGTGCTGCTATCTTTGCTCGTTGACACAACTGCTTACACCAATGCGGTCTTTTGCCCAACATCTCGTGCCTGTTCACCTCCATACCACCGAAAAAGGCACCTGCGACCTCCATGTCCATTCCGGGTGGCACGTCGGGCCAAGGACGCTCCAGGTTGCCATCGTTCTGCGGCACCATCCATCGGCTGAAGGCCACAATCTTGTTGTCGTTTTGCGTGTCTTCTACTACGAATGATCGATCAGTAGGGTTGTCGATGCCCATGGCCCAGCTTTCGTCCCAGAACTTGCGGCCTCCCGGGTTGTCCTGTATGGTACCGTTAGCCGTCGTCTGTTCCTTGTATCAGGACGTTAGGAGACGGGACCGGGAGGAAATATTGCCAGAACTTGGCGTTGAACGATCTGAAGAATACCTCCGTCATATCAGATACATCGTTCTTCGTTGCCTCCCGCACTCGGAATCGTGGTCCTGCGAGCTTTAGTGACGCCACCATGGTCGGCGAGTTTACGGAACGAGCGATCGCTGGCGATGTGATGGGGGCGAGAAAATTATCGACGGATGAGGATGCAGATGCGATGTTTATATGCGTCTCGTCTCGAGAAGTCATCAAGTCAGCCGCAAAGCTAATGATGCATCATCCTACCTAGCCCTTACCGTCCGCTGCAGGCAGTAAGTCCTCGAATTGTGCACCTCGAGATGCTTGACCGACATGGCTCACTCTCTGCGGTTACGCACTCGGCAGAGACCTAGGCTTCGGCGTATTTGTTGTTTGTGCTCCGGGACGTGATTGTATCGGTACCGAGGAGTGCAAAGACGCTCGGACCAAACTGTAGACCAAGCTCTTTCCTCTCGCCAGAGCAGAACCGGTTCGCGAACCACCGAACGTATCCCAGCTCTAGATGTGGCATATTGCTAGATGAACAGTGCTCCGTACATTGAGGATGTAAACACCGTCGTCAAACCTGCAATTCCAGCCTCACTTGATCCTTCGAAGACTTCTCCGCTCGAAGGCCCGGGCTGAACGCTACCGTATAGCGAGCCGCAAGGTCTGAAGAGGCAGGTCAAAGAGACGCGCTATGAGTACGATGGTGACGCAGCAGAGAGACTTCTGCCGGATGGCTGCATCAAGGTTGGCGGCATAGCCATTGGAGAATGTGCTACGAGAAGCTGAGTGTCTTCATCTTACGTTCTACTCATGAAATTTGCATCACTTCCGCTTCCTACCAGTGGACAGGATGGCGATGAGATATTGCGCGTTGCTTGTCATCTGCTTGACATCCGACTTCGCGGCTGGCAATCTGATTTCGCAGAACAACACCTTCAACTCAACTTTTCGCTTGACACCCGCCCAGATTGCAGCCACGAACCTCACTAACGCGACGGTTCAAAACGTGGAGATCGCTCTCAGGTTCGAGCGCAGCAACAACGCTGGGTATCTAATACAGGATGATCCATTCTATCATGTCCCGGCATCATACAATTCCCAAGATCCACCACCTCCTGGAACCATACTCAAGGTAGAGGAGCATACCAACCTTACCCTGTACACAATCCCAAACAGCATCTCGATGTCTCGCTTCCTCTACGTCTCGGAGACGTTCAATGGCTCATCTGTGCCGGCTTCAGCATACGTTCTGGTAAAGATATCCGCAAGCGCTCAGCCGATCGAGGACTATGCTAACAACGCGACAGTAAGTTGGCGCACTTTTCACCGGATCATGACATCTTCTTCGTCGACTTGCCCTTCCAGCTTGTTTGGGAACATCGCAGATCTGCAAATGCCATATTACCAATGGTGTCTGGAGTCCCACTAACGTGCTTCATCAATGTTTTTAGTTGGCCATACTTGCCACGGTCGTTCAAGAATTTGACAGCTTGCAAGGACGGCAACGCCAGTACTGGCCCGCTCTATCCCACTATTGGCCTTTGTCACGGAACTTCTGGTCAGACAGTAAGTGCGATGTTACGAAATTGCGTGATTAGACGTTGGATCTATATTGACTCTTCTCGCAGCAAGCTTGCGCCCCATCTGGATTGCGCAGCTTGTGGGATGACTTCCACGAGCCATTCGCCCTTGCGTTGGCCGGTTATGCTGTTGTGGCCCCCGATTATGTAGGTCTTGGTGTGCCCAACATCACGAGCCCGTACTTCATCCTTCCCAGCCAAGCAAACGACTTGTATCACTCGGTAGCTGCCGCCCAATCTCATTGGCCGGGCATGCTGTCGAAGGAGTTTGTGATTGCTGGGCAAAGTCAAGGAGGAGCTGTAGCGTGGGCGGCTGCACAGAGGCAACATCAGCGTCCTGTCGAAGGCTATCTCGGCACGATGGCTGCAAGTCCTTTCACTGACGTTATTGCTGATATTGGTATGTGCCCAGTGATGGCTTCTGTGCAGACTGAATGCGCGCTCACATCATAACACATTAGTCGCCGATAACGCAGCGGAGAACAACGCACGAGTCGCAGGTATCGCCCAGGGCTTAGATACTGTGCTACCGGACTTTAGCATTTCGGATTGGCTGACACCTCTTGGTGTTGCGCGATGGAACCTCGTCCAGGAGATCAAAGGTTGCGGCACAACTGGTGGACAGCTTTCCGCTGCAGAGGGTGGAACCCTTCAGATCTTGAAAGATGGCTGGAACGAGACCTGGGCTGCGGACTGGTACCGTAACAACACAATGTATGCAACCTGAATAGAAGGTTGGAGCTCACTGCACCAAGTCCAGCAGGCTAATGATCGTACGCAGGAACGGTGGAAAAGCTTTTGCAGGACCGATGCTGGTTATTCAGGGCACACAAGACCCGAACGCCAATGAGCCAGTAACATCAAAGAGCGTCAACGAGACGTGTGTACTGTATCCCGACAGCCAGCTTGAGTACATCAGATGGGAGAACATCACTCATGTAGGTCACACAACCACTTCGTCATAAACTCATATTCGATACTGACATCGATGACAGGTGCCTGTGCTCTACGCCGCCCAGCATTTGTGGCTGGACTGGATCAAAGATCGATTTGATGGGGTGGCTGCAACAGAGGGCTGCAGTGTCGAGACCAAGAGTCCCCCACGAGGAGTCAATGGCGTACAATTTGCTGGATTCAACGACAACACATGGTTTATCGAATATGATGTATATGGAATCTAGGATCAAAAAGTGAGGAGATGGTCAGAAGTCGTCACGCATGGCTATGGTGAATGACGGATCAATTTTGGAACGCGTAAAGGAAGCGATCATGAAGTGCCAGCAACACCAGACGTCTAGAATCACTTATGATGATCGACATACTTCTCACCCAGCTGGTGGCTCCCAGATGATATCACATTCGATTGAACTTACGCTCCTCTCCACCAGGGTTCGACATGCAGAGCACCAGCGTGCCGTCCGTCATGTAGCCAAGTTGCACACTTGGGGAGACATTCCATCCGGACTGGAGACTACTGCAGATCTGGTTGCAAGTCACTGTGCATATTGAGGCTACTGCTAGCTACATGGTAGATAAACGCGTCAGGGCTGTCGCGCATGCATAGCAGATAACGTGGCCAGCGGTGGCAGAGACACCATCCAGCGCTGGATCTGGAGGTCCCGTACGTCAACGTCCATGTGGGAGTGCCAGCCCGTAAACTGTTAGATGGTAATTCGATTGGTCGGACATGCCATGATCAAGAGGGCCAACGAAAGTGTCCACTAGGTTTGAAGAAGTGACTTTCAAATATACAGTACTTCAGTATACAATGACCGTGCGCGGTGCTACCTCTGGCATGCCTGGGTCCAAACGCCATGTCAGATCAACTGCTCGTGGTATCTCGCTAAACAAATCGGTCACAAACTGCCTATACAGGAATTTATTGCGAGGCTGGTGCAATGCCTTCGCCGTGCTTCTCGCGCTCGGTCTTCTCATAAGCCACGCCGTGTCTACTCGATTATTAGTAACAGCCACAAGACACAACAGGGACTAATTTGCTTACCTATCGCCACCAATACCAGTATGTGCGTCACCGGAGCTTTCACTTGGCTCCTTGCCCTCTAGCATCTCCGAGTGTTGAGAGATGCCGTGCCTCTGGGTTTGAGGAATATCATGCTCTTTGTTCTCCGGCTCGCCCTTTGCAGGAGTCCATGCGAGGTAATCACGGCGGACCTCCACGTAATCGTATGCGAATTCACCAAGCTGGTCATCGTCCATACCGAGCAGCTCAGCCTCCTCAGATGCGCGAAGGTGAAGACCGGGGATGTAGTTGATGGCATAGGCGATGAGTGCGCTCATGACGAAAGCGTAGGCAGTGCAAGCTGCAATGTAAGCAACTTGCTGGCCGAGCTGAAGGAAGTGGCGCTCGATCCAGCCACCTGGGAAGAGACCAGTGTTGACGCCGTCGAGACCAATGATGTAAGATGCGCCGAAAACGCCATTGAAGAAGAGACCGACCATGCCAGCGATACCGTGCTCAGCGAACACATCCATCGCGTCGTCGATCTTGATCCAGTACTTGATCTTAGTTGAGAAATTGCATACTACTGCAGTGGAGATACCGAGAATGACGGATGCCCAAGGTGGGATGAAACCAGATGCTGGTGTAGCGGCGACGAGTCCAGAGATAGCACCTGAGCACCATCCGACCATAGACCACTTCCTCGCGAGGCGCCAATCGAGCAGGCACCAAGTCATAGCGGCAAACATGGCAGTGATGTTGGAGTTCCAGCAGGCCATAGTAGCACGGAGGTTGGCACCGAAAGCAGATCCACCGTTGAAGCCGAGCCATCCAAACCACAACAAAATTGTACCCAGCGTAATGAGCGATACGTTGTGAGGTCGGAAGTTCAACATCATCTTCTCTTGGCGGCGACCGAGGACCATGGAGTATGCCAGTGCAGACATACCGGAGCCGATCTCGACAGGTCCGCCCCCAGCGTAGTCGAGGACACCCCAGGTGTACGCCCAGCCATTGACGTTCCACACCCAGCAGGCAATCGGGCAGTAGACGAGAGTGGCCCAGAAGAAGGTAAAGACCATGAAGGGGATGAGACGGCCACGTTCAGCAACGGCGCCAGCGACGATAGCTGCAGTGACGGCGCAGAATTGCATCTGCATGAGATTAGTACATTGCGAGGAAGCTTGATATCATTCTGTGAGTTGACATACCTGATAGAAGGCGTACAAGAGATCTGGAATGAGCGGGCTGCCAGGACTGGGAGTAGCAAGTGTGTTCATGAGACCAAATTTCTTCAGGTCGCCGATGAAACCGTTTGTTGCGTAGTTGCTGAAGGCCAGCGAGTATCCCCAGAAGTACCATTGGAACGTGATGACGGAGCACGAAGCCATACAGGCCCAGATCATGCTTAACGCAGACTTTCTTCGTGAAAGACCGGAGTAGAGGAAGCCGAGACCTGGTACCATGATCAACACCATGGCAGAGGCCACGATGATGTATGCTTGATCTCCAGATTGGAACCATTGATTCAGATTCTCGGTGTCTGTTGTCAAACTTCGTCAGCATAGTGCAGCAACAGATCTATCACGAGCAATGTGACCTACCAGAATCGCCGCCAATATTCGAATTTGTGCCATTGAACACCGTAGGTGCTCCCACCCATGAATACGACATCCTCACGGTGACCAAGCCCGGGCTGGCAATGTGCTCGTGTGACCTGGTTGGTTATATTATATGCTGTCGAGGTGATCGAGGGCCGACTATAGATCCTCAAGAAGCCACAAACCCGCCCGAGTGGTAATAATAATGCAGAGAAGACAAAGGACTAAGAGGAAGCGAGCAGAGGCAAAGGTCTAAACAGAATGGCACTTAGCGGGTCTTAATGGAACGTAGACTCGACGTCAAACGATCTACCGCCCACCGGACGGTACCGCACCTCACCTTATCGTGGGCTCAGGCTAGGGGAGAAATAGACGAGGCGGCGCCGAGATCTAGCAATCTTATTGCAGAAGGGACGAAACTACGGGCCTTGGCTGGCGTTAGCAGAAGACCCCGATGGAGACCATGAGCACCATTTGCTTTTCAGGTGGGCCACTGGGTAGCTATTGCTGCTAATGCACCGCCTACGCGGACCCTGAAACAGTGATGTTGAGCTCCCGCCTACTGGTTTTTGGGGCCTGTGCAATATCAATCTGGCCACAAAAGCTTCCAAATTTTGGTTGAGCAGCACGCGACAGCGCGTGTGGTGCGGCTCCGTACATCTGCGTAGACCCCCACGATCATGGTGAGATGACGCTTGGGGCGCAGGATCCAAGCATGGTTGAGGCGCTCAGCGGCGTGCCCAGCGTTGTTATCTTTGTGCATGTTGGTTATAGTTGTCGTGCTAGACTGTCCGATGCCGCTGCGGCTCGATCATTGGGTGGTGGAGAGCCAGACCTACGCAATGACCAGGACTTTACTCACATCGATATCGTCTCCGATAGGCTCAAATTTCTGCTTATCAGTCTTCGTCTCAAAGCAGTTGAGATCCACGCTATTTTACAATTCTCAAATACACCGGCCTGGGCATCTTTTGGGATTCCGATGGTTGTGTGGACTTGTCGATGATGGGAGCGCGACACGGCCGATGACTGGTGTCGTGTTCAAAAAGCAGCAGATATATCTGCTTGGCGCCCAGGTCGAAGCAACGGTTCTTCACAACCAGGCGATAAGCATTCACCAAGCCAAGCTGTCGCCTCTTGCTCCGCGAAATCTTGTGGGTCCTGACGACGCCAGCACGTGTCTGAGCCATTACAACATTCGATTTAAGCATCGATATTCCATGCCGCCGCAACTTCAGGTCTAGTCTTTCTGGCTTGAAACACAATACGTGCTTCCGGGCTTCGGCGAGTCTGCGGATAAACTGATCTCGGGCCTGAATGCCGAACATGAACGTGTGGTCTCCATTATTGTCACTAAAGAAAAGCGACGCTGTTCTGAGGCTGTCATGTACACGTCCCGATCGTTGGGCCACCTAGTCACAGCTCTCTGAAGAGATTGAGATATTGCTTGGATCTTTGGAGGATGTGAAAGCGAAGGGGAGCGCAGATTCACACGAACGATAGTATCCAAACATTGGTAGATGGAATACAACACACGGTTTGTACACGTCCTTGACTTCACGTCATTTCGTGATAGCGGTGGGGTTTGAATTCCCTTTTGGTCCTCCCCCAAATCGAGCCACTCGGCCTTGAAGCATGCGATGCTGCCGATTGAAGATTGATCAAAACACGAAAGCTGCGTTGCCTGACGAAAAGCGTCTTTCCAAGACCGCTGTGCGTCACTCCTTTACACTACAAGCCAGCTTACGCCGAGCCACCCGACTACGCTGCTCAGACCCACAAGGAGCATACAGATGCCTACGAGGACACCAGACGTAATTCTATCGCCGGCGTCCCTATAGCCACCGGTAGGGGTATATGCAGCAACCGTGTTCCGGCCAAGGAAGATCCACAAAAGCGTTCCGGCAACGCTGACAAGCACGACCGTTGCCAAAGCCAGCCCCATTCGGCGTACAGACCAGCTCATGATGAATTCCAGCCCCTCCGGTTGTTCCATTCTTCGCACCAGATCGCGTTCGACTGTACTCTGAACATCATCTTCACCTTGTGGTGTCCGAAGTGGCGGAGCTGCTGCCAGTCTGTGTGCCCAGTGCACGAATGCGAATCGTGATCGTCCCAGTGCTGGCTTACGATAATGCTGGAGTATCTTCTCCTCGCTAAAGGTGTCACTGAGGCCACGTGAGACCAGCATTCGGGGTGAGCGAGGCTTGGAAAGCCAGCCATAGCCTGCATCCGCCGCTCTTGATGCCGGCCCACTGACCACTATTCGGGTCAATGATCGAGCGCTAAACAGTCTAAGAGCACCGGTAAGCTCTCCGTAGGATTTCCGCAGTTGACGGAATAGCTCTGCATCATCGTACTCTGATGCTTTAGAAGCTCGACTCTTCTCGGAGTCACCACGAGATCTTATTACACTATAGTCATTGGTGGCAGGTATGATCAAGCTCGTCACCCGCGGCTTGCTATGTGGATTTGCTCGACGAATGCTCAACGTAAGCATACTTTCGGATGCTGGCGGTATACTCATAGTCGCAGAGTGCGGGCTTCCAAAGTCCTTCCGCCGGACTTGCTGCGGTGTATATGGATATGGCGTCCGCACAAGATCTGCGGGCAAAGACCTTCTAGGCCCTGTTGTATCTATTGGTGGCGGCACAACATGCACTTTCTTGCTGCCAGCTGAGCCAGGAGTGCTGAACATTTGGTTGCGGGGACTCCTCGGATCATGTACCCGGAGCGAAGGCGGTAACAAAGAGCCGCGATAGTCTGTATTCAGGGGCGCAAACGACTTCAGGCCGAGGCCACGATCTAAAGCCTCTTCGTCTCGGATTAAAGCTTGCAGCGTGATCTCATGAGCGATCGCGTGGGCACCTGATATCTGCTCCACCTTGCTGGGACGACTTTCCTCGTCCCATCTATCAATCTGCGCCGAGCTACGGGGTGTCCTTCCGCTTGACAAATGAGCTTGGCGTGGATGGTGCGGAGGTGTTAGTCCCCCTTGTCCGAGCAGCAGCTCTTCAACAGATCCATGAAACGAAGTGCTTGGTGTAGTGGTGAAGTGCGAGATCTCTCCAATAGCTGGATTCGCAAGACGCTGGTATCCTTCTTCTGGTGGTAAGCTGACTCTCTTAGGTTCACATCTCGAGGCTGACCCTGGTGTTGACAAGGCTGAGCGCTTCTTCTTCGACGCCGAGCCCTTCCGTTCGAGGAGCTCGACATCCTGGTCGTCCCCAATTGGCACAGGAACACGACCGGTATCGTCATCCGAAGTGTCGACGAAGAAGTCGGTGGTTCTCATGCTGAAGTCTGCTTGGCTAGCGATCGACTCCAGTTGCATATCGGGACGTACGCTTCTCGCTGGACTCGCCAAGCCTGCTGAGACCAGAAGCGACCTTCTTGGCGAGTTCGAAAGCCTCACGTTCTCGCGGTCAGGTTGGAGGTGAGGATCCATTGGGGATTGCGAGACGATACGGAGGCGTCAATGTCCGTGTGACTCGGCAGTAAGATTGCTAACGCTACGCATGTGACATAACTGGAGTGTTTGAAGATCACATCGCACGTTGCCATGTCGGCGTTGCGAAGATGCCGACAACCTCGTCTGGTAAAGTCGCCACAACAATGCTCTGGAATGCGTTTGAGAGATTACGTTAAGACGTTGATGCATGGTCGTACAAGCCAGGTATCAGGACGCCTTTGTCTTGAGAGAAGAACGTCTGTCTGGTTGGTCTTCTAGTGACGCACATGAAGGTACATCGTGCATCCCGTGTATTATCCACCGCAATGTAATAGTAGCCCGGCCGACTCAAAGCCATTGCAATTGTGTTAGGTGGTGGGGAAGTTGCCATTGGATTGCGGACAATTGTGATATGGATATCACAGCTTCTATCAACGACACACTTTGGCCCAATTCAGCAGTTGATTGTCAGAATGACGTTGATGCCATGTCTCCATACTGCCGAGTCTGCTACATACTCTGCTGGTTCTTGGTGAACTTCATGTCAGGCGGCTAACTTCGGCGCTACCCGAGCGCTAGCTCTTCTTGGATATGCCTCCTTTATAAGCTGAAGCAAGCAGACACACACAAGACGGCGCAAGTATGTCTTTAGTCACCGCAGCCGTACCGTCTGGACTAGTCTCAACGGACTGGTGTATTCTTCCACTGCAGAATTGGGAGAATTGGGATGTACCAGATCCGACCTGCGCAAACTCGACATTAGGGACTTTCGATGTAGACTACGAGACCATCTGCTGCGATTGCGACATTGTCAACACCAAAGTCAGCCGTCACCGCTGGCCCCTACAAGCCAACACTACTTTTCTTTTCGAGGAGATGATATGCTGCGGAGTCCACGGCGACCAAGTCGGCAGCATAGAACCTGCTGTCCACCTGAGGACGGCCTGTACGCAAGGCTCCCCAACACCGCTCGCCAGTCTCGCTGCTACCAAAAAAGGGAATGCAGCCTTATATGACGCCACGTACACCAGTGCTAGCTTCGGCCTGAGTACCACAGGCGAATTTATCCCAACCAAGACGCCGAATTGCCTGTGGGTGTACACCAAGACCGGCATTACGCTCTCAAACATCTCTTTGCCCGCAGCACAAATTACAACTCTACCACCTGCTTCGACCGATGTTTTCGGGTACCCTGTCAGCGCTACGAGTAATTTGTATTCGTCTTATACTGTACACTCTTCTGTATCGCCTGCCACTCTAAGCTCGACAGCCAAATCTGCAGGAGCCTCAGCCAGACAGTCGCCATGTGCAACTCTGCTGATACCACTGCTTTTCGGTTGGCTATTAACCAGAGACACTTGGCCATACGAAGTGCCCGGAGCGCCATAGTCAGGGATCAATATCCGTCCGATCGATCTGTGTTTGTGGATTGACAGATGTGGGCACTATCGTATTGACGAACTTGCTTGCGCGGCAGGAAGCAACAAGATCGTGGCTGATATGACGGTGACTCCAGGTCACTGCCAGCTGTCTCGAGTAAGTCGAACGCTTCCGGGGATCTGTGAGCTGGCTCACCTTGACGCTACTGTTCCACCAACCCGCAAACTTCAGCGATTCGTACTGGCTGCCACACCAAGCAGCAAGACACATTCCTACGACCATTACTACGACGCTCATTGTCAAGAACATGATGCTAGTCTGCCGTTCGCAGACTTAAAAACGTCTTGATTGAGTCTTCCCTGGCCTTCAGTATTCGTATAATTCGATCCAATGGAACATCGTATGAATACTAAAATAAGGTTATGTTGCCAATAGACGATGAAGGCGGATCGACTACTGGGCTGCTGTAAGTACAGAGGACACATCGAAGACTATTTCGGTGCATTAGTATGAGTGTACACAGTTCATAGTGATATTTAGCAGTCGGGCAAAGTGGCGAGCCATAAACAGTGCTGGTCAGACAGCCAGGTGATTCACCGCTACTGAGGCCCACGAAGCTGAGCTCATGCAGTCTGTGGTCTCTCCACTGTTGGCTTAATTCATCTCATTCACGCCTGGTATCCGCAGTGAGCAGGAAAGCAGTAGAATTGTGGGTAGTCTTTGCTGGTGCTACAAGGCCGCTGCGAACAGTCCTACCAGAATCCTAGAACTTCCATCTCGCGACCGTGTTGGATCACTGTTGCGTTTAAAGACACTCTGACTCAATTACCTCGTCCAGGAGCTCTGATCCACGATCGTCTTCAACGTTATGCAAGGCAGCTTTGAGCTCACGTTGGTCGTAATCAAGCACGTTTGTGAGCATGTTGCCTCTAGACCTTCGCAGTAATGAATGGAATCGCGTTTAGCTGTATGCAACCCCAGAGAAAGTTGCCTTCGCGTTATCGATGTCGCGGAAAAAGTCAAATGCAGGTCAATAGTCAACAGAAGAGCCAAAGGACCACTGCAGGAGGAGCTTGAGTGCGCTCCGCTCAAGGTTTTGCCCGTGAAATGGCTCGACCAGGGCACATAGATCGTAGCAACATGTCTGCACCGTATGTGTAGTGCTTCTCGCAAAGGAAGAGGACGAGACATCTCGATGGTCGTTGCGAGAACGTGGAAGGCGTGAGGAAGGCGAGCAATGGTTTCGGCAAGCATCCGCCTTTCGGGATCGTCCGTCGTGCCAATGGGATCGTCTCTCATGGCCACGACCGTTCCTGCAACGGTTCCTGGCAACACAAAAGCGTGCAACTATCTGCATGATGAGCAATGGTGTTACGCAGCTGACGACCGGGGAACGTGTCATATAAGACATGGCGACCGCCAGATGCCTCTACAGAACCTACTCCATTCGCCTTTGGGTCGACGTCTTACCTGGATCGTTATGGCAGCCGTGACAGTAGTGATATTGGTCTCGCTCTCTAGTCTAGCACTAGCTGTAGACGGCTGGCATAGTCCATGGCCACAACGTCCATCTCCTTCTGGCACGGCGAACGCCAATTGTTCGACATCAGCACTTGCCGATTTTGCTCTCGATAAAGTCCTCAACGACGCAGCACCCGCGTTCGGAGGCTACGCAGATGTGCAAAGCGACACTTCGACATGGCAAGCTGAACTTGCGCATATGAGTCGGACTCGTCTAACGGTCGTACAGGATGAGAGCATATAGCGATGATACGCTTATCGTCCATATGAATATTCCTGGAGCGCATGACGCCGATACTTGGAACTACAGCCTCGCCACCCAGCAGTCTCTTGACCACGTCACTAACCTTGTGAACAATGAGGAGTTTGACCCACGAGCATACAGATGCCAGGACCTTTCGATGCTTACCATGCTGAATGACGGCATTCGAGTGTTTGATCTGCGGTACGCCTTCGACGTTACCAACAGTACCCTCGTCTTCTGGCATGGGCCGGGCCTCGTATCGGAGACAGCCACTGTCGACGACGTACTCTTCGGCTTCTATCAATGGCTCGATGATCACTCGTCAGAGACTATCTTCCTTTCTTTCCAGTACGAGGGAGGTACCACGGCGTACGCGAGCGACGACGCTGGCGTTCAGCTTGCGCTCTTCAATGCACTATCTTCCCCAGCAGCAAGACATTACTTTTTGCAGACTACGGGCAGCTTCGGTACACTAGGCGAAGCTCGGGGCAAGATAACACTGCTAAAGCGCTTCGATCTCGACCATCTCTCCGCGGGCTACACCACTGCCTTGCCTGGTGTACACTTCAGTCCCACCAATTGGACTGATAACAGCCCCAACATCACACTCGTGTATAACAGCAGCACTGGTGGCACAGCATACATTGAGGACTACTACCAGCCGCTCACACCAGAGAATTCTACCGCCGAGGAGAACATCCAATGGAAGGTCGGTGTATCTGATGCCCGAAACAAATCTGTAGCTCACATGTCCAATAGATCAACGCGACCGAAGCACACCTGACTACGGCCGCGACAAGCCATCCTGACGACCTCTTTTGGAGCTTCGCCTCAAGCACGAATCTACAAAACAATCCTCCTGTAACACCAGTCATTCAGGCACTCGGTAATGGTAGCCTAACTCCACAGGGTGGTGTTAACGATAGGCTGGTGCCGTTTCTGCAGACAATGAAGGGTAAGCGCCTTGGAATTGTCATGATGGATTTTTACGAAACGCCCAGCGAGCTGCTGCCGCTGTTCCTGAGCCTCTTGCCACCGAAGAACAGCACCTCGAGGGGATATTAGATCTTTCAGAGGCCTCAGTGTATGACAGTAACGATGTCACTGTTCTCCAGTCCAAGTCATTCCTTCCTCAACCTGCGAATGCTCTGGCCTCACATAGCACTTGCTCCACTTTGCACTTGCAGCTACGTCAGGACCAGGTACACTTCAACCCACTTTCCTTGAGCTCTGTTCTTACTGCTCACACGAGTTGAGGTCTTTTCGCCTGAAGTCGTGACAGCAACCTTGCAACTCACAATCGCTATCAGCTAGATATAGCCCACAATCATTACAAAGCACGCCAGACTCCCACGAAGATGCGACAGAGAGTGCTCTTCGTACTATGCCTGACCGTAATCAGCATCATCCTCATTCTGAACCGCAGACACATCGCCAATTTAGGCGAGGTAGCGAACACGTACGCCACCTTTCACGAGCTGATACATCGGCATCCAGAGCTACTGCACCGGTACAGTGCAGCAACGTCTCCGCCTCCAGGAGCGAGCGAACAAATCCCTAAAATCATCCACCAGATCTTCCTAAGTGTACATGCGAACTCCTCCTCGCCGGCACGATATGACAGTGCTCGTGCCACTTGTCGAGCCTTGCATTCAACCTAGCAGCATATGTTCTGGACCAACGACAAAGCTGCCCATTTCGTCGAGGAGTACTATCCACAACTCTATCCGACCTACCAGACCTACGACCAGATGGTGCAGCGCGCAGATCTCCTTCGCTATGCATTGCTTCATCACTTCGGCGGCATATATCTCGACCTAGACGTTACCTGTCTGGAGCCTCTCGACAACCTACTTCACCTACCTTGGCTCACACCTGGCGCTTATCCAGCAGGCATCAACAACGCCTTCATACTTTCACGATCTTGCCACCCGTTCTTGAATGACCTTCTGGGGTACATGCCGAATCATGATCTCAAGTGGCCACTGCCATATGTGGAGACTATGCTGAGCACGGGATGCATGTACCTCTCTTACCAATGGTTGCACTACACTCGACGGCCTTTACGATCTCGCGACAGCATTGCAAAAGGAGATATAGTGTACATCTTGGCCGACGAAAAGGGCGATGTGGACCGTCATATGCTGCGTGGGAAGGTGACCACTCCGTTATTCGCCCATAGTGGGGCGAGCAGTTGGCATGGCTGGGATGCAGCTGCTATCGTACTAATCAGTAAGCACTACGGCAAGTTCTGCGTGTTCGTATGCTGCTGGTTCGTGGCGATAGCATTGCTTGTCTTGCGAGCGCTGCGTCGTTCAATGAGAGAGGATGGACTCCGAGCTGGATGTGATACCAGCCAATCGGAAGATGAAGAGCAAGTGGTTGAGGGCAAACAATGGTGACGACCTGTATCTGCATACGTCGTCAAACGTGTGGCCCTATGAAAATACCACTCTTGTCATCCAAGCGGTGTTGAGACAAAGAATGAACGGATGTTCAACGGATTGTAGTAGTATATACACTCGAGTTGTATGACTTCTATAATTTGGCGGACTCTTTCAGCTCGCCGATCTTTAGTCGTGCTTGATATTTCTTGAGGACCGATTCGTTGTGATACTGAATCATGAAAATCAGCGCTGGTTCGTCTCGTCGATCGCAGATGGTCGAGACATTGTACCTTCCAGAATTGTTTGCTAGCATCCTTGCCGCCCACTCTCTTGAGGATCTTTGCGCCGCCAGGATGCCTGGATATAGGATAAGTACTCTGTCTTTGCGCGAACGAGTTAACGCTGCTTACTCGTCGACGAAGCCACCCATCTCGTACACATCGTTGTCGATGATGATATAGAGACCCTGCCGAGTGTGAGTCTCGAATTTATGCCATAACGCTTCTCCGCCTACCTTCTCGGGTGTACTGTGCTCTTTCACATCGTTGGCCGTGAATTGCTTCGACATGATGCGGAATTGGTGTACTCTAGCGTTGCTGTTAACGTCGTTCGAGTCGGAGTCCTCGGATGTCGTCGAGATAAGCGAATGACTGGATGAATGCTTTGGACTGTCAATGCCAATGATTGTAGTCGTGTTGGTCAGTAAGAGTAATCCGAGAGCATTGAATGGTTAATCAATGCACTTCTCGGCTCTCAGTTGAGTTTTGCCGAGGCAAGAAGTCGAAAGTTCACCAAAGCATCTTGTTACTACTTTCCTATACCGATCGTATCTCACTCGATCTCTTCTCATGCAGGACTATCTTTGAGCTATGTCGATGTCTTACGGCGCGATTTGTAAAAGGGCAGTTGATGCAATGAAGAGGCGGTCACCGTTATCATTCCCACGCCCTCTGTCGGGCTTTCCAGCTGTGGCTAGGCCTTCTAAAATCTATGCAAAGGATGTCACTTAGTCTGATAACCATTCAGACAGGTCGTTGTCTGGATTGTTGCTTCCTGCATCGTCTTCGTATCCACATATCACCTTCACATGCAAGACTTCACCTGCCGGCCAGAACCTTTCCAACGAGGAAAGTCAGGCGGTTCCGCGGTTCAGACGGCACGCGCTTTGTCGGCGAATGAAGGCGGCAAACGATGTGGAGAGGAAATCTGGGGGTGTGGAGTTTGATGACGGCACGAATATGCCAATTCGTTCTTGTTCTCGGCTGAACTGCTAGCAAGTAGCATCTGCTCTTGGACGAGCCCGTCGCAAGGTATCTCAAAGTTTTCCGGACCCAGATTCCACCTATCTGTGTCTCTGGTCAACAGCCACGGCGTTCTGCTGCAGTTCGACGGAGGGCTTTTGTGCCGTCTCGAGACGGGGTCCCCGCCATTCTGTTACGGCAGCGCTACGATGTAGACAGTGGTGCACAAAGCTCAACCATCTCGAAGAGAGTATCTAACGCTAATGCGACACCCATCTCCCTTCTCATTCGTAGAGACATCGTTACGTGCGTGCTAGCCATGTGGATGCCGCATTGCCGATCTTCTACCAGCTGACACGATGGGACACGGACTTTTGGATGATCACCCCTCAGCACAGAGGACTTGGCTTTCGATGAATGACCTCTGGGCATCTCGCTGTCGGAATAGCTTGTCGGTTCTTGTCTTTTGTGCTTCAGACTGACAAGAACACTCCCCGGCTCTTATTTCATTCCTATCATCACGCCACAGCTGGGCAGTATCTTGGTGAGGTCGACTTGTTGGGCTCGCCACGTCGCTTGTATCTCACAGCGATGGCGTCAGGCATGGATTATGGCAAGGCCGAGTTGGCGCACGAGGAGGTCTTACACGACCATGACTTGAAAGTGTCGAAAGAAGAAGCGCTTCATGTGGCTGGCCTGACCGAGGCGGAGAAGGTTATTGAGAACAAGCTTCGACGGAAAATTGACGGTTTGGTTATGCCTCTGGTGATCTTGGTCTAGTAAGTTGGCCACAACGACGGTGAACACACCAGTCTCGGAATACTGATCAAACGACAGCCTCATGAACTACATCGACCGCAACAATTACGCTGCTGCCAAGCTACAGAACCTCGAGAAGGACCTGCATCTCAAGGGTGACCAATATCAGATTGGTCTGTCGATTCTATTTGTCGGCTATGTCCTTATGCAGGTCCCATCCAACTTACTCCTGAATTTCTCCGGGCGTCCTTCCTGGTACATTGGCTTCTTCGTTTGCGCTTGGGGTCTGGTCTCCTTGCTCACATCTCAGGTCAAGACTGCTGGAGACATCATTGCTTGCAGGTTCATCCTTGGTCTGGTCGAGGCACCTTTCTTCGCTGGTGTGCTCTTTTATCTGAGCAAATGGTACACCAAAGGTGAGCTAAACCTCCGCATGAGCATCTTCTACTCGGGTTCCTTGCTCTCTGGTGCCTTCGGCAACCTTATCGCTGCAGGTATCCTCAATGGTCTTGCTGGCAAGCGTGGGCTGTCTGCTTGGCAGTGGCTGTACATCGTTGAAGGCTCCATCACGATCTTGATCGGAATCGTGATCGTCTTCATTCTGCCAGATTTCCCACACACCTGGAAGGCCCTCTCGGACGAGATGAAGCACGTTGCCAATCGCCGCATGGCCATCGATGCTGCCGATGCTGATATCGACGCCGCTGGAGGAATGTCACAGATCACGGGCATGAAACTCGCCTTCACTGATCCCAAAACGTACATTCTTGCGATCATGTATCATGGCACGACTGGTGCCGCGGGTTTCCAGAACTTCTTCCCTTCACTCACCAAAGCTCTGTACCCGAACAACAGCACCGTCGCACTGCTTCTCGTCGCCCCGCCATATATCTTTATGGTCATCTGGTCGCTGGGCCACAGCATCGTATCTGACAAAGTCGGAAACCGCTTCTGGTTTTTCGTTTACCCCATCCCGATCGTCTTCCTCGGCTGCTTCATCTTCATGTTTGCTGAAGGCTTCGGAGCACGATACTTTAGCTTGTTCTGTCTGGTCTTTATCTTCGCGACCAACGGAACCATCTATGCTTGGATCGCAAACGCTATACCGCGTCCACCTGCCAAGCGGGCAGCTGCACTGGCTTTTGTGAACAGTGTTGGCAATGCTGCCTCCATCTGGACACCCTTCACCTACAACCCTAAGCGACACTACGTCTTGGCGATGTCGATAAACATCGGCCTGACCGCGCTGGCTGGCATTATGGCGGTTCTTCTACGGATCGTGTTGACGAAGGAGAATAAAAAGCTGGCCAGACTGGAGAACATGGATGCAGAATTGACCGAGGCAGACATGGCACATCTGAGGAAGACGGCAGAGTTCGAAGGTATTGACATTGCGGCTGCGAGACAATTGCAGAAGGGCTACCGGTATGTCCTCCCCCACTATACATGTTGTCAAGCTATTACTAATGACCTCTCAGATATATGATCTAAGACAAGTCCAAGTAGAGAGAGGATGCTCTTTATGGCCAGGTTGGGTCATTCCTGAATCTCAGGTAGCACAGTATATATACGAACTTGAACGAATAGTGCCATGCCAACATCCAGATTGCCAGGAAGAGCAGTCCTCGTGCTCCCACAGGTTGTTGACTTCAGCCGCCTGTCTTCAGCTGCAATGGAAGATCAGGCTAGGTCACATGGTAGAGTCGCTCTCGCTCCGCTAGGTAACCGCAGAAAATCTCGAGGTGAAGTGAAGGGTGGCAAGTGCTGGGAAGGTGCCAGGAAGCACATCCGATGGCAGTACTCGTTATGATCGCTTGGATTGATACTCTGGTCCCCGGAGTAATTTTTGCATACATGGTGATCGGTCAGGCCATGCTGTGCATAACTCTCCGAGCCTCGTCATATTCGTTCCACAGCTCGCCCAACATCCCCTTCACCAGCCAATCAGTACCTTGCGAATTTGTAAGCAGCTCGAGCGGTCACAGAGGCTTTGAACTCTGCCTGGGAGCCGACGACATCAACATCGTGTATAAGAGGTCCATGTATTATCGTCAGCACGGAACAAAACTGCATTGAAGGGACACCGAGCTTCACTTCACAACTTCCCGATTGATCCTCACCAACAATCTCTTGGCGTCAGATCACGCAAGCAGTCACGTGCTACAGTCAACATGGCCGCACTTTACAATATGAGTAAGTCGAATCAACCAAGCCTGCTCATTGTCTACCGATTGTGTATTTCGCAGAGCGAACGCACATTGAAGATGGCTAACGATATCCCTCAGGTGTCCCCATCTACCTCCGCGCCCTCAACAACCAAAAAGCCATCCTCCAAAAGGCCGAAAAACACTGCGAGGAAAATAATATCTCCAAGGAGACAATGCTCTCCGCCCAAATCCACGACGACATGAAACCTCTCACCTTCCAGGTCCAAAGCGCATCCAACGGCTCCAAGCTTTCCCTCGTTCGTGTATGTGGCGTTGAGAACGAGCCCTGGGACGACAACGAAACGACATTCGAACAATTGATCGCGCGAGTCGACAAGACGATTGCATTCATCGAGAAGGTTGGGCAGGACAAGTTCGAGGGCAAAAGTGAGGCAGAAGTTGTGCTAAAGTTGGGTTCGGCGGAGTATAAGTTCACGGGATTGAGCTTCTTGCAGACATTCTCGATTCCCAACTTTTTTTTCCATCACACAATGACATACGCTATTTTGAGGAAGGAGGGAGTGCCGGTGGGCAAATGGGATTACCTTGGCAAGGCGTAGATCGTCCTGAGCAGATACTGGGAGCATCTTGGTGTGCTCGCAGCCAAGGTGAGGATCCGTTTACGACCACAGGTAGATATGTGTCATAAATGGCTGCAGCTGCAAGACTCAAGCCAGATCAAGGAGTAGTGTGGATAGCATAAAAGATTTAAATCTATAGTGTATCAAGCTCACAACTCATCATGTATCTTCGGCTCCGGTCTCCCAGAGTCCTTGTGAAGATCGACTCCCTTCTTTTTCCGCCACTTGTCCCAGACTGTAAGGAACTCCTTCTCCATACCGCTTTCCATCTGATCAGGTAGCACGACCACATAGTCCACCAGCAGATCGCCGTACACCAATCCGTCGTCATGTCGCCATATAGGCATACCTTCTCCACTCACTACTTGCACTGCTCCTGGCTGAACAACTTCACCTCGTTTCCGTCGCAGCTCAACAACATGACCGTCTAGATGCGTCAAATTCCTCGTCCACTCGCCCATCCACGCTTCTCGTAAGCTCAACATCTCGGTCCAGAACAAATCATTGCCCTTCCGTCTGAAGAACGTGCCATCCGTCCTCTCATCCTCACTGCTACCAATCTCAGCCTCCTTCTCCACAACCTGCACAAGCAAGTCTCCCGCCTCCCAATCCGGGCTCTCGTCACCCTCATTCTCATACGTAATTCTCGCACCCTTAGGCATGCCCTTCTCCACACTCAACTCATACTCCTCTTCCTCTCTGACCACTCTCTGCCCGTTACAAGTCTTGCACTTATGCTTGACAGTACTGCCCTTACCACCACAGACATCACACTGCATCTGCATCTGCTGGAAGATACCCGGCGCGAGCTGGTGTTTCTGGATAACCATGCCTTGACCATTACATCGACCACAGGTATCTCGCTGTCCATCTTCTGATCCCGAACCGGAGCATTTGCTGCAGATAGCTTGCTTTTCGATCTTGAACTGGTGGTCGGCACCTGTGTAGAAGTTTCGCATAGGGACAGCAATCCTGACTTCCATATTTGGTCCTCTTCTTTGCCCTCCTCGTTGCTGGCCGCCAAAGAAACGACTGAAAATATCGAAAGGATCGTGATGTTGGCCCGGACTACGTCCACTCTGTTGATGCTGCTTCACGCCCTCGTGTCCATACTGATCATAAATCTTTCGCGTTTCATCGTCGTCCAGGACTTCGTATGCTTCTGCTACTTCGACGAATTTATGCTTTGCTGCTTCATTGTCTGGATTTTTATCAGGATGGTATTGCCGTGAGAGTTTGCGGTAGGCTTTCTTGATCTGTCTGCTGTCGGCGGATTTGTCAAGGCCGAGGAGTTTGTAGTAGTCTTCTGCTGCCAGAGCGAAGATTGTGAAGAGCCCGACAAGGGCGAGGGTTGGAAGGAGCAGCATGGTTGCCTTGCAATGATTTGGTCTGATGTATACGTTATCGGATCATCGTTCGGATGGGTTGATCCAGTGGCTGCAGGACACGGAAGTCGAGTAGAAGCAAGCGCAATGTTGAGAGTACTTTCTTGGATGAGGCTCAAAAGTGAGTTCACAAGCACACGAACAGCTGTCGCTTTCCCTAGCGGCCCCGATAAGGCTGATACGCACATGCAAGGCACGAGATGAAAGTGAAACATTAGTGTACGTGCACAATACCGTTATGCAAAGACATCTCGTTGCATCTAGATACATCTCAAGCAGCCCCGACAGCAGCCTTCTGTCTTTTCCAATCTGGAGCAGCCACGCTCAACAACCTGCATATGTCTTTTCGTCTCCTGCGGAAGTCGTCGTAGAGTCCTTTCCACACCTCCCTCTCCCTACATTGCAATCTCTCATGCAGCGCTGTGCAATTTGGTTGTACCTCAGCTAAACCCTCATATGGCCACATTATCCAGGGTTTGGGAAGAGGCCAGTCGGAGAAGTGCACCAATTTTGCTTCCTTCAGCACTTGGTCTGCATTCCATTCGTGTTTCAGCTCAGGCGGAGAGTTGATCGTTCCCAAATAGGCTTCGTGATGCTTTCGTCTGAACTCCGCGCTGAGTAGAGCGTAGTCGCGATGTGGCAGTACCATGGCGGAGGCTCCGAAGCGGTGGTTGAGCAGTTCCATATCGTACTGTCGCAGCCCAGATCTAGTCTGTTCGGATTCAATCCACCATGATCTTAGCGTCGCCAACATGCCTCTTAGCTCTGCTGGATTTGGCTCCAGTAGTACCATGAGGGAGGTCAATGGCCAAGATCCAGCTGGAGCATCGCTCCAATATGCCCGCGGCATTGCCACCGGCGTGCTTGGGAGAAGGAACAACTCGTCCAGATTGTCGAAGAGTGATATATCACTGTCCAGGTGCAGCACTCGGTCGTACCCGGTCAACTCGAAAGCACGTAACTTAGTGATCGAAGTGTCCCACGTACTCCCACCGCCACTGATGGCTCCAGAAGTGGTCTCGCCACGTTCATCCAGAAGTCGAACAGGCTTCAACGTGACGCCGTACTTCTTCTGAGCCATGCTTAAGAGCTGCGCACTCCTGTCATCGCCACCCTGAGCCACACTAGCCCACTGTGGATTATGTAGCAGGACCCGTTGTGCCTTCGAACCATGTCGATGCAGAGCCTCGAAGACCATAACGGCATTGCACAGATTATGCTCATCTGTGGCATACTGTACATAGGCATATTTCTTCCAATTCGTGCGAGTCAGGCTACGTGGCCAGCTGTACCAGAGCAGGCATATTAGAACAATCCCGAGAAGAGGCGACCATTTTCTTAATCCCCTAGGTGAGTAGAAGGTCCCGCTTGATGCGTTATTTGATCGATATATGGGCATTCCATAATCGTCTTCATCGTCTTTGTCAGTGTAGACATCGCTGGGCATAGTATGTATCGCTGGGATGAAATGTTGTCGTCGAGTGGCCATACCCGTGCAGAAGGAGCAGTTCTTAGGGTTGTGCTGTTACTTCAGCCGGTCGTGGTCTGTGCACACTGACGATCAAAGCCAGGCCTCGAGTATGCCAGATTAACCCTCACTTCTTGTTCCTTCCTTAGCATTTTCAGCCCTTCCATGCAAGGTCCCTATGTGAATATTGCGCCTCAGAGCTGCTGTGGCTCCGTGAGCACAAAAACAGAACACTGCAAGTATAAAGTCAGTTGGTGGTTTTGCAACGAGGTGTATTGGCTCATCAAGAACACTGCCCAATGATAATCTGACTGATAACTTCTATAGTAGCTGCTGAACCTTATGGACGGCTAGGACACAATTCAAAGTTTCCCGGGCTCGAGTCGTGCCTCCACGGGGTCACATCATCGTCACGCCTCATGTCGAACCCTACTCAGTGCTGTCGTTGCCCCTTCGAGCACCTACAGTATAGTGTTGCCTTGAGTTCCGCTGAGCCAGACGATGCCCTAGCCAGAAGTCGCGCAGGCAGGTAGCGCATACATATAACCAGCTCGCGGTGGCTTTGTCTCGCTATTATTGTCTGAACATCACACCACATTGCCATACTTCGTGTCAAGCCTACTTCCTTCATAGCACACCAGGTAGCTATGCTGTGTCCATCAAAGATCGTTCTGGCGTGTAGCGCTGTCTCTGCTGTGGTAAGCTGCTCACATGCTATTTCGGACTGTGCCCGTGCTAACCGCTCCCTCAGCTCGCTCAAACGAACACAAGCACAGCATGGCCCCATATTCGCCCACTGCTGCACCAATGTTCCAGCTCAGCTCCGACAGCCAGATGGCATTCTATCTCAAGCAAGTCATGGCGCTCTCCAACACCGGTGGTGCGAACAGTGCTCAGGTCTTGCGTATCGCCACTCAGTTGGTACCACACGACTTCGAGTCGACCTATAACGCCTTCTACGACATGGCAGAACGGGTCAATGCCATAGCTAGCAGCATTGACAGCGAGGTCGATCCTGTCGGTGCACGTGAGCACTACTTTCATGCTGCTACCTACTATAGAGGAAGCGTCTTCTTCTTGATAGGCAACCAATCCGACCGTCGACTCGCAAGTGTTTGGGATCAAGCTTTGACGGCCTTCAACAAAGCCAACGCGCTCCTGTCTATACCTGGTCAGCGTATAACGCTCAACACGCACAGCGATGATCTTGGCGATTACGAGATCGTGGGCATCTTCTACAAAGCAAAGTCGTCCCAACGCAAGCTCCCGACCATTATCGTCGTGGACGGCTACGATGCCTCTCAAGAACAGCTATATCACCAGACATGTACGGAGATTCTGAGCCGGGGCGTCAATTGTCTCCTGCTCAAAGGTCCTGGTCAGCCGACGGTCCTGAAAGACCAACACCTTGGATTCACACCAGAATGGTGGACAGCTACCAGTCCCGCAGTCGATTGGCTGTACGAGCGCCCCGACGTTGATTTGAAGCGTATTGCTTTACTGGGATTCTCGTACGGTGCCACGCTGGCACCCATCGCTGCCGCGCGAGACAACCGTTACTCTGCTGTGATCGCGCTCGATGGCCTGATCAACCTCCGCACAGCCATCGAGGATCAGTGGCCGGCCGAGCTTACGGCTCTTTACAATGCTGGAAATGCTACCGCCTTCGACGCCGTGGTCAAGTCGATTCAGCAGAATGCGACAAACCCAAGTAACTTACGCTGGGTCATTGATGAGTCCCTCTACGCCTTTCAGACGAACAGCCCATATGAGTGGTTTACCCGCATGAACAACATTACCATGAGTCCAGCTGTCGTCAGGAATCTGAGCATGCCGGTATTCGTCGCGAGAGGGGAGAACGATGATCTGGTAGGTAGTCAGGGGTTATTGGCTTACGATTCCCTGGTTGAGAACAGAGCCAACGGGCAGAATCTGACCATATTTCATCAATTCAATACTAGCCTTGGTGCAGGAGAGCATTGTTCTATAGGAGCAGACGCTGAGCTGTGGAGCACGCTCATGCAGTGGCTCAGTGGTGTCTGGGGCGGATACATATATGCTGGATGCTGAGGTATGGTGCGCTGCTCGGCATGAGCTGAGATCAACGCCTTGGAAGACAAGATATGCCGTCCATCATTAGCCATGCAGAGCATTCGGCATGGCACACTCGTTGTGCAGGATAGCCTAGATATAACAGCTCAGATTGAATCAAATTCATGTTCTTTTGTGCCCGGTACTATAGAATGACGTTTTACTCGGCAACTACCAAATTTCGGCTACAGTACACAATACCACATTGACATGACATTAATTGATGAGTTTTGATCATCGATCGTCCATGTCGCCTTGCCCAAGCACCGTCTCACAAGATGGAGGACACCAAGGACTACGACCTCAATGCTTCCATTGATCCCAAAGGCTTACGGCAAGGTCTGACGTCCTACGGCGATGCTCATTTCTCGCTTTTCCTTCGCAAGGTCTTCATCAAAGCTGCTGGCTACGGCGAGGACGCACTATCTCGACCCATCGTTGGCATCATCAACACTGGCTCAGGCTTCAACCCATGTCACGCCAACGTGCCCCAGCTGCTCGAAGCAGTAAAACGTGGGATTCATTTACAGGGTGGTCTGGCCATAGAATTTCCTACCATAAGTCTGCATGAATCATTTGCATCTCCGACCAGCATGTTCTTACGAAATCTCATGTCAATGGACACTGAGGAGATGATCAAAGCTCAACCCGCCGATGTGGTGGTGATGATTGGTGGTTGCGACAAGACTGTCCCTGCGCAGCTTATGGGAGGAATATCGGCCAACAAGCCGGTTCTACCTCTTGTAACTGGACCGATGATGCCGGGATCCTTCAAAGGAGAGCGGATCGGGGCTTGTACTGATTGTAGGAACAACTGGGCTGCGTACCGGGCTGGACAGCTTGACATGGAGGATATCATTGGCATCAACGAGGAGCTTGCGCCTACAGTGAGCTGCTCGTCGAGGGCTCCTGGACTCATGATTTGTACTGACATCATCGCAGGCAGGCACTTGTGGTGTCATGGGCACGGCGAGTACCATGGCGTGCATCACCGTGGCACTTGGCCTGATGCCCTTCGGCGGTGCAGCAGCTCCAGCAGTATCTTCAGCCAGGCTACGCGTCGCCGAACAGACTGGCGTGGATGCCGTGAAGGTCGCTGCCAACATTGAGGTAAGTAGACCACAAAGCATCCTTTCTCGTGAATCGTTCCTCAACGCAATGACCGTCTTGCAAGCTATCGGTGGCTCGACCAATGCGGTCGTACATCTTATGGCCATCATCAACCGTCATCCAAAAACAGCTGGCATGATCGACCTCAAGACATTCGACGAAGTGGGAAGGAAGACACCGCTTCTTGTTGACCTCAAGCCAAGTGGCGGCAATTACATGCATGACTTTCACAACGCCGGAGGCATGTTGGCTCTTCTCCATACTCTACGACCACTATTACACCTCGATGCCTTGACGATCACTGGCGAGACACTAGGACAAAGACTAGACGCCACACCCTTCAAGCCCTTCCCATACTCTAGCAAGCTCATTCGACCACTTTCGGATCCACTGTACCGAAGCTCGGCATTGGTGACTTTATACGGTAATCTCGCACCGGATGGTGCTATCCTAAAAGCAGCAGCATCGAAAGACCAGAATTTACTGGATTATGAAGGACCAGCCGTGGTGTTCGAAAACACAACAGATCTGGCCAAACGTATCGACAGCGATGATCTCGCCGTGACGAAGGACTCCGTGCTCGTGCTGAAAAGTATTGGGCCGATAGGGAATCCTGGCATGCCAGAAGCAGGTGTGATACCCATACCACGAAAGCTCAAGGGCGTCAGTGATATGCTACGATTGTCAGATGGAAGGATGTCTGGCACAGCAGGTGGGACGATAGTGCTACATATCTCACCCGAGTCAGGTATCGTGGACTCACCATTCGGCATCGTTCGAGATGGTGATTTGATACGTCTCAGCTTGTCAGAACGTAAGCTCGAGGTCAAGTTGAGTGACGAGGAGATAACCGAGAGGATCCGCACGCGAAGTGAGCAGCTCAAGGACAAGCACGTGGCAGTTCATGGCAAGCGCATTGTTGGCACAAGAAAACGTGGGTACCGAGGACTATACGAGTCGCATGTAAACCAAGCGCAAGATGGAGCCGACTTTGACTTTTTGACTGCCAAAGGCGAATCTGCATACGATGATACAACAGCGTCGCCTGAGATACCAGATAGCTGAGACGAGTGAGACGACAACGAGTGTAGAGCGAACTAGATTTACACCCTCCTACGTGGCTAGCGTGTCAATGAGAGAGACCGCCTGTGCAAACTCTTCTGTAGATAAGTGACCAGTCATGCTATGTCAAGGCCTCTTCTTGGCCTCGTCTACGGCTGTGGCTGTACTGGCACGGTGTAGTTATAGCTAGCCTGCTGCTTGACCAGCGAATCAATGGTCGTAGCTTGCCCAGTCAAAGTAAAGTTGAACGTCAACCTTGAGTCATAGTCGATCAACATCTCATAATCGCCAGGATAGATCACAAGATCACCGTCCGAGTTTGCTCGTGCAAGTGCGTTAAGGTTGAGAGTAAAATGCAGCTCTTCGGCAGCGCCAGAAGCCAAGCCGTGAAGACGAGCGTACGAGGCCAGCCACTTGTTCGGGTAGGGCGCGGGCCCTGCATTAGCGGTCTTGAGGAAGACGAGGCCGACGTAGTCTGAGCTCAGATCTCCGGCATTGCCGATCCAGGCTGAGATAGTCGTCCAGGGAGACGCATCGTTGGACTTCGTTGCGTTTGTGGAGCTGCCACCGTAGCCGTGGTAAGGTGGCGGAGAAGCACCAACGAGGCTGCCAATGCTGTAAGAACTCTTGGGCGGTGTGCACCAGGTGACCTCAAAGTCTGTGTAATGGAGTCCATATCCGAAGGGCAAGACAGGCTCTTGGTTGTACCACTGGTACGTGCGACCTGGAGAGGAGTTACTGGGCCGGAGATCTGGATCGAAAAGGCTGACCTCGTTGATGTAGTTGGCAGGGTATTGCGTTGTAGTAAGTCGACCGGCGATGGGTACCTTCGCAACGAGGACGTCGATGAGAGCATAGCCACCATCTTGTCCTGGATAGCCGCCCTACATGTAATCAGTGTGCCGTCAATGGTACTGCACGGTGTATGCTACTCACCCAAACCAACGAGTTGACCTTGGTGTTGTTGAGCAGAGCACTGTCGTCAACCTGACCACCACCAAACTGGACAACGACAAGTGGCTTGCCGAGGGCCGAAAGCTGTTGCACGAGGTCGAGCTGGTTACCAGGCCACGAAATGGTGGAACGATCGTGACCTTCCGACTCGATGCTGACATCGATACCGCCCAGGTAGATGATCACATCGGCACCCTGTGCGGCAGCCAGCGCGGCTGCAAAGCCTGTCGAGTTGGTGGAGTTGATGGCAGTACCCTGAGCGTAGACCACATTGGCCCATTGAGCTTTCGCTGCCGTCAGAGGACCGTTTAGGTATGGCGCAACACCTTGATAGTTGCCTTGCATCTGAGTGGTCGCGTTCGCCCAGGGTCCGACCATGGCCACGGAGCCGTAGGATGTCTTGAGCGGCAAGGTACCATCGTTCTTGAGAAGCGTCATGCCCTCCCATGCTGCTTGATAGGCAGTCGCTTGGGCAGCCGGGGTGCTTACGTCCGCGAAAGAGAGACCTACGATAATACATTAATATCAAGATTTTCTTGACAGTCCACTCGTCTACACTCACCATCGTATTCTGGCTGGCCGTCGAAGTAGCCAACAGTGAAGAGAGCATTGTACAGTCTCGTCAGCGACTTATCCATCTGAGCCACCGTCGTCCAATTGTTCGCCACCGATATGTTGAGCTGCAGATAGCTAGAGCCACAATTGGTATCAGTGCCGGCGTTCAGCGCGACAGCAGCAGCAGCAGCCTCGCTGGAAGTGAAGTTATGCGGCTGCCAGATATTCTGGACGGCGGCACAGTCGGAGGTGACATAGCGATAGGGCTCGGTGAAACCCCACTCATCCCTCAGTACGTCCTGAAGGAGATACTCGCTGGCACAGGCAGGAACACCGTCGACCGCATTGTAGCTGCACATGATCGACCCGACGTTGACGTCTCGTACACAGGTCTTGAAGGGCTTCAGGTAGTACTCGCCAAGATCCTGTTGAGTGGGATCGTAGTTCTGTCCATTACGGTTGGTCTCGACGTCGTATACGGCGTAGTGCTTGCAGGTGGCGATGATCTGCTTGTAGTCGGTGTTCTGGAGTCCTCCTTGTAGACCAGGGATGAGGTTGGAGACGTAGCTTTGGGCATGGAAGGAGTCCTCAGTAGGAACTTCGAGTCCGCGTCCCCATCGCTGGAGATGTTGTTAGCACATTACCGCCATTCCACCAATCCGAGATATGCTTACAGGGTCAAGGAAGGTGTTGATGTTTGGCGTCTAGCAAAGGGTGTCAGTCACAACGGTACGTTTAGAATTGAGGTAAGCATACCCAGAAGTCGTAACCGGACTGAGCGTAGTTGGCGAACGCACGAGCTTCTTTGCCAACAACAGATGCAACGCTGTAGATCAACGGATCGTCGAAGGCTGCACCCATAAGGATAGGTGTGGGGAAGGAAGTGGCGTAAGAGAAGTTCGATCCATTAGGACTGTTGAAGGTAACTCCCGGACTGGAAGCTACTCCATGCAGAGCCTACTGGAAGTCAGTACATGCATGGTCTTTGTTCATGCGTCGCCGTCCTCACCTCAGACCACCACTCGTAAGGAGGCAGGCCAAGTCTGTCAACACCAGCGGCGGAGTCGACGAGGTTGTCGGCCTTCTCTCGAACAGTGAGCTGTGACAGTAGGGCAGCAATACGCTCGCTTTGAGTAAGAGAGGTATCGCAGGCTTTGTTGGCGCAGAAAGGATTGGTCTGGCAGACTGGTGATCGCTTCGATTCGACCGGAGGCGGGTTGGGGTTGGGATTGTTGATCTCATATATGTTCATCCTGGTTGTGTCAGCCAAGCCATCAATCCGTGTGGTTATTTAGAACGTACACATATGTCCCTCCGCACACTTGAGCTGGATTTCCAGGACAGACATAGGTGCAATTGCTTTCGCTGAGCTTCTGAGCTACGGGATTAATGGCCGTACCGCAGAACTGGAGAAAGAGTTAGAAAGCGGTGACGGCTTCAAATCGATCATTAATCTTACGCATTGGGTCGTATACTCGACTGCACTGATATTGTAGCCACGGTATCCACAAGCGTTGGCACAGACTTGTGGGTCGTTCTGGGCAATATTGATCTGAGGTCCACTGCGCAACGAGATCAGACATTATCGTAGCTCGAACGAGGCATTGCTAGTTCATGATCTTACTTGAGCGTCCTGACAGTGTCGTCGGTCCAGCAGCCCAGATACGTGGTCGAGGCATTAAAGGTGTTGGCCGCATTAATACCTGTGCACACGAAGCTGTCGTTCTGAGCGAGGGCTGAGGGAAGGGTCACGAGCGACAGACCGCATAGGGTCGTCAGAGAAGTGAAAGATCGCATCCTGACCACAAGCAAGTCTTTGGGTGCCTGGCTTGGTGGATCTGGATCTGACTGGCACACATCACAAACTTATACACTGCCGCCATGGTCACGGTTATGACGGCACAGTTGTGTTTTAGCCAGAGAGTAGCAGAAGCTGGCGGTGCTGTTCCTGACATCGCTGTCCAACCCCTCTCACATCGTATCGAAATTGGAGGAGGGGGGGATTGTTTGAGTGAAGATCTACTCGACCTACATGGTATAGCCAGGAACAGAGTATGCAGTATGCATGATTGTGTTTTGCCTGAATGTTAGAGGCTCTGCTAACCCGAGGAGTGAGGTGCTATGAGCTTGAGGTGGTCCTCTAGCGTTGCATTGGTGCCTTGGATCTGTAGAGTGCAGCTGATGGTATGCGGGGTAGCCTAAGTGGTTACCAACCAGGTACGATTGAAGCTCACCACGGCATGAATTTTCAATAATGTGGCGGGCATGACGACCGATGCAGCTGTGTAGGCTGTTACGAGATCCGTCGTCAGCACTACTGTTTGTTTGCATGGCCAGATTCAGAGCTTCAAGGGAGCCTTGATGTATGATGACGGTACATATTATCGAGCGGGTAAAGGATGCAGCGACCAGACGTCGAAGTATCGGAGGCCCGAGAGACACGTGAAAACTGTCGTTCTTGTTGACGATCTGGTCTATGCAGGAGTTCCTGCTCAGCTTTGAAACGAGAGATGATAACCCCGGTCTTTGCCCAGCTTAAGTTTGGATGGTCCACCAGTCCTGGGAATGCAGCTCGATGGCCAGAGGTGTGACTTGTTGACCTGGTGCGCTACGAGTGCTACATTCTTCAAGGTCCTTGTATGACAGTGACGGTGCCTTCGTGCCCTGGTGTTCATTGATATATCATTATCCTCGGAAACGTCAGGTAGGGTATTGATCACGATGTCGTTCATGGCCCCGCAAATCGCAAGAGCAAGCCATAGCGGTCTCGAGATCTCGATGTCGTTGACCGTCGTGGCTCGAAGGCGTTCCGATAAGGACCGCAAGGCATGATATCGGTGCCACGTGATTGTGAACAAAGAGCTTGCGCGTTCGGTCATTCGATCCGTGCGCCTTCCCGCGTCAAACAAGCTTTCAAGCGCAAGTCTAATAGCTATACCATCTCTTGGCACTGTCGCATCGTGGAGAGAGCAACCTTCCTGATAGAGAAGGCACACCGGCTCAACACTAGCTACCATTGTACACAAGTGGCGTGCAGCACGATGCTGCGACTCGCTCAACTTCCTTCTGGCCTAGCCTTCCTCGTGCTCTCATCGCAGCTGGCCTCTGCCTTCTACCTCCCTGGTAAGCAATCAGGCAGAAGCTATTTGATCTATCAAATCCGCTTCGTCTCGTACTAACAACGCCTTCAGGTCTAACACCAACCAACTACAAACTCGGCGACCTTGTGCCCCTAACAGTCAACCACCTCACTCCCTCCCCCTCCCAGCGTGACAGCCAAGTCCACAGCGTCTACAGCTTCGACTACTACCACAATGCCTTCCACTTCTGCCCACCCCCGGGCGGCCCCAAACCGCAATCTGAGTCCCTCGGCTCCATCCTCTTCGGCGACCGGATCCAAACCTCACCCTTCCAACTCAAAATGGGTGTTGATGAGCCCGGGTGTCGTGCAGTCTGTACCGAGGAAGCAGAGGTGCAATTCGAACCCCGAGATGCCAAGTTCGTGAATCGCAGGATCTGGCAGGGATACAATCTGAATTGGTTGGCTGATGGGCTACCGGCGGGTCAACCGTATCTGGATCCCAACACTCAGACCGAGTTCTACCAGCCTGGGTTTGCGCTAGGGAGGGTGGTGGATGAGGTGCCGCGGCTGCATAATCACTATAACATCTACGTTGATTATCACCAGGTGCGGAAGGGGCAATTCAGGGTTGTAGGGATACTAGTGGAGCCGGAGTCTTTAGGGGAGTCGAAGAGGGTTGGGACAGAGGAGGACATGACGGCCGATTGTGGAAACAGGGATGTACCGAGAGTGCTGGAGGAGCGAGGGACGACGAGCGTGACGTGGACGTATAGTGTGAAATGGCGGGAATCCAAGACGTCGTTTGCGACACGGTGGGATAAATATCTACACGTCTACGACCCGAAGATCCACTGGTTCTCGCTCATCAACAGCGCGGTGATCTTCATGTTCTTGATCGGCATGGTCAGCACCGTCCTCATCCGCACCCTACGAAAAGACATCAAACGCTACAACCGGCTTGACCAACTCGGTCTGGACGACCTAAGCGGCGATAACGTCGAGGACGGCGTGGTCGAAGACAGCGGCTGGAAACTCGTGCACGGCGACGTCTTTCGCCCGCCTAAACACAGCCTCGCGCTCTCCGTGCTCGTGGGCAACGGCGCTCAACTCTTCAGCATGGCCGGGTGCACCATCGCCTTCGCCGTCGTCGGCTTCCTCTCCCCCAGCAACCGCGGCAGTCTCGCAACAGTAATGATAATGTTGTACACCTTCTTCGGCTTCATAGGCGGGTACATCAGCTCGCGCGTCTACAAGTCCTTCTCCGGCGGCTCGAAATGGAAACAACTCTTCATCCTCACCCCGGCCGCCCTACCTGCCCTCGTCTTCTCCGTCTTCTTCCTCCTCAACCTCTTCGTCTGGGCCCGAGGTAGTTCCGGAGCAGTACCCTTCACGACAATGCTGGTCGTAATCGGCCTCTGGTTCGTCATCACCGTGCCCCTCAGCCTCGTGGGCTCCTGGCTCGGCTTCAAGCAACCCGCCCTCGACCCCCCCGTCCGCACGAACCAGATCCCGCGCCAGATACCTCCCGCTAGTGGCTACCTCCGCACAGTACCCAGTATGCTCCTCGTCGGCGTCTTACCCTTCGGCGCCATCTTTGTGGAACTCTACTTCATCATGAATTCACTTTGGAGTAGCCGGATCTACTACATGTTCGGCTTCCTATTCCTGAGTTTCGGACTCCTGGTCGTCACCTCCGCGGCGGTCACGATCCTCATGATATATTTTTTGCTATGCGCGGAGAACTATCATTGGCAGTGGAGGGCTTTTGCCAGTAGTGGGGCCAGCGCGGGATACGTGTTCGCGTATAGTTTGCTGTATTGGGCGCGGATGTTGAGTTTTAGCAGTTTTACAGGGGGCTTGTTGTATTTAGGGTATTCGCTCATGTTGAGCTTCTTGTGGTTTGTCATGAGTGGTGAGTGTTTTATGCTTCTTCTTCTACGATTAGGACTTGTTGCTAACGGGATTGAACAGGCACGATCGGTTTCTTTGCATGCTGGGTCTTTGTGCATAGGATATATGGCTCGATCAAGATCGACTGATGTGCCCTTGTACGAGCGATGTAGCATTTGTACTCACGTCTACTATCAACGCCACAGCCGTCTTCATCGTCCTCTAGGAACACCTTGGCATATTCAAGAGACAGCGCTATGGACTACGATATTGGCCGCAAAGGTAGCCATTGCCGCCACAGCCACGTGACTATGGCGCAACGAGATCCAGATCGTCAGCCTCAAAAGTGATGACGATGACGTGGGGATGATTGAAATTGCGGGGCAATATTTGGCCTCTTCAATGATCATAACACTTGAGTCTTAACCATTTCTCCTGCCACCAGCTCTGACACCTACGCAATTGGAAGAACGCTCTGGTAAGTACACCTCAATCAACATTATCTCCGGCTGCAGCTACCTCGTCTTTCACACTTGTCCCTGCAGAAAATCGTCTCGCTTCTCCCTTCCACCACCATGCAAGCAGCCCCGCTTCGAGCCACCCAAACCTTCCGGCAATCATTGTGTAGAGGTACTCCGAGAAGAACCATCACGCTCACCTCATCCTCTTTTCACAACAGCATACCCCATAACACAACCCCAAGCAAACCACCACAACAACACCGTTCATACCACGCCACCACCACCAGAATGTCTTTCAGCAACACCGACACCGGCTCCAAGACCGCCGACCCTTACACGGCCAAGAACAAGCAGGAGCCGTCATTGAAGGAGAAGGTGGAAGACTTGCAGGCGTTTGTGGACAAGACCAAGTTCTGCTTGATGACTACGCAGACTTCGGATGGGCTCTTGGCGAGCAGGTGTATGGCCATGGCTGCTAAGGTGAGACTACCCTCAACAACCATCACATGACTTTCTCGACACAGCTCCTAACAGAATTCACAGGAGGACAACGTCGACTTCATCTTCCACGCCAACTCGGAATCTGGCAAGACCGACGATCTCAGCGCCCACTCCCAAGTCAACCTCGGCTTCCTCAACAACACCGGCGAATGGGCCAGCATCAGCGGCAAAGCCACGGTAGAGACCGACCGCGAAAAGGTCCGCAAGTACTACTCCCAGCACCTCAAAGCCTGGATGGGCGACTTGGGCGACGGCAAGCACGATGGTGGACCCGAAGACCCCCGCATCGTCGTCATCAAGGTCAAGAGCGAAACGGCGCAGTATGCTACGGCCCGTGGTACGGCCATCGGAAGCGCGATTGAGATGGCGAAGGGCGTAATCACGGGCGAGGCGCCGCAGGTCAACAAGCTGCGTCATTTGAGCGAGCAGGAGTTGCAGCAGGCTCGTAGCTCGTAAGGAGCTGTATGGCGAGGTGTAGAGTCTTTTCGCGGCACGAAGGAGCTTACTAGATAGCTGAAGAAGAGCTTCTGCATTCCCACCAGGAGTGGAACGTTGAACCATACACTCTCTGATGGAACAGATGTGTTAAGTGCATGATGATCGCTAGCTCGATGATTTGTTCTTCTTCCTATTCGGATGCTACCTGGCTTGCAACATGGTCAAGAACCAACTACTCCACTGCGTAAACACAATCCCCTGCACCCTCACCTTCGAGTCCCTCAAACACTCCATCTGCAACTTGAGGTACATCTCCCCGATCATCTGGTAATTCTCCACGTCCATCGCCACCAACACTTTAGCCAAGAAGAGGCTCGAGCGGCTACAGACCGTACCTTGTAGTTTCGAGCCACCAAGCTTTATCTCCTCATGCACAGCCGCCAGAACCTCGAAGCAGGCTGCCGTATCATCTGGTCTCGGCAAAGATTTATGCTTCGTACAGGCATCAAAGTACTGTGTCAGAACCGCATAAGCCTTCTCCTGCGTCGGCTTCCTACTACTCGTCCTCACGAGCATCGTAAGCGGCAATATGAGGTCAAGGGCCAACACGTCCCCATATTGACTCTTGACATATATGGAGAGCAGATCCAGAACACGGTTCTTGAAATTGATCATGTTCTCCTTGGCTCCTTTATTGTCCTGTCTCTGTGCATCGACTTTCTTCTGTTCGCGAAAGACGTTGGTCAGGGGCTCCTCGAATGCCATCATTTGATCGTCGTCGAGGTCCGAGTCGTCTGATCCCGAGTCGTTGCCATTGGCAGCGGCAGAGCCGAGTGCGAGAGCCAGTTTGCGGTCGAATTCTGTTTCTTCGTCTTCGTCTTCTGCGGAAAGTTCGGCGTCTTCACTGGTGTCGGAAGAGCTATCTGACTCATCAGATTCGTCGTCTTCATCCAAGGCGGAGCCCGTGGCGCCGTTTGCGAGTTCATCATCTTTTACTCCATTTACCAATACCGCGCCGTTTACGAGCTCGACGTCCGACATATCCTCTATATCAACAGCCTCAGCATCGTCTTCCTCATCTTCACTGACAGCTCCATCCTCGTTATCGTCCTCCTCCCCATCCTGCTTGAACAGCTCCTGCTGCCCACTAAGACTCTCCTTCTGTTGCAGAATGTCGACAAGAGATTGTAGACTCTCAGCAGTCATGTCTTTGGCAAAGACAGTAAATACCTGCTCAGATAGCTTTCGTAGAAGCCTAGAAGGCTTGGCCAGGAAGCTCAGCAGCAGCTCAATCAGACCAGTCGAGGCCTCTTCGCCTTCTTGCCAGACCTCATAGCTCGCCTGCAGATCGTTTAGAGCCTCTGCACTATCTGGTTCTCCGTTATATACCTGCAGCATGGAAAGTCCAAAAAGGATGTCGAAAGCAGACGCTGCCGCCACAGGGTCCGGTGTAGAGCTGCCCTTCAACAATTGTTTTCTGGCCTTTCCAGCTGTTTTCAGTGCTTGCAGAGATGGCTTGTCCAGAGGTGCATCTGTTGTCTTCTGGGAGGCAGCCAAAGCGGTCAAAACAGCAGAGAAGATGGTGCTTAGCTTCTGCGATGGCAAGACAAGCAACGACGCTAGAGATGAGGTCAACCTTGAGCGAAAGGTCGTGCGGGTAGTCTCGGATATGCATGTCGACTTTTGATAGCCTGCCTCCACGAACACGCGCAAAGCGTGTTCTAGCCATGGCACTACTTCACTACCGTCATCGGTGGAGGCTTCCGTCGTAGCGGGTTGCTGTCCTGTTCTGCGTCCTCTGATCATATTCAACAATAAGTCGGCGCATACTCTTTGACGACTATTTAGAGAGCTCTGGTCCTTGATCGTCCTATCGAAGATGCTTTCGTGTAATAGGTTGACGATACTGTCCAACCCGTCGACGTCCGCTTGCTGCATCAAAGTTTCTACTGTCTTGGTTCTGGTCTGCTGGTCAAATGCACCATTACGCAATAGTTGCTGGAGCAAGATGAAACTGGTGGTAGGCTGTGACTTACCTCGCCTACTGATGGTATCAAGCACCTGCTTAGCCGCATCGTACAGGTAGCGTGTATTCTCCGCTCTATGTGCAACGATGGTACGCATGACTGCTTCGTCCATCACACTGCCGATGTACGCTTCGGGAGCATCGGACACAGCTAGAGAGGCAATTTGCAGACCCAGCGCTTTTCGCTCATCTGACGATGCTTTTGCAAGCAAGCCGCCTGCTACCACGTCTTGCCAGAATCGAGTGAAGTCACTCTGATCATTGCGCCGATACAGATGGTCGAGGACACGATGCCAGGCAGGTGTTGGTCGAGACTGGCGGGTTCCAGAGCCGGACTTCTTGGCCGCCACGATATCTTCACCACCGAAGCTCGTGCCGCTGATCATCATTCTCTTCAGCTTCGCCCGTTCGTCGGATGACAATGGATCTTTCTTCGACCATACACCTTTTGGTAAGGTCTCCTCCCAATGCTCTGCAATGAGGACCCATAACGCAACACCTTCAGCAGTCTCCAGCAGCTTTGCTTCTTGCAGTGCATCCACCAACGCTTGCACTCGCGCAGTCTTCAGCTTGCTGCCTTCACTACTCAGATACTCGTAGAGCATTGCGCCACACTCGGAACGCAGCCAGTCTTTCTCAGCCGCGAGCCTCGTGACTGCGGACAGGAATGTCCTCCAATGTGTTTCAGTCACATCCTTGCGCAAACCGGCATCGCTCTGCAAGATAGACTGAAAGGCGAAGCGTCGTCCGAGCAGGCAATCCCGACTCTGTTGTCCGCTAGCCTTCAAGTCCGGCTGCGTGAGCTCGATACATCGAGCAGTCAACGATGTGAGGTCAACCGGAGTTGGAGCTCCAGCGGATGCTCTGTCGAGAGCCAGTCGCACAACCTCAGACAGCGCCACCGAGAAACCCAGTCTGGCAGCTTTGTTACTACTGCATAAGCCTTTGATAAGTCTCTCCAGCACTCTCGTAATGAGCTCGTCTTGTTGCGACGATGTCGACTTGATCGTCTCCAGTAATTCAATGGCGGCTTGAAGTCGAAGCTTGGAGTCGTGCTCAGCCAGCTCGCCATAGATCTTGGCGAGTTTCGCATCTGTTTTGCTAAACTCCAGTCGACGTTTGCGACTCGGATGCACATCATCGATCTCTCCAGCGACATCGTCCTGCGCGCGAGAGCGCTTGAGACCTGGCATGATCGCGATTCCGTGTAATTGTCAATCTGGATTTGTGTTCAAGATAATTTTATGGAGACTTTGAAGATTTGCACGCGAGCCTCATGCACGGGTGTATCCGCTTACCTCCGAACACCCATACGAATAAGTCCTTGATCACGGTCGAGCATGATTCTCTATATGATGCGCCATGTTTCGAGTGCGTAGACATGACAGTATCTTCATGAGATACAAAAAGCGGAATGGAGGAGGAAGAATTCTAGGAAGAGTTATTCCCGGCTCCGTCACGTGCGACCGCGATTAACGAAATTCACGGCTAACCCAAGAATGGTTGGCTTTATTTACTGCACGTCCTCCGACGGTTTCCGACGCGTTTGGGGGACAGTGCAACCAATCCTGTAATAATGGCACAGCCCCTCACATTGCACAAGCAGGGAGAAACCCTGGTGAGAAAGCGGCGCCTCTTCCGATAAACTCTCGAGAAGAAAGGCGCTTCGAAGTGTCGAGAGTCGAGGCATCGGCGGTGGAGTGGCCGCTGTAGCCGTAGACGGGCGAGGCAATTGCCATTTTGTGCTTGGCCTGCGTACAGATGTCTCAGCTGCTCCATAGTTCTAATCCACCGAGCGGACAATGTGGCGCAAGGCGTGCCCGAGACGTTCACCTCTTCGCTGTGTTTGTTGTCGACGAAAGATAAGAGCAAAGAAGTTCTTCAACCTTGCAAAAACTCGAGACGGAAAGTTGGCGGTGCAACGACTTATACTTACACCTCTTCTGTCAAGTATAGTGATAAAGACTAACATATCATACCTAACGTTGAAAGTGCCGTGGACATCAACGTTGAGCGCGGGATCGATAAATGGACAGAAGCATACCACGCGAGAGCCTTGTCGTCTCGGCAGAGGCTGAGGCATGAGAGTTATCATGGTGAGGCGTTTCACGGGCCAGGTGCTCGCAACGGCGGGCCCAATCTGAACAGCGCGTAAACTGGACGAATTAGATTTTGTTACGAGGACTCGGCCTTGACCGTAGGAAGATCATATCGCCGTGGCAGCATTGGCGAATGACAGCGCGAGAAGCAAGGCTGAATCGCCGTTTTCTTGCTTTAAGCTCTTATGACGACAGAAGGAACGAGGACGTTTGGGGAAGGCGGCGTGAACATCTTGATCGGATTTGGTATTTGCCATCGGCAGCGCTCTCAGAATGGGCTGTGCATTGGAGTGTTGTTGATGTGGGATCTCCTGCATGGTGGGAGGACAATCTATACCAGACTCGAGAACTACGCGAAAGAGCTGTACCTTGCAGTAAGCAAACTGACGGAGGGGAAGCCGCCCAATTGGGCGGACCAACCCACTGTATTTACCTCCGTAGTAGTGTCACGTTTGCCACAGATCCGTGCAGGAGTGGCAATTGCACGTTGATGATCCACCGTATTACTGGGATCCGTCGACGAGACGAGGTGTCGCACCTTGGAATCCCGCTTCTTCCATCCTCACCTATGTCGATGATTGCTCGTTTCCTAGTGTAACGCAGCGGAGCATTATCAGCGAGCCCACTCATTCGTCGTTGCAACCGCTGTTTAGGCGCGTTAATCTGGTCTGGTCAGGTCAGCATCTGAGCGCTGGTTTCGTTTCCCATTCCCGTAGCCGAGCCAGAAAAGTGCGGGCGGGACGACCATGCACCCTGCAGCTGCAGCTAATGGTTGCACAGCTACATCCCTAGCAACCAGCGGCCCTTTTCAATCAGCTCTTCCTGCTGCGCACTGCACCTGAACCTTCCTTTGGCATCGTCGACGGGCAGTCGTCTGCCATCTCCTCGACTTGTGCTTGCTGGAGCTGCACTAATCACGGCACGCAACCCTGCCGGCCCCTCGTTTGGAGAGTCATTCGCTTGAACTCATACGAACCAGCCCGACAGCAGTTCAGGAACTCCAGCACACAGTACCACTCCCGACGACACTTCCTGGGATATATCTGGCAGCAACAGCACCGAATACACCAGCATCAACTACATCACACACCATTGGCATTAGCAGTCTGTCAACTGGTTCGTAATACACGCCTTGATCCTCGAAACTCGACTCCAGCCGCAAACAACCGTCTACCCCGAGTCCAGGATACCACAGCAGCACAAGAGATATTATACAGCATGGAGTTCTCATCCCCACTGGCGGCAATGCGTCCGCAAAATGTACCGAATTGGAACCATCGAGACATCCCCATGTCTCGATCCATGTACTCGGGCTATCAGACACACGGACCGAACACCTTCAACTTCAAAGACATGAGCATGTTTGCACACAAGCCGGCACAGAAGGATTATTTTACTATCCGGCCTGCACGCTCCTCGCCAACATCGAGTCTGACAGCCGATCTGGACGCCAACTTCCATATCGACAAGAGGTATTTTACTATTCCACATTCCTCGCTTCATGCGGTCCAGAATCTCGCGTGCTCACTATTGTACTAGTCCACAAGCTCCGACTCCACGTAGGTCGCTCTTCACGACCGACCTGTTCAAGCCTCGCGACGATGCTAGTAAGTGCTTGAGACAATGCCTTCCAAGACACTTACTAACTGCGAGGAAAGTGCTCGTACAGACACCACCGATCGAGGTTGACAGCGTGATTACACCGCCCATCCCTTCCTCCTCGCCGGGTCTGGCAGACATGATGGAACTCTCGCCCCTACCTCACAAGGCACCGTACTTCATGGCTCAGGTCACGCTTCCCTCGCCTTCGTCAGAGGAGACTCCTGACGGCGAAGGCACGGTTTCAGCAGACCTGCTTTCCCCACCACTGGAATCTTTCCCAGTACTGCAGCCGCAAGTACCGATGTACCTGGCGCCGCCGGAGTAAGATCTTGCAGAGTAATCGAGATCTACCGATATGCTGACATCGCTGCCAGACGCAAACGTCCAGTGACAAGACCTTCGTTGACCCGTCGAGCACAATACCATTCCAGTGCACCCATACCACAGAGACCATTCTCAGCGGAGACATCCCTGCCACCCTTTCGCTTTGGTAGTGTCACTAACAATGGCATCTCCTGCGCCTCGACCCCAAGCCTGCTAGGCAAGTTCACAGACTCGCCTGTTGAGGACATGAGCACATCGAGTACACCTACAATGCCGCCGCCTCCGAGACGACCCTCGTTGGGTGCTTCCAGTCGTACCACCGGCTCGCCTATTGGAGGACACGTCCGAAAACCATCAGCTGGCCGAGCGTCGTCCTTCGTGCGCCCACAACGCAAAGTGATGCGACGATCGCTCAGCATGTTCCAGCACCCGGACGATGTCATGAAGGAAGAGCAGGACGCTTTCGAGGGCTCGCCCGGCCTGGCATCGGTCATGGATATTGATCAAGCCGAGCCGCAGCTGAAGCTGCCCAACTTCACATCAGAGAACGAGCCGGATGGTCTGCCTCGCATCTCACAAGAGTGCATGGTGGATATCCTTGAAGGCAAGTACCGAGATCAGTACACCACTATCAAGGTCATCGACTGCAGATTCGAGTACGAGTATACGGGTGGCCATATCGATGGCGCTATCAACTTCAACGACAAGCAAGCCCTGACCCACGAGCTCTTCGACGCACCGTGCGCTGCATCTACTCTGCTCCTCTTCCACTGCGAGTACTCCGTCCATCGTGCTCCTCTAACGGCCAAACACATCCGCGGCCACGACCGCAATGTCAACGCTACCAACTATCCGCGTCTCACATATCCTGAGATGTACATCCTCGACGGCGGCTACAGCAAGTTCTTCCAAGGCCACCGCTCAAAATGCTTCCCCCAGAACTATGTCGAGATGAACGATCAGCGTCACGAGCAGGATTGCGAGCGTGGCATGGCCAAGGTCAAGTCACGGGCGAAATTGATCCGTGCTCAGACCTTCGCCTTCGGACAGAATGATATGGATGCTATGGACGACTCGCCTACTGCACAGGGCCGGACGACTATGCCTCCACGAGCGTTCAGCTCCTTTCAGACGGGTATCACGCTTAGCGACGGCATTGGACAGAGCTTCGCTAGGCGCATGGCTTCATGTTAGTCAGCCATACAACCACCTTGACCATACTGCCCTCTTTTACTTCGAATTCTCAGCACTTTGGCGAGGCGTTATCGGGTTGCTTGGCTTCTGGGGCAAGCAAAAGCACAATCTGCGGCGTTCTAGCGAGCCAGCCCTTTCCCAGCTATCTCAGCACAGGCGCAAATTGCAATCATACTGGGTGGATGTCCTGGTACATGGCGTTGGCGCACATCTTCCGTCTAGACCCGGACGAAATGGATCAGGGTTGATCCTCTTTCCTTACATCGACTTCTATCGACCAGCGAGCCTGTCTCTCAGGCAGGCTACCGCGGCTTTTACGTTTCCGATCAAGAGACCATTGAATTCCACGCCCCCTTTTCATGCATTATCATCAACCGAATCGAACGGATTCACATTCTCCACCACAACGATCACCACAACACACAACATCAATGTTCACCACGCCTTTCGTATCATTCATCCACCACAAGCACCACGAGCACAACCAAACACGAGCATCAGCATCCATGGCACCACCCCATCAACCATCATGCCATGCACAACATGAAAGAAAGGCTATTTCACAACCATGTCCTCCTTACCAAGTCAACAACAAACACACCACATACCACGCTATATCACCGCCTTCCATGATCACTACTACTTGGGTCCCTCCTCAAAACGATACTGTATTACTGTCACTCCTGGGCACTTGCTTAAGAAGAATGTACAATTACCTCTCTGGAGAAGCAGGCCAGCTTAGAAAGCCAGACTAGAGAATGTACGATTATTGGGAGCGAGTGAGGGAGAGGGGGAGATGAGAGGCTGGTGGAGGTGCAAGGTAGTGTGTAGTGTGTAGTGTGTAGTGTGTAGTGTGTAGTGTGTAGTGTGTAGTGTGTCTTGTCTTTGTTACATCAAACCTCTATCTCCATTTCTTCACCCTCCTCTGCTCATTTGGTGTCCTCCTGCTTACGGTCGTTCTCCAGCGTTCAGTGCTTGCCTTGAAGTAAGGGCTAGTGTCGTGCCTGCTCACATACTACACGAGTGAACCGAGACTGCTGCCCTCAGACACATCATGAGAGCTTTCCTCACTCTACGCTTATGGCTCCCCCTCCCAAACCATACCATACTCATGCTCCTGGCCTTCGAGACGAACCGATCAACACAACATCTTCAGACATCCATACATCACCCTCCCTTGCGCATCCCCAACCATGCAGCAGCCAAACTCGCTCACCCACCTCCCCCCACCAGAACTTCCCCTCCCTAATCTTCACCCACGTCCTCTCATCCCCCCTTTCCCCTCCGACATATCAAACCAAGCGACAGCGACAGTCTTTCCGCAAAACAACACCACTTTCACCTCCCCGCTCCTCACAAGCAGATTCCTTCCACAAGGAGGTCAGGAATCTACTCTACGACCCTCAACACCTTCAAACTCACCCCCGAGGAACCTGGCCCGGTTTCCCGGTCCGGTGGATTTTGCGAGGATACGGGAAAAATCTGGATCGTTAGGTCGGTGGGAGGTCGCGACTGACGCGCCGTGCACCTGCGGTTTGAGGGGGCTCTGGGGGCGAAAGATCCTCGCAGTCGTGAAAGCGCAGGCTCGCCATGTATCATCCACCGGTACATCTCAGGCTCCGAGCGCGTGATCATCGAGGAGGCGGAGAGGCCCTCACGAACGACTACCTACTTATCCGAGCTACGAGAGACGACCGCACCATGGGACCTTCAAAGAACATCGGGATAGCTCAATGGCGTCTTCCGTCTTGCTATCCACCCCGGGCACCAACCCTGCGATCTCCTTCCTCATCGAAACATCCGGCCTCTTCGGAAAACTCGGGTATTCATATCCTCGCCAAAACCATGCACAAGATCGTGCAGACGATCTTGCCCACTTTCCTGGCCCCCCAACCCCGAAGTCCCCGCTCTGAACGCCATCTGACCGACCACTTTACCGAACCAGTCTTGACAGCAGTTCTAGACCACGAGCTCGACGCCAGTCCGGGGGGCCGGTGGGATTGCAGACCTGGCCTAGGTAGGTGCAGGAAGAGGGGAGGGCGCCGCCGTCCGGTGGGGGAATCTGGCGGGAGGATGATGGATTTGGGGTGAGTTGCTCGATATCCTGCTGTACGCTGGGGAAGGGCGGGCTTTTCGATGATGATGATGATGATGATGATGGGGGCGGGGAGATGGGGTGTTTTTGAGGGTTTTGGGGAGCGGAGGCGGAGATGCTGCGGGGGGGTGGAGTTTGAGTCCCGAGGGAGAGGCGGAAGAGGTTGGCGTGGGGAAATGGGGATTTGGTTAAGGTTTGGGATGTGATGGAGGGGGAATGGGGGAGGAGTAGGTGGCGGCGCTACTGGTATATCAGCTCTCATTTTCTGCTCCCTTCTCGCGGATTTTAGCTGCTGCTGGCCAGCAGCATAGCGCCTCTGTAGGCCTGTAGAAGAGAAGTGTGATCCCTCTCTAAAAGAAGTGTCGGGGAAAAGGTGTAAGGCCACCGACCAACAATATACACATGTCGTAGGAAGTCTACTTTCGTCGAGTATCTGCTCACCACCTCCAACTCGCAACGCCATGCTCGACCAAAACACTCCATACCCAATGCGCGAGGAAGTAACTCTACCTCTCGGATCTCTTTTGTCAAGTCCTGACGCGGGCGTGCCTCAAGTCAGCTTCTCTGCCACGTATCGTGAGGCATAATAAGCCGGCGTTTCGCTTATACCAGCCCATCATACAACGACAACGCCGACACGATCGTCTCATCGCGCTTACTACCCTCCTGTATCAGAAAAGTCCACATTAGCAAAAACGATCAATCACAAACAAAGGCCAAGCCTCCCCATTGAGATTTCGGTCAACCCACCTTGAACTCGGCCATATCCAAACTCCCATTCTCATCCTTATCCATCATGCGGAAAATCTTCTTCACCCGCTTCTCCGGCGTATCCTCATCCTCGGGCAACTTGACCATACTTCCCACCATCTTATATATGGCCTCGACAATCTTCAACATCTCCTCGTAAGATATCAAGCCATCGCCATCGATATCGTAGAGTTGAAAGGCCCAATCCAATTTATCTTCCATTTTCCCCCGGCTGGTGACGGATAAGGCGCAGATGAATTCTTTAAAGTCGATGGAGCCGGATTTGTCGGCGTCAAAGACATTGAAGACGTAGTCGGCGAAGCTGGAGGGGTCGCCGAAGGGGAAGAATTGTTTGTAGATTTTTTGGAATTCGGTCTTGGTGAGCATGCCGGAGGGGCAGTCTTTTAGGAAGCCTGGATAGCAAATATCACGAGGAGGGATTAGGATGTCTACTTTCATACTCATTCACGGGGGTGGGTTTTAAAGCTCACCTTTATACCATTGCTGCAACTCCTTCTTGTCGAAGTGGGTGGCTTTTTGCAGGTCGGACAGCTCCTGCTGTGACAGCTTGCTCTGACTACCATGGCGGGAAGAAAGAATGTCAGCGTGTGTGTTTCTTGACCTGTAGCTCTGCCACTTTGTTTGCCGTGGAAGACTGGGTAGCTCTCGGACACCAGGCAAGGGATGTAGGTGGGTCGCTGGTAGTCATTCAGACACATATATTCAACCAAAGTCGACACGCCCAGTGAGGTGGTCATGTTCGTGGGCCTTGACCAAACACGAAGGAATATCCGAACTCACCTCTTGCCCATGCTGGCCGATCCCTCCCTCCAAATAAATATGGCGTCACTTCTCCAAACGCGGGCTCAGCTATGCCGTGTGTTGAAGTGAAGTAAGAAGCACAATGGGAAGGTCGGGCTCACAGTCCTCAACAACACAATGATAGATCGGACAAAGAGGGCAGCAAGCATTCACCCCAACCGCATCGTTTCCACGCGCATATTATTCTTCCATCTGATCTGCCCCGCCGCTGGTCAGAGTGGCAGTAACGAAGCAAGCACTCAGACATGACGCTAAAATTGAGGCTGTGCAAATAACGGGAGAGGCGCCGCTGGGCTGCGCTCCTTGCTTTCTTACAAGACAGCCCACGTCAGGGTATAGGTCGGTTGTAGGTTGTAGGATGTTGGCGGATGTCAGACTGGCGTGGACGCTTATCTTCGTGCTTCGCAATCGTTAAGCATGTGTGTGTGTGATGAGAAGGGAAAGGGACATGATGCTGACGTTCAGGCGAAAGGAGACGACTGGCACTACGCGTCTGGTGAGCTCCGACCTCTGCCTCTTGAACAGACCTACGTGCCTTCCCAAACCAGAAGTCATTATTGCCGCCCTCAAACCCACATAATCTTCACAATGGCACACAGTACTGCCTCCACTGTCTACCGACGCGTCTCACCAATTGCCGACAAGGGTCTATGCATTCCGGACACTATCCACGTCATTGCATCAATATCCGCCCCACCATCAAACATCATCCACGTCGCTTCCGTAATTACTAAGGCAGATTTGCTCACAACAAGGGCAAAGAAGAACCCCACTACTCGCGTCCCCGATCTCGTCATGGCCATGCGAAGAAATCCGATGCCTGTATTACAAAGCCCGAAAGCGAAGGTAAGCCTGTCCATTTGATCATTAAATCCCTCTTCCACTCTTCATCTACCACAATAAACCCTTTAAACATTTCCATATCTCATTTCATACCTCCCTCCATCCCCTACAACCACCCAACCATGGCACCCTCCCAAATGAAAGCCATCAAGGTCGTCTCCGCCGGCAAAGCCGAGATCCAAGAAGTTCCCCTTCCAAAACTCCGCGACGAGTACGTCCTGGTGAAAACTACCGCCGTAGCCCTGAACCCCACCGACTGGAAACACCTCGACTACCTCTCCCAACCGGGCCACACCGTCGGCTGCGACTTTGTGGGCACCGTGGAAGAAATCGGCAAAACGGCCAACTCCAACAACGCCGGCGGCCAGACCTGGAAAAAGGGAGATCGCTTCGCGGGCGTTAGTCATGGTGTCAATAATGCCGAGCCCGAGGATGGGAGTTTTGGCGAGTATGTCATGGCGAAGGGGGCCGTGGGGATGAAGGTTCCTGGGAATGTTAGCGACGAGGAGGCTGCTACGCTCGGCGTGGGCATTTCGACCGTCGGGCAGGGGTTGTATCAGTCGTTGAAGTTGCCTTTGCCGGAGGGGCAGAAGGCGGGGAGTGGGGAGTGGGGACTGGTCTATGGGGGGTCGACGGCTACGGGATCGTTGGCGATTCAGTTCGCGAAGCTGTAAGTGGTCCCGAATATCTCTAACATTGATCAGAGCTCGGGATATGAGGAAAATGCTGACGATATGATTTTATCCAGCTCCGGCTGCAAAGTCATTACCACCTGCTCGCCCCGCAACTTCGACCTGGTGAAATCGCTCGGTGCCGAGGAGGCCTTCGACTACAACGACAAGGATGTTTCGAAGAAGGTTCGTTTCCCCTCCCACCCCTCCCTTCGCTGTGCCAAAGAAAAAAATACTCATATTATTGCGTAGATCCGCGACTACACTTCAGACTCCCTAACCAAAGTCTTCGACTGCATCTCCGAAGGCGCCTCCCCCAACATCTCCGCCGAAGCCATCAGCTCCTCCAAGGGGGGCGTTGTGACGTACCTCCTCCCCACCAAACACGACCGGGCGGACGTCGAGAACAAAATGACGCTCGCGTACACCATCATGGGCGAGAGTTTTAAATTCGGCCCCCAGCCTTTTGAGGGGAAGAAGGAGGATTTGGATTTCGGGAGCAAGTTCTGGGAGATTTCCAGGCGGCTGTTGGAGAAGGGGAGTGTGAAGGTGCATCCGGTGCAGGTTGAGGCGGGTGGGTTGGAGGGGGTGTTTGAGGGGATGAAGATGTTGAAGGAGGGGAAGGTTAGTGGGAAGAAGTTGGTTTATAAGATCTGAGGAGACATTCGTAGCGAGCTGCAACTCAGCTATTTAGTCGTGCAGAGATTAGATGGCAAACTCAATTACGCCACGCAGACGGTTTCCCAGGCACTTCAGAGGAACTGAAGAACGTTTGTAGTCGAGGTTCCCGTGAACTCCCCATTAACGATACGTGTGGCTGTCGTCCTGGGCCTAAGGTGTGGCTGGCTCATGGACTTGGAGTAGCTATCTGGTGATACCAAGGGGCATTTCTGCATGGTGCCAGTGGACCCTGATCCGACGGGGTAAAGTAAAACTGGGGGAAAGCTTTCAGGTTGGATGAATGGCTCTCCGGGATGCGACTGCGATGACACCTTTGGAATGGAAACCACTCCTCCGGTCTCCCTACTCATCGTAACAAACAACATCGCCTGGATAACTACGACCCAGAACATGGACGTTTACACAGTGTTCGAAGTGGCTTTCGGAGTCTATCGCGACCGTTGCTAGCAATGGTTGCGATCTGGCAAGCCTTTAGGTACTGCAACACGAAGACGTAAAAGTAGGGACTGTTCACACACGTGCCGGATCTGATGTTTCTGCCACGAACAGTGCTGACACAGTCCTTTGTCTCCACCAGACGCTACGTCGCGGTCCATCACGCAACACTCTCCTGCCTATCTATCGTCGTTGGACGGGATATTCGGATTGGCGACGACCTCTGGCGTCGCTTTCGCCTGGTTCAAGCTATCAATACCGTTTGCGAGCAACTACCAGGATCCGAGGGTCGTTTCTACGACGCTCAAGTCGATCAGCTTTCTACGCCATCTCGTCGACGCATACGATATCCGACCAAGCAGGCTGGTGTGACATGAGCTGAACAACTCCACGATAGCACAACGACGTCTGACAGTCGAAGAGAGAGTCGGAGATGGACTCGAAGTTGGACTCGAGTAGGAGGACAATGATCGGTCTTGCCTTCCAAGGCAATTATGTTGATCTTCGTTCCGTTGATCACGGTCGGACGTCTTGTATTAGAACAACCCAAGCAAATCCTCCTTCGTCTTCTGCCCCCCACCACTCCCATTCAACTGCTGCTGAGGTGGCGGCGGCGGCGGCTGCTGCCCACCATTCACGTCCAGACTCGCAAACCCGTTCATCATATCATCATCATTCATCATACCCGACGCCATACCATTACCATTGCTGTTCCCAAACATCCCCATCAGATCATCCATGCCGCCGCCTCCACCCGCACTCGCCGTCGTTGGAGATCCCACAGATGGACTCGCGACGCGGACGGGTGTTCCTGATAGGCCTTCTAGTCCTGATGCGCCAACACTCGGTGCCTTTTGCAACGAAGCCGGAGCTGCACCGTCGAAATCTATATCCAGCAGGTTCTCAGCCGTGGTCTGCATGTGTTGTATGCTGCCACCCGTGACCGCTGCCGATACTGCCGACGCAGCGATCGGGTTCTCTCGAGCATTCTGTTTCTCTTCTTCAATGGCCGCGGCTTGTAGTGCCGAGCTTCTGCCTTGTCCAAGGAACGTCTGAGGTGGTTTCTGGTAGACTGAAGCAAGTGTCGAGAGGTTCGGTATTAAGCTGTCGAGGAGTGGTCCAGGTAGGACTGGTATCGTTGATGTGATCTGCGGTCGTGCTGATAGAACGATGTTTTTGGCTACTTGTGGGTCAGATGAAAGCAATCGCCAGTAGACATATGCCCGATCACGAATATCTGGGTTGTCACTTTCTGCCGTGGCCGCTTGCAAAACTTTCTGTACCAGTCCTTGCGACTCGTCGGGCTTCTTGAGGAAGAGCTTTACGACTGCTGTCAGTATTTGCAATTGCGTCTGCGATGCTGTCAGCAAATCGTCTTTCCCGCATGGCTTGATCGGATTTACCTGTGTGAACTCCTCGTTGAATCCCTCCACAAATCCTGCCATAATGTCTCCAGCATTCGAGATCTTCTCAGCGTATTCGCCAACGATCCAGATCAAACTACCTCGTGCATTTGGCTCGTCCAGCTCGTCGATACATTGGCATAGTGTCGGAATGATCCCTTCGTAGCCAGGGTACTTCCGGAAGATGTCCTTGATAACCACGATGACTTCCTGCACCACATAGCCCACTTTCGTGTTGAGGAGCTCCAGTAACACATTAACAGCCTTCTCAGCAGACTCCTCAATCTTGATAGCCACTTGGCCAATTGCGCGCACGGCCTTGCGTACAAAGTCCATGTCCACCTCCAGAGCATACTCCTTGAGCTCAGCCAACAGCTGATCAGCATTCGACGGGCTCGCTATCCTTACCATGATTTCCAGTTTCGTAAGCTTCAGATATGGTGGATCGTTGTATTTGCAGAAGAACACTCGCATTTCTTTGTCGAGAATGCCAGGCTGCTTTTGCAGCAGAAGATCGATGTTCCGTAATGCCACATACTGCACTTCTGGTTGTGATGAGACAAGCGTGACCAGTGGAGGCGACATCTTCTTCAGATATGTGGCGTGAAGCGTTGTGTTGTCGATATGTTGCATGTGGATGAAGACACATTTCACAGCTGCCAGTACCACGGATGGATTGACATGCTGGAACTGTGGGCTGACTCTCTCGCATATGTGCTCAGACTCTTTCGTGTCAACTGCTTGGTAGTCCGCCAATGTCGATAGTATCGTGATGCGACCCCATTCCGTACACTCATTGAGGGCCAGAAGTAGCTTCTTCAGCATCTGGCTAGTCACAATAAGAGCTCGTGTCTCGGGCGCTGATTCATCGATCTCTGCCAGAGCCGTCACGGAGTTGGCTACGACCATCGGATTTGAATCTCCAATCATTTCCTGCAAAGTCTCCACGAACCCGTTCTCAATGCAAAGAGCAGGGTTGAGGTCGAAGAGCTTCGCAACACAAAGCGCAGCTGTTTTTCGTACATATGGCGACTCGTCTTTGAGTGTCTTCCGAAGCGGCTCCTCCATATAGTCCACCATCTTCTCCACCCGGATACACCCCATAGTCCGTATTGCCAGTGCTCGAACTAACGGATTAGGATCCTCCGAGTCCTGGACGAATGTATTGACTGCCAATATGCACAGATCTGGATGTGACTTGGCATAGTTCATGAGGTATAGATACACCAGCTTTTTCTGATCAAGGTCGGGTGTAGCAATATTCTTGAGCACGTCTGGGAAGAGTGCCGACACATCTTTGCCCAAGGTCATGGCCATGATAGTCTTCTGTATCGACTCCTTGCGCTCCCAGGCATATTGTGATACCAGCCCGGCCCGCAGCTCATATGTCTCGCCTTTCCTCGGCCCCGCCAGGGCGCTGCGCAGCCGGTTGACCGCCATCTTGTTCACTCTTCCTCAGTCTTTCTTATACCATCCGCGTCATAGGTCGTTGCATACGTTGGTGGCCAGGGATGTGTGTATTCGTGCGTATTACACAGTTCGTCCGTCGTGGCAAGAAATATAGGTGGACTGCTCTCGGCGGTTGGCACCGTGCCCCGAAGGTACAGTGGCTGCCTATTCCTGGATGTTTGTGGTGAAGTGGATTGTGATAATGTCGATGCCTCAAAGGCTTAGTTGATCACAAGCAATAATACCGTTCACATTGACCGTCACAGAAGCGGGACGCTACGCCAAGATTGGTAAGGCTGAACTTTCACCTACCTGACCTTCACGAGATATCACGACCGTATCAAATGAGGTGAGCAGCAATATCCTCGCAACAATAGCAGCTAGCACCATGGTGAAGATGTCCGGATATTTACTCGATAGTAACATTCCCACTGACACGAGCATAGCCTTCCAATTTGCCTAATCTTCGCCGCCTGTTCGTCGAAGCGCGCACCGAAGCAGAAGAAAGTGCATACTCTCGCAATGCGGTAGATATATGCATTTGAGTATCGCTGTAGCCCATGCTCATCACCATGCTAGTTCTACAATCTGGTGCTCTTCATGTCTTCCGTTGCGGTCTTCAGTCTGGTCGCGCAGAGGATGAATAGTCAACGATAAGCACCACCTTACCACGTATATGGATGGTCCCCGTCACTACCGGATCGCGGCCTTTGGGACAGATAACCTCCCCGGGTCTGTCACCACGCGTCATGATGTGGTCGAGAGTACTGTTCGAAGCCATTGGTTGGACGGCCATCTCTTACTGGACAGACTTCTGCCGGCACTAACGGAGAGCTGCAGCTTTTCGCGCGCCGACTTCAGCTTAGCGCGATAAAGGCTGCTTACCACACATGGACTTTCTATCCACGGAGCTGAACCTCTTAGTAGGGCACGATGCTGCTCACGCTTAACGTGCCGTGTAGCCTTCGTACGGCGCTGCGGCTTCTGATGTCAGATTCAGATGCACGTCTCAATCGACGCTGCTCTTAACTCTCCCTATCCATTGGGATGGTCTGGCCTCAGCGAGAATTCGCTTAAATTCAGACTATGCCGCGGCTGCACAGGTCAGAATCGTCTAATGGTGGGAGCGTCTGACAGGCCGTCCAAAAGCCAGTCTTCAGCTACCTGGGTGGTGCTTGGAAGGCCATTAAAGGAGCCATGTCCTACCAAGCCTCCGACCTTTTTCTTCTTTCTATCACAGATCTTGCACTCAAGGCTTCTACCTCTACTGTATTGTTCAAGCCAAGCGGCAACAGACTCTGTACGTTATGCCTTCAGCCAAAGAGAACCAAATCACGCTAGTCAAAGAAGCCATGCTAGCAGAGGAGTCCTGGGACATGGATCGCATCCTGTCGCTGCGGACATCAGACTCAACACATCAACTTCTGCCACCGTCCATGGGCTGGCCTCGACTGAACAATTACGAGTTCAAGGAGAAGTTCAGCCCACTCGCGCCTGTGTTCAAGGGCTGTTTTAGGGTAAACAGTTTTGGCTAAAACCCGTGTGTCAACCAAAGGCTGATGTGATTCTATAACAGCTGGAGCCATTGAATACCGTGCACGACTTCGAGAACCACAAGGCTGTTGTGTGGTGTATGAACACGGCTGATACTGCTACGCATTGTGGACGCTTCGAAATTGAGACAATCTGGCAGCTGCAGTTGACCGACGATGGAACGAAGATCAAAGCTATCACGGAGTTCGTTGATTCTGCGTACCTGCTTAGCTGGCTTGGGAAACTTGAAGCTGGAGATGTCGCAGTCCCGTGACGCGCTTACCTGAATTGGACGCGATCAAATGGAGCCTGAACCACACCTCATCCCGACCTGAGGTCTGTAGAGTAGAGTCCATAATACCATAACACCACAATATACACTCCAATCATGCCTAAAGTACACACACACGTCACATTCCCGACATCCTCCGTGCCAGTCGCGTGCAACCAGAAGGGTTGGACTCTCGTCTACCCTGATGGCTTTGCACAAGACATTGGGACAGCAAGTGGGGTTGAAGGTGATTCCAGTCCATCGCTCCCTGATCCAGACGACCCTGTTAGCATCATGCAGCAGTTCTTCGCTGGTGCCGCCGAGGATGGATTGGAGGAGCCGGAGATCTCGCTTGTGGTAGAGCCGCTCAGTGCCGGTGCGAATGTCGAGGACGACGAAGAAGAAGGAGAAGAAGACCAAGAAGAAGAAGAAGAAGAAGAAGAAGAGCGTATGTTCATCATGGTCCTAACCCAGTGTATGCATAGCATTGACTTCTGATATGTAGCGCCGAAGAAGAAGAAGAAGACGACGAGTAAGTACACACCTGTTACACGGTCAGCTCTATCAGTCACTAATGCTCTAGTAGAGGAGAAGGCGACGAAGACGACGAAGACGACGAAGACGAGTATGGCCATATCCTACCGTGATTCTTCAGCAGCGATGCTAATCGTGCTTGTTAGCACCAGCGGAGAAGAAAGCTGGCCCCGGTATGTTAACTTGCACACAAATATGCTGGTACAGGGAACTGACATGTTTGTAGCGCCGAAGAAGAAGAAGACGCCTGCTTGTATGGCCCTAACAGTTACGTGGCTCGTGGGTCCAAGCAGGACTGACATGCATAGTAGCTCCTCCTGCGTCGCCGCCTGCGCCGGTGAAGAGACCAAGTATGTACTTCATGTCCTGTGGAGATTCGCGATTTGTCCTGACATGTTCGATCTAGGGCGCGCTGTTCGCGACTCCGCTCCGGGTAGGGATGATATGCCAGCGAGTAGTTGATCGTGCCGCTGACATGTTTCCAGCGGACTACTATGACGACCCCTTCGGGGACAAAGGTTTGTCCTTGCCCTCGCCCACGATCAGCTCATTGACCCGTTCCTGAGCGCACATGATCGTGTACACATCTATCACTGGAGCCTCGCTGACATGAGGTTAGAAAACCAATTTGAAAAATCATAAAAAAAAATCTAAAAAAACTTGACCACCTCGTGGGCGTGTGCGGGCGCACAACCCTTAAGGGGGTCGAGCAAATCTGTCCATATGCATTCTTCGGATGCCACGACAGAAGAGCGGCCGCTCTGGTCAGTCGCTTGACTATCGCTCACATGGCCATGCAGCCCGGCTTCTCAACATTTGGAGCGACCCACGTTCTTGAGACAATTCCACCTGATCGTCAGCGAACCCACGGCCTTCTCAACGTCCTCAAGGCTCCTGAAAGGCTCAGATACCAGAACGCCTTCCTCACTTCCGAGCTGCAGGAGATCTTCGACAACGCTCCGACACTTCCTGCCAAGCTCAGAGAAAACATCAAAAGCGGTGCAGATGCTGGCAACCACAGATCGCTTGACGATGATTGCCCGACTTGTTCTCTTAAGCTTGAAGTCATGGACAGAGTCCGGTGCACGACGCATGGCAACAATCTTCTCACAGGATTCTTCAAGCAGTGGGCCAAGGTCAAGGCTGGAGATGTGCTCTGTGGCAGCGATCTCCACGAAGCATGCTTCAAGCAGTGGGCCAAGGTCAAAGCTGGAGGACGACGGTGATGTTGACCGCCAGCAGAAAGCGACTACGAAGTATTTTGCTACCCGATAGTGCCGGCTTATCCATCCGTCACGAACGGGCTGACAGACTTGTCTACGGCGGTGCTGGGTCGAGCAAATCTGTCCACGGCGGTGGTGTCGGGTCGAGCAAATCTGTCCACGGTGCCGGGTCGAGCAAATCTTTCTACGATGGTGCTGCAGGTCTCGAATCTTTACAGTGTACCACCGACCGACTACCCGCTCGTTCGCAAGCCGGTAACACTCCACCGTGCCGAGGACAAGCAGACCAGGTTCCGCATCAGACAGCTTTGTTCCAAAAGGTCGACGCCGCTGTGCCCCCCGCATTGAAGCCGGAAGCTCGCGGGGATGCGAAAGTCGTCGGAGCCTTGCAATTGCCAAGTTCAAAAGTCTGTAAAGAGTGCAAGGTTGGTTGCGGGTGGAATTCGGGGCAAGGTGCAGACCACATGCAAATTCGCCGGCTGCCCATTCTCTGGTAACTCCGGCCTACATCCGAAGCTGTTTGCAACTGATTTCGGATCGCCGGCTTCCGCACAACTTGACCACAGGCTACTACTGGCATGCACAGGAGACACAGCAGCAAGCATCGACATGGCACAAGCCAGAACGCCAAGTCAACTAGATCAGGACGCTGGTGCTGATGTGCGCTGCACGCGATGTCTACGATCGAGAGCACGGGACGCGTTCGTGACGGCGAGCGGAAAGACGAGGAAGACATGCTACCAATGCAGGGTGCGTTCCATCTGGTGCTGGAATCATTTCAGCGTGTCCTTGATGCTGATGTTGCTTAGGAACAAGACCGCTGCGCAAAGCAGATCTCACGAGCCGACGCCCATTGCCAACCACACCAAGACCCCAACGACGCGGTACCCAACGCTCGCCGTGGCACAGACGAAGAGCTTGTCAACGAAGAGCAAGAATCGCAGGCACATACCAAACAGCAATCCGGCTGGTCTTGGGGCAGATTGACGGTTCAAGAGGAAGACACCGATAAGGAATGGAAGGAAGGGATGGAGAAGCATCAGAGCGGTGAGACGAAACCGTAGAGTGTGGAATGTGCTGTGAACAAGACGAGCGGACCTTTTCAACATGGAGCCGCTGAGCTACGGTGAGATCACGGAGCACCATCCGTCCTCGCGACAGACCATTATGGCTTGCAGCTGCAACGATCCAACATCGCTGCCGCTCGCTATACCATCCTTCATCTCCCCATGCATTGCATTGCGATCCTGACTTGCCCGCAAGCTCACGGCTTCCCATCCTCGCTCTCACCTGGCCCTGCCCAACCATGCCCACTACCACGGACAACATAGTATCTGCGATAGCTCTGCTACTCTACCGGGTACCCCAACTCCAGACTGCAACACTCGACCGGTTTAAGATCATAATTTGAACGCCAGAACGTGCAAGCGGATTTCCGTCTGGACCTGAGAATAAATTCTGGCGTGTTACCGTCTGGTCTTCGGTCTCCAGTCTATCCTTGTTGACATAAGATGGAAAGTTCAAGATTCTTTGATTACTACATGCTTGCAACTGTGCTTCGTATACAGGCTGTACAAACTGCTGTACTCGTGCTCCTTCGCAGTGTTCTGCTGGTTTTCTTACCGAGTCTGCTCAGTAAGTTCTAGTATGTAGAAATATACTTAGGCTCCTTCAGTCACCATATCTCCTGAGTTTACTACTCACCTGGATATCTCACCTGACGCTTGAGCGGGTCCTTCACTTGTGCTGGCTTGCGGCTCACTCTGATTCTTTAGTAGTGACATTTGGTCGTCACTCCGAGTGCGTAGCTTACCTCTTGCGGTTTCCATACTTGAAAGCCAAAGGGAACGTATCTCTACACAGCAAAGAGGACGCTCTGCACTTCAAGAAACATCAATATGGCACCCTTACGCGCTGATAACGAACTATCCCAACTTCGGATCAAAGGACGAGCCTACGATCGTGGCGATGGAAAAGCGAGAAGACAGATCTCTACACTTCGCACACGAATTGACGACCTAGCGACTGCAATCCTCCTCGGCCAATTCTCGACTGCGCCTTCCAACTTTACACCTAAGAATGTTGAAGCTCTAGATGCTCGAGGAAAGCCCACCAAGGAGTGGCAGAAGCTCTATGCAGAACAGGACCGGCTTCGTGCTCGCATTAAGTCACGGTCACCGGCTGGCCAGATCGCTACTACGAATGCTTACTATGATCTGGCGCAACAGCATGCTCCCCACCTCGTGCAGGCTGCGACATCCCGGAACTTGACAAGAAACACCAAAGCCAGCGCAAAGAAGAACGAAAACACCCCAGCTGGTGCTCCAGAAAGCAGCTCAACTTCAGCCACATCAATATTGCCCGGTGCTACGTCCGCTCCTGCAACGTCCGCTCCTGCATCGTACAGAGAATCTCAGACCCAACAGCCCGTCGCGTCAGACGATTTCCCTACATCGAGCCAGCATCAGTACAGCGTCTACCTACCTGGATACCGAACCCAAGACGAAGAAGATCTGCTTGCTGGCGCATCTGTAAACCGCAAGGTAGTCAGGTCGCCCGAAAACGTACTTGACACTCCGGATCATGAGCAGAAGCTTGCACGTCCAGTCAAAACGGGCTCGTCGGATGCTACGATGTTTTTCCAGTCAAGCAACGGAAAGCAAATCCCGGATGCTATACACTCGTCGACCCCGTCAATAGAAGCACGAACTCTGTTAGCCGGGACAGGCTACTCCGTAACTCCTGCAAATCATGCACCAGAGATACTACACACACGCATGACCGCATACTTTCCAACGTCTCCTGGATCTCTACCATCCGCCGGCTTATCTACCGATCGCGGACACGGATCTGCAGGGACAGTGAAAGGCACAAGTCCGTATGCCGAGCCGCCAGCTTCACTCGATACTACGGACACGCATACGTCGAGCGGCCAAGACGGGTATATAGTGCCTGCATACTCGTCCGGGAAAGCGGTATCTTCAACGGAATGTGAAGACAAAAGCGAGGAGGATGGGCAGCGTGGGCTTTGGTCGAAATCCAGCAATTCTCTATCGTCAAAGTCTCCCATCCCAAACATACGGGGGACCTCTCCTGCCTTGGCCGAACATTTTGGACACAGCGAGCCGCCAGAGAGTGTGTCGTTCCCGAGCTCAGGACAGCATGATGATGGCAATGAATATCTGCCATCATTTGCGCATGCTAGCACAGAAGATTTCGAGCCGGCCGCGACCGTACAAACTAAAAGTGCGCCACCCTTTACAGCCTTTCAGTACACTGGAGACCAAAGCGCATCCAGCCTACCAGCAGACAGTAGACATGGTGCGAATGATCGGACGCAGATTTACCCTCCTCTCGCAATCCCTGCCCGGGATCAGGAATTCAATGACGGGCATGCGCATGATTCCATGAGTGCTGTCAGAGCATGCCGGGACATAGCGTCGATGCGGACGACGGAGAGAGTCCCGGCTGTTACGGAAAGCGAGGACAAGATGACAGTCGGGAACTCGAAGTCGCACGACCCAATGGACTTTATCTGTACAGAACAGGCGAAGTCGAGCACGGAGCTGCAGATGGAAATTGCCACGTCGAGTCAGACGTCTATCACGGACACGTCAAGGTCGAGCGACGAGGGAATCAAAAGGTGCTCATCGTCGAGCAGAGAGGCGGAGGAGAGGTGGTCAGCGTCGAGCACTGGACAAGGGAGGAGATCCGAAAGGTCGAGCGAGGAGGTGGAGAGGGGTTGGCCGGCGTCGAGCACCGGACAAGGGAGGAGGCCCGCGACGTCGAGCAAAGAGGTAGAAGGGGGGTGTTCAGCGTCGAGCATTGGACACGGGAGGAGGCCCGCGGCGTCGAGCAAGGAGATGGGAGAGAGGTAGACTAGGTCGAGGATGGCGTTGCAGCCAAGCTCGAGGCGTCGAGCGGAGAGGCACTGGGGAGCAGGTGCGGGTCGGGCATGAGCGAAGAATGTACGCTTGCGAGGCAGCGAAGAGGAGAGTCGCGTCGAGCGTTGATGAGAAGTGGTTTCCGTGACGTCGTGAAGCATTTCTATAGCAAGGACAGCCTTGGGCGACGGAGAAAAGCAATTTTGGCGATAGCAGACCAAGGCAGAGATTTAGTTGAAGAAAGCTGTATCCGATAACCGCACGCATTCCAGCATCAATATAGCTTTGATCGTGATATAGATTTCCAGTAGATCACTATTTCCTCATGATCTTTTGTCTATTTCCATTGATTGTGCCATGTTCCACGTCGTGAGCTGGCTTGGGAATCGGCCTGATAGATTTGTGAGCGTGCTACCGCCAGTCCTTTGCACATGACATTTTCTTCTGTTCCCGACCAGAGCCTCTAGCTTGCAGCAACATTTTGCTTGAACCACATCACCAACGTGCAAACATCCGAAACCACATTCTTTCCCACAATGGACGGGTCACATCTCCAGAAACTTCCTGTAGAACTACGCAGCCAGAGCTATCCCCTGGTTGTCGCACAACGGCGAAAGATTCATGTCAATCTTTTGCGTCACGCCGTTCGACGTATCCGCGCTACTTCGGAGGATGCACACGTCCTCGCTCTCGCTCAAGCCTGTCGCCAGCTTCGTGCCGAGTTTCTCCCAATGTTCTACGCCAGCATCGAATTCGTCCTCCATACTGCTTTGCTGAATCGGCAAGACGCCAGTGCTACTAGGAGGGCGGATATGGTGAAGCAGGGCTTGGTGAAGTGGTCGAACGCGATGGGTGCCGGTCAATCCGAGAAGTTGCACCGGGTGGTTCTGGACATTGGAGTCGTCGATATGGTCCTACATGGGAGCGTGGGAGAGCAAATGCGCGCTCTTTCGGGAGCGTCCTGGGATCAGGTAACGACTACGGTTCGCACAGCTCTTCCGCTCGCGACCGATGCTTCTGTCTTGCGGCGCATCACTATGCCCTGGCTCGCCCACCCTCACACCCTCATCGAGCGCCCGACCCTCCGTATCTCTCTCGACCTTCCTCTCGACGACATGGTCGAGACATTACGTATCTTCCGACAGAGCTCCGCAGACCGCGCCAACCGGGTACGAGAATGGCGCGCCTCTCGACATCGTGTGCCATCTGTTCGGCCTCCACTACCAGCCCTTCAACTGCTTTCGCCCCCGTCGGCCTCGAACGATAGCGCAGGAGAGTCGGGAGCAGGATTCTACATCCGTTTCTTTTGAAGCAGGCGCCGCAATAATGATGAAACCGCACGTCCGTACATAAGGTACATGCGACCTGAGGAAGCATGATTGCAAAGTCCTTTCCCCACTCTTCGAAAGAGCTGCATGTACGGAGTACCTATTCTAGTTACTGCCTGTAAAAGTCTTGGCACCAACCTCACCATTGTCAGATGGCGCTTGTACGTATAGTTCTCACGTTGATAATGCGACAGACATAAGATTGAGGTGGTTGTACACCGCAGCTTTTCTGCACCAGGATTACGGATGAGTTGTTGCGACTGCAGGATGACAAGATGAAGAGCATGGCAAGACGAACATGAGCCACCAGGCTTGCAGACCGGACGCAACCTAGCAAAGTCCACGCTCGCAGACGACGGCGTAGTAAGAACCTCTTGACATTGTCATGCCTATCATGATCTCACCCATTACATTGGTATCGCTCGACGGCATGTACCTCGACGATCCCCAGCATAGCCCGGTAGGCACCCAGCTTCTAGGCTACACGATACAGCTCCGACGCCATAGTCCTCTCAAGCCCGCAAATGCTCCGCAGGAGATGTCTTCATACTATCGCCATATACGAGAAAAGACGGGACGACATCAGGCTACGGTAGTCTGGTCTGGAAGTGGTCACCCATCCTTTCCAGACGACATAAGCAGCCAAGTCGCACTGCACTGGATGCCCGAATCATCTACGATGTTACTCTTGCAGTATGTTGTGCTTAAGCTCAGCTAGCTGTAGCCCTCTATAGTCTTTGCAGCAGCTACTGTGTCTGTCTATCAGGTAAAGTCAAGAATGCTCCTTCTACAAAATATGCCTCACTACCTCCAGTCACATGCTCCATCTACTAGGGTTACCTAGGTGCCTTGTTCCTCTTCTCACTCACTCATCTGTAAAGGTAACTTATTCTGTGCGCTCACTTGACGGCACTTTTGAGGTACCAGGCTCACCTGCTTCTGTCAATCTTTTCACAACTCGCTCGTGACAAACATCAATCATATGTCCTTATTCACACTTTCCACATAAAATTAGCCGGCAGCCCGCGAAAATCTCTGCCAAGCACAACATACAGCCCTCCAACTGAGGAACCCAAACCCAACCTTTCGTACGTCAATTATCCTGGATCTACTCATCTTCACGGGAAAGCAGCATCACACCACCTTCCTCGTCCTTGGCAAGACATCTTTTGCATTGCCTCGACATAACAGACCCAGATTTCGACAACCAGAAGCCGGCAACACATCTACAAAAGTTCTCCAACCCACCCATCTGCTGCCATCCTCAGTATGGCGGGAGCTCCTCCGAACTACATCGACCACATCGTGCGCTTTCCGGATGAATGCTCGCTAGCACGCGTCTACCAGTCATCCTACGCGACTAGTGTCAAGAAACCACCTCCAGTTTCTGTGCGCAAAAGCGAGCTTGGTCGAATCAAGGACGCACACCCAAATGGCAAAGATTTCCGTGTCGAACTCTACACCCGTGCAGACAAACCCATCGTCCAGGCCTCGCAATCAGACATGGAAAAACCCTCTGACACTAAATATGGAGATGGGTGGACATACGAGTATAAGCTGGAGCACGTTGCCAACATAAGCAGTCTTGGACCCAAACCCAAAGCGGAGTCTCAGGGCATCGTCAAGCATGTCGAGGCCATTATGAGTGGATGGTCCAAGAACAGCGGTCAGATACCGGCCTTCGAACACTACGAGGGTCTTCTCGGCACCCCACAGAAGAATAGGGCTGCTGCGGAGCATTTTGGCCAGGCCATGAAAGCTGCATCCCAGAAGTTGTACGATCTGCTCGACACTCCCGACTTCACGATCTGGAATGTTCTACAGGCTGCTACTACGGTCGCAAGGAAGAGAGACGGTGTTACTACTCATGTTGATACCACTGAACACGGTGGGATCTATCTCTTCGTCTACTGGGACTTCTCCGATGAGGCCGAATACCAGGGCGTTTGGATCTATGTCGGCCAATCTACTAACGTGTCTGTACGAGTTGGAAATCACATTTACGCTGCTAAGTCTAACGAGGGATCATACAAGAAGACGTACAACACAGACCACTACAAGTGCCATCGGGCGGCAGGTCGATGGAAGTGCGTACGTATCTGTACGCAAAAGAACGGCCAGGAAGGTGGTACACAGGATACGGCCAAATTATACCGCAACCTCTATGAGAATGTCTCATTCCTACTATTCCGGAGCTACCATTCAAAAGTGATAGACGTTACACTCGCTGCAGGACGAGCAGAACTGCGAGGCGCCTCGGAAGCCGTCTTAAAGATGTATACGCACGTTGAGCTTGGTCTGTTCCATAGCGGTGTTATGGATCTGGCGGCCCGTACAACCCAGTACGCAGACCCAAAGACTCGGGCGAACTTTGGTGTCTCCTTCGGCCTCAACATCTCAAGTCCTTTCGGAGAGGACACCTTTGGCTGGACACAGAAGATCTACACCCTACAGCGCATGCCCGAACAGCATATGATAGCATTCCACAGACCTGGCATTGTAGTTTTCAAAGCCAGCATGCAGCTCCTGGAAACTTTTGACGACAGGATCGACCTTACCAAAAAGGGACTACAAGTCTACATGCCAGCCGATGGACCTAGTCCAGATGTCTGTCCGGGAAATGGCGATGAAGTCTTCGGTTCTTGGGAGGTCATGGACCAAGGGAGATCTCATCCTTGCCCATATTTCCCGGTCGGTAGCTTCAGTGGTTGGAGCAATCATGCAGAGGTGCTACGTATCGGACTACGCATAATCTGGAAATCGAGGCAGACGAATGTGTGGCGATCCCGGTATCTTAGGAGGGCATTAATGACTATTTACTGGGACGAGGATAAGCCAGGAACTGAGAATTTATACTGCCAGGGCACTGCATTGCTCGCATACTTGCTAAGGAATAAATGGCCGCAGAAGCAATCATTTGTTCCCGCATACGGCACCGCCCAGGTCGTAGAAATCAAGTACAACCCCTTCCTCCAGGTGGCTACCTGTTCACCCGTGCTCGAGCCCATCGAGGCTCTTCAAGGCCCATTCTGGAGAGAACAGCTCGTAATGCAAGCGCTCGCACGGGTGTGTGAGAGGGACAATCAAGGCAACGAAGTCCCAAATTCAGCCAAGCTTACCCATATCGGCGAGTATGTGGACAACAAGATGAAAGACGAGCTACCCACGGAGCAGACGAAGAGAGAGTACAACGAGTGGTTCAATAGCGATAAGAAGCCGGAGGACAGAATACCGAGACACAGAGTGGGCCACGCACAGGGTACCGACGACCGTTTGAGACAGCTGACCTCCGGCAGAAAGAGCTGCGACCGATGTGCCATTAAGAATTACGTCGAAAAAGGAGGATCGCGAGTACGAATGCCCGACGTTGCTGTTAGACGATGCAAATGTGAGAAGATTACAATACGTAAGGCCGACGGCTCAGGAAACTGGTCGCTTTGCAAGGACTGCTTTGTACAAGGCTTGCCATGCACATGGACATACTTCCGTGATATTTTCGGGCCAAGGTACTTCGAAACTCCACGCCCTGTCGGCCAGTTTTTTGGCAAGTTGATCGACATTTTCTTCCGGCAGCGTGAGAGCAAGAGTGCCAAATTCCTGACGGCGCAGGTCATTCCGGATCCTGGCTACATGGTCATCAAGGGTGGCTTGAAAGCGGAGGATGAGGATGTCCCGGATGAGGACGTTCAGGGTGAGGAAGACCAGGGGGAGTGAGGAAGGAGGGACTGTGCGTCGCGGAGAGAGAGAGGTGCTCATCAAGGGTAGCTTGGACAAGAAGTATGTGGGAGAAGTATGTTGCTGAGAGCATTTGGTACTTGATTTTAATATGCGGGAGAAGATTCCATGTTGCAGCGAGCGAATGATACTTGACTTTCATATGCGGGAGAAGGTTGTTGCAGAGCATTGGTAATTGATTTTAGCACACGGTAAAAGCTTGATGCAGAGAGGGCGTTGATGTTTCTTGTATTTCTAGCAGTTGACACGACGAGCATGGCGTCGATCTGCGGCGTCACAAAAGTTGTCGATTTCGGATATGTATTAGCTTCCTTAGTATAGACGCCGTAGTATGTAGCGCAAATCAATGGATGGGCCTTCAGCAAATACCGCATTTCGATTATCATAATCGCTATAAAACTACAGGTAAGCAGGCTTCCCTATTTATAAGGAAATGTGAGGCGGCTGCCAGACCCATGACTTTGCTTCGGAGAGCGATTGGCAGGACCTCCGCGCCGTAGAGCCACGTTGTCGAGTTGAGCATGCCATCTGGCAGTATGTTAGCTGGTGACAGTCATGAGGTAGTGGGAAGAACTGACAGTAGCAGACAACAAACAAGTAGATTCCGAGCACAGCGAAGCCTTTGCCGACTTTGTTGTCGCTGTTCTGGAATTTCAGTTGCATGATCGCAGCATATATCTCGATGACGATGATACCAGACAGACCAGTCAAGATCATCTTCCTGCGGCCCCATTGATCCGTCAAGAACCTCGTGGTCAAAGCATTGGACAGGAAGGCCATGGTTCCGTATACACCTGCGAGGGCCAAGATAGTCTGTGGACCAATACCGAGACCCTTGTACAATATCGTTTGGTAGTACTGAATAACGTTCACACCCGTGAGAGACGTCATGGTCTGGACAGCAATACTAACCATGGCCCTTCGGCGGAAGAGGCGGAAGATCTCCTTGTAGGACTTGATCTCCCGCTCCATCTCATATTCGATGATTTTGTGCATCAATGCAAACTCCTCCTGGGCGTCTGTGGAGTGTAGGTCGCGGCGGATCTTGATGAACTCGATACGTGCTTTGTCCACTTTGCCTTTACGAATAAGTTGGCGAGGAGAATCCGGCATGAACGTGGAAAGACCAATGAAGAGGATGATACCCCATGGGATCTGGATGCCGAGTGGTAGACGCCATTGTACGGGTCCGTAATTTGCATAGGAGCATGCCATACCGACCCAATTGGAGACCATTGTGCCGAAAGAGATGCCGCAGCCGGAGATGCCGCCAATGAGACCTCGCTGATGTGGCGCTGAGATCTCGGAAAGGTAGATAGGTACCGTACCTACCAGGCCGCCTACCGCATATCCAGCCAGTGCTCGTCCAGCAAGGAACATGCCCATATTAATGGATGCCGTTTGGATGACAGTGCCTATGGTGACGATGACACACATCATCTGCATGAACCGGATTCTCCCAAGTTTGTCGCCGACGAAGGTCTGAGTAAGAGCTCCGAGGGCCTCGCCTGCAATGTAGACTGCTACTACAGCGCCTGTGAGACCCTTTGATGGGTGGCCCATGTATTGAATCCATGAGTTGTGTGCGATTGTCGTTGTGGCGATGCCGGTGTCGAACCCGAAGAGAAAGGTACCTATTGCCGCGAAGAGGGCAATGCCCAAGGTGTAGTACGACGTGCCCATGGTTGTGGATGTAATCCAGCAGTGTCAGTGTTTTGCGCGAAGTTGACTGAATCGACATCAAGACTCGAGCCAAAACACATACGGCATCTCACCGGGTTTTGGGTGACCCTGCCCGCATCTTGGCTCAATCACATTGCTCACATGGCATCAACACTCGGATCTTACTGTGCTGACCGTCTGCTCCACGATCGTTTCTATGGTGTGGAAAGTGGAGAGGGCTCGGCTGTCGGGTAATCGTTGAGCGAGCAAATGCCGCCGCTTACCGATCTACGGGAGAAAGCTCCTTAACATGTACATGTGTCTCCTTGATCCTGCGCCAATCCAGCAAGACTCCTTTTCGGTATGTACAATTGTACAGCCCATCGCCTTCATGCCGCCACACCTACCTGACGATCAAGTGAGCTGCGGCTACGCCTTGTCCAGTCCCTATCGATGTTTAACCCTGCAGGCTCGCTGTACGTCTCGACTTCCACTTTCTTGTGTATGCCTTGAGTGATGCCGATCTGGCTGCTACTCCGTGATTCCGAGTCTTGTTCCTTCGCCGTGATGTTGGACATGTACATCGAGGGTCCCTTGCCCTGAAGCTCAATATGGCCACTAGGTCGTCGTTGCTGGCTAGCGAAGGGTCCGGTTCTCTCTTGATACCCATAGTCGTAGGTGTTCTTGTTTCTCGTCCTCTGAGAGAACCAAGGTACCATAAAGGATAGGAGTGGCCGCAACAAGGGTAGACACGCGCAGATGATTCCGGTGTTGGCTTCGATGCATGACCACATGACGCTTTCGGTTCCAGACCAGGTAGTGTCGGCGCCAATTTTGAGCTTGCCAACCCTTACTAGTGTGGTCACGCATACACTGGATCCGTGTCAGCAACATACGCATCAGTGTTGCAGATCTGTCATTCAACTTACAAGCTTCCTAGCAGAAAAACCGAGATTAAGCTCCATTTCTGTCGATTTGGGATGTTGAGGTTTTTGATCAACGGCAATGGAAGCGCCAAGATGATGATATCTGTGAAGAAATTCAAGCCAGTGTAGGCGTAGAATCTTGCCTGCGTATCCAGACAAGTCCCTGGCAGACTATGGTCCCAGCTACGTTGTATAGGCCGACAAGCGAAAATTCCAGCCGTCTCTAGCGCGGTGAAGCAGGCTGCGACAAGTGTGATAGTCGACCATATGAGTATTTGGAAGCGAACGCCATACGCTCTGGATTCACTCGTACCGAAGACCCGTTTGTACATGAGTAGAATCGATATTTTCGTCGGCCAGGTCACTGCTTTGTAGAAAGCTTGCGCAAGGTACCACCAGAAAAGAGCGGAGGTGAGTTGATGGTGTGGCAGAGTATTGCTGTGCATGCCGTAACCATAGCCGACACTAATGACAACAGTCACGGTCAGCACGATGGATGAGATCTAGAGAAGAAAAGTCAGCTTCAGAGCTTCAGCACACGAGTCGTGGTTGTAGTACCAGCGCGATCAGAATCCATAGGTCGTCGAAGCCGAGTAGTTGACGCTTCGCGCGGATGGCAATGCGCGCGCCGACGAAGATGCCGCTGGCAATGACGAAAGCAATGGCAAGTCGGTCGAGCAGATGGCCAGCAGGATTAGGGCCAGCCCCATAACCAGCTTGTGCAACCATGGTGATAGGTTATGGTGATGCTAGTGTTGCTTGTGTTGCCGATGGGTGACAGCTTGGAAGGGTTTAAGGTTGTGGAGTTTGCTGGCGGGTCATGGTCCGCAACGTCAGTGAAGAGAGCACAACATATGGTCGTGTGCTGCTATGGTTTGCTGCAGGTACATGTGCTCGATCCAAACCATTTCCCAGTAAATCACTTACACTCACCTTAACCTCCAATTCCACTTCAATGGTCCCTGCAGGAACGTGGTCCCAGAAGAGCATTCGCACGGTCATCCACGGACCCCTGCCACCTGTCGCATATCAAGGCGACAGCAGGATCGCAACGGGCGAGATCGTCCGTCCTTCCGGAGAACATGCTTGTACGTTTGCTCTCAGTAATACTGAGATGAAGGATCTACGAGCAATGCTACAGTCGCATGGTAGCCTGTCGCGGAGCAGCACACCCCAGACGGGAGGAAGCTGCGCCAAGTATGTGTTGTACCATCGGCAATATCGAAGCCTCGCCCGTTCTTGCGAAACAGCCGGCCATCGAATCCTTCTCAACATGTGGCTGAAGCTATACCTGGCTGATCGTTAAGTAATCCAATCGAGGGCTTGGGAGAGCACTGAAATCTGCTAGAGTGGCGAGATGCCAGGCAGACGTTGCATCTTTATTGGTGGGATCATACTGCTCGGTCCCAGCTGCAAGAGAGCATTTGTTACCACGCCGTTTGAATACAGCATGGAGAATCGTTCAAATGGCATTGAAGGCCCGGGCTAGGTAAGTGATCCATGGTAGTCGAGATCGGGCAGCACTTGTTTGCCTTCTGTAGGTACATGGCACCCGGCTTCTGCATTCTACCATGCGCTAGCGCTCGGGGTCGCAGATTGCGTCGTGCAGACAGCATGCAGTGCAATGTCTCCCGTGATGCTATTGCAACCTCTTTATGGTCTGGGTTCTTGCATCCTTACATGTCGAGCGGCCGGATCGGGAAGCGCACCATCGCGACCACGCTTCACTCTTCTACAGCGGCCCTTCATAAGGAGTTAGCAAGGCGCATGTCAATGTAGAAGCGAGAGCTCATTGAGACGACCATGCAAAGTGAGCGATTTTAGCCAGAAAGAGTTAACCTTGTCCTCTTCAAGGTTTTCGGCCGCGCGGGCCACGGATGGGGAGCGGCAGGATGGCAACGGGATCGTGAACGACCAACCACGGAGCGCCAAGAGCAACCTCAATATCTGTAACCTCATCTATCGCAAGTCGCTTGCTGCTCGCCTGGATGCGAGACAAAGACGCCGCATGCGCGCATTATCCTCTGCCGATCGACACGAGCTATTGAGCTTCCCCTGCTCTTCTGTCGGACCATAACCTGCTTGGTAACAGACGCCCGGCCATGGGCCTACCTCGTGGGCGCCCTTGCGTGGGTGCCCATTCAAGTGCCGATAGAACTAGTCTTGCTGTGTGCAGTGTACGAGCACTTCGCATTTGTTAGCGTTGTCTGCTTCACTGTTTGCTTCACTTCGTACTCATCGCGTGTCCTTCCGACAGAGCTCCCTCTGTCTCTCCTGTTGCACTCACTTTCGCAGGGCGACGAAGAAACGATGGCGGCTTTCCCAGACCCGCTTACCTTCGAGAAGGAACCAAGGACAGACCTTCACACAACGAGCTCGTCATTACAACGCTCATCGCAAGAAGATGTCACGACATCTATCGACCCAGCAATGGATCGCAGGGTGGTGAGGAAGTGTGACCTATTCGTTCTGCCACCTGTGTTCGTCATCTTCATGGTGACCTTCTGGGACCGAGTGGTACGTTACCAATTTCTTCATGTCTGGAAATCTACCTAACCGTCATCACAGAATATCGGCAATGCGAAGATTCAGGGCATGCCTAAGGAGCTGCACCTCAAGGGCCAGCAGTTCAACATCGCGACTATGATTCTCTTCGTTCCATTCATCTTGTTCGAGATACCCGAAAACATTCTTTTGAAGAAGACGAAGCCTTACATTTGGCTCACGATCCTGATCACTGGTTGCGGTCAGTCAAGTTCATTCCACTTATCACGAACGCCACTAACGATGAACAGGTATCTCGAACATGGCCATGGGCTTCGTCCATAGCTACAGCGCTCTTCTCGGCGTCCGCTTCCTGCTCGGGATCTTCGAGTCGGGGATTGGCGCTGGCTGTGTCTTCGTTATCTCTAGCTACTACAATCGCTACGAATTGCCTAGCAAGCTTGCCATCTGGTATTTGTCAGGTATCGCAGGCGTAAGTGTGATCGAGTTTACTTCACACTACTTGAGGCTGACTTGCGATAGGCTGCTTTTGGTGGACTCTTGGCCTATGGCATCGTTCGCATGGATGGAATGGCTGGCTACTCTGGTTGGCGCTGGTAAGTCATGCAAACTTGACGATCTGACACCTTGTCTTCGAGGCTGATCATAACCCAGGATCTTCATCGTCGAAGGCTCGATCACCGCCGTTGTTGGTCTGACCATGTACTTCTGGCTGCCAGACTGGCCAGAAGGCACCAGCCGTAGGTTCTTGAAACCCGACGAGCATGCTGTACTATTGGCACGCCTGAAAGCCGACCGCACGAGTAGCGCCCAAATGGAGCGATGGGACCGCAAGCGTGTTCTCTCGGACTGGAGAATCTGGATCGGTACACTCATGTACCTCTGCGTCATCACCAGCACTTACGGTACCAGCTTCTACACACCTACGATCTTGGTCGAGATGGGCTTTACCGCTATACACGCCCAGCTACTCACCTTCCCACCATACGCCTGCGCCGCAATCTTCTGCTTGACCTTTTGCATGCTCTCGGATCGGTTCAAGCACCGCTACGGCTTCCTCATGGGCGGCGTGTGCATCGGAACGCTAGGCTATTCTATCTTGCTTGCTCAGTCGTCGAACCCACACATGCCTGTCGGAGCCAAATACTTCGCGCTCTTCCCACTCATCGCGGCACCACAGATCGTACAACCTCTTACCGTGGCATGGATGATGAACAATGTCGGGGGACACTACAAGCGTGCTTTCGCTTCTGCATGCCAGATCGGCTTCGGAAGTGGCGGTGGCATCATTGCCAGCAACATCTACTTCACCGCCGATGCTCCTTACTTCCGAGTAGGCTTTGGAGTCTCGCTGGCACTGCTGCTACTCAATGGTGTTCTGGCTACCATTCTATATTTCTCGTTGAAGCGGGCGAACAAGGCAAAAGCTGAGGGCAAGCAAGATCACCTGTTGCACGGCAAGGATGCAGACAACCTCGGTGACGACCACCCTCACTTCGTGTATACGTACTAAGTCTTGGTGCGTTCCGGCAGAAGGGGATACATATAGTGATTGGCATCGTTGGAATTATTTATGAGCGACGGTGGCTAGCATTCACGCCATTGGCTTGGCCTTGGCCGTTGGACCGGTAAGGCAGAGGCCTCATGTAGCAACCCAACCTTTGGACGTGCTCACGATGTCATATCTTGTGATCATATTCCGCAAATCAAGTGTGTACGTCGCTCTCCTCCACGAACACGTTTTCGAGAGGGTAAAGGATGATCTCCACCTCTACCTCGGGCATTCGGCGGGGCTTACAAATGCTTAACGCCGAAAGTGAGGTTGGTTTAACACAGGCATATATTCAATTAGATCAGATTCGGACTCAAGGCCAATCTCTACTCATCGCAAAAGACCCTAGCAAGCAGAGTACAACTGGAACCAGAATGGCGTCGATGAATCCTTCTCCAGTCTCAGGCCTGCCTCCTTGCAAACGATACATAGCTACCCACGACAGCGCCGGCAAGAGCATATACGCCCCTTCACCCGAACAGACTTATAACAGAGGCAACCCCAGCGCTACACTCGCCCTCGCACGATCCTTCGCCGTCGCCGCGGTGCCCGCAAACCTCACCGATGATGCTGATATCAAGGCATACGAAGCCGACTCTGGTCCCGCGAGCCACAAGAACCCAAGCATAGTCAGCGAGTCGGATTCTGGAACGGGCGCGAATCTGCTCGTGATTGATCTTAAGCCTGGTGCTGTCAGTGCCATGCATAGGACTGTGTCGCTTGATTTCTCCATGTGTGTCATTGGTGAGATTGATCATGAGTTGGATGGCGGGGAGAAGGTTCGGTTGCATCCTGGAGTGAGCTACTGTTTTCTAGGATGTTGACACGATAAGTGCTGATGGCTACGTAGGATCATATCGTGCAGCGGGGAACCATGTGAGAATGACTCGAATGTTGTTGATACTTTCGCTGACTTCTGTAGGCACCGTTGGTCTAATCCGTCAACGAAACAGCCTGCACGCTTCGTAGCTTGCACACTACCGTGTATCCCGTTCGATATTGCTGGAGAGAAGCTTGAGCAGAATTTCCTTCCGGATGCCAAGGAAGCCACTTCCAACCTGTGATGTTGCATTGGTCGTGCAGAGCTCGTGGGTGGCAAAGCGAGACGGTTGTAGTACGAAGACGATCCAGTGTTGGCTTACGCTCAAGCTTTAGGTGAAGTCGTCGGAACGCGCAATAAGATTAAATCTCTGATCATGGATATCCTGAATATCCAACTGTGCCGCCTGTCGCTGGATCAGATCTTCGTCCAAAGGCCCTTGCTGATGAGGGGTACTGCCATCGCCTTCTGGGTAAGGATACTCTGGAGGATATGTGACCTTGTATGGTATGCCGGGTTTGAGGTACAAGATCAATCTGAATGCAGTGTTCCCGTTCAAGTAGTAGCGGTGCAGTCGCTTTGTCCGTAGGAAGCCTAGATTCTCGTAGATCCGGAGACTTGGAATGTTGTCGACTTCAGTCTCCAGAGCAATCTGCACAATACGTAAGTCAGAGATGTGATGAGATGCAGGAATTGAGTATAGATGCCTTACCTCGTCTGCATCTTTCGCGATCATCTTGTCGACCGCCATCCGTACTAGCTCCGTGGCTATACCGCGGCCACGATACCCAGATCTAGTGGCGAGCATGGCGATATATCCTCGCATAGGTCCTCCTCGATGTGGTTCCAGCTTGCATACAATCACACCCACTAGGTTGTCCTGATCGTCAAGAGCCTGAAAGCGTCAGTTACTGAACCTCGTTTCGATACTCGAGCACTTCGTACCATGAAGCACAGATCGCCCCATTGATATAGGAAATATCTGTATACATATATGCTGTATGGCTCGGACAAGTCTTTCGAGATTAGCTGTCTTATTGCCGGCAGCCATGATGACTCTTTCTCCGAGCCATATGTGATGTAGTGGATCTTCACGTCGCCCGTGACCTGTTCATTGTCTTGCGAAGGCGCATTCGTGGCGACATCCTGATTGATGCCACTCATCGGAGTCGAAGTTCACTAAATGTAAAGCAATCTTTGGTGACCGAATAGGACATCGGAGCTAATGCACTACGCCTGTGCCTGTGACTGTGCCTACTTCCGTCGGCCAGAAGTCCCGTATTTCGAAATTTATGTGATGTTGATCGTGTCGTGGAGTGACACGTGCAAGATGAAATGTTCTGGCAGGCGCTAGGTTCAAGCCATGACGAAGACGTCGCGTTCTTTTTCGCGTGTCGCGGACGACTTCTGCCAGCACTTTCTCCTCGCTCGCTGTGGTTGGGCTGAGGATGTCTGAGCTACGTCGGAGGATCTTTGGCATACGGAGTCCTGACAGCACGCCGTCGACTTCTCGAGATGTCAGTCCTACACCACCACAGAAAGATGGCGCAACGGGCGAAAGTTACAAGGTCATACCGGCGACAAAGCTCGATAAGCTGAGCAAGAAGAAGACAAAGGGCGTAAGGCGGCGGAACTTATGGATCTTTGCATTGGGCGGCATCTTCGGGATCTTGGTGGCAGGCTTCTTTGCAAGCAGTAATGGCGGGTTGGACAAGATGGTGGAGCTGGCTGGTTTGCAGGATATGAATCTAGACAGCCTACTCGATGTGCTACCGGCTGGACTGATCAAGGATGTACGGGATCTGCAGGTAAGCACATATTCTCCGGCCACCTGCTATACTCTAGCTGATCGTTGACGAAGGTGCCTTTGATTGCAGAATAATGAGAAAGCAGCGGTCTCCTACGACTCCTTCGCCATTGGCTTGCAAGCTCGTGCGGAAGGCATAGCGCATAAATATCCGGTTATCATGATACCCGGAGTGATCTCAACCGGTCTTGAGTCTTGGGGCACCGAAGAGCAATCTCGACAATATTTTCGGAAGCGATTATGGGGCTCCTGGAGTATGATGAGAGCTTTAGTCCTCGACAAGCCCAGCTGGAAGAAGCATATCATGCTCGACAAATATACTGGTCTTGATCCACCCGGTGTGAAACTCAGGGCCGCACAAGGCTTCGACGCAGCCGACTTCTTCATTACTGGATACTGGATCTGGAACAAGATCTTGGAGAACCTGGCGACCATCGGTTACGATCCCACGAATGCCTTCACAGCAGCATACGACTGGCGTTTGAGCTACATGAACTTTGAAAAGCGCGATCAGTACTTCTCGCGGCTCAAGAACCATATCGAGCTGGCTAAACAGGTTTCCGGGGTGAAAGTAGTGCTTCTGTCACACTCCATGGGCTCTCAAGTGCTGTTCTACTTCTTCCACTGGATCGAGGCAGAAGGTCATGGCAATGGTGGACCTAGCTGGGTGAACGACCATATCGAGTCCTGGATAAACATCTCCGGCTGCATGCTCGGTGCCCTGAAGGATCTGCCAGCCATGCTCAGTGGCGAGATGCGAGATACTGCGCAACTTAGTGCTCTCGCTGTATATGGTCTCGAGAAGTTCTTGTCCCGTCAGGAGCGAGCGGAGATATTTCGACGCATGCCTGGCATCAGCAGTATGCTACCAATGGGTGGCGAGGCAGTTTGGGGCAATCATTCTTGGGCGCCCGACGACCCTCCTGGCAAGAACATGACATATGGCAATTTCATCAACTTCCGAGAGGTCAACAATTCTCGGACTACGCCTGGTAATATGACAGTAGCTCAGGCGCTGCCATATCTTTACGACCATACCGAGCAATGGTATCGTGATAATGTACAGCAAGCGTACTCCCACGGCGTCGCATACACGCGGAAGGTGATCGAAGATAACAACGCAATCCCTGCCAAATGGATCAATCCCCTCGAGACACGATTGCCATTGGCCCCGGATATGAAGATATATTGCTTCTACGGTATCGGCAAGCCTACTGAAAGAGCTTACTACTACCGCGAGGACGCAGGCGCACTCAACAAGAGCACAGTCATGATCGATACCACGGTGAGCACTCCCGATGGCTACGTTGACCGTGGCGTGATCATGGGCGAAGGCGACGGCACAGTCAATTTGTTAAGCACGGGCTATATGTGCAACAAAGGCTGGAAGGTAAAGCGATATAATCCTGCTGGGATCAAGGTCACGACTTATGAAATGCCGCACGAGCCGGACAGGTTCAGCCCACGTGGTGGTCCAAATACCGGTGACCACGTTGATATTCTTGGTCGCTCGTCGCTCAATGATCTCATTCTACGAGTTGCTGGTGGTAAGGGACATCTGATTGAGGACACTATTCACAGCAACATCCTGGAATATGCGGAGAAGGTCAAGATCTACGAAGAGGAATCCGAGGAGGCAAAAGAATCATAGTGTGTTTCCGGCCCATACTCGATCCTTATGGCGGTCTTCGCGATCTGGCTTCGCAGCAACTGGATGAGGCTGATCGGCAACGGTCCGCAATAACGCTGCTCTCTTTCCTGGCGTTTGCGGAACTATGGCATGCTTTCATGATACCTGATAGATCCAAAGGATAATGTCATGATATTCTGGCCTGCTTCCACATGCCAGGCCGTGGCAATACAAGCCCAAACTCAATAGTATGACGACTAGAGACATTCTGCGTACCTTAGTCGACACAAAGCCCGTAATACGAAGATTGCTCTCATGTTTGTCTAATCATCCATGTATCAATGCATTGGAAGGTATAAAGAGGCTTGCTTCCGAGTATAAGTGCTTTCGACACTCTGTCCTTCTTTCCACTCCTGCCCATCCACTCAATCACACTTTTACTTGACTCTTCACCATTCACTTACATGCCAAGCAACGCTAAGATGCGGGAGCCCCTCCGTCGAGTGTTGATCTTGGCGTTCTCCGCAAAAAATCCTTTCCTCGCAACAGGCTGGGTAACAACATCTTCTTACTGCACATCATCTAACATACAGCGACCTCCAGCATCTCCACCTTGCACCCAACGCTATACTATACGTATTTCATCTTAAACACTCATCCACACAAGACCACAAGTATAAGCAAGATGTCCGACCTTCGCAAGGATGCGATGCTCCGTGCAGGTTTCAAGGTATATCGCGCTTATATTCACCATACAACACATTGACACTGAATGCTAAGTTTGCCACAGGCCATCGGCCAGCTCGACGGACCATCGGACGAGCCTGAGACACGTGCTGAGACCACAGAAGATGTGTGTCATACTGCTATGTGTTCTGATTGGACATTGTGGGCTAATGGTGTATCTCAGGCCACTGCAGGAGATCAAGCCCCTGTCTCGAGCACTAACGAGGGTGTGAGTACCTCGCAGCCAGGTACCACAGCTGATGGCAGGCAGTCAACGCCCGAGAATGCTCCTCCTTTCAGCATATACCCATTACCATCTCCTCACCCGTCTGCTGGTCTCAGGACTCCACCGACCCCTTACCACGGTCCAGCAGACTCGCCAAGCTTCGAGTCACCAAGGACAGCCATGTGGCGTCGTTGCATCGACCCTGACGATCCATTGTTTCACGAAGCTGCCTACCGTCTCTCGCTTGGCAACCGACACCAACCAGAGGCTCGTGATCCGATGTCTGAGCCGACGGACCGAGAGGAGGGTACACCAGCAGCGACTCCTGACCAAGCGGCGGTTCGTCTGCAAGGCGCCATTCACTACATGGCGATGTCGTGCCTACGGCTGCAGACTGGTGGTCATGACCAGCTCGCAACTACATATAATCAATTGTACGAGCAAGACCATGGCGAGGTTTACCGTAATGAGCTCCAGTGTGCGACATTCGAGCCACTGCAGCCAGAGCAGACGAATATGCAAGCTGCCATCCGTCACTGCGCGATGGTCTACCGGTATCTGAGTGCCGGTGACCACAACCAGATGGCGGATCGATACGATAACCAGTATCAGGAGGATTTTGGGGAGGCATACGTCGACGACTTGGTCGACGTCATCCAGAACGAGGGAGATGACCCACCTGGATCAAATGACGATGAGCAGGACGACGAGGAGTACGAATATGACTAGTGCGTTGGGATCGGTGGCTCGATGGGAAGGTCAGCGACTATTCGTATAGCGACCTTCGATACAACGCAACCATATTCATAACTTTGCCTGCGCTCTTTCGTCCTCTACAATAGCTGCCAGCATGCCCTCCGCAACGTCTTCCTCGTCTTCAGCCTCTGTGACCCACGTAATCTGACCAGCCTTGTGCGATCTAATCTCTAATTCCATCTTCATCTGCTTCACTACGCAGATAGGATCGTCTTTCTTGACAACGTCACCAATATCTACCAGTATCTCCACGAGCTTGCCAGAGACTGGCAGTATAACGTGACTCGAGTCAGCTTTCGAGCCCTGCCTATGTTGAGAGCTGGCGGCCGAAGCAGATGTAGATGTGCTCTTCATGTCCATCCGGTAAGCTGTAGGCTGCTCACCAGGCTTCGTGAACAGGATGTCCGCCGCAAATGTGTTCGGAAAATCATTTCGGATTACCCTTGTCAGCTGGAGATGATGTGACCGCTGTTTTGATCGTTCGGCACCTTGCTGGCTAAGCTCTATTGACCAAGCGTCATCCTTTCGAAGCATCGTCGATGAATCTGACGTTGCAGTACTGATAGATATACCAGCAGTCGCCGCGACTAGACCGTGCAGAGGATCTCCTCTTTTTGCTAGCTGCCGGCTTCGCTGCAGTAATTCTTCGTGCCTACTCTCTAACCATCGAGTATCACATGTTCCAGCATGGAAGTCTGGATGATCAATTATGGCTCGCAGAAGCGATACGTTAGTACTGACGCCATCGATAGAAGTGTCCTCCAGTGCCCGCCTGGCTTTACTGACAACATCCTCCCAGCTTGCTGCAGTAACAATCAGCTTAGCGAGAACGCTGTCAAAATCCGATCCTATAATGGCAGGAGCACCGTTGAGTAGAGCTGTATCAACCCGGACGCCATTGCCTGATGGGAAGCGGAAGGACTGGATTTTGCCAACTGACAAGGAGTAATTCTTCTCCGGGTCCTCAGCAGTAATTCGCAACTGTATCGAGTGACCACTAGGTGGGTTCGATGGGTCTTGGCCATGCCTCATCAGCCCACCCTCCTCGAGCGACGATCCCTGAACCAGCCTTAGTTGAGCCTTTACTATATCAAAACCACAGAGGGACTCGGTTATGGTATGTTCCACCTGCAATCGAGGATTAATCTCGAGGAAGTAGAAATCTCCAGAGTCCATGTTCAGTAGGAATTCGAACGTTCCAAGCGATGCATACTTGATCTTCTTTGCCATTCTTACTGCTGCCTCGATGACAGGCTTAACCACAGACCTATTGGAGGCCGTGCTCGGTGCCAGCTCGACGATCTTCTGATATCGACGTTGGATACTGCACTCTCGCTCCCAAAGGTGTACGATATCGCCTGTCCCATCGCCCACGATCTGCACTTCTACATGCCTGAAGCCATCCACAGCTGCCTTCTCCGCAAACACGCATCTCGATGGACTCTCCTCGATTGCTCGCGAGACTAGACTTGGTAGCTCTTCAACGTTACGAATCAATCTTATACCACGACCTCCGCCCCCATCAACAGCCTTCACCATTACCGGAAGACCAGTCTTCTCAGCAAATAGCCGCACAGCATCAACACGACCCGTGGGCTGTGTTAAAGCTGGCAATACCGGAACATCGCACTCGACCGCAAGTAATCGAGCCTCTAACTTGTCTCCTGTTCGTTGTAGGTTGTTCGATCCTGGTCCGACTACCATGACATTGGCTTCTGCCATGCGCCGAGCCAGCTCAGCAGATTCAGACAGGAAGCCATAGCCAGGATGAACTGCGTCTATACCGTGCTGCTTGACGATCTCGAGTAGCTCGTCCACATCGAGATATGATGCAGGACTTCTTAGTTTTATGACCTGACCAGCGTTGTAGGTGTGACCAATGTCGTTTTCCGTATAAACTGCGAAAGTCTCGATGCCCAGCTCGCGAGCTGAGGACAGTATACGAGTTGCTATTTCGCCGCTGTTGTCCGTCAGTATTATCTCGTGACAATAGTAACCGACACTGACCGATTCGCAACCAGTAGTCGCTGTATTGGTCGACGGCTAACGCTTGTCATATTGCCTTTGAAATAGGCTAGTTCAAAGTCCGCATTGATCAGCCGTTGTTCCTAGTGAGATAGAGAACAACAGTGATTATGAGCATGTAGGAGTCGAGGTTAAGACGAGAAGGCACCTCACTTCGCCGTTTGTTGTTGTGCCTCGGCTGTCTATTGACGACGCCTTTTCAACGTCAACGTCAACTGCGGAAGCGTGTCAAGATATATGCATACAACGCCCGTCCTGGCATCTCATTGTAAATCCTCTGCTATAGAACCAATCGTGTATATGTCTGTCGCCTCTGCCCGAACAAAATGTAGCTCTGTTCACCGTCCCGAGGTTGATTAAGACGACCCTTGTTCCTACCATGCTACCAAACTATAGCACCATGCATCTTACCTGTTCCACTGCGTCAAGTTTCCATAGATACTATCTGTCTCGGCTTGATCGATCCACAGACTTCTCTGTACCTGCTTGTAAGGACGATAAGAAGTCCATCTGCCAATACGGGTCGACGTCATGCACATAGAGCTTTGCCGCTTTGAGACCCCGCCATTGACAAAGTAGTATATCTTGTCGTCCTGATCTCACGGTCTTCAATATTTGTTCTTAAGAATAATCGACACTTCTCTTCGAAGCATACTCGTATAGACTCCGTTTAACACGACTCGAAAGTATGGGCAAAAAGCGTACGTCCTGATCGAACCACTAGTTTGATCTTATCGATCTAATGACTAGCAGGCGCACAATGCTGCATCTCAGTCGACATCGACGCCGTAGCCGGCTGGCTAGGTAGCTATGGCGGCGAAGACAGCACCTCTGATATCTCTCGAGGACTCTTCGCAGGCACAATCGGCGTACGTCGTCTGCTCAAACTCTTCGACAAGTACAAAATCAAGACCACTTTCTTCATCCCTGGCCATTCCTTAGAGACATTCCCAGAAGAATGCAGGATGATCGTCGAAGCAGGTCACGAAATCGGGCTCCACGGCTACAGCCACGAGAACCCCATCGCTATGACACTAGAGCAACAGACTGCTATCATGGATAAGTGCTACAAGCTCATCACAGACTTCCAAGGCGGCAAGCCACCGCGTGGGATCGTGGCACCGTGGTGGGAGTCGAGTCAAGAGGGTGCTGAGTTGATGCTGAAGTATGGTCTTGAGTATGATCATAGCTTTTCGCACCATGATTGCCAGTGCTATTGGTTGAGGACCGGCGATAAGTGGATCCCGATCGATTACAAGAAGCAGCCAGAGCACTGGATGAAGCCTCTAGAGGCTGGGCAGATGACTGGCTTGTGTGAAATCCCTGCTTCGTGGTATCTTGATGGTCGGTGACCAAGAAACGCACTTCATGTCAGGTCTTGAAGTCTAGTGCTGATGAATCTGTTAGACTTGCCACCTATGATGTTTATCAAGAAGGCTCCCAACAGTCATGGCTGGGTGAACCCGAGGGACGTCGAGGAGCTATGGATCAATCAGTTTGATTACTTCTATCGCGAGGAAGAAGACTTTGGTAAGTCTTCTGAACCTCAGTTGTTCTGCCTCCAGAGCCTCGATAACTGACTCAGTGTCATAGTCTTCCCTGTAACAGTCCATCCGGACGTTTGTGGGCATCCTCAAGGATTGTTCCTGCTCGAGAGGTATACTTGTCCATGTACGCCGAACATTGTCTGAGTTCTCTGGCTAATGCGTACGCCAGGCTCATCGAGTACATCAATACAAAAGAAGGCGTGGAGTGGGTAACGATGGAGCAGATCTGCGACGACTTCAAGTCGAAGAATACACCACCAAAAGGAGCTCTGATGCCTGCGAAGCAAGGAGCAATCTTGGAGAATCCGAATCTGAAGCTTGAGGCGAAAGAATAATCGCTATATGCCCTCGAAACCTATCCTGCAGGACTTGCAGTATCAGACTACTGGTGTGACTTGAGCCGATTACGCTTGAGAATCCATATCCCTCTTAAGGGCTCGTGCGGCTTCTTCGATGTCATTCGTGATCTTGTCGGATAGCGCCCCACCATAGACGAGAAAAGCTCAGCATAAGAGTTAAGATCCCACATGTGAACTAAGCAAATCTTACCGCTCGGCCAGGATCAGTCGATTCCATCATCATGTCCAATTGATTGGGATTATCGAGAAGCAGCTGGCATGCCATCGACATGCGTCTGTGTGCATCGAGCCGGATGTCCTGCAACTGGCCCTCAGGTTGCTTGCTCTTGCTTATGCTGGTAGTGGGTGGACATATGAGAACGTAGGCCTACGCGGAGTACATCGTCAGTCGCCTGGAAGGTGATACTCGATCGAACACGGACTCATAAGAGTCTTGTCTACGAAGTCCTACATAAAGTAGTTCTTCGTCTTGGCATTGACCAGCGTGCTGGTGAGGTTTGATTTCATTGCATCGTGGACGGCGAGAGAACGCTCTAGATCTTGCAACCTCGCGACAGTGGTCCGCCATTCATTGGATGCATTTTCAGGTACAGCGTAGTTGAACTTCGCATTCGTCCAATCTTCCCGATTGGTGGTATCTGGATCGGGCTGAGTGTAGACGGGCATGATTACAAATCTGAAAGACAGAAGGGATGCTGATGAGTTCGTAACTGCGTGTAGAAGAATAGTAAGAGGAAGATGCAAGCGATGAGATTGAAAGAAGCCTCTTAACTCATATTCGAGGTAATGATCGTCGAGACCTGATGATGCGTTATATCACATTCTCCTACTCGCGCGTCGCGCCTGTCTAACGCGACTGATATCACGTGGGGTGCAAGCTTTGACCACTTACCTAACGCGAAACGACGTGATAAAGTGGCCCACATCAAGTTGACAACCACATACAATAAGTCCGCCCATGTCGACCAGCATATCTGGCGCAATAGTAGTATATTGCGCGATGTTCGCTTGGGCTCGTAATCGAGACGATGGGCTCTCGGCTGGAGCAGAAGTCGACTCTGGTCAGGAAGCGAATCGAGGGACACACCTTCGACGCCGAGGATGGAGACGAGTATGAGGGCTCGAAGTTCGGTGGCTTCTCTGAGTACTTCAGGAGGAAGAAGATCAAACTCCAGAATCTGGATGCTCAAGTGAGAGCGCAGTCGACGGACAAGCCGAAGATATTCAAGGGTCTGGTATGCCATATAAATGGCTATACGCAGCCAAGTCTCAATGACTTGCATACCCTGATTGTTCAATATGGCGGTGGCTTCATACAGTATCTTGATGGCAAGACCATGGTCACGCACATCATCGCTTCGAACCTGACGCCCAAGAAGAAGGAGGAGTTTAAGCGGTACCGCATTGTTAAGCCAGCTTGGGTTGTGGATAGTATTGATGTGGGCAAGCTATTGCCTTGGGAGAATTACCGTGTTGTTGACGAAGGCGCGAACCAGAAGGTGTTGGGTTTTGCGAATGGTACGATGACAAGCCAAGTCAACCGGAATACGCATCGCTACAAAGAGCAGTCTGATGCGAGCTGGTACACGGGCCAGCTCAAGGCACAAGATGCTGAGAAGTCGAGTGTCTCAAGCAGGCCTGCTAGCTTCGCGCAGACAGTCACACCTGACGAGGAGATCGACGAGGATGAGTATCCGATGCCTGAGATTACGAGCTCGGTCGAGCGTGCACTCGCCGAAGATGACCTGGACGATGACGAACCAATGCTGGAGGCTGTAGAGGCTTCTGCCAACCTACTTGAAGTCAGGACCGAGCTCGAGACGCCACCGCCTTCGAGTCCACCTCCAGCACAGCATATTCAAGATACAGAAGATGTGATGGCACAGCAAAACACGGAGATGACACTTCCCGAGACATCTGCATTTCGTCCACGCGAGGGCTCACAGGAGCCCGACTATTCCATGGCCGTTGTGCGCGACTCTGAGGCTCTCCGTGCTGTCTCGCCCTCCAGGCTAGCCAGTATGACTGCTGAAGAGCACAATGCATTGTTGCTATCAGATCCCAAGATTCGAAAGTCAACCGTTGTGAACCCAGAGTTTCTCGACCAGTACTATCGCGAATCACGACTACATCATCTATCCACATGGAAAGCCGACCTCAAAGCCCAGCTACAAGCTGTTGCGGCGGAGAAGTCCTCGTCGCAAAAGCAAAAATTGAAGAAATTACCTGGTCAACGGCGCTACATCATGCATGTCGACTTTGACTCTTTCTTTGCCGCAGTCTCACTGAAGAACTACCCGCAGCACAAAGACAAGCCTTGTGTGGTGGCACATGGTAATGGATCTGGCTCTGAGATTGCAAGCTGCAACTACGCAGCACGAGAATTTGGTGTGAAGAACGGAATGTGGATGAAGCGTGCTCAGGAACTCTGTCCAGAGATCAAAATCCTGCCGTATGACTTTCCAGCATATGAAGCAGCGAGCCGGAAATTCTACGAAGCCATCCTTGCCACGGAGGGGGTCGTGCAGAGCGTCAGTATCGACGAAGCACTAGTCGATATCAGTGCTTTGTGCTTCGCAGAAAGTGGTACGGACGGTGTTCAGCGGCACGAAGGCGGTGTGTTTCGTGAGCAACGCAAGGCCGACGAGATCGCTCAGAACATGCGCGATGAGGTTTTGGCCAAGACTGGGTGCAATGTCTCTGTGGGTATTGGCGGCAACATACTGCAAGCGAAGCTAGCGTTACGCAAGGCAAAGCCCGCTGGTCAGCACCAACTTCGACCAGAGGAGGTCTTGGACTTCATCGGTATTCTAGAAGTAGAGAAGCTGCCGGGCGTAGCTTGGAGCACCAGCAGCAAGCTTGAAGAGATTGGTGTGAAGCTCGTAAAGGATATCCGAGAACAGACCAAAGAACGACTTATCAACACTCTAGGTCCGAAGACCGGCGAGAAACTGTGGGAATACTCTCGCGGCATCGATCGCGTGGAAGTCGGCGAGCAGGTTGTGCGCAAATCCGTTTCAGCTGAAGTCAACTGGGGTGTACGCTTCGAAAACCATGAACAGGTTGACGAATTCCTCCAAGGTCTATGCGGCGAGCTTACCAAGCGTCTTCTCAAAGAAGGCGTGAAAGGTCGCCAGCTCAATCTCAAGGTCATGCGCCGTGCTGCTGATGCTCCACGCGACCCGCCAAAGCATCTCGGGCATGGCAAGTGCGATACTCATAACAAGGGTATACAGCTTGGCGTTGCCACGAACGATACGGCTGTCATCACGAAAGAGGTCATCACAATGATGAGAAGCTTGAATATATCTCCGGGTGAGCTGCGAGGCATTGGCGTGCAAATGCAAAAGCTCGATCCAATCAGGGCAGGAATGCAAGACCCGGGTAGTCAAAGAAGATTGCAATTCAAGACTGGTCAGGCTATCAAGCCACTACACGAAAGGCAGATCTCAGAAGCAAAGTCGGCCGGTGATCCCATACAAGATGATATTAAGACGCCCGAGAAGCAAAGGAGAGTCGACTTTGGTAAGCCGAGTTTGCCAGTCCAAGTTGTCGATCCTGGCACGCCGACTAAGAGGATGCTTAACACGCTTGGCACCCAGTTCGTGTTGCCAACGCAGGTCGATCCTGCGGTCCTAGCTGAGCTACCAGAGGACATTCGGGCCAAGCTCGCACGCCACCTCACGTCGAACGAGCTAGAGAAGGGTTTCGAGAACGTCAGAAGTGAAGAGGAAGATACGAGGCCTGCAAGAAGTCTCGGCTTCGTTGCCACTGCCTTACCGAACCAGTCTCAGCTTGACCCTTCGATTCTGGATTCCTTGCCAGAGGACGTGCGCAACGAAGTCTTGGGGTTCTACAAGTCCCCAGGCGGTCGCAAGCGTGGTGAACAAGCCCTCCTACCACAGTCGCCACGGAAGAATCGAACCCTACAGACCACAAAGCAGCCGGTCAAGCGTAAGCGTGGCGGAGGGCTTTTCGCTGGTCGTGCGCGTAGCAACTTGCACAACAGCGACATTTCTACGCTGACGCAGGCCAATTTCGTCGCACGCCCCATGAGTAAGCACTTACATGACGACGCTGGCACAACAACAGAAGACAACACAGAAGGCGAGGCTGACGAAGTCGACCCCGAATTCCTTGCGGCCCTGCCAGAAGACATGAGGCAGGAAGTCCTCGCTCAGCAGCGTAATGCTCGCCTAGCCCGTACGGGTGGTATTGACCTGTCATTGCATCAGCGATCTAAGGCAAAGCAGAAAAAGAAGCTGTTTGATGAGGAAGGGCCATTGGATCGCCTACTGCAGTTACCACCTCGACCCGACAAGCCAACCTTCACCACAGGAAAGCTTAGTGAGCTTGCTGATCTGCGAGGAGCGGTGAAGGCCTGGTACGAGGAGTTCTCCGACGAAGGTCCCTATGACGAAGATGTAAAGGCTCTGAGTAGATATCTCCACGATGTCGTGGTCGATGAGCGAGACATCAGCAAGGCCGTGGCTGTTGTGAAATACATGGTTTGTCTGCTGGACGAGCACGGGCAGACCACGCAGACGGTTCAGAAAGCATGGGAGACAGCTCTTGACCACATCAAGGAAGACGTTCAAACTGCTTGTCATGAGCGAGGTACGGGACATGTTGATCTGGATTAGCGAAGTGTTTGATTTATGATCCGTTAGATACCCATTTGCGTTTCGTATACAGGAATGTAATATTCTACTGTTGATATGCTACAGCTTTGGTTTCTCCGAAGTAAGCTCCGAGTCCAGTTCTGTTGTGCACAAAATACAAGTATCCCGCAACGCCGGCAATCGATCTTTGTGATTCACTTCCTGGTAGTCCTCACTAGCAAGCATATCGATGAAGTGGTTGATGCTCGGATAATGCGCCAGAGCAATTTCGTCCCAGCCAGCAGTGTCCTCGCCACTCGTTCCTTGATTAGCAACGACCTTGCCCACGATCTTGGCCTTGCCACCTCGTCTGCTACCAATGGATTCGCCGAAGGCCTTGCCGTACTGCAGGTAGCTCTCGTGCATTTCTTTGCCTGGGTTGAAAGCTAGTAGATTGAGCATGCTGACGGCGCCATCTTGACCGAGCTTGAAACCCTTGCTCCACTCGAGTAACTCGTCGTTTAGCTCAAGCCCTTGTGCTGAGGATGCCTTCCGTGGTTTGTCCAAAGAGCCGGTAAGAGCAGGGACGTCGCCGTTCTGAGGATGCAGTAATCTGTCGTTTTTGCCTCCGAAGCCATTGACCAGGCTACTTGGAGCGCCAGCTGTGATGGACCAATGCGCCTTGACCCAATCAGCGCCCAAATAGATCTCTGGCAACGGAGTCGACGCTGGCAGGATGATAAGTAGATCCCATTCGGTGTTGAGAAGTTTCGATGTCGAAAGCTTTTCCGGTTTGATGATCCATCTGACGGCCTTGGAGGCAACGAGTGGCTTCACGCTGCGAGATGATAGAGCTCTCAAAAAGCCATTGACATTTGAGTTGCTTGACAATGCTATCAAATGAGCTGTGATAAGAGGCATGTCTGATGACTCGGACTGCTAGTTGTGTAGACTGTATATATGGAAGGGAAGTTGCAATATGTAGTTGTCGATGTGAACATACTGACGTCCTTCCGACCAATTGCCTCGGTCAAGGCTCGTAGCCAATCAGGCAAAGAGGAGGGCATCCACATCGCTCTTCATAACCATCGACAGATTCGAATCGCCATCGTCTACACCATTTGAGCATCGAGACGCCTGTGCGACGTGTCCTGAGTCTTGCTTGTTCCGCATCTATCCTCGTTGGTCGCCACGCTGGAGACGGTAGCTGCAGACTCCGGATCTGCGCATCAGAGACTGAGCAACTGTTTTGCGTGTCCAATCAGCACCTTGCGAAAGCCCTTTCGGTAGCTCTTCTAGCCTCTCTTTTGATCGACCGACGAGCAATGCACCTTCTGGCGCTGGAATGGATCTTGACCCTTGGCGGCAACGTACTGGATTCAGGAGTCGGATGCTTGCAGGCCTTCCGTTTGTCTCTGCGAGCAAGGCGCAATGCTAATGTCCTGTATCCCTTTCTACCACAGGACAAGCGCTTGTGTGCTCGGCCCCATACCACAGATATGGATGCACCGCAGCCCGCTTTTTCACGTGGCTGCTTACTCCTGTACATGCTTTTCCAAGCTCTTCCAACACAACCTAGATTGATCATGCACTTCTTGATGGGCTGAGCTACCCTGCGTAAGATACTGAAGCTCGTTGGATGGGGCACGATTGGCACACCGGTCGACGATGGGTGCGCTTTGGGCATTGGCCGAAACTGTCCCAAAGAGATACCATGAGCCACCGCAAGACTCTTCTCGTGTGCTGACCGAGATGCCTTTGAATGTTCAGGAGTCTGCTAGCCGGGATGCTCCCTGATCCTTGCGCGAAGCTCTTTGCACTTTGCAAGCTCCTGCCAGATAGGATTCATGCTGCTAGGGACATATAGGCGTAAGCCGATCGCCTCGTAAGCTGTAGGACTGACATCAGATCTGCTGAGTCTGTTCGTCCCAGGCTTGCCGCGATCAGGTATACGTAGGGCTTGAGCACAGCTGCTGTTCTTGGTTCTGCCCCTGTTGAGTAGTTTGGTTGCGACATGCCGATGGCTGATCTCCTTTTCATATGCAACTGCACCTTTCTCCAATGTTGATAGCAAGCTCAGGGTACTGTCATCCGACTGTCTCGCCCACATCGCATCAAAGGACCCATCGAAGCTGCTTGCGAACAGGCTATCAACATGATACCCTGTTAACCTTTAGCCAAAGCACAGCAGGTCGGCCGAGAAAGCATACCTCTTGTTTCAGATACCACATCTCCGGTGGCTGTCCTTCTCTGATACTCATTATACACCTCGCGGTCCCAATTGGCGAGCAGCGGGTTGTACTCCTCATCCTCGCTCTTTATGGCCATAGTAGGATGGAGTCTAGCAAAGGCATCCAGAGGTCTGAGCTGATCAACAAGAGGCGCCTCGAAGCGCTTGCGAAGATAGTCACTACACCGTCTTAGCAGATGGTCGAACCATTCAATGTGCATGACTGACCTGCTCATAGCGTGTGTATTTTGCGTCTCTATGGACGCAGAGAAGTGTTAATCATGGCATTACAGAGAGTCTTACTATGCTCAGCGCAAGGTGAAATGATCTAGGGAGACAATGCGACTCATACGAACGAAATTCTGTGTGTCGATTCTCAAGTAGCTGGCCTGCTTACCCTTGATCGCTCTCTCGCAGCAAAGACTCTGGTATCGATTGTGCCTGTACCAAAATTCCATGCAACTCAGGCAGGCCTAAAGGTAAGCAGAAGCTGGAATTGGTTGTTGTTTACACCACATCTGTTTTTCTTATCGCTGTTATTTACGTACAGTAGTACCAGACTGCCCAGGCCATCGGTCTCTAAATCATGCTATATCATTGAAGGCGATGCTCTCAGCCTCGCTCTTGCGATGCATGTCTCCTTATAAATCGCACCCATGGCTTCTACTGATGGCGCAGTCTCTCCAAACCAGCGGCGCAGGTGTCGTTCGACCATGCCAAAGCCAGATTGTCGACGAAGAACATCCTCTCCTGCTGACCAACATAAGCTCTCATCTGCAAGCCGCTCAAACCACGGAAAGACTCCGGGAAGTTGATCAATTGCATCACACAACCTTGCAGGCTCGGGCAAGGAGCCACCGTCATGTTCTGGGTATACGCCGGTATCTCGCGTCCAGCTTCTGGACTCCAGGTATAGCCTGTCAGAACCATGGTGCAATCAGATGGGCCGCTGTTATCGCAGCCGACGAAGGATGAGAAGGCATCAAACCAGAAGGCCGACATGGATTGGTAAGGGCCGTCAGCAATCTCTCCGGGATTTTCAGAACCAGCACCAGGACCAGTCCTCATCCCACTACCATTGGCAAGAAATACAGCAAGGTGGGGCGACGAGGCCGGCAGATAAGGCTCGTTGGGCAAGGGAGCATATACGTAGCCGTTGCTGAACTTCAAGTGGTGGTATGGGTTCGGCATTGGTGGCGCTTGCGTGATGTCCGTCTGATTGAGGTTGTTTGGTGTGAAGCTCGGAAGATCATCGAAAGTCATCGTGAATGGACCACTTTCACCGCATGCAGTTGGCGTTGCTGAAGCAGAACTAGGCGGAAAATTATTCGAGGTGCTTGATTGTGTCGTGGTGCTAGACACGGCTGCAGGCTGAGAGTGGCCTTGTGGGGTACTCTGTAGAGTGCTTGTCATACTGGACGAAGATGATGATGAGCTTGTCGACGTACTAGTCGCGATCGAGGAGGTGGAGGAGCTCGAAATTGATGGCGGAGATGTTACAGAACTTGCGGCACTCACACTCGGTATTGTGGAACTGCTTCCATACGCGGATAAGGTCGGTGCGCTGATGGTGGAAATGAGGCCAGCAGACGAAGAGCTGGGAGCTAAGCGGGACGTGCTTGAAGCTGAGCTCGTAATGGTTGAACTCGTCGTAGTCATTGATGTGGAGGATGTGCTGGGTGTCGTGCTGCTCGGATGACTGGATGTGGACCCAATGCTTTTAGTACCGGTTGCCTGGCTGCTCTGAGTGGAAGTAGTCAATCCAGAAAGCTCGCTGGAGATCGCAGACAAAGCACCTGTAGAGTCAGAGACCGGAATTGACAGGCTCGGCGGTGTAGCACCACTAGTAATTGGACCACTTGCAGTCGATGACGGAGTCGAGGTCGAATGTACCGACGAGATGCTTGTAGTGGTATTTGCGGAGCCGGAAGTCGAGACTATTGGCAATTTGGAGGTCAGCGTAGCCGGTTGCCCACTGGTGTATGTTGTAGTACCGTTCCAGACGAAGTAACTAGATACCGTCTGCGTACTGGTACCAAGAAGGCCGATTGTGGTGCTTGTGCTCTTCAGGAACGTGGTCAGAGAACCGAATGACAAAGTAGTAGTGATTGGCACAACAATAGCTGCCGTAGTCGAGCTGAGCTGACTTGGCTGGGTGGTGGAAGTGTTGCCAGGGACCAGACTACTTAGAGTAGTACTGGTCGTGGAGGACGATTCTGAATTCAATGTCATATTGGCGGAAGAGAAGGAGGAAGTCCTGCTGGAAAGAGCGGGCAATGGTGCGGTTCCGATTCCATATGAAGATATCGTATTAGGGGCTGGAGCGTAAGTACTGGCGCTCGTTGATGCGTTACTGGAGGAAGTGCTGATCGTAAACAGAGGGAAAGTGGCAGTGCCGGATCCCGGTGCCGCCGAGACGCTCGACAAAGAGCTGGAGGCCACGCTAGCGTATCGAGATGTCGAGCTCGAGCTTGAGATGGTAGTGGGAGAAGGCGTGTATGGAAAGCTCGTGCTGAAGCTCGACAAGGTGACCGTTGAGGTGCCATGAACTGTGAGAATTGTGGTAATGTGAATTGTGCCAGTCTGCGTCGTCGAGCTGTCGGTGCCAAGATAGTAAGTCGCTGTAATGGTAGAAACCACCTCGCTTGCGCTCGCAGGAGCGGTCGATCCGACGGTCGGTCCTACAATGGCTTGACTCGAGGTGTTCCAGCCTGAGGGGCCGTAACCGCCGTAAGAAGGGTGGATCGACGGGGCGTAGGAGACCTGGACTGTACTGTAGAAGGTGCTTGTCGAAGTGATCGTGATGGGAGCACTGTAATCAGATCTCGTCAGCTGGGCACAATCTAAAGGTATTGGTATCTCACATACTTAACAAAGCTGAATGTTGTAGAGGTGTATGCAGGCGCTGTCACTGTCGGCGTACTGGCAGCGGCCGACTCGGTAGAAACGATAGTCGGTGCTGTCGACATTGGGCTAACTGTCTGGGTCTGCGTCACAGTCATGACATAGCTAGCAGTCGGATAGCCAGGGGGTACAGTAGTGACCGTGACAGTTCTGTACATAGTCGATGTCGAGTGGATCGTACTGTAGCTGGTAGTCGTGATGGCTACATTGCTGTCTGAAGTGCTCAAGGATGGTTGAAAAGCGGAAAAGGTCGAAGTGATTGTGGAGATCTGCGTGACAGGAACGTAGATTGTGGTCGGGATACATGCTGCTTCAACGCTGGTTCCGTTAATAAAATATTCTGCCAAGTAGTAAAGAGGGCTGATGACGAGCAAAAAGAGGATGACAAAGATGATGAATCCGCGGAGGCGCACTGGTTGACGACCAGGACTGCCGCCAGGATGGTACAGAGCCGTTAGAGCCGCGTGGGATGCTGTGTTGTCTTCTAGATCTTGAGTCGTCTCGCGAACAGGTCTGGCATTGCCTTCGTCAGATGCAGTGAGCTTGCCAAGCCAAGCAAGTATTTTGTTGCCGGTTTCAGCAAAACTGGAAATCGGACCAGCGGCTGTCTCTGGCGAGGGCGACTTAGATTCTGCTAGCCTTTTCTGCCTCTCAGCCTTCGTGATGACTCTTCCAGGTTCTGAATGGCCGCCAGTGGTATGTGAGGGACGATGCCTGCCTCGAAGTCTCAGACCAGTGTCGAATCCTCTGTAAATTGTATTCGTATTCCGCCGGTGAGGAGCTTGCTCCAGAATTGCTGACATGATGGAGGCTTTGGTATGGTATGAAGCAGTATTTATCTGTCGATGCACGAGTATCTTCTTCTTCTTGGAAAACAAGCGGTTGAAGCTGTTACGGTCGTTCATTTATCGTGGTCCAGGAGGATCTAGGAGGGTCTTGAGGACATCCGAAAGCCCGAGGAGGTGGCCAGTGGTTGATAGTGCAGGTGCTGTGCAGAATAGCGGAAGGGGTACTTACGTGATGGAAGAGCTTTGAGCAGCCACAACGCGCGTCACTGCCAGCACAGCAGCAACAGCGTGTAGTCTCATCTTGCTTGCGGTGACGGATGTGGATGAATGGTGGAAGAAAAGACAATGCGGTAGACTGAAGGGTTGGTTGGTCGAAAGGGCTGAGCGAATGACGGTGCTGATGTGCGAGCTGGATGCAGAAACGACGCGAGCTTTTGAGGCGCGTCCGATGCGGGACAGTGCGACTCGGGCGGGAGCAGCGGGTATGCTCCCGTGTTGGAAGTGAGGAAGGTACGACCTGAGACAGGCCACGAAGGAGGAAGTCGCGATAATGTGCGAGCGTAAGCCTTGATATCTTGTTGCACATCATGCAGCTTGGGACACTAACAAGAGGACCGTCTTCCCATGTTCTTCGCTCTCACATTGATCGAGACGAGTCTTTCGAATATGAATGTGATCTCTGTATGTGCAAACAGATAACTCGAAACTGGCCTGAGCGGATTGGTTTGCATGAAGTGCTTTCCCGTCCGAGCAATGCAGTCTTCCGTCTAGCGTGTCCGTTTGATCGCATGGTCGTGATTGCCCCTCAACCATCGACAGCTTGAGGAGCCAAGATACGGCGCGGCGCGGTTCGTATGTACATCATGCAGGCTTTGACTTCTCGAGCCAAGTCTCTCACCGGCAGGCCACCTCTGTCTGTTGAATCAGTAGTATTGGGCATCAGAGACTGCTTGTGAGATTGAGTGCTTTGTTTCACGTTACACTCATCTCGTTCGTGGTACTTGGCTGTGATCACCGATCTGCAGCCCTACGAGTGCTCCTCAAGGGCTCGTGCTGCCATGTTGCCGTCTCATGACGAACGGACATCATCAAACTGTGAATCGGATATCTGATGCGATGCCGCATTGCTTCCGTCGACTTCGAAGCAGGTAATGCAATAAAGGGCGATATGGCTCCATTGTCAAGGCATCCATGCGGCCTCATTGCCTTCATTCTGGCCAAGTGTGCACGTGTGCACGCTGATCACAAGATGCTGCTGGCAGGTCATATAAATGCTTTTGTACTTTCGAAGCTTCTCCATGCTATCAAAATCAATCTTGATGGAGTCAGGGCGAAGGGAAGAAGACGAAACCTGTGAGTAGTCCTGAAGAGCGCCGAGCTTCATCATTATTCAGCCTGCTCGATACACGCCCAGTTATTGAGCACGGCTCTTCTTCACCCACAATCTTGCTCCACATTTGAGCTCGCGTGGGCTATCTGATGAGACATCATTATCACGAGCAGGCGATACCGGCGTTGAAGAGCATCTAGATACACAATATCGACATATTTCAGTCTCTTAAGATACAGACATCTAAATCTACACCACAAATTACTCAACCCACGATCGCTTGCTGCAGTACCAGCGCACTGTGCGACTTCGAAGCACGCGAGCCCGCCGACGATATCGATGCGCCCTCCACGATGAACGGATATCAAAGCCAAGCCTTCGCCAATGGTGTGAATGGCAGCTCACATCAGAGCCGACACTCAGTCGATTCATGCACACCATCGCAAAGAAGCAGCATGCAATTTGGTACGCACGAGGCAGCGATGCCGATGGCCGTAGCGGGACCTTCACGACCATATAATGGAATGCCTGGAGACGTCGCTGCTTTCGGACCACTCGCCATGCCTCGCAGCCCGCCCAAGAACAAAAGTGAGTCTGCAGCATACACACAGCCGGTTCTGGGCGAGAGACGGCTCAGACGGAGCGCAGACACACAACATGTTCCTTGCAAATTCTTCCTTCAAGGCAACTGCCAGGCCGGACACTCATGTCCCTTCTCCCACGATCTCGAGTCAACCATGCGACCAGTGCCTTGCAAGTACTTTCAGAAGGGTGCCTGCAAGTTTGGACGGAAGTGCGCGCTTCTACACATCACACCAAACGGCACAGTAGTCAACCGGATGCCACCAGCACAGTACATCCCGACTCCAACACACCCAGGTGCACCAGGACAAATACAACAGGGACCTTTTGCACAAGTCCCGCCTGGTCTGCTAGCTCAAGGCTTTGACAGGGATGGTGCACAAGAGTATGAGCAATATCAGTACAGCGGGTGGCATGGATATGATGCACCCATCGACATGACTCTCACCTCGGCTTCACCACAGTATGGCTCTCCTCTGCAGAATGATGGCTTCGCTACATCGCCGCCTCAAAGAGGGTTGTCAGTGCTAGACGCGCCCCTGCCCAATTCTTTCGACAGCAACGGGATCTCTATGGCTGCACGCAATGGTCCATTCGCATCGTCAGTGCCTTCACGGTTCGGCATCGACTCACCCCCGGCTTCATACCCTCGCAAATCACAATTCGGTAACACGGCGTTGAGAGACCTGCATAGCTCAGCATTCGGAGATCGTGGCATTGACGGACATCTGGCTGGGCTAGGGTCATCTCCACCAAGCGGTCCTGACGAGCCACTTACCTTTGCGAAACGGCCCCTACACTCGGACATCCTGCGCTCTTCTGCGAGACAACCGATGATGTCGGCAAGTCTAGGCACAAAGCATTTCATGACGCCATTCGAGCAATCGGACGATGAAGACGATGGCGGCGAAGCTCGGGAAGACCTTCTGCCTGCTGCCTTGGTTCGTGATCTGAAAGAAGATGATAGCTCGCTTGATGGCTCGCGGAGACGCAAGGAGGACGAAACTCCTGCGGGCTTCCTATCCGCTGCGCGTAGAACGCTCTCCAGTCAAGGCACGCCGCAGGACAGCCGGGTAGGCAGTCTGGGGTCAAGTCCGTCGCGGTACTCGAGCATGTTCGCCAAACCCAGTAGTGGCGCTAGCGAGACCAACGGTCTGGGCCATGTAGGGTCGCCACTGCGCAACACAGGTCTTGCCAATCCGACGGGATCCAAAGCCAACGTCAGCCCACCCCAGCAATCCAGCATGAGTGTGCTTACCCAGGAGTTCCAACGCGCCAAATTGGATCCCACTCGGCCCGAAGCACAAGTCAACGGCGGCGCTATGCGTTCTCTATCAAATGGCTCGACTGTACGAGGCAGTCTCGATCGCGGGCTAAGTAATACCAGTGTCAGTAAGATTGACGAAGAGCAAGACCTTTTTGATATGGAAGGCTTTGGAGACTTGACACGTAACGTTCAAAAGCCGGTACCAAACGGTGAGATGAGTTACGGTGCGATCGGTGCTCATCGTGCAACTAAATAGAGCGAGCTGTTGATGGATGAATGATAGTATATAAAAACTACTAGCGATGGCGCTATGATGGGATGATACCCGCACATGAATTGGACGACTTTTACCAGCGAGGCGAAGGAGGAGTTGCTTGTGTATTGTTTCGGAGGCTCAAGGATGACGTGTGACAATACTTCTTGGTATATAGTGTATGTCCAACACCTGCTTCTTGAATGCAAGATCCACCTTCAACTCAGCTCCTCCAAGGTGTGCTCTCTCATGCAAAGGTCGGCTGTAGCTGCCCTGTCGTCCTCTTGATCACTCTCTCCGGCAGCTCCGTCTCGTATACCCACCTACACCACTCACTAACTACCCTTCTCGTATCAGCTGGATCAATAATCTCCTCCGCACTAAACATGTTCGCCGTTCGCACTGGATTCATCAGTCGCCTGTACATCGTATCCAGCTCTCGATACCTCTCCTTCCTCGCCTCGAGACCCTTCTCTTTCTCGATCTTCCTCAACTCTGCTGCATGCCCGACGTCTATGCCGCCGGCGAGTGGTAGGCTGCCCCATTCACCGCTTGGCCAGGCTACGCGGAAGTGCGGGTCGCGACATTCGACCATGAGGCCGCCGGCTACACCATAGACTTTACGGACGAGGACATTGAATAGCGGAACTGTTGTGCTATAGTATGACTTCCAAAGTTCTACTCCCCAGCGCATGGTGGCGGTCCGCTCGGCGACGGTGCCGATTGCGTAGCCTGGCACCTGTTGGGAGATGTCAGCAAGGTGGGTGATTTGGTATCAGACGGCGGTCTTACATCGACAAATTGCAGGATAGGTATGTTGAACACATCACAGAACTTCAGATGTCTTGCGATCTTTTGCGAGCCAAGCGTATCTAGAGCACCGGTAGCGACTTCGGGATTGTTAGCAATAATGCCCACAGGCTTGCCACCGAGCCTAGCAAGACCAACGATAGTCGTCCGACCCCAAAGTGCACCTATCTCGAAGAACGATGAATTGTCGACAATAGTCGTGATCATCTTCCGAGCATTGTACATCCGTTCCCGTTTCCGAGGTATCAGCGTCCGCAGCTCTGGTGAAGGGCGATCAACAGGGTCGTCAGAGGTCACAACAGGCGGGATCTGGGTGCCGCAGTTGGGAAGGTACGACAGCACGGTCCTAATCTGACGGAAGCAGTCTACTTCGTTTGCAGCAAGATTGTCTATCGTACCATTTGTACAATGCACGGCTGGACCACCGAGCTCGCTGAAAGATAGACCTTCCTCGAACGTGGCGTTGGCGACGACTTGTGGTCCAGCGTTGAACAGAGATCCTACATCGCCTGCCATAACAGAAAAGTGGCACACGACCAGCCGTGCTGCCCCTAGACCGATAGCCGTCCCTAAAGCGGCTCCTAGATTAGGTATGCCAGCGTTCAGCTGCTGGATGACCTGGTGCGCTCCGTCCATAGGGGGTATATATGCATAGCCGTTCGTCTCGATCGTTGTGACTGACCCTCCACCCGACGAGCCATCGACAAGTTTGATGTTGGGAAGCTTGAGTCGCAAGGCCAACTTCTCCATGTAGACTGTCTTCGCGAACAGAGCTCCATCAGCATGACCAGCACGGATCGTGAAGTCATCTGCAGAGAAGCATATTCGCCTGCCGTCAAGCGTACCAAAACCATTGATGTTGTTGCTGGGCTGGAACTGCTCGGCCTCTTCGGTCAGTGGGCCAGTCTGCTTCCACTTCACTTTGCCAGTCACGCTGCCGATTTCTCGGAACGATCCTTTGTCGAGAAGCTGGTCGATGCGATCCCGTACCCAGAGTTTGCCTGCCTCTCGATGTCGAATGTAGCCTGTCTTCGAAGTGTCAGGGTTAGCAGCGAAGTCGCGCAGCTTCTGCAATTGTCCAAGAACATCGCTGTAGTCTGCTGGAAGGGCATCGTCCTGTGCCTTCCGGCGTCGACGACGTCCAGATCCTTGCTTGCTTGCGTCTAGATGTTCGGAGACTTGGGCTGCTCGAGACGCTGCTTTCTCCTTGGCATCCTTTGACGATGACCGACCGTCGCTCTCATCATCTCCGCCCATGGTGGCCAGATGGCGTGATGAAGAGTGAAATGTGGTTCAACACGGCCTCCTCAGCGACGCGTTTCACTTTGTGCCGAGGTTGATATGAGGTAGAATCGTCCCTCCTCTGGTCACCACGGACATACCCGTCGCTTACCGTTCTTGCCCAGATTCGCACTGGTTTGTACTATTCGTCTCATGGAATCTTCGAAGGGCTGAAATCGTATTCTGAGCTTCTTAGTCATGCTCAGAGAGGGAAGGAGAGATATTTGGAGAAAGCCCACCACGCGAGAACAAGGCTTCGATGATGACTGGACGCTTCGCTCGAGAGTGCAGTGTGCAGGCCGCAAAGAGCTGTCCTCCTGTCGTCCTGCCAACAAGCGGTGATCGTGACCCGGCTAGGAGTGATACAAGCTCTCGATGTGATGCTGGAAATTGATACGCTCTTTATCTTGCATATATTTTCCTGCAACCAACATGTCTCATATATTGCAGATGCTCATAATGCCCTGCTCATCTCACTGGGCAGTCGTGCGTATCTAGATCTGTCCCTTGCGATCGAATGAGCAACCCCTCGTTTGCTGCGAGGTCCGACGTCAGCCTCATACCAAACTTCCTACTCCTTGTCGAAAGGAATGGTCGGCGCGATTGTTCCTCCGCTCCAGCCAGGTCCAGTCCGCACGGCACAAACGTCAGATATTCTTTCAGGGACTGCTGAGTCCATAGCCAAGCGCTGCGCGTCGAGACATTATTGTTCTCTCTAGACGGACATTCCAAAATACAACATGAAGCTACAGTCATTCGATTCTCGCAACAAGGCCTTATCGTAAGCAGTACTGTCATGAATCCTCCACGCCTCCGCGGACACCGCTCATCCGAAGGACAGTAGCAAGTGGTAGTCATATGTACGTCCGACTCTGTTGTTAGTCGAGCGTAATACGGACGCCATATTGGCTGGACCTACATGAGTTGAGACCACATCAGCGATGTCGAAAGCTACAACTCACTGAAGTCTAGCATTCATGTGGCGAGCTTGACAAAGCGCAGGACGCATGACACGTCGACGTGCAGCGGATATGAAAGAGCCAAACTTATGCAGCTCATTTTGTTCGTACGTGGTACCGCGACATATTACATCCTCGACAGCGTGGACTCGGGAGCCACTTGTATGCTCAGCCGGTATGGGGCCGTCCCATAAGCACTCTATGATCTTTGCTCTCGTTATCAGGCCGTGATTGATGGTCTGCTACAGCTGAGTGCTGGAAGAATGGCCCCTCAGAAGCAGTCCAGTGGCGTGCCAAAGTCTATGCTCCTCTAGTTCAGTCCGCTAAGTATACAAGATCTTCTTCTCTTATTCGGACCACGGTCAAAGTGCAGCCTCTAGAACGGCGGTAGCCAAAACGGATATCCACCATTCTTAATCCTGAACACACTAAGCAGGAAAGAGTACATCCCGAGTATCACACCACCCCAAACAAAGACAGCAATCTGCTGTGTACGAGCATCGGCCATGCGAGGGACCTTCAGAGCCAGGGAGATAGTCGCGAAGGAAAGGACGCCATCTGCTAAAGATTAGCACAATTTCTCGAAATGCCCTTCCCACATGCAGAACTTACACATAGCAGCCACAATCTGCGTCTCCAACCCAAACTGATTCTGGAACCCACCAGCGAAGTAACTCACACCACCCTTCCCGTCACCGGACACGTAGGGCACCTTCCGGATATGATTGAACATATGTCCGCTCGTGAAGAGTAAGACGGCGATCAAGCTTACAGCAGCCCACAGGTTGCGGTTCTGGATGACCGGGAGGATGTAAGGAGCGGCGACAGTGGCAAAGGTGATGAAGCCGAGGACAGCGGTGATGGCTACTCCGATCTTGAGGAAGTTGATGGGGCGTACGAATTGAGGGTGCGGGATGGAGGGCAGTTGGCGGGAGAGCCAGGAGTGGATTGGCTCGGCTTTGTTTGTGCTGTGGAAGGAAGTATTAGCCCAGCATCAGCTACTCAGTCTTATCTTGTCTACGTACCCAGACGAAAAGTCGAAGCGGACAGGAGCTCCATCAGGCTTCGCATTGGGGCCAGTGGTTGGTGGGAAGAGGAGGAGTACGGGTGCCGTTTGCATTTGTAGCTGAGGTTTCTAATTAGCCCTAGCCCGTGCGTACTATACCACGTCCAACCTACGCTCTGGAACGTGTTCTTGCCATCCAAGAAATCCAATGTGGTGAAAAGCAGCCTGCCTTCAGCGTTGCGATCACCCTTGGCCCACTGCTTTCCCAGCATCTCCCATTCTGGCTGGAACTCGTTGCACAGGTTGCAGCCGAAGCGGGCCTCCAATGCTGTCAGCAAAACAGTGATCGAATAGTCGCGAGGTCCTTTCGTGAGCTCGGCGTAGATCTTGTCGTCAATCTTGACAGGGCCGCCAGCTGACAGCTGTTTCGAGTGGTAGGTCTGGAAACGGTCGCCAGTCGCTGCCTTTTTCGCACCAAATACACCCAGTGGCAGCAAGGCCGTCAGTGCTTGTAGGACTTTCATCGTGGCAGTTAATATGTGCAATGGCTTGAGGAGGGCAAAGGCAACGATGCATCTCTCCAGCTGTCTTGAGCAATGCAATGCAATGCAATCGCGGAGTGCTCCCGCGTCTAGCCCGAAAGTGGTTAGTACTTGTTTACGTCGATGTAAATAACACAGCAGACCTTCGACAATCCGGATGCGCCACTACATAGATCTGTATACTACCGCAACATAGCGCACCCCGAGCATACGCCTGTCATCATGGTGCCCGCACCGACATTCGCGCATCTTGCGTGCGATCAGTCACTCACGACCTCGGCATTGGAGCTCAAATACGAGAAAAGCACGCATTTGGTCAACATACTCAGCAAAGACGAGGACATCCGCCGTCTACGATTCGATGTACATATCTTAGAGGACGACAATGACGAACTCCGCGAGCTTCTCGCGCAGGAAGAAGATCGATCAGACGCTTTCGAGAGACTGGTCAACGAAAACTTGGCACGCGCTGAAGATGCAGAGGCACAGCTTCAGGAGCTGGAAACGGACCTGCGACAGAGAGAGCAAGAGTTGACGAGTCTGTTGGCCGAGAAGGACGCGTTGAAGCATAGTACGCAAGATGCGACGGCGGCTCTGACCGAGAAGCTGGCTCTGACGCGTGAGCTGAGCGCGCTGAAGCCGGAATTGGCGCATTTGAAGGCGCAGGCAGCGAATACCGAGGAGCTAATGACGGAGAAGCTGGCTCTACAACGACAAATCACGAATGTGCAATGCGAACTCGAACATGCCAAGCGCGAAGCACAGCGTGCTCTGGCCAAGCGCAGGAATACTGGTGTCGAGATTGCGCAGGAACTGCAGATGGATGATCTGCGGAAACAGCTTGCGAAGGAGAAGCGTGCCCGTGAACGCGCCGAGGAGGCTGCGGACGTGTCGCAAAGTGATTTGAATGTCGACGAAGTGCGGAAGGAATTGACTCGAGAGAAGAGAGCACGGCAGAAGGCTGAGGAGCAGCTTGAGGAGGCACAACAAAATACCCAGATTGAGGATGTGCGAAAGGATCTTCTGAACGAGAAGAAGGCAAAGCAGAAGCTCGAAGATCAGCTTGAAACTGCCCAGGCTGAGCTTGAGGGTCAGAAGAAGGCAGTCGCTCGTGCCTCAAAGCGTGCTGATGGGAACGCGGCGGCCGACGATCAGGCTGAGGATTTACGCAACGATCTGGCGAAGGAGAAGAAAGCTCGTGCTGCAGCCGAGAGAGGTGCCAAGCAAGCTTCGGACGAGTGGGAGTCGCAGAGGGCCACGCTCGACGACAAGCTCAATCAGTTCCGGAACAAGCTTCGGACGACCAAGGAGAAGCTGAAGGAAGCTGAGACTGAGCTGGCGACTGCCCGGGCGTCTACATCTGCTCCAGCACCAGCAAAGAAAGCTACCGCGGCCAAAGCTCCGGCTGCGAAAGCACCAGCCAAAGCGACCAAGAAACGCAATGCCGACACAATGGACCAAGACGCCACCCAGCTCGGCACACCAGGTGACGGACCAGCAGCCAAACGTGGTCGCAAAGCAGCAGCCGTAGGCGACAAGTCCACTTTCTCGATAACGCCATTCCTTAATAGGACAATGAGCGCTGCACCAGAAAGTGGCGACGAAGAAGAAGCCGCCTCGCCAGCGGCCAAGCAACCGGCCAAACAACCTCTCGCCACCCAACCAGCCAGCAAAGCGAATGTTCAGCCCAAGAAAGCTGCTGTGCAGCGTAAGCAGAAGGCGCCAATGCTGGAGATGGTGACAGAGGAGGCCGAGGACGTCCACACGCAAGGACAAGAGAACGCCGGCGCAAAAGCGGCCATGAAAGTCAAGACCAAAGTCGCCGATGGACCGGACGACAATGGCGGCGCGAAGAAGAAGAAATACCGCAAATCCATTCACGAATTCGCGACCTTTGACGCTGAACCCGAGATCAAGAAGAAGCGGAAACTGGGCGGGCTGGGCAAGACTCTGTTTGATGAGGAGGAGGAGACTGCTCCTAAGGCTATGCCTGGTCGAGCGCTGTTTGGCAGTAAGGGGTTTGGGGCGTTCGGTGGTGGGATGGGCAAGAAGACGGGTTTGTTGGGCGCGGCGAAGAGTAAGATGGGGAGTACGCTGCTGACGGCTATGGATGGGAGTGGATTCCAGTTCTCGCCGCTGAAGAAGGGGAGGAGAGGGTTGGATGACACGTTGAGAGGGTAGTGTGGTGGTGCGTGTCGTGGTGCTCTGGGTATTATGATGTGAGCTGCAGGTGGGGCATGAGGTGGTTTTGTAATGGCGTCTTGGGCACGATATCCTGTGGCAGTCTCGTAGTATACCATTTCTTATCGTTCAGTGTGCTGTCTCCCATCCCTAGTGTCGTGCTGAAGGCGTTGTTTATGTTATCTTTCTCCAGGAAACGCGCTCGAGTCATTTCGCAACGCGTCCCTCGCTCGACCTCACGTGCCACAAATTATTCCTCATAATAATAACCTTCAGAAACACACAACATCATGAGCATCTCAACTCCAGACGCGCCCCGTCGCTCACCCAAGCGAAAGCGATCAGAGTCAGAAGACACAGGCGTACCACCACAATACGATGGCGCCGAGGACAGCGCCGCCCTACAATATGCCTACGATGAAGAGATGCCGAGTGAACTCCAGTCGCCGGAAGAGCAAGAGCAAGAGGGTGCGGTAGCGAAGAAGCCTAGACTGGAAAGACCAAGAGAGCTCAATTACGTTCCTCATATGACATTGCGTGGGCACAAAAGAGGTGTGGCTGCGGTCAAATATTCGCCAGATGGGAAGTGGATCGCTAGTTGCTGTGAGTAGTAAACCCACCTCACATCACTAAGCCACATATACTGACCATCCTAATCAATACAGCCGCCGACGCGACCATCAAAGTATGGGATGCGACCACCGGTGCCCTCGCTCACACCCTCGAAGGCCATCTAGCCGGCATCTCCACCCTCGCTTGGTCCCCCGACTCCCTCGTCCTCGCCTCCGGCAGCGACGACAAACTAATCCGACTCTGGAACATCTCCACTGGAAAATGTCTCCCTTCGCCTCTAGTGGGCCATCACAATTACGTCTACAGTCTCGCCTTCTCGCCAAAGGGAAACATGATAGTCTCCGGTTCCTACGACGAAGCCGTTTTCCTCTGGGACGTCCGTACCGCGAGGGTGATGCGGAGTCTACCCGCCCATTCGGATCCAGTCAGCGGGGTGGATTTTGTGCGGGATGGGACGTTGATTGCTTCTTGTTCGAGCGATGGGTTAATTAGGATCTGGGATACGGGGACGGGGCAGTGCTTGAAGACGCTGGTACATGAGGACAATGCTCCTGTGACGAGTGTGAGGTTCTCGCCGAATGGGAAGTTTGTGCTGGCTTGTACGTTGGATTCGTGCGTGAGGTTGTGGGATTATGTTGATGGGCGGGTGGTGAAGACGTATCAGGGGCATAGGAATGAGAAGTACTCGATTGGGACGGCATTTGGGGTCTATGCTGCGGAGCAGAACGAGGTGCGGAATGGTGACGAGGACTCGGAGGAGGATCAATGGGCTTTTGCAGCCTGTGGGAGTGATGACGGGAGGGTGCTGTTATGGGACGTTAGCTCGAAAGAGGTTCTGCAGGAGATACAGGGACACGAGGGCGCGGTGTTGGGCGTGGATGTGAGTGGTCAGACTCAGCAGCTGGTCACTTGTGGGCTGGATAGGACCATCAGAGTCTGGAAGAGGCGGCCAGTCGTGTCCGCCACAACGAATGGCAATGGTGTTCATGTGGAGGACGCAGCTGACGTGCCTCCACCGCCACCGCCACCACTTGACGATGGCCCGTCTGCGACTGGCACCCCTGCAAACGGTACACCAGCAGTAGGAACACCTATTGCATCAGCAGAGGAGAGCTAGATATGGTACCTAGCAAGAACTTTGAAACTGCCTGCATGAGAGACCCCGAATGGCTCCTGTGGCTGGTGATACAAACACAGGTGTTTTCGTGTGTTGTCATTCAATCTATCATACATGGCCAGAACAAGATACGCCATCGCTACCCATACCATATGCTCCATCCTTCCCATCTAGCTCAGCCGCGACAAATTCGAAGAATCCTCAACACAGCGCCACCGCTCACATGCTCGCTCGCTAGCTCGCCATCAGGTCCAAGAGAGTGACAAAAGACTCGCATCAACGCTCATGCTGCCCATCCATAAAACACCTCGCTCACAAGAGCCGCTTCAGGAAGCAGTATTAGACGACATCCACCAGTGCAAGGCCACGCCTCCGCCCATCACGTCCATCTTCTCTCGCCACGTAGCCTCACCTCCCCGCCGTCCCCTTCCTCTTCATAAACTCATGCGGCTTGCTTGGATCAACCGGATCCATCGTCCCCATCAAAACCTGACTCAACTCCTTGAAGTCCACCGGCTTCGTCATATAGCTGTTGAACCCGGCCTCGACACACTTCTGATACACATCGCCCAACACATTCGCGCTCAACGCGACGATCGGGAGGTAAGGGTACTTGTGTTTCTTCTCCCACTTCCGAATATCCTTGCAGGTCTGATAGCCGTCTTTGTTGGGCATGTGTAGGTCGCAGAGGATGATGCTGTAGTGGCCGTGGGGTTGGGAGAAGACTTTGTCCGTGCATTGGACGCCGTCGAGGGCGGTGTCGACTTTGATGTCGACTTTGCTGAGGAACTTGAGGATGACCTGCGCGGTGGATTAGTAAAGAGCTGAGGATTGTGGATCTGTGAGAACTTACCATCTGATTAACACGGTTGTCCTCGACAAGCAGTACGCGCTTGTCTTTGTTGCCGAGCCTTTTCTTGAGTTCCTCGAATACCTGCTTTTGACTAACGGCGACGGCTTGTGCGCTGTCCTGGTTCCGATCTGTGCTCATTTCACGTTCCTTCTGCGGATCGAAAATGACGGCGAAGCGTGATGGCTTGAGCGGCTTGAACACAAAACGGAGCTTGCGCTCCTTAATGAGAGCGTCGTAGTCGTACTTGGGAGCATGTTCCATGATCTTTTTGCGTTGTGCCAGGTCGCTGATGATGACGATTGAGGTAGCCGAGTGTGGTGGAGAGGAGAGTATCTGGTCGAGGAGGGCGACAATGTCTCCAACGTCCTGCAAGAAAGCGACAACGTGCGTGAAGATAACCGGAGTATCACCACCCAAGATCTTCTGACACTCTAGCAGATTTTCACGCGCGGTGATCTGATGTGGTATGTTCTTCGGGAGTGTCTGGTCGATATGCTGTACTGTTGCCTCGCGACTGTACTTCAGAGGGCACACCACCATGATCGAAAACATTGGTGGGACGAGGCTACCACCTGGTGATACTACTCGAAGACCGCCAGGCACGACTGGAGTAACCAAAGATGCCGAGTTCGACCTCTTGCTTTCCTCTGGTAGCGACAAGCTCAGTGCAGGGCTTGCAAAAGCCGCGTTCGAGATGTACGACGAAGCAGACGAGCGCTCGGACTGCAGGCTGTCTGTACGACCAATCGACTGTGATGAGTCCGAGCCTACTGAAGATACCGAAGGTGAATCTCGAGCCACTTTCGGCACCAAGAACGGCGATGGAGTCTGAGAATACTCAGGTAGGAATTTCGGCGACGCTTTCGGTTGAGTAGCTGCCTGAACACCAGCTTGTGGAATAGATTGTGCTTTCGTCAATCTGGCGAGCGGCGTTGGCGTCCCAGAGACACTGGGGGACATTGGCAGTATCGGCATACTAGCTGCAGGTCCGGGTGTCGGTGGCGCCGCTGGTGGCTGATCGTGTCTCGATGGTAGAGACGTCTGTACGAAGAAGGCGAAGGTGGACCCTTTGCCTGGCACACCCCTAGCGCTCATGTCGCCGCCATGGAGTTGTGCAAGTTGGCGTGAGATGACAAGACCAAGCCCGGTGCCACCATGTTGACGAGTGCTACTGCCATCAATCTGGCTGAAGCGCTTAAACAAATGCTCAGCCTCTTTGTCGTTAAAGCCGCGACCAGTGTCGACGATCTCGAATTTGATAAGCTTCTCGTTCCTAGCGAGTTCGCGCTCTCCTTTAGCCATGACACTGCAGCGCACGAAGACTTCGCCCACTTGCGTAAACTTGATGGCGTTACCAATAACGTTGAGTAGAATTTGTCTGATCCGGAATCGATCGCCCTTGACCTGGGCTGGCACATCTTCCTCCACGAGGTAGTTCAGCTCCAGGCCTTTGTCTATGGCCATCGCTGAAGTGAGGTCGTTGACTTCTTCGATCAATGCCCGGATATAGAGCCAATCATAGTTCAGCTGAATCATGCCTGCCTCAGCTTTCGAGAGATCGAGAATGTCATTGATGAGACCTCGAAGACCTTCAGTACTCGCACGAATAATGTTGACGTGCTCCATCTGCTCAGAAGAGAGGCTGCTATCAATCAGAAAATGGACCATACCCATGATGCCGTTGAGTGGTGTTCTGATTTCATGCGACATATTGCTCAGGAAGCGTGACTTTTCATCCATAGTTTCCTTCAAATCCCGCTCCAGAGTTTTGTGGTCATTAATGTCGGTGCATGTACCATACCAGGTTTCCTCTTCGTTAGCTTGCTGCACCAGCGGCTCCGCAAGTAGCACACGTACGAGATGCCACCGGTAGTCGCCCTCCTTCGACCTGAGTCTTACTTCCGTGGAATAGAAAGGCTTGCCGTCCAAGTCTCTGGAGACCTTCAGTATGCCTTTACTTGCGAGTTCGGATAGTTTCCGTTGCGGCATCACCGAAGCTGGCGAAGAAGACGAGTCCGAGCTGTGAGCAGGTCTCTCGGTTTCCGATGATCCACTCGAAGATGCTGCCGATGCTGTGTTTGCACGGCTGAGCTCTGGCGGCAGAGAGGTAGGCACTCCGATGGGCTCACCAGTCTCATCGTCGAAATTCGGGAGCCTACATTTGACAAGATCATCTGGGTGAACACAATCGACAAAGCCGAGACCAAGTGCCTGAGCCTCTGTCTGTCCAGAGTAATGGAGCCATTGGCTATTGCAGAATATGACCCCCTTCTTGCGACTGACAGCGAAGACTATCTGCGGACTCGAGTTCGCCAAGGCGCGATACTTTGCTTCAGAGGCAGCCGTCTCTTGCTGGCGAGCAGCGTTCGTCTCTGCGAGATGCTGCTCGTGGAAGTCCATCATCGTACCAATCCAATGAACGATTTTCGAACGCTTGTCCTTCAGTGGCGCAGCTCTAACATAAAACCAGCGGAAGGTACCGTCGAATCTCTCCAAGCGAACTTTCTGTTGCAGCTGCTGAACGGTGCGAAGCGACCTATGCCAACTCGCCATGAACTCGGTGCGGTCGTCGGGATGAATGGCATTCCAAGGCTGGCTCAATACTTGGCGTGGCTCCTGCCCACGATAGATGAGGAATTTGGAGTTCACCCATGAGAGCTGGCCAGTATCCGGCCGAGCAGTGAAGATCTGTACTGGAACAGAGTCAATGATGGTCCGGAGTAAGCGCTCGGATGGTGGAGGCATGTCTTCGCTGTACGAAGCCTTGCGCCCGTGCCCGGCCACAGTCGTAGTAGCTCCTCCAGCAGCCCCAAATGAGCTTTCCAGATCAGCACCGTAGGAGTGCAGAAGCGAGTGCCGCCTCGCAGCATCTGCCTCGGACTGGCCTGCAAAGTGCGAGACAGAGTGATGCATCCCTGGCCGCGAGGGCGAGGTAAGGTCCGAAGCATGTGGGGGGCTTTGTCCTCTAGCAGATTGGGCAATGGATTTGCCGTCCTTCGAGGTAGCGGCCGTGCGAGCTCGATTGTCGGTTTGTGGACTTCGCATCTCCTCCTTTTGGCCCGGAGATACTTTCCGACCAGCTTTCTCCGGGGGAGGCTTGACTGGCATTGCGTGCGTCAATGCATGCTGATTACTGCCGCTTCGCTGCGAGGATCGCTTCTTGGCCTCAAAGTAGTTGTCGACCATTTCAGAGCCAGTCAATGCTGGCGTTACGACGGCAGATTTGCTCGCGCTCCAGCCATGTGCGGCAGGATCCCATCCAGGTGTACCAACGATTGAGCTTGTTGGACTATTTCTGGATCGCCCAGAGTAGTCAGAGGTACTGGTCATGCTGCCCGACACTGATCCCATTGGTTCTTCAAGCTCGGCGTCCATGATATCATCCAGCGAGGTAGGCTCAATCGTCATTGGGGCCCTCCCTAGGTGGTGACCTGACGCAGTCCTACGATGGCGAATACTGATCGCTTGCGGATGTGAGGCAGAAAATTGTTGCGCTGTCGCGAAAGATGTTGCGAGGTGGGGACCGAGTAGTTTCAGCGAGTGAGTAAGGTTAGGTGGGTATGGTATGGTGGAACTTAGCACAGACAGAATCGCAATAGGTGCCTTGCGCTCCATATCCAGGGTGTTACTCCGTAATGGTGGTCCTGGCCGATCGGCTGCTTGTCGCATCCTAAGCGACTGCATAGGCTGAGAAAGTGATGGATGCACCAATGGAATGTGAATCACAGTACTCGCATGATCAATCCCAATCGCTTCGACCTGGCCCAATTGAGAGTAGTCTCTCGGCGTGCCTGTGACAGGGTTGAAAGACTCCTCCACCTGCTGCTCCTCCGAAGCGAAGAACGGGTTGGTATCTTCTTCCTGCTGTATCGCAGGTGAAGGTGCTGGAGATTGTGCCCAAGGGGAAGTGGGATACTGCTCGTACTCTTCGTAATCTCGTCGAGGACCGAACAGATTGTCAGCTACAAATACGCTCCTATAATTTCCCAATAGCTGAGCCGCTTCCGAAGTGGTCGTGTTACCGGTGGCTACGCCACGGCCCATACTGTTTTGCATTGATGTTGCAGATGGTGTGGAGACAGATGCCTCCGAGGTGTAGTCTCGCGTTACAGTGACCACTTTCCCACGTTCTAGTACCCTATTCACCCCTCCAGACTCAATTAAGGGTCGAACTTCATGATCCAGGCTTCGCAAAGCAGGAAACACTTCGGCATACGGTCCTGCATCAATACCACCTGCTATACTACTAAAATCCGGGTCGCTGAGGGTGGCTTGGCCCAAAGCAGCACTCATGGAAGATAGTGATCGCTGCTGGCTTTCTCGAGGATTGACCATGGCACCAGGTGCATGTGTCACGGTACGAAGCGGCCCTTGCGGTCTTGCGCCCGCTTTCGGCAGTGCACCGGCCGTGGCAACATTCTGCGAATCACGTCCGGGAGTCGGACCAGCATAAGAGTGCCGGGCTTGGAGATTTGGTCGCAGTCTTTCCGGGTGGAGTTTTTGCATCTGGAAATCGCGTGTCGATTCCGTAGACGGTCCTCTGAACACAAGATCTGGTCGCTGCAAATGTGCAATCTGTTGTTCGACTACACCATGTGGCACAAATTCCTCACGTCCGTTCATGCTGAATGTAGCTCTCTGACCCCACGGCACATTTTCGATGTCGGTCGGATCCAGCGGTGTGACTAGAGTTACACGATCTGCCTTGTAGTCATCGTGCATAAGATTAGTCACAGTCGCCCACCATTGCTCCAAGCCCGGCTCTGTGTTCAACTGCAATACTGTATCGTAAAGGTTAGGCGTGGGGAATCGCGGATCCTCTTCGCCTTGATATCCCCGTGCTCGTGGCACAAAGTCAAAAGCACCAGCTGCTGGCGTACTACCGCCAGACATGAGGTCGCTGGAGGTTGTACCTGGTGTCTCCAGGTCACCATGCCTTGCGGTAACTGTAGGCGACAGACTCGTGAAAGGCTGATGAAAGTCTGAAGACCACGTGCGCGGTGTTCCTGGCACATAAGGGAATGGGTAAGAAGGGGTGCGCAAGGGCTTCCCATCAGCCGGAGTAGGAGGCAAACTGGCACGAACCGTCTTCGCCGATTCTGTCGATTCGGTAGATACGGTCGACAGTGGGCGCGTCTGTTCCACAGGACTGGCAAACGCATCATTCAGCGAGGGAGAGATTGGCGCGTTCTCCTCCTTGATGGAAGCAGGTCGTTTCGAGCCATAGCTTCCACGTTTGCGTTGCTGCAGCATAAGCTTGGCATTGACAGCCTCCTTCAGCTTTACCAATCTCTCCTCCTCCGTGCCACTGACCACGCGCATGATATCTGGCCGTGGTAGCTCATCACTTATACCATCTCCACCGCCAATCTGTACTTGCTTGCCTCCACGCGGAGCGCTAGCCTTGCCACGTCGGGCGACACCCTCCTGTCCTTGCGCAGCCTGCTCGAGTTCTGATAACCGTACTGGAGGTGATCGCACCAGGTTGGGCCGAGGATATGACTGCTGGTCTGTAATTTCTGGTCTCGAAGGTCGTCCAGTCGGCGTTGGCTCTGTCTCTTCGTTCTCTGAATCATCGTCAGACGGTGGAGATGCTGCTACCGAAGACTTCATCGCGCTGTCCAGCCCTCCTCCTCCAACACTCGCAAACACAGCCGATCATGAACTGGGTCCAGCGCGCACCCTACAGCGATACGTGGAGTCATCAGCTAAGCGCGCGAAGGTAATCGTTGTGTCTTGCAGACCCGGAGAACTAGCGCGTAAGACACACTGAACGTGAGGTGCGCTTCTCAGAAAGATGACGTAGGGGGTCAAGGGCATGTGCTTCCGATTGAAATTAGGCAAGTCAGGGTCTGCGGTGTAACGTCCGAGACAGCCATGGTCCAACCAAATGTTCAACCCACCGTTATTCAATATGTTGGCCAAAATACATTGGTTAGTCTCGGCGAGCGGCACTTCTGCGAGATCAGCACAGGACCTTGTTTACGCGAGCTACGCTTGGTTCCTGGACTAACAATTATCGTGAGCCAGTGCACTTTGCATCGACCGCGGCACTTCAATCAGAATGTTTCACGCAGCTCTGTCGTGTCGTTACGAATCGCAAGGCCGGCGCCTACGACACGACCCAGTGCGGCTCTTGTTTGTGGCAAATGCAAGAGATCTCAACTATTAGCAATGTCATCCCACGTGTGATCGACACGTCCCTCTGCAGACGCACTACCGCGATTGTTCCATGACATGGACTTGCTTGACTCGTACAAACCATGTCACTGCTGCAGTACAGAGCTGGCTCGGGTCCCAGGAACGTATATGCAGGATTGATCTATTGTTCTTTGCCGTGAAACCCACACGCTCCACGGTACTGCTTAGATCTTTCAACCATGTGCTACGCAAGGTACGATTCTAATCAATATTTCATGACCAGCTGATTACCTCCCTGGCATACTGTCCTCCAAGTTGTCTAGATGGGAAATATCGACTTAATGCAACAGAGCATCGAGCGGCTGGCCTAGTACACTACACTGCGCGGCGTCTGGGAAAGGCCTCATGGCACCGTTCCACTGCAACTCCATCATTTCTGGCTGCTTTGCATTCACCGCATTCCAAGGACCGGCGATTGTGGTTTGGCGGAGCGTATCCCAATAGCCTCGAGCAGTGAGGAAGGCTGGGTTCGGGTTTGGGTCGAGCTCCCGTGCAAAGGCAGTCCAGTAGTCGACCGTCAGCTGGGCGAACGGGATATCGTACTGATCACGCTCCGGAAAGCCACTTCTAGCGAAAGTGCCAAAGCTGATGGACAAGTCTCCGGCATGGCATTTGAAGTACTCTAGTTCGGGATCACCAGCAGGATGAGTCGAGGTGACGGGAGCCTGACACGCGCCGTTCATGTTGTAGCCCGGATCTTGGTAAGTCCTGTTGAACTCGAAGAACCATGTCTTCGGAAAGATGCCAGTGCTCGCTGCTGCAATGATAGTGTTCTCGTCACTGCAGTGGAAGCCGCCATCTGTTGCAATACGAACTGTGGTATTGAAGACCTGGTTGATTAAAGTGTTGTTGTTCGATGGTGTGCTGCCCAGTGGGAACTCATCGAGATGCGTGAGGATGGCGTTGAGCTCCGCAGTACTGTAGCCTTGCGAGGCGGCGAGATCCACGATACTCTGTGTGAGATTCGTGGTATCGAAATTTGGGATCAGCACACCCTCTTCGTCACGGTTGACTCCCGAGATGACTGGGACAGAAGAGATGTCCCTCCCAGCAGCGCTAGCATTGAGATTGATGTAAGAGCTCGTAAGGTATGTACCATCAATGACTGGGTAGTTGAAGTTTGTGGGTAAGTTGATCAGAGCGGTCGCATTGTATGCCTGCAAGCAGGCAAGCTGATTCGTCGTCGTATTGCAGCCAGTCTCACGCAGGATGGCATTGGTGGTCCGATTCACGGCTTGAGCTACTGGCACGTAAGGCTGATAGTAGTTGCTCTGCATAAGGGCGCCACGGAAAAGACCAATGGCCTTTGGCGAAGCGAGAAGGGCTTGCACACTTTCGGCACCGGCACTACAAGACTGTCAGCGAAGCTCAACGATCGACCTATGGGGTATTGCCGCCTCACTCACCTTTCGCCAAAGATCATCACTTTTTCTGGATCGCCTCCCATATATGAGATGTACTTCTGTATCCACTCAAGCCCGGAGATCAAATCCGATATCCAATAATTGCCATTGTGCACCCCATCGTCCAGAGCCAGGAAGCCAAGACTGTTCAAGCGATACGCAATATCAACGACGACGACATCGCCACGAGATGCCTGCATGCTGCCATCATTCGTGGGGTTGCTAGCGGATCCAGTAGCGAAGCCACCACCATAGATATATACCATCACAGGCTTGAGGTCCTTCTTGGCCGGCTGCTCGGAGGGTAGACTCGTGGTCCAGATGTTGAGGAACAAGCAATCGGTGCTGCCGTTATTGGGAGCTTGCAGACACTCCGGGGCGGGATTGAGAGCGTTGTTGACACCAGTAGCATTGGTAAATACGCTCGAGTACGTGAACCTCTCCGGCTCCTCGGCGAATCTTACACCCTCGAAGCGGAAGGTATAAAAGTCTCTATAGCCAACCAGAGTCTGCTGGCCAACGGCCTGCGCTACCTGGAACGGAGCAGTCGTGTTGGCGAAAGTGCTGTTCGATGGTGTGGCGCTCTGTGTACACAAGGCAGGTAGCTGAGAGTTGCAGTCTACCGTATGGCATTGACCCTTGACATCAATGGCCTGACATTGTGGCCTACGGTGGTGATGTTGCCATCCCGATGGTAGGGTATCTGCAGCGATCCAAAGCAGCTGATCGGCCGCCAAATGTCCAGCGAAGACCTCATAAGCTAGGGACTGATTCAACCCAGCATCGAAGTTCTGTACGTTAGGCGACCAAAGCTGTTCGCTCAGAGCCGAGCAGGCTTGTTCAGCGGCACTGTAGGGCTTCCTTGAGCTTAAGAGGAGTGTTGCGCTGGTTTTGGAGGCATCACTGACTAGACGATGATAAGTGAATGCTTCAGAGCGTTCTTGGATCCTTCGTCATGCCTTACTTCTTAGGTTGTTCTGCGCCAGAACAGTAATATCGCCAAGCTGTGCAGTCGATGGCGTCGCACTAGCCGTGGCAAGCAAGCCAAGCAGCGGCGTTAAAAAGAGGAAGGAACGCATCTTGGCAACAAGCACACCTGATCTGCACCATCTTCAGAGCCATGCTGTACTTTATACGTTCTTTCTTCCCTGATGCTCACCAATGTGCCGTGACCCGGTCAATGGGCGCACTCGTGAGGAGTGCGTCGAGGTACCGGCTAAATGTGCGAAAACTCCACCTGCCGTGCCGTTGAAGAGTTGTCGTCATGATCACATATGGTTAGCAAGCTGAAAGGAACGCGAGATATTCTTCGAAGGACAGTTGTGAAAGATTGCGGTGGTAGATGCCGTTGGGAGATTGTCGTCGAGGCTCTTTGTACCCCCTCTTCTCCATGGGGTCGTCAACCCTACAGGCTGATATTAAGGACTTATCCAAGTGGTCGATCACCCAAGGCGACTGCTGCTGAAGCATCCGATGTCTGTAGTAAACGTGAAAGGGCTGTGGAGATGCCGTAGGGCTCGAAGCAATGCATCCTCGTCGATCATGCTTCCTAGTGCTATATACAGACCTATAGCCAAGGCCGTTGTCTATCCCTAACATCCATGTCCATTTACCCCCTTCCATGCACACTGCACTCGCTATGCAAGAAAACAAGCCAACGCCAACGCTAAGCTCATCGTACAAATAACCAGCATCACATATCGCAGATCCACACCACTTTCCCCACGCACCCCAGCACTCCTCGAAGCCGTGGGCGTGACCAACCCAGCCGTACTCGACTCAGCAACAAGTCCATTCCCAGAACTCATTCCTTCCTGATTTCCACTAGGCGCACCACTCTGCGTGGTAGCGCCTAGCACCTGCCCGATAGCAAAAGGCGGATTGCTGATCTGGCAATTAGACGGATAAGCAGTCGTGGGAAATCCTCTGATATCCCAGCCAGTTGACACACCAACAGGTACAGTGGCGGTCATGAGAAAGCCTCGAACGTCGTAGGATGTGACTATCTCATATCCGGAAGCCGAACAAGAAACCAGCGGTGAGGCCGCCGGCGATAATGCAGGCGAGGCGGATTGGGACGTCGACTACGGAAACCAAAGTCAGCTGGAAGTTCATTTGATTGTTTATAGCGCACTAGGCAGGGGTTTTAGGGATGGTGCTTACTGACAGGTGCAGCACTAGGAGGCACGACTTTTCCGGAACCATTCACGGTCCATCCAGATGGGAGGCCGGGGTATGTGGTGTATGTCACAGAGGCGCTTGTGACGGTCGAGACGGTCCAGCCTCCGGAACCGGGAGCGGTACATGTTGAGCAGTCGGCGTGTGTGCCATCGAACGGTATCACATTGCCGGACGAAGTCGAAGTAATAGCTGGTGCTGCAGTGTCGGTACCAGATGCAGCGCCGATGTTGCCGTTCACACTCCCGCCAGTCGATTCAATGGATTGCCAGTTACCGCTCATGTCGCCATAGGTGTATTGTTTGCCGGTCGAGTAGTCGGTCACAGCAATGTTCTGAACATACATCGTGAAAGGACCAGCTGCGTAATTCGTGACTCCTCCAGACCAGGCGATCGTGCCTTGAGGGTTTGAGGGATCGCCGCCGGACCAGCTACCAATCTTGACCTTGCAAGGAGTTTGTGGGTATTGCCCATGTGCGTCGTTGAAGCCAAGCACTCGTACCGTCGTTCCATCGATCTGCCACACAATTTGCTGTTCCGTCCACTCGATCGTATATGTATGCCATTGCCCTTGCGTGTTGGTGACAGCATGCACAGCCGCTCGATCGTATGTTGTCGTCTGACCTTTTCCAAAGTAATTGCTCTGCACCTGATCATTGGCTCCTCCGACCCATTCCCAATCTATCTCGTCCAGATCATCTGACTGCAGTACGCTTGAACTGACAATACCAGTCCCCGGGGCTGACTTCATCGTCACAGAGACCTTGCCAAACATGATGTACCAGTTCGATTCGATCGTTGGCGAGTCGCCCGATTTGGCGACGGTAAAAGCTGCACCATTTGAGCTGTATGCGACGTTACCAGAGGATGTGAACTGATTCGAAGCGCCGCTCCTGAAGTCCGCTGTTATTGATGTGCCCAACGCTGGGTCGGGTTGACATCCGCCTTGTGCTGTTGGGTTGCATTTCGTGTACGTCTGTTGTATCGACGGCTGCGCAAATAGTAATGCGGACAAGGTAGTAAGCGTCGCAATGCGCAAAGGTAAGCTCATGGCCAGGAAGTCTCTGAGTGCGAACATTTCGAGGATGTCGTGCCTGAGAACTGTCGTGAATGATTAATTGCTCGATGGAGCGTGGCAGTTAGTGTCTTGCGGGAGGAGAATTGTTGTGCGAGGGAAAGGACGGATGGAAGCGTGCATGCAGTGAAATACTTAGTGTAGCCACCCAGCCTCTCGTTACAGTACGATCACAGTATGACGATGCCAATCGCTGCTACGCATTCAGCTGGTCGCTGCGTGGTGCTTGCATGGGTGTGGCGGCTGTGGTTGGCTACTGTGTTGGGAGAGGTTGGTATTCCGGTTGGCAAGCCAGCCACCCCCGGCTGCTGACTGACGACCGCTTCGGATACATCCGCCGCTAGCATTTCGCTTGCAATGACTCGAATTTCGGAGGCCAATCCATCAGGAGTGGAAGCGGACACGTACCTGAAATACATCGGGCGAGGATGTCGTTGACCAATGCATCACCAGAGGAAGCTGCTCGCGCTGCCAAGATATCATCAAGGACTCTAGCAACACTTCCAACCACCGCAAGAAACAATGCCTTGGATGCCATTCATGATGCCTTGGCCGCCGAGCGAGATTCGATCTTGGCGGCTAACGCAAACGATCTGGAGCTGGCGAAGAAATCTGCTGCCAATGGTGAACTCAGTGCCAGTATCCTGAAACGTCTTGATTTGTCTCGAAAGGGTAAATTCGACGACATGCTTCAGGGCATCAAGGACGTTCGAGGTTTAGAAGACCCTGGTAGGTACTTGATCTTCTCTCATTGTCACCGGATTCCGTGTCTTGTATCTATCATACTGAACACTCTGCTGACTTTCCAAAAGTCGGCAGGGTGGACTTACGCACAGAACTAGACGAAGGCCTCATTCTCCAGCGGCAAACCTGTCCAATAGGCGTCCTTCTCATCATCTTCGAGGCCCGTCCCGAAGTCATTGCAAACATAGCCTCTCTAGCCATAAAATCAGCCAACGCTGCTATTCTGAAAGGTGGCAAAGAATCGACAGAGTCTTTCAAAGCGATATCGACGATTATTTCCAAGGCACTGGCAGGCACAGAAGTGCCGAATGACTCAATACAGCTTGTCACTACTAGGGATGCTGTGGATCCGTTGCTGGAACTGAGTCAGTACATTGACTTGGTTATTCCTCGAGGCTCGAACGAGCTCGTGAGCTATTGTCAACGCAAAGCACACATGCCCGTGCTTGGACACGCAGACGGTCTATGCACAATCTACATCCACTCCGATGCCGACAAAGAAATGTGTGTGAACGTAGTCGTGGACTCAAAGACAGACTATCCAGCCGCCTGCAACGCCGTCGAAACCCTCCTAGTCCACGAAGACGCGCTCGAAACCATCCTCCCAGCCGTAGCAGAAGCCCTAATAACCAAAGGCGTCGAACTCCGCTGCGACGAACCCTCCAAAACCGCACTATCAAAACATCTCCCTCAAGACCAGACCTCCCTTCTCCGCGCCTCGACAGAAGCAGACTACACCACCGAATTCCTCGACCTCACCCTCGCCATCCGCACAATCCCCTCCACTCCCTCCCCCGTCGACGCCGCAATTACCCACGTAAACACCCACGGCTCCCACCACACCGACTGCATCCTCACCTCCTCGCCTCAAACCTCCACCCACTTCAGCAACGGCATCGACTCGGCCTGCAAATTCTGGAACTGCAGTACCCGGTTCTGCGACGGCATGCGTTTTGGTTTTGGGACTGAGGTGGGGATTTCCACGAATAAAGTGCATGCGCGGGGACCGGTGGGGTTGGAGGGGTTGATGATCCATGAGTATCGACTTGCTGGACAGGGGCAGGGGGCGGCGATGTATGGTGGGAGTGGGGGCAAGGGCTTTAGGCATAAGAAGTTGCCACTTGCATAGATTCGTACATAGTATATTTACACACATGAAATCCTGACAGCTACCTGGCTGCCTGCCTGACTGACTGTATCCAAGCTCCGGAGTACCCAAACAGAGATCCAACTCGCGAGCCACGACCCAACCATCACTTCCCCCAACTCCAACACCCTTCCTCCCTTCCAGATCCACATCCCGGAACCGGAGTACGCCTTATCCGACTCCGCTTCCCACTCTTACATCCACAAACACAACTTGCCCGACGCAGTCCCCGCCGCCACCCAATCCCTACTCTGATGAAACATAGCCACAGCCGGCACAGCCGTAATCCCCTCCCCCCCCAACTGCGCCAACTGCTCCCCCCGACTCGTATAAATATCCACAAACCGATTCATATTCCCAATCACGAACCGCTGGATCCCATCGGCGGGTTGTAATTGCCATTGCGCGCGGAGAATCGTGACCCAGCGGCCCGTTTGGTTGTTATGCGGTATAATCGTCGTTGGGGCCATGGCCGCCTCGCTGAGTTCGTGCCCGCCTGGTTTCCACGTTGCGGCGTCAGGGGGTAAAGTGTGGATTTTTATCGTATCGTCATAGGATGCCGTGGCGATTTGGCCTGCGGAGTTAAAGGCGGCGTGGGAGACGGAGAGTTTGCTTTCGTGTTCCCCCATCAGGAACGGAGATCGCGCCTCCCCTTTTCCGGTTATCTTCCGCAAATCCCAGATTTTGAGCGTGCGGTCTAGGGATGCTGTGGCGAGAAGATGCGGCTGGGCGGGATGTAAGCTGAACCCGCCGATTTTCTTCTCGCAGAGCTGGAAGATTTCCGCTTCTGTTGAAGGGGTGCGCAGGTCGTGGAGGCCGAAGGCGCCATTGAGGGTGGTGAAGTGTAGGCGATTTGGATCTTGACGGCTTATTTCTACGCCTGAGATGGGGTCGTCGGCGCCTTTGTCTTCGGGGGCGTAGATTTCGATCGCTTGGCCTTTTTCCAGATCGAGTTTGCGGATGGAAGAGTCGTAGGAGGCTGTTAGGAGGGCGTTCTGGTCGTGAGGCGAGAATTGAAAGGCGCTGATTGTGCGGGTGTGGATTTTGAAGGTGGTGATGGCTGGTTCGATCTCGTCGTCTACATCGCCATCTTCGTCTGCATCGTCGGCTTCTTGTTTGACTTGCTCGGGGCTGGTTTGCGAGCTGTCGAAGAGGCCGAGATTGCCTAGCTTGTCTCCCGCAAAGACGAGGGCTTTGTCGCGGGTGGGGTGGAGGCCGAGACTGTAGATTCGTTCGGGGGTGATTTTGATTCGATTCGGTTCGGCGCCTTCCCAGAGTTGGAGGCTGCTCATACGTTGGCGGATTTCGCGGAGTTCTTTGTCGGATGTCTCCTTGACATCTTGGGCATCGAAGGTTCGTTCCCCGGGGTTGGCGGGTCCGAAGGCTGTCAGCCAGTTGCCGGATTTGTTCCATGTTCGGCCGTTGACGACGGCGTCAACGAGGTTGATGTCTTCGCTGAACCGCTGTCGCTTGGCTCGTTGCGCTTCCTGGAACACCTCGGCTTCCTTTTCTTCCTTCTGTCGTGCCACTTCCGAGTCGGCAACGATGCCTTTGAGACGGGATGAAGTTCGACGAGGCGCGTTGTCCTCTTCCTTGACCTTTGTCAATTGTCGTTTCCTCTTTTGACCGCTTGAGGTAGACGAGGATGATTTGGGCTTCGACTTGGGTCCCAGACCAGTCTGTTGCGCATCGAGTTGGAGCTGCTGTAACAATGCCTGGTTCTTGGCGATCTTCTCTTGTCGCTGCTGCTCATACTCGCTGAGCTGCCCGACTCCCTTCTTGACCGCCATCTCCGTCTATACTCCTGCCTCGATGTATGAGCTCAGACTCTCTCCACACGAAGTCCTTCTGCATGTACTGAGCGTCAGTGCTATACTATGCTATCCCATGCGACTTCGACGAGAGACGATGGCACAATACCACCGTACTGATCGTTTCATTGATCGCGTCCAGGCCAATGACGACATTCTCGTGGTCGCGACGCGTTCCTGACTCAGCGTTCAAGATTGAGATTTGCTACGAGCATCTGAAGGAATATCCGACATACTAGTGCCATCAAACGTGCCACGGCTGTCGCAGCATCCACTCTTCCTTCGCCGAGCATTGCTGATGCTCGAGAGGGCATTACTGAAAGTCCCGCGATGGCGATGTGATGACATATCCCCCGCAGGCAGTCTACTGCCCTTCCTGTACTGCACCAGCACCATTCAGCGCCGTCAATATGCACGTGTGAGGTCTACTGGCCATGTCAGACCCTCGCGAGACGATGGCGATGGAGTTCGAAGAGTGGCATATGCCAGGAGGCCGCCGAGGACGATGGGGTCTGATCGCAACGACGGCATGAATCGTCCGCAAGATCGCCAGCACGAAAGGCCATATCGGCCCTCGCGCCAAGACGGCCAAGATACCGTTGACCACCTTGTACAACGCTCGGCACCTGAGGAGGAGGATGTGCCGTTCGAGGATGCATCAGATGAGCAGCGAGCAGGCTTCAACCCCGACAAGTCAACCATCACGCCCAGGGAGCGCCAAACCTTCGAGAAGCTCTTCAGTCTACAGAAGCAAGCCAAACCACCGGGACAGAGAGACGGAACAGGCGTACAGAATTATAAGGTCCAAAACACCAGCCTAGACGCCATCCTCGACTCAGCCATGTCCGACATCACCACCCGCAGCCGACACACCCCCAAGTTCCCCCCCGCCCTACAACCCATGGCGGAAGAAGCCCGCTCAAAAAATCAACTAACCACCACCCTCGCCATCCGCACCAACGACGACTCCGCCCGCAGCAAAGAAATCCAACGCGATTACACCCACGTAACCAAACTCATGACCTCCGCCCCTTCGGACCAAGAAACCTGGAAAATCCTCAAAGGCCTCGTCTTGAATCGCGTCGCAGCGCTCAGACTAGATGTTAATGGGGAGAGCACCACCTACCAAACCCAAGCCGGCAAAAGCTGGGCCAAGACCGAAACGAACATTCTCAAGAAGAAGAGGTCGAAAGCTTCCGTCTTCAAAGACGCCCCGAATTTATCTGAGCTGCAGATCTTGACCGTGAATCTGCCTGCTCATCTTCAGGATTTCATGGGGTACATGTCCATCCATTTCCCGTCTTCCCCACTACCACTAAACCTCCTGCCCGCACTCAAGAAAATCGGTCCCTCGGCTTTCGCTCTAGGTGTAACAACCACTCTATACAACTCCCACATCTCCCTCCTCCATACCCACCACCCGACAGCCGTGCCCACCATCGTCGAAGTCCTGGAGGAAATGGACCGGGAAGTCTATTCTTTCGATGATCAGACGCTGGAGGTGGTGGAGAAGGTTCTGAGGAGTCTGAGTGGATATCGACATGGGCATAGTGGGAAAGCGGTGCAGATCCTGTTTTCTAGTGAGAGGGTGACGAGGGGCGTTAAGGATTTGACGGAGTGGAGGAGGATTATGCTTGGTAGAAGGCAGGAGGATGCTTTAAGGAAGGCTAGGAAGGGATTGGAGGGTGCTGGGGGTGCTCATGGTTGATAGAAGTCTGTTCTGTCTTGCACTCAACCAATGATGCTATATGCAATGCAATGCTATCCCAAGACAAAAGCGCTACAGATATATGCAAACTACACAAGTCCTTCTACTCTACAGCCAATGTCGTATCATAACAATCATCAACCAGTTTTCATCCCTCCAATACTGCCACCACCAATACTACCACCACCACCACCACCGCCACCACCACACCAACACCCCCCACCCTCCCCCTCCCTCTCAACCTGAACCACAAGATCCATGCCCCTCTCCCCCGCGAACTCCAACACCCTCACCCTCACATCCTCCACGTCCGCCGCCTGCGCCGCAAAAACATGAATAACACCCATGACCTTCTGCCCTCCCCCACCATCCCCGTGATCATGCCCATGATGCTCATGCCCATCCCCACCATCCCCCCTATCATCCACCCAAAACCTCGGCCCCGCATACCCCACCACCCCCCTCATCTCACTAAGCTCCTGCAACATACCCTTGGCCCCATATTCCAATTGATCAGGCACTACTAGTAACAATTTCTGGCCCGAACTCATCACCAATGGCACAGCGGCGGCGAAGATCAAGGCCGCGATGAGGATTGTTGCCATGGGGTCCCAGAGGTACCAGGGTTTGTAGAGGGTAAGGGCTGTGCTGAGGATGACGGCGAGGGAGCCGCCGGCGTCGGCGGCGATGTGGAGGTAGATGCCGCGCATGTTTTCGTTGTGTTGGGGGGCTGGGACGTGGTGGGTGTTGGGGGCCGATTCTTTGTGGTCGTGGTCGTGGTCGCAGGTGTGGTTTGCGGACTTGGTGTGGCCGTTGGATTGGGCGTGGTCGTGGTCGTGGTCGTGGTCGTGGTCGTGGTCGTGGTCGTGGCTGGTGTGCTGCGAGTGGGTGGGCGTGTGAGTGTGGTTGTGATCGTGGCTAGCGATCGAGTGGCTGTGAGAATGTCCGTGGTCGTGACCGGCGTGCGAATGACCATGCTCATGCCCGTGCCCATGCGAATGGCCATGATCATGCCCCCCATGCGCATGCCCAAAAGCAAAGAGCCCAACCAAATTAACCGCCAGTCCAGCAGAACTGACCACAAACAACTCCTTGACATGTCTCAGCTCCGTCCCCTCCATGATACCCTCGATAGCTTCCCAGACGAACTCCACACTGACCAGCATGAGGAAGACACCATTCCCAAATCCAGCCAAGGTATTGAGCTTGCCCCAGCCATAAGGTTTGTCCGGCGATTCAGGCCATTTCGAGGCGACGGCCGCTCCTAGGCCGACGATTAGACCCAGGCAGTCGAAGAACATGTGTACGGTGTCGCTCAGTAATCCTAGTGAGCCGGAGAGGTACCCGTATACGCCCTGCACGAACATGAAGCCGAAATTTAGTAGGGTGAAGTAAGCGATTCGTCTCGAGTCCTTCTCACTTAGGATGCCGTGGATCATGGAGCCCGGCTCGCAATGGCCAAGGATGAATTTCGTGATGGCCGAAGGGCCCTTATCAGCCGTTTCCTGCTGGCCATGGCCATGAGAATGTGTATGCGAACTATGTGCGTGATGTTCGTGAACAGGCGTGTCGTTATCAAAAGCATTCGTATCGTACAAGACAGCCACACCAGACAGCGCAGATAATCCTCCATTGACGATCGTGCCTGGCCAGAAAGTAGGTGAGTACATGAAAGCGCAGCATGCAGTCGTTAGACAGCCGAGTCCGAGACCTGCTCGGTGTTGGCTGCGGAGGGTGTGGGGTTGGGAGAAGATGATGGCGCCTGTCATGGCGGCGATGGCGAGGGTGCTAAAGGTTAAAGCGGTGGTGTTTATGGCTGGGGAGGTTGACCAGATATAGGAGAGGGTGATGGTCAGGAGGGACATTAAAAGCCCGGAGATGAGGGTCATGTTGACGTCTGGGACTGAGGCTAGCAGGGGTGAGGTCGCTGGTAGTCTGCTGCTGGTCGTCCATGAGGCTGAGGTCGGCCCTTTTGATGCCGGTGTCGAACCTGTTGATAACTTAAGCGGTAGCTGTGACGGTATGAACAGAGCTGACGCGAGAAGAGCAACGTATCCAGACAGTGTGTGCGTGAAGGGAGCACGGAAGGTCCAGCCGATCATGTCCAACGTTATGCTCAGCAGTACAACCACCAATGTCGTTGTCCGTGTCGATAGAATGTGCTTCCATTCATGTAGTGTCCTCCTGAAAGGCACATTCGCGTCTGTGATACCAGCCGCTGTGCAAGACAGCAGCACGAGCCCGGTCCGCAGTCCTCCAACCTGCATGGCAGCGTAAAACGGCAGGCCCAGACTAAAGGCCCGTAATGCCATCGTCCGTACCGAACTCGGGCTCGCCAGCGCTCTGACCTGCTGTTGCATACTCGCAGGCTCCTTCCGTCGATCCAGCTGTCGCTCCCCAGCCCGTATCTTTGCTATAATGCCGACCAGTAAGAGTGTACCAGACGTCAACGTGCACGCCTCGATAAAGCCAGAGTCGCTGCTAAACTTCTGCTTTGGCAGGACTCTACTCTGTCCACCTGCCCCATGCTGGAGCCGCGCATATGCAGGTAGCTCATGCGTGCCTCCACTCAGCTCTTCGTGTGTGATGGTCGAGTATGCAGCAGAGGCAAGCAGATACGGTAGAGGTATGAGAAGGGCCGTCAAAGCTTCAGGCAAGGAGAACCATGATGAGCTCGCCGTCGATATCCTTGGCAGACTTGGTCTGTATGCTGGGCTGCGCACGTCCGCCGGCCTGCCCAGATCCGACTCTCCTCGTGGTCTACTGCTCTTTGTTCTCATGTGGCCAAATCGTGAAGGCGGCGGAGCGTTCAACCTCTGGTTGTTCTCAAAGGCGTAGATGTTGTGCTCGAAGGGCGTCTTGTACTCTTCCACACCAGGCGAAGGCAGAGGACTTGTCTCTCGGCTCGTCTCGGCATGGGTGTAGAGTTGGTTGTGTGAGGAAGCCTTCTTGACTGTTGAGTGGCTATTGTTTATGGTGTTTCCATTCTGGAATGTCTTGCCAGGCGATAGGTATGGTCCACCACCGTACGATCGACTATGCCCATGATGTGCGTGCTGCTGCTGCTGGCCACTTCCTCCATTCGCATTGGCATATGGAAGTGCATAGCTTGAAGCCATACCTGCGATGTCTGTACTCGATTGACCTCCAACGCTACGCAGCCATCTGTCCTCGATACCAGCGCAAGACAGTGCTCGTGGTTAGACTTCACTTACACCGTTGACAGCATAGTATCTGCCAAGGTGGAGGAGCAGCACGGATCTCTTTGCTGCCCCTATCCAAATCGATTGTGAAACACGCGCTGCGGAAGACGTGGAGCACGCATCGATCTGCTGGGCCGGTCCGCTGTGGCGGTGCGAAAAGTACCTCGTGTCGGGACCACAATCACTTTCGATATATGTAGGCTGATTCAAAGAATAGCAGGCCAGCGACAATGGCGAGCTTCTGGCTTTTACTCTGGGAATTCTCATTAACCATCGCTGTGGTTATCTCGATACTTGTGACAATCTTTCTGGTCACATTGCCGTCGGCCTACAGTCATTTTCATCCTCACGAAATCAAGGAGACCGACTTTCAAGACAAGGACAAGGAGGATGCTACACAATCTGGTTATGCCTACTTTCAAGCTCACAAGGAGAAGGATAGAACTCTCAAAGCTCAAGCCTCTGTCCAAGTAGTAGTTCTCGGTGACATCGGTCGATCTCCTCGCATGCAGTACCATGCCCTCAGCATTGCCAGCCACGGAGGAAAAGTCGACCTCATCGGCTACGTCGACCCGTCCGTCGACATAAATCCGGACGTCAAAGCTCATCGATTGATAAACATCATCCCGATACCAGTCTTTCCTTTTGGAACGAAGAACAGACTGCTATTCCTTCTGCTAGCCCCATTCAAGGTCGCCTGGCAGTTTCAAGCACTATATCATGCTCTCGGCTACCGGACAAAGGCTTGCCGATGGATGTTGATCCAAAATCCACCTTCAATACCTACACTCCTTGTCGCGAGGATTATCTGTTTCTTCCGCAATACACAACTAGTCGTTGACTGGCACAACTTTGGCTACAGCATTCTCGCACTTCGCCTGGGTCCACGCCATCCTCTGGTCAGACTGTCCGAGTGGTATGAAGGCTTCTTTGCCAGAGGTGCTACAGCTCACCTTGCTGTTACCAATGCTATGTGTCGGGTGCTGAAGGAGAAGTGGAGTATCGACGCCTTGCCTTTGCATGACAGACCTGCGAAGCACTTACGACCACTTACAATCGCCCAGCGAATCGAATTTCTGAAAACGAGACCCGAGCTACAGGGTCAACCTTTTGACCTCGAACGCCGATCGTGGCGTCTGATCGTCAGCTCGACATCTTGGACGCCAGATGAGGACTTCTCGATCCTCCTTGACGCCGTAGTCCAATACGCTGCGGAACGCAAGCAGAAGCGAAATCTGCCACGAATCTGGGCCGTGATCACAGGCAAAGGTCCACTACAAAGCTACTACCTCGCCAAGGTCCAGCAGCTAGTGAGCGAGGGCAAGCTAGATGAAACAATCATATCAACCGCCTGGCTCACCACAGATGACTACGCCCGATTGCTTGGCTCGGCTGATCTTGGCGTCTCCCTTCACACATCATCTTCTGGGGTCGACCTACCGATGAAAGTGGTAGATATGTTTGGTACGGGCCTGCCAGTAGCAGGATGGAGCAAGTTCAAGGCATGGCCGGAGTTGGTCAAGGAAGGCGAGAACGGAAGAGGGTTTGGCAGCGCAGAAGGGTTGTGCCAGGTGCTGCAAGACTTATTTGGGAGTGACGACAGGGAGCTCAAGAGGCTGGGAAACGGCGCATTGAGAGAGCAGGAGCGAAGATGGGACGACGAGTGGATGCCTGTTGCTGGCAAGCTGTTTCGACTGCACTAAAACATGACCACCTTGCGATAGTAAGGCAGCGATGGTCCGCCCAGTGCGCCGTCTCTATGAATGGCTGATGACAGCCTCTATCTTCGATCGCATAGATTAGATACCACCCTCATATCCGAACCATGACTCGCCACCCAGCCTTCGCAACACGCGCCGCTACAAGCAGAACACCACCCATTAAGAAAGAAGTGCCAGCCCATATCAGCGCGTACAGATAATCGCCGTCTCGCATCTGTATCAGCGCGCCTGCAAGTGGCGGGCCAGTCAGACAGGCGAAGCTGACAAGACTAAAGCCCATACCCATCCTGATACCTGCTTTACTCAGATCCTCCGTCAGACTCGCCAATGTAGCAGGCCACACACTCTGTATACCGGCAGAACCCGCTCCGTATATCGCTGCGAAGACGTAGAGAGTGGCAGGTGTCTTGACGCCGATCCAGGCAAACATCATGATGCTGCAGAGGAAGACCCAGGGTAGGAGGACGTTTAGGGGCCCGAGTCTGTCGGCGAAGTAGTTCGGCAGGAGGCGGAAGATGAAGCCCATGCAGACCATGGTAAGGAGGAGGTTGATGGAGTCTTGATAGCTCATGCCTAGATTATTTCGACCGAAAGAGCCGACGTAGAAAAAGGCGAAGTATAGTCCCTGAGTAAACGTCAGGACAGATCCGCAACCCGCCTCGGAATTTGCTTACCCAAAAGAACAGAAATGCTGAGCCGCAAAACAAAACATAAGGCGCCTCTTTAAATGCCGCCCATTCGATGATCGGTCCACTTCGTCGTGGTGGCAGTCGTGTGCGGTACAGCGCAACAGTAATGATGTCGATTATCAGCATGATGAAGCCGATGATCCGGATCGTCCATCCGAAGCCAATGCGCGGCAGAAGCTGTTGGACAAGGATCGGGAAGACAACTCCTCCCGTACACGATCCCAAGGCCCCTACACCCAGCGCGATAGCTCTCCTTCTTGAGAAGTATGTGCTAACCAGCGCCATAGTTGGGCAGAACTGCAGTCCATTGGCTATACCCATACAAAGCCCCTGGGCGAGAAAGAGCTGCCAGTACTGTGTCGCGACAGAAGTGGTGAAGATGCCGATGAGCTGCATGACGCAGCCTGCGATGTAGACGGGACGGAAGTATCCTGCATCCAGTGCTCGGCCAGAGAAAGTGCCGATGAAGAACAGGAGCCAGAGTTGGACGCTGCCTACCCATGAGATGGTGGATGGAGCGACGTTGAGTGTGGACTCATACCAGGTCTGGAATGACCCGAACGCTGTCGTGTAGCCGAATGTAACTGAGCAGATGGTCAGTATGTGTGCTTGTCAACCTCGCCGTTCCACTCACCGAAGATCGTTAGATGCAGTAGTACAGCCTGCGTCCACGCTGCCCTGCCACCATCGGGAGGCGGTCCTGGGTCCTTCCACGATGTCGTCGATCTGTTCGTCAGAGCTCGAGACAACACATTCGATCGTATACTAAGTGCCTTCCCATGGTTCGCTGTAGGTCTAATAGCGTCGTCCTGCGAGCCAGCCATAGCCGTCGTGTCTACTGCTACATCGCTACCATCGGCATCAGACCAAGCGGCATTCTGATCGTCGTCCTGGTCAAGCTTCTCCAGATCGACGCCAGGTAAGGCTTGAGACTTCGTTGTCGACATCCTGACAGCCCCGAAAATGTTTCTGGGTTCCGTCTAGAATATGTGACTAAAATTGCAAGGACGTTTGGGTACTGCTGATCATGACGAATTGATAAATGAAGAACGTCGATCCCTTGAGAGAAATATGCTTTGATCAACAAGATAGTAGTATAAACGCTCTGTATGCCTTTTAACCAGCAGCAGGTACTGTTCTGATACTAGAGATGATTTCGAAAGAGTCTCAGGTGATGTCTGTGTGGCGGTAAATACCGGTCTGCCGTATGTATGTGCTACAACGAAAGAGGTGAAGTCGGGTGTGTCGATGTACAGGAAGTGGAGCAGAATTTGATTTCGCCTCGGCCGAGTCAGAACCAGAAGGAGCACTGATCGTCGCACAAGAACTGTAGGACTATTGTGCAAGGACTTGTGATACATCTATGCTTTAGACGTACAATGCAAGCCATGTCTACGGCGCAATTGCTCGTTATAATACAATCGTGTCATTTTGCCACCGCCTACCCCTTCCAAGCTACTCAAGCATACTGGCCTGATTGGTGTAGAGCACGTCAACGACACCTCCCAACTTCTCGATGGTGTCGAGTGCCGCCTCGTACCCCTTGTCCTTCTCGCTCTCCTCGTACACGATCAGGACACCCGTGCCCTGATCCAGAACACCTATGATGACGCGGTCGAGAATCATCTGGCTAAGCTTACGTTCCACTTGCTGAACATCCAAGCCCACCATCTCCGCAACATGATCTATCTCCACTCGTGAAAAGGGCTCGATGACCTTGATCAGATTCTGCTCCAGCATGCTGTCGTACAGACGTCGCAAATGAGATGCGATGAAACGATCGCTACCGAGCTCGTAACGGTAGCTGTGTAATGCCGTCTCGTACTCCTCCAGACTCCGGTTGTTGTGAGCACGCGCCACCGCCTTCATCGCGTCGAGGTTCTTGCCGGCATATTTAATGGCGTGCTTTGACGCCATGAGGTTATCCACATCGTCCTTCAGGTTGAGCATAATTTTGCAAAGAAGCATGTACTGCAATGCACTCGTTGCCTTTGCGGGGTCGTCTTGTGAGTGGTAGCCTTCCATAGCTTCGATGAAGTATGAGTAGGCAGTGTTGAAGTCGTTGTCCTCGGCATGCAACTGACCGGACTGCATATCCAGGCCTGCTTGAAGTAGTGGTGGGCAGTAGACAGACGCTGCGCTGGTGCGGGCGGATGTCAGGGCAGCGCGACCTTTGGGTACATTCCCAAGGGCGTGGTAGACTTTGCTCTCCATCAATTGAACCTCAACCAAAACCAGCTTATCGTCCAGACGCTTGAGCTCCTTGAGCAAGCTGTTGATCAGAGTGAGGGCATCGTAGTAAGACTGCTTTTGCATGTGCAAGCCCACGAGGCGAACCTCGAGACTTTGTCGCAGGAAACCTTGGCGTTGCGAGACGGCCCAGTCGATACATGACTTTGTAACGGAGATTTGGGTGTCGACTGTGTTGGGTATAGGCGTGAAGAGGTCGAGGAGTTGGCGAACTACAACATTATCAGCATTGCAACAGTACAACAGCAAAGAAGTTACACTCACTCAGCTTTGCAGTCTTCGCTCGAGCGAAGCTGGTGAGAGCATCTCGTGTTTGTTGGATTAGAATCGCTAGATCCTGCGGCCTCTTGTGATCTCGGTACAGCTCTCCCAATCCTATCAACGCAGCCTCAAATTCCCGAGTCTCACGGTCGCTAGAGCCTGGCTTCTGCGAGAGTAGTTGTTGATATATCTTCTCTGCCTTGCCAGGGTCACTCTTGCTGAGCTTCTTCGCCTCTTCCAGCCGCTTGGCATTATCCTCTTGTGCCATCGTTCGATCGAGTGATGTGGTGTCCGACTAATTTTGAGCTCACTGCTAATTGTCACAAAGATGTGGCTGAGATTCAGACCGGATAGTGTTGTTTGAGTTGCACGATATGTGTTGATGGAAGTTGTCGCGTGTTGCGAATGCCTGTAGCTCATGCTAGCAGCAAGTCTTCGGGCTTACTATTCTCCGCTCGGGCTACATTTTTATGTCCATCCAAACGAGATTACATTCCCAGATATGCTCTGAGCCATGGTATGTCAGAGTCAGTCCGTCGCTCGTACGGTATGCTAACAACTGTCGCAGAAGATCAAAGCGCTCACTCGTGCGACGAGCTCATACCAAGCACCGGGCAGTGATGTCGCTCGTCAACCGCGCAACCTCGATCCTGCCCTGCATCCTTTCGAACGTGCGAGAGAATATACTCGTGCCTTGAACGCCACCAAGCTTGACCGCATGTTTGCAGCTCCTTTTGTCGCACAACTAGGACGAGGACATGTGGATGGCGTATACAAGCTTGCAAAGGACCCTAATGCTCTAGATCGCTTCGCCAGTGGCAGTGGAGATGGAGTGCTCAAAGTGTGGGACCTACCCAGTCGAGACGAGGTGTGGCAGACACAGGCACATGAGAATCTGGTAAAGGGGATATGCTGGACGCACGATAAAAAGCTACTGTCCTGTGGAAGCGATAAGACAGTCAAGCTCTCCGATCCATACAACAGCACATCTGGCAGTGCACCACTGGCAACATGGCTTGGGCAGGGCGCATTCAACGGTATAACGAGGCACAGGACAGAGCCAGTCTTCGCAGTCTCCTCTTCTGTCATCTCGATCTACGACGTCAACAGGCCCTCTTCCACACCCACACAGACGTTTTCATGGCCAACCTCAGTGGACACGATCACCGCACTGGCTCTGAACCAGACGGAAACATCCATTCTCGCCTCGTGCGCGACGGACCGATCAATTGTATTATACGACTTACGAACAGCTTCTCCTCTGCATCGATCAGTACTCACACTCGCCTCCAATGCAATCAGCTGGAATCCAATGGAAGCATTCAATCTTGCTGTTGCAAACGAGGACCATAACATCTACATGTTCGATATGAGGAATCTGTCTCGAGCACTCAATATCTTCAAGGACCACGTCAGTGCAGTGATGGACGTAGAGTTCTCTCCTACCGGTGAAGAGCTCGTTTCAGCATCGTACGACCGCAGCATCCGATTATGGAAGCGCAACGAGGGACACAGCCGAGACATCTACCACACGAAGCGCATGCAGCGAGTCTTTAGCTGTTGCTGGACACCCGACAACGCGTACATCCTCTCTGGTTCAGATGATGGCAATATTCGACTATGGAGATCGAACGCCTCAGCTCGATCTGGTGTGAAGAGCGCAAGGCAGAGACAGGCGCTAGAGTACAGTGACGCGTTGAGGAATCGGTACAAGCACATGCCAGAGATCAGACGGATCGCGAGGCATAGACACGTACCGAAACAGGTCAAGAAGGCGGGCGAGATCAAGGGCGAGGAACTGAGGAGTATTAAGCGGAGAGAAGAGAATGAGCGGAAGCACAGTAAGAAGGGCGCTGATAAGGCGAGACGAAGCGATAGGGAGAAGATGGTGCTGGCGACTGAGAAGTGATTACTGCATGGCCATGGCGTTTCAAGATAGGGAGGCAGGCATCTGGAGGGCGTTATTGATACCCGAATGTATACCAATAAGTATTCGTAGAGCTCGCTTGAGCGGCCTCGTCTCGGTATCATCTCCTCGCGATCGCGTTGAGGCCAGAAGGGGTTGATCTTACGAAAGACGTTCACTCCAGGGCATGTGATCGGCTTGGCTTTCACATGCTCACGGTTACCAATATTCTATCACTCCCACCTCAGCTTCTCCTCTGTTCCATTGTGAACCTCAAGCATTGATCAAGAATTTCTTAGCGTACGTCCCCTCCGTCAGCATCAGTTTGGCGGAGATTTTTCATCATGCTCGAGTAAAGCATATCCGCGACTTATCGGATCAGCCTTCGATTTCTCGTGGCGCTGTCACATGCAAGCCCCACCAAAACCACCATCTGTGCTGGGTTGAATATCGTGCAGACAGCCCAGAATATTCCGAAGCAGGCACCTGTCAGAGGCGGTATGCTGGCTGAACGGCTAACGCATCAGGTACTCGTATGGTGCTTCGTGTATAGTAGTTTTGATTTGATGAGGGGGATACCTCATCCAATATTTAATAATATCGAGCAGCTTGCAGCCACAATCATGCACGAGCCACGCTGTTTGCTGCGTCGTGGGATTGGCTCGAATCCGTTCAGGGCTGTGACGTAGGATCCACACTTTTTGGGCGACACTCACAATCACATGTGAATTCCAGCACGATAGAGCAGCAACGCGTCCCGCACTGCATTCACGTTGACAGAAGGTTCAAGCAAGCAGGATTTCCTGCATGTCTCTCTCAACAATTTCGAGCTGTTGTTTCCTCTATACCCTTCGAACGTCACTTGCAACTGTCAACTTGTCATTGCTTTTGTGAATGATTTCAGTATATTCCCCAGGTATGTACCTTCGCTCCTGCTTGCTCGAGTGCTTGCAATCTAACAGTGCCAGCAGCTTCCCAAATCCATAACACTTTCCGATCAAAACACAAACTTGTACCCGTGAGTCCTTACCATTTCTCTTACCTTCCACAGGCCTCACCGCTGGTGCGCCTTTCGACACAGCTAACTTTTAGTCAGTCCATGCCTCACTCGACAAACGGCACAATGGGTGACAGCACGTCCTTCAAGACCATCGACCACGTTACCAGCTACCCAATCGTCAGCGACAGCATTGACGCCGTGAGGGCCAACCCATACGGCAAGAAGGCACTCGAGATCGGAGACAGCGCTGTCCAGAACGTCCTCAACACGGCCGGGCCCATACTCCGCAAGCCTTACAGCGTCGCCGAGCCATATGTCAAGAAGGCAGATGAGCTTGCGGTGTCTGGTCTCCAGCAGGTCGACGAGCGCATCCCACTGCTCAAGGAGGACACACAGACTGTGATCGACACGGGCAAGAGCTACGCTTTCTTTCCTTATGCTTATGCCAACGATGTATACTCTGGTGAGTCAAGGAGTATGGAGCGATTTTGACAAAGCTGATCCACGACGCAGATGAGTATCGCAAAGTTTCCCGTAATCGCAACGGCAGCGAGAATTTCGTAACTCTCATCACCGCAATCATCAGCTCTTGTTTCCGCATTATGTTTGAGATCTCCCACGCGGCTAAGGACTGGGTGCTCCCCAAAGCCAAGGAGATCCAGAAAAAGAGTCCCGACTACCTACGCCAGGCCCAGGACACTGCCCAACAGTACAAGCAGATTGGTCAGGAGAAGGTGAATGAGTACACCAAGGTTGGCCAGCAAAAGGCCGAGGAGTTTAAGTCCCAGGCTCAGCAGACCGCCGACAACACCAGTCGCCAAACCCAGCAGACCGCCGATCAAGCTCAGAGTAAGGCTCAGCAGACCGCAGACCAGGCGAAGCACCAGGCTCATCAGACCAAGGAGGATGCCAAGGCCAAGACAGGCTCGAAGTAGGGTTCCGGCTGTCGTCAGTTTTAGGGAGATGCGGTCCATCGTGGTCCATTGGACGATCCATTGGTCAGTGTGGCGAGGGAGAGGAACAGCTTGTGACGCAATGACGGAAGTAACAGTGTATGCTGTCTGATGCGGTAAAGGTGCTGAGAAACGAGGGATCTGGGAGTGTGTAACATGATGAAAGGCGTATCTTATGGTCAATACCCTTGCGGATCAATTAGACTTGTTGCGCGGTTGCTGTGCGTATGTGGCTTTGTAGCTGTGTATCCGTTGTCATGGTATCAGTGACGTTGACCTTTGTAGAATACATCAGCATTTCCAAGCATCATGTGAATAGAAGATAGACAGATGCAGGACTTTTATACTCGAGACGAAAAGCCGTCTCAAGGCTGGCGAATCGAGTGCTCCAGATGTGGCTAGCCTGCGGGTGTTTCCGCCACGCCAAGCACACACGAACTTTTGCCATTAGGATTCGATCTCCAACGACGGCATCTTTATCCCCAGGCCCAACGACGACAATCACTCACGATGGCACCCAAGAAGAGCAGCAAGACGACCGACAGCATCAACGCCAAGCTTGCCTTGACGATCAAGTCTGGCAAGGTCACGCTCGGCTACAAGTCTACCCTCAAGACTCTGCGCTCTGGCAAGGCCAAGCTCATCATCATTGCTGGCAACACTCCTCCCTTGAGGAAGTCTGAGCTCGAGTGTATGTCCCCCAACATCTCCCTACGAAAGCGCTGGCTCGTCTGAGACTTGCTTGCTGACTTGTGCGACAGACTACAGCATGCTGGCCAAGTGCGCCGTCCACCACTTCTCCGGCAACAACGTAAGCGATCTCCTCTCTCATAAATGTCGAATATATCTATATACCTTGCCTAGCGAAGGAGCTCTCGCGGCTCTGGAAGGCATCCTTCTTGAGCCCTGCGAAGCAGCGTTTGCACAACGCAATGCTGTGGAGGGAACAATAGTGGCTGATATCATATGACATGCAGATCGAGCTTGGTACTGCTTGCGGTAAGCTCTTCAGGTGCTCGACTATGGCTATCTTGGTAAGCCGAGAAGTATATGCTATTGTGATGGCAGCAAGGTATTGACTGGACAATAGGATGCTGGTGACTCCGACATCTTGAGCACCAACCCGCAATAGATGATTGTGAGAGCTCTGGTGGCGTGAGTGCATTTGACTACGATATATGATGCATAGCTATGGCGCAAGGCGTTCGGACAGCCCATAGTGGGATATGGAAGACGACATACTCGCTATGTCCAGTAGTATGATCGCTTCTGGTCTTATTTACATAGTCAACCAAAGGGCATTTTCGTCCTTGTCAATTTTATGCGTCCGCCACCTCTCAAACCCCAGGTATCATGTTCCGTGTACCGCGAGTTTGTGACTCACTGCCATCTCGCTGACTTGATCATTGCCGACTCACAATGAGTCTTACTTTTACGTTTTCGGCAGCCGCATTAATAATTGTCCCGCTCAAGTTCTGATTTATCAGCGTGGGCAAAGAAGTCTTGGCGCCGACTTGAGGAGGGTCGTAACCTACATTTCGGTCTTCCGCCTCTCGATTGTCACGCAAACCACCACCAACAAACCATATCAACACCGTCGCAATGGCACGCCGTCCTGCGAGATGTTACCGCTACTGTAAGAACAAGGTACGACTCGATAGCATATCCACAAGAGGAGGAACTTGGAATGGCCACCGAGCCGTCATGCGATGGCAAGAAGAGGATTTGGATACAAGACAGATACTGATTGAGTGATATCACAGCCATACCCGAAGTCGCGCTTCAACCGTGGTGTACCAGACCCCAAGATCCGTATCTTCGATCTCGGCCGCAAGCGTGCGAACGTCGATGAGTTTCCCATGTGTGTCCACCTCGTGTCCAACGAGCTGGAACAGTTGAGCTCCGAGGCCCTTGAAGCCGCCCGTATCTGCGCCAACAAGTACGTTACACCCAGACCCAAAAGCGAAGAGAAAGAGTGAGGATATATGAACTAACACGATATCTGCAGGTACCTGGTCAAGATTGCCGGCAAGGAAGGTTTCCACCTTCGTGTGCGTGCCCACCCATTCCACGTCGTCCGCATCAACAAGATGTTGTCGTGCGCTGGTGCCGATAGACTGCAGACTGGTATGCGTGGTGCCTGGGGCAAGCCCAACGGCAGTGTCGCTCGTGTCCGCATCGGCCAGATTCTTCTCTCCGTCCGCACTCGTGATACTCGTAAGTCGCCACTGTAAAGTTTCCAATCAATGATCAGGAACTGACAAACGAGTCAGACCGCGCCACTGCTATCGAGGCTCTCCGCCGCAGCCAGTACAAGTTCCCTGGTCGCCAAAAGATCATCATCTCGAAGAAGTGGGGTTTCACTCCTCTTAACCGTGATGAATACGTCAAGCTCCGTCAAGAGGGCCGTCTTCTCGTCGACGGCGCCTACGTCCAGTTCCTCAAGAACACCGGCCCAATCGAGTACAACATGAGGCGATTCCCTCGAGCTTTCGCCGACGCCGCATAAGCGTATGACGAAGCATGATGATGGGGGTTAGGAAAGAGGTTACGTTGATGCATTATTGGCGTGTGAGGTAGACTACTAAGTTGTCTGCTGATGGCTAGATGCGTATGCATACTTCCTCCAACCAAGATCATGAATCCTTCATCACTGTCCTTCCTCAGTTGCCCACTAGCTCGGCGGCGCCCGTATGAAGCCACCCGCGCCACTCATCTTCATGTACTTCAATTCTGTCAACAATTCCTCATTCTTCAGAATCTTGGTAAGCTCCTGATGATGTGGCAACTGCCTCCTCGCCTCTAGCGCAGCTTCGTCCGTGATCCTACCAACGGCCTATTAGACAGCTGATGGAGCAATTCTGTGTGTGGGAAGAGCTTACTGCATGTGGACAATGCTGGTCTTCACGCCCTTCTTGTAGTCATTAGTGCTTCGGATCTGATAGATGGTGACATCGGGCTCCTCTGCCTCGATTTCTTTGACGAGCCAGGCGAGGAGTTCATCAACTCGTTGTTCTTTGCCTTGCTTGGGCTCGATGACGATCAAGAGTTTGAGAGGCATGTTGAGGTGCTTGTTGGCGGTTAGTGGTCTGAGCGAGAGCTTGACACCGTCTGAACGGGCTCGAAGTTTCGTTACATATATCCCTTGGTGCTACTGGCTCAGCTGATGGTAGAGACGCTACTTCGATGGCCCCGATCAGACCATGGCGCTTACAATGTACAGCTACATGTAGTCTTGGAAAGTCAGGTCATCAGTTGGGTGTGATCAGCCCACATCTCGGTATTGCTGACGCGGCGGGCTGAACAGCTATAGCGGCATGACTCTCAGCTTCCTTCACTGGAAGTCACTTGTACGTATGAGGGGGCCAATGACAGAGCAATACTGGCAGCTCCCTATGAGCACAAGCTTCTCTATCATCTATATAGGGACGTAAGCAAATCTATATGACAAGGTAGAGACTGGTCAAGAAACTCGGACCAATGAAAAGGCCCAGCCAGAACACCACGTTCCCCAATATGACCTGATCTCTCAAGTACTTGCTCCGACTCGCCATCACAAGCGGCATCTGCATCAACTGCATACTAAACAAATACCCCCTGACCTTCCGAAACATCAACGCCATGCACATCTCATGCACCAACGCACTAAGCAAGAACGTCACAAACGTCGCCGCAAGCTTGCTCAGATGAAAACTCGAGATGGAGCTATGGTAGACATGACGCAGCAGGAAGTTGTGCACAGGTCTGTTCCAGTCCCGCGCGTACTGGTCCCAGGTTACGCTATTCCACCAATCGCCGTAGAAGCCGCGGTCGGCGAAATAGGTCAGTTCGGCCAGGACGTTGAGGATGCATTCCCAGATCAGGTACCATGTGAGTAATTGTTCGATGAGGAGCGGGAACAGCATATCTGAGACGATATATGGGAATTCTTGCCAGCGCTCCTCGATCGTCATGCCTGCTTCTTTCATCCGCAGGGTCTTGGCCACGGCGGGATAGATGAAGGCTTGGCTAATGACTTGCATGATGCAGAGGACGCCGAAGGTGGCGCAGAGTTTCTCCGCCACGTACCACCAGTTTATGCGTTCTTGGCGTGGGTACTCGAGTTCGTAGACGAGAGTGGGGAGGCAGATGTACTCGGCGAAGTTCCTGAGGCGGAGGTTCGAAGGGTAGGCATTTGAGCCGCACGAATTCTTGCCCTTGAGCTCTTGGGTGAGGTCGTCGATCTCGGCGTGCATGATGCGCTCGAATGTCTGCAACTGATCGGGTGTTATGGGAGAGCCGGATTGGATGGCGGCGGCCACGGAGGCGACGTCGGATGTTTCGTTGGTGAGATTCGTGGAGTTTCGGTGCATCGACGGACGACGTTTTGCCATAGTATGCTCGGACGTCTTCTTTGCTAGCTCGGACAGGTCGATTCCAGTCGCGAATTGGTCCATCTGCTGTGAAGCCCGAGGACTAGTCGGGGCAGAGTGATTCGGTTCCATGTCCTGAAGCTGCTTCAACTTGACCTCCAGTAGCGCTTTCCGCCTGTAGACGCCTGATAGGTAGCCATTGTAGAATGCGAAACTGTGCTGCTTCATTAGAAATACCAGACCATGCAACACCGCAAAGATGGTGTGGGTCCATGGCCATTCCCGGAAATACGCCCAGCCTACCAATCCAGCCAAGTATCCAGTTTGCCAGATGTTCTGCAGAATCCATCCACCTCTACCCCAATTGACCCATCCTTTCTTCACAAACACTTGAATGAAATATGTGACGAACATGCCCAGTGTCATGGCCCCATCCGTCAAGCCGAGCACGTACACATCATGTGAGAACATCATCTTCATGATCTGATTGCTACCTAGGACACTGCCGTACTCCCGCCAATTCTTTAGGCAACTCTGCGCGATCAACAGCGCCATTGCCAACCAGAATAATGTGAAGAAGCCAAAGAAGGGACTCTCACTGCTGGCCTGACTCCGGCGATCGAACGTTGTGAATTGTCTTGTAAATACCAGATCTCGGAATCGCAAGCGAGGCTTCTTTCCTGATGCTTCTACCCGCTCTCGCTCTACACCTTTCCTCAATATCTCCCGAATTTCAGGATCGTCGGCTGTCAAGATGTAGCGACCTTTCCGATCTGTCTTCTCCAATCTTATCTGGATAGAGTTGCGCTTTTTCCTGTCCCTCAAATGGCCAGAAGGCCTGTCGTTGGGGGTGACTGATTGTGACATGAGCGGATCGGTGCCAGGTCTCAGGCTGGGATCCATAGTCTTTCTACTGTTTGCGACTAAAGTGTCCGGATCCAACTCCATCTCATCATAATCTTCTATCGAGTCATTGTCATCCAACAGTGCACTCCCGTCATCATCCGACTGCTCGCCAACGGATCCGAAGTCCCGAGCATCCGTCCAATATTTTGCATAGTTGCCATTCTGTCCATTCTGCTCCAAGGCTCCATCTACGCTGAAAGAAGCGACTCCATTCTCCCGCAGACTGCCAGCTAAGGTTGGGGCGCCGAGTGTGTCATGCGAGAGTAGGGAGGGGCGCTCTCCAGAAGACATATTTTGTGACGTATAAGTGGTGGCCAGCTCCAAGGACTTTTATAGAAGAGATGATAGCCAGAAAGCTAGGCGTAGCTACGCATTGCATGAGAAGAGGGTAGACAAGATACAGGGAACCCCACGCAAGAACATAAGTAGATGGTGCGATGGAAAGGTGGAACGATCATTCATCGAATTATATGCAGCGATGACGCCACCCGGCGCTGCTTGGCCGAATGTTTCGTAGTCCAGCACAAACGATCTGTCCCTTCGAAGGTGTAGCAAAGCGTCTCATATTACGATACTGCGGTGATTGTGGTATGGGTACACAGATGGTGAATCGGAGCATAGATGCAACACTGGAAATGCATCCACTATTGATTTATACATAAATTTGGGATTTGTTTGACCTTTGGCTTGACTGCATGTTTCATCTGAATAGAAGTGGACCTCGGCAGCATCCGTCTAGCCTCCGCCGCACCCCAGACAGCACAAAGTCTCGTGCCTGCCGCCGGCAGATTTTGGACCCCGCAATCCGATGCAAGTGAGGGAAATTCTTCGAGACGATAAATTGTTGGAGGTTGGAGATTGGAGATTGGAGATTTGCCTGGTAGTTAGTCACCAGTTGATATTCCAGATTTGGGAGAGGAGCAAACCTGCAGTCATGGCCGCCGAAGCATCACAACCACCGCCAACATCAGCAGAAATGATCGATGTTGACACAAGTGCAGACGAAGTTTTGCTGGCAGCAACGAACCACGATCTGGAGACTTTGAAGGCCTTGTTGCGGAAGGATCCACTCTTGGCCAAGGTCCAGGACAGCGACACCGGCTTTTCGCCACTTCATGCAGCCATTGCTAGTTGTGAAGCCGAGGAGGAAGACGACGAGCAGGAGCAGACGAATGGCGAGGGCGATGCATTGAACAAGAATGCGCTTGACGAGGAGGGTGCACTACAGACAGTCAAGCTGTTGTTTGAGAATGGAGCGATTTGGAACGAGCTTGACAATGCGGACGAGACGCCTGGATGTCTGGCGTTGCGACTCGGACTGCGGAGACTGTATGAAACGATTGTGGATGCTGGTGTCAGGGCAGAGTTGTTGTTTGGACGGCTAGACCAGTATGCTGCACTAGCTGGCGATGACGATGAAGAAGAGGACGAGGAGGAGACTGCGGCACAGGAGGACGAGGCCATCGTAGGCTTTGAGCCTTCGCCAGTTGAGCCTCGGTCGAAGGCGCCATGGCAGCAAAGCAACGGTACTATCAATGGTGGAGAGGATGTCCAGGGGTTTGAACCAGCACCAAATCCTTCGTACAAGATCGACGACGAAGCACAGGCAGGAGCTGCGACCGCAGACAAGCCATCAGATTCCGCGGAGACGGCAGCAGAAAAGACAGCAGAACCGGTCCTTTCCAACCCCAACGTCAACAACGAAGACTATCTCAAATCCACCCTCACCTACTCCGGCGACCGTCTCCTCGACTCGGACAAGAACGCCGTGATGATGGACTGGGAGACGGAAATCATGAAGACCTCGGCGGACCAGCTCGCGCACAAACCAGGGCTTCGAACTATGAATGTCGGCCATGGAATGGGTATAGTCGATCGCATGTTCCTCGAGAACAACCCCAGCATGCATCATATCTGCGAAGCGCATCCAGCTGTAATTCAAAAATTGAAGGAGACGGGATGGTACGAGAAGCCTAATGTCACAGTCCACGAGGGACGATGGCAGGATGTCCTACCCAAACTCGTCGAGCAAGGTGTCGTACTTGATGGCATCTACTACGACACCTACGCAGAAGACTATGCGGACCTGAAGGAGTTCTTCACGGAGTATGTCATTGCTTTGCTGGATAAGGATGGCAAGTTCGGATTTTATAATGGCCTGGGTGCGGATAGGCAGGTATGCTACGATGTCTACACCAAGGTTGTTGAGGTGGATCTGTTCGATGCTGGGCTGGATATTGAGTGGACGGATCTGAAGGTGCCGGATTTGAAGAGTAGGAATGAGTGGGATGGTGTCAGGTATCCTTATTGGGGTACCATCGATACTTATAGACTGCCGACTTGCAAGTTCGTGGGTTGAGGCACACGTTCACGACCTCTTGTGTATTCAGGCATCATACGTGGCCATGACTTGAGGCATCCGAGTTTCGAACAGGAGATCGGAGCGGGATGGCATGGAAGCTACGCCTGCTACGACTGCCTCAATCCTCATCACCAATGCCGTATCGAAGTGGTAGGCTCCTACACGTCGGACAAATCTCTATACAGAGTCGCGAGATGTTCCGCCCTTGTCGTACTGTGCTCGGCATCCTCTGAGCCACTCTGCTATACATCTACGATCGAGATGAGAGTCAACTAGCCACCGAGTGGAACAGTATAGAATCATACAGCATTATACAAGCGTTTCCCGTCGCACATCGTAACACCTTGATTCATTTAAGCATCACTCATGATCACCCACCCCATTCGTCCCCGCCCCATTCGTCGATGCCGCCTCCTTCGGCTTTGGAGGAACTTTCGCACCCGGATCTCCTCGAGGTCGATCATTCCAACTACTGATAAGCTCATTGCTCTCCCAACAGCTCTCATCCAGTACTTTCTCAGCCGTCTCCTTTCCGTAAACCGGCAGCTGCTTCAACCCCTGCTTCTGCATACTCTCGGGCACCAACTTCGGGTCCAGCAACCCAACCTGCACAAGCACACTCGCCTGATCCCAGTAAAGATGCTCATGATACAACTTCCCGCCTCGAATACAGACCACGCTCACCATAGCCACATGCACCGTCTTATCCGTCGGCGGCACATCCGGAAGCATCCAGGGGATCGTGGTCGTATGCTTGAAACTGATGATGAACTCATCCACCACGCGATCCGTGCCTATCGTCCTACTCACCAACTTCATCGTCAACGATGGCGGGTTCTGCGGGATGAAGTAATCGCGGTAGAAGATGAAGAGGTCTTTGGCGCCGATGCCTCCTGTCAGGGTAGGGATGTGGTTCACATAGGGTTGCGGCACCATCGTCCGCATCGTGGCCGCGGCATCCTTGGTGGCGAATTCGAGCGCCACATGATCTTCCCAGATTTTCTCCAGGTCGACTTCGATTTTGAAGGCTTTGCGAAGGACACGGAGGGTGCGGGTCCAGGCTAGATTCGCGGAGACTTTGTCGTAGGTTTCTTCGAGGTCTCGTTCTGCGAAGCCGGGGGATGCGGAGGGGTACGTGTAGGATGGGTGGGAAGGGGCGAAGTTTTGTGTGCCGGCTAGATGGGTGAGGACTTCGAGATGGGGAGGGAATTTGGCGTTGGGGGAGGTGATGCTGGTTGGGTAGTAGGCTACTAATGCTACAAGATGGGGTTGAGGTTTCGTGTGGGCTTCGAGACAGTGGGTTGCTGCTTCGCCAAAAGCTGGACGAACGTTAGTCGAGATTTTGGGTTGTTGATACAGATGGTTAGGGGCGTACCGATTAAGGCATAGTTCTCTCCTAGCTCTAAGTCGTCGGCGAGGTGGCGGAGGCCGTCGCGGTAGGCTTTGCCATCCTTCCCGAGTGGAAGGTATGTAGTGTGGAAGCCCTCTTCGTCAAAATGCTGAAGAAGAGTCGAATCCAACTCGTCGTCGTCCGCGGTAATGTAAAGTCTTGGTGGCATACTGATATCATTCATTAGTAGTTGTCAATATAAACATGTAATGATTCGTACTCTGCGGTGTGTGCACCAAAGGTGTTTGTGTCGAACTTCAGGAATCCTGGACCGGGTCCTAATTTCGACATCTCGTCCTCTTCTAGCTGGCTTGAAGTCTGGGGGATGTGGACATGCGGGCGATGGGCGCCATGCCTTTGAGGGGCACTATTAATATGGAGCTCATGTTCGTAGGGCTGATGACGTATATGTTGGAATCAAAGGCACTCATGCAGTCGAGACGGGCCAGATATGTATGTGAAACTGGATATTGGAAGACGGGACGATGTAGCAGAGCTCACCTTGGAGTTCTTCGATCTGATTTCGATTCAAAGTCGAGATGTCCGCGTCCGTTCGCAATCGACTTTCGCTTGATCATGTCGTAGCTTCGTCTGAAATGCCGCTAGCATTTTCGAGTCAGCGCAGCAACGCGAAGACTAGATGATGACTTCTTTGTTCTTCCGCGAATATATGATATTGCATTTCTGGTGATCGTATCGGCTCACCAATCTCTAAATCCACTGGAATCAGATCTGCTGGACTATCGCAGACCGCATCTCGCAGGCGAAAGATCCTTGCCACCGAAGCTGCATAATACAGCAAACATTCGCTACTTCTGGTCTGTACTAGCCGCCATAGGTCGCAAACACAAGCCGCACCGCCAGAAAGGTGCGAGTGTCCAGGAGAAACCACAAGGCCTGAGACGAGGTATCGTCGGCCAATTATTCAACATGGGTAACGAAGAGAGCACGCCGATAGATGAGTCTGTCCCGCCACAAACGCTCAAGGCTCGGGATCTGGAGGCGCTGGCCGATTACATCAAGTCGGGAAAGGTCAAGAACGTCGTCGTTATGACGGGAGCTGGTATCAGTACGTCTGCGGGCATTCCAGATTTTCGATCGCCGGACACGGGGCTGTATGCAAACCTTGCCCGTCTCAATCTTCCCTACGCTGAGGCAGTCTTCGACATCTCATACTTCAAGGAAAATCCAGAGCCTTTCTACACACTCGCCCATGAGATCTATCCTGGGAAATACAGGCCAACCATCGCACATTCTTTCATTCGGCTTCTACACGACAAGGGCATATTACTGAAGCTCTTCACACAAAACATCGACTGTCTTGAACGAGAAGCGGGTGTACCAGACGACAAGATCGTGGAAGCGCATGGGTCGTTCGCACGGCAGAGCTGTATTGAGTGTCATCAACCATATCCTGAGGACGACATCAAACAACACATCGCTGCGAAGTCCATTCCTCGATGTCATGAATGCAAAGGTCTCGTCAAGCCGGAGATTGTGTTCTTTGGCGAGCAGCTACCTGCTGCGTTCTTCCACAATCGACACCTACCACAGGATAGTGACTTGTGTATCGTCATGGGGACTAGCCTTACAGTCCAACCATTTGCGTCATTGCCAGAAATGACTCGCACGGCAACGCCAAGAGTACTCATCAACAAGGAGCGAGTCGGCGGTCTGGGTTCTGGTACAGATGATATTCTGCTCCTCGGCGATTGTGACGATGGTGTGAAGAAGTTAGCGAAGGCCTGCGGCTGGCTCGGCGAGCTAGAGAAGCTTTGGGCGAAGACAGCATATCGTGTTGGTGATGATGCTGATAGCGCGGCGGAACAGCCGAGCCACGAGCAGCAACCAGAGAAAACAAAAGACGAGGCTCTGGAAGAAGAGATTGACAAGATCACCCGAGAGGTCGACGAGACTTTGAACCTGTCCAAATGGCATGAGGAGAGGGTTCGAGGGGAGGGGCTTCCTACAGTTTCTTCCAGCAAGCTTTCGAACACAACGGCTACCAAGGAGGAGAGCGCTGATATTGCGCGACTACATGAGGATGAAGAGAGTAGCCTAGGTCACATTTTCGTGTCACGAGAGGCGAAAGACGCTGCTCTGGAAGCCGAGAAGAGCACCAAGGAATGAGCAGCATCGTGAGACTCATCAATGATATCATAAATGTACCAATACTATGTAGACTAGATACACGGGCTTTCCAGAAGCACTATACCAGTTGTTCGAGGCTTGGTCGTTGAAAGGACATTACAAAGCACACTGTGTTCCGTTCATCGAGCAGAATGGCATACGCACTGGCTCAGCTTTTATGCCTCTCGCCACCAATCTCTCGCGCATCTCTGCCAGTCGCGGACTCGCCGTGACTTGGCTTCTGTTCTGCCCACTCGCATCCTTGGCACCACTCCACAATACCTCCGCAGCAGCACAAGTACGAGGCCACACCATCTGGTCGAGGTTGACGCTGTCTGTTTGCTCAGACCAGATGTGTGCTTCTCCACCCAGCACAAGATGCGTAGCATTCGCTGGCACACCACTGAGTGGGTCGTAGCTGTACATGAGACGCCAGTTGTGGAATGGAGCACAATAATCCTGGAATGGCCAGAACCCAGCCGCGTCGGTCTGATAGAAGTCCAGCCATTGACCTTTCCCGCAATCAAGGTACCAGAACTCGTAGTTGCCGGCGAGCGCTTTGTACCCTTTGCCCACAGTCTCCGCTACCGAAGCATCACTGAGCCACGTCTGAACGATAGTGTTAGACGGTAGAGTGAGATTCCAGTCCAAGAGCATCTCCTCCCAAACCAAGGGTGTCAGACCATACGACTCCACCTGAGCCATGTTGCGGTCCATATATTTCTGCATCAATGGCTGAAGGACTGTTGACAGATTACTCTTAACGGTATCATCCAGTAAATAGGCCATCATATTTACTTCGTCTCCACCAAGGTGAAAGTAGCTGCTCAAGGGCTTCAAGCGCGGCAGCAGATCATCGAACAACTTTTCCAAGAAGTTATAGACAGCCGTCGAATTGAGCTTGAGCGTGCCTGAAGGTGGTTCTGCTGCATAGGTATCCCAGTTGGGAAGGACCTCGAAAGCCGCAATGAGTTCCGGGTGAGAGAAAGCGATCGAGGCAGTATGACCCGGATTGTCGATCTCCACAACTACTTCGACGCCCAACAAGGCACCATACTCCTGCAGACTCTGGACGTCACTTGGCGAGTACTTCTGAGTAGAGATATAAGCTCCCTTGTCGGTAAGCTCGGGCATAGAGGGGATCTCAAGTGGCCAGGCTTGACTGTCCGTGACATGCCAGTGCAGGCGATTCATCTTGTTGTAAGATAGTGCGTCTACCATGGCGAAAAGGTCGCTCAGCGGTTTATAGGTTCGCGAAGTATCGACGTTCAAACCTCTCCAGACAAACTTCGGTGAATCCGAGATAGAGACTGGTGCGAAGGGGGAGTAGACGCCACCACCGCTGCTGCACTGGAAGAATAGCTGAGTGAAAGAGGTGAGGCCATGCAGGAGGCCTATGGAAGAAGCCGCGGTGATAGTCACCACACCATCCGAGGTCATGGTCAGTGTGTAAGCCTCGTTCACACCACCAGCAGACGGCTTCATGATATCAGAGGGGTCGGTAGCATTCTGAACAAGTGTGATCGACTTTACAAAGGTCGAGCTGCTGGTGAGTGCTGGCTCAAAATTGGTATTGCGAGGATGGAACTTCCACGGATAGAAGTTCTTGTTGAAAAGTGTGTCGTAGGTCCTCTCAATGGCGTTTGTGACAATTTTATTAGTCCAAGTGGAGTTATTGTTGGTCGCACCATAGCCGTAGGTGCTCTTCGATTTGTCAGTATCATGATGACAATATCTAACAGCTTTGACCAGTACGGACCTGCTGAGCGCCCTTGTATGTGATTTTGACGGATTGATCTATCCAGAGAGTCTGATTGCCAGCCTCGTATGTTGTGGGGATGGGCCATAAGGCTTGTACTGCCACCGCACACAGCATCATCACAGATATGACCTGCATGATTGCGGTCAATTTGCGGAATGCTAAACGAGACCGTGTTGGATTAGAAGTATGATGAAGGTCTGGAAGCAGGAACAAGTGAGTAAGACAAATAGACTAGACGTGTGAAGGCTGGGTCAAGTGAATGAGCAGGCATGTTGATAGCCTTGCTGCAGCGGGGTTGGACCGTTGAAGTTACATTGACTGAGGTGCACCCGCAGTGGACCGGCGTGCCTGATCGAAGCGCAAGCAGATCCTCTTCAGCCCATATGCTGGCGCTGTACCATGTCTCACTGCAGCGTATCAAGGCTACTGCAGCTTCCCGGGACGTGGCATGACAGTCTCTATTGCTGTTGTTCAGCAGCGACACGGCCTAGCAAGGTGACGTTGCATCTGCATGTCGAAGTGGAGATCGACGCACGGACGATATATCAACAACAACCAGATGTTTCTACAGCAACAGTGGGCGCCATTGCAATCGATACGTGATGAGCTTCATGTATGAGTATGGCAGTGTGATCAAGATTGATGAAAAGACACATACATACGCTATCTCTGCTGTTTCGCAAGGTGTTCGATACGATGAGGGGCGATACTATGGCTTGATAGAAGACACGGACATTTACGACCTCTGCTGCCTCGCACGAACAGCGATATTTTGAGAGGCGGTTCGTTATCTTCGTGGCAGGACACAAACATTCACTTCTCTGCTGTCAGATAGACCGATTTGACCATGCCGTACTCTGTTATAGCGACGTCCGACCTTTCCAAGCTCATCGTTCGGATTATATACATCTGGTAGCCTCTCTATCAGCGTCAGACATATAGCGCAGCGTGAAGATACCCCTCTGGGAAATACGAGCAGCTGGGCGCCGTCTTGAGATCGGCAAAGAAGTTTCTTGATAATGACTCAGAGCTAAGTACTACTGCTGGATGCTGCGCTGGCAGTCGCACTCACAGTACCACTGGCCGAGCTGGCGCTCCCACTGCTGCTACTCCCTGTAGCCTTTTGCACTGTGGCCTGTACGATCTGACCGGCTGTGTTGAACACAATATCGACAAGAGCAGAAAGCGGCGAATAAGAGTAGGTCTTCTGTGTGAGGCCTTGTCCGAGAGTCTTAGTCGCGCCAGTAGCTGTCATGTTCTGCTCAAAGCTTCCGACGATGGTAGAAACGCCGTTTACCGATTGCACGATGTTACCCAGGTTGTCGACGAGGAAGTTGAGTGTTGTCCCACCTTGGGTGATCGAGCCTAGAAGTCCGTCGACGACACCGACGACATCACCGACGACGCCGTCGACGAGGGACGTGACGTTGCCGAGTGTGTTGATGAGCAAGGGATTCAGGTCCAACGACTGGAACACACGCCCAACGATATCGACGAGGTGACCTGTACATAGTTAGCAGTCAAGCAAGGACACGACTGCAGGAGCCTGACTCACCCAAGCGAACGATCAAGTCTACTTTTGCGTCGACGTCGGCAATGGTGAGATTGACCTTTGTGATACCTGTCAAGTCCATTAGCGTCCAGTCCCCGTTGAGCTTCCCACGGTGTCTCCGAGGCAGAAATGTGGGCATTGGAGCTAAATGACTTACCAACCTGCACACCGGCATTAATCTGAACAAGCTGTGCTACGTTGGCATTCAGATTAAGCTGGGCTTGTGCTCTAATCAGTCTTGTTTCTGCTCTGGTTGTGGGCGAGGCATACCTTGCAAGTTCTAAAGGCGATGATTAGCACCCACCAGCATTTCAGTACCGTATTCACACCGCTGTTCTGCTTACATCTACGTCTAATTCGATCCTTTTCACGCTCAGCGTAGGCACGTGCAAGTAGACATCTGGAGCTGTTGCTGTTCCTCCTGAGCTGGTGATGGTTGGCGTAGGACTCGTGGAGTTTGTGAATGGTGCGGTGGTCAACGTGGCGGTGACTCCAGTCTGCGCTGCGACTTGGCTCGCGATCCCCAGAGATGCACACAGAATAGCCAGGTATCCTTTTGCCATTGTTGTCGACCGCATATGAAAGTCTTCGCCAGGTGATGAGGAGGGGAAGACCGCGCTGAAAGATGAGATGGATGGCCACCACCACGAAAGTCAACGGTCACATTGTACCTCGAATGACGATGGCGGTAATCTCGCTGTATGGGTAAATGCCTCTTCTAGGCCATCGAATTTGACGATAGTCGTTTCAATAGTCGTCCCACCCCTGCTATAAGGCGAGAGTTCTATGCGCGAACTGGTGTGAAACTCATCTCGCTTCTCCACGATCACGCTCGAGCCACGCGGGTTCCTTGAAACAACCCTTGACATCCACAAATGTGTGGATCCGGATCCTTCAGCGATTGGGCTGAACCAACAATGCACACGGCCTGCGCAAATTGACATTGTCGCGCCACCACGCAATAGTAATGAAGGAGGTCCTCGTATAGCTGGTAATGGGAGACCGCAGACCGGATGATGCGCCGCCATGACTTTCCCTCTCCCGGAGAACTTCAACAACAGCGAGTGACACTCCCTCTTTTGGGGAACTTTGAACAACAGCGAGCGACACTCCTTTCCTAGAGATCTTGAACGACAGGTCGGTGATCCGCTCTCCGTGTTCTTCAACCACCCCAACTCGAGACAAAACCACCGGACGACAACATGCGATCAACCTCGCTGCAAGGCATTGCTTGCACTGTCCTTACATTCGCCTGCTCAGTGCACGCGCAGACAGCGTCGACCTCTGGATATGTGGGCTACAATCTTACCCTCGAGGGCGATCAGGACAGCGCAGTGTACTCGACGGACGACACAAGGCCAGACGCCGGCGCAACCGAGCCTGATCCAGACATCTTCCTCAACGCAACCGTACTTGTGCAGGAGATAGATCTCACTGTCGATAACCTTACAGCTAAAGTGAATTTGGATCTCCAAGTTCTGAACCTTCTCACCTTTAATGCTGGCGTTGGTATGCAGGATGTCCACTTAGACCACATGAAGGAAGCTAACTTTTTGGCAGACCTTTCCATCGACGCTGTCAGGCTTTTGATTCAGGGAGTCAAGGCTAAGGTCCTGCTGGAAGCTCGCTTAGAGAATGTCGTAAAAATGGTCTCTGATGTCTTGGACTCGCTGGATCTGAATCCCATTATCGCCGAACTTGGCAAAGATGTTGGCTCAATCGTTAATACAACCACTGGCGCGCTCGGCTCGACACTCGGCTCTCTTGACAAGCGCTCCTACGATCTGGTTCACGGTGTGGTCTACTCCATCAACAACTACGCTGGAGACACTCACACGAACCGAGTGCTGGCCCAGAACGGAGACTTGGTCGATATGTACCTTGACAACGATGGCAACCCGCATGGTCAGAAAGTAGTAGGTTCCTTCAGCAGCGACATGACCTGGAACGGGTACGAGAAGACTGTCGAAAGGGACGGCGAGGAAGTCCAAGAACGTGAGTATCTGTACTCGCCGTATCATGGCATAAACGTTGTCAGTGCGGTTTACACAGATGCTACTGGCAAGATCGTTGGGACGCAAGTGCTTGCCGAGAGCTCAGCAGGTGGCAGCAGTACAATTGGTGATTTGTAGAGTTATAGTTGTTCTCCAGTTTCTGCAATGGCCAAGTTCTCTCAGGCCGTGCTCCGGCGGTATATCAATCATCTACACGATCGAAAATAATCTGAACGACAGGCTAATGAACAATTACATGACTGCTTCTCGCCCGGTGTCTCACAATATGTCTATACACTCGCCGGCCATATTTCATCCCAACAAAGCTCCTCTCAGAAAGCTCAATCCCCAGCAGTTGTCTGGATCGTCCACCAGCAGTCTGTCTCGATCAATCTGCCGCTGGGATATGAACCACCACATGTCCCACTGACACATGTGCCTAGCAGCAGCCGGGCGCATGCCTACTAGTCCCAGCTACCGTACACGAGCCGCCAGATGGCCCCAATCAATCTACACGAGCTAGCAGATTCTCCCGTCTACGCTACACAAGCCACCATATGCTCCCGATCACCATACAAGAGCCGCCAGATGCTCCCAAAGAGCCTCCACAAGCCGCCAGATGCTGCCAATCTCACGAGTTCTGCGTGCAAAGCGTACATCTGCCTAGCACGACCAGCAGAAGTCTACCTTGTGCGCCGCCAGCACATACTCACGGGGTCATGTTGGCACAAGTCATCACATTCCTCCAGCAAACGACAGCATATATGAACCCTCTCCCTCCCTCCTTAACTACAGAATCTTTCTCCTCGCACGTATTCACTACTGACCAGGCCTGCCTGCTCTTCTGTCAATCCTAATCTATTTCAACCATCTTTTACTCCTCTATTCCCACCAAAACAATCACTATCATCATCATGACTGGCTTTTCAGCTCCATACGTATGGCGTACCAACGGCGGGTATCAGTCCCACCCTCCTCTCCCGGCCCCAGGCATGCTGTTCGTACCAGCTCCACCACCTTTCATGCAAGCCCCTGTTCAATACTACCCTGGTCCTGTCGGCATCCACAGCGTGGCCCATCGTCGCTCAACTCCACCACCTCCACCTCCTCCAGCTCCAGCCAAGAAGGCTGAGGCCAAGCCTGCGCCCAAACCGGCATCCGAACCTGCACCAAAACCTGAGAAGAAGGAGGAGCCCAAGCCAAAGGCCAAAATCTCTCGTGCTCCACCGCCGTTGAAGGACGGTGTCAACTACATGTTCGCTCTCGAGCACACGACGATCCACATCTTCCAGAAGCCGGCGCCGATCTGGATGGAGAAGTATTCTCATGCCCAGCTGTAAAACATCCCGTACCACTCGCACCATACTCATCATGCTGACGGGCTCCTGGTGCCTTCAAAATCTTCGAAGTCGATACCCAAAAGACGGTCGGGCAGATGATCGAGTATGTCATCGGTGTCGGGCCCTCCGATGGTGCCGAGTGTAAGGGCTGGGCAGCGACGGAGTGCATCGAGCGTGGTGATGGTGTCTTCAGCAAGGTGAGTCTGCCGGCCAGACACTCCCAGACAATAGCAGCTGACCGAATATCGTGACCAGGGCACTACTGTAGAGTACGACTCGACGAGGAGCAAGGCCACCCTGGCGAGCATGGCGTGGAACAAGGACCGCGGTGTCACATTGCCTCCAGTGAGTCCCAGACGGCTTGAGAGTATGACATGAAGCTGACTGCCCACAGGTATGGATCACGATCCACAAGCTTTCGTGAGACAGCCCTCGACTTTCCCCGTCAAGATGGGTCAGCGATGTAACATCCTGGCGGCCTCTAGCGGTATAGCCACGACCTTTCCGGCTGGGAAGAGCTTTATGACCTGTCATGATTTTTTGGTTTCTTGAGCTCAGTGAACAGGACTCACTTTCCATGTTGAGACTCATATTTTTGTGTAAGGAGTTACTGCTTGATGGATTATGCGTGGCTGATATCATTGGGATGGCCATCATTGGATGAAAAGCGAGCGTGGTTACGAGAACCTTGAAAGATTTGCCTGGAGACAATGTATCTATGTTAATCTATACACGACTTTTGTACCAATGCCCACCATATCTGCGATTACACCATACCCCTGTACACTATGCTTCCACACCAGCGGAAAAGATATTGCCTCCAGCACTTGGACCACAACATCTCTGCCGCTGATCTAGGCTTATGACCGTACAAAGGCCCATATGATCGAACGCTAGGCTCCAGCACCATGCCACTTGACCTTACAGCCCTCGAAGTGCTCCTTGAACGCCACCAGCCTATCCTGCAACCACCCAGCAGTCCAGTGCTCGTCCTGGGTCTCATCACTCTTGCCGAACCTGATATCTTTGCCCAGATGACATCGACCCGGCGTCCACATCCATTGCACGCACTCATAGTCCCGCTTCAGCAAACAAGCTTCTGCGCATGCGTCGGCTGACTCGACTGCTCGCTGCTCGTAGTCCTTCAGCTGATAGTAATCCTCATCCTCATGGCTGGCGAGTGACGCAGATACAAACTTGCGGTCAGAGCTGAGATTGTTCCAGGACGTGCGGTTGACACTGACGTGGCGCGAGACGAAGTGTTCGAAGACGTCACGGTAGAGATATGGTGTCTTCCAGCCTTTTGCGTCCACCCAACTTGACTGGAATTGCCACATTGTATCCACTTCTAGCGGACTGACATGATGCCACGTGACTGAAGGTGTGCCTGTAGTCACGTCAGTATTATGGATCATATGATGAGTTGATGTTTCACTTACACCAATGATTCTCAGTCCAGTCAAGCGTAGCGACCGTCTCGCCCTGAATCAAAGGCCAAGCAGGCGAAAGTGGCACATCAACCTCCATAAACGCCCTCGCAATGATTTCATCACCACAGCACGACTGAGCAGTCAACTCCTCCCACTTCTCATCATAGACCTGCTTGCCCACGCTTTGACGATGCTCCTTCATCAGATCGGCCGTCTTCCTCGAAACCACCACACCACTCCCACCATGAGCAAATGTGGTGTCGCCAATCACATTCTGTGCGCCCATATAGTATGGCTTTTTCGGATCCAGATGCTTGAGCCACTGCAACAGATTCGCCCAGCTCACGCTCGTGTCCGCCTCCATCATCAGGAACCATTCGATCTCTGGTCCTGCAGACTCAAAAGCCTTATGCAACATAGGCAAGAACTTCCATTTATCTAAGTTCCAACCATTGCCTCCTTTCAGTTTACTCATATCCTGCCCTTCCTGCTGATACGTCTGCAATTTCCTGTACAGCTCGAAATCATCGTGATTTTCGCGGAAGCTCGGGCTGATGTCTGCGATGGCGTCGTGGATGGGATAATTGGCGAAGGTCTGCTCGAGATCGGAGAAGATCATGAAGTGGGGCACGCATGCGAAGGTTGTGACGAAGTGCGTAGGCAGTTTTTGGTAGACTTCCGTTGCGCCTGTCTTGAGCAGGACAAGGACATTGTCCGCGCCAGGAACCTTGGCGCATTCCTCGTAGAAAGTTGAGGGAGTGCTTGTGGGTATGGCTGTCGGGATTGTGGTGTGAACTTCTTCTTGCTCATCCTTGCCTTCTTCCACTGGTCTAGTTGGCGGAACTACTGGTGAGGGTGGATGTGCCGGCTTAGGTCTCTCAGCCTTGCCGTTTGGTGTTTGCGATTGATAGCCATCGGTCTGTGGTAGCCATGAGTCCCGGAGCAAGAACAGTCCCACCAGGACGAGAAAGATGACTGCAAGTCGAACTGATGTGGTGCGATTACATGTCATCGCCGAGCCCCTGCTCATATCGACGTGAGGTGTAGGCGATGAGGGATGACTGCCAAGGAGCTGTGCATGTCAAGCTGGAGCAGCAGGGAGAGGAAAGTAGCGATCAAATAAGCAGACGTCTATCGTCGTGCATGCGTAATAGTCAGCCACAAAGGAGCTGCTCACGGCGCACGGTGGGAAAGTATGCCACTGAGGAGTACTGCAGTAGCTTTCGAGTACCACCAGAACAAGTACAGGTACGTCTTGTTACCTCATTCAGTGACGCCAGCTCTTCGCTTTCTCTTGCGGTCTCCTCCGCTCTGCCAACCTATCTTCTGCCTTGATGGACAGGAGATCCAGGACCAGCGCTATAAATGGAGCACAGTAGTTCAGGGCAGACCGGTGGAGGATTGACTTTAGGCTTATACGAGCTTGACCCTCTCTCACGTGGCTCAGAGTTCTCTAAGTGGCTTGTGAAGAATTACTCAAAAGCTCCGGCCCAGTAGTAAAGAACTTGTTATAACTCTGATGGCGAGGAGGTCTCTAGGTATGATCATCCCGAGGGACTGAGAATACGGAGAGAAGACTCCCATATCGACTAATCAAGATGTTGCTTCAATACGAAAGGGTATCATGATCTCAACTACTCATACAAACATCCCGTCCTATTGCGCCGATGCCAAATCCTGCCGGGTATGTAACTGGTGACTCTCTCGGTCCCGTATAGCATCATCTCCTCAATCCCGATTAATAACCCTCAAGCTCCGTCTCGGATTCAACATAACCCCAACGAAAGTCGGCTCATGCGTATTAAAGACATCCTCCGCACTACTCCCGTCACTATCTCTCCGGACATTCTGATACCCACTAGGAACAGCCCTTCCACTTGAGCTCGTCTGTCCACCGCTATAGCCACTCTGCGCTTGTATACTTGCGCTCTGGCTATTGCTATCACTAGACCAGAACGGCTGTTCTCGTCTCGTGTCGGCGCTGTTCTTCGCACTATCTGTGGCGAGCAAGCCGGGTATCGCAGGCAGCTTCTCGCCGCGTGCTTGCGCTTGCGACATCTCGACGTGCCGTTTGTAGAGTTGGAGTTGGCGGCGGTAAATGTAGGCGCAGAAAGCGAGGTAGCAGACGATGATGAAAAGGATGCCGCAGATTACGCCCACGACGATGGCTGCGATGTTGGGCCCCCGACGGCCTGAGTCGTTGGAGGAGCCATTGTTGCCGCCGTTGGGATTATTGGGAGAGGCGGTCTCGGTGACGACTGCGCCGTTGGAGTTTGTTACGGTGTAAGTGATTGGTTTGCCCGTGGCTAGAGGTCCACTGGTTGCTGTGATCACTGGTGCTGTTACTGTAGCGCCTCCACTAGGCGAGCCACCAATGACCTTGAGGACGACTTCGGGCACCGTATAGCCGTACGAGCCTTCCAGACCGCCTGAGATCGACGAGTTCCCGAGCTGGGCCGGCTGTTGGTTGAGCGGGTTATTCGCGCCTGTTGAATTGAAGCTCGATTTTGACGACGAGGACCCGCCAGAGCCCGAGTTCGAGTTTGATCCAGATCCAGAGGACGATGAGGATGACGACGAGGAAGATGACGAGGACGATGACGAGGAAGTACTGCTACCAGGGCTCAGCGCAGTGAACTGCTGAACCCACTGCGTGCTGCTGAGGTCGTATACGTAGACGCCAGGACTGTCGCAACTGAGCTGATCACCAACGTATCCGCCGACGACAACCATTTGCCCGTCCCTGGCGAGCGTTAGCAAGTTTCAGTTACTATGTTGTGTCAAGTTTCCTCACCAAACGTTGCACGTATGCCCGGCCCTGCCATAAGGTACTGACTGTCCACTCTGGTCAACCTCTATCCATGTGAAGGAAGGCAGGGTCAAGATCCACATATCATCAAATTGCGACTGGTTTCCAGCAGGCGTCAGATTCTGTCCTCCAAACATGTAGATGTTGGTGGATGACCCATCCGGCGCAGCGACAGCCACGGCGCAAGGGTTGACGCGAATCATAGGTGTAGGCCCAGAGGTAGACTGCTTATACCACGAGCTTGTCGCAATATCATATACGTCGATATTGTTCATCTGTGTGAACGTTTGGTTCGTGCCGCCTGCTAGCGCAAGAAGGATACCCTCATCGCCGAAGCCCGGGACATAAATGAGTAGGCCATCAGCGCGCTGCGTGAAGCCAGCGCTGGATTGCAGGCCACCTTGTGTAATATTGCGATAGTTGCCATCAGATCCAGCAGGCTTGGAGTTGCTGAGTGCGTCTACTTGGTTGTTCATGTAGTCTGGGAAGGTGAATTCGAGCAGAGACTGCAAATATATGCGGTCGATGCTTTGGGACCAGCCGGGCGTGGTATACCCGTCCTGGTGCCCGCCGAAATAGAACCCTCGACCAAGTGATGGCACACTTACGCCTGCGCCTTCAGCAGCGCGCTGCACTGGATCGTTGTTGCTCGGCGCACTCTTGCCACTGGATGTAGATGGGCTTTTGTGCTCGATCCATGATTGCGATTGTATGTTGTACTCCCACGTCGACAAGGGCGACGGCGAAGTGATTGGCTTCCACGAAAACTCGCCGCCGTACAGAAAGAGCGACTCGTGATCGTTCCAAAGGTAGCCAAGCGAGACAGCCGGTGGTCCTGACGGCTGCGGTAATCCGCTCAGTGCTGGCGAGGCGATCTGCCACGTCTTCGTCAGGTCCATCGTAAGTAGGTCGTTGTTCCATGTGTCTGATGTCTGTCCGGGCTGTGTAGACGCTTGGCCTCCGTAGAGATATAGCGTGCCGTTTACGACAGCAGACTGTTGCGCCCATCGGACGCATACATCTGTCGGACTATTGTCTCGTTTTGAGAGATCTGGCACTATGGCAGCTCTGGCCTCCCCTGGTATCACGCCACCTTCCACGGGTTGTATTGGTAGCACTGATCCATGGCTGAATGGTGACGAGCTTTGAAATAATGGTACCATGGCTGCTAGAAGCAGGAAAGCTCCTCCGAGTCGGTACATCATGGAGCGATTTTTGGGTGGCAGTGGTGAGGTTGATGATGATTTCGTCTCTGGCTTAGTCGACCTTGCCGCTCTTTTGTCGCCTTTAGAAGCCTTCACACTCTGTTCGTCGTCTCGTTCCAATACATGTATCTCGTCTCGACTACGAAACCGTACACTCTGTGGGCGTTCTTTTCTAGTACCTTTCGTCAAGGTCGCCTGCTCAGGCTCTTGCAGGCCAACTTCGTAGAAAGCAGAAGCGCGCGATTTCTGCTCCATCGCGAATAGCGCGTAGATGTTGTTATGATAGTATGGCCACATAATGGCAGAGGAGCAGAACAGACTTACCGTAGACTCACGTTACGTCAATGGCATGCTAAGCGAGGGCGGGAAGCACGACCTCCGGCGTGATATAGCCTACTAATGCAGGGTATAACAGGCGTTGAAGTGACACCTGCCCTTGGGGCGATACCACAACGCAGGTACGAGGACACGGGAGAGCAATCAATCCACGGCATGTGAGCATTTCCAGGTAGAGCCGGAGCAGGCTGAAATAATCAGCTCGCTTCTGCTGTCCATGATATTCTTGTCGCTCTTTCTGAGCAGATTGGTCCGGTGTTATTGATGTGCCGATCGTGTTATTGCAGGCCATCAACGCCGGAAAGGAGCAATACTCCGATGCGCTGTCACAGGTGTGCCGCTCGATGAGGTCAGAACCGACATTGAGAAATAAACAAGACTTTGGCCAATGGTGGAGCGAGAGGCGACGATGATCCTGGACGCATCGTGATGCAGAGGCGTCGCACACGGACATTTTTCTGACAGACTCGGCATACGTAGCTTTCGGTGCGTCCCGTGATAACGCCTTCCTGTTTCGCCTTAGCATGAGACATCTGAGTGAACATTCACAATTCATTGGTGATCACGATGTCTTCAAAGCAGCACGGTACGATATAAGTGTAGAGGGCTATGCAATGGGAAATATTATGGTCTTGAACCTCAAGACGTCCAATTCATTGTGTGCATTCATACTCCCGCCAACGCCACGCTAGTATTCTGGAAAATTCTGGACATCATGAACAACGTAACACTATGATGTAGGCGCCTGGCCTCCATTCTACTACAGCTCCAGATCTGCAGTCACTATGTTCACTTCCACGCTGGACGAGCAGGTAGCGTTACAACATCGCTGACACGACTCCGCGTCCTGGGTGGCAGCAGACTACTTCTCCTGCTCGAGCCAAGAGCACTAGGTGGACGAGTCTTGTGATGTGATGGGCTCTCAGAATCCGCGTCATCCTCGTCACTCAATGGAGGGAGAGTGCTAGTCCTTCGAGCACTGCTGTTTAAGCGCGACGCAGGGCGCATCGCAGGCATAGAGGATTTTTGCGCTAGGGGGCTCGAATGGGCCAGCGTAGGCACTGGTAGTGAGGACTTGCGACCCGAGCTTTGCATTACCGATGCTGGTCGAGGTAGGGACGATGGCGTAGAGACGGTACGTGCGTTCGTCGTGCGCGCTGGTGCCGAAGCTGGGGTCGTCGAAAGTCTCGACCCAGCGCGCAAGAAGTTTGTCTTTGGTGTGACAGAACCTTTGGCGTACTTCGATGGTTCCAGGGCTGACAGTGGCAAGAAGCCTCTATCACCTGTTGTCTTACCTGCTGTCCAGCGTGGTTTGTTGCTTACTGGCGCTTCTGGGCCCAGTTGTATCCGCGTCGCTGTCAAAGACGGTGACGGTGACGCCGTCTCGCGTAGATCCATGTCGATGTTGCCACCAAAGAGGGCTCTGCGCGGTATAGAGCTCGTTGATAAGCGTGAAGATGACCGTTCGGTGCTGGGTCGAATGTAGCTCGACTGTCGAGACTTGCCGTTCGCGAGCTGTGTCGGTGTCCGAAGTGTCTGAAAACTGCTTTTTCTACTATTGCCAACGACGCTACTCGCTGGCGATGTGCCGGGCGTGTCTGCAAGACTACCAGACACGGAACGTTCGGTCGACACCACAGTAGAAACAGAGTCTCGAAGCTGCTTTGACTTGCACTCACTGTTCACGTCTTCGAGTACCAGATCCATGTCCCGCATGTCTCCTTGTAGTCCAGTCCACCGCCGTTTCATATCACTCTGTAGACGGAGAATCTCTCCATTGACAGTGAGACGATCCATTACGCCTCGATCGATGATTGCCAGCACACGCTCAATGGCTGGACCATAGTGCAGCTTCTTGGCCTCATAGTTCTCCACGCGCTTGCTGAAGCTGGCATAGTCGCTTGACTGTTCGCCGGTGTCAATGGCGTCCCTCAGCTTGAGATAGCTGCGAGCTATTGACTCGCACATCTTCAGAGCTTGTTTGCCTGCGTTTCGAAACACGAGCACCCATCGATCCTCTCCAAGCTCACGTCGGAGACTCTCGGCGTCTGATTCGAGCTTCTTCCACTGAGCTTCCAGCTGGTCTCGCCGCTGCTCGAGGTCCAGACATGCTGACGGGAAGAGGGTGTTCCCACGCAAATGGAAGACGGACAATCTCATCGGTAGGAAGTCAAGAGATGCGCGAAGTGGCTGCATTCGTGCAAACAGTGCTAGGAGGCTCGAGTCCTCCTTGTTCTCTTGTGGTGTCGGCTGTATTGGTGAGCTAGGCGAGAACGGTGGCAGACTGAATCTGTTGTTTGTTGTTGCCGGTCCTTTTCTTGGTCGCTCCTCAATGATCGTCTCGAGCTCGCTAATGTCGATACTGTCTTTATCGCTCAGGAGAGATTCTGCACCTTCGTGCCGCCGCTCCTCCATCTCAAAAACTAGGCGGTCGAGACCATCCATTTCTTGTGCAATCTCGCCCAGGACACTGTTCCATAGCTCCTCCCACTCTAGCGCAATCTCAACTTGCTCCTTCACACCATTCAGTGTGTGCTTGAGCTTCTGCCAGCTCGCGATGATAGCCTCCATCTGCTTCACACTCGAGGTGAGATCTCCAGAAGACAAGTTCGTGGTGTCGTCACGAGTCTGCAACCGCTCGATAGACAAGATGTAGACCTGTACAAGTCTGTCGAAGCGGTTGATAGCGGCATCAACATCATCGATGCCGTCGCTGCCGCCCGCAGCCGCCCATTCCACATCATCTTCGGCGTTCAGACCGTTGAGAACATCTGCAGCTTTACTGACCCATAGCCTGATCTGCTCGGCAGCATCCGACAATGTCTTGGCGGCCTCCGGTGCCGTGGGTATTGATGATATTCGCTTGATCAGGGAATCTGCGTCTGGTAGTCGCATGCTTGTCAGGTGAGATAGCTGACCAGTAAAGCTTGCCCGAGAAAGTGAGTATATCGAGCCAGCTCGCGACAGTCCAGAGGCGACAAAGTCGCCATCACTAATATTTTCATTACTCTCATTCCTGCTGGGTCGTGGAGAGTCCTGTTTCTCAACCATGGATTGTGGTCTCGTACTTCGTCCTGAGGTAGGTGTGGTAGGTCCAGAGTCTTTCGATTGTCTTCGAGGCGTACGTGGCACTTGCCGTCGTGTTGGACTCAATGGCTCCTTTGTTAGAAGATGCAGCCTCGTCTTGCCAAGGTCAGGCATCCTATACTTATTCATGTCTCTCAGGCCAGCCTCCTCGGCATCCTCCTCAGTGTCTGATGCCGCCATCCTCTCACTGATGCTTATGATGGAGGACACATCACTCTCCAGCATGGATGTCTCCGCCTCGGAGAGCACCGGTCCGCCATCTAACCGCACTCCGCCCGACGCGGGCATCACACGAACGGGGAGAGCTGCCCCGGGTCGCCGTAACACTTCAAACCCTTGTCTTTGTGCTTGCAGCCTTTCGAGCTCCCGCAGTTGCTCTTCCGGTATACGTCCAATGCTAGTCCGCTCAATCCGCTGCCTTCTCAGTCTCTGCTCCTCCAATCGTTTCAATCGCTGCTCAAGGCCAGGAGCGATGCGTTTGTAAGGCCTCGATTGTCCAGGAAGGGGTCCAGTCCACGGTGGCAAGTCGGCACCGTGGGATCCTGGATTGTAGGCCGTCACACCAGTATTGGCGTGTAGTGGTACTAACAAGGCTGCCATTTCCACGATTAGCTTAACACTACAACAATCCGTCTGCCTGCGTAGCACCAACAGCGCCTTCAGCGATCGCACGAGATCGCGGGCACAGAGCAGATATGTTGAAAGCACATACCGTCAGCCAGGCTCTTTAATCACACACGCCGTATATCCACAAACAATGAAAGCGTCATCACACCCAGCCTCTTCTCAATGCAAGTCCGGTATGGTCTGTTACATAGACTCGAGACAGCGTCCCCATCAGGCTAATGACTGGCTAGGAATTGCTGCGGGTGTCTCAGATGGAACAGTTGCGTGCCTGCCAATCAAGGTAGCAAGGGTAGCCCTGCAGCAGAATCGCGAAACAGACACGTTGTGGGGTAAGCAATAGTCGTGCACGTGATATCAATCATATGCCACTGCTTGCAATGCTTTCATGCTGTCGGCAGTACTAGCCAAGTATCATCTAAATGTGCGCCAACACGGCTGGGTATCATGTGTCTCTCATATTGCCAGAATCGCCTAGGAATCGAACATGCATTGTCACGCCACAGTAACAACCTCTTCACTGTCCGGGACCTCAACATGAAGCTCGGGCGGCCTCTTCTTATCACCAACTTCAGCCTCTTGACGCCACTCTTCCATGAGCTCTGTTCTTACATGCTGAGACCAAAGCAATATCGCTTCATCGAACTTTCGCCACGACTCTCGATCCTCCTTACTATTGACAACGTCGGACACAGGCACCACAAGCTTGACCTCCCACCGCAGCTCTGCGGCCTTGATCCAGTAGCGCAGATTGTCGGCCATGCGATATGGTTTTGCTACATCTGTATGCCAGGATTTGATGGTGTGGAATTGTCTCCTGGATCTGTGGACCAAGGTGTTATGTAGCTTGACGAGCCGTTGGCCATCCTGTAAACATTTGAGGAAGTCGTCTGGCAAGTCGCGTTCTGGCGAAGGCTCCGTCCATTGCGGCAAGGGCGTCTCGCTCAGATCAAAGGCTTTCATGAACAAGCCTTCCCGTTCTCGTTCTTGTCCAGTCCAGTCACCCTCTCGCCACATCCAAGCATTTCTCTCAGCAGTCTCGGCCTTTTCCTGCTCCTCTTCTTGCTTGAGAAGCTTATCAATACTCTCGATCCATATGATGATGCCTGTCAATTCGTTCAGGCGTATGCCGCCCTTGAAATTTCGACTAGCCATGCGTTTAAGTATATCCAAGACCTGATATAGCTCTGCTCGGATGTTCCTCTCGGACTTGAGGGCGTACAACTTCGCCGGCTGCGAATGAGCTGTGTAGTAGTTCTTGGCAGCTCTTATCGCAAGTGTAAGGATATCCAACATATGCAGCCCCTGTATCTCGTGAAAGCCATTGCTAGCTTCGCCATCGTCTTGTGTACAGTCTTGCTGCTTCTGCGACTCTTCGATGACCTTGCATGCATCTTGCAGAGCCTCATTGAGCTCTCTTCGAAGCACTGGCATATCTGGGAGTGGCTCAGTATAGGATGGTTTCTGCTTGTACGTGCTGACTGTTGGCGGCAGCATTGGTGGCTCGGCTTTGCCATTCCAGGGTTGGGCACTGCTATACATGTCTGTCGGGCTTTCCAAGACGCTCGAGTCGGCACCTGGGTCGGACATGGCGTAGCTCGAGGCACCATCATACAAGGATAACGATGACACCCCAAGTTCATCTGCGCAAGCTATTGCGGGCTCCACATTCTCCTTGTCGCTGCTGCTACCTTCTCGCTTCTTGTCCTTTGCTAACTGCGCTCCTTTCCCATCGAGCAAACCTGTCCTGGCAAAATAGTACTGCATATGTGCAATGCTTCCCAAGCTCATCACGCTATCTCGATTGCGTGCCGAGTCCGCAAAGGCGGTACCCTGTGGTCGCATATAGCCCCTTCTCCTGACAACTGTAGAGGCGCCATCGGAAAGTCTGGACTGTCGTGATCGGGTCGAAAGGCTGGAGGCGGAGGAATTCGAAGGTGTTGATACTGATCGGTCAAGCAAGGGCACAGCATCTATCGCCAGCGAGGGCGAGACGCTTGGAGATGGCGAGCTTGGTCGCTGCTCGTGTGAAGCTGCAGCACTGGCAGATGCACTGGTAGATATAGCCGCCATGCTGCGGCCTTCAGCTCAAGGTTACACCACTGCCACGTTGGAACAGGGATGTCTGAAGCACCAAGTTGCTGATTGTGGAGGTTTGAGACAATGAAACGTGGGAGAAGATGTCTCAAAGGTACAGGACGCAGAGGTCAGCCTGCGAATGCTTCGATACGGGTGATGCAGGCGCAAAGGGTGGTTTGGTCCAATACTCCGGGAAGCTAGTAAATGAGCGTTGCCATCAACACTCGATATCATAACTTTATTTGACGCGTTAGACGTGTCCCAAGATTCAGGGTCACACGATCGGTGACGGCGCCGGCGGCGACGGTCCGCCCGATCCACAGAGCTGGATCATGGGATGGAAGGAACGGGACGATTAATTAGTGGCTTCGACTGCGAAGCACTCGCTATCACTGAGTCTGAATTCTGTCAGACCATGAGAATGAGGTCGTGATGGTAGTGGCCACGTTCCCTGATAGCTAGCAAAGACGGCGTGGAGAGCAGAATGTTTTATTCGGGCACTTCCACATGGCATTGCCTGTTCTACTACACGGGGGAACAGCATATCGCTATATGGCCCAGCAATGAAGGAGGGATGTTCAATTTCAGTTTCTCTCATTAGACCCCATGGTCTTCTTATAGATGCTAAGCCACCTCTAACACCACACTGCTCAGCAGGTGAATATCGTAGCCTCGCACACCAGACTGCACAAGATCCCAGCTCTATTCCTCCCCACTGATATGACGGAGGACGGCTTGACCATCGAGGCCAACGTCGTTCATCGAGACTAGGTCCACATTGTCCACCAACCATGTCGTGTAATTCTGGATGTTACTCGCATGCTCGAGCACTGTTGCAAATGCCTGCGATGATAAGGATTTGAAAAGCACAGTTGCGGACTCAACACTAAGCGGCTCCTTCATATCGCAAATGGTTTCCTTTACAAGCGTCCCGTTCAGCAGCTAGGAGACATCAGTAGAAGTCCTCCCCACTGGCTCGATCATAACCAAGGCTTATTGCAGGAATAACTTACAAGGGTATTGATGCTGGCGACGTAGTTTCCTGCATGAGCGCAGTAAATGTTCAGCTGTGTATCGGAGGTGGCAGCGCTTGCGAATATCATGGCATAGAGCGTGCTAACCATATTCAGGAAGATGGACGAGGCAGTGAAGTCAATTCCAACCCCCGGAAGGGCGCCCTCAGGTCTAGGACTTGGGCGCATCCCAGCTCGATTGCAGGTCGCTTGGATGATACGAGTGGAGTCAAGCCGGAATCCATCGATAGACAGATAACGGAGATTCTGACACAGGTATTCGTACGCCGAGGTTTCGTTTTGAGGGAATGCATGGAGCAATTGCGTTACGAAAATCTCGGTGTTGTACTGGATAACGTCTTGAGTCCTCGTCAGTCATCTTCTATATCATTGACAACTACCGTCCTCCACACTTACGGGGTAAGGCTGCAGTGGCGTTCGGCTGAGAATGGGAGGCTGCACAGGCGACATTCTGGATCAACGCTTGATTGAGTGCTTCTTGCGACCACTTTCCGTGCGATGTCAGGTTGACATTGTTACACGTCACGTCAAGCTCGTCGTCGTTGACAGCGGCGCCGGCCAAGGTCCAACCAACCAATAAGGACAGGTTGTTAAGCGCATAATGTTCCTGAATGGTGATGTCTGTGAACGATCAGCAATGTCTAGTTTTATGAGAGTGATTGGTGACGGCGTACTTCTTGCCACACTTTGGCACGGCTCGATGGGTGCGGCCACTGCGAAGCCAGACAGTAGGACGGCCAAGGCCAGGATGGGTCCGAAAGCCATCATTGTGTCGACGATCTTGGCTCGATAGGACCGTGTCGAGTGTATCAACGTGGGCTTGTTCCTTTTTGCAGAAGCTCCCCGTTTCGTAGTTGGACGGGTGTAAGGCTAAAGTTCTCCTGGGTGGATATTCCGAGGTACTGAGGCTAGGGAAGTGTCTCTTTTATCTTGACCACGAGTACATGCGGGCAGATGAACTCGAAACGAGTGACGATGCCACAATGAAAGAAGGCAAGAGTGACGATGACCTTGGTAGGACCTGCTGAAGTGATTCTCTCCAGTAGGCAGTGGCGCTGCAAACCTTGAATGGAAGGAGCGATGGACGTGAAGAAGGTGCAGACGAGACAGTCTAGATTTTCACCATCTGCACCAACGGTTCATGATCGTGCAGAAGTGCCATGGCGACCTGCATGACGATCACCCTTTGTGAACATGCGGGAGAGCATACCAAGTCTGTGGTTGGACGCCACTGCGTTTGGGATCCAGCAAGCTGTTACACGACTTCGGAACTTTGGCTCGTCTCAGCCGCCTCCACATCATACTCGGAAGCTATATGCGGTCAGCTGCAAGATATAGACAAAGAATACTCGTAGTCATGTACTGCGAAAAGTGCAATCTCGCGGGATCCGAGATTAATCAATGCATGAGGCGATCTTCCAGGAATTACTCTGGAGAGGAAGTTGTCGGCCCAGATGGTGTAGAAGACGAATATGATACAACTTCACTGTACAGATCTAAAGTTGGCCGTCCTTGCGCAGCATCGACTCGCCCGTCGGTGGTTCTTCTCGCAAGCTTGTCGGTCCTGACATCGGTTCGCACGACACACGCTGGCTTAGCGGACCAGGAGCCGGAATGCTCGCACCCTGTGCTGCGTACCCCCGTCCTCCCTGCTTCACCTGCCTACCCGATCCAGCACCCTCACTAGAGACTTCATCTTGGCCTGAAGAGCCTGGTAGCCCTGCTGCCCAGCCACCTGCACCAGTCTTCTCTGCGGCTTCCTTCAACGCGCGAAGTAAGGATTTGGTCGTCTCGGGTGTCAGGTCCTCGTAGAAATCGTCGTTGATTTGTACCATGGGCGCATTTGCGCAGGCGCCAAGACACTCGACTTCGGTGAAGGTGAACATCTTGTCTTCTGTTGTCTCGCCGTGGTGAATGCCTATCTCTTCCTCAATAGCTTTCATGACTCCGTCACTTCCTCTCAGCTGGCAAGGAGTCTGGAGCAACGTTAGCAGACCACTCGTCTCACATTCGGTTGGCATGGACCTGCCGTTGTGCAGCACTGCACATGAAACCTGCCCACAGGATTCCTGTTGTACATGGTGTAGAAAGTGGCAACCTCGTAGACTCGCATCGGTGGCATCTCCAGTAACCGTGCGACTTCGTTCATGACGCTGATGCTTGTAAAACCATGTTGTCGCTGTCCTAGATCAAGCAATGGCATGACCGCCGCCTTCTTGTATTGGCTGGGGTACCGGCTGAGCACTTCCTCAATGAGAGCCTCATTCTGGGTGTTGAACTTGAAGGGTATAGAGGGGTTATTGTCGGGTGTATCGCGGTGCTGTAGGCGAGACAGTATCAGCACATAGGCGCTCACGACCCGGCCAAATGTATACATACCACATTGAGAGTGTCACTCCGTATCGCGGCGGATCGCTGGAAGGTCCTCCTTTGTTGCCGTGGCACGACTCGTGCTGCGCGGAACCCAGGACGCGATAGCCAGGGCGCAAGTTTTGAAGCCATTGTGTACGTGGTGGTATTACTCAGAGCCTCTGTGTAGAAGACCTAGGAGCGACGGAAGCAATACATTGGACTCTCGATTGCGAAGCTCTGATCGCTGAATGGCCCGTGCAGGAAAATCGTCCAGATCGACGTCAGCAATTGGCTGGAAAAAATGTAGCTTTCTATGGACTCTAGAGAGCTTTTCATGGGCTATGGAGAAGACTGTCTTCGCAGTGTATTCTGATACGCTGTAGCATCAAGACCAAACGCTATATACTATGACTGACGATGTGATCACAGCATTTCTTGGAAGGCCAGCAATCTAGGCAATGGCGAGCACTCATACTAGCAACCAAAGCTATCTCAAAGCATCTCGAGACTGGAACGACCTTGTCCAGACACCTGACTGTTCTCCGTCGGGCTTAACAAGAAAGACTACATAGTGACCTTCATACCCTGCCTGGCCATTGGACTCCCGTCAGTGACCAGTAGCTGCTGTGGTCTGGGCTTGTCAGTGGACCAAAGTCGCGATTCTAAACACGCCGGTATCTCCCTGCCGTCTAGAGGCCCTGCGAGCATAAGCATCTCAACTATCACACAGACTGGGGTCAGCGATGTCATCCTCATATCACTTGCCACCTGAAGAGAGTTCACCAGATGATTTCTCGCTGCCGACGACATGTTGTGGCTGTATCCAGCGAAGAAAGATCATGGACAGTGAATGTACCTATCATGGTTGGCAATCAGACTTCGTGGTGCCACAGACTCGAATTCTCTTCGGAAATATACGTTTTCCCATTGATCCTTCAGTTCGTACCGCCGCTTCTTCTGTAAGTTCCATTCTGATGGCGATGATCAACGAAGCGGGCATTCGAGCAATCGCGATTGCTAACGTGTCAATATCGTCGTATGACTGCTCGTTAAGTCATGTCGCGGTGTATGTACATGCACGCTTGTAACTTCCCAATCGAGCATAGAGCCTGGAAGTGGGGTCGACGACTTCCCTTTAGGATCGATCTTCCACCTGCATGGATGAGCGCTTTTTGGGCTGGATTTGCAGGTCAGAAAGATGATAGCTAGCCCATTTCCGGTACAACGTGCAATCACCCAGACTGTGATGACATGAGGTGCAGTCTGACTGGCTGGCATATTAACGAAATGCTGAACGGCAAGTATCGGCCGAATGTACTTATCTATTGACCCACATCGATACTCCGACCAAGGGACTAGAGTTTGATGCTTGTCGACACCTCACAACCCAGGTAGCTTCGCTCTTAAGGTCACGACATCTATCAGGTCGGAGAGTGCTGTTTTATGCTGCCCATCACTCGACGCTCTTGATCCTACACCCTTCTTTGCTGTAACTAAGCTATTCGCTTACGATTCCGGTACAAGATGGCCACAGAACAGATCTCGGAGATATCTTTGCCACTCAGGACGGCTAAGCAGTCGGTCTCGCATCCGTTGGCACCACTTAGTGCAGACGAGATCCGAGACGCTGCGGCGATCATCAAATCGCAATGGCCAGTCAACACCGATCTTCACTTCAAGACAATCACTTTGGAGGAGCCTGCAAAGGCCGAGACCGTCCCCTATATTGAAGCCGAATACCATGGCTACGACCTGCCCAAGATCGATCGCAGGGTGCTCAGCACTTACTATCTAAGGAAGACCGTATGTTGATGTATACCTTACCTGCCGAGATATGCACTCATATCACGAAACAGAACAAATTCCACGAAGCAATCATCAACTTGACTCAGAAGACTCTCGAACGCAATGTACGACTGGGAGCTAATATACATGCCCCTGGTGATGGTGAAGAGATCGTTGCGATCGAGCGAATCGCTCTTGAAGACGAAGGCGTACAGGCTGAGCTTGCCAAGATGCAGTTGCCCGAGGGTGCCCAGATTGTCGTCGATCCTTGGATTTACGGTGCCGACGGCATCAACGATGACGAGCGCATGTGGCAGCTGTTCATGTATCTGCGCGGCACTGCCGATGAGATCGACTCGAACCACTATGCCATCCCTCTCCCGTTGTCTCCGGTCGTTAGTGGAGATGAGAGGAAGGTCATTCGTATTGATTACCTTCCCACGGGGAAGGACAATTCCATAAGTGCTCCGCGACCTTACACGGCCAAACCTGCGAACGAATATATCCCGGAGGCACAGCAGCTTCGAACAGACCTGAAGCCTCTGAACGTCGTCCAGCCAGATGGGGCCAGCTTCAATGTCACAGAGCAAGGCACGTCCCGTAAGATTCAATGGCAGAAGTGGGAGTTCCGAGTTGGCTTCAACCAGCGAGAGGGCATGGTGCTATATGGTGAGTGAAGCAAAAGACACCTCCCGCGTGAGATACTGGCCGATACTGACCACTTTTTGTAGATGTCCGCTACGAGGGGCGTAACCTGTTTTATCGCCTCTCGCTCAGCGACATGAACATCCCATACGCTGACCCGCGCCATCCCTTTCATAAAAAGTCGGCATTCGATCTCGGTGACGCTGGTGCTGGCATCATGGCAAACGACCTTAAGCTTGGCTGTGACTGCCTGGGATCAATCCACTACTTGTCAGCTGTGCTGAACGACGACAAGGGTGAGCCGCTAGAGATGCCAAATGTTGTCTGTATTCATGAGCAAGACGGTGGCATCGGCTGGAAGCACACCAACTACAGGACTGGACGCGCCGCTGTAGTTCGCAACCGTGAGCTGGTGCTGCAATCTATCATCACAGTCTCCAACTATGAGTACATCTTGGCGTTCATGTTCAACCAGGCCGGCGAGATGACATATGAAGTACGAGCTACTGGTATTTTGTCGACACAGCCGATCGATGAGGGCATTGAAGTGCCATGGGGTACCGTTGTTCACCCGGGCGTGCTCGCAGCCCACCATCAGCATATCTTCTCACTCCGCGTTGACCCGATGATCGACGGCTATCATAACCGTCTCGTCTATGACGAGGCACTGCCGATGCCCAGGAGTGACTTCAACCCGCATGGTACTGGCTACTACACCGAGGAGACTGTTATCGAGAAGTCCGGCGGCTTCGACCTTGATTATGACAAGAACCGCACGTTCAAAATCCAGAACGTGGACGTGCGGAACCCAGTCAATGGCAAACCGTAAGTACAATTGGGTGAATTTCATACGTCAGGCATCACCAGGATGGTACTGACACTTTGCAGGTCTGCGTACAAGATCCATGCTCCTCCGTTCCAGAAGATCCTCTCCGATACAGAGAGCTTCAACCACAAGCGAGCTGAGTTCTCTGATCGCAACATATATGCCGTGAAGTACCATGATGACGAGCTTTTCGCGGGAGGCAAGTACACAAACCAAAGCAGAGGAGGTACTGGTGTCCGTGGCTGGGCCAACAGGGCTGAGAGGATCGTCGACGAGGACCTCGTTGTGTTCGTACAGTTCGGCATCAACCACGTAAGCATTGAGACACGAGTGAAGTCCTGAGGCCACATGGCCGATTGCTGACCGCCTCGACAGATCCCACGCATAGAGGACTTCCCCGTGATGCCCTGCGAGGTAATCAAAGTATCTTTCAAGCCTGTCAACTTTTTCGACAGGAACCCGGCTATCGATGTACCTCCAAGCACCCAGGAATTCAACAAGAGCACTCTCCTTGGCCAAGTCCACCAACAGAGCACCACCGAAGGTACTATTCGAGACGGCGGGGTATGCTGCTCAAATCCTGCCAGTGCGAAGCTTTAAGAGGGCGCGTACATGGGCATCACGGAGTACTTGCGAAGCTACAGCATGAAGTTGCAGGGTATAGCGTGGGGGTGTTGCATATAGTATTCAGCCTCAGCTCCGCATTAGACAATTGGTAACGTAAAGGAAGAAGTGAAGTGCTGTAGAGTGGTCTCAGCTTCGTATGCAGGTCTGTCCGGCGTTCATGCTCGTGTGCTCGTATGCTCTCGTGTCCCCTTGCAATAAGCCATGGGATTGACGGCTTCTTGACCTAGCCATGCTGTGTCACCTGTACTGCTACTTTATGTCGCCAGATGAGGAGTGCAGGCGCGGCGAGTGCTTCCATTATTCGCCATGCTGCAAGCCTTCGATTTTGCTGCCTTAAGTGACCGACTTCTGGACGACCTTCTTGATTGAAGGTGCGCTCGTTTCGATGCGAGTACAATATGTTGTAAGCAAGCCATTCATGCCCGAGTCGACATCGTCTATAGGTACTCATCACGCGCTCAATTATACGCCCCTCTCTCACCGACACAGATGCTGCTGATCTGTCATACCTTTCGAACCCATCAGAAGTTTCTGCAGCGCCTCGATCACGTCTGCCACCAATCAGTGGACATAGACGCATTCTAGCCACGAGCGCTTTGCATGAAATGCACGACATCACGACCGACCAGGCTGCTCTTGGCTGCACTGGGAATGCGCATTCGTGGCCACTCCTGGCTGGTGCGTGACAAGATGACAACTGACTTTGGGGGGTGGGCCAGGCTGGCGGCGACAACCTTTGAATGACTGTGGGGACTCGCCATCCTGCCGTCGATCGGCTAGGCCAGAGTGGCTCTTCTCGCCTCGTACTGCCCGTTCATGCAAATCACACTCAGCCAGCCTCAGGTGATCATCGAAGAATGTAGCGAGCACGTACAGTGTCAGCAATGGCTTTCCACCAGATTCTGGTGTGCCAGTCTCGAGCAAGTAAAATACTTGCAAATCATTTGACAGCCGGAGAGCCATAGCCATGGACAAGCATAGCCCTCGGCTCGCTTGCCCGATCAGACGCTAGCACGGCCTTGCAATCGTGTGAAGGCATGAACCTTTAGGGTTTGAGAGCTCGACGCCGCACCACCTCCAACCCGTATGCATCATGCACACCCTCCACGTTCTACGTACTACTCAATATGTAAGACGGCTTGTAACGAGAGCGTCCATCGATCTGCTCATCGGACCTGCAGCATCACACGAGCGGACGGAAGAAAACTTCGCCACAACTCCGGATGCAATCCAGCTGCCCTGACTCGTGCTCTCGCCCGCGCTGCTCGTCCAGGCAGGCCTATAGACAACCCTGCTCGTCTTACCTGCGAGATCTGCAGGCGGCCATAGCCGTCGGGCGCTGGTCTCACGCCGGCCAGGAAGAGATGCGGAGAAGAGTGGGATCCACGGTGCACCACCCTGTTCATGCGATGTACTTTGAGTTTGTCTGATGTGCTCGGGACCCTTCTTGTTTCCCCTACGAAGACACCCACCTAACCGTCCCAACCACATGAAAGCGGGTATCACTTCGCGCCCATGAACTCGCCATATGGGAGCCTTGGTGTACTTGCGAACCTACGACACCTTACTGTTACTCGGATGCGCATAGACTCGGACCCAGATATCATGATGGTAGTCAAATGAACACATCTTGACAAGATCATCAGTACTATACGAGAGTCTGGTTCACCTACGACCGGTCTACAACCTTGCGAGACGGCATGGACGCGGCGACCCCGGATCCTGCCGCACTTATACGCAGACGAAGCACACTGTCGAGTTCTACATACTCCACTGCCTCGAGCTCGTCGCCAGATGCAACCAACGATGTAGTCATTACGCCTGACAGCGAGGACGATGCGGAAACGCCTGTAGTCCCGAAGATTGAAGAGCGTGACGAGGATGGACCGGACGAAGTGCAGGATGCTAAGCCTTCAACAGTCGTGGATGCCAACGGCGTGCCGGTTCCGCGAAAGCGTGGTCGACCACGAAAGCATCCGTTAGTTGAACAGAAGAAAGCGTCACATATTCGATCGAAGACAGGGTGTGGTACATGCCGCAGACGTAAGAAGAAGTGCGATGAGACGAAACCATCATGTACAAATTGTGAGAAGAATAATGTGGTCTGTGATGGTTATGAACCCAGGCAACATTGGCGTAGCGGGAAGTCCAAGTCACTCACGATACGAAGCGGCATACCTACGGAGTTACCAATGCTGGTCGAAGGCGTTGATGGTACGATCGATCAAATGTTCTTTCATTATTTCACGGCACAACTTGGCAAAGTCCTGTCGCTCACGGATCATCATAATCCATGGCTGGAGATTATCGTTCCAATGGCGATGGGTCATGCAGGTCTAATGCACAGCGTGCTCTACCTCTCAGGCAGCTGCCTAATAGCGAACGAGCCATCGCCAAAGACGGAATGGGAGGAGCGACAGGAGCATCACAGCAGTAGAGCAATGCGACTACTGCAGGACGATCTGACACAGACGACTGAGCCCGAAGGCAAGGGCATGGCCAACATCGGCGATCCATCGATTGCACAGACATTGGTCCTCTGCTTACAGACTGTTTGTGCGGGCGACCTTAATGGCACGTATCGATTCCACCTCAATGCGATGAAGGAAATGTTGACGTTTCGTGCGTCGACTTTTCCAAACGAACAGCTACGACAGTTTATTCTTGAATTTCTGCTATACCACGATTATAGCAGTGCGATCACGAGTCAGAACAATCCGCTAGATCAGCGCAGTATCGATCTAATGGAGGGTTTCAAGCTGCCGGAATTTATGATTCAGCCACAGGCGGGCACGCTACTTGGTGTGATGGATGGTTTGTTTGGCTTCATCAGTCGCATCAGAAAACTGCGAGACCAGGTGCGTGTACGAAGAGCACGAGGAACAGGCCACTGGTGGGACGTGGATATCATCGACGACGCGTTTGCGATCGACGATGCTCTACGAAGCTGGCAGTGTGTGCATACGCCTGATAGTGCAAGGTACGCTGCAAGCCTGCTGTACAGACAGTGCACCTGGATATATCTACAACGGACGATTCAACCTTCGCAGCCGAGTGCCATGTTCAAGCACGCCGTGGACCAAGGTCTTGAGTACCTTCGCGCATTACCACAAACGGCCGACGGCTCAACGCAATCGATCCTCCTCATGCCACTCTTCCTCCTCGGCTGCGCAGCCTTCGAGCCCGCACAACGACCCGAGATCAGCGAAGCGTTTCAACGACTGCAGAACTGGTCGAGTTTGGGAAATATACGGTATGCGAGGCAGATTGTGGAGGAGGTCTGGCAGATGATGGATGAAGGTCGGGAGGCCGAGACTTGGGATTGGGAGACGATTATTGCTAAGCATGGGTGGGACTTTCTCATTACTTAAGCGGCATATGGGTATGATGCATGAGGGACGGCTAGGCAATGTAAATGATTGCTCACATGGACGGTGTTTCAGGTGTCGTTTAGGTCGTTGTCCTGGTTGGGAGGCATCTCTGGCTATTGCAAAATAAAAGTTCGGTGGGAGAGCATGCGTCTTCGGGCATGAGTGGCTAATAATTCGACAGTGGTGTCTGGCAACAGCTTCTGAGTTGGTGCATATTGAGGGTGGGTCATACTGGACGCAGCTCATTCATTTCATGACTGCAGGCGACTGTCCTCGGTGCGATGCTTCTGGGCTAATCAATGTAGAGTACACCTCACCTTCAGCACATAACGTTAGCATTATAGCGATGTGAACACGCGCATCGTTTCTATCTCTATCTCTCCGCCTTGTCCCTGTCCATTGCATGTTATCCTTGTCGCTCTGCTTGGCACTTTTTCTGGTGTGGATGACCACATGCGCATGACATCACCGGAAGTGTTGGAGAGGCTGGTGCGGTTGCCGCCCACCACTCACCACAGTGTCTCACCTTTGGGCAAAGCCACAGTAGTGTGCGCGCAGACAGCGGAACTTCTCACCTTTTGACTATTCGACCGTGCCGTGCCTTCCTCTTCTATACACGCGAACGTACGAACAGCGCGAGGGTGTCCGGCCTTCCACAGGCGCCCACCTTCTGTTTTCGTCAGCCCCACCAAAGACCTTGATTATTGTACGACTCCGCGAGGCTGCGACATTCTTCTCACCGGAACGTCGCTGCGACAGGGCGCAGTCATCTCACCTGATATTGTGGCCTTCTGGTCTATCACATCAGCAGCATTAACACCACATTCCCCATCCCGATACTAAGCCCTTCTCGAGTCGCATCGACAGACACCTGACTCAGCGACGACAATATGTCGCGCATCGTAAGAAGAGAGTGGGAAGTGGACCGGGAAGATAGCCGCACTGTGTACGAAGACCAGGCGCCTCGACGAGTCCGTACTACAGTGAAGCGATATCAGGTCCCGGATAGCAACAACTCGCGACCACTCTACCAAGAGGAAGATGTGACAGACAAGCAAATCACTATCCGCCGGGAGCGCCGAGAGCCTTCACCTCCAAGAGAAGAGATTCGCTATAAGGTAGTGGAACGATGGAGTCAGCCAAGAGAGGATGTGGACATCCGCATCAGAGAACGAGCAACGGAGAGAGACGCTGCGCCTGCTCCACGACGCGATATAGCTTATCGCGTAGTCCAGCGGGACGACTTTGACAGGTCTTCTCACTCTGGTCGCAGCGATTTCCGTGAAGTGAGGAGCGTACGTGCCCCTTCGCCGCCAGAACGCGAGCGTGTGCAAGAGTTCCGCTTTGAGCGCGAGCGGTCTTTCTCAAGATCGCCACCTCGGCGACGGGAGCAAGCGTATGATGTTGAAAAGTACACGAAGAATACCGAGTACTACTCACAGCCACAGCCCATTATCATCAGGACGGAGGCACCACAGCCGATTGTGATCAGAGAGGAGCGGAGAGAGCCGCCAATCGTGATCGAGCGCGAGAGGGCGCCTCAACGCGAGTCTCAGTTCGAGTTCATTGAGCGCAGCGAGATCAGGGAAGATAGAGACGAAAGCAAGTCACTTGTCTCTACCAAAAAGGACGATTTTAGGGAGGAGACCAAATCTGTAGCGCGGTCTGTGGCACCGACTGCGCCAATAGTGCAGACGCCACAAGAAGAGGATGACCATTACTTCTATGAACGCCGAGTCATTGAGCGGGATCGTGCGCCGAGACAGCGGGACGAGAGTCACGACGATCGAAGAAGCGAGATCCGACCACGCGATAGCGCTTCTCAATACAGTGACGACAGCTACGAGTATGTCCGTCGCGAAACGAGGTACGAAGATAGCCGAAGCCGAAGCAGGGAGAGGTCGAAGTCGCCTCATCATAGGCGCCATCTCGCAGAAGGCGCTATTGCTGGAATTGGCGCGGCCGAAATCTTTCGGCATCATAAAAGGTCGCAGGGAGAGGATGTCGGTGGCCGTGGCAAGTCTGCCTTGGCTGGTGCAGCTGTTGGTGCATTAGGCGCCGAGGCAGTGAGTCGTGTGCGCAGCTATTCAAGACGCCGCAAGTCACGAAGCAGGTCTCGCAGCGAATCCTACGACCGAGACGACCGCAGAGACGACAGGCGATCTCGAGGAAAGCGACGCTCGCGCTCGAGAGAGAAGTCGCTTTCCCGTGCCCAGCAGATCGGTGGTGTTGCTGCGGTGGCGGCGATTGGTGCCCTTGCTGGGTATGCGCTGAAGAAGAAGGGGCAGAACAAGGAGACGATCGTCGTCAAGGAAGATCATCCTCGACGTAGTCGCTCGCGAAGACGCAGGGCTAGTGCTGACAGCTATATGTCTGATGACCGCACGATCTTGTCCGACGGTGGCGGGAGAGCGCTGGATCCGGAGCACCGTAACCGGCGTATAGCACAGGCTGGTCTCGCTTCTGCTGCGGCCGCCGGTCTATGGGAGAGAGTTCGATCGAAGAGTCGTGGCGGTAAAGATCGAAGCAAGAGCAGGGTCCGCCAGTCCATTCCCATCGTCGCCACAGGTCTTGGTGGTGCGGCGCTTGCAGGATTGTACGAGAAGAACAAGGCTAGCAAGGAGGCCAAGAAGGCAGCAATTATCGATGAAGAGATCGGAGGCAGAGGCAGAAGGGCACGCAGCCGTTCCAGGAGTAGGTCTGTTCCTGCACCTCATTATGCTGATGACAAGCATGTTGACGATCGTCGTGGCATGATAGCTTATGGCGATGAGCCCATCTATCCCGACGAGCGCCGTGGCTACTACAGCGACGAAGAGCCAGCCTCCTACAATCGTCGCCACCGCGGCGGCAGCGATAGCGGCAGCAGTCCAGATACGAGACGTCGAAGCAGATCTCGTGGACGCCACCTCGCTGAAGGCGGTGCTGCTGCCGGTGCGGGCGCATTCGCTGCTCACCAGATTGGCAAAAGCAGGGAGCGCTCCAGATCCCACGCTGAAGCTGATCGTAGACGTATGTATGCAGTGCTCCCAAGATATGCTCAAGCTGACCTAAACCTAGGCCACGAAGATGAACGGTATGATCACGGACGTGACGGGGATTCTATGTATAGCGCAGATCCTCATCCTGGTGGCTATCTTCCACAGGAGCAGTCTGCATATCAGCCTCAAGCATACCCTGGTGGCACATACTTCCCACCACCTCCGACCGGCGCCGAGGCTCCAGTAGCCGCGGAGCACGGTGGATATCCAGCTTACAATCCTGCCGAGTACGCACAGGGTCAACATCAGCAGCCATACCAAAATTACGGCTATGGTGAGAGCAGCGCCACGCTCGGTGCACCGTATCCCAACGATACTTTCGCAGGTGACGCACGCTACGCTCCTCCGACACCCGACATGCACAATCCACACGATGAGCGGAACAGAGGCAGGACCGCAGGAGAGAATGTGAGTGCGCCCATCACCACCGCCACCGAGCACGATCCTCGAGATGCGGGTACGTCCAGAGTACCCGCGGGTGAGTTCAATCATTATCGCAACAACTTGCTAACACTCACCAGATGGTGTAAACACACCGCGGCCGCCTCGATCGCGTAGCCAGAGTCGCGTGAGATTCAACCTCGATGCGAACGAATTGCATTCTCCCGAAACGACACGAAGGAGCGACGAGAGGACTACGACTACGGACAGTGAGACGAAGGGCGAGAGACGGCATCGTCGTCGTCAGAGACCAGAGGGAGGTGGCGAGCGTGATGGCGATGAGGGAAGACGTGGTCCCTCGAACCTGATGCACGACCAGTACGATCGTCTTCCAGAAAGCGACTCGGAGAGCACGATCGACCTACCAAAGCGGTTTGACGAGCAAGGGAACCGTAAGTCCAATGGAGATCCGTTTGCCGATGGTCTCAACAAATTCTTGGGCAATGCTGGCCTGGGAGAACTCCTTGGACGGTTGACGGGTGGTGGACAGGATACGGATGAGGGGAGGAGTGGGAGACGCAGGCATAGGCATTGATGACATTACGAATGGTGGTTGTTCTTTCGATCTGTTTCCTATACCACTGCTGCACACGCACGAGAAGTAATGACACCGCATGATTAGAGATGAGGATAGTATGAGTATGACATTCATGAAGTACTCTGAATCGTTCAAGCTGTCGTAACATACTTTGCTACCGGTTGCTCATCAAGTGATCATACACCAACTCCATGCGCTAAACCAATAACAAAGAACCACAATCCTCAGCACCATCATGACTCAACTCCCAGCCCCATTCGCAGCAGCCATCTCACTCCGCCGAATCGCCTCCTGCGCCCCCAACAACACAATCAACGCCTGCACCTCCGTCCCCTCCTCCACCTCATAGAAGAATTCCACACGTCCCCACGCCTCACTCCTCCCAAAAGCCTTACACATATAAACAAACACCCCCAGCACCTCCCCCGTCTCAACATCCACGAGCTTATGATCTCGCTGTCCCCACCGTGTGGCTCCGATGGATTTGTCGTGTGTGCGTCGCCATTCTAGACTGCGCTGCTGACCGTTGTTGGGGGAGAGAGGGGTGGTGAATTTCCACGCTTTCATCGTAAGACACGAGCCCTGCACGCGAGGCCAGAGGTTCTTTTCCGTCAAGTCCGGATTGGGACCGAGATGGTAGAAGAAGTTCTCGGACCAGTTGTGCAGACGGCATGTGGCGAGGACTTCTTCGCTGGAGGAGTTTGTGGAGGAGTGGTGGAGGTTGATTTCGTTGGGGTGCATCATGGGTCGTTTGTAGCGGGCTATGAAGGCCGGTTGGCCGTTGGAGTCCCAGATGTCTTGGATGTGTTCTTTTCGGCCACAGGACTTGTTGTCGTGGATTGTGTAGATTTTCACGACTGTGGGAAGGCTGCTGCTGGTTGTGGTAGTGGTAGAGAGGTCATCGCCTTTTATTTCTTGAACGGTAACATTCTCTTCTGTACTGTCCTTCTTGGAGTGGTGGAAAAGACCCATCTTGACTTATAAAATGCTTGTAATTCTTCTAGCGATGTAAGTCGCACGGGATTATCTGGTTGCGGAGGGTTGACAAGAAGGAAGAAAGCGTGGTATACTTATCTCAATGCCTCCGTAGTAGACAGCGCTGCGTATTACGACTTTGAGTATAGCGCATGTCGTTAGGCAAGCAGGCGGTACTGAGGTGATGATTATGGCGAAGGATGCAAGCCACTCTCGCAGCAGGGCGCAGGGCTCTTGGCGGTGACGATCGTGATCCCGACCATCAGGCATCAAAATCTACCAGCCAAGGCTTGGTGGGTGATATGTTTGGTACGATGCGATGAGATGACCCGAAAAATATCACATGTGGTGGATGTTTGTGTCTTGGCCAATATGTACTGATTGATGTGGTATGTACCGAAGACGAGAGGATAAGGAAAAGACCGATCGTGAACATGAAAAGCGGCGACCAACCTAGCTGATCAACGACAATGCTGATAGGATACCATTGGAGTCAGGTCGTCGGCATCAGTGATTAATCCGTGACAGAGCTGGTGGTTAGTAGTTAGTTTGCCTCAAAAAGTCGAAGAACCACAGCATCACGTGCGTACAGAAATGGGAAGGGGAAACAGCTCATCCAGCAAGTGGACGTCAGAAGGTTGGTTCAGAGACACTTGCATTGTCTATGTAGGACAGCAAAGCATCTCTCAGCTACCACGCTGATATGGAGGTATAGTATGGTATCACACGATGCACCCAGAGCCTCCATCTTGCCCGGTAATGCCATGCGTGCTCTTCATCTCGGCGTGCCGATTCTGCATCGAGGCATTCGACAACTGCCTCAGATTGTGGCTACCGCAATTGTTGTCTTCTAATCCATGTCTTGTGATGGTGTCCGCTTATGCGACAAGCTGAACGACACCACCAGCCTCCTTGATCTTGCGCTCGGCGTCCTTGCTGAAGTAGCGTGCGCGAACGATGATGGGGATCTCAGGAATGCGACCCTTGCCGAGAACCTTGCTGTAGCCGAGAGGAAGGAGATCGAGGACGGGAGCGGTATCGGTGCTCTTGTTGTTGAGGTACTTTTCGCGCTGCTCGAGTGGGACGAGGGACCAGAGCTAGCAATTCAAGTCAGCACTTAAATCCTCTCTAACATCCTGTAGTCGGATGGGTTGTTTATTGCTCTCACCTTGTCGAGATTGATGACGGGCTTCCAGAATCCATTCTGCATCTTGTGGAAGTATCGCATACCGACTTTACCGAAGTAACCGGGATGGTACTTGTCCATGTTGGTGCGGTGGTGGTGCTGACCACCGGCCAAACCACGACCACCGGGATGCTTGCGGTGCTTTCCTACACGACCGTGACCAGCCGAGACGTGGCCGCGACTGTGGATGAAATATTAGTACACCATATCGTGATAAAATATTTGATATGAGCCGCCTCTTCATTCTGCAAGTGCTGTGTGTGTGGCTAGCTGCTTGCTTGGAGGGTTTCGCTGGCGCATGTGATGGTAGACGTACTGCTTGCGGGTTTGAGACAATCGGGTGGGCATTGTGACGGTGTTGGCGATGCAATGCTGTGGTTGCTGAAGAAATCGCACATCTTCGAAAGTGATAGATGGGATTTCTCGTGCGGAGCGCCAAGCATATCGTGCAAGGAAGCCCGGTCCGCCCGCTCGGGAACGGCCGCTAAAGCCTACACGAGAACAGCCAGCACATTGTTCGAGAGGTTGAATAGACATTGGGATTATAGCGTGCTCGTTCTTACATCTATGAAGTGCCTACAGTGCTATACATCAAGACATTCCTCTTTTGTTGCCTGGCGCTTCGCTCCAACTCGGTTGAGTTCCGCCTCCCTTCCCCATGAATTGATCCCCTGCACTGCTAAAGTTATGCAACCACTTGCTGATTCGGTGCAGTGTGCTGTGGAATGTCCACGTTCGTAGCTCGGAGTGGCAGTGCACTCTCCATCTTGTCCGTTTGTCAGTCTATCATGCCAAGATCGCACTGGTTGCAAATTCAGGATCTAGGCCGACATGACGCCTTGTGTTGAGACTTGAGCCGGCGAAGCGAGTGAAGCGAGCACGGTGTGTTGGGTCTCTGGCGCCCATCGTCATGTGTATGTCATCGAGAGATCAGCTCGTAAACCTCCGCAGATGCACTGCCGGATGAAGGTCAAAGGGCGTACACATTTCCACTTCAATCATCAAGGCGTAACACTCCGATCAATCCCAAACACCCTCGTCTCATCCTCCATCTCCTCCACCCCCATCCCCTCCAACTCCTCCCAAGCCCCCCCAAACTCCCTCCTAGCCCACCCCTCCACCTCCCTCTGCCCCTCCGCCCCCGGCGTCCCCATAAACAAACTCCCAACCACAAACCCATCGACCTCCAGCTCCCCCTCCCTCTCCGCCTTCTCCAGCGTCCGAACAGCAAGTTCCACGTTCCCATTCCCCGCCAGCGCACCCACATAACTCGCCCATAGCGCATTATCCAGCTCGATATTCATCTTCCGTAATCTCGTCCAGATCTCCTGCGCTTTGATATCCCCGAACTGCGCTTTCTCGCACGCGCGTAGAGCGATATGAATGCTATTATACGTCGGCCCCTCCCTACTAGCCACAATATCATCCCAAAACGTCAATGCCGCCCGCGGTCGTCCGCAGGAGGTATAACCAATAATCAGCGCATTCCTCAACCTAGTATTGAGCGTGATATTGAAATCCAGTTTGAGCTGATTATGCACTACCTCCAGACTCTCCAAATCCCGCCTCTTCGCCGTGCCGATGAAAGCAGTCACGTACGTATCGCTCGTCGGCATGGTATCGGCACGAGAATGTGAACGCATGTGGTTGAAGACGTGGACGGCCATATCCGGCCTGTCGCGCTGGAAGAAATTGGTCATGAGGTTCGTTCTTGCCTCCCGGTCTAGTTCGTCGAAGACTTCGCGGATGGTGGTGTAGGTGTCCCAGGACCGGGCTATGGGAGTCGTGGGGGCGAGACAGTATGCTAGGAGGGGTTCTCGCACGCGAGTCTTTTCCACGGAGGAGTAGTGGTAGGCGTGGGTGTTTAGGAGGTCGGTTACGTCGTGGATTTCGTCGCGGTTCAGATGCAGTAGACTTAATTTGGCCACTGTCTCTGGTGCGAAACGTGCTCGTCGGTCTGAGAGGTCAGCTGCCACGTTCATTATTGTGTCGAAGTCGTGGCGAGGGCTAGAGCAGAGGGCGGTGATGAGGTTGTTGACTACCAGGACATCCTCGTCCGACGAAAGGTCTGTAGCTTGTAGATTCTTGTATGCCGTCAAAGCTCCGTCAATGTCGTTAACGTGCAATCGATACTCCATCTGCAGCACGAAAGTCTTTGCATCAGGCTCAATACCTCGATCTCTACCAAGCGCAATGAAGCGCTCGGCAGTATACGGGTCGTCCTTGGAAATAGCCCACGCCACCAAAGCGTTGATGGTAGCGCTATTAGGCAGACGATGGTCTTCGACCTCCAAACCCGAATCGTTCGACTCCTCCATCACCTCAATCATCCGCCCAATCTCATCAACACTCTTGCCCGTCCCAGCAGCCCACACGAAGATAGCATCCCACACAGGCTTTGGCGGATTCTCTTCCATCAGATCACTCACGATGCTACGACCAAGATCGTTCGCACTATTAAAAACGCACCATGCCAAAGCTAGACCGACCGTCCTTGCATACGAAGCGATAAAGCTCATGCCCCTGCTCGACAGCGGAATGGCCTTGTTACCTTTGACGACGGTATGATGAGCACGCCACCAGCGCTCAATCTCTTCGATCTTGTCGGAGCTCAAAGACACTTTCAGCATTGCCCTGGTGATCGCGGTCGTCGCCAACAGATCTCGTTCACGTACCATGTCGAGCGTCGTCGTGACTTCATGTTGTGCACCCGTGGCGCAGAAAGCCAGGAGGATCTGGCCCCACGATGCTGGTAGGGCGCCGTACTGTGCACCATCTGCTGATGACGGAGGGAGGTGGCCTTCCGGATCCTTAGCTTGAGGCGAAATTTGAGGGCGTTGCTCATGTAACAATAGCACTTCACGCGCCTCCGTGGGCTGTCCAAGCGCACACAGCATCCTGATGTATGATTTTACAGCTGCAGCAGCCCTCTTGGGAGCTTGATCTGCCATCAAATCGTGCAAGCTCCGAGCCAGTTCTAGATGGTCACTGGTGATGGACACGGGATATCTCTTGTTAAGGCAGATGCATGCTGTGAGCACAGCCTCGCTATGCGCGATAGTCTCGGTAGTTGGATCGTTCAGTACTTCCGGTTCCAAGCAGTACTTCAAGCTCTGCAATGCGAGGCGAGCTTGATTGTCCTCCACTTTGCTTCCATGATCGTTGTATTTCGACTTGAAGAAGGCCTCGAACGCCGTCGCAACGCTCTCTTTGGACGGTAAACGTGCTCTCAATCTCGTCCGCCTCTCCAAGTCCATCATGACATCCAGCCCGGGATCCATGTCGGCTTCTCTGGCCTCTTTCTTAGGTTTCAAACCGAACATCTGAAAGAAGCTTCGTCTTCGGTCGACGCTCTTGGATAATTGTACGCCATCGTGCCGTCTGGCTTGAGCTGATGGTCTTGTTTGTATGGCTTGCACATGGTATTGTCGTCTCCTGAGACATCCTCTGGCTGTTATCGGCTCGTTCGCGAGCAGTCTCCGGAAGACCTGTCGAGTCAGGTGGGAGTGGGAGGGCATGGTCGCGAGAGAGGTTCGTCTTGGTGGCGATCTCCAAGCGTCGTTCTTGTTAGGTACACATTACGATATCTGGCCGTTGGCTACCCAATATATACACAGCGAGACTGTACAATGCAGCAATACTCGAGCACGAGCTATGGATGACGCCAATGGAGGGAGCATGTTCGGGCCAAGACCAGATCAGCGGAGGTGTTTCGGGAGTGCTTGATGAAGATGCATTGAGAAGATCCGACACTGCATAACACATCATACACGGCACCATGTCTTTCGAGCGAGCCTTTCAGAGACTGACGCTACAGTCAAGGCCGATATGCCAGCAATGTCGTCGCACATTCGCCTCATCAACACGACGGCGGGAGCAGCAACAGTCGGCCACTTCCGCTATCACTGGTATGATGAGCTGCATTTGATGACACGTGAACAGCTCAGCTAATTAATGGCCTGCTAGAACTCCTCGAAGCCAGCCGCAGCCAAAATGAGCAGCAACCTCGCCACCAACGCCTCAATCTCTCCCACCCCAATCGCCGCACATCCCCCTCCGCCAACCCCGACCGCGACCCCTCCTCCGCCTCCGCCTCATCCCCCGCCCAACGAACCAACCTCCACGAACTCGGCGTGAACCTCATCCGCCAAACCCGCAACAACCAAGCGACCACCGAACAACGCCTCACCGACATCTCCCGCGACACCACCCGCCGCGAACTAGAACAGCAAATCCCGCGCCGCTTCCGACCCGGCGACATCTACGCCCCACATGACCTCAGCGGAGTTGAAATGAGCAAGTGGAAGCGTCTGCGGCGGAAGCCTCGTGTCCCATCCCACGGCCGCGATGTGCTCGATCAGTTGGGGATCGACCCGAGGAAGGAGTATAAGAACTTCAGTATGATGAATGAATATGTGACGGAGATGGGGCGGATCAAGCATAGGAATGACACTGGCTTGAGACCTGTGAATCAAAGGCGCATGGCCAAGGCGGTGAGGAGGGCGATTGGGAGTGGGGTGTTGATGCCGAGTGTGTATAAGCATCCAGAGTTGATCAAGGCAGAGATGGCGCAGAGGAGCGGGGGGAGGTATTAGTGGGAATCCGTGAAACAGCATGGTGTCTATCAAAGGTAGGCTGCCAGCGCCGTGGCATCCAGCATGTATACTGGCTGGTCACGAGATCTCGACTTGCAGGTCCAATACCTCCCAATTTGGGTATGAAATGTTCACATTCGACCTTCCTATGGGGTCACTCAAACCTCACATGTCCGCTACAAAAGCGAGCCATTACAGAGTCACAATGGCCTTCTCTCACATTGTCCACATACTATTCCACTATTCAGCTACCACTGTGGCAATCGCGCAAGAGCACGATGCAAGGCACCTCAGCAGCCACAGCAGTCTATGACACCACCGAACTGCTGGAGATGATCCTGCTGCACCTGCCAGCACGGCACCTCCTACTCAGCCAGAGTCTCTCCCGCAAGTGTCGCGACCTGGTTCAAGCCTCGCCGAAGATTCAGCGCAGGCTATTCTACAAACCCGCAGATAATGTCTCGCTCCATCTCATCGAAGGATGGTACGACATTGCAACACGGATAAGTCTGTGCCTCCAGAACCCAAGACTCCTCACCAAACCATACTAACAGGGTCATAGGCAATAACGAACGCTGCAGCTGGACCCGAGCCGTCAATCTCGCGAAAATGTTCCGCATGAACAAACGAAGCTATTTCGCAAGACACCCCACCTCCTCCACCGCACGCCTGGTAACTCAGAGTCCGCTTCTCGGCGTGATCATCGCATGACAGAAATTTCATCAGCACGGGTTCATGACAGCCGTCAAACTCGACGAGCTGGCTTCTGATATCGAGGGTTCGTGGAGAAGAATGTACATCACCTCCCCACTCGTTCGTGAGGTCAAGGTCGAGTGCGAGACTAGAGAGTGGTTCAGCTGGACCAGGGTCCTGGGTGTGAAGGCGGGGGATGGTGTTGGAGTCACGATGGGGGATGTCATCGACGTGCTGGTTTCTCAAGCGGAGGTGTCGGATAGGAGGGTTGTTGGGTTGAGGATTATGGGTCTAAGTCAGGCGCGGAAGTGGGATGGGAGGTTTCTCGGTGAGGTCTAAGTAGGAGGTCTTTCGATCGTGCGGTGAAGATGGCGAAGCACGGTATACCCCTGCTGCGGCGGAGGGATATAGGCGTCATCTACTAGAGTGGATACATCAATGATGCAAATATGGCGAGGGTTTAGCATAGAGCATGAAACGCGAGCGCCGCAACATTTAGGCACTTTGAGCTACTAGGGAACACTGGTGCATAGTAGCGACCCGAGGCATGGGACTAAAAATCACATTTATCATTTCAAGAGTGTGGTGGACAGCTAGTCGACGCAAATGCTTCAACGCCATCGAGCATCAAAACGTCGACTTCCCCCTCGTCACATATTAGCCCCTGGGTCTACAATCCATGAATATCTTCACAACATCTCCAACCTCCCATCCTCATTAGTAATCCTCTCATCCAACCTCCTCCCATCCCAATTCCATCCTCCCCTTCCATTACCCAACTCCGCTTCCACGACTCGGCCCCCATCCACCAACCTGATCTCTCTAGCCGATTTGGCAAATCCGCCACCTCGTGCCCACTCCAACCTCCCATTACTGTTAGTCAAACAATCATTTAGATCCAAATGCGACCGATGATGATGCCCATGCGTGTTACAGCATTCAGCTACCAGCGTACACCTCCCCTCCAAGAAAATCTCCCTCGAGCTCGCGCTGAAGTTCCCCAGCATCCCGCCACCAGCACGTTTCTTCTTTTTCTTCGAGTCATCAGAATCACAGGAAGAATCAGAAGAGGAACTAGAATGCGAGCCACGACGCGCCTTCTTTTCCTTCTTATCTTTCTTCCCCTTCTTCTTGTAAGCATCCTCAAGCATCGATCCCGCCACAGCTCCACCCACGCCTCCGAGAAAGCCGTGACCCATTTTGTGTCCGCCGTAGGCACCTGCTGCGCCGCCGGCTAGGGCACCCATTAGACCGCGATCGCCTTCGGCTCCTGGAAGTAAGGGTTGGCCTGTGGCTGGGTCTATTGCTACGGGAGGAGGCATGGCTTGGTTGGTTGCGGGATCGATGACGCCGTGCGGTTGTTCGTAGTGTGATTTGAAGGCCTCTACGCTCGCACCTCCTGGTGGACCGTAAGGGCCGGCGTACTGGCCATAGCCTTGGTTGGAGGATAGGGAGTCTGGGTAAGAGGGAGCTTGGTTGTAGGGATCGTTCTGCTGTTGGTTTCCGTACTGCTGTGTGTGTGGGGGTCCTTGAGGTGGCGGGCTGCCTGGGTACTGTTGGCCACTGTAGGGTTGCTGGGATTCGTAGCCTCCGTGCGGGTAGCCTTGACGTTGCTGGGCTTCGTACCCACCGTACTGGTTGTTGGTGGTCGGGTATTGTTGGTAAGCCTGGTCATTGGAGCCGTAGTAGCCCTGAGCAGTACCTTGCTGCTGCTGCTGCTGTTCACTATACTGGGGCACTTGGTAGTTCGGAGCCTCGTTGTATCCTTGGCCTTCGCCAGAGTTGTAGCCGCCGTAGTTAGATTGAGTTCCAGCCCCCTGGTGTTGCTGATATCCATATGGGTCCTCGCCACCTTGGTAGCCGCCATGTGGTGGGTAGCGCGTCATGTTGTCAGTACCTGCTCGTCAGTGGACAAGGAGGGCAGTGTGCTATGGCCTTGTCTTCGGAAGGACGATCGAGAGAGCATAGGTCCCTACTGATATACAGCTATTTAACAAGGCGGCTATCGATGCATGTTCAGCGGAGCTGAAGAAGGCGCAGGCAGCAGCACAGCCACGGCGATCATTGGGTGACGGCAGCTTTGTTCCGCTGCATCCACGTGATATTGATCATCGACTAATATCGTGTTCACTTTGACCATGCGATGAGTACAGCGGGCTACAACAGACGTAGTTGAAGACTTTACTGAACAGAAGTAGGAGTAGTGTGCCTGTCCTTGCCTGAACTCGGCTTTCCGATCATTTCGTCGAAACCCTGTTTCCCGAGCTGCTCGGGAACACTGGTCTAGGCAATGGCACGCTGCCATATCGAGTACGTACTGGTAGAAAAAGGTATAAGGATGGGGACAAGGTCGAAGATGAGCATTTGACTGTTCTACGTCGCTTGACACTGCATCTGCGGACTTTCTATTCACTATTCACTTCCTCCAATATGTCGAGCATCGGCACCCTAGCACGATCGACGATTAGAGCCAGACTACTTCCTATATCCTTTGCCAACTCAAGACGCTTCGCATCCACCCTCCCATTGACCATCAAACCATCGATAACAGAGCTCTCCGCCGGCAGGCTTGGCGAACGCAACCTTGAGAAGGCGATCCGCAGCCTCCACGAAGATGACCTAATCGTTGTCTCCGATGTCATACCACATGCACATCTCGACCAGCTGAACGCCAAGATGGTCTCTGATGCCCGGACCTTACAAGCCAGAGGCAAAGATATGCCATTCAATTACAACGTCGGCAACATTCAGCAGGATCCACCACCAGTAAAAGAGTACTTCGAATCGTCGATCTTCCTCAATCCCATTGCAAGCCAGATCACTACAAGCATGCTAGGTCCAAAGCCCAAGTGGACCTTCTGTAGTGGCAACTCAGCTATGCCTCCAGCATCCGTTTCTCCACCTCAAAGGCAACCTGTTCACGCTGATGCCGACTTTGCACATCCGACCCATCCTTTCGCACTGGTCGTCAACGTTCCCCTTATCCAATTCACGCCCGGGAACGGTAGTACCGAAGTTTGGCTGGGCACACATACTGGAGAACTATCTGGGCTGCAGATCCAGGAAGGTGCTCATGGCGAGCGAGCAAGTGGTCGGATACAGAAGCCCCTGCTTGAGCAGAGACGGCGGGCTAGAGGTCCTAGCCAGCCGGTGATAGAGAAGGGCAGTATCGTCATTCGTGACCTTCGGCTGTGGCACGCAGGAATGCCGAATACGACGCAGGACGTCCGAGTTATGTTGGCCATGAGTACGTGGACTGCCGCTGGAAATATAGACAAGTTGCTAACCAGGAAATAGTCCACTTTGCTCCCTGGTACAGGAATCCCATGCGCCTTGAGCTCGCCGAGGATCTCAAGCCTACCATCAATGCTCAATATGATCTTCAGGTTCCGGTGAATTGGGTTCGCCGCGAAGAGGCTGAGGCACGCTATCTTAATCGTGGGTTTGGCAATAGCTATGACTTCAACCAGACTGTATAGCATGCGTAGCAGCAGGGACTTGCGATTGTATACTAGCCCAGTGCCGTTCAAGATCGTCTATGATTCGCTCTACAGGCCAGCCTATGTGTCTTCTACTGTATCTCAGCCATCTAATAAGTCCATCCTGTCTTGGTCTCGCTGTCAGATGTCTCCCACAGAATGATATAGGTCCGAATGAGTTGACAAGGACTGGATCTGTGGCAGACGTGACTGCCAGGCCACAGACGCGAGCTGCATTATCCTCTAGTACGTCAATGTCACTGTTCATCGAACTTTGCAAGATGCTTGATGCAACCAAGTAGTATTGCTCGGTAGCCACGTAGTTCCCGCCAAGCATCCAAATGTTAGGGAAGACACTCAGGGTTGGATTCTCGCACAATGGCCGGAAATGTAAAGGGAGTGACTCTCGCCACTTTTCCAGCCGTTTGGACAGATCACTTGGATGATACAGTCTTGCAGACTTGCCAAAAGCACAGTTAATGACGTCGGCTAGTATCAGTGTGACAATATCAAGTTGATCTTCGTCCGTGACAACCTCGTAGCTCGAAGCATCGATATTATTTAGATCGAGCTTCAGAGCGCAACAATACATCAGTCCGTATGTTACGTCTTCCCGCAGATAGTTAAAAAAGCCAGCGCGCAGAAGAGATGGTCTGCCCAAGTCAATTGGCTGACTCCCAGCAAGTGCGTAAGCTCCGCTCAGGTGCCTGGATGGATCGACATCCTCAGCGAGTATCTCATACGAGCGGAGGAGACAGATCGCAGCCAGGATATTGGCATTACCTGTGGCTATCTCGCCTTCTGCAAGTCCTATCAGCATCCTCACACACTGGCCGTGGTACTGCTCCGCTGCCGTTCTTGCGGTGGCCACGCTAGTCTTGCTTAAATGCATGGCAGCGAATGCCATGATAGCGGCAAACAGTAGTCGATGCCCCAAGGCCTTACGGGGGACATGTCGGGCAAAGTGCCGTTCGCCGTCGGAGAGATCGTACCATGGTGCCAGATTCTTTATGTAGTGCTCAAAGAGACGGGCGACTGCTGGCGCCTGTAAAGCGAGTTGGGGGTCAAGTGTTGCATCGTCATTGTTGAGATGCTCTCCGGACTTGTCAGGCACGCGAAGACGGCGAAGTGCTGCCTCGACAGCCCGCTCGCAATATAGGTCCGCACGGGAGCAGCGCAGACAGGTCGGTCCTTGCTCGTCACATTTTACCTTCCTGCGGCGGCAGGTGAGCTGGAGTAGGAGTCAGTAGGGCGCATCGACACATAACCTAACCTAGTCTCATTGTTACTCACGCATGCTGCAGCGCTCAACACTCGAGGCATACAGTCGTTGCGAATCGGAGTGCCGAGCACAGCCCGTAAGAATGGTCAACGCCTTGGGTGGTCCGAGCACTTTGTTTACCTTTTGAGACAACAGCAGTCTCGTCTAATCCATCACCACGAACCAGTGGTTGCATCGATCCCCGTCATCGGACGGCAATGCATGCTCGCCTCAACCACTTGCAACTGCGCAGCGAGGTCATCAGCTCTGACGATAGATCTTCTCCCTCCAAGTCGCGTTGTCATCTCACTGTAGCAGACCATCATCCATGAATCTGTCGATTACCTTGAGCTCCGAGCTATCCCCTCAATATTGCATACCTTACTAATTCGAAGGACAATCATCACGAAATCTCTACCGTCAGAGCAGAGTGACTGATTCTCGTATGCGCGAGCTTCCCCACTGCTGAAGCATATTGGTCAGTGCCGAGGATGATGTGGCGGCTCATATAAAACCACAAGGCTTTCCAATATACTTCTCCTTCCCCTGCTCTGAATCGAAAGCTCATAGCATAAATCAATTCCGCCATATTCTCTACTCAAGACACAACTATGGGGTCTCAAGGCTTGCCGTTGAAGACGAACGGCATCTTCCACAGTTTGCCTACCTTCTCTCCAGATGTCAAAGGGTTGACCGCGATTATCACTGGTGCGAATGGCATCTCAGGCTTTCACACCATGCGTGCACTGCTGGACAGTCCAGAGCGCTGGACGAAGATCTGGGCAGCATCTAGACGACCGCCACCAAAGGAAATGATGGCCTTGTTGACCGAGGACCAGCGCTCCAGAGTCGTGCATGTAGCTTGTGATTTTCTTTCTAGTCCAGAAGACATTTGCAAGCAGTTGCAGGAGAAGAACGTCTCTGCCGACTACATCTTTGTAGGTATCGGCCACCTGGGCTTGATCTTCGCGAACAGAATACATATATCAGCATGAGACGAGGCGAACGTGAGTGTGTGAGTGTCCTGACTGACACTGTGGGTCGACTAGTTCTACTCGTACGCACAGCCCAAACCAAAAGCCGGTACTGCAGCGTGGTCAAATGCCCAGGAACTGGTTGACACAAATTGTAAGCAAGTCTTACCGGACGGTTGTCTACTTGATATTAAATGACCGCAGCTGCACTCTTGAAGAACTTTCTTGGTGCTCTCACTCATGCCAAGATTACGCCGAAGCGCTTCCTACTACAGACAGGAGCGAAGAATTACGGTGGTCATATCGGTAGGTGGCATACGATATATCACTCTCCGAAGCCGTCCAGCTTATCATCTTGGTATAGGCCCAGCTCGAACACCATACGCTGAATCAGACCCTCGTGTGACACTGGAACCCAACTTCTACTATCCACAAGAAGATCTTCTTTACCAGTATTGCAAGGATCAGCAGATTCACTGGAACATCATCTGTCCTGCATGGGTAAGCGATACACATTGACATGTGCTCACGGATCCCCCGCTGACATTCAGTCTTTCAGATCATTGGCGCCGTCAACAACGCAGCCATGAACGCTCTGCACCCGCTCGCCGTCTACGCAGCCGTGCAGGCCCATAAAGGCGAGAAGCTCAAGTACCCTGGCGACTACAACGCCTGGCTAGCACTTGGTGAGCATAGTACGGCCTACTTGACGGGCTACCTCAGCGAGTGGGCAGTCCTCGAGGACAAGTGCAAGGACCAGAAGTTCAACTCATCTGATACTTGCCCAATCCCCAATAACCGGTTGTGGCCCGAGCTGGCTCGGTGGTATGGTGCGAAAGGCTATGAACTGCCCGAGCTTGACGAGAGCAAGCTCACTGTGCTAGATGCCGGTGATGTACCTACACCACTCGGCTATGGCCCATCACGCAAGTTGCGCTTCGCATGGACATTAACGAACTGGGCTCAACAGGAAGAGAACCAGAAGGCTTGGCAAGAGATCTCGGCGAAGCATAATTTGACGCATAATCCTTTTGAGGATATCCAGGCACATTTTGAGTTTGGTGACTTCGCCGCTTGGGGTCCTGCATTTGCGCTGTCGATGAACAAAGCTAGGTATATGGGATGGACGGGACATGTGGACACGCTTGAAAGTCTGCACATGGCTTATACTGAGTTGAATAAGCTAGGGATGTTACCGCCGCCTGTCGAGAAGGCTCGGCCCCTGATCTAGCCCGTTCAGACACTCTTCGTAAGAACAAAATCGTCTCAATAATGCATGCCCGCTGTCGACCGCGGTCACCCCTCGGGTACAGATAAAATCCAGGAAGCCTCAACACAGATAGAAATAAACATCGCCCACGACCTCACACTTTGCCTGTGTCGATCCTTTACCGGCATCCCAATTCATCGCCGTGCTACCAGGAGGATTGTACAGATTGCATGCTTTGGTACTGTTGGTGACCTGCATATAACGTCTGCAACTTATGAACGGGTCGCCGTTGAGGGCACTCAGATCGAACCAGATCGTCATCTTACCCCCATAAGGGTTGACCGTTTGCGAGTACTCGACCTGATAGATGTTGGAAGGATCCATCTTGGCACTTTTACCGAGCTTGAGAGATACGCCACCCGTCCCATTTATGATTGCTCGAACCGCTGTGTCGTACGTCGAGCCCGACGTGATAGGATACGTACCAAGAGAGTCGCACGGGTCATCGAATGCCGCAAAGTTGTCCTTACCGCCGACGCTGGTATGTACGTAAACAGTATCAAGGCGATTGTTGATGACGTGGCCAAGCTGTGTGAGACAAATTGTTAGCTCTTTTGCCTCAGGGTGGAGACTACTAGCAGTACTTACAACTCCTTGTCCGCCAAGTGAGCCTACAGGAGGAAGGACTGACCCACTCGAGTAAGAACAGACCGCGGAGCTTGTAGTGGACATGGGTGCCACGGTCGTGGTATCTGGGGGTGCAAAAGTGGAGGAAGATAGATTGGACGAATTGTCGCTGGATGCTGAAGTAGAAGTTGCAGTAGAAGCTGCAGGAAGAGTAGTAGTCAGACTGGAAGTACAAACTGTCGTAAAGGTTGTCGACACAGTTCTCGTGACAGTCGTAGTGGAGGTCGAATGTGCAATCGACCCAGAAACAGCAGTGCCGCGTGGAATCAAAGTAAAGGCAAGTCCAACTCCACTTGGGAGGTTACGACTTGCTGTAGGCTTCGTAGTGGGATCTGGAACAGGCCTTGAGATCGTAGATCCACTGATATCCCTGACAATGTGAGGCTGCTTGCCTTTCTTCAGATGATAGCCGGAAGCATATGCCAGTGGTTCTGGGCCTCGCTTCACGTCCTCGTGCGGATGAGCGCTTTCGACCGGCGAAAGCATTGGATCGAGTTGTTCAGTAGTCATGGCCGGCATGGCACTGGCAAAGACCAGTATGGCCGCGAGTGTGCGTAGCAGGAACATGATGTCTGATGCGCACGAGTACGTCCCACTCGTCACGACTGGTTTTTTGCTTGCAAGTGGTCGAGAATTGTGGTATCGAAGGTTGTTTGATAAGATAATGGATTCTGGCTGAGACCTGCTCAGTCGATTAACGACAGTGGTGCTGGTTGATGGCAAAGCAAAGACTGGAAAGGATTGTGCATATAAGTACTTGGTCACATGTGACATCCGCTCCCATCTGATCAGGGACCAGTATGCAAAACATGTGATATAAGAACATCTCCGTTAGTCCACATTCGCCCCGAGCATTGTTCTTGCCGCTGGTGAGACGAATCATCTGATGAACCAAGATCGGATGTCCCTTGCGGGCAGATCGACCTCCACCAGAACTATACAAAGATAGCTTACCGTCCAACATCAGCCACCAACCATAGTAGACGTCTGACCCTTCATCACCTTAAGCCACTCTCTATCGTTTGTGGCTCGCTCCAGATACTCGCTCAGCTTCCCAGGGACCAAGTTCGTCCGCTTGAGGTCTTTCATCCTTGCAAGAAACACAACCAGGTGGGCATCAAGAGCGGTAGGCAATTGAGTGCCAAAGAGCCACGTCTGTCCAGGTAGCAGCATGTTCTCGCACTTTTCTGAAAATGCGGAGGCTCGTTTTTCGTTGAGCTTGATGATATCTGGCTGGACGCCGTCGACTTTCATATCATTTGTGCTGGAGGAAGCTTAGAGAGCGGCACGCGGAGAAGTCGTGATATCGCTGGCTGCGGGTACTTACATGCCAAGCTTATACTCCAGCGCTTTGCGATACTCAGGACTGATGTTCGAGTCTTCCATTCGACCCCGGATAACGTTGGCTTGCCCCTTCGCTCTGTCTGGCTTATCTCCAAAGGACAAGGAGAAGTAGTTGATGTCATGGAGTTCCCCAAGCAGATCGATGATCGTCTGTTTGTGCTTGGAAGGCATCAAAGTCGGATATCGTTCCGCAATATAGTACGTAATGTCTAGACTGTCCGTAATAGGAGTATCCAGAGATGATGATGTGAGAGCTGGTACCTGGCCCTTTGGGTTGACCTTGACGAGGAAGTTTTCTTCTAGCTGAGCGCCCTTCATAATGTCGAGACTCTGCTCGTCCAGCTCCATGGCCGAGCTGGGGTCCAGTGGCCGACCCGTCACGGCATATGTGTATCGGACCATAATGGAGCAGATAGAGTAAGGGTGGTGATAGAGTATGTATCTGGTCGCAGCCATGATGGGCAGATTATAGATGACAGGATGCTGACGGTACAGAATGGTGAGCAGGGGCCTAGGAAAGGCAGATCTCAGGCCTTATATACTGGTCCAGTGCACTAGTGTCTAAGGTAGGTCACGGTAAGCCATCTCGACTATTAGCCTTTCTCTTCGCATGCTCCTCATACCCTCAAGGTAGGGCACGCATTTGCCAGGCTATACCCGCTGCTCTCCCAATACCGATCTGACCCTTGGTGGCATTGGGCGTGATCTACACAGTCCATGCACATTATTGTAGTGAAATTGGAGGACGATGTCACTGACTCTATGGTAGTAGGGCTGAAAAGCGGGACGGAAGCGTTCCTGCCTGCCCCCGCCACGCCACGTTGACCCTGTCGTCACTTTCCGATGCAAGTTTGAACGCGCAAGATCGTGGCTTTGTAAGGCTGCAGCATATGCCCAGCAATAAACAAGTCTCGGCCCAAAATCTTAGCAGATTTGCTGTCACAAACATCGCCCAACATGAACGTCCTGAAACTGCAAAAGTGGGTGGTTCACCAAGACCTAGAAGATTATCACCATTGCTGATTCAGTAATACCAGGAAATACCCTCAATTCCAGCAGTCCGACATATACGGCCTGACCGATGCCTTCCGTAAGCTCGATGTAGATGAGCGAGGATGGGTGGACGAAGGCACAGCGATCAAATCAGTGCAGAACACCGAGCGACAGCCATACGATGTGGTACGCCAGGCATTGAGAGAGGTAGAGCTCGGTAGCTCGCGGCATGTCGAACTGGAAGACTACGTCGACCTCATCTCACGTCTGCGTGAGGGCAGCCAACAACAACAGCGCATCAGCACCGGACCGCAACGATCACGTGGCCTTAGTACTGCTGCGGATGGAGGAGCGGGAGGAGCACCTCAAGGCGCCGGTCATGCCAGCAAGAGCAGCCATGGTGGAGGACGCATCACAGTCGGCGGTGCTACCGGTAGTAGTCAGCACACCATCAACGAGGACGAGCGGACTGCTTTCACATCACACATCAATGCCGTGCTTGCGGGCGATGCTGACATCGGACACCTCCTTCCATTCCCGCTCGAGACGTTCGAGATGTTTGACGCATGCAAGGATGGACTACTACTCGCCAAACTCATCAATGACAGTGTGCCGGACACGATAGACGAGCGCGTACTAAACAGAGTCGGCAAGAAGATCAAGCAGTTGAACGCTTTCCACATGACGGAGAACAACAATATCGTTATCGAGTCCTCCAAGGGCATAGGATGCAGTGTGGTCAACATTGGCTCGGGAGATATCATTGAAGGCCGAGAACATTTGATCTTGGGTCTGATCTGGCAGATCATCCGACGTGGTCTGCTCGGCAAGATTGATATCAAGTTACATCCAGAGCTGTATCGTCTATTGGAGGACGGTGAGACGCTCGAGCAGTTCTTGCGATTACCGCCAGAGCAGATCTTACTGCGATGGTTCAACTATCACCTCAAGAATGCCGGGTGGCAGAGGAGGTGAGATGCACTAGTTCTGCTTTGATCTACGAGCGCTGACAATTTACAGAGTGAAGAACTTCTCGGCCGACGTAAAGGATAGCGAGAACTACACAGTTTTGCTCAACCAGCTTGCACCAAACACCTGCTCCCGCAGCCCTCTCCAGACGTCAGACCTCCATCAGCGTGCCGAGCAAGTCCTGCAGAACTCGGACAAGCTCGACCCTCCATGCCGCAAGTTCTTGACTGCCAAATCTCTCGCCGCCGGCAACCCCAAGCTCAACCTTGCATTCGTCGCCAATCTATTCAACAACCATCCTGGTCTTGACCCAATCACGGAAGAGGAGAAGGCAGAGATTGAGGACTTCGATGCAGAAGGAGAGCGTGAGGCTCGCGTGTTCACCCTGTGGCTCAACTCGCTGGATGTCAAGCCACCCGTTGTATCATTCTTCGACGATCTCAAGGATGGCGTCGTGTTGCTACAAGCATACGGCAAAGTCATCCCAGGCTCAGTAAACATGCGACACGTCAATAAGCCACCAGCAAATGCCATCAAGGCTGTCGGACAAGACGAAGACGAAGCATACCTCACCATCAAATCTGGCATGAGCCGCTTCAAGGCCGTGGAGAACACAAACTATGCCGTGGAAATTGGCAAGCAAAACCGCTTCTCCCTCGTCGGTATCCAAGGCGCAGACATCACAGACGGCCAACGAACCCTCGTCCTCGGCCTAGTCTGGCAACTCATGCGCCGCGACATCACCAACACCCTCATCTCCGTCGCCCAACGTATGGGCAAACGCGAGATCACAGACCCTGACATGGTGAAATGGGCGAACGACATGTCACAAAAAGGCGCAGGCAACAAATCACAAATCCGTAGCTTCAAGGACGGCTCGCTCGCTACTGCTATCCCATTGCTTGACGTCCTGAGTGGGATGAAGAGTTCGTACGTGGATTATGATCTTGTGGCCGGTGGTAAGAGCGATGATGAGAAGTATCAGAATGCTAAGCTGGCTATTTCGATTGCGAGGAAGATGGGGGCGACGATTTGGTTGGTGCCGGAGGATATCACGGCCCTGAGGAGTCGGTTGATTGTTACGTTTATTGGGAGTTTGATGGCTACGGCTGAGAAGTTGGGTTGAGTCGTCAAATTGGCGGGAGATGTGCTTGTGATGGCAAACGAAACGTATCAGATGACCATACTCTATTGAGATGATTTCTAGGGATGCAGGAACGCGTCAAGCTCATATCACCATGAAATGGTTGCCCACAGAGTCATCGACTAGTGCCTGGCTTGATCACAGAGTCCTTCCATGTTGTTTCGGGACCGAATACCATACTTAAGGTAGTCAGTGCGCAGATCCAGGCGATTGGCTGGCAGACGTCGGCTTCATCTTTGCTCTGAGCTATACGACTCGAGGTAAGACCTCATTCTATGACTATGCACAACGCGTTCGCGTCAGCCGTACGGTCATTGTAAGACTAAAACGTGGGTGGTTGAGGTAGGATATATATACTAGCGAGACTGTCCCGCCCTCTTCCTTTGCCTTATCTCTCTTCCTCTCCCTCTCAGCATCGCAAAAAGCACTACTCGCTCCTACAAAGACAATACTTCAAGCACTGTCTCTCCAACATGAGCACCTCCGCCTTCTCCCCTCATGACCCATACCTTCTCAAAGCAAGCGGCCTCATCGGCGCCTTCGTCACCCTCTTCGGCACCGCTATCCTCGTCCGCCCTTCCTTCGGACTCTCAGCATGGAAGTTCATCTCGCCTACCGCATCCAAGGACAAGCAACTGGCGCTTGATCAGTTCCGGCTTTTCGGTGTTCGGGAGGCTTTCCTAGGGACCGCACTAGTGACTTGTTGGTTCCTAGGGGAGCCGAAAGTGCTGGGATGGTTGATGTTGGCTACGATTCCCGTGGCGGTTGTGGATGGGGTTGTGCAGAGGAGTCAGACGGGGGGTGGGGAGTGGTCCCATTGGGGACTTGTGCCTGTTGTTTTTGGGTTGGGTGGGGGTTTGTTGGGATGGTTCGAGCGGATGATTTGAACTGGAGGACTTTGAGAAGCATCAAAGTTGGGGATGCTGCGTATGTTGTATCCAAATGGAGCTTCACTACCCTACATGCTATTTTACAACACGCGGCTCGGCCAGCAGATTGTGGTATCACCCTTACAATAGCGCAGTGTTGCCTACCTCAATCATCATCCTCGGCATAAGCGCGAGAGAACTTGACCAGCGAGCTCACATCCTCCCAGCCCATTACTCTGCCTCTACCTTTCACCCTCGAGACTTGGTCAGAATCATTGTCCGCCCCGCATCGTACCAGCCATGATTGAGGGCGAAGGCTGTATCGGCCGTTCTCGATGACTAGTTGAGTTCGCTCGAGCTCCGTGGGGTCCATGTTCAACGACTGCGCGGCAGCAGGTGGTGTGATTTCCGCTGCGTTCCATTCAGCGATTGCATTGGTGCGCTTCTCGCGATGCTCTAGGATATCGACGTCGATAGTGTGCGGGGCGAAGATAGTATAAGCATTGATAGCCTTGGTCTGCCCATGTCTCCGTACACGTCCAATGGTTTGAGCCTTGGTAGAATCGTAGCCATACTGAGAGTCACGCAGCAAGGGTGACAGGAGAATAACGTGATTGGCGTTCTGTAGATTCAGTCCGACAGAAGTTTCGTCCGAAGCGTTGAGTACCAGGACTGTTCGCTCCCCTGCGGTAAAGTCCTTGATTTGAGAAGCTGCGGACTCGCCACTCTTGACTATGAATGCTGGCACGCCTCGATCCCGAAGCGCCTGTTCAGCTTCGAGCAGCTGCTCACTGTATTGGACGAACATAATCGCTTGGTCGTGCTGAGCGCGGATGTTCCCCAGCAGATCCATTGCCTTGTCAAGCTTCGATCCGTACGGTGTGCGTCTGGAAGAGTTCAGGCCACCTAACTTACTGGCCCAGAGCAAGTTGTACTTCTGCAAGATTGCTTCGCATCCTGTTGCTGGGCAATGGTCATGGTCGGCGGTGCGTAAGTTGTGGTAACACCCTTCACAAAGCAAATGCCCGCAAAAGGCAGAGACTGCCATATCATTCTTACCCACTCCTGCGCACTGCGGATGCTGGCATTGTGGCAGAGGTGTCTTCTTGGCAATGTGTTCTTGAAGTACCTGCACACCTCTCGCATAGCGAAGAGAACGATTTGCGAGCAGAAGCCGGTTGCCTAGCGTATTCAGAAGGCTTGTCTTGGGATTGGTGGCAGGAGGAGCGCCAGAGGCTGGTTCGTCGCCGTCCTCATCATTCCTCGACGGCTTGCGTTTCTTGCTGAGCTTGGATTGAGCTTCGCATGTTGCAGTCGATGCATCTAATATTCCCATTTCAGTGAGATCGTCAATAGTCTGCTGGTCCGCTATGGTACGTTGGTCGAGCTTTGCCTTTTTCCACAGCGCGAAAGCATCGGGCTCATCTGCTTGTGCTTCCTTCAAAGCCGTACGGAGCTGCACAAGGAGATCGTCTACAATACCTTCACGTCTAGTCAGTAGTAAACCAAGACCGCTAAGCTCATGGCTGCCAAAGCTCTTCTGGTCTGCCCGCCAGAATGCTGCGGCTCGCGATAATGCCTCTTCTGGTGTGTCTGACATGGCCACGATCTCGGTCACTCGTGGGTCACGGTCTTCAGTCTGCGCGCTTCTACCACGAGTGATTCTCATGTCTGCGGAATTGAGGTGCTGGGACAATTCCATGTAGACGACTTGATGTTCGAGCTCTAGTGAAGCAGACAGGAGGTGCTCCTCTAGTTGAATCTTGGTGAAGTCGGCCTGGTTCCGACGTACAAAGGTATCTAAGAAAGCCTGTGATACCTCATGCATGCGTACGTGCATTGGCGCCGAAGGAATTGACCGTTTAGCTTCGAACACCTCGAAGTCTGTCATGTCAGTACGCAAGGCACGGCTGTTCCTGATCTTCATGATGCCCCGAGCGTCACTGCCAATCCGGAGGGGAACACCAATGAGCTTCCCCAATTGTGCGACATCGTATAAGTCGCCAAGTGCTGGCGTGCCCGACAGACCCCATCGCTTGTCTGCCCGTAAACCCCCGAGAGTTGCTAGCTCACGTGATTCGTACTGGTGGAACTCGTCTACTATGATGCGATTGAAGTAAAACTTCTCGAAAAGAGGAGCCTCGACATGTGCAGTGTCGATGGTCTTCGAAGCTGGCTTGAGTACTGAGGCGGCTTTGCTCTTGCTGTTGGCGGATTCGTAGTGCTTTCCTCGTAGGCGACGAGACGGGATCATGGCGCTGAGATCGTCATTTTCGAGCATTGCCGCATACCTGGTCTTGATATGCGCTTTCAAGGCTGACGAGCCCGAGAGGCGCAAGATGTCGAGGTGCTCAGCAATCTTGATCCTGGCGTACTGCAACCATTTCGCAAACCCTCTTCCAGCTTTTAATGCCGGGCCAGGAAGCGCCGCAAGGGCGGCGACTCGCTCGGCGTACGAGTCTGAACTCAGCACTGAACGGTTGAGTAGAATAATCTTGGCCTTCTCGAAAGCAGCATCCGTGAACTTCGACAAGTCTGCGGTCTGCCTGATCACGATGACTCCGTGGTGCGAGCCTGTGCATTCTTTGATCTCACCAAGCCATTGATCAATCAGAGTTCCCGGACAGACGATCAGTGTTGCGACTGAAGCAAAAAGATCTCCTGAGCGTTCCGGAAGCTCTCGACGAAGCTGCTCCACGTCGTCAGATCCTACTAGCGCAAGACTCAGGATGGTCTTGCCAAAACCAGGATGGTCAGCACAGATGCCTCCACGCACAGTGATCGTTCGAGATGCTCGCACTTCAGCACGCCAGCCGACACCCGTCAGTACAGCCTCTTCGGCTTCTTCTGCATGGATCTCCACACCGTGCTCTTGCTTCTGCATCCATGACAATGCTCTTTGTTGCTCTGGAAACAGTTCACGGCCATCTTCAAATGAACAAGGAGTCGGCTCCATGTCGCTGACAGCAGTCAGTGCGAAGGGTGGAGTTTTGTAGTCCAGAGACACGCAGCCTGTCTCGAGTCTCCAGGTGATATCCACTTTGGATGCGTCATGTGGCAGGCGCGAGGCTGCAATGTGTGCAAGCGCTAAAACATTGATGCCGAAGTCGATTATGGCTTCGCCGCTATCGGTGTGCGTGATGGTGGCAGCCATTCGGTGCTTTTGTGCCTTGATAGCACGCTCGTACGCTGCCGCGGATGCTGGATCCTCGTATGACTTTACTGTCTTTCCATCGTGATCTAGTCTCCAAAGAAGCTCTGGTCTGATGGGCGCACACTCTTGACATGCGCACGAAGGCATTTGCAGAGGCAACTTTTGCCAGGTGTCATGCGCCATATGTCGCCGCATTACTTCGAAGACCCAAGCATAGCTAGTGAGCAGCTTCTTATCTTCTGTAATGAGCACCGTCTTCTTGGACGACAAGTTTTCGCCGTTACTGGGCAGCGTACATTGTATCAGGCATGGCGCAATCTTGCAGTCAGGGAGCACGCTGTCCTCCAGTGACCGCCTAGCGCGACGAACGTTCACAGTGTCCGTCCCGGGACGCAATGCTATCAAGGAAGCTGGTCTCACAAGCTCTATGTCTGTATAGATAACGGCTTTACCAGCATGCGACTCTGGCGATGACCATGGGCGCCACGGCGCCTTGACGCGAGCCAGGATCGTCCGCCGCTCATCGTAATCCAGGCGCTCATGATCGTATGAGAACACAAACTCATCTTCATTCGGATCGCCAGTTCGAGTCGGATCGCAGAAACAGTATACGGAGCGTTCACCTGTCTCGGCTCCCTTCACGTAAAGACTGTCCGCAGCATTGCCACACTTCGGCAAATGTGTGTAGGTACCACACAACTCGCGCTGCAACGTAGTGGGCGCACTCGAGGTAGCCTTCACTTCCAATGACTGGGGCTGAATATGCTCGGCGTCATCTGGCAGTCCAAGGCGAGCCCACCAGGAAGGCACTTTGAGCTTGGAAGGACAGATCTCAAGCGCTTCTCTCTCGTCCGCAGGTATGCACATCTGCCAGTCCGCAGAGAGCAGGGCATCTTTGACAGCACCACGTGCGATAGGATGGGCAAGTGCAAGCCGAAGGGGATGGTTCATAGCAAGGATCTGATCTGGCAGGGCGAACAACTGCCATTCTATCTTGTTATCGCCAATAGCAAGTTCCAGACGAGCTTTCTCGGCAGAGTAGATCATTCGCCAGTTGTACGATCGTTGGATCCGTTGAAGCCCGAAGGTAGAGGCGAAGGCAACCTCAGCCGCTGTCACAAAGGGGTTATGCTGCTTCTGGTTTAAAGCAGAAGTTGTGTGAAGCCGATGAAGATCTGGGTGCAGATCAAATTGGACTTGTAATGGCATCTTGGCTCTCAGCAGGTCCTCGAATGATGATGGCCATATACGTCCTATCGAGCTGCTCAGCTCGAGATTGGGACGATATTCGTGTTTCGGATTGCCGCCGCACGCGATACAAGTCGTATGATTACAAGCAGCGCATTGTTGAATGGGTTTGCGGGATAGCTGGTAGTTACCCTCACAGCTGCATTTGCGTGCAGAGCTGTCTGCCTTCTTCAGTAGCTCCTCTAAATCGCTCCCAAGGACTTCGTGACGATGGTCAAAACCCTCTGCGCTCGCCTCGCCAAATGCCGCAAGATTGGATGATGCAGTGGTCGAGGTCAAGTCTGCTGTTGATTGCTTATCATCAGATTCAACAAGACGATAGCCAACCAAAAGCGCGGACAGTAATGCCGCGCCCACCACTGTCGACGACATCGCATTCCCAGCCAAGTCCAGCAATTCGGCTGGAGTCTCGGAACCAAGTATGATCCGATCCAGCGGTATACCTTGCAGTTTCAGATTTTCATGAGCAGTAAGTACGCGAGCAGAGTCCGTCACATAAGGGATGGACGTTGGAAGAATGCACCCAATCAGACCAAGCGATCGCACACCTGCTACAGGTATTCGGTCCACGTTCTGTGAGAGGTTGTACAGTAGAGTCTTATACCTTGGGTCGCAGCGATATTTGCGAGCCGTACTGAGATGAGTCCCTTCGATTGTGTCTTTCACGCGATCCACCTGTTTGGTGAACCATGCATTGGATCCATTCTCCGGGACGGCCATCGAGCCACCCTCTTGCCACCGGGTAAATGGACGTGCCGCTCCAAGCTTCTCCTTTGCTCGGTGTTGTACGTGTCTTAGCTCACATGCAGACCAATCGACCTCACGCTGCTGGTCATCGTCACGGGCCTGGGGTCGAGTGTGTTGATGCAGGTCGTTGGTGTTCATCATGAAGTCGGATATGGGGCTGCTGGCCAAGCGTTTCATGTTCTGCATGTGATCTTGCCACTGCCCTTGTGCGATCTTCTTGGCCGGCAGCTTCTTCTGGTCAAAGCACACCATATATCCACGCTGCCTTGTTTGCGGCAAGTAGTAGTCTTTGGTATCGACCTTTACTCCTTCGCAGACATAGCCAATGTCACGATAGTATTTCAACATTTGATTCCAATGCGCGTGAATTACGTTCTCGAATATAATGATAGCAGGTCTCACGGCTTTGCAATATGCCAGCGCACCGAACCAAGTTTGGCCAGATTCGCCGCCATCATTGATACCTTTCTTTTTGTTGTTCTGTGTAGAGTAATCGACGCAAGATGTGCCTGCAATGACTATGTCGGCATGCAGTGGTATGGCCACCTTGGATCCATATGCTGTTGTGGCAACGGGCGTACCTGTCGACTGAAACGCCACGGGAAATTCTGTGACGTCGCGAAATATGACAGGAGGTGCAAAGTTCCGCTCGATATAGGCCTGTTTGTATGGGACGATTTCTGCCGAGAAAACATGCTCGATGTTCAATGGTGGCTCTCCGGACTCCCGGAGAGCGTCTGCAATCATCTGCAAAGCTAGCAATGGACTTTCTGTGCCTGAGCACATGGTTGCGACTCGAAGAGCTCTTCCGTCCAGGTGCAAAAGCGCATCGCGAAGGCCAAGGCCTAAAGCACTTTTGGTCTCGTCGGCAAATATGTCTCTGATGTCAGAGAGAGGTGGTAAGTTTGAGTCCAAACCCTTTTGCGTGCCGGAGGGGCGGGTGAGCAAGCTCTTCATCTCACTGTTGGACGTCGATCCAGCCTTGCTCTCTGTCACTTTGGTAGTCTTAGCTTGTGAGGGGTGTTTCTTCCCAGGCGGGACTTCTACTTCTGCGTCTGATTCAGATGGTCCCGCGTCCGACCTTTCGGACACATCTGCATCGTCTGAAGAGGGACTCTCGGGCTCATCGGCGGCAGCCATGTCGATGTCGTGCTCGTAGTCCTCGTCGTCCAGGTCCCTCCGTCTTTGAGCCTTCAAAATCCTCTTTGGCATGACCTCTTCCTCCGAGTCAAGGTCTGCAAGATGTGAGGCGTAAGAGACACGCGTAGTGCCACGTCGAGCACGAGAAGCGAATGCAGCGGAAGTTGTTGCAGCCTGTTCTGCGTTTGTCGTATCTGCACGTAGTGTCTCGGTCCCAGTTGTTTGCTGTCTACCAGATGCCGCTCTCTGTACATTTTCGGACGCGGCGACTAGTGATGCAGGCTTCCATAATGAAGCGATGCTGATCTGCCGGGAGTCTTTTATAGGAGGAGCCTTTGCCGTTTGACCAGACCTCTTGTGGGCAGAGCCGTTGAAAGCTGTAGACACCCAGCGTATCGATTTCTGCTGGTCAGACGCAGCGGTGTTGGCTGTCCTAAAGAGTTTCAAAGCCTCTTGTCTTGGGATGAGGACGCACTCCACAGTACGACGTCGCTTGTTCTGATGTATTTCCTGAAGTGGCGATCGTGAGACAGATTGCGAAGAGGCGTTGATCTTGGCCGACGACTTGTGTCCGCTGGGCGCCACGAGGATACAGTCGGATTCATAGCCATCTTCGTCAGAAGGTGATGCGGCCTTCCGCTTGCGACCAACATGCTGCGAAACCATGTTGCATGGTCAGATCCAAGGTTGCGCAAGCTGATTTCTAGCTATTGTACGAAAAACATAGCCAGGACTCGCTAATCTAGCACCATAGTCGGCTCTAATGCTGTGTTGAATTGTCATGTCTTTCGGATCTCCACAGGTCGCGATCTGGAAGACGCGTTGAGCGCGTCGCTGCCAACTCAAGCCGAGGGCGCGGACCGGCACGTCAGCCGAAAGCATGTTCTATATGAAATCCATGCGTGAAGGCATTGATAAAAGGTTCAAGGGACAGGCGGCTGGCGTGCAAGTATGGTAAACATACTTGTCTCCTGAGCATGTAATTGACATGACCCAAAGTGGGATTAGAGGTTTGGTTGGCCAAAAGAACAGCTCCAGCGCAGATCCGCTAGCGTGTAGATGACATGTTGTCTACGCGCCAAGGGTCCCTGGTTTGTATCGCCCGGCACTGGCAAGCGTAGGAGACCTGATCAGGCAGTGCCCAGCGAAGATATGGTCGAACGACTTTGATCAGCGATGCCAGACGGCGTTTGAGGGAGATTGAATGTGACGCCACAAAGCTCAAAAACTCACTTCTGTCCTCAGTGACAATTTGAGCAAGATGCTCCGGGAAGTGCCAGGAGGACCGAGTGATGGCAATGGCTTGTGGGCATCGTTTAATCTGAGTATCAGTGGGGACATTGAAGACTTTGATTGTTGCAATAATGATAACACTACACATACGCTCTCCCGGATCTCACACCGTCATCAAATATGAGTCCATATACCTTGTATTTGTAATTGCAACGTGCCCCGGTATCTTGAGCTTGATGTATATGTAGATCGTGGACCTGTATCGTGGTCGTCCAGAATGGGTATCTGCAGACATCTCCGTGAGAAACAGAGTATATACACCTCAACCATCCGCATGTCTGGGAGGCGTAGCGACGTAAGCCACCAGGGAGGATTCTCCTTGGTTCCAGATACAGAATGTACTTCGTATATATCGTGATCGCGTTCCATCTGCCACACGTATGCCGACTGAACCTCTTACTCGTCGTTCATCCTCTGCGCAACCTCAGCACTCTGGCGAGCATGATCCCAGCACGCGCAAACGACAACATAGAAGGCTGCTGCTGCGCAGTCCGATCTGCACTTGGTATTCTACCCCTCGGTGCAGCAATGATTGGTACTTGACTACGTGACTGAGCTACAGGATCCTTGCCGTGGTCAGGTATGTGTCGAAGCTCTGTTGGGTCATCCGTCCAGAACGCAGGTTGTAAAGCAAGATCGAGGGCGTCCCATCCCCTTTCAGCCACCAGAACAGCAATACGACTCCTTGTGCTCGGCTTGGCCAGACTGAGCTGTTTGACGGCCTCGTCTCGCTGACCGAGACACATGAGCGCATATGCGAAAAGTAAGTGTGAGATAGCTGGATCTTCGCAAGCAGGATCTGACTCCGTCATTTTGCAGGCTTCCGTACCAGTCATGATCGCGTCTGTAGCGTGGCCTTGTAACGCATGGCAGAGGAGAAGTCGGTTGAGTGCAGATGACTCGCAGAACCTGGCTCGCTTTGGAAACGAGGGACTCAACCCAAGCTTTGAGAGCGTCGTCTTCAGTATCCTGGCTGTCTCCAGCTGTGATTGAAAGCCTTCTGTTGCTTCAGCCAATTGTTGCTCGCTATGTGGCGAGTCTGTTTGTGAAAGCTGAAAATCGGTCATGGCAAGAGCGCCGGTCGCCCAGCAAGTGCCAAGCAATGCTTCTGCGACACAACATTCGGCTCCAAGATTTCTCGAGATCTGCTCTGCCACCTTGCAACAGTCAGAATATGCATCCTTGGCAGCATTCAGATCTCCAGTCCTGTGCGAAAGACACCCCAGAGCATCCAGTAATTCGAAGCGCTCCCAGCTTGCACTCCTTTGGCTGGTCAAGGCTTTCTTTGTGAAGCGAACGGCATCGTCATGTTTGCCACTGTCGATGGCCATTTTGACGAGCTCCTGGTAGTTGGATTCCTGCGCGGAAGCCAGCTCCGCAGATCTACGCGAGGATGGCTGTATAGGGGAGAGAAATGCAAGTGGTGCATCTGCCAGGAATGGTGTCATGGACTTCGACGACGTCGGCCGGCTCGTCGTGTGTGACACAGGGCTGTGCGGTGCAATGGCTGAATCCACCGGCTCGTCGACATCATCGGCTAGTGGTGGGCTAGCAAGGTCGAATATTTCGCCAACATTGAGTGACACGGCTTTGAGCAGACGTTCTGCCCATGGTGATGGAATGGACGGGATCAAGTCAGGCGCTACAGCATGAAGAACAGCATCGATGCTATGAGCCGTACTGCTGGCCGTCGGTAAGTTGATCAGGGCCGTTGGCATGGCCAAACGCACTGCAAGTGATCATTAGCTGCCTATGATGGTGGAGGCTGATGTGAAAGCGGATACGGACATCTTAGTAGAGATTTTCTGGTCTGGTCCAGCAGACCACACAGCTCTCGAAACCTGGCGGTGTCGTTCTGCGTGAGGTTTTCTTCAACGTCATTGAGAAGCTGCTGAGCATTGTGCAAGATGGCATTGTCGACTTGTAGACGATGTTGCAAAGTCTCCAGTCCTTCTTTCTTGGTTGGTCGGTCTTCAGGCCTTAGTTCGAGCAAGCGATTGAATTGTGTGAAGGCTGCTTGGAAGGCCTGAGTGATTTCCGCCGGTCTCGGCAGTTGCTCCAGATTGTCATTCTTCGAGTCAGTGTTGCCAGTCGCAGTCTGCGCACCAGGCGCCGTGGCCAGCACAGTCGCCAACGAAGCTGTAGCCATATCAAAATGCACAGACGCCTCACATGGTCCTCACAACGAACAACGTAAACCAGAAATTACAACCGCAGGGGGCCAAACAAGAGCTCAAATGTCAAAGCGAGCTGCCGTGAACTCGTGCAACAGAGACAGCACAACACACCAATAGCAGCCATTGTCCCTCGAAAAAACCAACATCTGGCCCAACACGAGCTGATCGTCGTGCCCACGCACAAGTCAGAACCCTATCACTCCTTCTAGAAGCTCAAATGCGAAGTCTGCAGGCCGAAGGGGTCTAGTCGCGCAGAAGATGAAACAAGCGCTGTGCGCTTCGCTAGTGAATGCCGACAAGCCGTGGCTGCTTTGTGTCATTTGTCTCAGCTGTTGTGCGCCGGAGCGCTTCGTGTTTGCGTCGTACAGTCTCTGGGAAGAACGGATGGAACCCCTGTCAAACGCACGGTGTCGGTGTCGACTTGAGCACTGATGAGGTGACGCTCTTACTGGCAGATCCTCCAACGGGAACTAGTAGGGGTTCCACCCGTTCTTCCCTAAGACTGTAGGTGAGACCGCGTGTCGTGCTCCGACTTGGGGCTGAGAAGTGTGGTCGGACTCGTCGACCGGATTTTGTCTAGATTCCAGCTCAATGACCGTACCTGGCTCTCGAGAATAGCAGGCACGCACGACAATTTGGACGCCCATCAGCACTTTTACTGACCGGGTCTATTGCTGTCGGCACGCTGTTCTCCGAGCAGGCGAGCAAGAACGTGAGCAGGAAGAGGCGAGTCAATAACCTAACTCCTCCACGCTACTTGTGGTTCGCGTCAGAACGGACGCTGGGCCGTCAACGGTCCAGGTGTGAAGTGCTGCAAGGGGCACGAGCTCGCAACTATCGTGGCAGCAAATGCAGCATGCAAAACTCGTACTAGCTGTGGTACATGTACAAGCGCAGAGGAGCAAGACAGTAATACGACTGACGGTCGGGAACTACATGTAATGACAGGACACACGAATGCACGAAGCGTGACGAAGCGGCCTCGAGCATACCATACTTTAGCGATGCGAGACCACGTATCTGAGGTCAGTCTTGTACATGTCTTAAATTTGTCTTTCCAGAAATCATGATTATGTTTGTACATGTGATCCTCGATCAATAGCAGCAGTAGTTGCATCTGCGTTTGGCGGACGGGCTCTTCACGCAGGCCATGCAGGTGGCCGAAGCAGTACAATGCTCATTAGGCTAATCAAAGCGCAGGATTCACAGAGAGCTTGGCTGGTGTGTTCGACGGTGCTTACGATATGGTCGTGATTGCGAAGCGTCAAGCTTTTGTCGAACAGCTTTGCCACAGCATAACTCGGCCATTTTTCTGTAGAAGCCTCGCTCAAGGGCTGTCCTCGTCACCACTGTCTCCAAAGTCAATCAAGCCTCTCGGCTTCCGTGGCCTGGCTTTGATCTCCTCTTCCACAGCACTTTCTTCGCTTTCTTCCTGGATTTCGCCCTTCTTCTGACCCCACTGATCATTGAACTCGTTCGCAGCCTCGATCTCAGCAGCCAACTCTCTCGACTCCTTGATCTGCTTCGCCTTCTCGGCACTATATCTGCCCGTCATGCCTGCATCTTCCAGCAGACTCCTCAGATGTTTGATCTTGGCTTTCGATGTATCGCATTTGGCCAACTCCTTGCCCCATACCTTTCGTATGCCGCATTTCACTAACCAGCCTTGTAATCGTTTGATCTCTTCATCATCTACTGTCAGCTCCTTGCCTGCTTTCGCTGGCTTGGCAGCCTTCTTCGTCTTGTCCTTGTTAGCGGAAGGCGATGTGGACTTCTTCTGTCGTTTTTTCTTGGGTAGCGGTTCATCTATGACATCAGACATGTCGCTGTCATCGTCCATAGCCGGCTTGCCATTGGTTTTCGGGGCCTCGTCTGCTTCTTTTGGTGGTTCTGAAAGAGCACTGTCGTCTGCCTTCGGCTCTTCATCCTCGCTGTCTCCAACCGAAGTCTTCTTGGACACTTTCGCATTTGATGCTGGAGCTGGAGACTTTGCTCCATCCTCAATCTCCGAATCAGCTGCCACCTCATCATCATCCTCATCTGACTCCGGCGGCGCGACTGCTTTCTTCTGCCGCTTCGTCTTGGGTTGTGCCTCGTCAGACTTGCGTTTCGTCCCTGCCTTGGGTGCTGGCTTCGCTTTTGCTTTCGGTACGCTCTTCTTTGGTTTCACGGGTGATTGTCGATCCTCTACAGTCGCCTGGATGATTTCTTTGCTTTTGGATTTCCACGTAGTATTGTTCTTGAAGAACTCTGCATCGAGCGCAAGGGCCTTCTCAGCACGTGAGCGAGCAAGATTGATGGTTATGTCTTCGTCTGCTTTGAGACCGTCGCGTACGACCTGCTGAAGGCATTCTGTGATCTTTGCGTCCGTGGGCAAGTCCACTGCTTCCGAGAGCTCCGAGTCTGACATTGTAAGGGTATTCGTCTGGTCTGATCAATAGCTGAGTGACGCGACTGCATCAACAGCGATGCCGATCTTTCGGTTAGGCCCCACTAATGGCATTGGCATTGACTAAACTTGGTCGCGTCAGACTCGCGACCCGGAGGCTTCGGTTGAGCTCCGAAGACCCTAGAACTAGCTCACTGCATAGCAACTTTTGACGGGCAGCTAGGCGGCCTGCATCAAATTCTACATAGACATGAGCTTGCTAAAGTGAATCGTCTTTGGTTAGATCCTTTGTTCATGATTCCCATTATCGTTTCTTCAATCGATACACCGTGAAATCTTGTTTCGTCATGCTCACGTACCTGCCGTGACGTGTGTCTTGCGCAACTATACTTCAAGCTGCACTTTGCACACTTCGCTGAGAGCTCCACGACGAAATCGCCACGAACATTCTAGTAACAAGATCGTTCCCGACTCTTCCAGTAACGACCTTCACATTCACCTACTACCTCGACTCTTTCGGACCACTCGATCGATTCACGTAACCTTGGACTTATATTACGACACGATCGCTACTTCCCTGAAGAGTTCAAAACACCTATATAATCACCAATCGGCCAGACTCGGCACGCAGCGGCATCTTCAGCAGAGCATTCACAAGTTAGAAAGTAACAACGACGTACCCAGTCATCCGCACAGTCACCAAAGCCGTTAGGACGTGGTCACAAGACCCGCCACGTGCGACGTGCCTTCCGTGTTTAGCTTGCTTGTGAACTCTAAAATTCCTGAAACCTCGGACTTGACCTCTGTAAGTGCAAGACTCCTTCTCGGATCTCTACACAACCACAAGCCAGCCCTGCTTCTCCATAAGACCACCACAAAAGCGCCTTTCATCTACACACACACATTACATATTACACATCCACGTGCGAGACTCGTGGCCACCATCATGAGCGATCAGCAGCATGCCCCTGCGGCAGGTGCCAGTCTTCCTCCTCAATCTACCCCACGTACACACCGCAAGTCGCTCTCCGTCGACGACATCCGAGCACAGCCGCCAAAAGGTAGCCGCACATTCATTGACCTCCTTTCATCTACGTTCCTTCCACGATTCAGAGACAAAGCTGACCCACCCCTTCTAGTCATCTCAGTACCCGATATGCCAGCAGTTCAGGAGGAGAAGCCTTCGCCTAAGGGGCGCCTGCTTCTAGTATCAAACCGCTTGCCGATCACCATCAAGCGCTCTGACGAAGGTAACTATGACTTCTCCATGTCCTCCGGCGGATTGGTGTCAGGATTGTCGGGCTTGTCAAAGACGACTCAGTTCCAGTGGTATGGGTGGCCGGGTGTGCAGTTACCGGAGAATGAGATTCCTCACGTGAAGCAGAGACTCCTGGACGAGTTCTCTGCTGTGCCGATCTTTCTGGAGGAGGAGCTTGCCGATCGCCACTACAACGGTTTCTCCAACTCGATCCTGTGGCCACTACTCCACTACCATCCTGGCGAAATTACCTTCGACGAATCTGCTTGGGATGCGTACTGCGAGGCCAACCGCATCTTTGCCCAGGAGGTCGCAAGGGATGTCAAGGATAACGACCTTGTCTGGGTTCACGACTACCACCTAATGCTCATGCCAGCTATGCTGCGTGAGGAGCTTAAGAAGCTCGACAACCCGCCAAGCAATGTCAAGTTTGGCTTCTTCCTGCATACTCCTTTCCCGTCCTCAGAGATCTACCGCATCTTACCTGTGCGTAACGAGATTCTGGAAGGTGTGCTGCACTGCGACCTGCTCGGCTTCCATACATACGACTATGCTCGCCACTTTCTCTCGTCTTGCGCTCGCATTCTCGGTCTGCCAACGACGCCAAATGGAGTCGAGTATCACGGCAAGCTCGTCTCGGTGGGCGCATTTCCTATCGGCATCGATCCCGAAAAGTTCTCCGCGGGCCTGCAGAAGGATAATGTGAAGCGTCGTATTGAGACGCTGGAGAAGAAGTTCGAGGGCGTGAAGCTCATTGTGGGAGTCGACCGCCTTGATTATATCAAGGGCATGCCGCAGAAGCTGCACGCGCTTGAAGTCTTCCTCACTGAGCATCCAGAGTGGATCGGTAAAGTGGTCTTGGTGCAAGTCGCCGTGCCATCCCGCCAGGATGTCGAGGAGTACCAGAATTTGCGAGGCGTGATCAACGAGCTTATTGGTCGTATCAATGGCAAATTCGGCACCATCGACTTCACGCCCATCCATTTCCTGCACAAGTCAGTCAGCTTCGATGAGCTGATTGCACTGTACGCCGTGTCGGATGTCTGTCTGGTCAGCTCGACGAGGGATGGCATGAACCTGGTGTCCTTCGAGTATATTGCATGCCAGGAGAAGCGACATGGTAGCATGATCTTGTCCGAGTTTGCCGGTGCCGCGCAGTCTCTCAACGGCTCACTGGTTATCAACCCCTGGAACACCGAGGAGCTGGCTGATGCTATCCACGACTCCGTCACCATGAGTGATGAGCAGCGTGCAATCAATTACCAGAAGATGGCTCGCTACGTGAACAAGTACACCTCCGCCTGGTGGGGTGAGAGCTTTGTCTCGGAACTCACAAAGATCAGCGAGCAGGCTGAGAGGAAGCTGAAGGTCCGGAAGCAATCTCTCATCATGGATCCGGCACAGACGACGAACCGCAGCAAGCACGACGAGGCGATCAGCGACGACACACACGAGATGGCTCGCCGCCCGAAAGATGCGCCCGTACAGTAAGCTATTTCCTTTGTCTGCCCATTGCATTGTTACGTCATGTGCTTAGACACTAATATTGGGTTACGGAACTGCTTGTCTAGCGCATGACTGACATTACTGTGTTGCAGCAAAGGTATTACCGCTGGCGAGGACAGTGATGATGAAGACGAGGGAATTGTGTTGGCGGCTACAAGGTCGGGTGCCACATCACCGCGCACTTGATGGGCAGAAGGACTGAGGAGTGAGCTGTCATGATTTGACGAAGAGGAAAGGACTTCACGGCTGATTTGGACCCTACGAGGCTTGATTGACCCGCCTGCGGACATTGGCGAAGTGGCGTGTAGCGAGGCATTGAGCAAGAACCTCATATGAGGCTCGGAGTGCCATCTGATCGAGAGAGCCACCTACCACAAATGCCCATCCATATCTTGAAATACTCCATGGCGTACAGCCATCTTCCATATTCCCCCGTACTCCACAACGCCACCGCTATGCTTCATAATTCAATAGCTTCACTTTTCCTGCCCTATAACCTACTTATAGACCCTGCCGTAACCTCTCGCCCAATTTCTGCTTACCGAATTGGTAAATCTTCAGCAACCCCTCTTCACTCAAATCCAGGCCTTGCATATTAGGCACATCCTGAGCAGGCGGTCTGCTGACTCTGCTCGCGATGACGACCGGATCTGTTTCGAGAATGATGCCGTCATCTACGAGCTCGTCTATACATAGGGAGGCGAGGTCGTAGTTCTCGATCAGGGTTCGTTTGTCCACGGAGTTTCTGGTTATGGTCAGTACACATACTCATGAGTCTATTGTTAATGCTTTCAGGCTGACTTACTTGAGCAAGATATTCAGTGAATCTCGCAAGGCCAGGATCACGTTGTACAGCATTATCTCGTTCTCCTCTGAGCCTCCGACCACGTACATCATCACATCGCTCTCCATCTTGAACACTACCACCCGGTTGTCGTAGAGGATCACGTCGCTGGTTTGCTTGGCAGTCTTTTCCAGCAGTCCTTTCTCGAACGCCTTTTGGTCTTTTTGTGAAGTGTAGGGTTGGGCGCCGGGATACGAGCTCCCTGCTGTGGCATTGTGAGGTATGTGTGGTGGTGAGTAGTATCGTGTGAGGATGCGGGAGGAGTCGTCGGTGCTGATTATTAGAATGGCGTTGACCGAGAAGAGGGACATATTTGGTGCCATGACTGCGGTGGTGAAGCTCTGTTCAATTCAGTATAGTGTTGCTGTTGGTATCGGGCGAATGTGTATTTATTGCCAATCGCTGTTGCTAGTTGTCGTTCCTGCGGCAGTTGTCGATCTTGGCGTGCGGGAGTGGCCGCCGCAGCATGTGGAAGACTTCAAATGTTCTCCTGAACTGTTACTGTTCTATCAGCTCCATCATCAAATGCTAGGTCTGGCATTGCGGAGGGCGCAATGGCAACTACAGGCACATCGGCAATGGCTACGGACTTTTGCGACCATTCCATCGCAGATCAGACCGGCTATTGAAGGTCATCCCAAACTTGTCCTTCTCCACTATCACGATGGCCGCCAACATGAACGCCACTTCTCTTTGACAAGGACGACCCCGGGAAAGAAGACTGCACGCGTCCGGAGATCCAAGGCAAAGAGAGCTGCCGCCGAAGATAACAAAGAATCATCGGAGCTTGATTTACTCAATGACCTGCGCCAAGCGGTACAGGACCTCGATATCAATGCTATCATCGACCTCTTCCCACATGCAAAGGTGAACAAATTAGTTGACCGTAATCTCGTATGGCGACTCTCTCAGTGTCTACATGAATCATTGCGCCGGGTCAGATTCAAGAATGTCAATGACCAGGGTCGGCGAGCTGCCACAGACGAGCTCGTGGAGTTCGCCAAGGTTCTCGTGCGATCAATCGTCAAGGAAGAGCTCGAGCCTGATCGCCGAGCTCATGTGCACCTTCTTGCCTTCTTCAAGGAATCAGGTGCTCTTGATCAAGGCATCACATTCTGGAGCTGGCTGCAGCAACGAGACAGCGAGTACGTGGATGCCAATGTCTACGGCGCCGCCATCGAGCTCTTGGCAGTCAATGGTGCACCTTTATCTGAGCTAGAGGGACTCTACACCAAAGCTCTGGAACAATTGTCTAGTGCTGGAAACTTCAGCTCTTACTACCTGAGTCCTGACGCCATGGTGCCGGACAGAGAAGCACCCATCACAATCAAGGGTATCTCAATGACTCTCTTGCAAGGCGTACTCACGGCTCGTCTACTTCGCGGCGAATCACGTCGAGCATATTTGGCGTTGGACACAGCACTACGATTATATCCGACGTTGACACCAGTACGCTTCTTCACATTGTTCGTCGACGAAAGACCACTCAGTGAGGCATACATGGTGTTCGCTCTTGCATGTCGAGCTGGTATCGTCATGCCTGTCATGGGCTTCAGGCGACTGCTTACTACTATTCGTCAAGCAGCTGGGACGGCATCACTCATAAAGCACGTCGTGTCTCTAAGGCAGATGCTTTCAGTCTTGTATATGTTTGTTGGGGCGGGTGGGCGACTTACAAGCAATCTCGTCAGCGAATATTTTATCGCAGTGACGCAAATCATGCGAGTCAAAGAGATGGATGCCCTGAACACGCGGCAGCGCGAGCAGCTAGTCAATGATGTGTTGAGAATCATTCGCAGAAGCATCGATGTATTCTCTCGGTACGGGGGCGCACCCGGCATCAGTGCTATCAATAGTCTGATCGTCAATCTGGGAGGCTTTGGCAAGTCGAAGAAGATTCTCACGATTGCCCTGAATGACGCCCGGCAGCTCGGGCTGGAATTTAATAACATTACACGACGGTCTATATTGATCGCTGCGGGCCAAATCGGCGACGTTGAGCTCGTGAAGGCGTCATGGCTCGATCTTGTCGACGCCAAGGTTGCGAAGCAGGAGAAACCGGACGACACGGACTATCATATCCTCATCAAAGCTGCAAGGGGCAATGCCGCGTTTGACTTCGCTATCGAGGAGTGTCAGAAGAGCGAATTTGATGAGGACATCAAGAGTCGCATGTACGATCATGCCTACGGTGCATTGCCTGAGGAGAGAGGGAGCGTAGACGAGGACACTTCGTCCTTGGCGAAGGGAATGGAGATGATAGAGGAATTGGGAAAATTAGAGGCTGATCTCGAGGTGATGGAGCGACGCACGATTGACAGTCCGGCTACGCAAGACTTCAGTACGCAAGATCTACCCATCACCATTTTGGTTGGCACGCAGCATTTCCAGATACCCGACGGTGAGCTGCGGTTACTATACGACGCTCTTACTAGCGAGCGAGTGCCTGCTCACGCATCCTCGAAGACAACCGACCAGAGCTCCCCAGAGGCTACGCAAGATGCTCTGTCCTGGCGCGAAGGAAGCACATCCGCGCTGAGCACGACTGGCATGACCTTTGGACAGCTACGATACCAGAACTGGAAGTCACTGAACGAGTTGCTTGCACTTTCGGAGCTGAACGACGCTGCTTACGGTCGTGTTGTAGATGTGGCCATTGCGAAAGGCGAGGCACCACCTCCGCGTGAGCGAATCTTGCGCGGCGTTGAGCATCATCTCAAGGGCAATGCCTATGGGCTTAGCGATCTCGATCATGGTAGTGCGGCTACGGTCATGCATGAGGCGAGGATGACTGAGGCCAGTGCAGACGTACAAGATGAGAATAGTGAAGACACACCAGATCAGGCCCAGGAGATCTGGAGGCTGAGAGGTCGAAGCGGATGATGGTTCGACATTAGAGAAGACGTCACGTCCACTAATTCGTCTCTACGCCATACCTTAATATCTCAAGCATTTCAACTGATGGCAGGTATTCGTCAGAAAGCCAACTTTTTTCAATCCATGATCCATCTCGAGTTTGACTTTTTATATGTATGGACACTCGAATCTCATCGTCATGGTTGTCCGGGTCAGAATGAGAAGGAAGCGTCCATGCTTCGGTCATTTCGTTGGTTGTGTCTGACTCATACCCGCTCTCTCCTTGTTTCGTACAAGTCAGTTCATGACGACAGTACCAACAATATTCCGGTTGTGCAGTTCTCGGACGACTCGTTTCACATCTGTCCGCCATTTCTTTTTAAGGAGATGACGACGCACGTAGCCGCCAGCACCATTGCCGTGTCGTGTCGTGTCGTGTCGTGACAGCGATTGACAAGCAGCAACTCCACCGCCACTGATCTTGTTTGTAGAGACATGCAGGTTTCATGCTGGCTCAGGACGATCGTAAAATCTCGAAGCATCTATAAACCCGACCCCCTGGCTCGGCACACCCAACGGCCACGGGGGAAAATGCTGCAAGGTGCAAGCCGTAGTGCGGAGGATCCGAGATTAGAGCGTGGGATGGGGAGTTTGTGCGCGGGATGTCTCGTTTGCTCGGCTAAATCAAATGTAGAAGTTGTGGTTCACTTTGTGCTTCTTGCCGCTCGTGGTGAGATCAAGGTGGAGGAAAGCGCAGTAAGCGCGACGATGGTGTGTTTTCTCCTGATCTTGCTGAGCAAATCGCGTTTAGACACAGTCCTACTGCAACGTCACGAAGTACAGAAGTCGACATGTGCTCCACACGGAACGAAAGGAGTCAGCACGCCCCAGATTACCTCCACGTTGTTGTACGCCTCGGGACAATACATCCCAGTCTCACTTGCCCGATTCGACAAACCCAAGTATGCGAGGTGTCCCAAAACAAGGCGGTGTGGCGCTGGCCGTAAGTCAAAGACGTTGATCGGCACATCTGCCCTCGATCCCGTCCACCGTCGCAACGACTCCCTTGCGGTCCTGCTCCGTTTCCAGAATCATGTTTTGCTTTGGCAGTGCTTCCCATAGGCTGCGGAGCCCTCGCGAGTCGGCTAGCCTGACGTTTCGCCAGCAGCCTTGCTGCGGACCCGATCTTGGGGAGGCGTTTCCGTTTGTCTGGTCTACGGGGAAAGGGTGGGAGCGAAAGTATTTGTTCGGAGATCCATGGGTGGAACTTGTCCGGTAGAAATGGTGTGCGAGACGTCGTATGTCACACCGAAGCTCTGTGCTGAGGTAAGGGGAGTATTGCATCGTAGTACTTAATCTTGCTGCCTCCCTCTCCATATACTAATTTCCCCTCCGGACTGCTAAACCAGAAATCTACCTCATCGTCAAGACCTTTGCTATATCGACCACGGTCTCAGCACCAACAACCGAGAGCAACCACCACCACAGCAATTCATACCACTTGATACAACAATCAAGCTCATCAATAACAACATCACAAACATGACCGACGCCATGCCTATGCCTGCTTCAAGCAGCCAACTTCCTCGCAACGACTCCTTCTCCGTTGACGACATCAAGAAGGCGTTCCAAGCATCAGCATCAAAGCCAAGAAACAACCTCTCATTACGGATAGTCAAGCAGGACGAGACCGCGGTACCGCCACCATCACCACTACACTCAAGACCTGTGTCGATATACAGCAGATGAATCCGTCTCTCCTCAAGGTCCTACAACAACCACGACATCACGATGTTGTACACGGCATTATATACACCTTCGGCTTAGCGATTGTTTCATTTCGTCTTGGAGACGGCGTTGTTGCTGGGTAGACTACGGGCAGTGACTCGAGTCATGGTATACGGCAAGGTGTATGGGGCAGGTTCGTTTCGAAGGCGTTGCCTTGTCTGTGGCATAGGCCGTGATACTTTCGGGATACGTCGCGGGCGGCAGGGACTGTACCTGCATTATGCAGTCTCTAGTAATAGCATACACATACTCCGACGGAAGCCTGCCACCTCGTACTGAACCAAATATTGTTTGCAACCCCCCTCCTCCAATTGACGTATGATCCCGTACTTGTTTGCTCACTGGTCACGGGATCTCAAAGCACTGCTTACGCAGTCATCACAAATTTTTCCGTGCAGGATGTGTTTGCATGCAGGCCCTCATCAGCCTAGCAAAATAGGCACAACCCTAGTAGCGCAATAAAGATATCTCAGCCCTAGGCGTCTGTTCGAGGAGACCATGAGACTGCGACCATCATCTTTAAGAGGAAAGAGCGGCAGCTTGCTCTGGCCAATGAGAGCTCGGGACTCGCTAAATCACCACGCTAGCGGACGATTTCCTAAACGACAGATGCGAATGCTGTGGATGCATTCTTCTTACAGCAAGCACAGGTCTGCGTAGACTCATACAAAGGATATGGACATAGTCGGTCTGACAGTTGAGAAGCCGGACCGTGCATGTAGTGAAAGTCCACGAAAGGTATAAGTACTATGCTGCTCTGCCTCAAGTACTTCCCTCGTCACTCAACTAGCAAAGTCTTCATCCCTGCTACTGCACTTCTGCATCTAGATCAAAGCCTGTTACTCTTCAGAAGTCACTTCGTACTCTTTTGTGTCGATAGCCATGGCCGCCAACAACAATCTCAAAGTCGTCTTCGGCTCTATGACACTTGGGGAGAAAGGTATGCACACCAGCGCAGATATCCCAGCCCACGAGCTGACACAGACCAGGTAAGATGATGGTCCGTATAAGTGACCAGGATGAAGTCTCTCAGCTCCTCGACATCTTCCAGAAGCACGGCGGCACCACAGTCGACAGCGCTCGCCTATACGCCGGAGGAACTACAGAGGGCATGCTCGGAGACCTCAAGTACGCCGATCGTGGTCTACTCATGGACACCAAGCTATGGCCCAGTGCTGGACATCCACATGCACCAGCTGCGCTAAAGTACTGGCACACCCCCGAGGACATCCGTCGAGGTCTGAAGGACAGCCTGGAAGCCTTGAAGACGAAGAAACTCAACACTTTCTACCTCCACGCTCCTGATAGGAAGCATTCTTTTGTCGACGCTCTGCAGGAGGTCAACAAGCTCTATGAAGAAGGGTTCTTCGAGTACTTCGGTATCTCGAACTTCCAGCCCTGGGAAGTAGCTCTGGTGTGCGAGACATGTCGTAACAACAAGTGGATCCAGCCAACGGTGTACCAGGGCATGTATCATGCTTTGCAGCGCCGAACAGAAGCAGAGCTGTTCCCGTGCCTGCGACACTATGGCATGAGCTTCTATGCCTACTCACCCCTCGGAGGAGGCTTCCTCACTGGAAGGTACAAACGCGACCAGACGACTTTCGAAGAAGGTAGCCGCTTCGAACCCTCCACACCAGCCGGAAAATTTCACCAGAGCAGTTTCTGGAAGGATTCTTACTTTGATGCCATCGATCACATCACCGTGGCGGCCGAGAAGCACAATTTCACGTTGTCAGAAGTGGCATTGAGATGGCTTAAGTACCATTCAATGCTCTCTGCGGAGAAAGGCGATGGTATCATCCTTGGTGTCGGTAGTGTCAAGCATCTGGAAGGGAATTTTCAGGCGCTCGAGAAGCCCGCTTTGCCAGAAGACGTGGTGAACGCGATGGATGAGGCATGGACAATGGTCAAAGGAGCAGTCGGGCCATACACGCACTAGCAGATAAATGCATCTGGTAATACGCATGCTCTGGGAAATTTTCGTAGCTCCCAGAAAGCTGTATTTGACATCGTAGGTATGGAGGAACCCGTCCAATCACTGTTGCTCCGTTGCAGCCTCCGATCGTGCACTGCTAGGTTCCTGTACATATACCTTCAATTAACAACTCTAGCGATGGACTGTTCTAGAAGTGCTCCCACTATTTCGGGATGTCTTGTCTCGCGTGGTTTGATATTAGTAGATTCAAGCCGCGCTCTGATGTTCGATGGCCTCGGTCATCAAGACAATTTCCAGAAGTGGAGGAAATATCATGTTATGGCAGCATATTATGTACTTCCGCGAGGAGAGTGACAGGAAGCAGGCGGTTCATGCAATGCCAAGACAACATAGAGTTCCGGCTTTACCGCGGCAAATGCGTCACTATCGCGGTGGCTGGAGACGTCACGAGAGCGCTTAGCGGTTGCCTGGAGACTGAAGCTCCATCCTTGAGCTCGCCTCTCAGCACACGACACCAACTGCGGCCTCTCCATACACACGCCACATTAAGAAACCCATCAAAGTCGCCATCAAAACATCAAGATGAAGGGTGTCGGTATTGCCGCTGCTGCGGCGCTGGCTGGTAAGCAGCGCGAGAACTGCCGTCGTCTGTATCAAACCGCTGACGCACGCCAACAGGTTCAGCATCCGCCGGCGTCCACAAGATGCCACTGAAGAAGGTTCCATTGTCAGAGCAGCTGGAGAACGCCAACATTGGCGACCAGATGCACGCTCTTGGCCAGAAGTACATGGGTATCCGACCGCAGCGCAACATGGAAGAGATGTTCAAGGAGACCTCCATCAAGCCGCAAAAGGGCCACCCAGTTGCTGTCAGCAACTTCTTGAACGCACAGTACTTCTCTGAAATCCAGATTGGTACACCACCGCAGGACTTCAAGGTTGTCCTGGACACCGGTAGCTCAAACTTGTGGGTGCCTAGCCAGGACTGCGGCTCGATCGCCTGCTACCTGCACTCCAAGTACGACCACGGCAGTTCGAGCACGTACAAGAAGAACGGCTCCGACTTTGAGATCCGCTACGGCTCTGGTGAGCTCGCTGGCTACGTCAGCCAGGACACCGTACAGATCGGTGATCTTAGAATCAAGAACCAGTCCTTCGCTGAGGCTACTTCCGAGCCGGGTCTTGCTTTCGCCTTTGGTCGTTTTGACGGCATCATGGGTCTTGGCTACGACACCATCTCTGTGAACCACATCACCCCACCATTCTACAACATGATCGACCAGGGTCTGCTTGATGAGAAGGTTTTCGCATTCTACCTTAGCAGCACCGACAACGGTGATGAGTCAGAGGCCATCTTCGGTGGCATCAACGAGGACCACTACACTGGTAAGATGACCAAGATCCCTCTTCGCCGCAAGGCTTACTGGGAGGTCGACCTTGATGCCATCACCTTTGGCGACCAGACCGCTGAGATCGACGCTACCGGTGCTATTCTCGACACCGGCACTTCCCTCATTGCTCTCCCAAGCACTCTTGCTGAGCTCTTGAACAAGGAGATCGGTGCCAAGAAGGGCTACAACGGCCAGTACACCATCGAGTGCGACGAGCGTGACTCGCTGCCTGATCTCACCTTCACCCTCACTGGCCACAACTTCACTATCGGCCCGCACGACTACATCCTTGAGGTTCAGGGCAGCTGTATCAGCTCCTTTATGGGCTTTGACATCCCTGAACCAGCTGGCCCTCTTGCCATTCTTGGTGATGCTTTCCTCAGGCAGTGGTACTCGGTCTACGACCTCGAGAACAACGCTGTCGGTCTTGCCAAGGCGAAGTAAGCTCCGAGCTTCCCCAGAAGAGCAGTGACAGGACGAGTGTATCATATGAACGCAGCTACTGAAGGAGTGAAGGATGTGTAGGGATTACAAGGCGCTAGGATTGTCGGTTCCGAGACTGTACCTACTGGGTCGTGCTCGTTAAGAGCTCTTTCCTTATCTAGTTGTACCATGGCATAATTAAATGAATCTCACAGTCGTTTGCTGTTCTCACCTATACCGCCGCCAATCTGCAAACCAATCTGCACATTGACTTAATGTGTGGCCAACCAGATGATTTTACTTTACGTTCCCAGCCAAAGAACGATGGCGCTGCTTAAGAGTCCAACATTCCAATGTTGCTATCTATCAACTGTTATTATCGAGCGAAAAGAGAAAGAACTAGCCAGCCGTGCCAGCGTATCGCCAGCCAATATATCCAGACTTGTGCGGACATGGTGCAGCTCCAACGCGCTCGGACCGCGATTTGCATGTGACGTCGGAATTTTGCTCGAGCCGCAATCAATGCTTCTACATAAATATCACAATTTTCTATCAGATACACATGTAGGCCAGAATCGCATCCATCATGTCGCAGATCATAGGCGGTAATAAAGAACACGAAGCAGATCCATCGCTCGAATACACAGAGCCTGACGAGAGTCGGCCGGCGAAGAGAGTGCGACTTGATGGTGCTCTAGATGTTACGGAGGAATTACAGGACGAGGTGGTCGACGATGATGACTGGGACGATATCTATGGTGCTTTGGAGAGCAAAGCAGAGGTTGTTGGTGCGAAGCCTACACTGGATGAAATCGAGACTGCGCCCAATCCAGTCCTGACAGACGATGAACAAGACGGAGGTCAGGCGGTACTGGACGAGGTGCAGGCGGATGGGGGCGCTGGTCTAGTTGTGAAAGCTGCACCTCATGTCGGTACCCTCCCTGTTGCGCCAAACGGAGAGCGTGCCGAGGAAGTGACAGAAGTGGAAAAGACTGCAGAGGTGACTTTGGATGGAGTGCCTGCCGAAGCTGTTGTGGACGACGAGCCTCTGATGGACGAGCGAATACATGTCAATGCTATAGATGAGCCATCAGTGCGCATGGTCGAGGAAGTCTCTGGCGTGAATGGCGAGCCTAATGCTATCATCGGTGGAGCGGCGGGACAGACGAATGGCGATGGCGAGCTTGTGCAACAGGTCGACGCGAGCGATGTCGCTGGGAATAAAAGCGAGCAACCTGTACAGGGCACTCTGGACGAATTGATTGACGAGCTACACAATAAGCCCGCAGTCTCAAAAGCTACGGAGGATCCGGATTTCATGGCAGCAGCTGCAGCACAAAAGGAAGACGCGAAAGCAGAATGGAACTTCGACCCCTCGGACGCCGAGTCAGGCTCCGACGACGATTCCTCCGACTCGAGCTCAGACGACTCGGATGCTGAAAGTGAAGATGGTTACGAGATGATGGACGCAGCTACGGCAGCTAAATTGTTAATGGCGGAGGAGGGTGGAGATGATGACGAGGGCAAGAAGAAAGGAGGAGACCGTCAGCCTCGAACACAGAACGAACAGAAAGAGCACGTCGTGCCGAAGCCAGACGTTGTAGTTACAGAAGAGATGAAGATCACAGAGCTAGGTGCTGTGGAGCGAGCAGTCGAGAACATGATACTCATCAAAGGCTTCACGCCTGGCGAATATCAGGTCCTCGAATCTGGCTCTGTGCTGTGCAACGAGAAGCGTAAAGTGCTTGGTGTGGTGGCTGAGGCGTTGGGGAGAGTGCAGGAACCCATGTACTCCGTCGCTTTCACAAACGCCAAGGACATCGAAGATGCTGGGCTGGTGCATGGTGTCAAGGTCTACTATGTTGACAGCCATAGCACTTTCGTCTTCACGCAGCCATTGAAGAACATGAAGGGTACGGATGCCTCGAATTTGCACGATGAGGAGATCGGGGAGGATGAGATGGAGTTCTCGGATGATGAGGCGGAGGCTGAGCACAAGCGTGCGAAGAAGCAAGCCAAGAAAGCCGGAAGAGGCGGATTGGGTGGCGCCGGGCGGGGAGGCCACAGCGGTGACGATGGACCGAGGAGCTTTGGCGCACCTGGGCATGACGCCGGAGAGACTTTCATTCATCCAGCGGCGGATGCACCACAGCAGAACTACGGTGGTGCGCTGAGCTACGACGATGAGCCTGCGGATGAGTTCTACAGTCCTCTCAAGCGGCCGGACAATCTTAGTCAGATGATGGCCTCTGGTGGTGCACCGCTTCCGCCACGCCCTCATGGCGGCTTCGATCGTGGTCGTGGTAGAGGACGAGGAGACCGCGGACGTGGACGAGGCGACAGAGGGAGAGGTAGAGGAGGCTTCAACAATGATCGCGGTGGCCGCGGTGCCTTTCAGAAAGACCGCGACCAGCGAGGTGGTGGCAGAGGTGGACGTGGAGGCAAGCACGAGCACCGAGGCAATGCACAGAGCTTTCCAGATCGACACAATAGCGATTCGCATCATGACAATAGTCCGGCGCACGCTCTGCCCAACAAGCCTCGTGTGCCTCAGGGCGCGTCACCACCTGCGCAGACCGCGCCGCCACAGCAGCAACAGTACCCACAGCAATATCCACCGTACCCACAACAAGCCCAGCAGCCGCAGAGCTACCAGTTCAATGGATATACGTTCCAATACGGCAATGCTCCTCCACAACCACAGCAACAGCAGCAGCACAACTACAACTACGCACAGCAACAGCACCAGCACCAGCACCAGCAGCAGGGATATCAGCAACCTCCGACCGCCGCTGTACCTCCTTCAGGCGCGTATGTCAATCCGGCTTTCTACCAAAACCAGCAGTTGCCGCAGCAGCAAGCTGGGTACGGTGGTGCTTGGGCTGTTCAGCAGGGTCAGCAAGCACAGCAGTATGCTCAGCAACATCAACACAATGCCAGTGCCACGGGAGGTGCGCCGACGCCGCAACAGCAGGCGAATCTTGCTGAGTTGCTGAGACGCATTGGTGGGCAAGGTCAGTGATCCGGCGCTTAGTGGTATTGTTGCGAAACACTGCGGAGACACTAGATACACAACGACCGAAAACCTGCCAAGTATAATGTGTTGATTGCGGATTTGATCATTGCATACAACGTTGTGTAAGATATCTACCTGCTTGGGTAGGGTTGTACGAATAAGATCGCTTGAGCACTGCACTACTACTACGTAGTTGTATCATTTGTACAACGACATTACCTGTAATAATGACAACGTGTGTGAGCACGAGGCTCGATCTCTGTTCTGTTCCATGCACGCATCTGTACCTCCGCTCCTGCGCATTCCGTTGGACCGACTGCCATCCTCTTCCACCAAGACAAAAGTGCATCCTCTCTTCATGGCGATGATGATGAACGGGCGACAAAGATGGGAAGCACGGGTAATAGCACAGCATCGAGACTTGTACTGGTTGTTGGTGTAAGCGATACTGACCCATAGCATTCACAGAACACCAGCAGACTGACACGATGTAGAACAACCGCATAGCCACTTCTATCACCACAGCCCTTTATCAATCGGGCAGCTACGAGATACACCAGATAGTCCCTCGTCGGACAAGCGTCCATCATACCAAGGGCATCACGGTGCACGAATCCGACCTCTCGTCTCAATCATTACGGCACATACTCTCGACCATCCATCCAGATGTTTTCATAAGCACGGCCAGTGGCGGTGACTTCGCCTTCCAGAAGCTACTCATCGACATCGCGATCGAGACAAAAGTCCTGCGCTTCATCCCTGCTGAAGTCGGCCACGACAGTCTCAATACTCGATTGCAAGAACGCTTGCCTCCGTCCAAGGAGCGAGCACGTACCATCGAATATCTCCGCCAGTGCTCTGGACAAGGTAAGATAGAATGGGTCGGCCTGGCTATGAGTTGTCTTCTCGACCATGGCATCCTATCTGGCAACCTAGGCTTCGACTTGAAATGGCACAGCGCGACCTTACACGGCAGCGGCGACGAGCATTTCGCCGCTTCCTCTACTCCTTTTGTCGGCGAAGCGGTCTTTGCCGCTGTGCAGCACTGGGAAGAGGTCAAGAATCAGTACCTCCACACTGCATCTATGAGCACGACAACGAACACTGTCCTCGCTGCTCTGGAGGTAGTCACGGGCAAGCAGTGGGAGGCTGGACGGAGCGATGTCGAGGATTGTGTTCGAGAGGCAGAGAGGAGGGTGGAGCGAGGCTGGCCCGATGCTGGTATGTTTTTGATGGAGAGGAGTGTGCTTTACGATGAGGGACTCGATGCTCTCAAGCCGTTCCTTGATCATGATGCCAAGGACATGCTAAAGCTCAGAGGCGAGGATGTGGAAGGCCTGGTAAAGGAGGTAGTGCATCAGCATAAACACTATGGCAAAGGAGACTGTGGTTGTGGCTGAGCAGCGATTCGAGCTCAAATACAAGCCCAATAGTTCGTATATATGCCCGTCATTCATCAGACATGAGCAAAAGTGGTATCGTATGTTTAGATCGTGCGAGTCCGTGAACTTCATCAAGGGTCTACCAATGACCAGAACGCCTCGCTAAAACCACTCAGTTGCGCATATGGAAATACTATCCCATCTTCTGTCCAGCACCAATGATCTTTGATCCAAGAACACTTGCCTTGCTGATCGAAGGCAAGCCCCAACTCTGTTCCTGCTGCTGCTGTTGCTGCGCCAGTGTACTCCCGACCTGACTTCCCATGCCCGACCCTTCCATCATCTCCAGATCCTCCACAAAAGTCCAGCTTTCGATCTCATCCGCTTCTTCAAGCTCCGCCGCACTCACAGCCCCAGTCTGCGGCCTCTTCTTGATCAGCGACTTAGCATATTCCAGATCCCTCCAGATCGCCTTGATAGCCGTGGCCACTCCGTCCTCCTTCCTGATCTTCTCGCCCAGTCTCCTCGCTTTCGTGCGCATACGCTCATCGTGTGTCGCTATCCATAGCGCCTTGCCAAGAGAATTGACGGTGATCTTTTCAAGGTGGATGCCTACGCCCAGATCCTCAACACGAGTTGCAAAGAAGAACTGATCTCCGAAGAAGGGCTTGATGATGGTGGGTACCCCGGCACGAAGACTGGCACCTGTAGTCCCTGCGCCGCCATGATGCACGACAGCATCGATTTGATTGAAGAGCCAGTCATGTGGTGCCGCGCGGATGAGGAAGACAGAGTCCGGTAACATGACCTCTGGCAAGGATTTATCCGTGTCGAAGCGGTCAGACCAGCCTTTCGAAAGTATGCAGTGGACATCTGCTTTGCGTACTGCATCGACCACTTGCTGTGTCAATTGACGGGAGTCATTGACAGTCACAGACCCAAAGCCGATGTACACTATCTTCTGCTCTGCTTTGCGGGCTTTGTCGATGAAGGCCTGCAGATCCGCAGACGGCGTGAAGTCTTGGCCTTCGTCCAAGAACCAGTAGCCCGTGATCTTGACCCAGTCACTGAAGTCTAAAGGCGGCACAACAACATTTGGCGAGAAATTGTACAAGAACGGCACCTTGTTCGGCTGTAGTCTGCCAAGTGTCGTGGGTGGCAGACCGAGCCTCTTAGTGCGCCACCTATTGAGCTGTCCGGACGTGATGGCCCAGAAGACTGTGTCGAACACGGCATAAGAGTTCTGATTCCATTGACCGCCGTACTTGGTACCTGGCACGGCGAAAGCGTGTGGGTACGCACGAGTCCGCGTCCAAGGCATGGTGAAGGCGCGAAAGTACGGCACGCTCAGTGCTTCCGCAATGTGGATCCCACACATCGCGGACGGGCTCTCGATAATGAGGTCGGAGCCTTTACAAGCCCGGTACGCGGAGTCGAGTAGATCGTCCAGCCAGCCGCGAAATTGTGTGCTGGCTTTCCAGATGAACTTTGGAGTGAACATGCCGTTGTCCACACACATGCGCATGAGCTCGGCCGGATCACCGCCGACAGGCACAAACTCAATACCATGCCTCTCCACCCAGTCCTTGAACTCCATATGTGTTGCGATCCTTGGCTTCATGCCTTCGGCCAGGAGACCTTTGCACAGAGCAATATACGGTTGCACATCACCACGAGAACCGATGGTCAAACATGTGATCTTCATACACTTCTTAGGCTTGAAGTCAATGATTGACATGGTCGGGTCATCGAAGGTCATCTGCATATCTATACTAACGGTGTCAGCGGTACTGTCCTGGCGGGCACCAAGCAATAATTCGTGTTCGGCAGCGGCAGCGTCGGCATCAGTCTGTTCTTCTGCGGTGAGCTCGGTCAGTTCATCATCGCTCTCGATGCTGTCTAGTGCCCGCAGAACGGTGACTACACAATCATCCCGTAGCCCATTATTGTTGAAATCGAAGAAGATCTCCTCGTGACCTCTAATCACGACGACCATGCCAGGATAGCCCCAACGGAAGCCTTTCTCCTTCTCCACATTCAATGTGTTGACAAACGGTACCACTAGCTTCGTGCGTGTGCCATAGATCAGGCTCCGGAAGCAGAAGTTGCGCGTGCCGATGTAGACCTTGCCATATAGTGGCAGCACCCGATGTAGCGAGCAATAGAATACAGCTACCAGACGCTCCGACTCTGGCAGACCAAAGTGCTCACGGAACCTGCGTTCGTGCTCGGCTACGTCCATTGCAGACTCAGGGTCGTCGATTCGATCCTCGGGTGATAAGCCATCGGCTTCTGAGTAGTGCCTCTTACCGCCAGCAAGAGCGCCAGAGAAGCGGTTATAATACTCCTTGGGGCTGCTGCCGAGATATGATAGGCCTCGTGTAGTCGTACTGCTTACTTGATTCGCCAGACCGTACGCGTATTGCAGAGGAGTTGCCAGCGTGATCTTCTTCGGCTCAGTGGCAGGCTGAACCAGGGCGTTCGATGGACGCTGCCTCTCACCTGATAACCTGGGCCTGTGTCGCAGTGGCAACGTCGACTGATCAGCGCTATGTGGTGGTGCCGTGGGAGGGTCCTTCCTCTGCCTGCTAGAGTTCGACACAGCCGCTTTCTCAGATGCTCTCAAGAACTTCCCATCCGCCGCTTTGGGAAGTGCTTGTTGAGGCGTACGCAGCGTCGGAGCTCGGAACGCTTCATCGCCTGTCAGCATCTGACTTGCTGACATGATGTCGACTTCATCAGCATCAGGAGAGCTTGGAGCATGATCCGACGCAGTAGGTGAAGAAGGCGAAGCTCTCGTCGGGATGGCATGCCTTAGTGGTGAGGCAACGGTCGCTTGCAAACGCTTGACGTCGTGCGGATCAGGAGCCCATGAGCGAACCTCGTTGTCCTTGGTCAGTCTGTTCAACGTGGCAAGAGGATCTTTGTTGCGGCCGCTGAACGTGAAGAAGTACTCGTCAACTGCACACGAGTCTTCGTTGTCAATCACGCGCATTCTGATCGTCTCTACCATGCCAATGATGGGACTCGACTCGACGCCGACTATGTTAATGAGCGGTATGGAGATCTTGAGGCTGTCGCCATCGTTGCGTTGTCGAAAGACGACACGATGCACAGACTTCACCCACTCTTGGGCGCTGGGTGCGCTGTCGGCCTTGAAGTAGTGCGTGCGTGCATCGTTTGTGACCGTGAAAAGTCGCGAGTCCATGATATCGTCCTGACCCTTCTCTGGGACCAGCTCTGCTGAGGTGGCATAGCGCAAGTCAATGGAGCCATTTGGGAAGTACGGTTTCGATGCATCCACATAATACGTGAGCACGTCACCCCTGAGTGTAAACCAGTATCGGCGGTATCGTGGATTGTGCTTGCCCTGCTTGCCAAGATATCCTGACTTGATGATCCTGTCGCCTTTCCTGTGCAGATAGGAGAAGAAGCAGAGATGCTTCGTGGTGATATACATGTAGCCGGGCATGAGGATGTTCAGCAGGTACCAGCAGTCGTATTCGCGAATGACCTCCTCAGGCGAGCTGAGCTGAAAGATGTCGGCCACAGCCTTGGACGTATTGATCTTGGCCTTGGCAGGAGCATCGACATCTGCTCTCGGCACTGATGATATGCTGGGGTCGTTCGCATCGGCTTTCGCTTCTGCTTCCAATCTGCGGTCTAAATGTGGCGCGTCAGACCTGACCTCACTTGCACTTGCAGGCCTCGCAATGTCTTCCGCAACCTCCTTGGGTGGCAAGAATTGTGATTGGGACATTGCGTCTTCCTCACTAGCCTCTGTCCGAGCTCGCGTAGTCTTAGCTGAAGATCCTTTGCTCGTCGCTGGTGGAGTTCGTGTCCCTACAGGCATGACCTTTCTAGAGTCCCGCCGTTGTGCCTCTAAGCTAGACCTTCCACCGCCAGTAGATCTCGCTCCCACATCTTTGCTATCCGTATCTGCGCCATGTCCCTCACTATCACTTCCACTGGCCGCCTCGAACAAGCCAGGCAGCTTGTCCAGGCCAAAGCTCGGCCAGTGCGCGCCTATCACTCCATAGACTGATTGATGCATGAAGTCGGGTTTATTTCGATCGGTGCCAGTGACATCCTCCTCGTTATCGACGCCTTGAAAGCGTTCCGGTACAACCATCTTGGACCTTCTCTCTTGCTGTAGGCGTGGATGGCGTTGACGCTGAGCAGAGCTAAGTCGTGCTGCAGGTGCACGCAGCGAAGGCGTGCTTTGGCTGGTGTTGGACATCGTAGGTGAAGTTGACTCACAAGTTGCCTGAGGAGCGTGACCGGTCAAGCAGCAAGCAGGCAAGCAAGCGAAGCGAAATGATTGCCAGACAAATCAGACTACTGTAGTGGTGCTGCCTGCTGTTTCCCAACCTATCCTTGTACAGTCACTGGATGGCTACCTCATGATGGGGATCACATCTTGCTCGCCACTACAGAACCTCGCATCCATACCGCACTTGTAGTTCGTGCTTTGATAATGTATGTCCAAGATTGTCAGACTATCTAGTCTTGACTGACAAGATGGAAGATGATCATCAGAACAAATAATGTGAGCATGCGGGTGATCATGATACACTGCGGCACGAAGCCGCGCCTTGCATGTGACGGTTGGGGCTTGCATCAGGCTCGGGTAGAACTATCTATTACGATCACGTCCTAGTATAAGGTAATAATTTACTTGAGCTCTCGCATCAGAATGCCGTCGCTAGGTGGCAGTACTGCCAGGCAACGCGATGGACCTCCAATACCAGCTAGCAAGCCTGCAGCAAGACCAGCGTAAAGACGACCTACTTTCTTTGCCCCTGCTGTACTGACTACGCTACAGATCCAAGCCACAGCCAAATGCCCACCTCTCGTACAGCACATGGTCTGCGTTCGGCTTGCTTTTAACCTTCCACGGTCTAGGTGTTCTCTACAGTCCGATCCAAGACTGTGATGAGGTCTTCAACTACTGGGAGCCAACACACTACCTCACCCATGGCCATGGCTTCCAAACATGGGAGTATTCGCCAGACTATGCCATCCGCTCATGGGTCTATGCGGGACTCCATGCCCTCGTCATGCTTCCGATTAAACTGCTCGGCGCCAACAAGAGAGCACAGTTCATCTTCCTCCGCTACGTTCTCGCAGTCATTTGCGCAGCATGCGAGACAAGGCTATACGCAAAAGTCACCACGACCCTCAACCCTCGAGTCGCCAACTTCTTTCTGATGATTCTCGCCACGAGTCCGGGAATGTTCCATGCCAGTATCTCGTACCTACCCAGCAGCTTCGCCATGTACTTCACTTGTCTAGGCATGGCAGCCTTCATGGATTGGCGAGGAGGTCTGAGGACCGCGCAGGGCATCTGGATGTTCGGCATCGGCGCGGTACTAGGCTGGCCTTTCGCTGCGGCACTTTCGATACCATTCCTATTGGAAGAAGCCTTTCTTGCCACCATCAGCGACAAGGCAGGCGAGATCGAGCTCTTCTGGCGCATCATAGATGGTGTGACACGGACACTCATAACGCTTGTGCTCCAGATGGCCATCGATGCCTTCTTCTACAAGAAGTTCGTGGTCGTCCCACTGCATATAGTCCTCTACAACATCTTCAGCAAAGCAGGTGGACCGGATCTCTACGGCACAGAACCCTGGCATTTCTACCTTCGGAACCTGTTCCTCAACTTCCACGTCTGGTTCGTACTCGCCCTCCTCGCACTACCTCTGCAGATAGTCCAACACTCTTTCCGCACCAAGGGAGCAACACGCACATCCTACCTCCGAGGTCTCACCTTCTTGACTCCCCTCTACCTCTGGCTCGCGATCTTCACCATCCAACCACACAAAGAAGAACGCTTCATGTACCCAGCCTATCCAGCGCTCGCCCTCAACGCTGCAATGAGCTTGCATATCATCCTCGCCAATCTCGGCTCGACGGACTCGAGAGATCTAGTCGCTCGCATACCAGTTCAACTCCGCTTCTTCGGCATCCTCACCTTCGTCTTCTCCGCTCTCGCCATCTCTGCTCTGCGGACTGCAGGCACAATGACTGCATACGGTGCACCACTATCGATCTACGACTCCCTCCGCACGGCCAATCTCACGAAAACAGGTGCCTTTATCTGCCTAGGGAAAGAATGGTACCGCTTCCCTTCACACTATCTTTTACCTTCAGAAACACGAGCCAAATTCGTAAAGTCAGAGTTCTCAGGCCTACTCCCAGGCGAGTTCAGCGAAATACCTGGTTCGCAAGGCTTTGGTGTCTTCCCAGGAACATGGCTCGTGCCGCCCGGAATGAATGATGGGAATAAAGAGGATATGGCGAAGTATACAGATATCAAGCGATGTGACTTCCTGGTGGACAGCCATCTGCCTTCTACGGAAGTCACGAGTCTGGAGCCGAGTTATGTGCGTGATGAGAAAACGTGGGAGAAAGTGGCTTGTGAGCCTTTCTTGGATGCGGCGAGTACGGGTGTTCTTGGAAGACTGTTGTGGATGCCGGACTTGCCTTTTGTGCCGAAGCAGTTTCGACGGGTCTGGGGCGAGTATTATTTGCTCAAGCGCAGGACGAGGCCGCTGGTTGAGAAGAGGGCTGGGGTTATGGATGGAACGGCTCGGCAGGGCGTGGAGAATATGCTTTGATCTACACACAATACCACCACAAGGTGAACATGCCGCGCCGAATCCATTTTGCTCGACATCGCACCCATTCCAGGTTTTGTCGCAGAAGTGGTCAGGATAACAAGAGTAGGTCATCGTCACGTGCGGGCAAGCTCACGACTACCCGATCTGGTAAAGATACCCATTCACGAAAGTTGCAGCTGCTAACCCCACTCCTTCGCGTCTGTCCTTATCGCGAACAATGATGTTGTGCATAGCAGATCGACTACCCAAATTCGCAATGGCTATAACACTAGACCATGACGCTGCTGCATTCTGCCCAACCGACTCGTCACTGCCTAACCTCACCTACGAAATCGCTACAACAGACGCAATTTCGATAGCAATATGGACTCGGCCACGACTTGGATACGAGAACAGTGCAATAGCGAGAAGATGCAGCAGATCTCGCAGCACCTTTTGACCGTCAAAGCGGTCCCATATCTTCTCCTCGCCCTGGCCGCGATCTTATTAGCAGTCAAGTACATCCAAGACCACACCAAACGAACCCAGAACCCAACCCGTCGTCGATCACCGGACCCAGAGAAACCAACAGATGTTACGACCTACGCCACCAAACGCCTCAAACCCACCGAGCGAGAACCAGGCAGTACGTCCCCACTAACCCTCCCACCATCCTCAGCACCTCCACTAACCACAACCCCCCCAGCATGGCCCCCCTCCCCCTTCAAACGCCCACCAGCACCACCCTACCCAAACTGGTCCGTCACAGACACCAAACCTTTACCTTACCGTCCCTTCCGCTACGGCGCCTACAACATAACCATGGGCCTCCGCACCATGCCCTGGGACTCCTGGATCGAACTGGACAATCAATTCCCGCGCTTCCACGCCCTCAAAGCCCAACGAATCGCCGAACGTGGAACAAGATGCTACCGAGCCGAGCGCTCCGACCCCCGAGTATGGGATGGCGCAGTCGAACTCCTGGAGGAGTTAGCTGAGTATCTGCCTCAGCGGTATCCGAGCCTCTATCGCAAAACGGACGTCGGTCTCGATAATCTCCTCACGGGGGAAAGCTTCGACGTATCCGCTTTGACCCGGAATGGCGTGAAGGAAGACCCCATCCTCCTCTCCGCTCGCCTCACCCAAGACGACCTGGCCATCATGTTCGAAAAAGAAGATGGACAATACTACCTCCTCTCCGCCTGCATCCTGCTCGCGGGTTTCTGGCGGCTAGAAGATAAATTCGGGATGCCGTTGTCCGAAATCCACACTAGTGGGGACGTACCCGGTTTCAAGCAGAAACTAGAAAAGGGCATGATGAATTTCTTCCGCCGCGTGCAGCCTGAGAGCCCGGTATTGAGGAATAATTATTTCTTGCAGGTTGATGATGAACTGGCTTGGTCGAGCTCGATTGGGTCTGAAGACAGTACTGAGGAAGGAGGCATAGGTTGGTTCTCAGCTGAAAAGGATCGAGCGATCAAGAATCATTATTTCCGTTCGGAACGGCAGAGTCTGAGGCGGCTTCCCAGGTCGGGTGGGGTGGTTTTCACCATCCGGACGTATTTTCTTCCGGTTACGGAGATTGCGGAGGAGGATGGGGTGCCGGGACGGCTGGCGAGTGCGGTGCGGAGTTGGGGGGAGGATGTTAGTCGGTATAAGGGACGGGAGAGGTATGGGGATGTTTTGCTGGAGTACCTGGATATGAAGCACCAGGAGCAGGTCGAGAGGGGGGTGGATTTTGGTGAGAGGGAGGATAGTGGAGCTTATCCTTGTTGATAGTGAGGCGTTCTTCGGTCGGCGGTTTGACAGAGAGGGTGGACTCGTGTGTTTGGATCTACAGGTCCTTTCAACTTACAAGTTCATCCATCGTACAGGTATATCTTATAATATCGCCCATCACCCTCCCTTCTGGCCCACCATCGTCTTTCCCTCCTTCCTCACTCTCGCCCTTCTAACCCCTTCCTCCACCTTCTCCTTCCGCCACGTACACCCCTCCACGAACTCGCAAAGGCGGCATTTGTACGCCTCCTCGACTTCTACGCCCTTCGTCTGCCTCTCGCCTCGCCACCAGCTTAATTCATCCGAAATGTATCTCTGTAGCTGTTCCGCGGAGAAGAGGAAATGCTTTCGTCCTAGTAAGTCTCCGCTGGACGAAGAGCGGAATTCCGCAGTAAGGAGGGGCGAGATGGTGGTGGTGGGGCTGGTTTTGAGGTGCGTGTATTTCTGTATCATGAGGGTCCAGAGGGTGGTGAGGGTGTTGTGCGCTAATAAGACATCCAGAGGATCTTGCGCCCGGCTACTTGCTTGTGATGGTGCATCCCATGCCTCTGTGCCGGCAGAAGGTATGTCCTCCGCCTCAAGGCTAAGACTGCTCATTTGCGCAATAAAGGTATCGCTGAACGGCAGATTGGGATCGACGTCGTAGCGGGCGAAGATGCGGTCGGCGGGGACGCTGTTGGATGCTAGGTCGGTGAAGAGACGGTGGTACATCATTAGTTGGTAGTGGGTTGGTCGGGTTTGGCTGCCTGACGGTGGGAGGGTTTTGGATTGCCGGGTTTTGACGTCTACGATGTAGAATGTTGTCGGTCGTTCTCTCTCCTCTTGCAGGGTGCCTAGCCAAGCACCACCGTTCTGTTCCAGGCGCGAACCGCTCTTCTCCAATATTGAGACCTGTTGCGGACCGGCGAAATATTGCGTCAACGTCCTCTGGTCTTGCTCCAAAGCTTTTACCTTCCCACTGTCCTCTCTCCCACCCTCTGCATCCTCCAACATCCTTCCCTCAGCCTCAACATCCGGACAAGTAGTAGTAATCTGATCCACAACCCCATTCACCACCTCTCCCTCCACCACGCCCCAAACCTCCATCTCCCTCGTCATCCCCGTCTGCCTCAGCGTCCGCAAACCCTGGATAACATTCCACAACCTCAAAGCGAATTTATCCTCCTTGGTGACGACATCCACAGGCACCTCAGTATGGACTTGCTCTTCCAGCACTTTATGCACGCTTGAACCTTGCTTCATGGCTTTCGTGCGCTTGACCCGGCCGTATTTGGAGAGGTTGTAGAAATACTGGAGCTCGCACCAGGCGGGCGAGATCAGGTCGGTTACGGATAGGCATTTCTTGGGTGGTGTGCGGAAGCGCAGGAGGGGGGAGCGATCGTCTTGTTCTTCTGGTATTGGTACTTCGGGTGCTTGCTCACGTCGTCGCTGCTGGTTTGCGTCTGGTGGAGGTGCTACGAAGCGCTGGGGCGTCAGCGTCAGCTTCACGACGATCAGTGTCTCTGCTGCTATATGGACTCACGAGAGAAGATGCTCCGCTCCTGCCCGTCGTACTCGATCTCGATAGTCCTCGTCGAATCGTCGCGCTGAAGTGCTTCCGGCCGTAGTGATCGCGTGACCTCGTCGAGTCCAGCAAGTGCCTCATGCAAGTTCTGCCGGATCTTAGCCAGACGTGCCAGCGGGCGTTCGTCCCCATGGTCGTCGAGGATGGTGGGTGCTTCCGGGTTGTCGACGGCGACGGGGGAGGTGTGGGAGAAGAGGGCGTCTACGGTGGCTTCGTCCAGGTCACTGCCATAGTCACTGCCTTCTGCTATCGATATAGATGTGTCTTGCATATCGATAGCATTGTTTGCCATGATATGAGCATTTCGAAGCGGCGCGCTAGGAGGATGTAGTGGTAATGGAGAAGACGCGACTGGAGAACGCGTAAAGTGAGCGTGTCACGAGACTCGAATGTGATAAGTGAAGGCGATGTACCTTGGTATGTTAGTCGTCATACGTTCTGTCTATCTTATTATATCAAATACTGCATACTGCTGTACGTCACATCTACGAGGACATCCTCACTCCCTCCCTCTGCTCCTCTGCTCCTCCGCCCCTCTGCTCCTGCCTATGATAAATGGGCCTCTTCTGCACCTGTCTTGCCATCCACGGCCTCGATCTACCTCGTCGTGTCCCTCCAGAGAGCGAGTCTAGTGCCCTCGACTTCATAGAGCACAAGAGCAGTCGAGCTGCCAAGGCCGCTGCTGTGCAGAGCCAGCTGCGTAGAACTCGCCACCTTCGCAGGGATGGCATTCTTTCCTCGCCACGAGCAAGTACACCATCGATCGACGCTGCTGAGTTCACACTCCAACGGACGATAAGTGCCCTCGCGGAAGTCCTGCCATGAGCCCACTCGGAAGCCCAATGCTTTTGATACTCTCTTAGGGCTTGTGTCCTGGCCCGCTCGCCAGGCTTTGTGGAGGATGAATCATATGGCCTCGATCACTTCCAGCGCCGGTTCCACGGCATAACCAGATTGCCGGCATGCCATTCCCTGACTCCGCCAAGTATATCCTGCAGAATGATCTCCTTCGTTCCTTTTCTGGTCTCCTCAGCCCTTCGCATCCTGCACCACCGCACCACTCCCAACCACCTCCTGCTCCTCCGTCCCCTCCGCCTGCTTGTTCAACCAACTCAGATAAGTCTGCCAAACGACCGCAATGCACCCGGCAAAAATCGGCCGATTCCTCGGCTTCAAATACGTAAAGCTAAAAGCCGTCACAGCCGGCCACAACTTCCAACTGTTCACAAAACTAATCGGGACCGTCTCCTTCACCCGCCTAATCGTCTCGCTCCAACTAGCTCCCGCAAGTAACGATTGCATCCCGAAGAAATACGTATTGAACACGGGAGTGAAGAAAGTCTGATTGACGAGAATCTTGACCCCAATACTGAACCAGTGCGATGAGTAATTGAAGTTATTGCCGAGCCAGAGGAACCATTTATAGCTGGGTATACAGCAGATACTCGCTATTATCATCGCTCGCAGGCCACGGATGGGTTCGTAGCGGGATCCCTCTTCCGAGAAGCCGTTGGATCCTACGCTTTGGGCGGAGAGGTCACCGAGGAAGTAGATGATTAGGGAGGAGCTGAATTGTGTCATCAGGGGGCTGCGGCGTTGCATTGCTCCGTAGGCGCGGAAGGGGGTCGCGAGGGGTTCTACCCATGCCCAGGAGGGACCGGGGATCGTGCGGCCGGGTGGTGTTGAGGTGTTGCGGGTGGATGAGGTTGTGTGGGAGCTCTCATATCGGCGGGTTGACCTGGACAGATTCCTATTGGCTGCTTGGTGAAGACGTCGAAGGGTCGATACACGGGTCGCGAAGGAGGAGACGGTCATGTTTTGAAGATTCGTCTTGCTCCTCGCGAGGACATGAAGATATGTTGTAAGATGTCGAATCTGAAGTACACACAAGCAGACAAAGGAGACAGTGAAGACAGTGTACCTACTTCAAAGTAGGTATCAATATATCCACCTCATTAGAAAGCTGCCATGTTGTCATAAAGTTTGTGTTCTTCCACCGTATTATTATTTGGCTACGTGAGCGCTGAGCAGCTCGGCACTTTGCGGAGCCTCGAAAGTGCCGAACGTCATCTGGGACTTTCGTGCCAAGGCGAGAACAGAATTCGCAGCATCAGTATAGAGCCTTCTGCATACTCTGCAAAATTGACTGGTGCTTTCGACGAAGATCAGTGAGAGCTGCTGAATGTATTGATACATATTTAGACAGGTGAAACTGGTGTTAACGCCCCCAGCCAAGGTCGAAGCACAGCGGCGACGATGAAATCGGTCCTCAGATTGCGCCCGGTAGCAAGGCTTGCCAGAGACGCGTCACAAATGTAAACAAATCACGCGAGGCAGAAGTCAAAGGCACATGACGAGTTTTCTGGTTTGATCAGAGGCAAATGCCTGGTACCATGGTCATTATGATACAGCTACTCGTGCCCACCACCCTTGGGCAGCACCGTTGATGTGATATCTCGCAACCCATGATCACCCCAGTGATGAAAAACAAGAACAAAGCCGCAAACTCCATGACCATCAGCTAGAGAGGTAGATGTGAAAGCATTATGCCCATGCAAGCTCAACCAGCGCCCATCACCCAAGTCCACCACCAGCCGAAGCCATCATGTTGTTCAAAGGGAGGTCGAGGTGATCGTGCTCATGTGCATATCGTGGTAAGTCGTAGTTAGAGAATTGATGAACGCTCTACGAGCGCTCGCCACGGAGACGGCGGGCGAGCTGGATGTCCTTGCTCTGGATGGTGACACGCTTGGCGTGGATGGCGCAGAGGTTGGTATCTTCGAAGAGGGAGACGAGGTAGGCCTCGACGGACTCCTGGAGGGCGCCGATGGCGGAGCTCTGGAAGCGCAGGTCGGACTTGAAGTCTTGTGCGATCTCACGGACGAGGCGCTGGAAGGGGAGCTTGCGGATGAGGAGCTCAGTCGACTTCTGGTAGCGACGGATCTCACGGAGGGCGACGGTACCTTGAGAAGATGTTAGATGCTGATGTGAGTGAAGGTATGAGTGAGTGAAGACTTACCAGGCTTGTACCTGTGAGGCTTCTTGACACCACCAGTGGATGGGGCTGATTTCCGAGCCGCTTTTGAGGCGAGTTGTTTACGGGGAGCCTTGCCACCGGTGGACTTGCGGGCGGTCTGCTTCGTGCGGGCCATGACTGATGATTGTAATGTGGATGGAGATTGTTGTGATGTTCTGGTCAAAGTAGTGATGTCTTGATGATGTTGTGGTGGAGTGGAATGGATTGAAAGTCTGGAGGTGGAGGGGCGGAATATGTAAGGCGGCAAGCGGGAGGCTGCAAACTGCTAGAATCAACGCAGTTGCGCATCGAAAGCGGCTTAGCTCAGATGCTGCAAGATCACAATCTGGTTGATGATTGATTCAGCTTCGGTGAAGGAAGTCGTGGGACACATTGAGGCAATTAACGATCATTCAACGCAGCTGCTTGTCTTGGGACATCCTATCATGTTATAGCTAAAGCATTCCGACGCTTTCACAAGCTCCTCAGGCGACCTGCTTCATGAGGGATACGACAATCTATCGGTATGTAGACGGGCGTTGTGTTATCAAAGGCGACGTTGTACAAATGGGAATGAACACCCTCGCCATGCATTCGTTGTAAAGTCATACATTCATCATTGACGCTAGTACGCTGGTGTCTTTACAGAGGCGACATGTTTCACAAGGGATACGACGAACCGTTGTATGTGGACGGGCGTTGTACTATCAAGACGGCGCTTTGTCTGCGGGAACCGTTACCATCGCCATGCATCTGTTGTGCAGTCTCAGATATCATGCATATCACGGCGAGAACGTCAAGGTTTATTTGGTGACCTGTTTCATAAGGGATTCGACGTGTTATCGGCATGTAGACGGGCCTTGCGCTATCAAGACGACGCCTTACCAACGGGAATCAATACCACCGCCACGCGCTCGTAGTGCAGTCTTGCAGGTGTCATCCACGTCACGCTGTTACAACGCACTTGCTCATCAGGTGACCTGTCTCAAGAGGGATGCGACAAATTATCGGTACGTACACGGGCCCTGTACTGTCAAAGTGACGTCTACCATCGAGAAGCAACCATCCTCGCCATCTGCTTGTATACCTACGTGGCTCATAGGTTCGTCTGCCATCCATCAATATGCATTCAACGTGGTCTGGCGGCTGGACATGCATATGGGTAGCATCAGCTTACTCCGCGGTATGACGCTAATTGAGGAAGTCCTCGATGACGATGTCGTTGGGCTGAGGTACTGTTCATGTCCGCCATCTGCCATCTTCGCGGTGCTGAAGCGACCTGCGGCCGCCAGCAATATCTCTCGTCCAAGATCTCTCCGGTCTGACATTAGGCGCAACACGATATTCCTAGAACGTGTGAAGCTCGAGGCCATAGCGATTGATCTGTTCTTCGGCAGTGTCTTCACCCACATCGGGTTGCTAGTGCGGGCGTGCAGGCTGAGTAGCGGTCTGCGATATTCCCTGGCCAGGTCCGGGAGTATCAGCGGGAGGGTCAATTATCGTGATGCCCCACGGTTCCCTCTGTCTGTGAAGCAGGCGTCGCCTCCTTCCGGTAGGTGTGGAGATCGATCACTTTGGCCGTGCCGTATTGGATGAACTCGAGATTGCTCTAGTTGGCAGTGAGCCATTCGTGAGCTCGACCGACTTTCCTGATCTCAAGGCCGCGCTGCTCCAGCTGGCCGGGGGTCCATGCTCGCTACTTGAACCGAAGCATGGACAAGCTCTTGGAGATGTGGAACGTCGTGATCATGGTCTGACCATCGTTCGAGGCCAGAGCAAGTTTTGCCACCAGACGGAGGACGTCCAATGATGCCTCCGGTGCTGTGAGATCTCTGGATGTGCGAGAGATAGTGTCGGCTTGACAAGAGTGCAGAAAGTGGCCGACTTTCTCCGCAGCAAGAACAGACACCATTGGTCTGACATGGACCTTCGAGCCCGTCAGCGGGGCTTTGTGAGGTCTGCTCGATCGGGCGGCACTCTTTTGGTGACGACGGTCTGCATCTCCCTTGGTCGGCCAGTGGGCCCATGCGCGTGGTCGCTTGCGCTCGTCGGGCAGCTCATGTTCCAGTCTGCGTTGAACAGTAGATACGTTCGGTCTGCCCAGCTTCTCTGCGATCTCGGCATAGGTCATGGTGGCTGTCCATGACAGCGCTTGTTCCAGCTCATCAGCGCACCAAGTGTTCCTGGTAGCCATGGGCTTCTCTGTCAGGCCGACACGCCCATGCTCACCGTCAAGCTTTACATCGACCGCTTTGGCTGGTGATTTGCCGAGTCTGATTGCGATCTGAGCGCTGGTAATCGTCCCTTCCATGGTCTGCGCGAACTCCAGCTCACTGGATGTCCACGGCTCTGAGTGCTTTTCCTGTACTGTCAGACCTTCACGCTTGAGCTGTGAAGCGACGCCTTTCTTTAAAGATTTGCCGAGTCTGTTGGTGATCTCAGCATGCGATATCTTTCCTTGATTGGCCTGCGCAAATTCCAGATCCTCGGCTGTCTATTGCTTGCTTGCAACACGTGCTTCCTCTTTGGCATCACGACCATCGCAAGTCATCTGCTTTCGTTTTCGTGAGTGGATGAGCGTCTGCAACTTCATTCACGTCTTCTTGTCTGACACCTTGGTCCGATCCAGATCCTCGCCCGGCTTTGCGTACTGGTTGTAGTCTGGGGTATACTCTGGCGGCGGATTGGCTGCTTTGCTAGCACTGTCCGACGGCCAGCTTGCGAGTTCCGGTCTGCTTCAAGGTTAGGTGTCCTGGGAGCCTCGCTTGCTGCGTTGAGTGGCAATATCTGGTTGTCCGTGCTAGCTACAGCCAGGTCTGCCACAGGCGAGCCGTCTTTCGAGCTCGGGATGATGGAGGCTTCTTCGAGCGTCACTTTGCTTGTAGGTGAGATGCTACCAAGTAAATATCTGGCGGTCTGCAAGATTGTTTCTGGTCGGCATTGCTTGATGACGGCATGCGAAAGGAGGACTATTCTCCAGTCTGCGGACTCACCTCTCGGTGAGGTGCTCAAGGCATACCACTCGCTGGTCTGAAAGGTTCAGTCTCTTCCGACATCGTTGAAGATGGCATGCTGAAGGAGGGCTAGTCGTTGGTCTGCAATAGCGGGCTTGGCGCAGTGCTGCAGAAAGATGACATGCTGTCCACCACGATTCACATGGTATATCTAGCCATATGTATCCCTGATACATTGTTACCTTTGAATAATACATCGTGCTACATGACCACGAAACAGCTCTACTTTTGCAGGAGATACATATTCCCGATCCGCAAATCATTCTCATCACTGTGAAAGCGTCGGAATGCGTTAGCTATGCCACTATCGAATGACCTAATGAGCAAGGGCGCTTCACAAGCGTAGCATGAACGAGCAACAAACGCATGGCAGACGTGATGACACTGTCCCATGACTTCTACAAGCGTGAGTAAGAATGGTAGGCTGAATTGTGCAAAGGTAAGTGCACGGGGCTAGTTTGATCCTGGGAATTGAAAGTTGTGATCCTGAGTTGCAAGTGGGCGGTTTTTTTGGAGTGATTGCAGACGCGGACCGCAATGTACATAGCCCGCGCCCCGCGCTTTCGACTTTATCTCTCCCACTTACATCTTCCACCACTCCAAAGCTCCAGTACCACTCAAGCATCTGCTTCTTCATCAATACCAACACAACTCCCACACACTTCATCAACATGACTGGACGTGAGTATCATCCCTCTCCATCACTCTACATCTTTTCACATACTGACATACAACCATAGGCGGCAAAGGTGGCAAAGGCTTGGGCAAAGGCGGCGCCAAGCGTCATCGCAAGATCCTACGCGACAACATCCAGGGTATCACAAAGCCCGCCATCCGCCGTCTGGCGCGTCGTGGTGGTGTGAAGCGTATCTCAGCCAGTAAGAACTTCCTTCAACCCACCGCGTAAACAACAAGCATCTGACGCGTCTTCGCAGTGATCTACGAGGAGACCCGTGGTGTACTCAAGACCTTCCTTGAGGGTGTCATCCGCGACGCCGTTACCTACACCGAGCACGCCAAGCGCAAGACTGTCACATCCCTCGACGTTGTCTACGCCCTCAAGCGACAAGGCCGCACCCTTTACGGTTTCGGTGGTTAGTCATCTCACCACCACGCCTTCTCGACCTTCTCTCCCTCACATCAACAACTTTTTCGTATGCTTTGACGACACAACAACAAGATATCCATCAGCATGGTGCAGCTGGCATCAGCAAAGGCTGGCAGCGGTGGATGGCGCGATACGGCTATGGGCGGGTATCAAGGCTGCTCTCGGCCACGGTTTTGTTTTGAGAATGCTGTAGTATAACGGCTCATGGAGTTTATGGAGCTGCATCAATGAAACTACTGCAAATGTCCTTTTGCTTCTCAAATCTGCCTCGCCATATCTGCTTGTGACTCTTCGCCATCTGCTCCCTCTCTCACGCGTCCGCTCTTTGTTGACATGGCCACTTTCAGCAAGCGCGTATGTGCAAGAGCCACCGCGTGGTGACCGCCAAGCTTTTCCGTGGTAGTGGCCCATCCCGTGGATCTTGCACTTCGAAGATGAGGTAGTCGTTCTTCAGAATACCAAGTACAGTATGTGTACATGCAGCTGTGCTTGCAGTATCCTGCAGCTGATATTCTGGCAGGAGGTCTGACACTCATGAGTATACCGCTGTGCCACCAAGACCACGCTCGAAACTTCTCTCCATAGCCTTGGGTCCTCCATGATCTGAACAAAGGCCGCAGGCAAACCATCGTGCGCGTGAAGCAGTCAGAATACTACCACGTGCCCTTCAACTATGTGGCAGGAATTATTGCTCATAGCTTCGGCATACCGAGAGCTTCGTCTCCGACAGCGGGCACCACGAAACTCGTAAGGCAGCATCATGGATACAGCCACTGATCACCTTGGGCTGAGGTGGCTAATCAGCTTGCTCGGTCGTATACTTGTTCAGTTCCCTAGAGATATCTCTAATACGAAAAAGAACTATGACGTCCAACACTCCACCCTGGAAAGCACTCTTCTTCGATGTGTTCGGCACTTGTGTAGACTGGCGTAAATCGGTTACAGACGAACTATGGGCAAAGGCACGAGAAGCTCTCGACTCGCCATCTTCATCCATAGCAAGCCGTATCCGGATGGGTGCCTCCGATATGGTGACTGGATCTTGGTCGTACCTCTTGACCTCGTGCTGATATCCTGCACTAGACATACAAACAATGGGGTGATCTAGCACAGGTTGGTCGGTAAACTATCATGATGAGTACGCAATGACTCACGGAACGATGAGGAGTGGCGCAATGGCTACCTGAAGTTCACCCGAGAAGTAGCCAATAATCCCAACCCGACTGAACCATACAAGACTGTCGACGAGCATCATTTGGAGTCTCTTCGTAACATCCTGACCAACCGAGGACTTCTCTTTCCACGCGAGGACAACACACCTGCTAAGCTCGTGCATGATGGTTCGCTATGGGACGAAGCACAGATACAGGATATGAGTATGGTCTGGCATCGTCTAGCACCGTGGCCAGACACCTGTCAGGGCATATCAGATCTCAACAAGATGTTCTCTACTGTCACTCTGAGCAACGGCAACTTGACACTCCTCAACGACATGTGTAAGCATGGCAATATGCAATTTACGCACATCTTCTCCTCTGAGATGTTCAAATCTTACAAGCCTAGTCCAAAGGTGTATCTCGGAGCCGCAGAGAAGCTGGGTCTCAAGCCGGAGGAGTGCGTTATGGTAAGCATTCTCTCACGAGCACGGTGTCGGGTGATGTCTGACTGACAGGCTCAGGTTGCGGCACATCTGGACGATCTCAAGGCTGCGAAGTCGAACGGCTTTGGTACCGTGTACTTGGAGCGGCCGCAAGAAGAGCGGCACCCAGAGCTGCGGGATGCAGGTTTCGTGGATGTGTGGATCAAGGAGGACGAGGATGGCTTTGTGGCGGCGGCAGCAAAGTTGTCACATATAATTAGGCAGTAGCTCCATGGACAGTTCTACCTCCCTGCCGTACGTGGTTGAAGCTGCTAGGCGTGCTGTGATCGTAGTGCACTTCTCTCGTGAGTTGACGATATGACCAACGCTCGGCGTTCACCATATATTGATCAAACCTTATGTACTGTAGCAGGTCCTCATGGCCCTCTGTTCTTCTGTGTGGTTACGGGTGGCTTGGTTTCCCATCCCAGCATCACCGCGATCATGAAACCCAATTGTTGCCACGAAGATGTCTCGACCTGGTACAAGCTCTGATTCTTGTAAGGAGTGGCTTGCGGGAAACGAATGCAGACCACCATATCTCGTCTGTACAAAGCTACGTGCCATTAAGATGCATACAGAACACCACAGTATAGGCTAATAGTCCTAGAGTGCCAGTATATCGACTCACGCATCGTAGTACTGCCGCCTTATGGCTTGTCGTCGTCGACGCCAGACCTTACCCAAACCCTAACCCTAATTCGTCCTGCAATTGCAGCCAATCAAACACAGCTAGACAAACCTCTCCGATCTCGGCGAGCAGCCTCAGAAGATGCTCGAATATAAGTCTTAACTCCTGCACCGACATTCCGCATCACAACATCGCTCCATCGGCCCACGAGAGGCAGCGCTGTCGGGCTACTCAGATGGACTTGCGATAGTAACGCCGCATAGCATCAAAGCGCTTCGTGCGAGCGAAGAGCAGCAGAGTTGGCCAATTTCCCGTTCATCACGTCTCCTTTCCTGCGATCTCGTTCACATAACCTTTGCCGCTTGCTGAATTGACGTGCAATACTATATCGAAAGCCTTAGCAAGCCACAGAGCTAGACCCCAGCACTGTAGACGCAGCATAACCGCCCCACTCACGATATGGTCCAAGAGGACAGTGAAAGCAAAGATGCACATCCCGCAGACGTGGGATGCCTGTCGGCAGCAGAATCAACGAGTGAAGGCACCAAGCCCGATGTACTACCCAACAAGGAGGCCAAAGGTGCCAGTGATACGGAGATGCAGGTCAACATCGTCGACCAACACAAGGGCGTCCTAGCAGAAGAGGACTACTCAGTGTTCACGACCAACCAGAAGCGGGCGATCATGGTGATTGGTTCCCTCACAGCCTGGCTAAGTCCTATGACTGGATCCATCTATTATCCTGCTCTGAATTCCGTGAGTAAAAATCTGTGCGGTCCTAAAAGACAACGATTCAGATCTGACGGCTCAGATAGATCGCCGCGAGCTTGCACGTTACGAGCTCGAAGGTCAACCTGACCGTGACAACATACCTCATCGTCCAAGGCCTGGCACCAATGAGGTAAGTGACCTCCGAAACGCATCCACCCACTGCCATGCTAACAAAGGGATAGTAAGTCGGATCTCGGCTTCCCCTCAATCCTGTCAGAGACTCGTGGCACGACTCATCTGATTGGGATCGAATCGCTCCGTCGACATTCCTACACCCAATACGTCTCAAACCATGCCCACGATAAGCTCAAGCTAATGTGTTCATCGTCAAACGTTTAGTGATTGCTGGATTCTCCGACAAAGCCGGTCGTCGACCAGCCTACTTCATCTGCTTTGTAATCTACATCATAGCCAACCTGGCATTGGCCTTACAGAATAGCTATGTGGCACTACTGGTCCTACGTATGCTGCAATCTGCCGGCAGTAGCGGTACAGTGGCCTTGGCCCAAGGGCTTGTTGGTGACCTAGCTACATCATCCGAACGTGGCAAATACGTCGCCTACGCTTCCGTCGGAACCTTGTTGGGCCCGACTGTGTCACCCATCATCGGTGGCGTGATCAGTCAGTACTGCGGGTGGCACTGGTGAGTGTCGTCGAAAGCACTGTCGTACAACCTCTGACAGCATCCCAGGATCTTCTGGTTCCTTCTGATACTCTCGTGCGCCTTCTTCGTGGTGTTAGCTCTCTTCCTACCAGAGACGTGCCGGAAGCTCGTTGGTGACGGCTCTGTGCCTCCTCCGTGGACTTGCGTGAACATCACAGACACACTTCGGCACAAGGAACGAGCCCAAGACGGTCATGTCGTGGACGAAGAGAAAAAGGCAGAGCTTCGCAAGAACTTCAAGCTCATCTTTCCAAATCCTCTTGGCACACTCCTGGTTCTTGCGGATCTGGAGAGTGCGCTCATTCTGATCGCCACAGGATTAGCCGTGTCATGCTTTTACGCCATCTCTACAGGTGCCTCTGTAGCGTTTAGGGATCTATACGGTTTCGATGACTTATACGTCTCGTTGATGTTCCTACCGATAGGCGTTGGGGGTGTGGTATCCGTCTTTACAACTGGGAAGCTGATCGATTGGTAAGCAATCAACCGAGTGTCAACAGAGTGAAGAAGAGCTGACTAACCATCACACAATAGGAACTGTGAGCGCAATTTTATTGATGAGGCAGGGACGTGATGCTGACATTAGCTACCAGATCGTCGGCACGCAAAACGTCTGAACTTCCCTGTTGTGAAGAATCGACAAACGGACCTCTCGACATTCCCGATCGAGGCTGCTAGGTTGCAGATCGCACTTCCGATGTTTCTACTGGGCGTCGGCTCGATCATAGGTTATGGCTGGATGATGGACCACAAGGTATCCCTGGCTGGCCCGATAGTTATGCTCTTCATCCTTGGCTACAGCCTCATCGCTGCATCTCAAACACTCAACGTTCTAATCATCGACATCTACCCTGGACAACCGGCCACAGCTACAGCCGCGAACAACGTCACCAGGTGCTTGCTTGGGGCAGTTGCGACCGCGGCTATAGGACCGATGAGCAAAGCAATGGGAAATGGCTGGGCTTACACTACACTTGCGCTGATCTTCCTCGCTACTTGTGCGGGTCCGCTGGCGACAATGAAATATGGTATGGCTTGGAGGCAAGCAAGGAAGCAGAAAGAAGACATGGCGAGGAAGCAGAAGGAAGATAAGAAGGCAGACAAAGCTGCGATTACGAAAGGTTGAAAATGCTTGCAGTGGAGGAGGAGTAGGACGGTCACATCCACTGCCTGTTGCCCTCTCCTACTGTAGATTTGGCTACACTGTATCCTCAACCAGTGAGTGGTATCTTTAAGGTTCTCCAGAGAGCTATGCGGTCGAGTCCATTCACAGCCACGAGCGTTTCCGAATCGGAAAACTCACTAGTCGTGATCATCATACCAAGCCATTGCTACCTTTAGATCTTGCCGCCACCGGCACACACCCATAGTCTCCTGCCTGTGTACATCACAATGTGTCGATGGTTTCGTCCCGTGTACTTTACCTCCTCCCGACGATGCTTCGGAAAACATTTCCCACAATTGTCGATTAGATCCAGCCAAAAGCTGAACAAGCTTTGGGCCGAACAAATGACAAATGAATGGCCGAGAGCCTCACATCGACGAGGATGCGGCGGTGGCTTCTGGATGTAGGAATGCTCACAGCGACGCATGTTATCCGAACGCTTCTAAGATCACACAGAAGAAGGCACGATGTAGGCCCTGGCCATGACCTCTTTCCTCCGATTGTCTCACTCCACTTTTTGCCGGTCTTACTTCCGATTGTCACCTGACCTTGCTACGATGCGGAGGTGACATGCTGTACCCTTGCACAGTAATCTAGCGCACGCAAGTCTCGCCTGTCCAGTGTTGAGGTTGTTAGTCGCCGAAGTTTACAGCATCGCGTCTCGCGTGGAGCGTTCCGTTCGCGGTTGCTCAATCGGTCTCGCAAATAATCTGCTATCAAGACATACGGCGACTTCTTCCGATGCTCGAGGGCTAAGTCTCTTCGATATCTCGCTCGTTGTCGAAGGCGTCATGCCTCATGCTCAACCCACGCTTGACACGTACAGCACCGCCTAGACGGCAGCCTCCGCGTGAACATTCTGCTGCGATGCAACATCGCCGCGCAGTAGGATTGTCGAGTAACGACGCCATCCAAAAGCCCAGAGGACTCTATCTTGGACAGTGCGCCGAAAGAAACGCTTGACAATTCAGAACACAGATAACCTCCACGTCTTCCAATCTACCATCCCACGGTACGCAGACACGTTCGTGCCTAATTGGCTGCGAATTTGGCAGCAGAATGAAGACGTCTGCGCAGTACGTAAGTCCGTATGCTGAAGGCAATCATAATACAAGCCAAGTATGATGGCTACTGCTTATCCCCTTGGCAAACTATCCGATATAGTGATGCGGGTACTGAAGACACGAGTCCTACTGAATAGGTTGGCTGAATGCACAGCCACCATGCTCAACAAGATTTGTTCAAGTAGGTTCTGTCGATGATGTAGGTGTAGTCTGGCAATCCAAAGCAGCTGCATAGTCTTTCTCGTCAGAGGACGGTAATTAATGATATCGAAGCTTGCAGCAGTTCATGCCTAGCCCTCAACAGCTTTTGGCGTGATACCGGGGGGCCACACGGGCCGATCAGCTAGCAGCAACCTCAATCGTCCGGCAGGTTTTTACGATTCACGACCATTGCACCCATGGACCTTAATAAGCACGATCTACAACACAGGGCGTTGTTTCCATTGAATGTCGGTTGGCAGCCCCTTAGCAGACGAGCAAGCCGTTTGCCAGCATTCTTGTACAAACGATTGCCCGTCGACCTCTCATCCTCGGAGTTAGTCTACGGGGCAAGACCTACATCGAGCCAGCAAATAATAATGAACGAGTATGCAGGACGTGCAGGCAATAACAAACACTAACGAAAGCTCTCACCAAGCTCTGTCTGGCTGGATGGCTTTCTGGTTGCCGGTAGCGGGCTGCAGGTTGTGTCTCGCTTGTGGTGCGGAGAGCAGGGTAGCCTCTCAAGCCACTGTCGTCCAAGGCATCCAATGCCGCGTCCATACATGAAGCAGAGTCCTCCACCCACCGTACCCGCAAGCCGATTTTAAGGCTTGCGGAACAGTACACTAGAAGTGAAGGAATCATGTGCGTGGCGCAGGAGGTGGATGTTCATAACGCTTGCTTTTCGAACCCATAGTCTCTCCCCACTCTCGCCAAAGTCTGTTCGATAAGCGTCCCGGTCGTGTCAAAATTTGTCAAGTCGCTACCGCACAAGCGAAGTGCTACACGAGCTCTTTGGCCCCATCCTCCCGTACCATTTTCGCAGGCCAAGCTCCCGCTCCCACCAAACGATCCAAAGGCAAGTGCCACAAGTGAACCTTTCTCCCTCCAGAGCTGCCAGATTCGCTCTGGTGTAATCGAACGAATCTACGCACCGTGGCCGCCACAGGGATCATTTTCCACGTGCTTGAGGGCTGGGCAGAAGAGGGCCTCGTGGTCCATGGTCCGTTCCAAAGTCGGGCACTGCAGCTGTGGAAAAGAAGCTGGCTCCTCCCACCTCGCATTGGGCCGACAGGAACATCATTGCGCAGGCATTTATTGGCGACTATTGCGATCCACGAACGTCCACATTGAAAATCCCCAGCTCTCCTGTGCCTTGACTGGCTCGGTACGCTGCCTTTGGAGCCGACTGCCGATCTCTTCCCCGGAGCGAATTCGTGGGCTCTGTTAGTCCGACCTCTGACTTGTGGTGAAAAGGAAGCCAGCCAGGACCGCTACCATTTCTTGCTTCCTGGAGAAAGGCGTCTCGGCGGTATTACCTGCTTGTTTCCTACCTGACTTTCAACGATCATCGACACGGCTGTGCCAGAAGCCGTTATATTGCTCCAAGTCACAGAGTACCTCCACCAAGGAACAGCTCTGCTCGACTCGTCTCACAAATTCTTCGCTGCCCAATTGGCCTGCTTTCCGGATTTAGCCAGCCTGGTCTACCATTCGGATCGCAGCAACCAGTGGCCACCCGAGATACACAGCATCCTATAGCCGACGGCAGAGGCACTGGTTCAGGCTGCGTGACTGTTGTGCGTGTGCTTGACTGCATCACGCACATTGTTGGTCTTGGCCCCAGCGAAAGGTGCCCTAAACTTGCTGTGAAGCACAATTGGAGTGCTGCTGCTGCGAACGCATCTTCTGGTCCCCAAATTCCTGCGCTAGTAGCGACGCTGTTGCAATCATGTCTCACGGCAAGATGACACTGTACAAGCTGGTGGTGCTCGGAGATGGTGGTGTTGGCAAGACGGCTCTGACGATACAAGTAAGCTTCGTCCTTGTGATTCGTATGGTGAGCTTTGCTAACACGATGAACCACAGCTATGCTTGAACCACTTCGTCGAAACGTACGATCCGACCATCGAAGATTCTTACCGCAAGCAAGTTCAGATTGATGGCCAATCATGCATGCTGGAAGTACTAGATACTGCTGGGCAAGAAGAGTACACAGCGCTGAGAGATCAATGGATACGGGATGGCGAAGGCTTCGTTCTGGTCTACTCCATCTCCTCACGATCATCATTCACCCGCATACAAAAGTTCTACCACCAAATACAACGGGTAAAGGACTCAGCAGCAGCCGGCTCTCCCACATACCCTGGCTCACCACTCTCGCAGACCATGGGCAGCTCCACGTTCGGGCCAGCGCCAGTGATGCTAGTGGGCAACAAATGCGACAGAGTGACAGAGCGAGAAGTCTCAACCCAAGAAGGCAGTGCTCTGGCCAAACAACTAAACTGCGATTTTGTCGAAGCCTCCGCCAAAAACTGCGTCAACGTAGAGAAGGCCTTCTACGACGTGGTACGACGACTACGAAGCCAACGAGCGAATGCACCACGCGATGCTAGTAAGAACAATGCGACCAACAACCACTCCTCACGGCAACACGGCGGAGGCTACGACCGAGACAGAGACGACCGATACTATCGTTCCGAGGGCAGAAACGGCAACGGTAAGAAAAAGCGACGTGGTGGTGGTGGCTCGAAGTGTGTGATATTATGATCATGGCTGAATGACTTCCCACAATCTAATAGGAAGATTCCTTCGCCTCTCTAGAGGTTGGCGGAGGCACCGCTGGATTCGGCTACGTCTGATCATCTAGACCTCGGTGATCGTGTGCGCAAAGTGTTCTATATGGTCACTTTTGCACACCACATCGCATCGGTACGGAGCGCCGGCAGCATCTCTCCAGACCGATATTGGCCTGCGCGCCGGAGCCACGTACCGAAGCGAAATACATCCGAATGAGCAATGTGCGTCCCACCACATCTACTGGTTGCGCGAAACTTGCGGAGGCGGATGAATACGCCAGCTCGCACGGTTCGAAGCGCAAAGCCATATGGTCGTCACAATAAAACCGCACCACTGTGCCAGTCCAGTGGATATCTGGGGCTCGCGAGGAACTTGGCTTCCGAAAAGGCACAGTCACCTGGTCTGTGACAGCTGCGCGAAATTGTGGAGGTGGAGGAGCCGGGTGCATTTTCTTTCGAACCCCGGATCGACTGGGTTTCGTTGCATTTAGCCGGGAGATTTATACGCTGGAGCCTCTGACGTTCTTGAGCGGATTCGTGTTTGAACGATGAACGACTGGCGATGAGACGAGCTCGTGTTGGTATGAGATTTGAGTACTTTGCACAAAGTCAACCCCCGCAGGCTAGGATACGGATGGCCGGACGAGAATGCGTCGACGTTGAAGGGTCGCGAGTCAGGCTACAGTATGATCTTTACTCCCCGTTTCTGGCAACCCAAGGCCTCGTTCTGACAGCACGCTGCGCCGTGCCTCGAGCTCGCACCATGGAGGATCCTGGTGGCGTCGAGGGCGCAGCCACTGTGCCACAATAGCGGTACTATGATGGAAGTGATGTGAGACCTCATCTGCGTGGAGACACATGGCAGCGGTGCTACTGAGCTGTAGGGAGCCTGGTGAGTCGCCGTCTGGAGGCCGCGAAGTTGCCACGAAACAGAGCTTGGATTGTGCAAGCCCTTGCGATGTATTGCCAGTGGTCTTTGCTTGACATATTGCCCAAAGCATGACAACGGAGAATGATCGCAGCAGCTGATCTTGAGAGGACTGCTGAAAACTTTATTCATAGCTAACGGCGAAGGACGTCGTGGCGGAGAGCGAGCAACCGGCTACGGCACAAAGCAGTGGTGGCTGTGTGCCAGTGATTTGATGATGATGTACCTTGATATACAGAATTACATCTGAACATGACAACACAGTGCGTTCACTCCAACTTCTCTGTCTTACCAAGATGTTCCTGGGTGCTTGAAGATGTGCTCATACCATCCACCTGCGGGTATCCGTCGCTTAAGATACACGGTACCTCCACCAGCCGCCAAAAAGCACCAAATAGACGTCCAGACATGAAACCAGGCAGAACGAGACAGCATAACGGCCATTGTCAGCAAACATAGCTCGGCTATTCTCCGAACCATACGGGCTGTGTGCATTGAAAATGAGAAGTCCCCACCTCATGGTCGTCGGTCATAACAGACATGTCTCTGTCCTTACCCAAACCCTAACCCTAATGACCAACGACACCTGATCGGCCGGAAATCAGAGAGGTGTGTAGATCACGGCTAACGAGCACGATGGCGAGAAGTGAATATCATACCAAGACTAGAAGCCAAGACCCATCCCAACCGAGAACACTCAACAAACTGCCAGAAGGCGCTAATACGAATTCCCTGACCCATCACCGAATAGGACCTCCTAGTCCTCCCGCTCGGCAGCAGCCTCCTCGTCGGCCCCAGCGCCCAGATTCCCCATCAAGCCCGCCGCTCCTCCAGTTCCCTCATCCGCCTCCTCCCCACCATCTTCATCCATCCCGAACGTCGCCTCCCCAAACGCACTATCGTCCATCAGATCCCCCAACCCCTCAGCCCCCACATCCCCATCACCCTCCCCCTCTCCATCACCACCCACGCCACCAAAATCAAAATCCGCGCCCGCATCTCCGCCCAAATCCGCAGCACCACCTTGGCCGCCGTCCTCATCCTCCTCATCATTCGTCAAGTCCCCGAACATATTATCCTCGAACTGACTATCCTCTCCCATCCCCTCAGTGCCCTCCGCACCAAGCATCCCAGACCCGTCAAAATCAGAAGTCGTAGTCCCACCTGCTACAGCCATGGCCGAAGCATTAGGCACAGTAGCAGTAGCGGCCATAGCAGCGCCCAAACTTCCCCCACCACTAGGATGAAAACCAGGCGCGAGACCCCTGTTTTGTTCGTCTGCCGTGGCTGTCGTGGGACCCGCTGGCGCGCTGGTAGTGGAGGGCTGGAGGCCGCCTGTTCGGTCTGGTGCGGTGGCGGAGGGGAGCGTGGAGCCTTTGATCGTTTCTGGGTTTTGATGGCTGGTGCTGCCAGTGGCGGTAGTCCTGGAGTTGAAGGGTGTGGTTTCGTTTTCGTTTTCGTTTTCGTTGTCCGGGTCGTCGCCGAAGTCGATGGTGTTGGACATTTCCATGTCGTCGAGTAGGGAGGTGTCGGCGAAGTTGGTGCTGTCCATGCCGCTTGCTTGGTTGTCGGTGGGAGTCCCGGCCATTTGAGCTTGGAGATCAGACTGCTGCTGCTGCTGGACTTGTTGTGCCTGCATGCTGGGGTACTGCGGTTGCTGCATACCCGATAGCTGCTGCTGCTGCATCTGTGGTGCCTCACCGTGAAAGATCTCCCCTCTCCCAACCCTAGACTGCTGCTGCAAGGCCTTCGCATCCTCCATAAATCCCTTCTGCTGTTCCTCCATACTACCCTGCACCTCCATCCGCTCCTCCGACAGCACGACCTCCTCCTCCCTCTCCAACCCACCCTTCTCCACCATTTCCGCCACCTGCTTCCTCGCAGCAATCTTTACCCCCAGCACCTCCTCGACCTCCCTCACGATATCCTCCACCGTCTCCTTCTCCGCAGCACCTTCAACAGCAACCCCACCATTCTCCTCCAGCCGAAAACCAGACGTTGCATTCTCATGCCCCTCCCACGTAGCATACCTCAGCCTCTTCTCCGCCTGCATAAGAGTCTTACTCTTTTTCCACTCCTGCATTTTCTCCGCATGCTCCGCCTTCATCCTCTCGATCTCCGCCTGACCTTCCTCCAAATGCTTCGCTACGCGTTTGTCGAACTCCGCCAGCTGGTCTTTGCTCAGGTTCGTAAAGGGCGCTGCTTCCTTTGGCTTAGGCGGTAGATCCGAGTCGATCAGATCCAACTTCGGTGGCGCAAGGATCCCGTCTGTGAGACCCTTCAGCTCGCCCATGAGACCCATCCCGAGATCAGCGGGGACGATTTGGGAACTGGCGTAGGGGGAGGAGAAGACTTCTTCCATCCAGCGGTGGTGTTGCATATACCTCGTCATGCTTATCTCCCGCGGCGTGATGTGGTCGAAGAAGTCGCCGCCGGTAGTGTTCTCTTCATCTTCAATCGTCATATCGTGCGCCATTGCCACCTCGCCACTCGCACCGGGTACCGGTGGATTGGGTCGTTGACGCTTCGCTGCAGGTTGAGCGGACATGGCACCGGCTTGCTGAGGATAATACTGCGGGTAGCGATTCTGCTGCACACCGGCACCGTAGAAACCTGGCTGAGCCATTTGTCTCTGCATCGTCGCGCCGGAAGGGACATTGATCATCGGCCAGCTCGGGCGATCGTGCAGCATGAAGTCCTTCCTCTCCAGCTTGCCCTGGTTCTCCAGCCATTGCCGCTCCTGCATCACTTTTTGCATTTGCGGTGTAAAAGGGACCTGACTACTCGGCAAAATGCGATTCTGCTCCGCCTGATGATAATGTACAATCCACAACGCTGGATCCGGTGGCGCAGCATTGACCGAAGGATTCTTAGCAATCAAATGATACCTCGTTCTGGCATGTGAAGCCATCTGATCATATTGCATGCGATGGCCGATGGTATGTTTCATCCTCTCAATGGTATAACCATGAATGTCGTGGCGGTATGTGGTTTCGTGATCGCCCCAGACGTAGCCATCGGAGGGGAACTGATCACTGCCTTTATTTGGTGGAAGCCATTCGAGCCAGATCGTGCCGTCCTGGGGGGCTTGGATGTAGGTCCAGGACATGGGGGCGATGGATTTGACGATTGTCGGGGCATCGAGGAGGTATTTGAGGGCATGGTCGAGGTCGAGGGCGGCGATGTGGGGGAAGCGGTGGTTGGAGATGAGGTGGACATGGGGTTGCTGGGAGGGGGTTATTAGCATAGGGTGTATGGTGGTGGTGGTGGTGGTGGGGGAGGGGGGATGTGTACCAGCTGGGGCGCGACGCCCTGGCTCGGGTTCTGCATGGTGGGGGGATGGTAGATGGGTGGTTGTGGGGGGGCGGAGGTGAGGATAGTCGAGGTGATGGTGAAGATGCGCGACAGACGCGACTGTCTTCAAATGCAAACGAACCTCAGGCATCCACTTTGTCGCAAGCTGGGTTTCGCCTAGGTGCATGACGATCGACTAGCGCCGGCAGCTGACTTAGCCAATTGATTAGTACAGTAGCTGCCAACCATCACAACACCTTTCCCCTGCATCCACCGAGCATGTGACAGCACCTATCCTTCACCGCCGACGGGTCCGCCAAGATGCCCTCCGCCACCCCCACCAACAATATCATCCTCTCCCCCACCCGTACCCCACAACGCCCGCCCATGCAACCCAACGTCGCCAACGTCGTACTCGGCAACCTCCACATCAAACCATGGTACCCCTCCTTCTACCCCGAAGACATGATCGGGGGTCGACGAGCAGAATGGTTGTACGTCTGCCAATGGTGTTTCCGCTACAGCAGTGAGATTCTGAAATACAGTGCCCATTGTGTAATAAACCCCACCCCACCAAACACCCAAAGATATACTGTAGATATGTAATCTATGTATGAGAGGCTAAAAGTATATATATATTCCACAGAAAGCCTGCCCCCTGCAAACCACCCCACCCCCCGGCACCGTCATCTACGATAAGGGAGATTACATCATCCACGAAATCGACGGCGCCGAACACAAACTCTACGCCCAACACCTCTCCCTCCTCTCCAAACTCTTCCTCGACACCAAAAGCGTCTTCTTCGACGTCTCCACCTTCCTCTACTACCCCCTCATCCTGCGGGACAACGAGCACCAGGACTCCACCCCCTCGCATCCCTATGGACAAGTCGTGGGTTTCTTCAGCAAAGAGAAGATGAGCTGGGATAATAATAATGTGGCTTGTATCCTCATCTTCCCTCCCTGGCAGAAACGCGGGTTGGGACAGGTATTAATCGCTGCTTCGTACGAGCTCGGGAGGCGAGAGGGACGGTTTGGCGGGCCCGAGAGGCCGTTGAGTGCGCTGGGGAGGAAAGGGTATGTGGCGTTTTGGTGTGCGGAGGTTTATCGGTTTTTGGTTGCAGCACCGGGGAAGAGGAGTGTGAGTGTCAAGGAGATTTCCGAGGCAACGTTTATTATGCTGGAGGATGTGGTGGTGGCGTTGAGGGAGATGGATGTGCTGGAAAGTAGGAAGACGGCTGGTGGGAGTGTGGTTGTGCATAAGGGGCGGCTCAGGGCTTGGGCGGAGAGGAATCGCGTTGGGAAGGAGGCGTTGGTTGATGGGGAGGCATTTACGGTCGAGGAGAGTGAGGTGGAGGAGGAGGGGAGTGAGGAGGATGGATGAATGGTTGCTTTTAAGAGTGATGCTTATGGTCTTGCTTGCTCATGATCTTCGAGCCCGTGAGCTCATGCCACGAGATTGGCAAAGCAGCAAAAGACTAGCCGACGAGCTTGCAGTCCGAAGGGACCTGTATATGTCCTCTTCCTCGACGGGCGGCCCTCCGAGTCAAGCGCCGCGACACATCAATCGCTACCCGCAGCCGCGTCGTCAACACGCCCAGCACCATAAGCCCGCCACTCGCTGTAGTCTCCACGGTCGAATACGCCAGAAGCTTTACTCCCGAGCGCGACGCCCGTGGCATCAAGCAATTTCTGCAGGGCCTCGATCGTGGTGCCTGCAGTGGCGCCGTAGGCTCCGCGCTTCGGGCCTTGAGGCGTGTTGTACTACAGGTGTGCTTGATGGATGTAGTTGTTGGCGGCGGGAGTTGGGGTGGCGAAGATTGCGATTTCGAAGGCTTCAGGGGTTGGTATTGGCCTATTGATGCTTGTGCCTGGGCGTTGCGGTTGAGTGGTGGACTGCACGCCTGGGAAGAGGAGGGTGGCGTTTGCTGAGGACATATTAGCTGTGTACGAATTCGAGAGGTGGGAGGGTTTCCGAACTGGTTTCACCTTTGATCTCTGCTCGCGCAGGCCTGAGATTGTCGATTCCACTGAGCGTGCCATTAAAGTTGGCCGGTTGGTGTTTGAGAATCGTAAAAGGGTGTGTTAATGGAGATGCAGGAGGAACGAGTCGTGCAAATATCATAAATGCGGGCCATCTTCGGGAAGCGGTTGAGTGATGTTGAGACAGACTTTCACGTGTCTGGACGGTCACATGTCTAACTCGCACGCACGAATCATGCTTGCGAGGGAAATGCTAGATGTCACGGCTCATTCACTGGCTAAAGCTCCCCATACACGGTCATGATTTAAGGAATTCTCGTCTCATGCATATGGGATCCTGCTGAGGATGTAGAGGACGATATGCCAGCTACCGCAGCTTACGCTATCACCGGAGATAGACATACGATCTCTTTGATACGACGATGTAATGCACAAGACGCAATGGACGAATCATTCACGAGCACAGAACCATCTTCATTCTAAAGCAGCGCAAAGTAGCTTTGATGATCCTGCCTGCCGCTATCCTAGTAGTATGCCACCGACAGGCGACGGGATGGGGACGACGAGATTGTAAGCAAACTCAACCCTATCTCCTCTCCAAGAAAGCCTTTACTCCTCCCGCATCTCCTCGTCTTCATCTTCACCCTGAACACCCTCGTCTTCACTGCCCTTCCACTCGTACTGCTCTTCCATCTCTCAGTCACCTCCACTCTCACCCATCTCCACTTCACCCTCACCCATCTCCACCTCCCCTCCACCCTCACCTTCACCCCCAGCCTCATCTTCACCCTGCTCAACCTGCCACCCCCCCCACCATCCCCGTAACCATCCCCAACAACCCCCTCAACGCCACCTCCGGCGTCCCCACCACCACCCCACCCTTGCAAACCACCATCTCCCCCCCCTCCTCAACAAACCACACCCTCCCCAACAACCGCAAACCCCCATTCACTACCCCGACCGCCCGCACCTGGACATAAAACGCCCCTTCCCTCCTCGGCAGCCCTCCCGCGGCAATCTCCGCGAGACGATCCACTTCTGTCTGGCTTAGGCCCGGTTTCTTGTTCCGGATCTTGGTGCGCCAGTTCCGGACTCGGCCGTCCCGACGCCGAGTCTCAACGTCCATGTAGGCGTCTGCTATATCGGGACGTAGCAGAGCAGATTGGACGGCTATGGCGGTGCGGAGGGCGGTGAGGGTGGCGCGGGAGGCGGCGATGAGGGTTTGGAGAGCGGGAGTCAGGGTGGAGGGTGGAGCGGCGGCTGGAGTGGAGCTAGAAGTGAGTTGGGCGGGAGCAGGAGCGGCAGGAGAAGCAGGAGTAGAGCCAGAGGAGAGTTGAGCAGGAGTCGAAGTCGAAGTCGAGTCAGAAGAGAGCTGGGACGGAGCAGAAGCAGGAGCAGAGCCAGGAGCAGAGCCAGAAGAAAGCCGAGTCCCCGCCATCGTGTCCTTGTCAGAAAAAAAAATTATTTGCTCACAGTGAACAATCAGCTCCCTTTTCCTCACAAACCCTCCCTGGTATCATCTCCTACTCACCGCCGCCAACGATCCCACAAACAACCAGATCTTCTCAACACACCATCGGCCGTTACGAAACCGCGAATCTACTTCTCTACGTCAGCAAGATGTTTTCCTGGATCCAGCATGTCGTCCAGTCTCGTGGCAGGTGGCAGCAGCAGCGGCAGCAGTGGTGGTGATGTTGTTGTTGCTGTTGTTGTTGCTGTTGCTGTCGGTATGGTGAATGTCGAGAATCCAGTGAGTGCGGAAAAGATCGTGCGAAAAGGAGAAAAAAACATGCGGCAGTGAATGCGCTGGTCCGTGCGCAGGGGAGAAGGATTTCATATGAGGCAGTCACGCGGGATCCACATATCTCCTCTGTAGAGCAAATGCAAACGCAACCGCAAACGCAAGAGGGTGATGGTGGTGATTCGGGATGTGAGTAAGAAGTCATGTTGCTAGGAAAGGGGGAGGAGGGTTGGGGGAATATGTGTATCATTGTTATTTTGTGCAGGCAGGGCTAAGAAAGCTAGCTAGCTATCGTACACGCCGCACGCATTCTTCCCACTTCTTGGCGGAGAAGCGTGCCTTCTAACATCGCACACACACAGCTTTCCCTCGCCCAGTTCTGCCAGACCTTGACTGCTTGCGGGCGACGCAGAAGGAAAGAGAGGGAGAGCTACTACATCCCCTCAAACCCCCCGTCGTCCCCATCATCCCCCTCCGCATCCCCCTCCACAATCTCCTTCGCCAACTCCCTCTCCCGCTCCCTCGCCTTCGCCGCCTCGGCAATCTCCTGCCGATGCTTATTCATCGGATACCTCATCGCCATGACACACTCATCCCTCATCCCCAACAACGCCTCGATGCGCGCATGAAACGCCTCACTAGGTTCCGTAGTACTGTACGCGTCCTTCGCGGGGACGGTGACGAGATGCCCGTTTTGGTGGTCCAGAGAGGCTTCGATCACCCCGTCTCGGATCGCTTTGGCGGTGATGTATTCCGCGCTTTCTTCGCTGGAGACCCCGAGGCGGGTGCAGATGTCGCGTAGGCTGATGCGGGAGTAGGAGAGGGAGAGCATGCGGACGCCGGTCTTGATGACGTTTTGGCGGAGACGGAGGATTAAGGTGTACGTGCCGTCTTGCCGGAATTGAGGTTCGTAGGTGCCGGTGCATTTGAGGAAGGCTTGGAGGTCGCCGACGCGGACCGCTTGCACGAGTTTGAAGTACGGGTGCAGGGCGGCTTCCAGGCTGGGTTGGCGGAAGAGGCTGCGGGAGGGGATGTCGCCCATGAGGAGTTCGACGACGATGAGGAGTTTGGTGGATTGTTGGTAGAAGCCGACGGCGGGACCCGTGGTGGGGGATTTGCGGGTGGCGGATTCGAGGTGGTCGTGGGCGTCGGTGTAGGCGAGCTGGATGGCGCGGATACGGCCGAGGTGGTAGAGGTAGCGGCAGACTTGGTTGTTGGCGGCGGACGTGGGGAATTGGGTTTGGGCTACAAGGAGGTCGTCTTGGGTGATATCGGCTGTGGAGATGTAGTTGCGAAGGAGGAGGACGGTGGCGGCTGCTTGGGTTTCGGCGTCTTTGCGAATGACGGCGCTGCGGAGGGCGGCGAGGAGACTGGGGCGGATGCCGATAACGGGGGATTGTTTGGAGGGTGGTTTGGGGTCGAGATTCTCGTGGAAGAGGGAGAAGTAGAAGTAGGCTTTGGCTCCGATGGCGTCCATGGTTCGGCGATTGAAGGAGCGGACCTTTTCGACAAAATTTGTGCTGAAGTTGGCGCCCTTCTTGTACTCTTGGTGGTCGTAGAGGTAGACCTGTGCCCCAAATTAGTGGACACTCTAGCGTGAATGTCTGCCTTTGCTTACCTGAATCAGCACACCCAAGTATGCCCACACCTCGGCAATCTCAGCGATATCCTGCTCCTTCGCATTCCCGTTCGCCTCACTGCCCGCTCCAGGCGCAGTCCTCACACGCTCCGGCAGCATATCCTCGAGCACCCTCCGAGCATTATCCCGTGGCTTGGGGAAGGCCGTCTTAATACCAACAGCAATGGCCTCGGCGAAGTTGTCTGCTTTACGGATGGTCGCTATACTTCGGAGGGCGCGGAGTGTGAAGCGGGCATCGAAGGCGTCGACGGCTTGGTTGATGAGGTTGAAGTTGTTGATGATGACTGAGATATATTGTTAGTAGGTTGGGTTGTGCTGGTGGCTGTAGTGATGGGTGTACACACTCCGCTCTGCTGGGAGGTTTGGCGCCGGGCCGACCTTTACTTCCTCCTTCTCGCCATTGACGGCATCAATGTCCATCTTATCCACCATCTTGTCCGCCATCTTGGCTTCTGTGTGTGTGTGTGTGTTTGAATCAAAGCAATAATGATGAGAGACGATCGCGTGCTGCGTACACCTGAGCTTCAGCAGTCGCCTTTCGGTCAATCTTCGGCTATATATATCTCGCAAGCTTGCATCACATGTAAATGCACAGTCGCGTCTCCCAGGCGCGTGCTCCACCTCGAGTCCTCTACCCATCCCACCAACCACAATCACAACCATGCCCTCCCTCCTAACCTCCCACCTCGACCAAATCTCCCTCTGCGCCCAATCCATCTCCGACCTCCCCTTCCCCGCCCCCAAAATCTTCACCAACGCCCTCCTCGCCAACCACGACATCACTGCCCTAATCCGCGACACCGAAGCACACGAGCGAGCACTCTTCCACCTCGCACCTCCCGCAATCACGGCCAAAGCAGCGGATTTCACAGCTTCGGTTGCGAGTCTTGCGCCCACTGCGTCAACGGCTGCTGCTAGGAGAGCGACGACGTATGGGGCTGCTAGACAGCCGAAGAGTAGAGCTGTTGCTGCTGTGTTGGGTGGGGATTTGTTCAAGCAGACGAGGGATGGCACCAATAATAACAGTGTAGGCAGGCAGAAGGGGGAGGTGGATGTGGACGTTCTGCTTGAAGGGGCGGAGAAGTTGGCTGCTGTTTAGTGAGTACGAGACTTGAAGTTGGGAATGAGGACGATGTTGACTTGATTGTAGTCCTATCCCAGGCGCCACAGACAGGATCGCGGAGCTCCGACAACGGCATCAGCAATTACTGGCGAATATCGCACATTACGAGGATCGAGTGTCGCGGAATACACAAGAATTACAGCTTATGAATCGACCGACGAGTAGGACTGGTTACGGGCGCGAGGACGACGGACATGAGGTCGAGACTGGGAATCTAGCTATGGACGTTGATCAAGGAGCCAGCAGCACGACTGTGCCTTTGACCAAGGACGATCTACGACAAGAGGAAGAGGAGATCCGGGAGCTGGAGAGGAAGAAGAGAGGATTAGAGGAGCGGGTGACGGGTATGGAGCGTGATTTGGGTGGGCTGGCACGATGAGATAACTCATAACGACTACAATGCACGATTATGATGATGTACAATAACGCAGAGAGCCACAGTGATAGGACGCACTGCTTTCAGAGTATGCCGATCCAGCAGTGGCGAAGCTTGTGGCCACCGGTATGGTGGGAGCATTTGCCAGCAGTGGAATATTGATATCGTCCAGCAGAACCGTGGCATGTGGAGACCGGCGAGTCCTGGATGCGGGTGATTGTTGTATGCCGGCCGCTGGTGCCTCGCCGGAAGATGAAGAGATTTGCCTGCTAGGCTGTCGTTGATGGAACCATAGCTTGAGAAGTCGGAAATCCGAGTCCCGAGAGCAAGGGCAGGGTCGAGGGAGAGACGCAAGACTTCCTCTTCATATGTGTACTGCAGACAACCCTCCCACATCACAGTTATGATACGCAATGTTGATATTGTCTTTGGTACTGTATACAAATGTGCATCTGTCCAGTCTTTTGGATAGCCGGATGTTTTGACCACCAAGACCCGCGGCGAGCTTCGTGGGGGCCGATGTTTCACGCTTCTGTTGCAATTTCGTTTGCAAGGCACGTTTCATCTGGGCTCGCTTGTTTGCAGCACATACACACTACCGGTCCCCTTCCGACGTGCAGTATCCGTAGGCTATCTATTCGGTCTCACGCTGGGCTGGATGCGGTTTGTCATACGGAGGATTGGAGATCACTCCCGCGAGCGAATTGGCCTTGCAGTTAGCAGTTCCGCAATAATAATGAAGCCTGGCGTCTCTACATGGCAATCTGGATGGATGCGTCTACTTCATCATCCTATCTGATCTCGGAAGCCTGCGACGGCAAGCCGGACTCGCATCATCAAGGTTATCTGAGGAGGCCGACCTCGACGCCGAGTCGCTAGGCTACTCTGGTGGGCTTCAGTATATATACTACACGCCCTCTATTCTCCGGTCGAGTTTCACATACAATACTCCGGCCGTTACACATCCTCGACCACATGATAGCCCCGATCAATCTCACGTTCACGGTCAAACGGATCGTCCCAGATTTACAGAACCAGATTGAATGGATAGTGCTAGGCTAACTGTAAGAGCCGCCACCGTCAACTCATATATCTACTCTTCCCGCCTGTGAGCCTACCAAGCCCTTCTCCTCCCAAGTCTTTTACATCTCTCTCTCTCTCTCTTTTGATACGTCTGTAGGTCTAGTACCACTGTGTTCACTTTCATTTCTTGCATACCACAACCCACACTCGTTCAGACCGTTTTTACCAAAGCGAATATGCGTACCTCGATCCTTGCGGGCGCCATGGCCCTCATGGGCATGGTTGCTGCTGCGCCTCTGGAGGCGCGCGCGGCCTTGACCCAGGTCACCAGCTTCGGCTCCAACCCAACGAACACAAAGATGTACATCTATGTGCCGAGCAAGCTCGCTGCTAAGCCGCCGGTCATTGTGGCCATCCGTACGTTGCGATCAATGTACAGCAGGAGGGGACGAGATCACTGACTCATCGAACCAGACTTCTGCACGGGAACCGCTCAAGCCTACTACACAGGCTCGCCATACGCTCAGCTGGCTGACCAATATGGCTTCATCGTCATCTACCCGGAATCCCCCTACAGCGGCACCTGCTGGGACGTCTCCTCCAAAGCCGCCCTGACCCACAACGGCGGCGGCGACAGCAACTCCATCGCCAACATGGTCACCTACGCCCTCCAGAAGTACAACGGTGATGCCAGCCAGGTCTTCGTCACGGGTTCCAGCTCCGGCGCTATGATGACGAATGTCATGGCTGCTACTTACCCGGAGATGTTCAAGGCCGCGACGGCTTACTCTGGTGTTCCAGCCGGCTGCTTCGTGTCCAGCTCCGGGCAGGCTGACGCGTGGAATTCCACCTGCGCTCAGGGCAAGGTTGTCGCGTCGGCGGCATACTGGACCAATGTCGTCAAGAACATGTACTCCGGCTACTCTGGCGCCCGTCCTCGTTTCCAAGTCTACCACGGCTCCATCGATGCCACGCTCCTGCCCCAGAACTACCAGGAGACTGTCAAGGAGTGGACGGGTGTTTTCGGCTACGATGCTACCAAGCCTGCTAAGACTCAGTCGAACTACCCCAAGTCGGGTTACACTACTGATACGTGGGGTGTTTCGGCTGCCAACCCTCTTGGGCAGGTCCAGGGTATTTATGCTCAGAATGTTGGACATACTGTTCCTATTCAGGGCACACAGGATATGATGTGGTTCGGTCTTGGCCCTTACACTGCTGATGCTGGTACCTCGTCTGGTGGCTCTGCTGTATCGTCGCCAGTCGCTTCCAGCTCCAAGGCCGTTGTTGCCAGCTCCAAGGTCTCTTCCAGCACGGCGAAATCCAATGTCGCTACCTCTGTCGCAGCTGTCTCCGCCTCATCTGTTCCAGCTTCATCGGAGAACGCTACTTCTGCCTGCGAGGTCAGCATCACTGTAGCTCCCGCCTCGACCTCGACCCCATGCGAGATCACCATCACTGTCTCCTCCAGCTCTGTGCCCAACAAGGCCACCACTCCCACTGCCGTGAGCTCGGCCTCCACCCTGGCTACCAAGGTCTCCACCTCCGCTGCAGGCGCCTCTTCCGTCGCATCATCTGCTGCTCCAGCCTCGTCTGCCGCATCCGGTTCCGGCCCTCGCTCGACTGGTACTTCCACCGGCCCAGCCTCGAGCAGCATCAACACCGCTTTCGTCAAGAAGGGCAAGAAGTACTTCGCCACATGCGCCGACCAAGGCACCCTCGGCAACAGCCAGACCTCCTCCATCATCGCCGCTGACTTCGGCGGTGTCACCCCAGAGAACAGCATGAAATGGCAATCCATCGAGCCCACCCAAAACCAATTCTCCTTCTCCGGCGCCGACTACCTAGCCAACTACGCCGTGACCAACAACAAAGTCCTGCGCTGCCACACCCTAGTCTGGCACTCCCAGCTCCCGACCTGGGTCTCCAACATCAAGGACAAAGCCACCCTGACCTCGGTAATCCAAAACCACATCGCCAAGGTCGCCGGCCGCTACGCCGGAAAGTGCTACGCCTGGGATGTCGTGAACGAGATCTTCGGTGAGGATGGCAAGATCGAGAGTTCCGTGTTCTATGATGTTCTCGGGGAGGACTTTGTCAAGATCGCTTTCGAGGCCGCGAAGAAGGCGGATCCGACCGCGAAATTGTACATCAACGACTTCAACCTCGACTCCGCTACTTACGCCAAGACCACCGGTCTCGCGGCCAAGGTCAAGGAATGGGTCGCCGCCGGCGTCCCAATCGACGGTATCGGGTCTCAAACCCATCTCAGCGCTGGTCAAGGCTCTGGTGTCAAAGCCGCCCTTACACTTCTGTCCGAGTCCGTCAGCGAGGTCGCCATCACCGAGCTCGATATCGCGGGTGCGTCGACGACGGATTATGAGAATGTGGTTAATGCTTGTCTAGGACTGGCAAAGTGTGTCGGGATTACCGAGTGGGGTGTTGATGATTCTCAGTCTTGGAGGTCGAGCAGCACGCCTACACTTTTCTCGGGGTTCAAGCCTAAGGCGGTTTATACTGCGCTTGTACAGATGTTGCAGTAAGTGGATGCGAAGCTGGGTGGAGCGGTGATGAGAGGGATTAGGTTGCGACGAGGACGCTTTTTTGGTATATCTTCATCGTGTATACTTGGTGGTCGGGTACTACGAGGTTTCCGTCACGAGTGCTTCTTCTCATCTGCTTGCTTGCTTTCCTCATGATTGCGTCGTTGCCTCCATCAGAATGAGGGCACAAAAGCTTCGTCCCCGGGGTTCACCAAGGCGTGTTGTCGTTGTCGAGCGGCGCAGTTCCGCCCTGTCAGCACCGTTCTTCTTCCATTCGGTCAACACAGCACAAAACGCCTTGCATGGCTACAGCTACTCACCATGCACGCTGACGAAGGTGTCTCGCTCCTACGCATGAGGCTTACGACACGAGCACAGCTATGCTGGCGCTGATTTGCCATCAGCATGATGATCGCCGGGCTGACAAGGCATCCTCTGCGGTTGCGCCCACAATTTCTCAGCCCCCAAAGTACACAGGTACGAAGCCTAGGATTTTGAACGAACGAGAACGAGAAATGTTGCGCCAGGTGCTGCCAGAGTCAGCCCGTACGGTCCTTCAGCCTCCCGGTCGCCGGCCGTCACATTCATTGATTGCCTGTCTCCGCCAGTTGCCGGACACCAAAAACTCTATGCGCATGAATCAAGGCCCCAATAGCCGCAGCGAACTTTCCCATACTGCCTGGTCTGGATCACACAGGCCTGCTCTACTGTTTTGAAGACGAGAGTTTAATATATGTCCGACATCAGACTCGTCGTCATACGAGTCCAATGCCGTGAGTTTCCCGCTCACTATGGAATCGGGATCTGCCAAGATGATGTATGTTGTACTGTCGGATCTGGAATCGTGGATGGAGTGCATGGGGGCCAAACAGGGGGCCTGATCAGCTCTATGACCTTGCACTAATCGGGTGCTTCGTTTCGCTGGACTGCACGGTGTTTGACAGCAAGCTTATATGGTCGGCGAAGGCTGTAAGTATGTACAGGTGAGCAAGTTGTTCTTCTTCTGTACTCCCAGCAAATCGTCGCCAAGAGTCGTGTTTCTACTTTGGTGACATACTTGAACTTTCAATCATGCAGACTGTTCTATTGCTTGTGTCGTCGGCGCTGTCAGCTTTGGCACAGCCAGGCTGGACAGCACCTTCGCATCCAGGCACGCCAGGCTCTCAATCTGGGGGCCCTCCACCTAGCAGTCATCCTTCTTGGGGACCTCCACCCGGCGAATATGGGCCACCACAAACCCACAACAGCAGCTTTACGCCCGACCACGTTCTCAGGGTCACGTACGCCAATGTTTCTATGGGCTGTGAGTCGCGAGCATCTGTCTTGGTCAATGGTAGTACACCTGGTCCAGAGCTCAGATTGGAGCCTGGCAAGACGAGCTGGGTTCGAGTCTACAATGATATGACACAGTACAATACGACTATTGTAAGCTGGCCAGGCTCGCCGATCTGACCCAACTGACTGTCGACAGCATTGGCATGGTCTGAGCCAACGAACAGCTCAATTCTCTGACGGTACACCAAGCGCAAGTCAATGGCCCATACCACCCATTCATTTCTTCGATTACGAAGTACATCCCGAGCTTAACGACTCTGGCACCTACTTTTACCACTCCCATGTCGGCTTCCAAGCTGTTTCCGCTACTGGCCCACTGATAATCGAGGACAATGGTCCACCACCTTATGCCTATGATGAAGAGCGTATCATACAGTTCACCGACTACTTCAACAAAACCGACACCACGATCGAGAAAGGCTCGTGGCTACACCATTCACTTGGTCTGGAGAAACCAACGCTGTGCTGATCAACGGTATCGGCGTGTCGCTTGGAGAAAAAGCTGATACGAGTGCTTGCCAGCTGCCAGTCATCAATGTTGAAGCAAGCAAGACCTACCGCATGCGCTTCATCGGGTCAACAGCATTGTCTATGGTCCGTCTTGCAATTGTCGGTCATGACAACTTCACCATCATTGGAGCAGACGGGCAATACACGCAACCTCACGAGGAGAGCTACATGCAGGTTGCCACTGGCCAGCGCTTCGACGTCATCTTCCGTACGAAGTCTGCACAGGAACTAGGCAGCCAGACCGACTTTATAATTCAATTTGTATCAGCTGATCGACCATCCATATACACTGGCTACGGCGTGCTGCGTTATGGCGCCGGCAATCCTGTCATCACTACTGCACCCGCCACACCCCCTCTCAACCTCACTAAGCCCAGCTACTCTTGGCTTGAGTACTCGCTGCAACCGCTCTGGCCCAACAACTTTCCGACAGCGAGTGAGGTCACTCGCCAGGTGATCATCTACGATCGACAGGTACTTACCCACACCGATATCTGGCGGCTGAATGGCGATCAGTGGAATGATACCTCGCCACCTTACCCAGGCGACACGCCTTATCTCGTCAATATTTACGAGAATGGACAGTCGGCGATACCCAACTATGATGCCGCTCTGAACAACTCTGGTTGGGATCCGTATTCCCTGACCTGGCCAGCAAAGATCGGTGAAGTGCTTGAGATCATATGGTATAATACTGGAAGTCTCGGTAAGTCAATCACCTTTGGCTCCCTTGGCATCACTAATCTTGTTGTCTATAGTACAAAACAATGGCGGCGTCGATTACCACCCCTTCCATGCCCACGGAGCTCACTACTATGACATCGGAAGCGGTAACGGCACTTATGATGCAGTTGCAAACGAAAAGAAGCTAGCAAACTACAATCCGGTCTTGCGAGATACCACAAACCTCTATCGCTACGAGACTGCCACCACAGCAGGAGCGACAGCAGGCTGGCGAGGTTGGCGACTTCGTGTCAACGACCCGGGTGTTTGGATGATTCACTGCCACATACTCCAACACATGATCATGGGCATGCAGACGGTGTGGGTCATGGGTGACTATGATCAGATTGCTGGGATTCCGCATTTCGATGCCGCGGGATATCTGCAGTATGGTGGTGATGCTTATGGGAATGAGACATTCGCGCCTAGTTATGTGCATCAGTATGATTGATTGGGATAACATGGGAGGGGACGATTGGCGTGTACATCCAGATAGTGTAAACACTGATGTATGAATGCCTGCTTGAATCATAGCGGCGGAGATTGAGTTTGCTAGCCTGATAACCATACTTCACGTTTGCTTCGTCCCTCTCTGAGACTCGCGCACGAGGTCTTGAGCCGGCTATACTCGTCCCTCATGTCGACTTCGAATCACCTGATAACTGCACGTATGCGTGGGCCGCATTGTGCGTGAAGTGCTGATATGCTCTGGCCGTATGAAGTCATCGATTGCTCGCGGTCTGGCAGGCAACTCTTCACAACACGCTGGGCCGTTGGCTTCGATTACGATTATGGTCGGACGTTAATAGGAGTAGAGTGACGAAGTCAGGATGATGGGTTTGTGTCCGCCTGGTGGCGCCCTCGCCTAAGCGCCTTGCATTGCATCTCGAGTTACACGAGATATATGCTAGCGGATACCATCAACATGGGTCTGGATAAGATCTCCAGACGTCTCACCATTCTCCTCTCCTGGCCGTCCAGGACTGGCCCAAGCATCGATCGGGCGGGACTTGCAATGTCATGTTCAATACACAACGTGGTAGAGCTCGATTGCGGTCAAATGTTCTGCTGCTGCCAGCCACCAATTGCACATCCCTGTCGGTCAAAACACACCCTTCGTGCGCGAGAAAAACCTTTGCCACGCCGCGCAATCCTCCGTCTAAGAGGAGAAAGGAAGCTGTCAGGAAGAAGCCCATACTCAGTGCGCAACCCAGGCTTCGAGTTGCCGTCGCGCAGCATGGCATTGTGAGACCCCAGCCTCTGCCGCCTTCGCGTTGGGTAAGGGCCAAGGAATTCTTCTCCCGCTGGAGGACATGGATATATGCTCCTTTACTGCTTATCGGACTTGGATACGGCGGCTGCTACTACATACCTGTCACCCACCAATGGCTGAACAGCCGCGAAGAAGTGCCGGTCACTGGACGCTTGCGATATGGTGGCCTCGAACAGGTTAACGAATGGTGGAGTATCGCTATCAAGCTGGGTCGAGAGCAGGAGTATGATGAGAAGCAGAAGGAGATGATCAGGGCTTCGATGCTACCGGAAGACCATCCCTCGATGCAGAGAGTACGACAGGTCTTCGAGAGATTGATCCGGTGCGGTAATCTGGCAGGTCTCAAGTGGAGACTTCACATTATTGATGATGAGAGTACGGCCAAAATTCCTCTCGTCACACCCAACTTCACAGGCTGACTCCCTAGCAGCAACACTGAACGCGTTGACTACACCGACGGGCCAAGTCTTCATCACAAGATCAATGTTAAACCTCACGACAACGGACTCCGAACTCGCCGCCGTGCTTGCTCATGAAATTGCCCACAATATCGCCGAACATGGACGAGAGCAAATCAACAACAGGATCTTGCGGGCGAAAATGCTATCGCCTCTCAGGCCTTTGTTCATGATCGGAGGCGCTTTTATAGCTGTTGGTGCGCTTGCCACGTTTGTGGCTGGGGAAGCTGTCGTCATCGCTGTCCCGGGCATGATACTCATGGCTCCTTTATCTATAGGCGAGCATCTGCTCCTGTACAAGAGTAGGGTCGCAGAGACAGAAGCGGATTACATTGGTCTTCTGCTTATGACACAAGCGGGTTTCGAGCCCAAGGCAGCTGTTGACATGCAGGTCAAAATTGGCGAGTTGGAGGAGAAGCTGCAGAAAATGAATCGTGAGGCGCGGAATAGGAAGGGAGAAGTCGTGAGGAATGAGTGGGAGTCTACGCATCCTTCGGTGAGTCCTGGGCTGGTTGTCCAGAGGGTGATGTTTGCGAATGCTGATGTAGTGGCGTAGTCTGCTGCACGGGTACGACAGATTCGGGAGAGTGTGCCGATTGTGCGCAAGATTGTGACTGTGGCTGCTGCTCTCGAACAAGCTGGGACCGGAAGTCGTGCTGACTACAAAACCTCAAACGCTGTGTTCTCTGCTGCCGTCCGGTGGCGAGCCTTCTTGGATGGCCCTCAGCTGGGGCACCACATTGCCACGGTACTGAGTGCCTGAATCAGGATCTATAAGAGGTGAGCTCCATCGAGTGCGACTTTAATCTCACCTGCAGGCACTGCCTAGCAGGACTTGCTTGTCGCATGTACTCTAGGCAAGTCGATAGGCTATGAAAGCGGGTCGTTTATATGTCCATCGTGTTCGAACGGCCATGTCTCTGCGCTTATTTCTCGTGATTGATATTGCGTATACCTGCATAGGATCCTGCCATGCTATTCGACACGGAGGGCCAACGGCCTGACCGGACAGTCGCGTTGAGGAGCGGTGATTTTGCGACGAAGGGAGCATGATTTTGAGCCCGTACACAGCATGCAACCGCCAATCGTCTTCACTTGCACAGTTTTGGGGGCTATAACGATGATGGCTTCAGACAGATTCAAAGGCAATTGTGCGTGTGGTGTATTTTGAGTCAGGAGACATGAACCGGATGCTGCCTCCCGTCCCGTTGAGATGTCTTTTGAGCATGCATGAATAATATACTCTCTCATCATACAAGGAAGCATTGTCTTGCATAGTCTGCACATGCAGCTATCGCTATTCGCAGCAATGCTGTCTTGCATAGCCTCTTTTGTCGGCGAGACCAGGTGCTACACAGTAAGCTCCGAAATATGCGACCAGATGTGTATTGTGTAAATGAGGATATCCACTCGATCCACGGCCTCACTCTCCCCAATCCCAAGTCGTTCAGTCACGGGATCTGCGTCATTCATTAATGTCACACGACAAACACGATGCGGTGCAAACGTTCGATCCATGAGGCCCTGTCATGACTATATCGGTGATCGATCACAGAGAATTCAAGGGTCTTTGGGGAAGGACACGTCCAAAAAGTGAAAGTGTACGCGTTGATGACGCACTGTTGTAACCAAAGGATGTCTGTCTCAGCAACAAGCTAATGGGAGATTCAGGGAGGCACCACAATGATCTGATTGCTGGCTATTCTAGAATGTAGCGACACGGGATTGCAGATTGTTGTGCGTGGTCTCAGAAAGGAGGCCCGTTGGTCTGTAGTAGACTAGTAGTGTACCGTAAATTATAGTAGCTTAAGTTGTCGTCGGCTCACTTAGTACTCGGATGGGGATCTCGTCGCCGTTGCCCTTCAGCCGCTAGCGCAGAAAGCACGGGCTACCGGTCACGAGGTTAGGCGTGGACATCGCGCTCGGGGCAAGTGGATTCTCACTCACGAGTCACCTCCTGCCATTCTTCTCGTCTCGGCATCGTGGTCAACTTTCTCTGCCACCCGCGATCTGGACATCGTCTGTACCTCCGTACAGGCACACTGGACCGCCAATATCTCCAGCGACCTTCGACTTCACGCCCCTCACCGCCGCTATCCAACGAACATCAAGCCGGCAGCCGCACGCGACGCGTGTGTTGTTTTCGCATTCCAGCGCCAACAAGAGCCGTACCTTATCCTTAGCGATCAATACCGCTGCGCATTTCGAGCCGAAGCGCACACGCACACGCACACACCTCACATGCAGCACGCTCGACCTATCCTGCCGGCGACATCTCTGTTAGGAGAGCAATAGCAGGGTCACACATTCAACATTCACCGAATCCAGCTGCCTACCGCCACGCGACCCCAACATATCAACACTGCTGTCTGAATCAACAGACGTCAGCCGCTAAATAACAAACATCAGCGCTGCGCAAACTGGCGGAAACAACAACCTTCGCCGACCTCCACCACCAGCAAATGCACCCGCAGTGATGGAATTCGAGTACTCACCGCGCCACCCCGGCAATAGCGCACCACACCTTCTGTCTCCAACACACGCCCATGCCGCGCCCACATCACCTTTAGACCAATTCGCGGCAATCAGACAGATCAGGCGCTCACTTTCGCGTTCACCGTCCAAGCCACAGCGCTATTCACTCTCGACGCGCAAAGCCACAGACACCTCGCCGCCTAACAATGCGCCTGCCTCTCCCTCTGGACTCTCGCGCTCATACACCGTAGATACAGCGGACTTGCAGAGTAAGCCCAAATATTCCGTGAGGCGCACTGGTGTGATGCGTGTTGCTCAACGTCGTACATCGCCTAACAGTCCACTGCGACGCGCATTGAGTGACAACACGAATCAAGCGATCGCGAGTCCACGGCCACGTCTGACACGTCGCCCGTCCGCCGAGGAGGACCAGGAGAACATGGATTTGGATGAGGAGGTCAAGGTTCCGAAGAAGATTGACTTTCTGAAGCCTGAGAAGCTCTTCAAGCCGCTTCTACAGGAAGCTGCTTCACCTATGAAGTCGAGCCCGCTTAAGAGGAGCGATGGTGTGATGAATCTCGAGGCAGCAGGATTCGGCAGTCCACGCACAAACAAGCGCAGAAGTCTGCATGGCGCAACAGCGTTTGGCAGCGACTTCAATGTGTTCGACCAAGGTCTAGACGGTGCGCAGGGCGATGCAGATTCTGGGTCGGGTCGATCATCTGACGAGAAGGAGAGGGATGCAAACTTCCACACGACATGGCCACCGCCTACTGCCTCACCACAGCGTCGACCTTTCAGCTTACGCAAGTCTACTCTCCAACAGCGCACTGGCAATGCACGATCACGACCAGAAGCGATGCGCGAGACACCGCTGAACCCAGCACTGACTCGGGCACGTTCGCGTATATCGCTGGACAGTGCATTGCCACTTCGTAGCCTGGACTTCAATATGGCTTTCCAGCGGAATGTTGTGAACGACGCGCCTTTACTCTTTCCGCCTGCAGCACCAAAGACTTCCGTGTCCGCGCCAAAACCACATCCGCTCTCCCACGCTCTGACACCTTCTTCCTCGTCGTCGAGCATGGCCGACTTCGAGATACCTGAAGCTGCTCAGGGCAGGGCGCCTTCACCTACAAAAGTCGGGACCAAGAAGCCCGCTCCCAGTTTCTCCAAATCGCTACCAATCGGGGCCAATCGTCCTGATGGTCGCGGCAACACGAGTAGCCAAGCGAACTCACAAGAGTCGTTCGCCACCCCGGAGGCTTTTAAGATGGCACGACCACTACCTCAGGCTTTCCACTCCACCGGTCTCATATCTAAGCGCAATTGGAATGTGGACATGCCGCCTGCCAGCTTCGCAAGCTCGCATATGCCAGACACACCGTCCAAGAAGGCTGCTCACATTCATATACCCTCTTCGCCCGCACCAGGTTCAGCCCTTGGCAAGGTAGCTCGACCACTGCATGAGTTCGGCAGCCCAACGACTCCATTCAACGCCCGACCAAACAAAGCGTCGCCTGAGTCCTTTGGCAAGAATGTCAACATCTTCGGCTCTCGAGTTGGCGCGCCCCAGCTCACTCGTCGTGGTAGCTTCATCAGTCTTGACGGTGAAGACATCAACGCCTCGCCCACGCAGCGCTTGGCAAGCCCCTCGAGTAACGACGATCTTCCGCCCACGCCTACAAAGAGCACTGCAGCGGCATCTACGACCATCAGGCCACAGTCGAAGGGCAAGAGCAACAGCCTCCGCAGCAGTCTGTTCGGCCGGCGATCATCTCTCGGCCCAGACACCTTCGCTTCGCCAGCGGAGAGGGATGTCACACCCAGCATCGACGACAGTAAGTCTATACCTTCTTTTGAAACGCCCAGTGCACGAGAGGAGAAGAATCCGTCCGCAGTTACGGAGGTCATGGATGACTCGGCTTTGCCGTTTATCACCTTGACGAACATTGACACCACTTCGCCAACGAGTGGGCGACAGCGATCGAAGTCCCATGCGACCATTGCAGTATCGCCGACACCACTCGCAAGGCGTACTTTGCGCTCTGTTTCACATCTCACAAGCCGTATAAATACACCTGCTAAATTATTCTTACCTACAGCATCTGCTATGGAGGAGATTTCCGAAAAGTGCTCTCCTCACACGCCGCACGAGTCGTTCACGCCACCGGACCCCAGCAGCTTGTCAATCTCTGCTGAGAATCGACCAATTTCGCTCTTTGGCGTCAGTGCCCACAGCTTCCCTCCCGCCACGCCTACTGGGCCTCGCGACAACGGTAGCAGCACCAGCTTTTTCCCCGGCCAGTCCTCGAGCTATTTCGCCAACGACGTGGATACCTCGATTACAGCTCGGTTCGGCTCGACGCAGGTGTCTGGTAACGGCGAGTTCTCGCAAGTCTACAAGGTGGAGAAACCTCTTCCCGGCACCCTGCAAGGCTCCCAGGCGCAACTCAGCCCAAGCGCTAAGGTGTGGGCTGTGAAGAAGTCCCGTAAGCCCTACACTGGCCAGAAGGATCGTGCGCGCAAGATGCGTGAAGTCGATATCCTCAAGTCACTCCGTGGATTCGAGAACGTCGTCGAGCTCGTCGATAGCTGGGAGGCCAAGGGCCACCTTTATATACAAACCGAGTTTTGCGAGAATGGTAACCTGAAAGACTTTCTGCTGCGGACTGGCTTCAAAGCTCGCCTAGACGACTTCAGGATCTGGAAGATTCTGCTGGAGCTGACGCTTGGTGTCAAGTCCATCCATGATGCCAATATTATTCATCTTGATCTGAAGCCTGCCAACGTGCTCATCGACTGGGAGGGTGTGCTGAAGATTGCTGACTTCGGTATGGCAAGCGCATGGCCAGCGCCACCAAACCTTGACGGTGAAGGCGACCGTGAGTACATCGGCCCCGAGATCCTCAATGGCCGCTTCGACAAGCCTGCCGACATCTTTGCCCTTGGCATGGTCATGCTGGAGATCGCCGGCAACATTGTCCTACCCGACAATGGCACGTCGTGGCAGCGTCTCCGTGCTGGCGATGTTAGTGAGCTACCCAGCCTCACATGGACTTCTGACAGCAGCTTGCCGCGAGACGAGTCCGGCGACCCGCTCGATATGCAAGCTGGCGTGTCTAACGACTCGCTGGCTTTCTCGGTGCAAGGCGAGGATGACCTTGGTTTCCTGCGGCCTACCATCAAGGGCCACAGTCGCAAAAGCAGTCGCGATCTCGTTTCACCACCAAATTTCATGGTCGACCACAACGATCCTGACGCGCTCGACAGGGTGGTTCAGTGGATGATAAGTCCTAATCCCGATGCTCGACCTACCGTGGACCAGCTCCTCCGTGCCGGCGGCGTCCAATGGGTAGAGGCTCGTCGTCGTGCAGGAGCGACCATCTACGAGGGAAGCTGGGGACCTGCTGACAGCGTCGTCAGCCATGGGCAGGATATCGAGATGATGGAGTTCTAGAGGATGGCTCGATGGGCACGACGAGCAGCATCATCAACATCGAAAGGAGGGCATTGTTTTTGCATTTTAGCGCGACACTTGTTCACGGCCAGAAATATAACAGTTAACGAAGATACGAAGCGGGAGTTATTGTACGGAGCATATGGAACGATTGGGCAGTGGGAGAGATTTTACGTGGAGTTTTGCGAAGCGCATCTTGGTTGGAGTCACAGCACACATGAATGGGGCATGATTTGTACGGGACCTTTCCCGCTGTACGCAGCGATTGTCTTTGGAGCACGCGAATGTGTCATGGCAGAAGAAGATGAGCTACGGCCATGTACAGCACGTTTTGATATGGTCACGAGCGCCGGCCGCGTGGGACCTTGTTTCCGGGCTGCCGCCGCCGGGTTCTAGATGCCGCTGGCTAGCTTGACCAAGTAGTCTGAACTGAAAATCAGTACGTTTTACTGGTAGCTCATCAGATAGCTTTGACCAGCAGATATGGTTCAGCAGCATTTTCCCATCACGTTCTCGTCTCATATTCGTGACCTTCTCAACAGCATCTCACTCCCATTCTGATGAGATACGTAGTAGTACATTGACACATGGGAACAGCCGTGCGAAAATGCGTGATCGCGTGCATCAAACTGCCGTAGTGCTTACGACGAGCTACGTGCCACACTCCCTTTGGTCCGATTCCTGTGGCTCGCCCTTTTCGATCGCAGCCACAAGCGTTCCTGGAGCTTGCTCCCAAGCGGAGTGGTGTGGGTGGTTTACAAGCCACTTACGCTGGCGAAGTGTTTCACTTGTTGGGTTTTGCGGTGTCCCCCCTGGCAAAGCCTCTCGTCCCATCGTATGGGGATGCACTACGGTACTGAGCGTTGGATTTCCTTGCGTCTCTTGCATGCCCCGAACGTTCGTCCGGCAAGGTAGCACCTGCGCGCTGTTGACTTTGTGTGCCGAGACATCTGTACTGTACTCCGTAAATCCTCTCGCTTTCATTATATCTACCACAAGTTGTTATTATATCCAACCACTATATCTTCAGGTTTAGGCTCAAGCGGTCCACCCAGCGCCCACCCCTATAAACTTCCGACTTCTTCGTGTGCTCTGCCGGCCTTCCACTCCACAAGCCAAGTGCTGCACCTTCTGCCGCTTCTTGGCCGTTCTTGTACGTCAGCTTAACGACATCTTCGCATACCGCACACGACCTCGGATAGACGGTCGCCGACTACGCTCAGCATCTTCATTTCTCTTTCTTCATTCCTGAAGGCTCGTGACAGCAATCTAATACTACGGCGCATTGCAACAAACACATCACTGAATTCGGTCGCACCCGTGGTTTGACCTCGTTGCCTGGCCCACTTGTACTTCTACAATCGTCTACGGGAATCATGGTTCTTGTGTGACGTGAATGTCGCAAACAAACATCCTGGCAAGCGGATGATGAGCACAACAGCCTTCGAAACAACGTGTTTGCTACTGGGAAGAGTGGAACGTGAAGATGTCTGGCAACAATCCCGGCTTTCAGTCGCTGAGTGGACAGATGGAGACGACAGAGCCTGTGGGCGGTGGTCAGAAGTCGGGTAGTGGTGGTGTCGCACCGACAGAGGGTGCGACGGTGACAGGCGACAACTCGGGTTCGAAGAGAAGTGAGGTTGGGCAGAAACAGACGTCTGCATCTTCTACGCCCACGACGGCCACGGCACCACCTCTACGGAAACAGCGATCGAGTAATCTTCAACCGACTAGTGCTTCCCCGTCGGCCGGCTCGAGTCCACATACTTCTCGCAATACTTCTCCGCAGCGCAAGGACAGCAGACCCGCGCCTTTGACCACGCCAATCTCAACACAGCCGTCTGCAGCAGCGATACAGCGAGCACTATCTGCGGCAAATGTGCCGCAACTACAATCGACGGGATCAGTGACTGAGGCGGTCTCGCGACTGCCACGCACAGCGAAGAGTGTGGGACCTGGATCAGGTGAGACAACACCTCAATGGCCTGTATCGCCTCGCCTCAAGTCACCACCTCCATCTGCTGTCAGCTCGAGAAGAGGATCCGCCGCACCGCAGAAGAAGGCAGAGACCGCTGCACCGAGTATTAGTGTGCAAGGTCCGGCGTCACAGACTGCCACTCCGCCACCGAGAGCAAATAGCGAGGAGTCACGAAAATCTGAGCAGCAATTACAGACACCTGCCAAAGTGCCGTCTAGAGGACCGAGTGGCAAATCGACCCTGGAGACTGTGCAGGAGAATAGCTCGGACTCGATTGCTGAACCGCCAGCTGCTATTCAAGCTGCCGCAGATCTCAAGCCTTTGACCAAGATCGCCGAGGAAGGACCTTCTTCAGCCAAGAAGGACGGACCAGAAAGCGAGAAGCATACTCAGCACGGTGAGAGTGGTAGTGAAAGTGCCGGCAGCAAGATAGATCGGCAACGTGGAAGGCGACAATCACTCACACAAGCGCAAAAGACTGGTTCGCGACCTTCCAACCCGTCAAAGAGCAGCTTTACGCCACTGCAATCTGCGAAAGCACGACAGGCGGAAGGTAAGCAGAACATGACTGTCGAAACGGAGACAGTGCAGTCCATCCCACAATCTGGACTCAACGCTGGCGACCGGGCAGGCAGTGGTCGTGTTGACCCGAGCGGAAGTATAAGGTTGAAGCCAAGCATGGAGACGATCCGACCGAAGAAGGAGCGCAAAAGGCCTTCTCAGAAGGCAAGAAGTATCAATCAGGGTACCGGTACGTCTTCAACTCTTAGATCTCCTCTGCTTTCCTACCGTACGTCATATGAGAGTTGTGGGAGTACGGCTGTACCGTCTTCGTCGCACTCTTCGGGTGGCGAGAAATCACCAGATGTGACGCGCAAACAGTCTCTCGCTGGTCCGTGGCAGAGGGCGTTTTCTTTTAGTAAAGCATCTGATATCCAAACACGATCTGACAAGCATCTGCGTAAAGCTTCCTCGAAAGCCGACATCTTCGAGCAGCGTGTCGCCAGCGCTGTTGAGCAGGAGAACACTTCTGACTCCGACGAAACCTTCGTGTACGAGTCGAATCCGCCCGAACCACAGCCACGACCGCGGCACCATTCGAGGACGCCAAGCGTGACTTCGGCGCATAGTACGGCGGATCAGCAGCGTGGTGGTGTGCGCAGTTTTGGCGAGATGATGGATGAGCAGCGACGGGTCAATGGCAAGCGAAGTATGAAATTCTCCAACAATCCTTACAATGACCTCGACAGTCCAGACAGTAGGAATGGCACCGTACGGTCACACCACGCACGACACTTTGGCAAGTTCGGTAGAGGCGGCAGCCAGGCGTCAATGTATGATCCGGATTCTCCTTTCACCCAGGCGTCTAAGTTACGCACTGGACATTTGAACATGCGACAGTCAAGGCCAAATTCGCCTCGCAGTCCACAGAGTCTGCAGCAGCGCGATCTCGGACAACAACGACCATCGGCACTTTTCAATGGGCATAAAGCAGAACACTCTTTCGACTTTGACGGCGAAGGCGCGGACGACGAGCGCACGCCTCTGGTCGGCACTGTTCGCGCAACTAGGAATCGCGGACATGCCAGGAACCTCAGCGACAGCGTTCGCTCGATAGACGAATACTATAGCATTCGCAGTCAACGCTCATGGTGCGGCCGGCTGGGCGGCTGCGTCATCGGGATATGTGTCTTCCTGGCTGTGATACTGAGCGCCGTGGCGTTCTTGATAATGTCTAATCGACCATTGTACGAAGTCCAGATCCGGAAGATCCAAAATGTCCTGGCAAGCGAGCAGGAAATCATGCTGGATTTGCTGGTGGAGGCGATTAATCCGAATGCGCTCAGTATCACTGTCGCGGACATGGATCTCAATGTTTTCGCCAAGAGCAAGTACGTGGGCAGCAATTCAGACTACCTCACGAGCAGCGTCTCGCGACCCACGACCGCAAGACGGAAACGGCCTAGCAGAAGTAGTGAGGATGTACAAGGCAGTCCAGCAAAAGCCGGCAATCCTAACCCCTGGCAAGATCTCACAGGCCACTGGCACGCCCCCTCCTCCTCCTCTTCCAGCAACGGTGGCGGTGTAGACCACGGCACCGACCCGGACCCGGACTTCGAAAAAGACGCCCAGACCATGCTCCTCGGCCGCATCTTCCACTTCGACCAAGCCCTCGCCTTCGAAGGCTCGCCCATAAAACGCCATCAACATTTCTCCGTCGGCGAATTAAGGTTACAGCGGCCGGGGAATAAAACTGAAGTCGGGGGCACGGAGAGGTGGGAGAATGTGCTGAAGCATCCTTTTGAGTTGATCGTTAGGGGGGTGTTGAAGTATCAGTTGCCGGTTAGTATGAGGGTGTTGGGGGTTAGTGTGACGGGGAGTGTGGTTGTGCATCCCGAGGACGGGGTTGATGAGGGCGGGGCTATGAGGTTGGAGCCAATCAAACATGAGGATGGGTGGGAGTGGGTTGATTTGGGAGAAGGGGAGGATGACGAGCCTTTGATGATGGAGATTGAGGCCTAACGCTGTTTTCACAGCGCTCTTTTCTTTTATTTGTCTGGTTTCGCCTTCATTGCATGCGCGGCATGTGTTACTATCAGCGTTCAAGCGAAGACTACTCGACAGATGTCACGACTAAGGAAGGCCAGGGCAGGCAGCAATAGCCATTTTTCTCCTAGAGGCGCGATCACTATGTACTCTAGCTTAGCTGTATTGATGGCTTAAGCCGCGTCACACGAGCAAGACATCATACTACTGCGGGAACCCACGTGGCAATGAGGAGGCTCAGGAATTCCAGGTCAGTTTGTAAGTCTGGATTTTTGCCTCTACTTCTTCTAGACACGCTAGAGAGCTCTCTTCAGCTTGCTGATCGTTGCGGACAGCCCTCCATGTCCTAGGCGCGACCCGGCGAATATACTGCGTAGAGCATCGTCTTAGCTGACTGGAAAGCAGACTGCACTGAAAAGCCGCTCAACACTGTGGATGCCGCTTTGCTCTCCCACGTCATGCAAAGTCGACATTGCGCCTGGCAAATTTTTTGCCCTGGCGAGTGCTTGTCCCATGATGATTGTTCATACGTTCTCAGTTTGGTGATACGTCCTGCTTCGCGTGATTTTGGTGGCAGTAGGCTCCTCATGCGAAATCTTCGTGCACCCAGTGTCAGGAGGCCCTCGACACGAAGTCAGGACTGACACGACGTCGTGGACCCGGGCCGCGAATCCGCATTACATATCGCTGTCATTCATCCAATCTTTTCAGTCGACGATACTGTGCTGAACCCAAGATCCGACATAGAGGCATCGTCATCAAATCCTGAGGTCTCACCTCCTCATCATAGTCTGCCATGCAAATCATAAATTTCATCGTCTTCCTTCTAGCCATGGCTCTCTACCCCACTGCCAGACAATCGTCCAGTACACCCATCAATTCCATTTGATTAGAGGTCGTGCTACCTTTCCATGCGTCCATATCGTCGATGGCCATGGCGTCTGGGTCTACAACAGCGGATGCTCGGCTCCCTACACCGTTCACGGCGCCACCTTTCCCGTATCCATTCGTCATCCCCGTCATCCCCAGATCAAGATCCGCATACCTCGAAAGCATAATCCCTTCATCCAGAAACCTGTCGGTCCTCAGGAACGAATCAGACATCTGCAACCCTAACCTCAAATCCTCCATATCCAGTGGATTGCGTAGACCTTGCGTCTCCAGCTCCACGGGAAGTCTGCCCGCACCATTTCTTTGCACGGCTCCGCGCTCCGCCTCCTGTTCTTCCTTGTGCAGACGGCGTTTGTATCGTGCGGTCTTCACGCAGCCTTCAGCGTTGGCGCCAACGTGCGCGTACAGCTCGCCCAGCATTTCCTTCAGGAAGACTTCGGTTGCTTGTTCGACTAGTTCAGCGCAGGATGCTATGGCAGACTGTGTACTACCTGCCAGTCCCTCCTCGGCACAAATAGGTTCGATGCGGTTTTGAACATCGCTTTGGGTTGGGAACTCCAGTGTCTCGCTCGCCAGAGGCTGAGCATATCGCCGGCGAATCTCCAGATCCCAATTCGTCTTCGCCAATCCTGCTCCCGCACTCTGTGGTGCACCGAAATCTCCGTGGTTTGGTGGTTTAACCGCGAGCTCGTGGTGGTAGTCCAGCATCGCCTTGTACCCATCGTTGACTGCCACACTTCCGTCCTTTAGTGTCTTGATCCTTCGTCGGTCACGTGCGTGTAGACTCATGGCCTCCTTCTTCACCCTCTCTTCCGACTTGTCGTTCGCGCCTGCATTGGCTCCACTGCCACCCTTTGAGGCCGAGGACGGCTTGTCGGTTGCGACGACCCATGGTGCAACATCACTCGGTGGTGGATCGCGATAGATGTTGGTGTAGAGAGAGACGACAAGGGTATTGTGGAGATGTAGTATCGATGTGGGAGCGGCAGGTGTGCTACTAGTTGCTGGTGTTGGTATGATGGCCGGCGCGAGGGTGAGCAGTGGTTGCAAAACATAGCTGAGCTCATTCTGGTTAAGATTGCCTAAGGTGTATTGATTGATGGCGGTCTTGTAGTCGGCCCACTGGTCGCCGAGAGCTGACTTGAGCTGCGTGTAGATGGCTTCTACATCGGCGCGGGGGACCGCAGCCTTGCCATGCTTGAGAGCGAGGAGTTGAGCAGTGGGGAGAGTCTTGGAGGCGAGGGTGGGAGAGATGGTCGGCAGGGTCAAGTCGGCGGGATTCATGATGTCGCACCGCCGGATGCGCTCACGGAGGCTGGGTCGGCATGTGGTCGCGATTAGGGAGTTGTGCGATCCTTCGTAGGTGTTGGAATATGGCCCGCCGCATCAACGTCATCCGCTGTACACGCTGAGTAACAATAGACACCCAAACGCCCGTCGTCACCTCAACTTCACATTCACTTACACATTCACTTACACCTGCACCAGGCCAATGGTCGTGCGTGACGATCGCATGCAGGTGAATGCGGAACTGCGGCTGCACGAGCGGCGTTGTGCGGCATTCCCGCTTCCCCACGCCGCCCCGCCTCGTGGCTCTGACTAGGGCAGATGAATACAAATAGACCGTCTGTTCTTCTTCTACCTACACGCAATATCCTACCACTCGTCATGGCTCCTTCATGGCTGCCGAAGGTGCGTGTAGCTGGTAGGTATGTCTCATTCATTTCATACCGTCAGCGACTTATGAGAGACAGCTTGCAATGTGGCACCAGTCTTCCTTGATACTCCAAAGACTGTCGAGAAGACCATCTCCTTGATACGTGAGGCGGCGAGTAACCAAGCAGATCTGGTCGTCTTCCCAGAGACTTATATCCCTGCCTTTCCACTATGGGTATGCCACAAATCTCGACCAGTCCGAATGCATTGCTCATGATCCACCCACTAGGCCGCTATAGCAGCTCCCATAGACAACCATACTTTCTTCCAACGCTTGGCCCAGCAAAGTCTTCTAATCGACGGACCTGAGATTACACTCCTCCGACAGACCTGTGCTCAGCAGAAGATTTATGCTCATATTGGCATCAACGAACGTAGCCATCACAGTTTAGGATGCATCTGGAACTCCTCTGTACTCATCTCGGACAGAGGCGAGATTGTCAATCATCACAGGAAGATCATGCCCACCTTCTACGAGAAGCTCGTCTGGGCGCCGGGAGATGGTCGTGGATTGAAAGTGGTTGATACCGAGAGGCTAGGTAAAGTAGGCAGTCTGATCTGCGGCGAGAACACCAATCCGCTCGCACGATGGAGTCTAATGGCGTGGGTATCCCATTGAGAACAAAAACAATCTCATATTCGACAAGCTGATGCCATCCAGGCAAGGCGAACAACTCCACATATCAACCTGGCCACCCCTCTGGCCAACCCGGCGCACCGCCTCAGCAACCGCAGGCTCAGAAGCTGCCTCGTCAGCCTCACCAACCGGCAAACAATACGACAACATAGCCGCCAACCACACACGAACGGCAGCCCACTGCTTCGAAGCCAAATGCTTCGGCGTCCTCTGCTCAGGCTTCATGGACAAACCCATGCGAGATGAACTCATATCTGCCATCCCCTCCGCAGCAGAGACTCTGGACAGCGTAACGCAAGGCGCAAGTTTGTTTCTCGATCCGACTGGAGCACAAGTCGGAGACCAAGTCGTTGGGGAGGAGGGGATCGCTTATGCGGATCTTGATTTGAATGCTTGTGTTGAGCCTAAGCAGTTCCATGATGTGGTTGGGACGGGATATCAGCGGTATGATATTTTTGATGTTAAGGTTGATAGGAGGAGACTTGGACCCGAGAATTCTTTTGATGAGCGCGGTGGAGAAGAATCGAGGATTGAGTCGTTGCCTGCGAGGGTGGCTGATGAGTCTCATGGACGGCGAGAAAGGTCCCCAGCACAAGTCCACCAAGGTGTCGGTGGCCTGAGGATGATCTAGAGATGAACCATCCTCTCCTACCAGCAACAACCACATTTGCTACTTCGCCCGAAACTCGTCCGTCGTTCCTGCTCCGTTCCCCTTAGCTACCCCAGCACGAATCGTGGGGTGCATCGAAATTTATTCCCAGTCCGCAGTAGAAGCAACGACATGCCAGTGGCGATCTCAGTCCAGCTTGCAGAGAGCTTCGGTGCGTACATCACCTGGGATCTCTCTCACCCCGCAAAGGATCATTCTGCGTTGTGAAGATATGAGGGGTAAGCTATGTATTGCCTCGCGTATTGCTCGACTCGCATGTACGCGCCCCGTGGCAATTGATCCATTGCACCGAGGACTATATGTTGGACAAGAGGTTGATTTCAGCTTATAGAAGACAGTAATTGTGTTCTTCCTCTTCACCAGACTCCCAACCACCAATTCCCCCCATATATCCTTGCCCCAAGATGCCTTCAGCAACAAACGGCACCTCAAACGGCCATGGCACTTCCGCCCTCTGCTCCCTCAACGACTTTCTCAAAGAGGAATATGATTACATTGTAGTAGGAGGGGGCACAGCCGGCCTCTGCGTCGCCGCCCGCCTAACAGAAAACCCCGACGTCAAAGTCGCCGTCCTCGAAGCCGGTGCAAACCTGATGGATGACCCGCAAATCACCACCCCATCCCTCTACCCGACCCTCATAGGCCGCGAAAAGTACGACTGGTGCTACAACAGCATCCCGCAACCCGGCTGCAACGGCAAGACCATGTCCCAACCTCGTGGCAAAGCTCTAGGCGGGAGCAGTGCGATAAATTATCTCATGTATGTCCGTGGTTCGCGAGGCGATTATGATGGGTGGGAGAGCCTGGGGAATAAAGGGTGGGGATGGGAGGGGATGGCGCCGTATTTTCGCAAACATCAGTGTCTTGACGTTACGGGCAAGGAGTCGACGAACAAAGATTTCATGCCTTTTGCGGCGAAGGATAAGTGGCATGGGAATGAGGGGCCGATTCATACGAGTTTTAATGACTATTATGAGGTTAGTAGTTGCTTTCGGGAAATGTGAGGGAGGATGAGACTTACCTTGTGCTGTAGCCTTTCGAGGAGGACTTCTGTACCGCGGCCTATGAAGTTGGTGGAGGGGAAAAGACGTTGACTGATGCCTGGAGTGGTGATCATATGGGCTTCTATAGCTCGCTGGCTGCTGTCAACCGGACAAACGATAATGGCAAGCGGTCTTATGCTGCGTCTGGATACTTGCGGCCGAATCTTGGTCGGAAAAACCTTAAAGTGCTTACTGACGCTTTGGCGACGCAAATCATGCTCGAAGGCAATACAGCTGTTGGAGTCGAGTTCACACATGATGGCCAGAAGCATACCGTCAAAGCATCGAAAGAGGTTGTTCTCTCTGGTGGTGTGATCAACAGTCCACAATTGCTTGAGCTGTCTGGCATCGGTGATCCGGAGGTTCTTAAGGCTGCTGGTGTCGAGTCCAAGGTCAAGAATGAGCGAGTTGGCGCAGTAAGTGCTGAAACATGAAAGACTGACACTCAGATCTGACGCTCGACCGCCACTAGAACTTTCAAGATCACATTCTCGGCGGGATGCTGTGGAACATGAAAGACGGCTCTCAGAATCTCGACTCACTCCATGGCGCGGAGTATCAGAAGCTCATGGAAGAGCAGTACAACAAGACTGGTGATGGGCCATATGGGTCGCCCGGCATGTTGATGGGTTTCGTCTCATACGCATCGCTCGTCAGCAAGGAGGTCCTGGACCAGACCATCTCCGAGATCCGAAAGAACTCATTGGCTAAGACTGACTTCGAAAAGAGGCAAGAGGATGTAATCGTCAAGCAATTGTCCGACCCTACTTTCGCGAACATCCAGACTTTTTGTGCGTTCAGCAGGCCTGTGCATTGTGCACTAGCATCTGAGCTGACAATAAGTAGGTATCGGTGCTCGGTTGGATGTCAGCCAAGGTCAAAGCCAGGTTGGCTTCTTTGCTGCGCCACCAGAAGGCAAGACGTGTGCATCGCTGCTCGTTTGCCTTGAGCATCCTCTCTCACGTGGTACGGTCCGACGAAAGACTCCAGGCCTTTTTCAAGAATGCTGACTAGGATTCAGGCACCGTACACATCACATCCTCAGACCCGACACAACATCCTCGCATCGACCCAGGATATTTCCGTAACCCTGCTGACATCAAAATCATGGCAGAGGGCATTAAATGGATGTCGAAGGTTGCTGATCGCCCCGTGCTGAAGAAGAGTCTGGGAGAGCGCATCTTGCCACCTGAAGGTGCTAGCATTGAGAGCGAAGAGGAGAGGTCGGCATTCGTGAGGGATCATATTTCTGTGAGCATTCACAAGCCCGCTTCCGTACCGAGAGCTCGAGCTGACCCATTTATTTCGCGCGACAGACCCAATACCACATCATTGGCACGTGCGCAATGGGTGAAGTGGTAGATGACAAACTTCGTGTTAAGGGCGTCAACAATCTCCGAGTCATCGACGCTTCGGTCTTTCCAGGACATGTGTCTGGTAACATCATGGCTTCGACGTAAGTCCCTCCTTCGCACTTAAGTTCCTCAAAATGTACTGTGACTAAAATACCATTGCAGGTACGCTGTCGCCGAGAAAGCCGCCGACATTCTCAAGAAGGACGATGGACGCTACCTCAATAAAGTTGATTCGCACGTACAGTAGAAGTCATTCCGGATCCTCATCTATACAGGTAGCCACCCGAGTATGTATTGCCATAGTAGTCCAACTCCTCGTCTGCTCGCACGCCGTTGCTGGTACGCACCACTTGCACAAGACCTGGCCAGTATCCTTCTGTTTCTGGATCATCAGAACCTGCCGCTAGCGCTCGCTCGTGTGCCAGCTTGCGCTCTCTTCGAAATGTAGACAGGATTCCCACCGTGTCGAAAGTGGGACTTGGTACTGGTGGCTGCTGCACATTGTTGCTCGGCCTCCTAGCATTGCCACCGAAGCTGACTTCTTTCTCGCTCATGCCCGCACTATGCGCGTAGCGACCTGGTTCAAGACTTGGGAAATCTGCTTCGTCACCTTCACCAAAGAAGCTGAAATCGGTCTCGGCGGCTGACCAGAGAGCCTCGCTATCGCGATCATCTGTCACTGATTTGGTAGCGATATGCTGCCATGGACTTGCTTTGCTGTTCTTGCGGGGTCGCTCATTCTCACCAAGCTCCAGGACCATTCGTTTCAGGGCAAAATTCTTGTTCGCAGAGTGTCTGATTGCGGAAGCATGCCCCCTTCGTCCTGGCGGCAGAGCATAGTCGAGCCTTGCCTGTGCCGTGGCCAGCCTCTCCTCTTCACCACTTTGCTTGATGAAGCTGATCAATCGGTTCGCGCTTTCGTTGCTCATAGTCATTGGTGGCACATTCGTAAGCATGAGCGTGCTGAGGTGCGGTAGCATGGCTGGGTGTAGATTATGACAGCCACTGAGATGTGCTGTCAGTCTTGCCTTCCTCTCGATGCCTAGTGAAGAATAGCTACGTGGCCTAGTTGTCGCCTGAATGGGGCTTTGAGGTGTAGAGAATGTGTCTACGGGTGACGCTAGAGTGAAATGAGACATCATAGTGCCTGTGGAGTCGTCCAAAGCGGATATCGGGCTGAGCAGCGAATCGTCGTTATGTGGCTGGAGTGTGTCAAGTAGCTCGGGTGCAAAAGCGCTTCCTCTACGCCCATTGGGCGGCTCGTCATCTTCTGGCGAACGCGGTGCGTCGTTGATGGCCGGTGAAACCACGAATTGCATCGGATCTCCTGGGAGCTCGAACCTTGGAGTCTGCTCGGTGGGTAACTCGAAGACGTCGGGATGGAAAGCTGTTGCGTCGAGCTCCAAAGCATTCGTCGGCATTAGTGGCAATGCGGTATCCCCAAGCTCCACACGGCCACGAACAACCTCATCAGGCTTACTCAGAGGCACATCGCGTGTGATTAGGCCATGGTCGATGCGCAAAAACGTCAGCGCTTCTGCTGCAGTCTTCGAAAGCACGCCCGTGAGTTTCTCCACGCCCGGGAGCTCGATCTCTGCCATCGTACCATCGGAATTGGCCAAGGACGGATGCTGCTCGAACGCACTTCTCACGGAGCCAAGATCGAGTACGTGCATTCTACCAGACCGGATCAGTCCCGATGCTCCCTCGACACTGACTTGGTTACCTGAGATATACAAATGGGTAATGCCTCCTTGAGGGACATCCTCAATAGCTAGCCTGCTCACGAATGCTTTAGTGAAAGTCGTACGCAGGTAGCCTTCGAATTCCTCCCCCTGGTATATTCCCAGCATATCGCCACCAAGGTACGGTAGAAGCGCTGGTGAACGTGTCCCAGGCGAGGTCCCATCGGACGGCAAGAAATTATGGTCCAATAGCGTCCGCACACCACGATCAGTGATACGATTGTCCCGTATGTCGAGGCTGCGGATGCGCAGTCCGATCGCGCGTGCAAGTGTTACCAAAGCAGTGTCGGTGAGACTTATGCTACGAAGTTTGAGGACCTGCAGACCCGAGAGCCTCTGCATAGCATGAAGCACAGTTGCCTCGCGAGCTGGGTAGGTGAACGAGAGGTCCAAGTACATGAGCGTTTCGAAGCGGCCAAGTGCCTGTGTGAGTCCAGAGGCAGTGACATTCGGGCATCTCGAGGCGTCTAATAATCGTAGACCGAATGAAGCGGGGAGAGGCCCAGCTGTCTCGAATGCAGATCCATTTGAGCCAGGGAGCTCGATGACATGTGACGGCGGCCTGTACTCATTCTGCTTCGGTGTGACATATCTCAGCGATTGCAAAGCTGCGTGATCGAAAAATGGAAGGCCTCGGACGATAAGTGATTGCAGATTAGGCAAACGTTCGAGGATATCGCGAAGCCAGTCTGAATGCGGTCCATTGTAGATCTCTGCATGCGCTGGTGGTAGATGCAGGGTATGAGTTAAGGATCGAACGAGGAGCCGAGCGGTCTGCAAGGTGCGCTTAAACTTTGTTAAGGCGACATAGACACGATCGTTTTCTTGGCTGAAATGTGAAGCCGGGTTGCCCCAAAGATGCGGGATGAAGGTAGCATGCCAGCGACTGCAGACCAAAGCTGCCGAGCACAAGTCGTTCGACGGGACATATCCAGCAATTATATTCCAGTAATCCGTCAGTGTGGCATGTTCGTACGATGGTGGCGCCGATTCCATGTCGTCTCAGGAGCATGGATTTCGCAATCGAAGCCTGCGGGTTCCATCTGTACTTGTTTATGCTTGGGCATGTGCGCGCCGCTGTTGGCGATCAGTACTGCCATGTGATGTGCTGCGCCGCGACAGAAGCTTGAAAGCCGGGTGCCAATTCATGAAGGATTCACGCTAGGCTCCTTTCGGCCCGGGCGAGTCGACAGTCCTCGACAACTAGGGGTATCTGCGACGGTATTTTCCCAGGCGCTCTTGGACATTCTCACCGTTCCAGCGCTCACTTACACCATTGCCTACACAAGATGGCAAGCCGATCTGCTCGAGCATGAAAGAGGCTGCGACCTGGCCATAACATGCCGCCTCCTTGTACAAGCCTGTAGCCTGGAAACCGATCATGAAGCCGCCGAGGAACGCATTGCCAGCACCTGTGGGATCCACGACCTTCTCAGAATTCGAGTCATAGTATGAGGGCATCCAGGTCGGAGGTAGCGATCTTGACATGAGCAAGCAACCGGATCCAGCCGCTCTAACGACCATGCAGCCATCGCCCGTGGGGCCGATGCCAGCGTCGACGAAGACTTGAGCTTCCTCCTCGACCACTTGCTTGTTGAATGGTAGACTATCGCCGAAAAATCTGTGCAGCTCTTCGTGATTAGGTGAGAAGACGTTGACAAGTCTGACAGCTCTCACATGCTGCTGCAGTGTCTCTGGCAGACACGACTTAGCATGAGGCTCCCATACTAATAGGGGTTGGCTTGATGATATATCCTTTGATGCGGTCTCTGTTCGGCAGCGAAGGAGATTGGTGACCTGCTCCTCGATATACTCCGCAGTGCCGAAGAAGTGGAATGCTTGTGACTGTAGATATGCAGGATGCTCTCCAAGATCCGAGATCGTGACTGGCATTGGCTCAGTGAGTCGTTGGAAACCTTTTCTGTTTGCGTTTGCTTGCTCGTAGAAGACTAATCCTCTCGAAGACGGCTTATCCAGATTTTGTTCGACCATCATTTCTACGGACCAGCCACGGAACAACTCGATCACAGCTTCTGGAAAATCGTGACCGGCGTTGAATACTAATGCAACCGATTGTGGGTCTTGTGGCAGGAAGAGCCTCGCACCAAGAGTCGCGAATGTGACGGAACCGCCGGGAACGTCTTTGACTGTGTGCTTGCCTTCGGCGCGAATCTCATCTAGCCAAACCCCGTTGCCAAGAGCAATGAGGCGGATTGGAGCCATCGAGATGAATCGTGTGTTATCGAAGCCTGCGTTGCGCAAATATATAGACGCGCTGGAATATAGGTCCTATTGGTGTGATCTGCACAAGTGTGGTCCGTGATTGTGTTGTGATAATGCTCATAAATCCTGCTCAACGATATCAGCCTTGACATTGTTGAATCTTGCACACAAGCATATCGTTAAGTTGAATGGCTCCACGAATCAGATTGAGGGATAGCAAAGGTAGATTCACGGTCCGCGCATGCATTCAGCTCTTTTCCACATTGAACAAATCCGGTACTGACATCACAAAGGCACATGTCAGCCACAAAGATACGCCCGCGATAGCAGGATCGCCAGCTTGCGACAAAGTGCTGAATATTCGACAGCTTCTTAAGATGATACTCCTCCACCTCCCAACAGAAGACTTACTCCTCTCGCAGCGGGTAAGCAAGACGTGGAGATATGAGATCCAGCGCTCTTTCAAGTGCCAGCGCGCACTGTCCTTCCAGCCAGCGATATCTGGTGAGATCACCTACCTCGACTGGCGACTCGAGGACAGAGGCTTCTACGAACCAGAAGATTGCACCGGTAGACCTGGTTCCACCCTTGAGGGGCCCGGATGGCTTGCAAACCCAATTATCGTACAAAGCTCATTGGGGTCACACTCGTCATGATGCTGGCAGATATCGAGTGTCTCTCAACCCATTATTGGCGAGACTTCTCCCTATCCGATCGGGTACCGAGCTGTACAAAGCAGAGTCACTGAACACGCTATATGCAGCTGCACAGTATCCAGAAGCATCGTGGAGAAGAATGCTCATCAACCAGCCATCCATCAATTCGCTGATAGTGAGTACGCATGCTCTCGACCCAGATAGCAAACGTCTGTGGCAGTACGATCAGGTTGCACATGGTCGTGGGCAAGGCGGGTTCTCCATGACTGAGCTCCTGGACGTCTTGGATGAGCTTCCGCCGCCGGCGGCTATGGAAGGAAATCACAAGTGGATAGCATGGTCCGGATCGCAGGATTTGCAACGCATCGTGATTTGAGCCAAAGCATGACAATGCAAGAATAGAAAGGGAGAAAGCTCGATACGTACCAGCAGTGAGGCGCACTCGTGCTTTTTCAGGCGAGACTAATGTTGTGGGCAGAGCGAGTCTAGTTTAGATGTATGGTTCGTCTGTTGTAGACCAATTTTCCAAACACGACATGCACACGTGATGTCATCGTGCATGAGACGATTCCTGACGAACAGATGTAGATACTATATCTTATCAGCTTACAGCCTCGAGGCTGTGAAACGATACCACCACGCTGTTCATTCAGAAATTGTCACGCCGGGTATTCAAGACGAACCCAGTAACGCCATACTTTGAACAACTCATCGACTGGCCGATCTGCAACTGAGGTGGATAGACGAAATAGAAGTCCCCAAGCCGGAGGCATAGCTATTGTGCACCGACTGTCGACGCATTTGCATGATTTCCATCAAGGAAGGCACACCACCTCAAAGCAGTCGCATGACTGGTGTCCGAAGAATTTTTACTAGCATAGTCCGCCAGCCGCGGGTCGCCAGCCAAGCGCACAATATCTCGCGCGATTGGGACTGCCTTCCGTAGCTGATCGACTCTGTACGCTGGCTATGAGAGTGAATCAGCAGAGTCATCAACACCACGTAGACCCTGATCAAGCCTACCAAAGGATGCGTAGCCGCCCACTTATCGACCTGCCTCACCCTCTCCCTGCCAAATACATTTTTGCCGACTTTCACCTGTAACTCCTTAAGGTATTTCTCCATCCTCAAACCCATCTCCGCCCAGAGCCTGATAGCCACCCCAGGATTGAATCCCGCTTGCGTTGCTAGAAGCAGACCCACGAAATCTGCCTCTTGTTCTCGCACGCGTGAAGCACCTAATACCGCGAGCATTGCAACGACTGCTGGGGACATGAGTGCAACTCCTGGTACTGCGAGTAAAACGGCGGCGAAGATCTCCAGTCCGAGAAGGCCGATTGGAATCACGGCAGCGAGGAGTCCAGTGCCCGCTAGCACAGCACCGGACAGAATCAGGGGTGCGACTGGCAACAGAAGTCGGGACAGCAAGGCCATTTCCCACACTCTTTCAAGAAGATGGCCGGTGATCACATGGGCGATCTCGTGCGCGAGTATGATGGCTATCATATAGTCCGAATTGGCGAGATGTAGTAGGCCAGCTGTGATCGTGATATCGCCGGTGATCGGGTTCACATTGCCGTCCAGCGTCTCTGCCAGTATCATTTGAGATCAGCTTGCTGTGTGATTCAGGTATTGGAGCATGTGTACCGCGAGAGACTCGCCGATATCAGCCCGTACAGTAATGCTCCGTTTCATCTGTTTCAGACTGTCCACGTCCGAGACGAGTCAGTCAAAGATCCTCTGCACCCTCTGCACTAATTCATCAGTCTCAAGCAGATTTTTCTGCCCATCAGCATTACGCTCATGAATGGTGTCTGCTTGCTCGCGATGCTGCTTTACGGCCTCGCTATATGCCGCATCACACTTTCGCCTCCAGTACCTGACACGTCCCGAGACAGGCGCTACCACCGTTTCACGACAGAAGAGGTAACAAAACTCAATTGTCCAGATGGCGGTACCTAGACAGTAGGCGCGGAGTTACTTACGATTACGGTACAAGAAGGCGCGAAACCTTGCCCAGCGACTCGGCGACGGCGGTGCGGGGGGCAGTTTCTGCTGCTGCTCTGCTTGCCAATCCGAAGTTTTCCAAGGAGTGGTTCGTGGCGTGTCGAGCTTCGAAAATTTCTTCGTAACTTCAAATGCCATCCGTGGCTTTGAGGAGCGTGAGGGTCCGGCAACGAAGCATATGCTGGGCACCGACGTCCAGCGGGAGTGGATGGATGGCCTTGCTGGTAGGTAGATAGTAGACCGTCTAGTTAGTCGTAACGAACTCTGCCTTTGCAGACTGCTTAAGATCGCTGCCATTAACGCAGTCACCTAGAAACGGAGCGGGACAATAACAGGCCTGGAAGATCGAGGACAAAGCTTGCAAGAGCCAGATTTTCATGGTCCGTGGAGTCCTGTTGTTGGCGCTTCCGTTGGATAGCCTTCGTGTAACGCGAGATGCAATGCAAGGGGCCAAGAGCGTTCCTGCACGACAAGGGATTCAATAGAGACGACCATGCCACGAATCGTGGAGAATTACCATCATGTGCACGCAGAGCGTCGAGCCACAGTTCACAGGCTGAGCGATCATGCAGAGGTGGTTTTTGCCATGATGGCAGAGGCCACCTCAGCAGGTGTCCACTCTGCAAGCACTCTGCAAGCACTCTGTATGTTCCAGCGAAGTCAACCAGGCAGGGATCTCTCGTCTTGTGTATAGCTCGTGTGGTGTCGGTAGTGATGTTGGTCGTGGGACGATAGGTATACTTGACTTCTGCTTTCGTGAACGTATGTCATGGTCTAAACTCAAATGCTGCACAATACGCATTGCACCAAGACTTGTCAACTGAGAACTAGTCTGGAGTAGCATCGTATCGCATCACTTTCGCATTGGACATCAGTCCTTCGCTTGCTAAGGGTACACGATCTGTATGATACATCATCCCACTCTGCTTTGGATCAGAGCCGTGGTACTGCACTCACACGGAGCCAGCATACCCAATACCCCAAACGCCACGCTGTAAGCAATTTTTGCCTGACACTGCAGCACCGTTCTCTGTGACGTGCCTTCACGTCTTATACATCCCGACTGAGCCTGCGGGAGCCGGCGGGAAACCAGCTTTATATATCATGCTTCCCAAACTGCGCCCTCAACTGCATAATCTGCGCCCTAGACGCATCATCCAAAGCAAAAATCGCCTCCCGAGTCATGCCTAGGATCTGCTCAACCATTGCCCGCTGATCCGGCGGTAGAGCCGCAAGTTGCGGTTGTGGCGGCTGCTGCTGTTGTGGCGGAGGTTGATATGCAGGCTGTTGGACTGGTGGAGTAGGCGCATATCCTTGCGGTGGGTATTGGTGTTGAGGAGGCATTTGATGTTGCGGTGGTGGCGCGTATTGTTGCTGAGGCGGTTGGCCGTAAGGTGGCATGTTGGGTGGGGGTTGGCCGTATGGCATTTGTTGTGGGGGTGGTGCTTGCTGTTGCTGTGGCGGTGGAGCTGCGGCTGGCGCTTGTGCCGTTTGCTGTATGAGGGAGGCGAGGATTGAGGTGTCTACTAGACCAAGGAGGAGCAACGCCTGAAAGACCGCATATCCGAGTTGAGGCGCTTGGGCGAGCACAGCTGTCGCCTGAGCAGGACTTTGTGTCGTAAGGGTCTTCATTTGGCTAATGAAGTCTAGTAGTTGTGGTGCAGGTATGGCGCCAAGAGTCTTGCTGATCGCGTCCGGTGCGGTCAGGCCATCCAGTAGTGTTTGTCCTGGGGGAAGTGATGGGACAGCCGCTGGATCACTTCCATTAGGCATACTGCCGCCGAATTGTGCCGGAGGAGGGGCCCTGTTCCCTCCGTCCACACCATCTCCTCCCGTCTTTCCCTTGCCGCCTCCGTTATCGTTGCTATAATCCACACGTAACGTCCGGCCCATGATCTCGAATTCATTGAGATTCCGCACTGCACTCGCTGCCGCATCCACGTCTGTGTATTCGAGGAAGCCGAAACCTTTGGGTCGCTGGGTCTCCTTGTCGTAGACTAGTCTAAAGCCCACGACACTGCCGACGCGACCGAAGATCTCGCATATCTGTTCCTCGCTGACTCCGTATGGGATGTTGCCGATGAAGACCACCCGGCCGCCTTTTTCGCGCTGTTGCGCCATTGCGGAGATGTTTCCAGTGTGTGGTGATGTCGTCGGTCACTCGCTATGTGTCTGATCTGTTACTCAACACGATCACTGTCTGAAAGCGGAAAGGTGAATAAATTGGTTATGAAAGTGTTCTCTGTCGTGTGCGTTGTGATGTGCAGGTCAAATGTCAAGCTCGGACCTTTCGATATGCGGACTCATCACCGAGCATGTGAAAGGACGACAACATTCATATGATTACTGTCGACCCATAACAGACAGGGCTGGCGAAGGGCGAGGAGGATGGAAACGTGACACGGATGATACATAGTTCAGCATGTTCAACTTCACACCACTCCTCGGCGCGAGGACCGAGTCGGCAGCCTCGCAGTCGTTGCTGGAGCTCGACGGAGGTATCAAGATACTGGTTGATGTTGGCTGGGATGAGGCCTTCAATGCCCAGCGCCTCGATGCCTTGAGCGAGCATGTATCAACACTGTCACTCATCCTCTTGACACACCCGACTGTCGAGCATATCGGAGCCTATGCTCACTGCTGCAAACACATCCCTCTGTTCGCGAAGATCCCCGTCTACGCGACCACGCCCGTGATCAACCTTGGCGTTACTCTCCTCACCGACCTGTATGCCTCGGCTCCTCTTGCAGCCTCTGTTATACCTAGCTCGACAATCGCTACGAACAATGCCAGCCCGGCAGATGCGTCCACAAACTTGCTCCTCGAGCCTCCAACAGCAGACGATATAGCAACCTACTTCCACCTCATCAACCCATTGAAATACAGTCAGCCACATCAGCCGACTGCCTCGTCATGGTCTCCACCATTGAACAGCCTGACCATCACAGCATATGGGGCGGGACATACACTCGGAGGAACAATATGGCATATTCAGCATGGCATGGAGAGCATAGTCTACGCCGCAGATTGGAATCAGGGTCGCGAAAACTTGCTCCCAGGCGCAGCTTTCTTGTCTGGCGGTCAGGAGATCCTGGAGCCTTTGCAACGACCTACTGCACTTATCTGCTCAGCGAACGGGGTAGAGCGCAACGAGACACTGGCACGGAAAGACAGAGATGCAGCCCTTATCTCACTTGTCCGCGAGACGATTGCACAAGGTGGAAAAGTCCTCATACCCACGGACTCTTCCGCCCGGATGCTGGAGATCGCCTTCTTGCTCAACGAGGCCTGGCGGGATGGCCTCGGTGGTCCTCATGCAGACACATACCGACCTGCGCGCGTCTATATGGCTAGCAAGACTGCGAAGACTACTGTTCGCTACCTTCAAAGTATGCTAGAGTGGGTGGAAGAGAGCGTGCGTGCCGAAGCTGAAGCAGCGATGACGAAGAGCAAAGGCCAAGGAGCGTTACGAGATCCTATGGACTGGAGGCATGTTAGGGCGTTAGAAAGGAAGGGGCAGGTCGATCAGGTGCTTGGACGCGATAAGCCTTGTGTGCTTCTGACGAGTGATAAGAGTCTGGAGTGGGGTTTTGCTAGGCAAGGGCTGAAGGCCATGGCAGGCGAGAGCAGGAATATGGTCGTGTTGACTGAAGAGGTACGTACTATTGATCCGAGGAGGAAAGGAGTTGGTCGACAGCTGTGGGAGGCGTGGCGAGGAGGGCAGAGTGGGAAGGCGAGTGGCGTGAAGGTCGTGGACGGCAATGGAGTGCCGATCGAGTGGGCAGAAAACTCCACGACGGCTCTTGCTGGCGATGAGCTGGCACTATGGGAGACATACCAAGCTCGTCAAAGGCAGCTACACAGCACACTGCAGGGGGACAACACCATGATAGACCCCACGAGCGGAGATCTAGCCGACAAGCAAGCAGCAGGCGAAGATGAGGCAGCAGATGCCTCTTCAGACTCTGAGGACGAGGACGAAGATACAGAACATCAAGGTCGCGCCCTGAATCTCTCAGCCCAACTAACGCAGTCCCACAAGCGCCAAAAAGCCGCAGAAGCTCTGACAGAAGGCGAACTAGGCGTTAACGTGCTCCTACGAAGTCAAAATGCCGTTCACGACTACGAAGTCCGGGGTAAGAAAGGCAGGGAGAAGATGTTCCCGTTCGTGGCCAAGAAGTCACGGGAAGATATCTTCGGTATTGTGATTCGAGCAGAGGATTTCTTGCGAGCGGAGGAGAAAGATGATGTGATGGGTGAGGATTTGAAGGATGATCGCTCGACCGTGGGTGGGAAGAGAAAATGGAGTGAAGCTGCTGGGGGGCGGGGTGGCAAGGGTGCGCAGCAGGGGAAGAGTAAGAGGGCGAGGGTTGAGGATGGTGGGAGGGGCAAGAAGGGAGGTGGGCACGATGATATCGATGCTGCTATTGCTCGTGCGACGGGCGAAGGTGATAAAGAGGATGGCGAGGACGATTTTGACTCTGAAAGTGATTACGAGCCTGAAGACTTTGGTGCCGCAGGACCGCAGAAAGTTGTCTCTACCACGCAGGAATTGCAGCTGCATCTGAGGATCGCACATATTGACTTTGCTGGTTTGTGTGGTATGCGAGCACTACAGATGATCGTCCCTCTCGTGCGGCCCAAGAAAGTCATCTTGACTTCTGGATCCGAAAGCGAGGTCCAGGCTCTGGCGGAGGCGTTGAGGCCGGGTATGGCGGACGGCACGGAGATTCTTACACCGAAGGATGGCGAAATAGTGGAGGCTGGCGGCGATAGTAACGCCTGGAGTCTGAAGCTAAGTCGACAGCTAGTCAAGCGATTGACGTGGCAGAATGTCAAGGGTCTTGGTGTTGTGGCGCTGACTGGACGACTGGGTGTCGATCCTACGACTACGCAGAGTAGTGCGGTTGATGTCAAGGCCGAGACGAAAGAAGAGGATGATACACCCAAGAAGAAGAAAGCTCGATTAGTGAAGGAGGAAGCGGAGCCCGAACAAGCGACAAAATCATCAGCGAAACCAGACGATGCCCATACCGCCCTCCCTATCCTCGACCTCCCTTCCTCTTCCTCAGCCTTGGCATCAATACAGCATACCCAGCCCACACGCCCCGTACATGTAGGAGATCTTCGACTCGCTTCGCTACGCGAACTCCTTACTTCATCGGGCCATACGGCTGTTTTTGCTGGCGAGGGTACGTTGCTCGTCAATAATGTTGTCATTGTTCGGAAGGCCGGTGGTGGGAATGGGAGGATAGAGATTGAGTGTGCGGTTCGAGGGTTGGACGTTGCTGGGCGTAGCCCTGGCGGCGGCATGGGGGATGGTGGGACGTTTGGGGCTGTGAAGAGGGCGGTTTATGGTGGTCTTGCTGTGGTGGCAGGGGTGTGACGTACAAGGAAGCCTTTGTGTAGGATAGCAGTAGTTCACGTGGGGTGTAATGTTATATCATTCGAATGTGCATCATCATGTCGAATGCGCATTATCAGGTCGAATGTGCATCGTCACGTCCACACGTCAATGCCAGCCGCAAGTTTTAACGTGCGAAAGCACTCTCGAGAGCATGAGAATCCGACATTAAGGGCATGGTTAGATGCGACTTTGGGGACGATGATTGCTTGCATCACGCGAGGGGGCTGGTGAGCACCGCAGTCATTGCATGACACCGGCACAGGGGAATGCGCACATTGTTCGGATGTGGCCTTCTGATCAGGTTGAGAGATGGAGTAGCCTTGACAGATTCCAGCAATGGTAATGATGGTAACAACGTAACATAAGATACGTACGGAAGTATACCTTGGACCTGGGAGAAGTTGCAAGAATGGGAATGGGTGCTGGAGCAATGAGTCGATAATGACCAGGCATGAGCAGCGTGGGTGGTTTTGGGTCACATGGACCGTAGACTGGAGAAGAGCAAGAAATAGAGGAGAGGCTCGCGTGTAACGTGCATAGACGTAGCAAGTGTTAGGAAAAAGCGGGATTGCTTTGATCGTATCGTGACTACTACACATTTTGTATACACGCGAAATCTGGATATCACCAATGCGACCACACAGTCTTCTACATCCTTGAGCCAAGCCAAGTTCTGTTCATTCGCTTGCGAGAGTCATCGAGCTTGAGACCCGATACTATATGGTAGCGGTACAGCCACAGTGGGTACATGTAGGTAGGTCTTGCATCGAGTTCAAATTGGCCCCCAACAGGCGCAGCAGGGGCGCACGACCAGCCCAGCCAGTCATATCACCACAATAAACCCGCATCCTAAGTCCGTTGGCATTGGCGTCGAGTCAACACTATAGTAGGCCCTCGAGGGTTTGCTACACGCGTTACTATGTATTGAGACAAGACAGCGCGATACTTGTCACGCTTAATAGCTTGACGAACACTCGAGCGAATTGACGGATGCTTTCTACGTGATCATCATGGAGCATCTACCTGCTCGCGCAGCGAGTCCACTGGCAGTGGCCGCGCCAACATCAACGACCTCTCCTGACGCTTTAGGAGTCCGTCAAGCAGCGACGACGACCAGCCCTACGAGTGGCCCTGCAAACATTACGGCCAATGTACCTCTGACAACTATATTCACCCCCAACGCGGACTGCTATGACATGCCCTTCGGAGTCCTCCTCGCAGGCACAGTACCTGGAGCTCCCTCAGCATTCCGCGATTATAGTGCTGCAAGAGTGACATGCTACCCATCAAGCTATTCTCGACTCGAGCTGTCGACAGATCTATGGTTCTCACCGGGAGTGTGTCCTTCAGGCTTCACACGAGCGAGTCAACTTTTGGGTCCAACGACTTCAGCGTGGTGTTGTCCCAGGTATCGATATACTCTCTCTCGCAATCGCATTGGAACCGCTGACAGTTGTACAGCTCCATGGCGTACTCCTACGACGGCACAAACGATTTCTGCTCGATGTACGTAGCTACAAGCACGACGGTTCGAAGTGGCACGTACACTACCAATGTACCTTTCTCCAATTTCATCGCCCTTCAATGGCCTATCTCGGTCCAATGGGCGAGCTCAGATCTTGCTCGCTTCTCGCCAGCGAGTGCACCTGTTCTAGTGGAGACGCAGACCTCTAGCACCGCCTCAGGACGATCGACATCGTCAGCGACTGCCTCTACAACGACTTCTGCGAGCTCTGTCGATGCAGCAGCCGCGACATCAAGCGCAGCAACTGGTGGTGGTGGCTTGAGTACAGGAGCACAAGCAGGAATTGGAGCAGGTATTGGCGCGTTGGCATTGGCTTTGATAGGACTGGGCATATGGTTCTTGCTACGTCGGAGACGTGATAAGAAAAGTCAAAGCCCTCCAAGCCACGATGAAACAACATTTGGAGGCATGAAAGCCGAACTGCCGGGCTCGCAAGACACGAGAGGATACTCGGACAAGAAAGGGCTTCATGGTCAGCATGGTGATGCTATTGAGCTGGAGTCTGGACGAGATGGACTGAATGAGCTTGATGGGCAGAAGAAACAGCGAATGGAGCCTGCAGAGCTACCCGGCAGTGCTGTGGGAGAACATGCAGCCGCAGAAATGGCTGGAATGAAGTCACCAGTGGAGAGCGACGGGAAGGCTATCACCGGGACAGAACAGCAGGCGGCAGCATGGAGAAGTAATCGTGAGCCGCTGGTTAAGCATGGGTAGCGTGTCAATAGGACGGCAAACGGAGTACGTGGTGCCTTCAATTCTGTATAGCGTTCCAAGCGCATTCGGTCATCGTGAAGGACCACATGCACCCATCCTTTCTCGCCCGCGATGTAGCTCTGAATATCACAACAACAACGTATCACGACACTGAGACTACATGGCCCGAATAACCATCTATACTCTTAAGTCTCGTAAATACATGCCAACGCCCGCACATCGGACGCTAGGCTGTCGAACAGAACTATAATGGGCCGAGTGCCGTACATGATGCCACTCTCAACCTAACATGAGACTTGTTTGTCAAGTATGACATCTCCAGACAGATGGCAGACGCCTCAAGAGCAAAGTCGGACTGGTATGCACGCAGACGCCCATAGTAGAAGCTTGATCGAGGTTTAAGAGACTAAACCGGCAGGCGCGACATGAGACAACTTTCTATATTCAAGCATGGCGACCATTCGGAGACACAGAACACACTGTCTGAGCTGGACGGTCAAATCGAGGATGCAGCAGCTCCACTACCGACCGATGACCCACCAGATGGTGGTTACGGCTGGATCTGTGTCCTCGCCGTTGCCTTGATCAATGGTTTCAGCTGGGGCATAGCAGCCGTAGGTCAGCCTGTGACACAATAACCCTGCCTAGCTAATATACCTGACAGAGCTATGGTGTCTACCTCTCTTTCTACTTGAGGGAGTCATACTTTCCAGGTGGCACACCACTTGACTACGCATTGATAGGAGGACTGCAATTCGGCGCTGCCTTGTTGATCTCACCACTATGCACCATCCTTACCAGGGAGCTCGGCCGCAAGCCCGTCATGTTCGCTGGCTCTGTGATCTTTGCGGGAGGCTACATCGCTGCCTCCTTCGCACACGAAATCTGGCAAGTGTACCTATCTCAAGGTCTGCTGGTTGGGCTGGGGACTGGTTCCTTGTTCATCCCGAGTGTACAGGTCATACCACAATGGTTCCTCAAACGTCGCTCGCTGGCAGGCGGACTCGCATCGTCAGGGTCTGGCTTCGTCGGACTTGCATTTTCACTGGGCACGGCGGCCATGATCCAGCATCTCTCCCTGGCGTGGGCACTTCGCATCACAGGACTCGTTAGCTTCGCAGGTAACATAGTCGGTGCGATGCTAGTACGCGATCGTAATGCAGTCGTCAAGCCACCTCAGCTAGGTTTCGCCACACACTTGCTTCGTCGCTATGACTGCGTGCTGCTTTTGCTCTGGGGTTTCGTGGGCTTGTTGGGCTACATGACAATCTTGTACAGCGTCTCGAGCTACGCTGTCGAAGTCGTGCGTCTCACGCAATCTCAAGCTGGCGTACTGACAGCATGTCTGAATCTCGGGACTGGTCTTGGTCGTCCTGCTACTGGTCTGATCAGTGATCGCCTAGGTCGGATCGAGACAGCCGCTGTGTTGACGCTGAGCTCTGCGGTCAGCGTGTTCGCCATCTGGGTTCCAGCGAATAGCTATGGTGTGCTCATATTCTTCGCTCTACTAGCTGGTGCGATCCTAGGCATATTTTGGATGACAGTTGGCCCTTTATGTGCCGAAGTAGCGGGCTTAAAGGAAGTGCCATCGTTTTTGTCGCTTCAGTGGCTCACTGCTGTCTTGCCGACGACATTCGGCGAAGTGGCAGCATTGTCTATGCGTCGGCCGAGCATGGGACGCTGGAGCTACCTGTATGCTCAATTATTTGCCGGGTTGACCTATACTGTGGCTTCCTTATTCTTGTTCGAGCTGTGGAGAGTCAAAAGACGTGGTGGACTGATGTCGCAGCAGTCGGATGTGGTGCAGAGGTAGCAATCGGATACTACGTAGCATGCATGATACACATATGTGGTGGTCATTGACATCATGAAACAATGCAACATACCATAGACAATCGCCATACGCCAGCCATCCTCTCTATCCTTTAGCCGTAAACGCCATCGCTATGCGTCATGAAAGCATTCGCTCCTCAAAATGCAACTATACCAGCCAGAACATGACGCCAACGACCACCATCGCCCACCCAGCGAACTTGGCCACCTGTGCTGCACCACCTTTTGGCTTGTTCCCTTCGGCCTTCTCTCCGAGATACCACGCACCGATGTCCGTCAGCTCGCCTTTCTGCGTCAACATGGCTGCATTCGGTCCCACGTTCGACACACTCGACCTGAAGGCGCCGAAGTATGAATAGTGCGTAACGTAGCTGTTCATAACATCGTCAGTATGCCAGCACGATATTCCGAGGACTAATCCCTGCTCACCTTAATCGATCCATATAACTCGCGCTCTGGTTGTAAAAGTCTTGCGTATCCTTCAAAGACATTTCGGGGTACCCATATTCCGTAACCCACATAGTCATGTTCGGGTACGTCGCATTGACTTGACCAATGTGACTCGCAAGTCCCTCAAAATTTCCATACCAATGTACAGGAATAAAGTCGGGTGTGCAGCCACCATTACACGCGGTGAAGAAGTTCTGGAGCCAGGTGAACCCTGCTGGAGAACCTGTCACTGCTGGAGCACCGAGTGAGACCTTATAGTTCTTCTTCAGCGGCTCAATCTCACGGATCCAGGTCGAGGCGGCGGTCTCGGCATCGACACAGGAACCACCATTGGCGCAGCCGTCAGGTTCGTTAAAACCTAGGGCGTAAGGGATCTTTGTTCCACTCTTTATGAGACCTTCGACTGTGTTGTAGAAGGTCATGTCTGTGCTTGTAGGAGGAGCACCCCATTGCATAGGCACAAATGTGAGCTCTGTGTTGCCGATGTCACTGGTGGGTGAGGCACCATAGTTGTAGTACCATGTCAGGTCAGAGCCGCTTTCGGTCCAGATCTTGTCGTCTTGGCTCGAGTCTTTGGTCGCAACGTAGCAGAGACCGCGTTTGGAGGAGATAGCTTGAGCCGACGCGAGAGGGACGGCGAGGAGGGAGAGTGCGAGGAGGGAGACCATGGCGACGATGTTGTATCGTAGAACGACGGTTTGGACGACCTGGAGGTTTTTGGGGCTGCAATGCGCCAAATTACTCCTCTTCTCCTTGAAGCGAGGCCGTTGAAACGATCGACGGCGCAGAATGCTGCGATGGCAAAGAGAACGACGCGTAAAGATTAGCAGCGAATGGACGGACGACGAGGTCCTCGAACACGGATAGAATATCCGCAAAGACGTGTAGATAGAGCGGAAGCAGAGACCACACGAGACTGAAGTTAAAAAGCCCTCAACTCATGATTTACGTCGAAACCTACCGAGCTCACCAAAAGGCTGTCCCGTCGAACATCTGATAGCCAAGCAATAAATGAAGAAGTGGGCTTCAAGAAGGTCTGATGCCTGTCTTTTCAGCTCAATCGAGTTGATGAAGTGGCTGCTTTGGGACGAAACGGTTTGTGCCATGCAATGCAACGGGACGTTTTGCCTTCCGGGTCTAAGCACGTCTAGATAAGGTACATGTAGGTGTCGACTGGTGAACTTTATCAGTATCGAGCAAATCCAGGCAATACCCCCTTAATATAACCATGTTACTAATATTCATCAGAGGACAAAGAGCTTATCATCAACACTCTTCACGGACATGAGCTTCGCAAGATGAGTTGGCACACTGACAATCCACCCCTCAGGATACTCGGTCCCGAAGCGCTGACTTACTTGTCTTCCGTCGAGAGGAATGAGCAATATCATCGCCAGGGTCAAATAAAGGCGAGTGATATTTCGTGGCCTGCTCAATGAGATGAAGACAAAGACAAGAGTGTCGTGGATGGCCTGTCGTCAAAGAATCGAGCGAGCGGTTATTAACATGGCTTGCAAGCCCCCTTCTCTATTCTCGCCACTTTAGCTCAATCAATCGAGATTCGCACAGTACTTCAACCAATTCGTGAGCTCATCAAGCTAGTCTTCTTACTTCACGCCGCCCCATCAGCATCATCTTAGCGCCTCTACGACAATCTCGGAACCGAGATCGACCATGGCATCACTCGGCGCTAGCGAGGTCAACAAGACCATCCTGCGGGCAGGCCAAGCCATCGCAGGTAGCCGTTCCATCGCGCTGCTCGGTGCCGCTGGCGGTGCCATCGAAATCCTTCACTTCCTCAACTCTCTCCACACCGTATCGCCCGTCTGGGGCGAACTTCTCAAAAGAGTCTCTCCCATGACGTTCATCACAGCCATCTATGAAGCCTTTCGTGAAAAGTTCACGCGCTGGATGCATGCTTCCGTGGTCATCTCCCAAGCTCACCCTCTGTACAAGCACATTTTGACCCACATGATCGAACACGGTCTCGCAAAGGATGCCCGCGACCTCTCCATCGATCCGCCCAAAGGTTCGGGAGACCAGAAAGACGAGAGGGAGTTCTATAAGTCGCCGGCCGAGCTTGAGAAGTTAGCCGAAAACGAGAAGAAGCGCGGTAAGGTAGATATGGTGCCTGCCTTGCAATCCAAATTCGCTTTCACCTATGCAGGTTACCAAATGTGGTTCGAGCGCAACTCGATCAAAGCTGGTGACCATATGAGTACCGTCATCGTCATTACCTGCCGATCTTTTGGAGCTGGTCCTCAACCAATTCAGAACTTTTTGCAGCACGTCCAGGAAGTAGCGACGACTGAGAAGCCTGGCGAGCGAATGACAAAAATCTTCCTCGTTCATCCTAGTTGTGCGGTCTGGGGCGACGCCGTTTCCCGTCGAGCGCGAGGCTTGTCTGCCGTGACGTTGGATGAGCACATCAAGGATTCTCTGGTCGATGATATATCCACCTACCCTGACCCCAAAACCAAGACGTACTACGCAAACCGCGGTATCCCATACCGTCGAGGATATCTATTCTATGGCCCTGGAGGCACTGGTAAGACTAGCTTTGCGACTGCGATCGCCGGACACTTTAAACTTGACGTGTTCATGCTAAGCTTGTCGAATCCAGAGCTCAGCGACGTCAAGCTCCAACGCCTCTTCGATGACCTACCTAGCAAATGCATCATCCTGCTCGAGGACGTGGACTCGAGTGGGATTGAGCGGGGTAATATGCGGAAGAGCAAAGCTGAAGATTCCGAGGAGGAAAAGTCAAAGTCGAGCAAGAAGGGCGTGACACTCAGCGGCTTGCTTAATGTCCTTGACGGCATCAATAGTGGCGAAGGTCGTATCACTATCATGACCAGTAACAGCCCTGACTCTCTCGATCCCGCGCTTGTCCGCCCTGGTCGCATTGACGACAAGATCCTGTTCGGCTACGCATCACGCCAGGTCGCCATGAAGCTCTTCACTCATATCTTCAAGAAGTCCGTCGAGGAGCTCGCTAACGGCGAGCTTGCAGGCACTCACGACTATGCCGCGCTTGCAAACAAATTCGCTGACAGTCTTCCAGCCGGTAAATTGACTCCTGCCGAGATTCAGGGCTACTTGCTTCGTCATCGTAAGGACGATATCGAGAAGGTTGTTGAGGATGCCGCGGCTTTTGCAACGACGACTATTCAGACTCGTGAGACGGGTGCTAACGTTGTTGGTTTCGCCGGAGATGGTAAGAATGAGAAGCCGGTTACTGACATTGCAGTCGACACTGCCCCAGGACAGATTCAGAGCGCCACAGTTCCATCCGGCGGAGATGGTAAGATTATGTGGCCAGCTGTCAAGGTCACTGATGAGTCCGCATCGGTGGAGGATCTGACGTCCACGACTGACTCTGACTCTGAATATGACGAGTCAGTTACATCTGACAGCGAAGCAGACGAAACGTCATCGCCAGAAACAGCGACTAAGCTCATCGGGCCCTCTCCTCCTTACAGCTTCATTGATCCTCTCGTTGCTCAGGCGTTTACACAAATGTAAGTTTTAGATTGACAAGACACAAATAGACTGTACCATTGCGCCTTCAAACCCTGTCTTCTTGCTGCCATCACTTCATATATCTTCGCCCTGACAGACCTGCCCTCATTGCTCTGCCCATTCTGTTCCTCAAAGCCTCCTCCGCCACGCGCCGATCCCATGCTCTGTGCCTCCGGCCCCGAATCTCCTTCCTAGGCTCCGGATCCGCGTAAGCACACCACACAGCTTTATCAAACACTCCAGCCAGCCTACGGGCCTCCTCGATGTGTACGGGAAAGACTTGAGCGCTGTTGTCCTCAATTGCACTCCATTCCGCCAAGTCAGTGGTCGCCGCTTCGAGAATCTCAGTCCACCAAGCTCGATCACGGCGGAATGTTGCCTCGAGCTTGATGCTGATAAGAAATAATGTCCAAGTTTTAAAGTTGCCAAGACTAGGTCTACGTCCGTCGTGCAATGGTCACTCAGATTGTTGCCTTGTCTGCTTGTGAAGTGGCGAAATGTTTGACGTCCTCACGGTCGTGGACCTATTCGTAGATCGCGATCGCAGTCCATGTCCACGACTGTTAACTCGAGTGCTGTAGTAGCCTTCATAGCCACGTTTCCGTTATCATAGTGAACAAGACGGCATGTGGCGGTTACGGCTCATGTAGTGGTTTCGTATTCCACAGCTTGAACGTCTCCATCGCACGTTATCCGGCCTCGAAGCGTCATGTATTCGAGTGCAATGTAACGGCGGTAGGGTTAGGAAAATGGTGCTCTAAGCCATATTTGATGGCACACATGGAACATTGTGATTAACATCCCACAGTACAGAATAAGGGGGTGTACACTCCCGCTGTATCTGTTCCCTACCAACGTCTTTTTGATAAGGTCTGAACCTTACCATTTCTCTGCCGCGCCGCCGCCGATGCCTATAGAGCTAATTCTGGATCAGAGTGCCACATGGCGTCCTTGGTCAGGGCTCAGGTTCTTGGGAGAGACAAAAGGTTATACTCGATGTATGGAAGTAGTGTAGAGGAGTCTTGAACCTATAGAGCTACGACCTGACCTGCTTTGTAGTCTCCAATAATGACAAGAGAGATGATCCTTATGCTCATCCACACCCTAAACAAAACCCGTCTCCAGATCCAGGCACGACGGCTCACAGATCATTCCGCCCCCGAAAATCTCTTGCGATGCTGGTCGGTAGATCGGGTCGTAAACCGCCGTCGTGGGTGAGCTCTCGGCCGCACATGTCAGAGCTCTAGGGCTGAAAGCATGTGAAGTTCGGGTGCTTGTTTGTAACATGAAGCTACAATCATATTCCGTCGTCCGATGGTTATAAGCAGGATCGAGCAGGTAATGTAGACTCGTCGACTTCTTGTGGTCTGTATATGCACTACTGTATTGTCGTCTCTCTCACAACATCAAGAATCTCCCCAAAACAACTCTCAAACCTCACCATCCCATCAAGACCTCACCACATCGTTGACAACCTCACCAACTTCGACCAAAGCGTAGACATCCAACAACAACGAGCACTGCAAGATACGGGAATTTCACACCAACACTTCTGGAGCACAATAACAACCACAGCCATGGCTGTACCCTTCACCTCCCGCTCGACCCGCTACATCCCCTACCTCCTCTCCTTCGCCGCCGTATCCGTAGCAGCAGGAACATACTACACCCGCCAACCACGCATATCCCTCGACTCCGCTCGAAACGCGCCGAAACCCGCCCTCTCCTTCCCTGGGAGCATGCTCTTTCCCAAAACGCTCACCGTAACCAAAACCGAACAAATAAACCACGACACCAAGAAAATCACCTTTCGCCTCCCCGACGGAGAAGTCTCAGTAAGCGGTGTCCCCGCGGGTTCCGCGATCCTGACGTCCCACCAACCGGCCGATGGATGGCTGCCTGTTTTCCGGCCCTACACGCCCGTCTCAGATCCAGAGGAAAGGGGAACGCTGCAGTTGCTTGTGAAGCAATATCCCAATGGCTGCGCCTCCACGCACCTGCACAGCTTGACTCCAGGTTCTACCCTGACGGTGCGGGGCCCAATACCAGCTTACTCGTATTCCTCGAGCTCGACGCCCAGGGACCTGGTGATGATAGCTGGTGGGGCGGGAATAACACCAATCTACAGCCTGACACGCGGGATTCTATCCGATCCGGAGGACAAGACACGTGTCACTCTCCTCTGAGGCGTGAACGGGACAAGCGACATTGTGCTCAAGGACGAATTAGAAGGTCTGGAGAAGCAATTCCCGGAGGGGGTGCAAGTGACATATTGCGTTTCTGGTCCTGAGAGCAAGGCTGAGGCGGCAGATCTGAGTGGGAGGGGGAGGTACAGGAAGGGATATATCAATAGTGAGGTTGTGAAGGAGGCCGTTGAGAGAGTGAAGCAGGGCGGTGGCTGGGGTGATAGTAAGGGCACCAAGGTTTTCATTTGCGGGCCGCCAGCTATGCAGGAGGCGATTGCTGGGAAGAAGGGGATACTGGGTGGGGAGTATGGGCTGGTTAAGAAGGAGATACATATGTTTTGAGAGGCTTAAGTGATGAGGGTATGGATGTGATTGATGGGTCCGAAAGTGGTGCTTGTATTTTGGTTTGTGCGCGTTCCGAGCGATTAGGAGGATTGAGATGAGCTTCTAGCGGATAGAAAAGTGAACAGAAAGAGGTTTCACTGCGGACGGAGAATGATTGTCATCGATCGTGCTGAAGTGGTTTGAGAATTTATATACCGCCATCGCAACTTGTAGGCGTTGTTCGCCTCGAATCCCCACAAGTCACACCGTGACCTCGATACTCACCCTCCTCTCAAACCCGCCCCTCATACTTCGCCCAAACGCTCCGCCACTCACTCGAGTCCACAACTGCCTTCCCATCTACAATGAACTCCACCCTCTCGCCCTTGACAGTTTCAGCATCCACACTCTCCATATTCTCCAGCGCCACAGTCAGAAACAAGTTCCTCTCGTCCGGTATGATGACTTCCTGGTAGTAACTCTGTCCTTTCGTCATCGTCTCCAGACTATGGCCGGGCAGGAACTTGAGCTCGACCCCTGCATCCCAATCCGTAAGATTTGGGATCTTTTCGGCGTTTTTGCTTGCTGCTGTTTCGGAAGTCCAGGAGAGTGGTCGATGGAGCTTATGCTGGTTAGTATGCAATGTCACTGCACGAGCATATTGATTAAGGAGTCAATCTCTGGAGATGGCCGGGTTCCTACCTGTGCATAGTAGCTCACGCCATTGGCTAGGAACCATGGGATAGCGATTAGAGCATGTCGTTCTGTGTAGTGCTTGCGAAAGTCGTCGATTGACATGCCCTCGTGTCGTTTGAGCAGGCCCTGGCCGAGTTCCTTTGTTGGGGCCGTGGTGGACATGATGAGATGGGTGACTGTCACAAGGGACAGGAAGTTAGGACAACACTACCTCATGTCGTCTGTAGATGGATGGATGGATTTATATATCCTCGCCGCACCCGAGGTCGAGGGGCTGTTCCTGACCATGCGGCGTTCATGCCGATGTCCTAATCAGGACATTGGTATAACAATGCACTTCGTAGCATCGCAGAAGACAGTGTAACCGAGTTGGTTTGTGATGATGCTGAACATTACGGACTCGAAGGCATATGCATACACCTGTTGACGAAATGTGAAGGAGGAGAAAGAGGCCACCGTACAGAAGTCACGCCTACACGCGACCTTAGCGTGGTCGATAGATCTCGTGTTGCGGGGCAACACTTTCAAGAAGAATAAGGCGTCATCATCCTTGTCAATATCCATGCTCATCAATCTTGCGTGACGAGCGTCATACTGTCAGCACAATGCCGGCCCGTTCTACTAAACCACCAGCAGCAGCCAAACCCTCCCGCTCCATCTTCGACCCCTTCAACTCCTCCGCCACCGGCCACCAGCGTGCGGACAACACACTAAGTGGTAGCACATCATGGCGGGATTCTCGCTCTCTTAAGCTTCGGGCACAATATACGGGTGGTACTGGAGGCGGGAAACGTGTCAGTGATACAGTCGGCGCGGGGAGTCTCGACTTCGGTCAAGATGGGCGAACTGAGAATGGTGGGTGGGTGCCAGGTGCGAAGGGTTTGAGAGGGGAGGGTCAGAAGAGTTTGTGGGAGAGCACGCCTGGGTTGGCTGTGGAGAAGGATGTTGAGAGGCCGAGTAAGAGGGTTAAGCTGGACGTAGAGGAGAAGCCGACGAAGGTGGTCAACCCTTTTACACCTTTCTGGAGAGAGGACGGCAAGATACGGGAGACGAGCTGGACATCACACGAGGCCTCACCATCAGATCTACTATCCCCGATAGACCCGCACAGTAGTAACAGCACCAACACATCCTCTGGACAGCCATACACACAGCAAGCTACCGACCTTTCAACAAATACAGCGCCAGCCGATAGAGGGCAGCAACCACCACCCCAGATTTTCACCAACCTAACCTTCTACATCAATGGCTCCACCGCCCCTCTGATATCAGACCACAAACTAAAATACCTCATTGCCTCCCACGGCGGCTCTCACTCCACCTTCCTCGGCCGGCGAACAGTAACCCACGTGCTCATTACTAAGCCCGCGAGCAGTGGATACGGGAGGGCATGCGGCGGCGGCCTAGCAGGAACGAAGATCCAGAAGGAGATCGCGAAGCTCAAGGGTGAAAAGGTGAGGTTCGTGATGGTGGAGTGGGTGCTTGAATGTGTGAGGCAAGGTAAAAGAGTGCCAGAGAGGGGGTTCGAGGGGTTGCGGTTGGCGCCAAAAGGTGTCGGGAGTGTCGCTGAGATGTTTGGGGGTGGGGAAGGTAAGAGGAAAGGGGATGATGTGAAGGCGAGGTGAACGTGCATCTACTTTGAAGCGAGGATGATCTGATCATTGCCTCGTTCACTTCTCTTCATTCAGAGATACCCAATTTTATGCTATAGCACTCACAAGCATAGCGCTGGATTTGAATGGCAAAACACGGATATGCCCTTCTGATGCAAAATACCTCTATCGACATCGTTAGCGTGATAGGATTGCACTCCCATGTTTATAAACTTCTCATTTGGAAGATCGGATAGGTTTCGTCCTATCCCGGACCAAGCACCTCCACAACCGTCCCTTTCCCCTCCACAGAGATCTCCACAAAGATCGACATCACATCCAGCTTACCGCATCAGTTCCTGCATCGCATCTTCCCTTTCGAGACATCACCAGCCAAATCTAGCACGCCCTCTCGGAATCCTTTGGCGTACAATAGTGCTGCAACGCTATGCAAAGCAAATGCTAGCTCCACCATGGCTGGATACAAAGGCCGCTCGTCCTCGCTCGAGCAGGCGATGGATTCCAACTCTGCTCTTCTGCATTCTGGTTGCCGGGACCGTGAATATGTTGATGCAGTATAGTCTACCTGCTCTGTTCGTCGGATATCTGGGCTGCTCAACTGCTTCGCCGACGGTCACGGATGCAAGCAATGCCTACCCTACTAGCTCACCATGGCAATGGCCTGGACCGAATCAGGGCAAACAAGGCTACTGGTTCGACCAGCTCGAGGATACTTTAGCAACTATGCAGAATACCTTCTGGAACGGCACGTACTGGCCCACGACTATACAATGGATAGGTGCTTTCATGGATACTCTGCTCGCTGCTTCTGACATCTCCTTCACCAATGCGCTGGATAGATATAACGGCGGTGTGCCTGGTGCTCATAGCACGTCTACTTCTCTCACCACTGAAATTCAGAAGTACTTCACAGAGATCGAAGCGTATTATGGAGATGAGGATGCGATCCAGATCTTCGGCGCGGCTTATGATGATGCTCAGTGGGTTGTGCTTGAGTGGTTGGAAGCGATCAAATTCATCGACCAGTACGACGACTACGCCAAATCCAGTCTTGGGCAGAACGACATTGCGCATTTTGCTCACCGAGCACATATCTTCTACAACATCGTGCAGAACCAATTCAACACTTCGTTATGCGGTGGCGGCATAACGTGGAATCCCGCTTTGGCACCTTACAAGAACGCCATCACCAATGAGCTATTTCTGGCGAGCTCGATAGGCATGTACCTCTACTATCCTGGAGACACGAACACGAGTCCTTACCCGAGCCCTGGATACCTGAATGCGACGAATATGACTTTGCCTGCTCTTCCCGCACTGGCGGCCCACGATCCGTTGTTGTTGAACAATGCTGTGCAGGAGTATGCGTGGTTCCAGTCGCATAATTTTACCAATGCTCAGGGTCTGGTCGTTGATGGCTTCCATATTAGTGATAACCAGACGACTTGCGACGAGCGAAACGAGATGGTGTACACCTACAATCAAGGCGTCCTGCTATCCGGTCTACGTGGCTTGTGGGAGGCAACTGGTGATACAGACTACCTCACCGATGGCTACAACTACATCAAAACCACTATCAACGCCACAGGCTGGAACGCTCAAGAGCGCTCCACAGCAGGGCAATGGGCGGGTCTAGGCCGCAACGGTATCATGGAAGATTATTGCGACGCACCAGCCAATTGCTCCCAAGACAACCAAATTTTCAAGGGCATCTACTTTCACCATCTCGATCTCTTCTGCGAACCCTTACCCACCTCTACGCCTTTAGTAGCAGGGCTCACGCATACCGCCTCCCCATCCCTCGCAGCTTCCCATGCAGCGAAGTGTGCAAGCTATATCCCCTGGATCGAACATAATGCCCAAGCCGCTCTCTCTACTCGTAATACCACGGGTTTCATTGGTGGCTGGTGGGGCGCGAGTTATGTCAATAAGACTCAGGAGCCGTGGCCGGCTTATGCGGTGCCGAGACCGGGGGGAAGTACGGATGAATGGAATGAACCTTGGGTTCTGCAGAGTGAGCCTTGGAGTTGTCAGGGACAGCAGGGGTGTGGTATTGGTGAGGTCAAATGGGGAAATAGTGGTGGATTTGGGCACAATGGGAGAAGGATGGCGGAGGGGTTTGGCGGTCGGAAGAGGGATGGTGGGTCAGGAAGGAGAGATGCTAATGATTTGGGGCTGGGGAGGACGGTCGAGACGCAGGCTAGTGGTCTTGGTGTTGTGAGGGCGGCTAGTGACTTTCTGTCTAGGAGGGCGGCGACGTGATGGTAGAGGTTACAGATGTGTAGGCGGACCGAAAGGCCGACTTGAGTAAGCTGGCTTGTACATAGTCCCTGCTACACAAGTGCAGATGGATACTTGCTATGCGACGCCATTTATATCGATAGCATAAAATATATGTATCAATAAGTCGACAAGTAGTCGAAGAAGCGTCGCCCAGTGGTGGTATAGAATCAGCCTGAAAGCAGCAAAGTCGTCGGCATTTGGCGGCAAAAGTTGACTTCACGTCACCAAAACGTTCACCTTTGAGACACATCAAACTTCTGTTTGTGTATTCTCATGACAATCACCATGTCCGCCCCACAACAATGTCGGGTCAGTGTTCATTGATCCGTGACCACCATCGAAGCTGACAGGCCATAGCGTATTTCACGAGAAGAGAAAACGATATGCTCAAAATCCATCAAGACGCAAAAGCTCGACCAGCCCGTCTTCGCCATCTACGAGGACACTTTCCTAGATGTCGTCGGCAAGGAGCCAAGCATCACATGTGTATTAGAACGCGACTACGCCTTCGCCCACGAAGCTCCCGTCTATATACCAGAGCAGGACGCCGTGTACTTCACAAGCAACGTCCTCGTCAACAAGGAGACCAAGGTCAAATACACCGACGTCGGCAAAGCCAGCCGAGGAAAGGACGGCAAGTGGACGTACGAGAAGATTGCCACCGATGTCTCCATGGGCAATGGAGCTATTAACTACCAATCCGGAATCCTCTTCTGTGCCCAAGGCCACCTCGCTGACTCCGAACCCGGTGGTCTGGTAGTCATGGACACCAATCCACCCTATGCTACCAAGACTTTAATCGACGGTTTCCACGGCCGGCAATTTAATTCCGTCAATGATATCGTCACGCATACGGATGGCTCGATCTGGTTCACCGACCCGACCTACGGTTTCCAGCAGGATTTCCGACCGAAACCTGTCTTGCCGAACCTGGTCTACAGATTTGATCCCGAGACTGCGGACATCAGGGTGGTGGCTGATGGGTTGGGCATGCCGAATGGGCTTTGTTTTTCGCCCGATGAGAAGGTCGTGTATATTACTGATACTGATCATATTCATGCGGGGGATTTTGATCCGACGAGAGCGGGGACGATGTAAGTGTGGGACATGAGTCGATGCATTGCAGTCCCTGCTGATACAATCTACAGCTACGCTTACGATGTCGTGGTCAGACATGGTGGGCAGTTCCTCGAGAACCGCAGGGTATTTGCCATGACGGATGCTACGATCCCGGACGGCATCAAGTGCGATATGCAGGGGAACGTCTATGCTGGATGCGCCGACGGAGTCAATGTTTGGTCTCCCGGTGGCAAGCTCATTGGGAAGATATTGGTGGGATCGTTTTGTGCTAATTTCTGCTTTACGAAGGCTGGTGAGATCTTCGTACTGAGCGAGGAGAAGGCGTTTGTGGCGAGGATCGCGCAGAGTACCAAGGGGGCGTTATTGCATTATTTGGGTTTTTAATGTATGAGGTATTGAGCTCGGTCGACCTAGTGTGGCGCACGACATGCCACTTCGACATGAGACAGATACTTTGAGCGGCTTACCGTAGTACATAGAGGTCGCCCTCTCATCCCTGTCTGCACCAATGGCCGCCAGTCGCCGTCATTCTGCCGATGGGCCCACATCAAAGTTCATTTTGCAGCTTCATCCCTTTCATGTCTTTCATGGTCGCCATCTAAATGTTGATTATGCCCGTACACAAAGCCGTCGTGCAATTGACGATCGACATCGCCAAGATGGCTCAGTCGTGGCCAGATTACGTGCCTGTGCTGAAGTCATCCAATCACATCAGACGGGATCGAAGTGCGGAGGTGTTTCACTTCAGCCTCATCATCGTCTTGACCATCGTCCTTTGACGGCTTTTGCTCCCTCGATAAGACCGAATGCCTTCGCCGCCGTGACATGCCAACACCGTCTATAGCCACACTCGATATCGCCGGTCATGGACTCGGGCTACGATCAAGGAGCGAGACCTCATGATTACGGAAGCGCGTCGCCCGATACGCCGGTCAGGTCGGATGGTAAAGTGATCAAAGAGTCGAAAAGCGAGCGCGAGAAACGGACGTATAGAGCTTGCCTGCATTGTAGGCAGCGCAAGTCGCGATGTGATCTGTAAGTATCGTTCGTACGGTGCTATTATGAGGGACGGCATTCGACCCGTTTGCTACGGACAACCGCGAACTCTATCGACACAACCTACTGCTGTCTGATGCTGACGTACTGCTTGTAGGTACAGCAGTGGTGAGCCGGGACGTCCTCCATGTGAGAGGTGCATCCGTGAGCAACATGAGTGCGTGCTGTAAGTTGATCATGAACGCACGAAGTGTCGATGACCTAGGCGAACTCTGACATCAGTTGCTAGTGGCGGATCGCGTCGTGGAGGGCGCAGAGTAAAGCGTAGCACTTCCGACACTGCAGATACAACGGGAACGCCTCTTCAGCAGGTTCCCAGCATCGACAACGTCCTTCGGCCACTTCCCGTTCCTGATACACGGAGTGACTACCACAGCTCGAGCTCTAGTGAGCATCGTTTGCAAGGCTGGTCGGGCATTGATCGCGAGTCAAGAGTCTTACCGCCTTTGCCTTCGGACTCCACGCATCGTACAGGCACGCCACATGGCTCGAAGATGACTGTGGACGAAAGGGTAGCCTCGACAGACTTGCAAAACCCCGCGGACGCTCTTGAATTCCTTGCCAACGTTGCCGAACGAGACGCCGGACCAAATCAACTTCCTCCCATGCAGACCTCGATCTACGGCAGCACGCCACAACACGCTGCCATGGGCAGTGGGATTTATCATGCTCCAACGCCGCAAGACCGAAGTAATTCTGGCAATGTGATCGATTTCGCACCTCTCAACAAAGGTCAACTCACCCTCGATGTCATTCGCACTTTGCTGGTGCGTTACGAGGAGAAGTATCATCCGTTCTTTCCCTTGGCAAATCCGCTCGCCCTCGATATCCAGAACCTTCCAACAGTTGCAGCCAACGAGCCGCATCTACTCACAGCCATACTTACTGTTGCCTCTAAGGACGACAAAGACTGGTGGCAATGGCATGAGACTTGCTCTGCTCATATGATGCAATTGATCGCCGAACTCGTTTACGGCGCGGAAGGCACCGTAGAGGCCGTCGAAGCTATGCTTATCCTGGCTGAGTGGGTGCCTCGCAGACCTCACTCATCGCCAGCTGTTGGCAGAGGCGAGGAGGACCAGGCTGCTTGGATGTACACAGGCACTGCCATAAGACTCGGTTACTTGCTCGGTATTGACCGCACAGGGTTCAGAACGGAAGCTGATGGACAGTCTCTGGAGCTCAATCGCAAGCGCCTAGCATGGGCTGCATGCTACATGTCCGACCGTCAGATCTCGGTTCGCATTGGAAAGGCCTTCTGGTCTCGTGGACCTGGACCCATGACAGCACTTCGAGCCCAAGACTTCCCGAGTCTACAGCCGACACTCAACCATCACGACGACTTCGCCGCCATCTTTCAGGCCAATCTCGAGCTCACACAGCTCTTTAGTAACGCTCACGATGTGCTATATGCTACCAAGAGCCGAAGCAATCAGCTAAACTTTGGTGGTGAATATGTGAAGTATGTGGCCAGCTTACCGAAAGTTCGTTGCAAGGTGCTAATTAGGCCGCAGATACATCGATGACTTCCGTACTGCTCTTCGCTCATGGCAGAGCAGCTGGGGCGTCTTCACTTGCTCACCAGCACTCAAAGCTAGTCTCGTGCTGTCGTACGAGTACCTTCGACTATATATCAATGCCTTCGCATACCAAGCAACACTTAACCGACTTGTTGCTCAAGTACAAACAGCACAAGCGAGTGGCCCAACCGCGAAGTCTCCAGCGTATCCTTTCGCCGACATAGCAGCCACACCTGACGCTCGGTTCATCTACGATGCTATCGATGCCGCCAAGTCACTCCTGAGCACCTTCAACTCTTTCGTGGATCCTGTCGAGACATTTCGATTCATGCCTCTGCGATACTACCTTTACGTTATCTACAGCGCCTGTTTCTTGTACAAGGCTAGGAGCACAGGTGTGATGGGCGGCGATACCCGAGGAAGCGTGAAGCGTATGATCACAGACACAGTAGACAAGCTGCAGCGGGCGAGTGCCTGCACCAACGATGTTGGCGATCGCTACTCTCGCCTAATTCGTCTTCTTTGGCGGAAGCCACCTGCTCGAGACAGTATGCCGCAGCAGTCGACCACAGATGCTCCACGCTCGCATGCATCGAATTTGCACCCTACGACATCCCACGAGAACACGAGCAACATGCAGCCAATGGATCAGACAAACATGTACGATCCTGGCAGTCAACCACCGTCCATCAACACCTTCTCCTGGCTTGATTTACCAGCCGTAGGAGACTTTGCTACCCAGAATAACGGCCTCACTGGCTCCATGGATGGGTTCGACAGATTCGACGATAGCTCGACTGATGGGCTGAGCAACTTCGACCCAAGCATGATGATGCCGCAACATATTGCTTGGAACAACATGTCACCTTCTGGAATTATCTTCTAGCTTAATATTCATGTCGCGGTGTGTACTGTAATAAGGACAGTATTGAATCTAGGGGATGTACATAGCTGTGCAGATATGAGCACACCCAGGTCTGTGCTCATACGTTCATACTTCAAAAGTGATTTGCGAACTTCTCTTCCTCATCTGTCATACATATCTCATGTGCCACCGATCACCTCTTGGAGGCAACGGTAAAATTCTAGTTCATCGCAATTGGTCGATGCTGCAGGGCGTGCTCGTACACTGGCTATACTTACCTTTGGAGGTATCGCACGATGACAGCCCACGAACTTAGTTGACCCATAAAGGCCTCCGATTCCCAGCAACTTCGTTCGTGCAAAACCTCAAACGACGGATACCTGCTCTTGACAGCTTTAGTAGCCGATCTCGAGGTCAGCACATTTCGTCCATCGCTATGGCCAGCTACTCTGTCACTCATCTGGAGACAGGCGAGACTTTCAATCGTCGCTACACATTGGTCAACAAGCACTTGAAGCGGGAGAGCGACTGGCAACACACCACTGGTACCGAGATTGAAGCTTTCCACCGCCAGCTACTAGACTATGGCGAAACAGCATTGCACGATCTGCCGGAGATAGCCAACGATCTCGGCTTCAAGCATGTCTTCCTCAAGGACGAATCTACACGATTCGGTCTGCCCTCCTTCAAGATACTGGGAGCTTCTTGGGCACTTCACAAGACGCTATGCCGGCAGCTCAAGCTCGATCCTGGCCAGACGACTCTGGCGGCCCTCAAAGAACGTCTCGGTGCCGTACGGGTCAAACCAAGACTAGTCACTTGTACGGAAGGCAATTGGGGTCGTGCAGTGTCTCGTATGGCCAAGTACTACGACGTCCAAGCGACGATCTATGTACCTGGATTCATGAACGACTATACTCGGGATCTGATACGAGGCGAAGGTGCTGATCTCCGAGTACTGGAAGATGGTTCCTACGACGACACCATCGCCGCCGTGCAGGGAGACGCCAGGGAGTCTGGCGCCTTGATGCTCATGGACACGAGTTGGGATGGCTACGAGGAAGTGCCAAGATGGGTGACGGATGGCTACTCCACCATGCTTCACGAAGTAGATCGACAGGTAGCGAGCAAGACGGGTGGTCAACTGCCTAATCTTGCGATAGCCACAGTAGGAGTAGGCTCGTGGGCTCACTCTGTGGTGAAGCATTATAAAGCTGCGTCCTGTGACAACAAGATCGTCACCGTTGAGCCTGCGGCAGCTCCAAGCTTGAAGGAGTCACTTCATTGTGGCAAGATCACTCCTGTGGTAACGGAAGAAACAATAATGAATGGAGCATGCTGCGGCACGACTTCGAAAATTGCATGGCCTATTTTGAGGGATGGTGTTGATGTGGCGCTTGTGGTGACGGATCGAGAGAGCCACGAGTGTGTGCAAGATCTCCAAGCACGCTCAGTCAATGCTGGTCCCTGCGGCGCAGCGACACTTGCAGCTCTGCAAAAGCTTTGCCGTGAGAGTGTACTGGTCGAAGAGGAGCGAAGAGACGTGTGTGTTGTCTTGTTCAGCACTGAAGGGATGCGGGAGTATGACACTTCGCATCTATAGAGCAAGATACTGCAGATTGGTGAGTACCATCTACTCAAGTGCCACAACTTAGACTTCATCAGGTAGATCCTTCCCATGCATCGTACTCTTCTCATTCTCCATCTTGACAGCCCTCTGCATCGTCTTCCTCTCCCTCGGAATACTCTTTGTAAATGCCGCACAGACGATTGCCACCGCTCCAAAAGCAATAGCAACGAGATATACCGTCCTAAAAGCCTGAACATAAGACAACTTGACAATCCTTTGCGCATTCCCGACGGTCGTGGCCGTTACGCCAGGGATTTTCAAAGCGGCTTTCCAGCTCGCAGCGGTATTGGCAGCGGCGGCTTTGAGTAGGCTCGCGGCGCTAGACGGTGCAAGATCAGCGTTTGAGATAATAGGCGCCATTTGTTTGGGCAGCTCCTCGGCGAAGCGATTGCTAAGGATGGCGCTGTAGATGGCGGTTGCGACGGCACCGCCCATGAGGCGGAAGGTACTGGCTAGGCCGTTTGCGACACCACTAGTCATGAGATGTCAGTGATGATCTTAGTGGAAGAGATCGTAAGGAACCCTTACATGTCCACTTGATCATCAATGTGCATAGAGATCATGACAAAGGCCAGCAGCTGTGGAGGCGTGATCGTGGTCGCCAGGATGATGATCGTGACAATAGCTTGTATCTTATCATTCAAGCCAATGCTGGCGAGGGAGCCGATAAGGGCAGTTTGAACACACTGTTTATAGTCAGTGCCGTGCGTTGGTCTCCATGATCGTCCCAACCTACCATGAACCCAACTTGTTGCCAACGCTCGTAACCAACTTTCTGACAGAAAAAGACCACTACGAGCCCAGCAAGAATGGTACCAAAGGAGACCATATTCGCATACACGCCGGCAATGATGGGCTTGCCAGCTGGTACGAACAAGAGACCGGATTGACGAGGCCAGAGGACATTCATGCTGTAATATAGCATCCCTCCGACGAAACAGACAACCAGGATCATAGTGAAGCCGCGTACGTTCCGGAACAGCTTTCCAGGTAGCATGGGGTATGAGAGATTACCATAGGCTTCCCATAAGCCCAGCGCAGTGAGCAGAACGGCTCCGATCACGATCGTCGAGATGACGGGTGCGCTGGACCAAGCGTATTGGCGGCCACCCCAATTGATGCCGAGCAAGAAGCAGATACATCCTGTAGCGAACAATGCCACGCCCAGGAAATCCATCTGCCGTAAGAGCTCCATGCGCGTCTTACCATCGGCTCGGTGCTTAGTATGGAAGGTCGGCGGCTTGTAAAAGCAAATGAGCAGCACGAGGCCGCACGCTTCGAAGGCGAAGAGAAAGTAGTACACAGTACGCCAGTGAATCGCAGTTGTCGACAGCATAGTGTAAGCAATGATCGGACTGATGAAGGCCAGCATGCCGCAGAGCTCGAAGCACCCGATGGCAAAGACCCGATACTTGTTAGGGACGATTTCCTGGATAGCGGCGAAGCACATTTCCTGCAAGCCACCACCAGTACCGAACAGGACTCCACTGGCGATCATCTGGTTGACACTCTGCCCGGTGGCGCCAACGATGGCTCCGACTAGGGCGATGCATGCGCCGGCTATCATGAAGTATCGACGTCCGAAAATGTCGGAGAGTCGGCCACCCACTGTTACCATCACGGCTGCGGCTACGTTCCAAGAGACGTTGATCCAGGTGTAATTTGGATCTGGTCCGAGGTCTGCATTGATGTATGAGACGATTGTGGAGGGCATCAGTAGAGTCAGGAGATAGGCGCAGTACTGAGAAGCGATGGCCTGCAAGGTTTCAGTTGTAGAAGAGAAAAGTCAACCGTACAGTTGACTCACGGCAAGAGCCAGGTAGGCTTGTAATGTCATATTTTCTTCCTCGGGATCATGATCTCTGGCCAGTCCGTCATGTCGTTGAGCGTCTTCGATATGAACATTGGAGTCTTTCTCTGTGACCGTCATCTTTGCTCAGTCTGTGATGACTCTTGCTTGTTTGTATGTCGTTCGAGGTCAGACAGAAGCACTGAAGATAAGATTGTCGATCGGCAGTGTGATCAACCATGTATAAGCGGTGCACTAATTTTCAGTACTTGTGCATAGAATCTCTGCACTGCCCATGCCGAGAGCGAAGCGTTGGAGACGAGCGGGGTGCAGGATTCGGAAAAGGTCGTCCTGGTTAGCAGTAAATTGGTAGTGTTTGTAACATAGAGGAAGGCTGCTGATGCTTTTGTAGGGGGGAAAGAGAAGAAGGATGATACTTAGATACTTGTATGGTTATCCGTATGTTGTCGTGGCAAGCACATGGAATTGACATCCAGGCCCATGATCACTGAGCCTGAAGGAAGTCCATCCGTAACGTGAGGAACACACTGATATAAGATAAGGTCAAGTTCCGAGAGACACTCATTACGCGATCACCAGCGTGTGGGCGATAGTAGCCAAGTGTGACGGTGTCCATATCAGGACATGCTCTATGAGCGTCCAAAAGCCAGCGTCGTCTCCTGTGGCTATCCAGCATTCGTCGTGGTCCGCGGACTTGGGTTTGAAGTCAGCCTTTCGACGATCAATCAGATGATGATGTTGGTAAGATGCACTGCCTGCGTACCGCCAAGATTGCGTTGCTGAAGGTGCATGTTGTTAGAATGGACGTGGCGGAGAGTACAAGGGGGGCGAAATGCTAGGCGGCTCAAGCGGCCGCTGGAGATAGGACGCGGCCGCCATGTCGCCGAACCATTTTGCACAATGACGAGACCGCGTTTCTGCTTCTCCTGGTCAAATCAGCTTCGCAGACGGGTTCAGGGTCAGGATGGGGTGAATATATTCTGTCTGCTACGAGGCATGTGTAGTCAAGTCAAGCCGATCAAATCTCAGGACTCCAACAGATGTGATCGTTGAGGCGCAAGAGTAGGCGCATCTGTGGAAAAAGCTTCCTCGCATGTTCTCCTAGAAAGTTTCCCTTTGTTTGCACTTGCATCCTTCTTCCATACAAAGACATTTAGTCTTGTGTTCTTGCACACCACCCATTCACTCACCACAGGGACCACTGCACGACTCGCTATCATGGCTGTAACAGCGCCAACACCCGGCATGGCGCAGGGCGCAAAGCAGCCTACACCATACAAGAGCATGACTGGCAAAGTACAGGCTCCTTTGCTGAAAGCGCTGGAGAAGAAGGGCTACGCCAACATGACTCCGGTCCAAGAGAAGGTGCTCACTGAACTGCCGGCCTTCACCTCAGACTGCCTAGTGCAAGCGAAGACGGGCACAGGCAAGACCGTCGCCTTCTTGCTGCCAACGCTACATACAATCCTCAACAACCAGAACACACGCAGCGGCAACGTCAGCATACTGATCATCTCACCTACCCGCGAGCTGGCGACACAGATCAAGGACGAGTGCGATATGCTCACATCAGAAATTCGACCAGCGCTGGAGTGCCATACGGCGTTTGGAGGAACAAAGAAGGAGAAGCACTTGAAGGACTTCCTCAACGGCAAGCCCACAGTACTGGTCGCCACACCCGGCCGACTGAACGACTACCTCTCCGACGACTACGTGGCCGGCAAGTTCGCCAACCTCCATGCTCTCATCCTCGACGAAGCAGACACCATGCTTGAAGCAGGCTTCCTCCCAGCCATCCAAGACGTTCTCCGACGTCTGCCACCCAAGTCCAACGGCTGGCAAGGAATGTGCTTCTCTGCAACAGTACCCCAGAAGATCAAGCCCGTGCTCAGCAAGGTGCTCAAGACGGGCTACACCAGCTTATCGACGGTCGACCCTAACGAAGTACCAACAATAGAACAGGTCGATCAATACTCCGTTGTCATACCCACCGCAGGCGACACCTTCACAAGCCTCGCCGCACTCCTAGCCTTCGAGCGCGAACAACGACCGAACATCAAAGCCATCATCTTCGGCACAACGGCAAATGGAGTGGGCATGCTCTACGACCTCTTTAAGAATCTCGTCAGGGACCAAATCAGTGTCTTTGAGCTGCACTCCCGCCTCAGCCAAAATGTGCGAACACGAACAACAGAAGAATACAAGAATGCTGCGTCAGGCCTCATGTTCGCCTCCGATGTCATTGGGCGCGGTATGGACTTCCCGAATGTCGATCTGGTGATCCAAGTCGGTATCCCGAGTACTGGTGAGCAGTACGTCCATCGCGTAGGCCGAACAGCGCGAGCTGGCCAGAACGGCCGTGCTGTCATTGTGCTCACGGATCGGGAGAAGTATTTCTTGACGGTGAATAAATTCCTTCCCATCAAACCTTACCCTGTCGACATCTCCACCGGGGCTGCAGGAGCCGCGGATTTTGTCAGCGAGGCTCTGAGTCGCGTCGACGAGATCTCCAAGTCCAAGGCTTACCAGGCGTATCTCGGGTTCCATAAATCGTTCACTAAGCAGTTACGTCTGGACAATGTCGGGTTAGTGGCGTTGGCGAATGAGTATGCGGCTGCTATGGGGTGTCCGGAGCCGCCGGTCATTGATAAGAGTGTGGTGGGCAAGATGGGTCTGAGGGGTACGCATGGGCTCAATGTAGGCGTGATCCCGAGGACGGGCAGACCTGGACAGGGGCAGAGAGGTGGGGGTGGAGGTGGTCGTGGTGGTGGTGGTGGAGGAGCGCCTAATGGGTCGATGGGACGTGCGCCGCAGGACGGTGGGGTGCCGAAGAGTAATGGTGGTGGGCGTGGCGGGCGAGGTGGTGGACGAGGACGTGGCGGACGAAAGCCTCAGGGCGGGCCGAAGGGACCTTGAGATGGTGTGAGATGTGATCGGCATCATCTTACTCAAAGGAATTCGAGGATACGCGTTCCGTCCTCATGACGGCAACGATGGTCGATACGAGGTTGCACATCTTGATTGCGATGCCGTTTGCCACAATCTGTGTACCTTGACGCGCAACTGCATCCCTTTGTCGCTGATTTGCATCAGCTAGGCGAAGGGACGCGAAGGGACGCGAACACTGGGTGACGATAAGTGCAGTCACGATGGTAGTAGACGAAGCACGGTAGTAGTGGGAAAATGTATGGATGGATGAGCTGCAATAGAGCATAGAATAGAGTATTACTGGAAATTAGATAATGTTCAGCCAAAGAAGGTGTCAAGGTTCATCTCATTCCTATTCGAGCAGTATCACGCTGAATCATGCCCATGGACTGACGTGGAAAACTCACGTGGAAAAGGGCAGATAGTAGCACCATCATGGTTTCAATTTCAAAATTCTTACTCAGGTACCGAACTGCTACGGAGGGATGTCTAATCATAACATCTCGCAGCTTTCGAATCGTACAATGTCATTTCGTCGCCTCACCTTGAAACGCCATGAACCCAGCCCCAATCGTCGGAATCATAACATCACAACCATTTCGCCCTCCGCCCCTCTTTTCCCGCAACAACCAACCCGCTCACGACCGTCCAGGCGGCGGCCCAGCAGGCGGAGCATAATTGTCCTTATGCGCATTACTCCCATACACCGGCTGCGGCTGCTGCAACTCGACATCATTCCCTGTCTGTGGTCCGTAGTAACTACTCGCAGCGCCGTAGGCAGGTGGAGGTGCATTGGAGTTGTTGTAGTAGGGTTGCGCGTTGCCGTTGTATTGGGCGGGTGCGTGGCCAGGGGGTGTGCGGCCGGCAGCCCAGGCTGTGCCGCGGAAGGGTTGGTGGCCGAGGCGGCGGCGGCGGCGAGCGGTGATGCATCTGTGGGGAGAAGTGGGTAAGTTGGTGCGTTTGGAGCAGGGAGAGTGAGAGGTGGGATCTTACGAGAAGAGGAAGAAGATTAGGAAGGCGCCGATGATGATGAGGGCGAGGACGAGCCAGCGTACCCAGCTGTTCCAGGGGGTGTTGTAGTAGCCGTTGCTGCGTGGTCGTATTAGCTAAATCACTCTTGTAGAATAAATCGAGTAGTGCGACGTACCCATAGCCATAGCCGTAGCCATATTGTCGCGGTAGGATCGCAGGCATTGTGCTGTCAATGTTGCGAGCAAGCACAGACGCTGGTGTTTGCGTGAGAATACAATTGTGCGTGATGCCTGGGATGACAGTGAATGAGCGACAAAGAAGGACGACGTAATTATGTAGTAGATTCTTCGCCACGGGCACACGCACACGACTGCTGCTGCGCCCAGAGCTTGTTCACTACAATCTGTCAAAAGTGATGATGACGATTATTTGCTCTCGGCCACGGCTTGGTCTGGTCTAGCACTGCCACAACCCGCGTATCTCTCCGTAGACGCAAACGCAGACGTCTTTGCCGAGAACCCAGGGCTTGGAAGTACTCGTTCAGAGCTGGGCGGTGCGCGGCGAGGGCTATGGAATCACAAATCACAGTTATTTCGCTCGCTCACTCGCATTCGTTCATGCCATGCAGACTTATATCCAAAATCTGGAATCCGCTGGAACATATAGCTTTCACCAACTTCCTCGCCACAAACCAGGTTCCTAGCACAGATCATCGGGAAAAGGGCTGATCCGATCACAGCTCTCCCCCCACGTCCAGCGCAGCGCAGAACAAGAAAAGGGCACTAGGGCTCAATCGGGCATTCATGCATTTTTCTCGCATCGTGCAGGATGCCAACGCATACAGGGCCCGAGCGTACAGTAATATTTCACGTAGGTATGCGCCGCTGTTCCATGCACTCTTGTCGTTCTTTCCATGCTGTTGTCGAGGAAGACTAGAATATATGTGGCCTTGGCGAACGCGATGCGACTTCTTTGACGACCAGACGATCGAGTTCAGGAGGTCAGTGAGCTTGTGCAATGGCGTGGAGGGTTATACCATATATCTCGTAAGGAGGGAACAGGGGCGAAGAGATGAAGCAAATGGAGGTTCCGAGTATACAATGCGGAGTCAAGCAGTCGTGGACATCATTCTCTCTTTGCCCATACTGCAGCACATGATCCAGCACTAGGTGCCTCGCTCGAAAACCTCGGCCATCCAATGTCGAACCAGAACCGGAGAACCGCTACCGATGCTTCGAAAAACATAAGAGATTTGGGTCAGGTAAGGATGCCATTCTTCCAACTCATAAGCCATTGCTGGCTCGCAGCGTCTTCTGCTGCTCCACTTTTCCTTCTATGCACGTATTTGTCCAGATTGATCACACAGGAAATGTCGCTATGCCAGGATCAGGATTCGTTCGAGTCGTCAGCAGAGCATCGTATAATCGTCGTCAGAGAACCGCCGTTGGTCGTCAACATCATCATCAATGCGGAGACAGTCATCCGGGATCACTTTTGGGCCCGGGCGATGAGCCACTGCAGGACAGCATCCAGGTTGGTCTCCTCCTTGGCGCTAATGCCGTAGCAGCTTACTTCTCGGTGCGTCACGGCCTTAAGATTGAGAGCTTCGATGAGTTGGTCGACGGTCGCGTGGTCCGTCAGGTCGGATTTGTTGCCAAGGACCAGGAGTGGAATGCCTTCCATGGCTGGCTTTTCGAGAAGGATGTGGAGCTCCTCCTTGGCGACTGGGAGGGCTTCTTTGTCGGCCGAGTCCACGATGAAGCTTGATGATGTGAGCTTTGGGATGGATCATGGAGACTACAAGATCTCAGCTTACACGATCGCATTCACACCTCGGCAATACCGCTCCCACATCGATCGGAATCTAGGCTGGCCTCCGAGATCCCAGCTAGAGAATGTCAGTATCGCCGAACATCATCGCAAAACCTTGGCGCGCAACCTGAAGGTGGTACACGATCAGCTGCAGCATACCATTTCAATGTCACATGGCCCTTCTGCACCCGCTTCATGTTGAAGCCGACAGTTGGTATGGAGCTACGCGGGCCGCGTCAGCTCAAATACCTACACAAAGACCAGATCTCGGCATGATGCGGGAGTGTGCATCTGGCGTTGCACGTACTCGATCGTGAACTCGCCGCCCTGTATGACGAGATTAGCTTCTGAAACGCCATAGACGGAGGACGCCGACATCGATGCGACTCACCGCTAGTACCCTCAGCAACGAGGTCTTACCCGCATTCTGGAGGCCGATCATGGTGATGTCCATCTCGGTGTTCCTGCATGGTGTGAGAATTAGGCATCAGCTATCTTTGGGATGATGATCGTGACTGAGCAAGAGATTGTGGCGGTGAAGCGAGGTCGACATCCTCGAGACACCTGTGCCGGATAGCGAGCTCGACATATAACAAGGCAAAAGGAAACAATCATGGCATACCAGAACAAGCTAAGCAGCCAATCATAAATGCGCTTGAACAGGCCCATGATGGCGGCGATGGTCGTAGTTCGCAGATCAGACACTTGCCGGACGCTCCAGATATGCAGCGCGGGTAGCTGGCGAGAACGGTTGCTTGGTGCCCGGCGGAGTAGTGAACCAGAGAAAGTGATCGAATGATGGCAGCCACTCGAGAGCTTGAGGTCGGCGATGGAAGTTTGCGATGGACCGGGATGGCTTGTTTGCGGGTAGTGTGGATGTGTGATGTGGGTGCGGGGCTGTTTTTCTTTGCTTCTCGGCGCGAAACGTATAAGCGCGCGGGAGGTAGATGTGAATGTTTAGACAACGAGCAGGAGCTCAGCAGTGAAGATCAGGTCGCTAGGAAGACAGCCGAGTTGAGGTAATAGTTGTAATGGGACAAAGAGTTCTAGATTTTTAGCTGCCCTCGCCTAGAAGTATCAGAAGCAGAATGGCGTAACCTCTGTTTCTTCTATCTTGCCGTGCTTCGTACCCAGGTGACCATGAAATAACGAGCTTGAGACAGAGCTCGGCACAAGGAGTCTGCAAGAGTCACGGAAGCACATGCAAGAGAGATGCGGGTGGTACAGATCGCGGTGCTCCAGAGCGGCGGCGGGCAGGGTGCAGCTGGTGGACTCGATTCGAGGTGCATGATTATCGTAGATTTCGACATGGTCCGTGCATCAAAACTTTTAGACAAGTCGAAGGCTGCAATATGTTATGATGCCTTGTATATGGAGGGCGAGTTGTTGACGTGAAGGCCTGGCTGTTGTATGAGAAAGTCAGAATGGTAATATGACCAAAATCCGAGAGATCTGAGGCCCTCCACATCCAACATGGCACCGTCCAGAGCCAATGGTGTTCATGAGGCGGCGCAGAAAAGAAGTTGGACAGTGAATTATGATACGACGAAACGACACAAGCTCTTTACACAACCACCGAGTAACAAGACAGCATACCCGAACCTCGCCGAAACCATTCGACCACACGTCGATTCTTTCAACACAGTCTTTGCTCCGGATGGACAACTACAACATGCTCTCAAGGACATTGGAACCAAAACATTTCTCGATGGCGATGCTTCCACACTTTCTGACGGCGAGCCGAGAAATCGACTGGAAGTTCGGGTGAAGGAGGTCTTCCTGGACAAAAGCAAGGTACCACCAAGCAACAAGACCGAAGGCAAGCGGGAGATCCTACCAGTGGAGTGTCGCGAACGACATGTAACCTACAAAGGAAGATTTCAAGGCCGGGTCGCATATCGTATCAACAATGGCGACTGGAAAGAGACGGTGCGAGAGTTCGGGTACATCCCAATCATGCTTCGGTCGAATCGATGTCATCTGGAAGGCTTGTCGCCGAAGGACTTGGTGAACAGCAGAGAAGAGACGGAAGAGCTGGGAGGGTACTTCATCGTCAACGGCATCGAGAAGCTGATCCGAATGCTGATCGTCAACCGACGGAACTTTCCCATGGCTATTATCCGACCATCTTTCGAGAACAGAGGGCCCACGTACACGAAATGGGGCATACAGATACGATCCGTGCGGCCTGACCAGACTTCGCAGACGAATGTGTTGCATTATCTCAGCGACGGCAATGTGACCTTTCGATTCTCGTGGCGGAAGAACGAGTATCTTGTCCCCGTGGTCATGATCCTGAAGGCTTTGGCTGAGACGACCGATCGCCAGATTTTTGAGGGTATCGTTGGTCCGGCTGGCAGTACGGGACTCGAGGCCAAGCAATTCGTTACGGATCGAGTGGAGCTTTTGCTGCGGACGTACAAAGCTTACAGTCTACACAATCGATCACAAACAAGGGAATTCTTGGGTTCGAAGTTCAGGATAGTGCTTGCGGTGCCGGACGACATGAGCGATGAGGATGCTGGGACGGAGTTCTTACGCAAAGTTGTATTGCCTCATCTTGGATGCTACGATGTGACCGATGCCAACGACGAGGACAAATTTCGCATTCTACTATTTATGATTCGGAAATTGTATGCTTTGGTAGAAGGCGAATGTGCGGTCGATAACCCGGATGCTGTTTCGAGTCAGGAGATTTTACTTCCGGGAGCACTGTATGGCATGATCATCAAGGAGCGAATAGAAGAGTGGATGACGAGTATTGGTCTTGCATTACGAGATTGGGGTCGAAGTAACCGCTATCCATCGTTTGCCAGCAAGGAATTCGAGCGCGACTTTCTTACCAAGATTGTACGAAAGACGAATGAGAATCTTGGTCAAGCACTGGACTATTTCCTGGCCACTGGCAATCTTGTGAGTCCTACTGGTCTAGATTTGCAGCAAGTCTCTGGATACACTGTGGTAGCTGAGAAGATTAACTTCTATCGCTTCATCAGTCATTTCCGGATGGTGCATCGAGGTAGTTTCTTCGCCGAGCTTAAGACGACTACTGTGCGAAAGCTCCTTCCTGAAAGCTGGGGCTTTTTATGTCCTGTTCATACACCGGATGGATCGCCTTGTGGGTTGCTGAACCACCTCGCACATAAATGTAAGGTTGCCACGCATAGCTCTGATGTTTCCAACCTGCCACACCTCGTCGCGCAGCTCGGCACAGTGCCATCATCCGCCGCCACTCTGGCGGAAAGTGTCGTCGTACAGCTCGATGGACGAATACTCGGCTTCTGCACACCAAAACAAGCAAAAGTCATCGGCGACACACTTCGGTACTGGAAAGTAGAAGGCACACATGACCTACCCACGGATCTAGAGATCGGCTACATTCCTTCGTCCAACGGTGGTCAATATCCTGGTATCTACATGTTCTCGACGCCTGCACGCATGATGCGGCCGGTGAGCTATCTTCCTCTGGACAAGACTGATTATGTTGGACCCCTTGAGCAGCCGTATATGTCTATTGCTTGTACGGAGCCGGAGATTGCATCTGGTGATTCGACGCATGTCGAGGAGGATCCGACGAATATTCTTTCGATCGTGGCGAATCAGACACCTTTCCCTGATTTCAACCAGTCGCCGAGAAATCAATATCAATGTCAGATGGGCAAACAGACAATGGGTACGCCTGGCACGGCTCTGAAATACCGCACAGACAACAAGTCGTATCGACTCCAGACTGGCCAAACTCCTGTCGTACGACCACCCCTGCACAACGAATATGGACTCGACAACTTCCCGAACGGCACCAACGCTGTCGTCGCCGTGATATCCTATACTGGTTACGACATGGACGACGCCATGATATTGAATAAGTCCTCTCACGAACGGGGATTTGGATACGGCACGATCTACAAGACCAAGAAGGTCGATCTATCGGAAGAAAGCAAGTCGACTCGAGGTCGAAGTAAAGCTGTTACACACATGTTCGGCTTCGCGCCCGAAAGCACGATCAAAGCTTTCTGGCGAAATACACTAGAAGAGGATGGCTTATGTGCAATCGGCACCAAAGTCAAGGATGGCGACATCATTGCTGCCTCGCATACCGTGACGTGGGATCCAGCTGCAGATTGTTACGTCAATCGCGACGGCGTCACGCATTTACATCGCTACAAGGATCCCGAAGAAGCGTACGTGGAGGAGATCAAACTTATCGGGAATGACTCTGGGAGCAATGAGCCTTGCCAGGCTATCAGCGTACGTCTTCGGATACCTCGATCGCCTGTCATTGGTGACAAGTTCTCCTCTCGCCACGGGCAGAAGGGTGTTTGTTCGCAGAAGTGGCCGGCGATCAATATGCCTTTCACTGAGAGTGGTATGCAACCCGACGTTATCATTAACCCGCACGCCTTTCCTTCACGAATGACGATTGGTATGTTCGTCGAATCTTTGGCTGGCAAGAGTGGAGCTCTGCATGGTCTGGCGCAGGACTCGACACCCTTCAAATTCAAGGATAAGGAAGGTGAGACGGCGGTGGAGTATTTCGGACATCAATTACAGAGGGCAGGGTATAACTATCACGGCAACGAACCCATGTATTCTGGAATCACAGGCGAGGAACTAGCGGCGGATATCTATATCGGTGTGGTGTACTACCAAAGACTACGGCATATGGTCAACGATAAATTCCAGGTCCGAACCACTGGTCCCGTCACGCCGCTGACTGGACAACCGATCAAGGGTAGAGCGAAGGGTGGTGGTATCCGTGTTGGTGAGATGGAGAGGGATGCGTTGCTAGCACACGGCACAGCGTTCTTACTGCAGGATCGATTACTCAATTGTAGTGATTACACCAAAGCATGGGTGTGCAAGAAATGCGGGTCCTTCTTGTCCACGCAGCCGAGTAAAAGCGGTGGATATGAACGGCAGGCTTCGGGCCGGTATGGAGAGGGTGGACGGGTGAGGTGTCGACGGTGTTCGAGGAAGGCGGTTGTCAATGATGCGAAGGTGGAGTGTTGGGAGGATGGGAAGGGGGAGAGGTGGTTTGGGGGCGATGAAGTGGCGCTGGTGGCTGTTCCGGGGGTGTTGAAGTATCTGGATGTTGAGCTGGCTGCTATGGGGATTGGGTTGAAGTGGCAGGTTGAGCCTTGAGTGTGTTGGAGGATCGAGAGAGGGTGTCGATGTTCGACGCATCGAATCACTGTTGCGCTGTATACTTTTGTTCTCTGGCGGCATAGCGTGGCGCTCGGGATTATGCGTATATTGCATGTATAGGCTATGATAGAGCTTGTTGACGTCTATATGCATCATCACCTCGACATGAATCCCTGCCTTGTATTGTCGTTGTCGTCTCTCGTGCGAACAAAATGTGGTCATGTGATGGCAGCATTCCGGAGCATCGCGGTTGCTTTCGTGGCACAACTGTGGCTGCACAATGACGTAGCACTTCCGATGTTTACCTGGCCTACGCTTCTTAGCATAAAGGTAGAACGAGAGCTTCTTGTATTCAGATTTCGTAGACTCCTATCCCTCCCCATATTGAAGAGATTCCTCGTGTACGTGCCTTCCTGAAACACCAGCGCATCAATCTATCCCACACAGCAATCAGCCCCACCAAGCAAGCGTCGATCAAACATATAGTGAAACGCCCCACAGCAACGGCAAGATGTAAGTGAATGCTCTTCTCTTCCTTGACTACCGAAGCTCACATTAGCGATCACAGGAACATCGGGCGCAACCTCAGCATCCGCTCGCGCAAGTCCGAGTCGAGCAACAATGCCTCTTCCAGCGGCGGCGGACGACACCGCTTCGCCATGTCCTCCCTGCGAGGCATCCAGCAAGCCGAGCTGAGCAAGAAGCTGTACAAGTTGATCAAGACCGAGAACCACCAGGTCTCCGCCTACGAGGCTGCGGGTCGCGAGTCTCACTCTGTTGCCTCGCAGCTCAGTGAGTGGGGCGAGGAGCAGGATGAGAGTGTGAGCGATATTAGTGATAAGTTGGGTGTGCTGCTGGCCGAGATTGCCGAGCAGGAGGAAGTGTTTGCGTCCAACCTGGAGGAGTCCAGGGGTGTGTTGAAGCAGATTCGGAATACCGAGAGTTCAGTGCAGCCGAGTCGGAATCATAAGATTAAGGTAAGCGCAACACGACGGACTGAGGCTTTGGAAGGATGGGATAGCTAACGCGATAATTGTAGATTCAAGACGAGATCCAGAAGCTCAAATACAAGGAGCCGGAGTCGCCCAAGCTCGTCGTCCTCGAGCAGGAGCTTGTTCGCGCGGAGGCACAATCGCTTGTCGCCGAGGCTCAGCTCACCAACATTACACGTCAGAAGTTCAAGGAGGCATATGATCTCCACACTGCGGCCGTCATCGAGCGCGCAGAGAAACAAATCATGCTTGCTCAGCAGGCTCGTCGTCTGATCAACCTTCTGGATGACACACCCATCGTACCGGGCGAGGAGCGTCCGGCCGTGTCCCGCGAGTACGAGGAAGCCGCTCGCGAGGTTCTGAACGACGCCGAAGCTGGTCTGAAGAACTGGACGCCGAATGTTCAGCCTATCCCCTCTACCGCTGGGCAAATGGGCCACAATGCTATGCCCGACGTCGACCACCAGGCCACATCTGCGCCGGTCATGCAGCAGGCTGAGCAGAATGTTCATGGTGTTGGTTTGACGCATGGCACTGAACAGTACCAGCAACCATTGCAGCACCAGCAGCCACTGCAGCACGAGACTCAGCAGGTTGGTGCGACTCAGGTACCTTACCCAACTACCCGTGAAGAGGAGAACGTCGGCTTGGCTGCTTAGAGACAGTAATGTCGACGTTCACGATTCAAGTGGGAGATGGGTAGCGTGGTGTTGGTGGGGTACTGCTATGCGGTACTTGTTCCAATATAATAACATAATGCTTGTCTTGTCATCATTTGCGTTTCCGCTCAACTTTCAGCCGCGTACCGAACTGCCGTAGGCTGTGACGACTTCGATTGATAAAGACATCTTGAATAAGTTACTCGATCAGCACAGTATTGCTACCGAATTCAGATATCCTCCTTCTTCTCATCATCACTATCCGCACTCCCAATCGTGCCGTCCTTCTTCAGAACCTGTGCACGCCCTTCCTCATGCACAGTCGAGGCCTTCCGCTCAATGTCCTCTACCTCGACATCCAGATGCGAGTCACCGGGCTTGGTATGCCATGGCTTGGGACCTCCTGACCTAAACATCTGCTCCACCTCTTCAAGCGACTTCCGAGCAGTCTCGGGATAGAAGAAGAAGGCTTGGATTGTGGCGCCGATGCAAAGTGCGCCGAAGACGAAGAAGAGGCCACCGCCAATGTTCTTGAAGGCAGGAGGGATGAACATTCCCAGCGCAAAATTGAACATCCCTGGTGATAGTGTCAGTAAGGTGAGGTAGTCTTACGTGAAGTGAAAATGGCTTACAATTGCCCAAAGCACTAATACCCATGCCACTAGCACGAGTCTCCAGCGACCATACCTCAGCCGCATACACCCACGCGATAGGCGCTAGCGTCAACGCATAGACGATGATAAGCAAGTACGAGAAAGCAATGACAGTGTAAGCCGGCGATCCGGAAACTTTGACCAGAACGTTGGCATTTCCCTGAACACCTCCTGGCACAGCTTGTCCGTAGCCGACCAGCATGCCACCAACGACGAAGTGGCAGAGGGCCATGCCAAGTGCTCCGTATATGAGTAGAGGACGCCGTCCCGTCTTATCGATGAAGACAAAGGTCACCAAGGTGAACACAATGAAGAGCGCGTATTGGATGCCACCAGATATGAGGCTGATATTGCCGCTTAGTCCAGCCATCAGAAAGACGTATTCAATGTAATAGGTCATGACGTTTGCTCCACTCAATTGTTGCCAGGCCTGGACGGAAAAGCCAGCAAGTGTTCGTCTCCACATTCCATTCTTGACGTATCGTCGCCAGCCAGGGAGAGCTTCACGTTCGGCTGCAAGGACGGTAGCGATTTCTTCCCATTCAGCGATGACCATAGGATCAGTCTTATCGCCCTTTGCTTGAATCTTGGCAAGGATTTCGACGGCCTCTTCGACCCTTCCGACCTTTGCAAGCCATCGCGGAGAACGAGGCAGGAATGGTAGGCCGATCATCAGGACGACAACAGGCACGAACTGGATGCCCCATGCTGTTCTGAAAGAGGCGCTTGGACCAGGGATGAAAGAGCAGCCGTAGCCGATGAAGAACATGAGTAGGATGCCGACTTCGATGGCGAGTTGTTGGATGACCAGAATGGAACCACGGACGTTCTTCTTCGCAATTTCGGCAAGGTAGACTGGTACCTGGGAGGAGGTGATGCCGACTGTGACACCGTTGAGCATACGACCAGCGATGAGCATGCCTCGGGATACTGTCGCAACTTGGATAGAGGTTCCTGCCAACCACCAGAGACATGCTATTGACTGTCAGTCTCGCAGTTAACAATCAAGATCGCTGGTATACTCACCAAACATGCAAGCATCACGACGACCGATCTTGTTGGATATCGGTCCAGCAATGAGACATCCAATAATCGAGCCAGCAGCTAAAGCAGAGCCGATAGCACCTTGGTATGCACCAGCCGGGTTGTCGAAGTAGGTGATGTATTGGTCGGTAACGACTATGGCGCTGATGGAAGAGATATCGAAGCCGAATAGCATACCTCCGACCGTCGAGATGATGGCCAAGAAGTAGACATTGTAGACTTTCGGGAAGGTAGGTAACTTCAGACTTGCCATGATGGTGACAATGATGGTGGTAGAGTCGTGATATCAATGCACGTATAAGTCTCAGATCTCCAGACAGTGGGATAGAAGAGATGTGAAAACAGATCTGCCATTTCATTCATATATCCAAACCAAAATCTGTCTGCAGATCATGCACCACACAGTGCGCACATGGTGGTCCAACAACCCACCGGAAAGGCCATAAGATGACATCGTGGCTACCATGTCGTCCGGCTCAATAGGTGGATAAACACATATGAGTGGTCCCCTCCACATCACGAGATCATATTGGAGAACGTCTGCGTATCCATGTTGAAAGTGTGGATCGAAAGAATTGGTGAAGGAGGTGACGTGGTGCTGGATGTGGGGTACGACGGCTACTGCGGCAGAGGCTGAAGCTTACCTGGTTAGCGCATGAGCTGGAGTTAGATGTGACAGGTGAGAGAGATTGACGTGAGAAGAGCAGAATAATAAAAACAAAAACAAGCCCAAGTCCCCATTTCAAGCGCGCTATATGGTCGTCGCCACGCTCGAGGAAGAATGTTGAACTCTCCTGGAACGCCGACGCTAAAAGTGCAACATCAACAACATCGTGTGCCTCCCCCTTCGCCAGTGGAAGTCCTCCCAACACAATCCCAAGCCAGGAAGTGCGTCGGGAAGGACGATCCGCCCAAGATCTATGTTGAATGCTGTATGACCCCATGTCCCAGGCAGACCTTTGTGGATATCTTCGCGTGAAAAAACAAATGCCCTTTCTCTATCACAAATTCCGCCAGCGCTTGGCGATATCTTTCTCTTTCTTTTTCGTTTCGATTGGGTATTCCTTAAAACGCCGGGCACGCCTCTCCAGCTGCTAAAGGGCTGGAGAAGGTGTATGCAGACACTGCTTCAGTGCAGTGCGAAATTTAGAGCTTCAGCTCCTTGGGCTTCTCCCAGCTGAAGTTCTGGTTAGTGAAGTGGCCATTGATAGCGGTCTCGCGGTAGATGGGCTTGGCGAGGTCGAGCTCCTTGACGATGACACCTGGTCGCATGTCGAAGTTCTTGCGGACGATCTCGACGAGCTCGTCGGAAGACTTATCGGAGGTGCCGTAAGTCTCGACGAACAGGGAGAGCGGCTCTGCAACACCGATGGCATAGGACAGCTGCACGAGTGCACGGCGGGCGAGCTTGGCGTGGACGAGAGACTTGGCGATCCAACGGGCGAGGTAGGCGGCAGATCGGTCGACCTTGCTGTAGTCCTTGCCGGAGAAAGCACCACCACCGTGGGCACCCCATCCACCGTATGTGTCGACAATGATCTTGCGGCCAGTAAGGCCAGCGTCACCCTGGGGTCCACCGATGATGAACAGACCAGATGGCTGGATGTGGTATTTGGTGTTCTCGTCCAGGTACTTGGCAGGGATGGCGGCCTTGATGACCTTCTCCTTGATCTCCTTTCGTAGCTGCTCAGTAGTGATGTCTGGGCTGTGCTGAGCGCTGACGACGACGGTGTCAACACGCTTGGGCACGACCGCGCCACCGTCATGCTCGTACTCCACAGTGACCTGGGTTTTGGTGTCGGGTCGGAGCCATGGGAGGCTACCGTCGTTGCGGGCATCGATCATGACCTTGTTGAGCTTGTGGGCGAGGATGACAGTCAATGGCAGGAGCTCAGGTGTCTCATCCGTAGCATAGCCGAACATTATACCCTGGTCACCAGCACCAAGCTGCTCTAGTGCCTCCTCGTAGTGCAGACCCTGTGCAATATCCGGGCTCTGCTCCTCGATAGCAACCAGCACATTGCAAGTCTTGTAGTCGAAACCCTTCGCCGAATCGTCGTAACCAATCTGCTTGATAGCATCACGGACGACCTTCTGGTAGTCGACCTTCGTCTTGGTTGTGATCTCGCCGAAGATCATCACCATACCAGTCTTGGTAGCGGTCTCGCAAGCGACCTTGGAGAGAGGGTCCTCAGCGAGGCAGGCGTCGAGCACGGCATCGGAGACTTGGTCAGCAAGCTTATCGGGGTGTCCTTGTCCTACAGACTCTGAGGTGAAGCTGTGGCACTGCTGTCAACTGCTGTGCTTTGGCATATGGGAAGACGAAAAGCTGGTACGTACAGGAAAGTGCTGGGCTTTGCAGCCGTACCATTGGTGTGCACCATGTTTTGTGTGTCTGTGGTGGGAGTGCGAGTAGGGCTACTTGATGTCGAGTATAACAGTATTTGAGTGAGTGTGGTATGGTAGTAAAGGGTGGGAACAAGAAACCGCGTTGGACAATCGTAAAGTGGCATACCCCACCAGGGCCATCTGCCGGTCTCGCGATGAACTTTTTAACGCACGCAATCATCACCAACAATTCTTTCGGCGGCCGCAACCCCCGATGCCTTGAGATCGGCGTCATTCGGCACTTTTGGATCTCCTTATATCCCGGCTATGTACCGCAGCACGCTTAGACAAACATACTGCAGTTTGAGATGAATTCGGCTTAACATCATGATGGCCACGAGTCTTGCTGCTTCTTCCCAGAGCAAGCACGAGCCATGACGGCACTGTCAATGGAGACTATAGTGAAGGGCTGCAAGGACATCAATTGCACACGTGTGACACTCGAGACTTCCATAAGTCTCTGTAGCTCGATTTTTCTATCCAAATGGCCTTGCAATGGCATACATTTTTGGACCACTGCTATGCTACGTCTACCGACGTCCCATCGCTGCGTCTATGACCACCTCAACACTGGTTTGACGACCTGAAGCTGTCAGCATGTCAATAGGATCTACCACAAGCTCCTGAACTACTGACCTTGCCTGATTTCATGTCGTTGAGGGCAATCTGCATATCTTGGTATGGATATATCTTGAACAATTTCTCCAAGGGTAAGTAACCATTTCTTTGCATCTCCACGAGCTGGGGTATGAACTTCTTGCCCGTTAGCACACGAGCAGATGCGGTTATCTGCCTGGCTGGAATACCTTCGACGGCTCCGAGCTTCCCTCAAGGACGCCCAGGAACGTTTTGTTCTCGAAAAGAAAATTCAGAGGATCAATGATGATGTTCGATCCGGGAGGCATTACACCAACAGACGCAGCCTGTCTTGAGGGAATCAGCACGACTTCATTGACCATCTGGGAGTCTGAGTAGCATACCCCCTTTTGGCTAAGCAAGCAATCATGGTCTCAATTATGGAGGTATTGCCTACGGAATTCAATCAGCTTCACGAATACGACACGCATGCATTCGCTGTCGGGCGTATTCACCCACGCAATCAATAGCAAAGTCAACTCCGCCATCAGAAATCTCACGAAGAGCAGTTACCATGTCCTCAACATCCTTCGAATTCAGCGCATGCGTCGCACCAAGCTCTTTGGCTAGTTCAAGACGCCCTGGATTAATGTCTACAGCAATGATGTGATGGAGACCCAGGTACTTTGCGGCCATAAGTGCAGTCAACCCAACACCCCCGAGACCGAATACCACAATCGAGTCATCCTGCTGCGGCTTCAGCACATTCAGCACTGTGCCTGCACCTGTCTGGAATCCGCACCCGCAAGCGGCGAATATGGCGGCGTCTTCTGGATCGTACGGATATCGCATAGCCACGCAAGTCGCATCGACAACACTCATCGCCGCGAAGGAAGATTGACCGAAGAACGAACTTTGTACACTGCGGCCATCCTTCAATCGAGCTGGTGGTGGGCCACCATTTGCTCGGACTGCTCCTATGTGGAGCTTGCCACCGTCGAGACATGTCGCTGGTTGATGTCGTCGGCATCGCTTGCACTCGCCGCAGAAGTTGAAGGATAGGAGGACAAATTCACCGACTTCGATGTCTGTTCGTTGGACGCCATCGCCGATTGCTCGGATGTAGCCCGCGCCTTCGTGCCCGAGGATTGCTGGGAACTGCAGGGATGGTGCGCTGCCTGTTTGGCATATGAGGTCCTGCAGGTGTTTTTCAGCCGAGCACTATTTTCTGGGTACTTGAAGTGAGCTTACGGTATGGCAGATGCCAGTGTACTTCATCTCAATAAGATATTCGTTGCCTTGTGGGCCATCGAGGACGATATTTTGGAGTGCAAAGTCAGCACCGGCATGTTCGACGACATATGCGACTGTCTCAATGTTCCTGGCGTGACTGTCGTGTGTTGTATGATGTGGAGCCATCGGTGTTGCGAACCCCAGAAGCTGTTTGTAAAATTCTCGTCCAATCGTCCACCTTAACGAGTACAGGGTCGTTGCCCATCGTGGAAGACAGTATCAATCTAGATACCAACCTTCACGGTAACCGAGTGCCGTTCGTGAAGCTCTGAGCCTTGTGAGGGGTCGGCGGCACTTTGCTGACGGTTCTGGTGAGATCAATACCAGAGGTCAATTAGGCCATCAATAATATTCATACACAATAGTTCATATAGACTCTCGTCTACTCGTTGCATTAGATCAGATGTACCCAGTACGTAGATGCAACATATGTGTCATACAATCGAGGATCAGAAGCTCGAAAAGCAGCAATCGCGCCACCAAGCATCACAACCCTGCTCGCAAGATAGAGCAACGGCGAGCATATTTTGACAAGCATAAGAGGATCTGACCAACGTACCACTACCTTCTCAAATTGCATGAAAAGCAGCATGCTCACCATTGAGGTGATTGCAGCACCTCGCCAGAGCCATGCTTCGATGGCAGTTGGAAACGTAGTGTTCCATGATACCAAGTGCAGTGCACCGAACGAGATGCCGAAAAGGCAGGTCACTGGCCAGAGCTTGGAGTGATAGAGCTCTGGATCCCAGTGAGACAGTACGACCTCATGCTTCGGCTTGATCGTTCCGGGTCGGAGTCGTTTGCACTCTTTGCAGCCCTTATGCAGACAAGAAGACTCATGCCGAAGATATGCTATTCGCTTTTCATTGTACTCTGTCAAGGCCTTCTGGGCGGCTTTCTCTTTCACTTCAAGCTCGAAGATTCGTGGTGTCAAGTACCAGATCTGCCACAACGACTGCTGTTCCTTTTTGCCTTCGTTATCGAAACTGGATGTGATGATCATCGAGTCGAATTCCGCACGCTGCTCGATCGTCATGTGCGGAAGGTCTATCTCTGATGGAGTCTCGATGTTCTTCGGCTTCAACCACCAGTAAATGTAGGTCACCACGGAAAGTGGTATATAACCAAGCGTCATGGACTCCAGAGGTGCCAGTGGGAGATTATGTGCCTCCCGCATGATCGACTGCGCCACAAACCAGACAGACTGGAGTAGGGCGAACAGCTTTGCTGTAGCATCTGCATTGCTCTTGTCCTTAATGGTGTCCCGTATGAGACCCCATGCTTGCCGGTCTTGCCAGTCAAACAGACCTTGCTCAACTAGCCAGATAAATTGGTTGGGCCACAAGATCTTAGTTCCACAATCAGTACGGTATCGTATGCCGAACATCCCTATGTAGAATGCGTGAATATACTGAAAGTCGTCTCCAAGCATATCGCGGACCTGTCGCACGATCCGGCGTGCTTGAGTCCATTCCTGAGCCGCTTCCACTGTAATGAGCTCCGGAGCGATGAAAGCTTTGATGAACAAAACAATCTTGTGTGGAAGTCGGAACCGCTCCCTTTGGTCTATGCGAGGATGTATGCATACCCAGGTACAGAGTGCAGTGGTGGCTAGACAAGTGAAGGCGAGGCTGAGGGTTCCACGACCAGGTGACTCTAGAGTCCAACCCACGAGCTGAGTCGAGTTGTGATCGCCATGTGCGCGGACGGTAACAGCTGGCGAAGTCATATCGTCGCGAAGACAATCGACGGGGTTAGCAGCTTGTCGTTTTCCAGATGCGATCCGAAGACATTGTCGCCCGTTAGCGACGCTCAACGAGGAGAAGCACGCAGGAGAGTACTTAATAACGATTGAAGAGTACCCATGGGGCCTACATGGCAGCAAGCCATTCCCATCTCGTCGACATCCAGGTGGCGTTACATGCTACACGCTACCGCTCGGTAAGTACGAATAAAAAGGCCAGATGCAGAAGCATGCACTCCTGCGGCACAGCGTTGGCGGGTGTGGTCGTGCTCATGATCGGAGTATTGTAGCTACGCCATCCGAGTCGTTCTGTTGATGTCCGCGAAGCCTTACACAAGTTCCAAGGTATATACCGAAGCCCTCTCGTGGATACTGGCGTTTTTGCCATGTTTGTGAAGAGGTGCGAGCTGTTTTTGGGGAGCAGGCGTAACGATATGTCAAGGGGTCCACAGTCTTGACCAATCATGTTGTAAGGGCGTTTCACGCCACCAGCTTTGCCGTCGGTTTCAGCACGATAGGCTGGCATGAGCGCGTAGCAGCAGCTTTGTGAATCTCACCTCAATTTGCAATGATGTGATCTCCATCACAATGTGCTTAGCAGCGCGAGGAAGATACACGCACAACTAGCTGATCATGTTCTGGAGCTTTTTCAACTATGCTGGACTGGCAGGTGGCACGGTGGTGGCGTTATATGCTGGACTGCTGGGTCTCCTAACAACAAGCTGGTTCCAGGCACATGTCGTCTACCTTCATGCTGTGCAGATGACATGGGGTAAAGACCTCGACATACCAGAGGTGTTCGGCTTCCTACACAACCAAGTCACACCCTTCAGAATCAAGTCTGTGGGAGTCGAGTCTTTATACACTTGGCACATCTTACCAGTTGGCTTGTATCGACAGCGTGAGATCGACTTGCTGCACGAGGCATCAGGCTTCGTGCCGGACATAACTTCACGTCTTGGCTTCAAGTTGCTTCGTGACGATCCAGAGGCCAGGCTGGTCATTCATTTCCATGGAGCAGCTGGGACCGTCGGATCGGGCTATCGAGGTCCCAATTATCGAGCCCTGTCCGCTGGCCAACCTGACAAGATGCATGTCTTGACTTTCGACTACCGTGGCTTTGGACGAAGTAGTGGCTGGCCGACCGAGCAAGGTCTCATAGCTGATGCTACTGCAGTTGTGGAGTGGGCTTTGCACGTCGCCAAGGTACCACCAGAACGGATCGTGATCTACAGCCAATCGATGGGAACGGCAGTCAACGCAGCTATAATGGAACACTATGCACAACAATATCCGCCTATTGTGTTCAAAGGCCACATACTCACGGCGCCCTTCGTCGACGTTCCCACTCTTGTCTCTACTTACAGCGTGGCTGGCACCGTCCCTATTCTTGGGCCACTGAAGCGTTTTCCGATACTATTTGACTACCTGAAATCGTTCATCAAGGACAATTGGTCGACAAAGAATCGCGTGGCATCATACGTCCGCACGAACGAGCAGAACGGACAACCATACAAGCTGACCCTACTCCATGGCGAGGACGACTACGACATACCTTGGACGCACACGCCCGTCATCTTCTGGCATGCTGTGAATGCAACGCGCTCGGAAAAGGTCAGCTTTGAAGACTTCGAGAAGATTAAAGATGAGTCCAAGGTCGACCTTGGTTATGCCGGGAGCCTTGTGGAGTGCAAGACCAAGACTGGTGTGATCCGCGAAGAAATACTGAAGTATGGTTTACACGACGTGATCATGGGCAATCCAGTGGTAACACTGGCGGTCATGCGAATGTTTGAAGATGAATGACGTTACACAAGATAAAACTATGGTCCACTGTGACTGTCACAATAATGCTTCAGAGATGATACATAGTCATTATATACATAAAGTTTCTCTATCGTGTATAGTCACAATACATGCGACTCATGAAGTATGCATTCAAGCAGACCCGCCACCATCGAGTGGCTGAGGGTCAGCAGCAGTACCAGAAGCTGGGATCTGCTGAAACCATTCGGGCCACTTCTGGACGGTCGCAGCATCACCAGTCAAGGTGAAGTTGACAGTGACAGATGCCTCCGGGTTCAATGCCAGGGAGTACTGGCCAGGGTAGACAACCAGGTTGCCGTTCGCATCAGCACGAGCCAAAGCACCTACTGGCACAGGGATATTGACGATGCAGGACGCACCTGGCGCGATGCTAGCCTCACGGTCGATACCGACCAACCACTTGATGGGTCGTGGGGTAGGACCAGAGGTGGTCGAAGCAAAGAGCATGGCACTGTAGTCGGAAGCGACCTTGCCAGTGTTGGTGATCGTGGCCTGGAAGGTCAAGATTGGCACCTGCTCAGCGTACTGGTAGCCAGTATGTGCCTGGGAGAAAGGCGTGCTGATGTTGTATGAGGTGCTCATGTTGGCGACGAGCGACTCAGAGAACGTGGTGTAGAACATGCCGTATCCGAAGGGGTAGACGGCTTCTCCAGTGTACCACATGTATGTCTGACCAGGGTTACCGTCGGACGAATTGGGAGCAAGGCTCATGTCGAGCTGGTTGAAGCTGGTAGCGTAGCTAGCTGGGTACTGCGTGGTAACGAGACGTCCAGCTGGTGCACGCTTGCCAGTGATGATGTCGAGGAGAGCCTGACCACCGCTCTGGCCAGGGTAACCGCCCCAGATAAGAGCATTTACGTTCTTGTTGCTCTTGAGCGACGAGCTGTCGACTTGGCCACCACCCATCTGGAGGACGATGACTGGCTTCCCAAGGTTGGCGAGCTGAGAGATAAGATCGAGCTGAACACCAGGCCAGGTGACATTATCACGGTCCATACCCTCGGCCTCGATGCTGTTGTCGATACCACCGGCGAAGACGATGACGTTGGACTTCTTAGCCGCATCAATGGCAGCAGCGAACCCAGACGTGCTGTTGTCGCCGACGGAGTTGGTGCCGTTGGCGAAGTTGACAGTCAGGCCAGCAGATTGCATGGCAGCAAGAGGGCTGATAAGGTACGGTGCCTGACCAGCATAATTACCCTGAAGCTGCTCGGTGGCGTTTGCCCAAGGTCCGATCAGAGCGACGCTACCGCAGTCATCACTGAGCGGCAGGGTGCCGTCGTTCTTGAGAAGAACGATGCTCTGGACGGCGGCCTCGTATGAAATGTTCTGTGCATCGGACGAAACTACATCCTTCCAGCCAAGGTTGCGGTACAGAGTGTCGTTGGGTCCGAACCAGCCCTGGTCGATAGTGCCGGTATACAGGCGCCTGAGAGCCTGCTCGATATCATCACGAGAGACGAAGCCCTCGTCGAAAGCGTCCGGAAGCCAGTTGGAGTAGGTAGTACCACAGTCGATATCGGTACCCGCACGGAGCGAGTCGGCTGCCGCACCTGTGCGGTTGGCAGCATAGCCATGAGGGTCATAGACGTTGTATACCGCATCGCAATCAGATGAGACAAAGCCGGTGCCGAAGTCCCAGGTATCGCGCAGCAGAGTCTGGAGGAAGAATGAGTTGGCGCAGCTTGGCACGCCGTTGACTGCGTTGTAAGAACACATCAAGCCGCGAGCCTTGGCGAATTGCACAGCCGCCTTGAACTGAGGTGTGTAGTAGCCAGCTAGATCCTGCTGGGTAATGTTTACATCGTTACCCAGACGTCCGTGGTTGTGCCAGTTCTCAATGTCGTAACCAGCGAAATGCTTGGGCACAGCGATCAACTTTGGCACTGTCGGGTTGATTCCGCCCTGCATGCCGGTGATGTACTCGAAAGCGTACAGAGACGACAGGAAGAATGCATCTTCACCAGGGGTCTCTTGTCCACGACCCCAGATTGGTGACCTGAAACCGTTGATGTTGGGGCTGTATACATCGAGACCGTACTTGCCTGCATTGTTGTAAGCCCGTCCTTGCGTAGCGATGATGTCGGCGATTTGGTGGATCAGAGAGGCGTTCATCGAGGCCATGGACTGTAATGGGCGTTAGAGGGGCAGAAAGCTTCTGCATGTGGAATGAACTCACCAAGATTGGGGAAGGGAACGAAGTTGCCCAGCTCCACTGGCCGGGAAAGCTGTTTCCAGCAAAGCGACTGAGACCGTGAAGAGCCTCATTCCAGATCTGGTACGCTGGAAGACCGAGCCTAGGGACACCAGGAGCTGTGTTATCGGTGTTATTGGTCAACTCCTCCAGTGTGAACATGGAGAGCAACGCCGCAGCTCGATCCCATGACGACGCTGACGTATTGCAGACCACGGTGTTGGCGAGCTCGGTTCCAGCACAGGTAGGGAAGGTGGTGTTGAAGTCGTACAGTGTCCTGTGATCAAGACTGGGCTGTGGGTTGGTAAGGTAATCATCAGATTTGGTCTGGGCCTGTCCGAGGACAGCCGGTGCTACTGCCAGTACGGCTCCGAGCACAGTAGAAGAATACATGTTGGCTCTGTTGACAATTGCGAAGAGAGAAACGAGTACCGTCCTTCAAACTTCTGCTTTCGAGCTCGACATTTTGTACTCAAGCTACGGCCTATGACGGCGTGCTGACCGGGAGATCTTTCGCTTCATGCAAGCGGCGTAGACAAGCACTTTCGGCCACGCAGGAACCGAGCGCCTCAGCCGTGTCCATCGGAAATCCATAAAGCTTGCCTCGAAGTAGTAGTCGGCGTGGTTGCAATTCGTCGCTGTGGAGCTCCACAGGATTGATCTCCAGCGATTCTCCACGGTCCCCACTCGAGACATTTAGCCTAGAATCAGGCTATATAGATCGAAGTTCTGCCCATGACGTGCGACCGATGTCCGAGTGGACCGCGAGCACGTATAAACAGGCAGGTTCTGTCGTTCGTTGAGGCCGTCGCATCCGAGGTGGTTGCCAGCTCCCATGTCGTTTGCTTGGCGAGAAAACTCTTCATGTTGCGAAGGTAGAATAAGATGGAAGAAGAATAAGGTCTGCCGATCTGTGGAGGAGCAGGACCTGTGGGGCCAAACCAAATCAAACCATCGGTCACACTCGAGACGAGAACGCGAAAAGTATTGTCATCGATCAGGCAATACAGGTGTAATGCGTACAAATGTCAGCGAGTGGTATACCTGGCTGTGAGGTCACCGCGCAAGCATGTATGACATGGCCCATTTGCTTCGACTCGAGGTTTGAGCGCTCACAGAGCCAGAGCAAGATCATCGACTCGTTTTGCGGAAGACTATGGCAGAGCGAGAAAGCAATACAGAAGGGTATCTTCTTTAACACAGCCATGACACTGCGCCATGTTTATCTGAGCATGCTGGGGCCGAACTCCAAAAAGCCAAGCCTGGTGCTGTTTCATTCGCAGTGACGGCCAGCAGATCATCAATTCACCATATCATTACCATCCGCGCTACCGGCTTCTTCACTGATGCCAGTAAGGAAAGGATGCTTAAGCGCTTCCTCCGCCATCATCCTTCTCGCCGGATCAAGCTCCAAACAACCCTTCATAAACTCGATCGCCTTCATCTCCTCCCCTGTCATTCCACCCTCCCCATCAGCACCTTTCTTGTTACGATTGGTGCACCAGAGGAGGATTTTCTCCCAGGTATGACCCGCTTCCGTCAGAGAAGGCAGATTGGTTTGCAGAACCTGGCCATGCAAGGTGGCGATCTCGCGCATCTTCTTCTTCCCGAAGATGGTGCAGAGCTCGATGAAAGCGTCGATATCGTCTGCGGAGTGGAAGAAGGGAAAGCGTTTGCTTAGTAAGGTTAGGAGGATTATACCGACGGACCAGACGTCGATGAGACAGGTTTGGGCGGTGCATTTGAGGAGGACCTCTGGGGCTCGGAACCCACGGGTACCTGCACGATTTGCACGTCGTGAGGAGCGCTGGTCGTTGTTTGGATATGTTGGTCTGGGTGGTTGCTGACCTGCGGCTGTAGCAGCATTGAGAGTCGTGGTGTAGACCGAGTTCTTAATCTTGCGGTCTCGATCGGGTGGCTCATAACAGCAAGTGCAGTGGTGGTAGTCCGTGCCTTCCCTTTCTGCCAGACCAAAGTCGACAAGCACGCCACACTGCTTTTGCGGTGAGTAAAGAAAGTTGGTTGGCTTGATGTCACGATGTATGATTCCAGCATCGTGGACGGACGCTAATGCTGTGAAGAGGCTCTGGAGGTAGACCCGTATGTCGTCAATGCTCATGTCGCGGTAGTACTCCCGGAAATCCTTGTGCGGGAAGAACGGTAATATCGCGATGACCTGATCCAGATGACGAAACGACGTGATCAGCGGGCACACATTGGCTGAGTTCCGAAGGTCGTGTAATAGTTCCAGTTCGTTCAAGATGCGTAAAGGGGACGAGGTTACATAGATCTTCTTGATCGCCACATACCGAGGCCTTTGCACGCCCTGAGACTTCTGTTTGGCACTTAACCCTGTTCCATTGAAGTTCTCCTTGTTGGCTGCGGAGTCCCAGCTGTTGTCGTAATGGTCGTAGAGTAAGTCTTCAGCCTTGTAAACAGTAGAGAACGTGCCTTCCCCAATGCGATTGATGAGGCGGTAACGCTGTGTGATGTTTTTGAAAGATGCTTCGAAGTGTTCAATGTCATCAGCAACAGCATCGTCGACTTCTTCTTCTGCCTCGTCGTCGGTCACAGTGCCGTTGCTCTCATCCAGTGGGTCCAGGCTCTCTTCAATCCCGCCTGTTTCGTCCTCAGTGCTGTCACCCTGCTTTGCCATTGTGTCGTCATGCACGGGCACAGGATACTGCGATCTGCGTAACGTTGCGGCCATGCTCCTCCGTGCAAAGAGTGAATGTCGCTCCCGAGCTCTAAATGTACATCGGAAATATTAGCGGGTACCTTGCAGCTCTCACATGGCAGCTGGTGTGGTGGATTTGCAAGCGCGAGACGCGTCGGTGTTCGGCGTTGCTTCGCCAGCCCGCAAAAATAAACAACAGCCATATGATAGATATCGACAAACACTCTCAACAATCCAGTGCGCTGGCTCATGAGTGTCGCGCGACTGCGCACATACTGCCGAAATGTCCGACTTCGACATCAATACCGCCCTGAAAGCATATCTCGACGACCCACAGTCCCTCCTCACGCCAGAAGCCGATGCATGTCTGCTTGACTGCGAAAACGATGCGGATGCCTTTTCGCCAGGTCTGATCAACAGCGTGCTAAATCCCATAGCGGATGCGATTGGAGAGAATCCAGAAGCCGTTTTGCAGGCAGCAAACTTGGACAGTCTGCAATTCCTACTCAAGTGCGCTCCCACTGATCTTAACTTGTATGATCGCGGTGCTGATTGTGAGCTTTTCGCTCGGTGCAGACAGAACTCGTACACACCTGCACCCTCGCTCGGCAAGTTGCTGGACCTGATCATAAGCGGTCTCGGAGCAGAGGCAGAGACTATCCACCACGAAGAGCAAGATGGAGACTCGGAGACAGCACAACATAAGCAGACACTGGAAGTATTCGCGTTTCTGCTACAATGGTGTATCGCTTGCGTGGAGGCCAAGAGCGCTGAGAAGCCAGCCGCTCCAGCACGAGGCAAAGGAGCGAAGGGCAAGAATGCGAAGAAGGATGGCAACTGGGATCCCACCGCACAGCTGCAGACTGCTCTCGACACAATGACAAAAGTCATGAAGCTGAAGCTGGCCAAGATCTTCGTAACGACAAGCGAGCGCGATACCTTTATCGGCCTATTCACAAGGCCTGTATATCAGATTTTGGAAAGCGAGCAAAGAGTGAAAAGCACTGCGATACGAATGCACACTTTCAAGGTCCTGTGCGTGGCAATCAAGCACCATGGCCACGCCTACGCTGCGCAAACGAGCATCATACAAAACCTGACCTACTTCGAGCATCTGGCCGAGCCTATGGCCGAGTTTCTAAACATTTTGGCCGAGCAGTATGATTACGCGCAGCTGGCTGAGGAAGTCATGAAAGAGCTATCCAGTAAGGAGTTCAGTGCAAACGACACGAGAGGGCCAAAGTCAGTCTCGACTTTTGTGGCACGCTTGTCTGAGCTTGCACCTCGCGTTGTTCAGAGGCAGGTCTCTTATCTCGCAAAGCTGCTCGAAAGCGAGAACTACACCCTAAGATGCGCCATCATCGAAGTGTGTGGCAATCTGATTGCAATGTTGTCTAAGGCCGAGGAGAGCGAGCGGAGTGAGAACCATAAGGGCCAGATCAATGCCTTCTTCGACGTGCTGGAGGAGCGATTCCTGGATATCAATCCATACTGCAGATGCAGAGCCATTCAAGTATACGTCAAGCTGTGCGATCTGGAGACCAAGTACCCGAAGCGAAGACAAAAGGCGACCGAGCTCGCTACACAGAGCCTCGAGGACAAGAGCAGCAACGTACGACGCAATGCCATCAAGCTCCTCGCCAAGCTCACGACTACCCATCCTTTCGCAGTGCTTCACGGCGGACTGCTCAGTCACCAGGAGTGGGAATCACGACTGGAGACTTGTGAAGCGGAGCTGAGCGCGCTGAAACCACCAGCTGGAACTCCTGGTCTAGCAGAGCGTACGCAGGCTGAGCAGACTGTCGATGAGAGCTTACTGGACGATGCCACTCAGTCCGAAGAGCGAGCACCCATGACCGAGGAACAGAGGATGGCCGCTTTCCAGAAGGCGCAGGAGGAAGCTGCAACGGCTGAAGCGCTCAGCAAGTTGCAACTTACCAAGCGTTATTACATCGAGGCCTTGAAGTTCATCAATGCACTGCATGAGGCGAGCCCCCATATAGTGCAACTACTTGCCAGCAAGAACAAGTCGGAAGTTGTGGAGGCAATGGACTTTTTCGTGGTGGCTGATGCTTACCATCTGGAGACTGCGAAGTCTGGAATCCGCCGTATGCTACGTTTGATCTGGACGAAAGGCAACAGCGATGAAGGCAAAGGTGTGCAGACGCATCTGATCGAATGCTATAAGGGTCTCTTCTTCGATGCACCGGACAATTTCAGTGCCAATGACGCTGCGAATTATGTTGCACGGAACATGATTAGTCTGACCTTCGGAGCAACATCAGCAGAGTTGACTAGTCTCGAGCAGCTTTTGGCAACCATGATGAAGGAGAAGATTATTTCTGAGCTCGTGACCCAGAAGCTGTGGCAAGTGTATGGTGTGCAGAAGAAGGAGATTAGCAAGCAACAACGACGAGGTGCGATCATCATCCTTGGAATGCTTGCTCTTGCCACTCCAGACATTGTTGTAAAGGAGATGGAGATCTGCTTACGCATTGGTCTTGGCGCTCTTGGTCAAAAGGATCTCGTGTTGGCTCGATATACTTGTGTCGCACTCATGCGCATGACTGACAATAAGCCGACCAAGGGCACGCAGGGCAAGCCCAGTAACAGACTGCCGAACGACCACGCTGTCCTGATTCGCCTGGCTGCTTTGCTGGAGATCCAGAGTGACAGCAGAGACTGGTATGGACTGGCAGAACAGGCTATCAGTGCGATATATGCGCTTTCAAAGCACCCAGATGTGCTATGCTCGGAGATCCTGCGGAAAAAGACGAAGGCGGTGTTCGCGCCCAAACCGAAGTCGAAATCGCAGGACGCCGAAACCAGCCAGATTGATGGCGATGGCGATATTGAGATGAGCGACATGCAGGAGGAGACAGCCACCCCAGAGTTGATAGAACCCGTTGAAAGGAGTGGTGACTCTGCCCTTGCACTATCGCAACTACTCTTCGCTGTCGGCCACATTGCCTTAAAGCAGATCGTGCACCTGGAATTGTGCGAGCAGGATTTCAAGCGTCGAAAAGCAGAGAAAGAGAAGCTCAAACCTGCTTCTTCGCCTACCAAGAAGACCCCAGGCGGCAAGACGCCTGCTGCTAAGAAGGCTGGCGAAAAAGAAGACGAGCAGGACGAGCTCGACCTCATGGCCGGCACGAATGAAGACGATTTCACTGACGCGATCGCCCATATCCGCGAGCGCGAGTTGCTATACGGTCCCCAGAGCTTGCTTTCGAACTTTGGACCACTGGTGAAGGAAGTCTGCGCCAATAACACGTCCTATCCTAATGCCGAGCTGCAGGCACAAGCAGCACTCTGTATGGCGAAGCTCATGTGCGTGAGCTCGGAGTACTGCGAGGCCAATCTCAGCTTGCTAATCACGATCCTGGAACGCTCGCCTTCAGCCGTGACACGCAGTAATCTGGTCGTGGCTCTTGGCGATATGGCGGTATGCTTCAACCATCTCATCGACGAGAACACGGACTTCTTGTATCGACGACTATCGGACAAATCGCTACTCGTGAAGCGTACATGTCTGATGACCCTCACGTTTTTGATCCTGGCTGGTCAAGTGAAGGTCAAGGGCCAGCTGGGTGAGATGGCGAAATGTGTCGAGGACTCTGATGAGAGGATACGAGATATGAGTCGTATGTTCTTCGCCGAGCTGGCGGGTAAGGACAATGCGGTGTACAACCACTTTGTGGATATGTTCAGCTTGCTGTCGGCAGATGATGGCCTAGAAGAGGACAGATTCCGAAGGGTCATCAAGTTCCTGGCGAGCTTTATTGAGAAGGTAAGAAATCCCTCAACCGCACTCGTCGAGTACATGCTAATCAAGGTGAAAAGGACAAGCATGCCAAACAGCTGGTCGGCAAGCTTGCACCAAGACTGCAGCGTGCTGAGACCGAGCGACAGTGGAACGATGTTACTTATGCCCTGGGTCTGCTGCCTCACAAGAATGAGGATATCGCGAAGATGGTGACTGAGGGTTGTAAGGTCGTGGAGGCTGCCGCGTAGTCATCTATATGTCTTCTCGCAAGAATCTTAGTGGGATGATTTGATGATGGCTTTTCTCTTAATACCCTGTATGTGCGGACTGCCGCTTCTGTTCATTGTAACACATTTGGCATCGTCCCACAAACACCCGACAACGACAGCCGAAATACAGCCACAGTCTATCGTGCTTCTCAAACTCTACAATCTATATCAGCACTACCATCCTGGCACAAACAACCGGCTCGTCTCGGCACAAAACTCTATCGAAGGTTGAGCCCGCTTTGCCTCGATCAGGCAACGCGAGCCTGCCTTCCAACAAATCAGAGCAGCCTGTGACTACAACTCCCACTCTCTCCATGACTCGAGCATTATTTCACGCCGCACTTGGCCCTGCAGCCGGATCGTACAAAGACCAAGCACGAATGAGCTCGGGTTGTTCGTCCGTTCCAGAAGTTCTCCACTGCGTTTCTCACGCGAAGGCCATGGCGCACTGCCGCGATGGCGCTGCCAGTGTTGCATTAGGGCGCTGTAGATTGGTGAAGTTCTTTGCGCCGCTTACGATTTCCTCGTACTTTCATTACAGGCTTACTTTGACCTCTCTTTCTACAGCCAAGGTGCGTGACGATCGTGTACGAAATGTCGGGCATAGCAGAGAATTCGCTGCGTCGCCGCTCTGTGGAGCCCTCACAGCCTGACGTGAAGGGCAACTACAAAATCTCCAGCGTCTCCCAGGACTCAGCAGAGAAGCCGTATCTGGAGTCTTTAGGATCATCTGGACATGAGCAAGATGGCTTCTATAATAATGAACACGACATGCAGGACATGCATCGTCTGGGTAAGAAGCAAGAGTTCAAGCGCAACTTCTCACTATGGTCCTCCATCGGATTCGTGGCCATCTATATGGCGACTTGGGAGTTTATCTTGATTACATTGTCTGTCGGCTTCACCAACGGAGGTTATGCCGCTATGTTCTGGTGTTTCATCACGACCACGCTTGCGTACTCTACTGTTGTTGCCAGTCTGGCTGAGATGGCATCCATGGCGCCCACGAGTGGCGGGCAGTACCGTAAGTTCTCGTGACTAGCATGAGTAATTTATCGAGGCCGGCAGCTAACTGAGATGCCAGACTGGGTTTCCGAGTTCAGCCCACCGAGCTATCAGAAAGTGCTCTCCTACGCATCTGGCTGGATGACAACCCTCGGCTGGCTGGCTGGCTTCGCAAGCAGTTGCTACACACTTGCGAACCAAATCCAGGCCTGCATCAATGTCACCATGCCCGACTACGCTTTCACAAACTGGCAGATTACTCTCTTGATGTGGATTATCATACTGGTCACCATCGCCTTCAACACCTGGGGCTCGTCGTTCTTCCCTCAGCTTGAGACTGCGAGTTTGATCGGCCACGTCCTGGGTTTCTTCGTGGTGATGATTCCGCTTTGGGTGCTATGTGAGAAGAACACGGCGCACGACGTATTTCTTCAATTTACGGACCAGAGCGGATGGGAGAACATGGGTTTTGCCTATTTATCCTGTCAGATCTATGTTCTATGGTGCTGCTTTGGCTCTGACAGTATTGTCCATCTCTCGGAGGAGGTCAAGAATGCATCCATCATCGTCCCTCGTGCTATCTGGTGGTCCTACATCGGCAACGTCGTCTTTGGCTTCATTATGCTTATTACCATGCTATTCTGCATTGGTCCGCTCGACCCCATCATCCAATCTGACTGGCCCTTCATTACTTTGTTCGATCGCACTGGTTCTCAGGGTCTGAATCTGTTCTTCAATATCCTACTCTGGATCTTGGTATACCTTGGCAATATCACGACTCTTGCGACTTGTGCTCGTGAGACTTGGGCCTTTGCACGAGACAAGGGTCTTCCTGGCTCAACATGGATCGGCCGAATGTGAGTACCTTCATCGTGGTAAATGAGCCCTTGTCTGTGCTGACTTCTACTACAGGGACAAGAAATGGCAAATACCATTCAACTCGGTCTACATCATGTCCATCGCTGCTGCTCTGCTGAGCATCATCGTGATTGGCTCAGCTACCGCATTCAGCGTGCTGGTGTCCCTGTCAACACTCGGTATCATGACAACCTACCTCATCAGCATCGGTTGTGTGCTGCTCAAGCGCATTCGAGGCGAGTCGCTGCCAGTCGCCAGATGGAGTCTTGGACGATGGGGCATGGCAATCAATGCTTTTGCTGTGCTCTACAGTCTTTTCATTGTGGTGCTGTGTTGCTTCCCACTAAATCTGCCTGTCGACACATCGACTGCCAACTGGGCACCTTTGATTTGGGTGGGCGTCATCATCCTTGCTGCGATAGCCTATGTCTTCCATGGGAAGAGGGAATACACGCCACCAGTGGACTTTGTCGAGGGTAGGAAGGCAGCAGGTGTTGGTCTGCAGCACTCCTCGTAGGAGAGTCGCCGCACGAAAATAGAAGTAGATGATGCATGAAGGTCTGTAGCTTACTTATACCTATACCTGCACGGAACAGAGACATTCATCGTAGTCGAGCATCCGACAGAGCATTTACAGGGTGTGTATAGACGGTGAGCCAGTATTCTTCGAAGTTGCTATCCTTCTCGTGGGTGGGAATTGTTCTGACCATGGAAGGGTGGCCCTCTTTGCTCTGTGCATCCGGGCGAGAAACGAGAATAGCACTTCGCGGGACATTGCATGTGAAGGTGACATTTACAAGTTCATCCTTTGCCATAAGCGGCCACTCTGGTCTAGCTGTCGCATTTGCAGCGATTGCTCCTTATTCGAGCCGACTGCTCCACAGTAGTCGTGTCAAACTGGAACACGACGTTGCGACCTGCTTCCCTGAGGGCACCTGTAATCTCGTGGCCGCAGGTCTTGTCAACTCTTGGTGTTCTTGGCGTCTTGGTTGAGCCGGAAGTGCGGACAAGCGTTAAGCAAAAATGCAAGCGAGTAATTAGGCATAAAACGCCACCACGAGGTGAAGCGGAGACTCGAGCGACCAGCTAAGCCGGAAGAAGCAGAGCTGGATCCGAGACGGGCTGGAAAGGTGCGTATCATGCAAGGCGTCGGCAAGGTGTTATTGTTGCGTGTGATATGGTGACACGACATCCACAATACCAGCATACATGAGCGGAGTCTTCGCCCGAAGGGAACCATGATGGTGGAGATCGTTGCATCGACATCGCTTCCACAAAGTCTGTTTGGAAGCCTAAAGCTTGGCGTTAGTTGGTGAGTCTATAATGGAAGTATATCGTGACCGGGAAAGTGCTCACGGGCATCATGCTCACAGCACCGTGTTGATCTCGCAAACAAACATACCCAGATTCTCCTCATATCGCTTGGATCTACCAAGTCGCGTGTCATGGCACCAAGCCTTTGCCTGACTAGGCTGCGCGGCACAACCTGAGCCAAACCAGATCAACGCTCACCAAGGAACCGCCGAGACAAGCTATCGGCTTGGCTCGCTGGGTAAGCTTGACTTTATGACAGGGCCTAAGTATACGTGTACTTTGTCCTCTCGGATCGGGATGATCGTCAGCAGCGGTGTCACCAGCACCAATTTTACATCTTGCAGTCCGTTGAGGCTGGAATACATGCTGGAATCTAGGTTCAGACCTCATCATCATCTCCATACTAACTGGAAGATGGTTGAACAGCGAGAATGATGAACCTGATAGTTCTTGGCAGAGGCGGCACGGCAGCCTCTTGGCTTGAGCCAGACCTCGTGGCCGGACGATTCTGATCCACACAAGTCCCGTCGATATGCGAAGCCAAGGCAGAGGCTTACAGGTCGATAGTGCAAGTCCACAATGTATGAGCCGAAGTATTGTGCTGCTGTGCTGCCGTCAGTCTCGGACAAGACTTCTAGACGAGGTGGAAACAGTCCCTGTAGTATATTGCTGCTACCTTCGAACCATTCCTAGAACTTCCAATTCTGCTGTCCGAGTCAAGTAGACGAAAGCGAAGGTTTCGCGCTAAAAGAAGCTTCTTATCGCGGTTCGGTGCTTCCCTGTCCACGCCCACAGCTACATGTCATGCCATGTGCCCTGTGCGTTATTCACACTCGCTTGTCGCACACACATCAGCACTTTGCTGCCACGTTCTCCGCGAGCTGTGCTTCCCTACGCCTTGCATGTATCGCTGGCTATACTGACCAGGCCGTCCATTAACCCCACCACAACCCCGAATTAACGTATGTTTGTTCGAGTCTAATGTCGTATTGTAATGCTACACATAGCTAACGATGTCGAACAGAAAGGGCACCAGGAGTACACAGCGAAGCGATCAAGGAGCACCTCCGGACCAGCAACAACGGTCCGCCGGAATGGAGACGTATAACGGGCTTGTACGGACGCCTGCGGATGCGATCATATTATTCGAGGCTTGTCGCATAGGGCTGCTGCCTCGAGTGCAACGACGATTGTCCGAGAAAGAGCGCCAGTCAATCAAGTCTGGCTCGGTGTTTGTGTGGGACGAGCGCGAAGCAGGCATGCGCAGATGGACGGATGGGAAGTCATGGAGCGCATCACGTGTGTCGGGCAGCTTTCTCACCTATCGCGAAATGGAAGGCAAGCGAGGTGGCAGCAACTTCGACAAAAGTGCGAATCGCGACGGCATACAAGGCACCGAAGGCGACAGTGATGGTGGACCAGACGGCTATCGTTATAAGCCAGATGGACTCATGAAGCAGTCCTTCTCCATTACTACTAACAGCAACCAACACCTTCATCTAATCAGCTATTTCTCTCGAGCATCCGCGGCTACGCAGACGCTCATGCAGCCAACAAACGACCATCAATTGCGACACATCCGGCCCGAGAAGGGCATGTACCCAGAGTCTACGGTCCACGAGCAGAGTACGATTCCAGCTGTGACTCGAGGACCGATGAGTTCGCCAGGCTACACGCATTCACCTCATCAAGGCTCGCCATATCAACGCCCGCCTCCATACGGTTACGCTCCTCACCCATATCCGCCTAGTCCGATGCACACACCACCACAGTATCCTGGCTACGGCCCTTACTATCACCAGCAACCATATCATCCGGCCCAGACGCCACTTCAACAGATGCAATATCCGCCTCAGCACCAGCCGCCGTATGGTCAAGGGCCAATGACAGCGTTTGACAGACCGCCACCACCTTTGAGTAATAATGGACTTCCACCTCCGCCACCACATCAGTACGGACAGCCGCCACCTCCACCAGGTCATGGCTATGGTGCACCGTATCCCTATCCCCCAAACGGCTACCAGTCGTATCAGCCGCCACCTCTTCAACAGCCACCGCCACCACCTCAACAACAACAATCTGTCTACCCACCGCCTCATGCCCACCAACCACAGCCATATCCGCGTCAGGCAGAAGCATCTACTCAGGAGCCAAAGGCGACCGGAGAAATACGACCCGAGCATCAAGAGCAGCCTAGTCAGAACCAGCAACCGCCGGCAGATCAAACACAGCCCAGAAGCGATCAACAAGCGCAACCAGGATCCCAGGCACCAAATACTTCTGGTGGCCAAACTATTCCAAGCATCTCCAGCATGCTCAATGGCGCCGGCCAAGTTCCTCCAGCGCGCACAACAAGCCCTAAATCTGGACCGGCCTCACCAAGACCACTGCAAGATATTCCACATCACAAGCTCGGCTTCGAGGTCAACAGAGATCTTCAAGCATTGCGGAATCTGGACAAGTCGACTTTGAAGTACTAGTATGACTGCGACACTCTGTTCTGTATTTTACCGTGACGACCACAAGCCAGTCATCTACGACAACGATGTCTGTGATGCTGAGAATTGAGACAATAGTGCGACTGCGCGCAAATTGACCTTCTTTTGCAGCAAACGTCTTGGAAGGGCACTTTGATGCGTTCGAAGCGCGGCGCACGGCGTCTGGGAATGAGGGAGAACGTGTGTAATGATTTCAATGATGATGCGTCAACTCGTGCTGTAGACGGAAGTAACGTATTTCTACGCAGATGTCCCATATAATTTCACGTTGTAATCGTGGTAGAAAGATGTGCAAGCCTTGATAAAGCTTTGTGATCATGCATTTCTACAACGTAAGTACATCTTGCGAGTCGTCCATAGCACCCATCTCAAGCATGCGCACGGCAGTATGAGCACGCGCAAATAGTCAATGCAGGCTCAAAGTCATAAAAATCTCTACCGCACTAGGCGATCGCAAGATGCGCGCGCAGCATCCAAACGCTAGCGCACATAATTGCGCACTGGTCCTGTTTGTAAACTCTCGCTCTCAGCGCTGGGTGGTGTCCAAGACCGCTGCTGAGGTGGTAAATCATAGGTATCGTGTAAGGCATTCTCGTCGTCAATCGTCTGGAGAGTGTCTTCGGCTCTGAAAACGTGCATGGTACATCCAACTCGCTGGTCGCCCCGTCTGCGGAAGATTCAAGCGGGAGGGTGTGTGTGCTATATCAGCTGAAGCCTCCTGGCAGCGGACTCGTGCTACTCTTCCGGCTCCCTGCCGTGTCCGGCGATCACAGTGTGGAAGATGATGTGCTTGATGCCGTCGGCGATCGACCGTTAGAGCCTGACAGTGTTCGCCCGGTGCTTGGCCGCGATTGCGCAGGGTTGCCACTGAGTGATTTCCCTTGCGTACTATTCCAGCCCAGCCGGGACTTGTAGTTCGGTAGTTCTGCGTTATTCCATACGTTCACGAGGACGCTGAGCGTATGTCAGCCCATGATCTTGTCACTCGACAGATAGCATTGGCGTACTTCTGTGTCTTATCCATATAGTTCTCGTCCTTCATCTCCTTCACGCCCACCTTCAGCCCACCATCTTTTGTGAAGCTCACGTTCTTCTTCTCCATGTGCTTCTTTCCTCTGTCCTTCATCTCCTCCGACCAGAGATACACCTGATACCCAACAAACCCACCGCCCCCGACAACGATCAACAAGATGATCAGAGGGATCAAGTTTCCGATGCCCGCCATAGTGAAGGTTGTGCTTCGGCGACCGTCTGTCTCGAATAATTCCTTTATGCAGTCCAATGTCGATAGTGTGCGTTCAATGTTCGTCAGGCTATATAGTCTGCCCGAGCATGTGATGATGGCGGGACTGTGACACGGGCGTGGCCCGCCGGCACGAGGAGCAAACAGCGATCTCGTGCGTCGCCAAGGTCTTGGTGTTCATGTGGAGGGCGCTAGACGTGACTCTAGCGTAAAAGATATGGATATGAGAGAAGTTGGGAGGAAACAGCAATACGAAGTCTTCAAGTATACTAGATGCATCGAGTGGCCTCTGACCGGCAGTGTCTTCTCGAAGCAGGCATAGTAACAGGTAGGCTCTCCTATGCAAGTATCCCCTCCTCCATCGAATCTATAGACTGTGGTAAGACGATCGGCCTCTTAATTCGTTGCTACTAACCTTTAGACCTCGATGGGTCAGTATCACCGCTTGCTCAACGTAAGTAAGTCCCAGGAAATCGAGAACCACGGTGGCGTCAAGATGAAGGCGATACTCATGAGGCACCAAATGAGGAAGGCACTGGTGAAGCATGTAAGACTGCCTCCAGTCTGTTTTCTGAAGTTCACCGACTGTCAGATCAATATTGCGCGTGCACAAGCTGTCCAGAGACGAATAAGAACTCGTAAATCAAAAGAGCTGGTCAATCGTACTCTGTGCTCTAGATTGAGGTCATCTTAGCGCCCAAGGTGATGACACATCCAGTTCTGGTGGGAAGCATGAAAAATACGGCGCCCAGGATCACTCATTGCTCAGCTTCAAACGCGATACCTCGACAAGCCTGTCAACGAAAAGTCGTACACGGAGCCGGCACAATCAGATGCACTGGTGCTAAGAAAGGTAGCACGAATGGACAATGAGCTGCATGAACTCTGTGCTGGTCGAGGTGTGAACATCACTGCAATGGACGACGTCCACGGCAAAAGCTGGAAAGACGTCAGCGACACGACAAACCTGTGGGTCTGATAATTCTCAAAGTCGAGTCCTTGCATGGCCTTGTTGTAACGACGCACGATTGCCTTGCGTGCGTTTAGTTCCGCTTCAACCGCAGGGCATGAGTTCTGGCTACCTCGAGTGGTACAGGCGCTTGTCAACAGTATGTTGCTGAAATCTTCTGTGTGCCACAATGCACCACGGTCCCACTCATGCTCTGATCATTGTTTCGTCTTTGCCCCCCAACAGCGACAAGCAGGCCGACGCGCGAAACGATGGGAACGAGTGATATAAGTGAACGTGCCAGGTTAAAAGTCGTCCTCTAGCGGCGTAATCGTATTGCAGCCGTAGCATCTCTACTTGGGCATCTAGAGCGTGCTACGCCCAGGACGCCGAAGTCCAAATTGTCCGAGCGACGGCAGCAACACCCGCGCGGATGGCTAAGTTAAAGTACAGAAATGCGCCGTCTGTATCCCAGCATCATCATTAATCACCACTAAGGGTGAGATCTCGCAAGAATGCAAAAGACGCGACTTCAACTAAACCAATTACAACTTCCACATGGCAACTCGAAGCCTACTGTGAAGGCTGACCGCGCCATGCTTTCACCACAGAATATCCAAAAATTTGTCCAAATGGTGCGCTTAGAGGGCGGCAACGAGGCCGAAAAGGGCCAAGAAACCAGCACCGTAAGCAGAGACCTGGGAGGCGGCACCAGTGTATGGCTTGGGGGTGGAGGTAGCGCTGCCAGTTGGCTGGGCGGCACCGGTGGCGTAGGCAGTGGCAGTGCCGTTCTTGGCAGTTGGGTAGACTGGAGCGACTGGGACGCTGCTTGGCTTGACAATTGGGGCCTGGTGAGTGTTAGCAAAACACTACTTGCGAAAGATCTTGGGAAATACTTACGGTGCCAGTGGAGACAGCTGGGGCGCTGGAGACTGGGGCAACTGGGGCGGAGGAGCTATTGAGATGTCAGATATATGAACTTGCCAGAGTACTGATGCAATGTACCAAGTGGAGCACGCGGTGACGACTGACGAGTAGACTGGCTTGGTGACAGTGCAACCGCCGGGGCAGTTGGTAATGGTCAAGGTGGTGGCTTGGGACACGGTGTAGGTGGAGCCACCGTGGGTGAGTAGGGTGGCCTCTGGGCAGAAGGTGGTGAAGGCGGTCACGACCTCAGTCACGTAGACTGGAGCAGTGCCGTTGGAGGCAGGCCAGGAACCGGCAGCGGCGGCAGCGCCAACGAGGGCGGCAGAGGCGAGAGTGAAACGCATGTTGATGGTGGTGGTTTTGGTGGTTGAAGTTGTTATTAAAGGTCGTTGATATGTTGGTTAACGAGTGACTGCGGTGTATACCGTGAAGATGGGGTGAGAGAATGTGTAGTTGTTGGATGAGGAGAGCAAAGGTGAGCAAACGAGGCGGCTCCGTGACGCTATAAGGGAGAGCATTTGTTGCAATCAGCATGCAGGTACCAGTTGGCTAATGCGCGACCGTTGACCAATAGCAAGCATAAGCCCCTGACAATGGCTCATCTGGTCTAGCAACCCCTGTAAACCGATTTTAGCTCGAGTGCCTCCGAGAACAAAGCTCGAGACTTTTGTTCGTGGATTACGCCGTATCCGTTGAGAGCGCCGATGCAGAGGCAGCAAGGGGCAACAACCATCGGGAATCAGGCCGTCATGGCCTGCATCCGCCGTCAGCATTGCGCAAACGATTCCTGGACGCCTCTGCACCTGATCGACTACGATTCGATATGGATGGTTGGTGAGAATTGCCAGTAGATTAGACGCTCTTGAGAAGCGACGAGTAATTCTAGTAGGTATCCCCGTACTCGACCTCCACGTTCGCAACACCAGCTCCACTTGACTACGCGGCGGTACAAACGTACCGATGTAGGCTCCACCCGAGTCTCGGTATCAACGGCACGTCCGTCTGACGACTGTCTCTCAACAGTCAACACCGAGCAGGAATCGTGTCGAAGTAGAGCAGCTCCGATGTGGCTTACGATCGTTGAACGTCGACGCGCAGGTCATCTTGTCGCCGGCGTGCTGTACAGCACTGAGAAGAAAACATCGGACGCCACCGATGCGCACACACGTGACGACAAAGACAGAAGCGCCTTTCGTCGGAAGGCGGCCAAGAGCAGACGCGTGGTGGTGTATGAGTGGATGAACTCTAGTCGTCGCCCGAGATGAGGATGTGGAGGAGGTTTCGCAAGCGCCCAGTCGTGCCGAATGATTTGAAACACAAACTACCCGTTCCGCTTCTGTAAGGTACCCGTACTACTTCGTGCTGAGTGTTTGTGTACGACCTTGATCATGTTGTGCTTTCACACTGTCGATCTCGATCTCGCTGGTCACCTTGTCTCAAGTCAACAGCTGTCGTTGGAACGCTGTTATGGTGACATGGTGAAAGCACTTCGGAACTAGAAATAGCGATCCTGTACGTGGACGCTCAGTGCCATGCGTAATAAGCAACGCCTTCCCAAGCGATACACGAGACATTGGTGCTCTGGAAACAGGAAGATGGTTGGGCGGAGCAGTCAATATCATCTCGATACTATTGGCATTATTCATATCTGGTGCACGTTGAGCATCCACTGTCAAATATGTAGCTACAGAACCACAATCTCTCGCTGCGCTTCAGCCTCCAGTCCTGTACGACACCTCCCCCTTCATCAGAATCCTAGACGTCCTGTGTAATAACGCACTTTCAATCTTGCCATCCTGCACAACACTACCAACTCCAAGCTTGCCGCTCGCATGACCGATGACGACGGAGGACTTACCATCTGTGATGATTGCTGTAAGGTTGGCGAGTGTACCAGGAATCCCACAGCTTGCTCCAAGGTTGAGAGCAAGTGTTAGCGGGACTGCCTTATGCGCTTGGCCCATAGAGAGTGCGCGACAGATAATATTTATTCCCTGAGCAGCCTCTTCTGCACTCGGAGGTGACAGTAGTATGATCTTTGGCACGCTCTGCGTATTCTCGTCCATGCCCATCCTTCGAGCGCCTGCTCGTCGTATCATTTCTAGCCGCCTCATAATATTTGAGTAAGCACCAAGTGCATCCGGATTGATGTTGCCAGGCACACCTACATCAGAGGCCAGTACAAAGACGCCAGGATTGGCAATGTCGGTCAGACTGGCTCTAATTGTGCTAGCGTCTTCAAGCTGCAATTCGTCGACTGCATTCCCAGTCGGCAGCGCTTTGCCGGTCTTAGCACCAGCAGGATCCAGGAAGGACAGAGCAATGTGTGACGCAGTGCCTGGCACTCCGTCGATCGCGTAGTCGCCCAGCGGGTCGTACTTTCCTCTCTCGTCCACGCTGAATTCACTGACAATCACTTTGGCGGTGTTTGTATTGAACATGCGCACTCTCAGTCTGCTGTCTCTACTCGCCTTCATCGCAACCAGGCCCGCGTCGAGAGCGAAAGGGCCAACAGCTGAAGACATGTTGCCACAATTCCCAGCCATGTCAAGGGAGCCATCCTTGATGCCCACTTGGACAAACGTAGCGTCCACGTCCGCATCGTCACGAGTGGATCTGGACACGACCATGATCTTGCTGGTGGAGGATATTCCGGAACCCATGCCGTCGAGCTGTCGTCCATAGCTGTCTGGAGAGCCCATGACACTAGCCAGAATCGGCTGCCATTTGCTCTCGTCCTTAGGCAAGTGTTTGCGGTCAATGACAAGACCATTGGAAGTACCGCCACGCATGAAGTATGCTGGAAATGCTTGGGTGGACATCCTTGCTATATTCATGCTCCGTGAGCTGGTATGGCGAGCAACTGGTGTCGTTTTGAGACCCAAAGACAGTACTGTCCGCATCTTAGCGGTCATTGATAGCTATGCCCTCTGCCAGGCCTCTGTATAGGCATTATACCAAAATTCTGGCAAGCATATGACGGACCTTCTCACCCGTGGTTTCGGAGACACAGCGATGTCGGATCTCAACATCCAGCAACGTACTTCATCACCCTCTACATTCGCACATGGCTACATGCACCGTTAGCATCGTCAGGGAGGGTTCATTGTATGATAAATTCTGTAGGCGCTATGATTATGAGTAGCTTTCGAGTTGTATTGTTGAGGGACAGGAGGGAAGCCGAACGTGGTCGTGCAAATTTCTACCGCAGTTCAGCCGGACGCACCCACACCTTCCCACGCCTGACTTCTGTTACAACTATCTCACACTGACAGAGATCAAAGTCAACCATCACCGGTCCGCAAGACACATTATCGTGGACTCCCTCCAACTGAGACTGTACACAATCTGACAACAGGACAATGCTTTCCTTCATACTCATCCAGAACCGCCAGTAAGCAGTCTCTCTCTCTCTCTCTCACAGCTGACGTATGATCAAATTGTTGACCAATAGTAGGGGCAAGACTCGGCTCGCGAAATGGTACTCAGCATATAATGACGACGAGAAGATCAAGCTGAAGGGCGAGGTACACCGTCTGGTGGCGCCACGCGATCAAAAGCATCAGTCCAACTTCGTGGAGTTTCGCGGCAGCAGTAAGATCGTGTATCGCCGCTATGCTGGCCTCTTCTTCTGCGCCTGCGTAGATGCCAACGACAATGAGCTGGCGTATCTGGAGGCCATCCACTTCTTCGTGGAGGTCCTTGACCAGTTTTTCGGTAATGTATGCGAGCTGGATTTGGTTTTCAACTTCTACAAGGTACGTCTAGATCTGGCTGAGGCAGTGCTGTATACACAGTCGCCTGCTGCCGTGTGAGACTGTGCGCTAATAATCTCCTTTTTGAAGGTCTACGCCATCTTGGACGAAGTCTTCCTTGCTGGTGAAATCCAGGAAACTTCGAAGCAGGTCGTGCTCACAAGGCTAGAGCATTTGGACAAACTCGATTAGTGATTATCTAGTGCTGCGCAAGTACCAGTGTCCTGAACGTCTTGGATCTCTCATGATATGGCGAAGGGCGATTGGGTATTGGATCAAGCCATCCCCCCCAGCAGAGAGTGTTTGTAAGCTAGTAGCTCGCCAGCCCTGACTCTGGCATCCTACGGGCATTGACGGGGATCACCAACACCCTTGATTGTCGACACGACAAGCTCCTGCACGGGCTCATGCAGGGCGATCGGACACGAATGATGTATTCAGCAATGCACGACAACAACCCCTTCTTGGCCAATGCGTTTGAAGAGCTAGCGCTCAACACCGAATCCCTCTCCGAAGGCGAGAATGCAAACGAGCCAACCCGCAGATCGTCGACAAAGTATCTCACGTGGCACACGAGACCTTGGGCTGGCTGGAGGACGTTCCGGCGCTTTTATCGCCGGTCACTGCACGTGAGATCTACGAGCCGATTGAGCTCTCAGTACCTTCTTCTCGGATAATCGCTCTACAAGCCGACTAGTCTACTGGGCCGCTGGAGAATCCTAGTGAGAAACAGCGAGATGATATCGCCAAGCGTCGACGTGAGAAAAGTGTGGTGGTTACCATAATATTCGCTCTAGCTCTATAGGTGCTTTTGTAATGCATCACGCATATCATACAGTCTATGCAAAGCATCTTGCTTCACGCCATTGCCGCCTAGGGCAGGTCAATAATCTCCGGTCCACCAAAAGCTAGATATCCCAGATCCTCGTTGACAGGCGCAATACTATACAGACCCAGGGACCTTCATGCGGAGAGCGATCCCTTAGCCCTCCATCCCCTCATGCTCCTCGACAATCCCACCCTCATCCGCCACCCCATTCACCTCCCCCTCCCCCTTCTTCGCCTCCCCACCCTCATACATCACCCTCCTCCACCCCTCCCTGACCCCTGCATCCTTCACAAACTCCACCGTAGGGAAATAATGCTCGCACTTCTTCATCGTCGCCACCCAGGGCACGTTATCAAACGTCATCACTTTCAGCCGGAAGTACGTGTTATCCTCGATCTTGTTCACCTCTTTCAGAAAGGTCTCGAGATCCGGTGTCGGCACCGCGTTGACGGCGAGGATGAAGTTGGTGGGTGCGAGGCCGTACATGTATGCTGGACTGCCGCCCATTCGGGCGGAAACGTAGATGTCGCTGTGGATTTTGCTGATCTGCTGGCGGACAGCGTGGTGAGGACGATGGAGCACGGCGCCGCAGAAGACGACGACCCGGTCGGTTTCGAGTTCGCTGGTCGGGACTGTCGGGATGTCGAGACTGATTTCCTGTTGCTTTCGAACCACGACGGCGCGGAGGGTGGAGTTGTTGTACATAATATCCAGATGGCTTACGCGGGTTATGAGTTTGTCGTTTAAAGTGAGGATGATGTCGCCTTCTTGGAGTTTGGTGGTGTTTCCCGCGTCGACTTTGCGCACCATGAAGAGTTGATGGCGTTCCGGATCTTCGCGTTCGATGCGCTCGATCCAGGATTCCGAGACGCCCATGATGCGGCATTGAGACATTTGGACGGTTTGGGTTTCGAGGTTCAGGATACGCAGGTCGGGTTTGCGGCCGCTCTTTACTTCGTTGATGACGGGGAGGAGAGCGGGCGTTCCGAAGCCAAGGTGGTATTCGATATCCTTGCTGTGAGCTGTCCGTTCGCCCAGATATGTGAGCCAGAGCGCCTGGACTGTGCCATCTTCGGCTACGAGCACACCAGAGCCACATTGGCCGCTAAGACTAGTATCGACCGTGATAGCATCCAGATTGACCGCACGATAGCGAGGGGTACTAGCGCTCGCAGGGATAGCAACGGTCGTGATGTCCGTGACCGCTGTTTTTGACACAACAGGCCGTAGATTCTGGTTGAAGCCGAAGAAAATGGTCTCCTCGCCTTGCTTGACTGGTTTAGTGGCCAGCTTTGCACTTTTGACGGGTGCCTTTACTAGGCTTGGATCATACTGTATGATAGCGTAGTTCTGCAAAGGATGCATAAACACCACTTTGCCATCCACGATGATCGAGTCGGCGATGGTGACAGTGATATCGCAGAAGTCATAAGGCACAATCGCACGCGAGATGACGACCAGACCTTTCTCCGCATCTACCACCAGCCCAAAGCCGATCTTCCTTGTCTTGGGGAAGCCATCAAGCTTGATCGGCATCGAGGCACTAACCCTGACGAACGATCGTATGATGTCGACAGCTTGCGGATGCTGAGCACCAGCCATGGAAATGAAGTTGGCTTTGCGTGGCACAGGCGCGGTGGGCGCTATGGGATCCGAGATGTCGCTGAAATCCCACAGCCCAGTCTTGTCGTTGCGTACAGCCAGCCGCATATGCTTGTGCCAATGCCGATCTACTAACATGATACTGGTATTGAGTGTGTGCATGTCTCGCAGGTGCTTGTACGTGACCACCACGCGAGCGCGGTCGGGGATTGCTTTCATGACTTCCACGAACGTGTCGAGATTTGGTGTTGGCTTTTGGTCGACACTTTGGACCAGCCAGCCATTGGAGGAGCCTTCGAAGCGGAAAGAGCCTGAGGCTTCACAGCAGTATACTCCAGCGTCCTTGAGCGTCACGGCATATAATCGTGCTTGTTGGTATGACAAGTCGTGAAAGGCTGCGCCGGCGACGGAGACGAAGCGATCTGGTGTGATGGCGTGTAGATCGCCGACGTCGAGCTCGACCTCCATGTCTTCTCCGCCGCGCTGGACGAGAAGCTGTACCTTGCCATCCACACTACTGTCCAGCACACCGTCGAGGCGGGCAAATTGCGTAAGCAGCTCGCCATTGACCTTGATGAGCACATCACCTTCTTCTAGCTTGCCGAAGCCAGGTCCCTGGGGTAGGACAACTTCTGCCACGAGCATACCCGTCTCTTTTGGAAACTTGGCACGCACGTCACCTTCCCACTGCGCATTCAGGCCTAATCTTCTGCACTCGTCAAAAGCTTTGATGACCCACTGTGTTTGTATCGTGCCTCTGTCCACATGCTTCCCTTCTCTTATGCATTCCAGTGCTCGTAGTGGTCGATCGAGAGGGAGAAAGTAATCTGTCGCCGCACCGTCCGCTCTCCCACCAGCTTGCAGAGCTACAGCGTATCCATCAATGTTCACCACAGGCGAGCCAGAAGACCCACCCGATGCAGCGGCCGCAGCTTGAATGTAGTTGGTGTTGAAGTCGCTGTAACCCTCACCATATTCTGGCGCATTGCGATCCAGCCTGGAAATCACACCAGACAGAATACTCAGCTTCTCTCCCGCATCATTACCCACGACTCGGATCTCCACACCAACCTTGGCCTGATCAGGTCGCAACTCCAGCGCAGCCAGCGGCATGTATTTGATCTTCTTCGGGTCGAACCTCAGAATCCCAAAATCATGAACAGGGTCCCGGTATACGGGATACACGTCCGTCTCCTCATGGTTGTCGAAGATGCAATAACCCCAGAATGGCCCCGAGCCGACCACATGTCGATTCGTCAAGATATAACCTCTTTCCGCATCGACCACGAACCCGGTGGCTTCACTCGAGATGGCAGTATCGGTGTCGAAGGCGCAGGTTTGACAGAAATGTATGCTCACCACATTCCTCACCACCTTCTCGATCGTCGCCTGCCACTCTGCCGTATCTGCGGCCGCCGCAGCAACCACCACACTCCCCGCATCGTCTTCGATCGCTGGTCGTGGAGAAGTATATCCGTTGGGTGTGTCTGTAGCAGATGCTACGAAGCCGTTGGTGTAAGGTTTGTTGCTTTCGACATCTTCGTCTAATTCTTGAGAGGGTCGTCGAGCTTGTTTGGAAGGGCGATCGAAGCTGTTTGAGGGAGGAGGTTGTTTGCGCTTGGTGGCTGATGTTGGGTGCTCCATGTCGCTGTAGCCTCTGGCGAAGGTAGGGTGGAGACGAAGAGTTTTATGCAAGGCAGTGGTGGGTGGACATGCGCTTGTTATAAGCCTCTGCCGCTGTATGCAGTGAACGGAAGACGGCAAGGGCGATGCTCGCGTCGAACGGCCTGCCCGAGGAGCTGCCTTCAATAATGCGCCGCCGCGGCTGACGAGGAGGAGACTGTTCACGGCTGCCTTCACGCCACCAGAGAGGCAAAGTAGCATTCAGACACCGGCATCCAGCCTTATGCGATCCTGACCCGAGACTGTCGTGATGCGAACAAAGTGGTGGGTGGGTGGTGGACGGTTCACGTGAGACTCTGCATTACAGTATGCGAGGCCGCCGTTTGCACACATTATTCAGAGTCTGGATCGAGATGCGAGATAGAGTTTATGCTCAGCGGGTAGATCCGCTGCATAGTCATTTCGTACCTGCCTCGACTTCGCACGATCCTTGCTACAATTTCAAGCAACATGTGATCGTGCATGCGAAGCCCAGCACCCTGCAAGGCTGCCACGCACTGAGCTCAGATCATCCTCTATCACCCGCTTCGCCTGGCCTCGCTTCACCACGAGCGTCGATTAGAAATCCTCCTCGACCGGCTCGCCCTTGACAGGACTCCGCAAGCCCTCCTCGCTAGCACCGCTCTCCTTTTCGTCAGTGACCTGATCATTGCCAGCCTTGACGGCCGTCTTCTTCTTGCGCGGGGTCTTGACCTTCTTCTTAGGACTGCCATCTTCCTCCTCATCACCCTCAGCATCCTTCTTGCCACCAGCGCGCTTCTGTACAAGCAAGCATGTCAGCATCAAGTACCCAGATCCTGTCTGAGACAGTTCGGTCAGTAGAGGAAACAGTATGAATCTACCTTTGGCTTCGGTGTAGCATCGGCCTCAGGCTCCTCCCCATTCTCCTTTGCAAGACGAGCTTTCTAAGATGCATGTTAGCATGCGCAGTGGACGCTTGATAGACTACAATATGACCGTACCTTGACCTTCTGCTTCTCCTTGTCAACCATTACCGAACAGGCTTTCTGAGTACGGCCTTCCGGGAGAGTGAGCTCGCTCCATGGGATCGTACCGGCCTTCTCGATGATCTGGAAGAGGAGACCGAGCTGGGATTGCGTCAGTGAGAGATTTCCACGGCAGCGGCTGTAATGTACTGACCTTCTCGGCTTCCGTCCATGGGGTGGCCATGTTGTCCTGGGATAATGTAGAGATATGTGAAGGTTACGATGTTGTCTTGCGAGAGTGATCGAGGTTTGGTTGTCAGAGGCGAGAGGTGCAATGGAGAGGTAGGAGATGAGCTTTCTTTATACCTGCCGCTCACTTGAAGCTCACTTCAACGTGCATGTGAAGTTGGCACACGTGACGCTGCTGCCTAAAGGAGCCTTTTCACAATCGTTCACTTCGGCTTTTCTCATGCTCAGGGACGTGCCAGAGCCATATATAAGCAGCATCACCGACCTCTTGTTCTCGAGCAGCAAGCGAGCACTCGGCAACGCATGACCAAGCAGCACATAGCATCACCAACATGCATCACCAACACCAAGGTCGTGGCTTATTCGCTGCATCCAACCCGGCTCCGAATGGCCAGGCTCAACTCAACGGACATCTGCCAAACAACATGTACAGGCCCGCACCAACACAGCACCAGTCTTCACGAGTCGGCTGGGACAATGGCATGCAGCCTTTGCACGTGAGAGCCAATGGTCAGGCCGTCGCATCAGAGCTACTGTACACCGAAGACGATCCTTTCATCCAAGACTTACGAGCGCAGGCGGCTGCAGTGGCGAGACCCAATGCGAGATATGGCGGTTATGGTCCCGAACTCGACGGTGGCAGTGCTGAGCGGCAGTATGATAATGATCAGCAAACGCAAGATCAGGTGACGACTATGCAGCCGCGGAGCACATGAGTGACGTCGAAGCAGGCCATGAAGCTCATCGGCGAGCAAGTGAAGCTGAGGACGAAGAGGAAGAAGACGATCTATTCAAGAATGCTTTCGGCGATATGAAGGAGTCTCCCGAGGAGGAGGACGACGACGACGATGACAGCGACATTTCCGAGATCACAGCCGTTACGCCTGCCAACCCCGATAAGCTCAAAATCAACGGCAAATCAGCCCAACAAATTCTCGACCTCGACAACGAAGCCGAACACACTCCAAACTGCCACCCGCACCGCAAAACATCCACACCACCCACTTCCCCAAAACCCACCCAACCCACAACAACCCCCACCACCTCCCTCCTCCCGACCGGCCCCAAAGAAGCAAATCTACAAAAAGACCTCCGTCCCGCCCTCCGCCGACACCACCGCATCCATCTCCACACCCTCACCTTCGCACCCCGCCACCCTCGCCCCCTGCCCCAAACCCGCTACCTCATCTCCGTCCTCCACGCCTCGCGCAAACAAACCCTCTCCACCTCCACCTCCTCCTCCGGCTCAAACCAAGAAAAACATCATATCTGGATGCTTGGAAACCGCCTCACGACCATTTCCACGGTGAGACATACTTATACCCTTACTAATCTTTCCGCGGAGCCAGTGGTGCTGGTACATGGTACTGAGAGGCTGAGGGATAGGGATTTGGTGAGCCAGGTGGATTATTTCGGGGATAGGTATATTTGTCTTCGCGCGGTATATCTTCGGGATCCGGCCACGGGAGTGAGGAATCCGGAAGCCAGGGGTAGGGGTTTATTGGAGGGGTTGGTTGGGCGACCGGTTTTGAGTAGGGAGACGGAGGTCGTGGTGCTGGACGATTGATTGATTGATTGATGGAGTGATGGATTGATGGAGTGATGGATTGATGGAATGATTGATTGCTTGAAAGAGTGATTGATCGATTGATTGATTGATTGAGTGATTGAGTGATTAGATAATCGATCGATCCACCAAGTTTTTCTGCGCCAGGAATGGTGGGGACGGTGGCGAGGAGATGGGTATGGGTATGGGGGGGGAGTGGAAAGCAGAGACAGACGTAGAAGCAGAAGCAGGACTTAGGTAGTTCGAATCAAACGCAGGGGTTGGCCGGGGGAAAACAGCACAGCACAGCACAGACGAGGGAAGTCTGGCATGAAATAAGAAATAGGGCTATAAGATAGGAAAAAGGCGGTAGACGTATTGCTTTTGCCTCCCCCTCCAGCTCCGGCATCTACTCGCTTCTTTATACAAGCTCCTAGATTTTCGCGCCCCCTTTTGGTAATTCAAGAGGTCGAGATTTTTCCTAGGAAAGTATTCTACCCTTACTTTTTTTTTCCCTTTTCCGCCTTGGGGGAGTGGCAGAGGGAAGGTGCATACAGCGCGTCTGTTTTTAAGGGGGGAAAATTCCTTCGGGACGTAGTGGTCGGTACGAAAGGTTAGTATAGGACTGGCTAGCAGGCAGGCAGGCAGGCAAATAGGCAGGACTGAAGCTAGGGCTTTGTTTCCTTTTGCATCTACTCCATTCGGGGTTTCGGTACGCCCAACGGTAGTAAGTCTTTAATTCAAGACAGGGAGGTGGGTTGGGGGGGGGGGGGGCGGATAGAGGAGATGAAGCGGAAGATACTTCCAGACACAATCTCTACCTTCTATATCATCATAACTTTGCTGTATCGAGTCAATTCATACCTCGCTTTTCTCCCCCCCGGGGGTGAGAGTGATTCGTAGCGGCAGGAAAACCCCCGCAACACCTACACCCTTCGCAAGACATATTCGTCTCGGAGACCCATAAACCTCCCTCGTTCCCTCCTACCAAGAACAACCCCCCGTCTTCCAGCAAAACCCCACTTACACACACGCATATCCACACCCACCCTCCCCCCACACACATCCCGCCCACACACAGCAACCCAGCCACCCGCGCCCAAAGCCCGCCTAAGCCTAAGCCTAAGCCTAAGCCTCCACCTTCGGCCTCAACGGCATCCCCTCATCCCTAATCCCCCTCATACTCTTAAAAAACTGCGCCCCATCCACAAGCCTCCTCTCCCCATTCACCCTCGTATTGACAAAATCGGGATAATTCAACGTCAGTTCCGCGGCACCATTAACCACATGATCCGCCGCCTCCACCCCGAGCATGAAACTGTGATCCTGATTCCCGACTTCGTATTTCCAGCTGCCGAAGCGGCCGCGGGAGAGGATGCCTTGGTCGTAGAGTTGGGGGAGGAGTTGTTTGAGGACGCCGTCGCGTTCGAGGGTCGGGGTTGGGTAGCCGTGGTCGAAGCGGCGGTGGTAGGTTGAGACGATTTCGTCCGAGGGTTTCAGCATTTCCGTGTTGACGAGGCCGGCGATGCAGTCGCGGAGCATGTTTTCTTGGTCTACGGGTTTCATGCTCGATTCCGAGACTTCGAGCATGATGCTCCAGTAGGGTCCCGTGTGGGCGTCGGTGTCGGTGGGTTTGGAGCCGTCGGCGAGTTGGATGGTGGCGAGTTTGGTGCTGGCTTCAGGTTGGTTGTGCGGGGAGTAGTTGGAGAAGATGGTGGCGCGGTAGAAGGGGCAGTTGTCTTCGGGGAAGTAGAGCCAGCATTTGTCTCCTATTCGCTCCGGGCGGGAGCCACGGATGCCGACGCCGATGACGTGGGTGGTGCTGTAGAAGAGGTCTTTGGTGAGTTTTGTGAGCTCCTCGTCGCGCATGAGTTCGGCGAGGCTGTCGACCTGCATGGTCGAGATGAGCTTGTTGTAGTTGATCGTCGTGCCGTCGCCGAGTAGGAGTCGCTTGTTCTCGCCGTCTACGAGCTGGACCTGGCCGTGCGAGCCGAAGCGGGTCTTGTCCTTGGGGAGGTTCTTGGCGACGTTGATCCAGATGTTGCCGGTGCCGCCGTGGGCTGGGAAGCGGAAGGTGGCGTTGGGACCCCAATTGCCGGCGGCTTTGTTGAGGATGACGTTCTTGGTTACGAGTTTGACGTTGGGTGCTGCTACACGCTCGCCGAGCCATTCGCATTGCATCTGTCTCGTATCAGTATTTGGAAAGTCTCACCCGCTCGTTTCGTGTCTTTTCTCACCTTCGTAGTAGGCACAGCCCACACCTTGAAATTGTACGGCCTCATGAACTGGTCGGCGAGACCCTCGCCCTGTGTCCTCAAAATCCATTCGTCAAAGTTCTTGGGCTTGGTATTGGCCACTCTCGCCTCCATGCTCGCATCAATCATCCCCTCCATCGCCACCACCTGATCTTCCTTGGGCAGCATGGAGATGTTGTTCTGGAATGGGTAAGGGACCCACACGCCCTTGTAGCGGACGTAGGAGATGCGTTGATGCTGGTACCAGTCGGACTCATTGGGGAGGGCCTCGTTGATGACATCGTCGAAGTATTTGTAGTGGGAGAAGATGACATGGCCGCCGACGTCGTAGAGCTGGATACACTCCTCATTAGCAAGCTGAATGGATGGTGGTGGATAATAATGGACATACGAATCCCTCGGGTGTGACATCAGTGGAAGCCAGACCGCCAGGAACGTCGTTGCCATCGACTATCATCCATGACGGGCCGTCCTATTATTACCATATCAGCCTCATGCACAGGTATGATGTGTGATACAAGAGCTCATACAATCTGATGAAGACGCTTGGCAGCACCGAGACCGGTAGGACCAGCACCAATAACCAGAACATCGACATCAATCTCCTTGCCATTGGCCTTGGAGATCTGTCGCTTGTGGGAAGCCATGCTGGGTTGGATGTGTGTGTTTGTGTGAGAGGAGGGAGCGTGAAGTATCTCACTCTACAATGAGGAGCAAGAGATATGGTAAAGGGAGAGCACACAGGCAAGAGATGGAGAGCTCGTAATAATGGACATAGATGTCAGAGTATGGCAACGCAACACAACGCAACGCAACGCAACGCAACGCAACGCAACGCAACACAACACCGCCACTAACAATTTATCTGAAGCACAGACCATGAAGGGTCCATCCTGGTGAAGCACCCCACTTTTCCTCACCCAAAAACATGGTGTAACGCGGCTTAAAAACTGGGGCTCGCAGGGACGAAGTGATCAACGGGCTCGACGAACGCTTGATGGGCATAAGCTCGATGGTTGGAACAATATGAACTTACCACAGCGAGGGACGTTTTGACTAACAATTGAGAGGCTTACTAGCAGTTGTGTCGCTGAATGACAGGCCATGCATTGATGAGTAAGATGTCGTTGCGTACAACGGATTATTATTATTATTCAGCTTCGTAAGACCAGCCCCTGGTGGCGCTCCAGACATTCTCGTATTGACTCGTGTGGCGCGCTGATTATTATTGATCTCCTGTACGCGCAGCTGTGTTTGTTCCCGTCCATGTAACTAAGACGACACCTGCGGATGTAACGATGCACTGTGTTCTACTAATATTGTATATTGTCACAGGTCGACTGCAGCTGCTGGCCTGGCATGATCCGGATAATCAAAACATGTGACGCTCATCGCAATGATAATGATAATGATAATGATAATCATAATCATAATCATAATATGTGAAAAAAGTATGCTGATGCTGATGCTGATGCTGATGGTTGAGGCACGTTGCTGACTTGCACCCATCCCCCCACGTTCATTGGCTGTGAAGCTGGCAAAGGCTGGCTTCTGATGACCCTGTGACCCTGTCTATATCCCCCTTTGCCTTTGCCGACAACCTCCCTTGTCCGGCGAAAGCCACGATTCTATTCTGAACTGCTGTACGACTAACCTCTCCATCTCGCGCTCGTCACCGACCGACATCTTCCTTCACCATCCACGTCTTTTGTCCGACATCCACTCTCTTACCACCATACCTCACACCTCCCCACCCAGCTTCACCTCCGAGCGCGCCGCGCGTTCCACGTCCCCCCCCACCAAAAAGTTGTTGGACAGCTTTATCCCTTTTAACCACCACACCACACCACACCACACTACACCACACAGCAAAGATGTCGGAAAAGGAGAGAGTCAGCGGCGAGCAGGAGAGACAGCAAGACACCGTCCTTCCCATCGTGGAACCAGAAAAGGCACAACCGCCCAAAGCCGGCCTCCACCCCGCCGTCTACATTGCGTGAGTGAACCCCTACCTACTTAAACCCCACACCCAACCACAAACAGACAGACAGCACGAGAGAACACGCCAGCTAATAGATGACACAGCACCTGGATCACCCTCTCCAGCTCAGTCATCATCTTCAACAAATGGATCCTCGACACGGCCAAATTCCACTACCCCATCTCCCTCACCACCTGGCACCTCGGTTTCGCCACCATCATGACCCAGCTCATGGCCCGCTTCACCACCATCCTGGACTCGCGCAAAAAGGCGCCCATGACGGGCCGCATCTACCTGCACAAGATCATGCCCATCGGCGTCATGTTCAGTTTGAGTTTGATCTGCGGCAATCTGACCTATTTGTATTTGTCTGTGAGCTTCATTCAGATGCTAAAGGTAAACAAATCAACCCCTTTACCCCACCAAAAAAATCCAACATTTCCCCCAGCGCAGGAAAAAGCTAATCGGATGTGATTGTCCAGGCCACTACCCCCATCGCCGTCCTCCTCACCACCTGGACCCTCCGCGTCCAAGAACCCTCCCTCAAAACTCTGGGCAACGTGTCCCTCATCGTCGTCGGCGTCGTCATCGCCTCCTTTGGCGAAATCCAATTCGTCCTCATCGGCTTCATGTTCCAGCTCGGCGGCATCGTCTTCGAGGCCATTCGCCTCGTCATGGTGCAGCAGCTTCTTTCCGGCGCGGAGTTCAAGATGGATCCTCTTGTTTCGCTGTACTATTTCGCTCCGGCTTGCGCGGTGATGAATGGATTGACTGCGTTGTTTTTCGAGATTCCCAAGATGAGTTTGGCGGATTTGGAGAGGGTGGGGTATATTACCCTGCTTATGAATGCCGTCGTGGCGTTCCTTTTGAACGTCTCGGTCGTCTTCCTCGTAAGTTCTTGCCCAATTCGCCCTCCCTTCCCGAATCATTCACTAACCACTCTCATCTTCCTCCAGATCGGCAAAACCTCCTCCCTCGTCATGACCCTCTCCGGCGTCCTCAAAGACATCCTCTTGGTAGCAGCCAGCATGCTCATCTTCCGCGACCCCGTGTCTCCCCTCCAAGGCTTCGGCTACAGCATCGCCCTCTGCGGCCTCGTGTACTACAAACTCGGCGGCGACAAGATGAAGGAGCACTTGGGATCCGGCCAGCGGGCGTGGGCGGACTACGGCGTCCGGCATCCGGCGCTGAGGAGGGTGTTGGTTTTCGGGTTGGTGTGTGCGACGGTTTTTGTGCTGTTGGGTGGGATTTCCGTTAGTGGGGTTGTGCCGGGGACGTATGATCCTACTAAGTTTGCTAAGAGTAAGTGGGATGAGATTTCGGGGAAGACGGGGGGTGCTTGAAGAGATAGGATGGGGTTTTTGTGGGATGAGGAGGGATTCGGGGAGATGTATGAGTATCCTGGACGATGTGAGATTTCCCAAGGGGGGGTTTGAGAGATGGGTGGCTGGAAGAACGGAAAGGTGATGGCTCATGGCGAGGGTAGAGAGGAGCGGTACGATCGTGACCGCGAGAGCGCGTTTGGACCAAGCCCCGAAAATCGGAATCAGAATCAAGATCGATATAATTATTGGTTCGGAAGATATATAGACAGTGAGGATGCATGGATTGAGGCGTGAAGCGATGGGCAAAGGGGAATGGCTGGGCGTTTAATGGTGTCGGGTTTGAAACCTTTCTCTTGTGTTATTATAGGATATCCACCATATGCTCTTGTTCGTCGATAGGTAGAGAGAAGTAAAGCACACCTTAACCACGATCCCGGCCTCGAGTCCCGTTCTATTAGTAAGTGCTGGGTGCTTACCGTTTGCTAGGTCGAGACCAGAATAGCAGGCAGGGGTCAATTTCAAAATGAATGAAGTGGTATACAATTCGACGGACCTGGGAAAGGAATGGCATTTTTGCCCCGAGATCTCGGCAGTCGGCGAGGATCTTTCGTGGTAGTGCTTCGCGCTCTCGGGCATATATACATAGATGGGAGTAGGACTTGGTTTCAGCAAACGATATATATTGGTGTGGGTCGGGCGTGGCCTGGTCTGGTCTGGTCTGTTCAGGTCTGGTCTAATCTGATCCGATCCCATCTGGAACAAGACTTTGGCGAAAGAGGAGAGCAGGAACCAGGTGCCCGTCCCACGCAACCATGAATCACGACTCCCCAAGGCGTGCTCGGGGAAAACGAGGGGGCACAGTATTTGGAGGACGGGGCTGTGGCAGATGGTTGGCGTGCTTTGTCCTTGCATCGCATTGCATACCGCCTATTCGTATTGCAGAGCAGGGCTATCTTATATGATGGTCAAGCTTTGCCTCCAGCCACTTTCGAGAAGGCCGTGACTTTCAGACGCCGCAGGCCGAAGACGAGACCGTCGTCTTTGCCTGCCTTGATCGCTACGCTCGTTGCAGGAGTTCGTGGCGTCTTCCTCGCCGTTTCCGCCATCTCCCGGGTCTCGGTAGCCTTGTTCGCGATCGCATTACTCCTCCCAGCCGTCCTAACAGGCTTACCAGACCTTCCAGGCTTTCCAGAACTCCCCTCGTCATCCTCCTGCTCAGCCATGGCAGCGAAATCCCGCGTCTTGACCTCGCCATTCTCCCCAGCCGTGGAAGAATGGGAGAAGCTCGTAGAGACGGCCGTTTCAGCACTAAATCCCGAATCTTTCCTGCCCTTCATCATCTCCTTCCTCACCGCAGCAGCAAGCCTCCTCCTCCTCCTTCGAGCATCCTCCCACTCCGCCTCCGTCACCCCCGCGGCGCAGGACAAAGAGCCCACATCCCCACCATGTGCACCCCGTCCTGCGCGCCTCTAATCGATCCCATGTTCGCGCTTGAGCTTTTCTAAGTTCTCCTGCCTCTCAGCCAGCTCACTACTCGCCGCTGTCGGCCCAGCTGTGCCGTTTGTGCCGTTCTGACCCGCCGCTGCCGCTGACTGCGCGGCTTGTTGCGCGGCTTGTGACGCGGCCTTGGCCATCTTCTCTGGCTGGTGGTAGAGGACGACGAGGTAGCGGGATTGGAAGTTGAAGCCGTTGAGTTTGTCGCAGGCGGCTTTGGCGTCGAGGACGTCTTCGTAGACGACAAAGGCAGTGCCTTTGGTTGCTGTCGAGATGCCTTGGCGGATTTGTCTGGGTAGAGTAAAAGTTAGTGGATGGTCGCGTGACTGGGGTCAAGCAGTGGTCGTGGGGGTTTTGGGTGGTGGAGGAGGAGGAGGAGGCGGATTTACCTTATGCTGCCGAAGCGACCGAATAGTTGATCTGTTGGGTATAATGTTAGTAAGAGCGCCTTCTTGGCAGAAGACTAGCCATGTGTTTCCGACTTACAGAGATCATCGGTCGAGCAGTTGTAGGGCAGGCCTTTCACATAGAGCGCTCTGCTGTTTTCGCCAGTCTCGGATCTGCGTTTGGACGAGTTCATCGGCGTGGATGCTTAGCGAACTAGTAGTTATGGGGTGGGAGCAGAGTCTGATAGTGGACGGTGTGCTATGGACGGATAGTGGGTAGAGTTGCGTGATAAGGCACGAGTCAAGAAAGAGGGTCCGCTCGCGGGATCATCCGTGCGGCTCAATTTTGTTGATGAAGGAGACAAATGTCGACGGCTGCACTACGGCAGACATATCGCTCGGGACAACTGAGTCACTGCCGCACACACGATACCGGGCGCAAGTGTCATGCTATCTGCATTGTACTCGACGAGATCTATTCCATTGCCTTGAAGACTTCATCTTCCCCCAAGCCTTGGTAGTGATGTCCTAGGCATGATGGCATTATCGACGACCGTAGAGCCTACTGAGAATACTGCCGGTTGTGCACGAGAAGTGGTTGAAGGAATGTTGAGGAAGTGTAGAAAGGCTCTCAAAGCGAGGCAGGCAATCGAGAGGCCAGCATGGTATAGATACCGCAGCTTTTTGATAAACAGACCCATGGCTGCCGCGCTGTTGAGGGGGGTTTCGTAGTAGACAGTACTGAGGACCACGTATCTTGGAACTTACATTCACAATTTCGTCTGCTTCCTATGCGCAGTCTCAGCCATATAGCCATGACATGACGTGAGATCCAGTGCGATGCCTTACTGTGCCCTGAAGATATACCCGATCCGCGGCATATGCAATCGAACGCCATCGTTGCCAACTTCGAGAACGACCTCGTCGACGTTCGTGCCAACGAGATTGCCAACTTGTGTGTGAGCACCGGGGACAGCACTGCGAGCTATGTTAGCATGTCTACAGCTTGACTGTATTATGGTGGGTGAGTTTCTTACTCCGAGCTCTCGACACTTAACACAGTCCCCTCCTTAAACCCCAACGGATCATCCTTCTCCACACTCGTAGGTCCCTTAGCAGAATATCCACTCTTCTTAATGATCTCGATCGTCTTCTCACTGCTCAGGATCTCCGGTTTCGGCTCCGGCAGACTCTCAATCGCCTTCCAGATCTTGGGGAAAGCGTCCTTGCCGCAACCTGGTTCCTTGCCGGCGCCTAGAGTGGTTAGGCCCCAGCGGAGAGACCAGAGGATGTGAATGTCTGAGAGACTGAGCTTGTCGCCACTGGGGAATGGTCCGCTCGGGGTTGTGAAGAAGGTATCTTCAATCTGCTTGTATCGGCTTTGGATCTGCGCCACGGTGCTCGGACGCATGGTTTTGAAGTCCGGACGAGCGATGACGGGGAAGATGGTCTTGCGGTCTTGGATGAATTCTTTGGGCAGGACGTCCGGGTCTAAAAGGCCGAGGACTTCGCGGAAGATGGTGTTGCCCATTACTTCGAAGGCTTTATCGGCGGGTGAGGTTGCGAGAGCTCCGTTCTTGGCGAGTGAGGACATGATCACGTCGATGATGATGGAGGTGTCGGCGTAGACGTCTTTGCCGACAGCGAGGAGGGGAATGCGGCGGTAGGTGATTCCGAGCGCTGCTAGGTCTGGGCGGGGCAGGATGCGCGGTTGGTCGCATTTTTGGAAGTTGACGCCCGCTGCTGTCAAGAGTAGCTTGATCTTTTGGCCGTATGGGGAGCCATCTTGTGGTTGTTAGTAGAGGATGAGGAGAGGAGGATCGTTGTTGATACCATAGTCGAAGCTGATGATTGGTTGAGACATTGTTTCTTCGTCTTAGCGAGGCTGAGGGGTGTTTGGTAAGAGAGAGTGGTAAACCAGAGCAGTGATATGGCAACTCGTTAAGTACTAGCAGTCGGCTATCTACCTTCAGTATTTGTGTTTGACCCTCGTAGTGACTGCCTCGGCGATCAAACTGTGTGCTAGCGGCAAGATGATGCAATGCTGGAGAGAGCTCTCATTATTCCCTACTCGACCGCACGAATCAATTGGGACGTCGTTCTCTGTCAAGACTGGCATACTGACGTTATCAGGCGCTCGTCAGCAAGATCATGGTAGCGAAACCGTGTTGACACGTTTTCGCTGTCACGTTCGATCTCACGACTTGTAGAGTAGTGAGCTCGCCTCGGCATTGTACTTGCCAGCCTATGCATTGATATGTCATATGATAAAGCCTTGCTGATACTGTAGATGTTATTGTATGGGTGGAGCCTGTCCAGATAGGATGTGTTGTGAAGCGCAATGCTCAGATCAGGCTCACGTGAGCGGCGGACGCACGAGTCATGATATACGCGCTACCGTGCCTGTAGTCGATCTTAGATTATTAGTTTCCAACACATCCTCATTAGCTTTTCCTTGTCAAACAGCAACATCCAACATGTCCGGGCGCAAGGACTTCCTGTCGCAACCTGCGCCGGAGAACTATGTCGCCGGTCTCGGTCGTGGTGCGACAGGCTTTACAACACGATCAGATCTAGGCCCGGCGCGAGAAGGACCCAGCGAAGATCAGATCAAAGAAGCTCTTGCAAAGCGAGCAGCAGCCTTAGGAAACGCGCCGCCGACGGCGTATGGTGTTCCCAAGAAAAAGGATGACGAGGCCGACGACGAGCAATTTCGGGATGCCGAGAACGAAGAAGGCCTGTTTGCGACGGGCAACTACGACAGAGAAGACGACGAGGCCGATCGCATATACCAGGCCGTCGATGAACGGATGGACAGGCGGCGGAAAGTCCGAAGGTATGTCTCACATTTCTCTCTCTCCCCTCCCCCGTCAGGTTGCGAAGAGGCAGCGTTCATGGTTTTCTACAGCATCGTGTGGAACAGCATGCCGACTTGAGGTTTCTGTACAGGGAAGCGCGCGAACAAGCGGAACGTGACGACTACGAGCGAAACAACCCGAAGATCCAACAGCAATTTGCCGATTTGAAGAGAGAGCTTGGGACGCTCAGTGATGAGCAATGGGCGGCTATACCTGAGGTGGGCGATTTGACCGGCAAGAACAGACGGAACAAGCAGAATGAGAGGCAGAGGTTCTATGCTGTCCCGGACAGTGTGTTGGCTGGGGCAAGAGATACAGGACAGCTAGGCACCGAGATTCAGGATGAGGGCATGGCGACCGAGGCACCGAGTGGCAGCGCTGATCAGGCTGATGGGACCATGACGAATTTTGCTGGAATCGGTGCTGCGAGGAACAGAGTCATGCAGGTCCGCCTTGATGCGGCGGCTCAGGCACAGACCAGCGGTACGGATTCAGTTGCAGGCACGGCCACAAACATCGACCAGAAAGGCTATTTGACCAGCCTGGACAAGTCAGAGCTCATGGCTGGCGAGACTAACCTGGGAGATGTCAAGCGTGCGCGAGTACTGCTCGAGTCGGTGATCAAACGCAATCCTCGACATGGACCAGGCTGGATTGCAGCAGCGCGACTTGAGGAATTTGCAGGCAAGATACAAGCTGCGCAGAATGTCATCAGGCGTGGCACAGAAATGTGTCCGAAGAGCGAAGACGTATGGTCCGAGGCAATACGGCTCAGTCAATCGCATGGCAACAACCACAATGCCAAGATTCTGGCTGCGAAGGCTATCGAGAGCAATAACAAGAGCGTCAAGTTGTGGATCGAAGCCATGCATCTCGAACAGCTCCCTGCTGCGAAGAAGCGTGTCTTGCGCAAAGCCCTCGATCATGTTCCGCAGTCCGTCGCTATTTGGAAGGAGGCTGTCAATCTAGAGGACGATCCAAGCGATGCCAAGCTGCTACTCGCCAAGGCCACCGAGATCATCCCACTATCCGTCGAACTATGGCTTGCACTCGCCCGCCTAGAGACTCCAGAACAAGCTCAAATCGTGCTCAACAAAGCACGAAAAGCTGTGCCTGCGAGCTACGAAATCTGGATTGCTGCGTGTCGGCTACAAGAACAGACTGGAAATACTCAGATGGTGTCTAGGGTCATGGAACGTGGTATCAAGGCTCTCGCACGAGAATCTGCCATGCTGAAACGGGAGGAGTGGATTACCCAAGCTGAGACGTGCGAGGAGGAGGGCGCGCCTTTGACTTGCCAAGCCATTATCAAGGAAACGCTGGGCTGGGGTCTGGACGAAGACGATGATAGCAAGCAGATCTGGCTGGATGATGCCAAGGCTAGTACGAATCGCGGTAGGTATGAGACTGCTCGGGCTATCTTTGCTTATGCTATTCGTGTCTTCTACAATCGAAAGAGCGTTTGGCTAGCAGCTGCGGACCTCGAGAGGCAGCATGGCTCGAAACAAGCACTGTGGGATTTACTGGGCGAGGCAGTGAAAAGCTGTCCAACGAGCGAAGTCTTGTGGATGCAGCTTGCTCGTGAGAAGTGGCAAGCAGGTGAAGTGGACGAAGCAAGACGTGTACTCGGTCTTGCTTTCCAGCAGAACCCAGGCAACGAAGATATCTGGCTGGCAGCTGTCAAGCTCGAAGCAGATAATGGCGAGACGGAAAAAGCTCGTGAACTATTGTCAGCTGCGAGAAGTGAAGCCGGCACAGACCGAGTCTGGATCAAGAGCGCCGCTTTCGAAAGCCAGATCAAGAAGGACTCGGACGATGCACTATCCCTCGTCAACGACGGTCTAAACATCTACCCCAAAGCCGCCAAACTCTGGATGATGAAAGGTCAAATCTACGAAGCCAAGAACATGCTCCCCCAAGCCCGCGAAGCCTACAACACCGGCACCCGCGCCTGTCCGCGCTCCGTGCCCCTCTGGCTCCTCGCCAGCCGACTAGAAGAGAAAATGGGTGTCCTGGTCAAAGCCCGCTCGATCCTCGACCGCGGCCGCCTGGCCGTCCCCAAGAACCCGGAACTCTGGACCGAGAGTGTGAGGCTGGAATACCGCGCCAAGAACATGGCGGCCGCCAACCAAAAAATGGCCCAAGCCATGCAAGAATGTCCCACCTCGGGTTTGGTCTGGAGTGAAAGAATCTGGCACCTCGAGGCCCGCACCCAGCGCAAAGCCCGCATCCTCGAAGCCATCCAGAAAGCCGACAATGATCCCGTCCTCTTCGTCATCGCGGCACGGATCTTCTGGGGCGAGCGGAAATTGGATAAGGCGGATTCTTGGTTCGCGAAGGCTGCCGTCTTGGATCCGGATTATGGGGATACGTGGGCTTGGTGGTATAAGTTTTTGCTGCAGCATGGGGAGCAGGCGAAGAGGGAGGAGGTGGTGGGGAAGTGTGTGGTGTGTGAGCCGAAGCATGGGGAGGTTTGGGCTGGGGTGAGGAAGGCGCCGGAGAACGCGGGCAAGGGGGTTGAGGAGATTTTGAAGATGGTTGCTAAGGAGTTGGAGTGATGTGCTTTGGTCAATGGCTACTGACGAATCTTGAGGCCCGATGTTGTAAGATCGATATAAGTCTATGCGGCTACCCTTAGCACAGCCCGGCCTGGCAGTTTGCCGTCCGCCATCAACGAACAGAATTTATCCACATCTGCCAGCGTGCCCTTGGTCAGGATCGGATGTACCAGTCCTCGAGCAGTAAAGTCCAGCGCTTCCTCCACATCCTTCAACGTCCCTGTCACCGACCCAACAACTTGTATCCGCTTCATGGCAAGCAAAATCGGTGGTGCCCCTGCCACTACAGTAGGATCCTGCGGTAGCCCGACACTCACCATCGTCCCCCCCGGTCTCAATAACGAAGGCGCCATCGCATAACCCCCCTTCGAAGCAGCGAAGACAATCACACCATGAGCACCATACGTCGTGAGTTTCACAATCTCCACTGCGATATCTTCACTCTCGGTGAAATCAATAAAGGCGTCACACCCCAAATCTTTACACAATTTGCCTTTTTCCACCCCGCCGTCAATTCCGATTATGCGCATCCCCATCGCTTTGGCGTATTGGACGCCGAAGTGGCCCAGGCCGCCACCGGCGCCTATCATGATGATCCATTGGCCGGGGCGAACGGCGGAGCGTTTACAGGCTGTGTAGGCTGTTACGCCGCCGCACATTATGGGGCCTGCTTCTTCGTCGCTGACGCCGGGGGGGATGTGGGTGGCGTAGTGGCCGTCGGTTAGACCTGGAATTTTCATCAATCAGCACGAGGGCACGAGGCTTGCTTTTCTATATTCTGGAGAGATGGACTTGGAAAACTTACAATACTCCTGAAAAGTCCCCGCGATGGTAAACCCACTATTCAATTGCTTGGGACAGTGTAACTCATCCGTGCCATTGGTACAGAACTCGCACTCTCGACATGTCGAAACGACCCATTTCACTCCGGCACGATCTCCTATTTTCCAAAGATTCGCCACTCCGGACCCTACGGCTACGACTTCCCCGGCGCCTTCGTGGCCGGCGATTCCTTGGGTCGTGTCTTTCATGCTTACGCCGAAGGCAGCCCATTCGTCGTGGAGGAGGGATTTGTCCGAGGCGCAGAGGCCGGTCCAGGCGATTTTTACGAGGATTTGGTTGGGGCCTGGTTGGGGTGGGCCGGGGATGGTTTGGAGGGGGGCGGTGGCTGTGGAGCCTGTGCCGGAGCGGACGGCGGCTTGTTGGGTTGTTGGGAGGGTCATTGTGGTGGCGTTGTTAATGGTTGGAGTTGCTGTAGGTTGTAGTGCGGACGTTTGAGACTATAGGAGGTACTTATAGGGTATCTGATCGTACCTACCTATACCCCGCAAGTGTCTTGGCTCTCGACAAGGGCCGGTAACTGCTGCTCTAGCATTGCCCCTCCGAAAGGTACGGATGCGAGCCGTAGAGCTGATATCGTTGCCCAAGAGAAGGTATGATCAGAGTCGTCTGTTATAGCCTACGGTATAGCTCAAGCCAGCCGAGGTATAATTTGAGTTTGTGGGGTCGATGCTCCCCAAGCGATTGCGGCAGGCACGACACATGAAGACGGCATATACAGGGACAGAAGTATACAGTCTAGGGCGAGAACAGTCACATGATATCTCAAAGAGCCTTTGCTCACTGCCCAGCGTACGCAGTGACTACATACAATACCAGTGCCAGAACAATACGTCGCTCATCCTTACTGTCTTCACTTCCGAGATACTCCACTCCCCTCCACCCTATCACCTCACCTCACCTCCCCATCCGCCCTCTCACCCAACCAAAAACCCGCACCATGTCCACCTCAACGAGCTCCCAAGACTTCCCACCCCCCGAAATCCGCGAAATCCTCACCCAAATCACCACCCTCCTCAAAGACCGCAACGAAACAGTCAGCATAGCCGAAACGGCCGCCGGCGGCCTCATCTCCTCCTCCCTCCTCTCCCAACCCGGCGCAAGTGGGATCTACAAAGGCGGGTTGACCCTCTACACCCTTCCCTCCCGCATAGCCTACGCAGGATGGTCTCAAGAGACTATAGCCGCCTACAAAGGTCCGACGACGGACATTGTCAGTGGACTGGCGAAACACGTGCGGAAGGATCTGGAGAGTACGTATACGATTGCCGAGTCCGGGACGGCGGGGCCGACGGGGGGTTCAACGCCGAATCGGAAACCGGGGTATGTTGCTCTGGCGGTGGATTGTGACAAGGGGACTTTTGTGAAGGAGTTGAATACGGGGTTGGGGACGGATCGGGTGGGGAATATGAAGAGGTTTGCTGTGGAGGCGTTGACGTTGTTGAAGGAGGTTATTAAGGATGAGGCGAAATTGTGAGGGTGGAGCATGAGATTGAGGAGGATGGGTATGCATGATTGGTGGCGTTTGATGGGTTACAGGAGGCATGATACATAAACAGTTGTAATGATTGCATAAGCATGACCTTAATGCATAGGTTCCCGTAGTCGTGGATTTCCTCCTTGCTCTTCGAGTGCGTGCCCACTCACGCCGCAGCAGTCTCCATCAACCCACAAACAGCATGAAAAATAGCTCTACTCCGCTCATCATTCTGCAACGCCTCATTCAGCCCCGGCTTGCCATTATTCCTCCTCCCCAATCGATCAGAATGCCAGCGCCCTTTCTCCTTCTTCAGAATTTCAACCAAGACTTTGACCTGTGCAGCTGTGGCTCGACTCTTATCGTAGCCCATCTCTATTCTGCTCGTGCCGGGAGCTTCGGAGTACTGCGGTATCAAGCCTGCAACGTTGAGGTAGAAGGCTTGTGCGTTCGCTTGCATCAAAGCTTCGTCCGACCATGTTGAGGGTGGGGTGGCCACGCTGGGTGCCCAGATTGTGTCTCGGCTTAGTAGTCCTTGTGCTTGTAGACCTCGAGTCGGGTATGGAATGTTCGCGTCTGCTGGAGACAAGGCATTCCAGCGGTTGGTGTACATGGTGAAGAGCTGTTTCGCCTCGGCAGGTTTAAGAAGTGTTGTTGGTGGTCGTGACGGCGGAGGTGTGGCGTATGAAGGAGCTCTAGAGGTCTGCTGCCGTGAGGGCCTCGGTCCCGTACCAGTAGAGTTTGGTGGCTTTCTTGGATTGCTCTGTGTGCTTGTGAAAGTCTGTCCCGTGGGCATGCCAAAGACATGATGTAAATCGTTCTCCATGAACATGGCGGGCCCGAACATGTTGAAGGGACTGTGCATTGTATTAAACATGTTACGCATTAACGGGTCGCTGTTGTGGAGGTCTTGAAGGTCGGCAAACAAGGTCTGGGAAGTCCTCATCTGGCCAGAGATTCCAGCAAGGCCTGTAGTCGGAAAGAAGCTCTCGAGATCAGGCTCAACAGTGGCGGTCCTCCTTCGGACGGGTTCAGTCTGTCTCCGAATTGGTGGTGGTGGAGCACGGCGTGAAGTACGTGCAGTCGCTGCCTTCAGCTCAGCTCTGGCAGTCGCCAAGCAGCCCTCCTGGAAATCCACATCGTCCAGCAAACTTTGGAGGTGACCAACATCACGTTGCTCTCGCCGTGAAGCACGCTCGAGCCTCTTTCGACACCGACGTACTCCGTCCTCATAGTACTCAACATCTTCTTCGAGGTCTTTAAGGTCAACCGTCTTACTTGAGCTAGATCTGCGGAGATCTGGGCGGCTACCGTGTCTCTCATCATAGCCGTCAGCGTCAACGGGCTCACGGACCTCACTTCGATATGAAGACTGCCCGCTACCTCGCTGGGACCGTTGAACTGGCCGAGTGTCAGGCTCGCGGTGTAGGTTTCGAGATCTAGTCGCACTGTCGAGACGATCTTTGATCCGAGATAATACAGTCCGAGGCTTTCTGGTCCCTTCATCTGAGTCGCCGTAGGCCAGGTCGTCCTCGGCATCAGAGTCATCTAGCCGTACAGATCGCAAACCACCTGTCCGATTCTGCTGCGCTGCCTGTCGGATATCTCCCATGGCTCCGAGGAGATTGATCGCGTTTCCGAGGATTCCGCCGCTCATGAGTGAGCCGGTGGAGGAGCCCCCGAAGGTGTTGAATGACAGGCCTGGACTAGCATAGCTTGATGTCTCCATCGTAAAGTGCACTCCATTATCTGTCCAGGAGCGCCTGGTGTGGTCGAAAGGTGAGCGTGCGGCCTGAGAAGTGTTGCTGCCATCTCGACGGGATTGACTCTGGTAAGTTCGCGACATTTTCCGACTGGGTAGATCAGTGGACCTCGACTGGTGAAGGGAACAGTTTCGGTAGCTATGATATGTTGTTGAGGAGAACGGAGCTTGTTTTGCTGTTGGCTTGTGTATAGCCTTGCGGCTTCACAAGGCTGATGACGAATGTCGTGATTGGTTGGCTTCTGACCGGGGGCACAACATATGTTTGCCTAGCAGCACATCATTGTGCATCAAGCTGTGTAATTATAGGGTGACTTGAGTGGTAGGAGATGGATGGGAGGAACATGTGCTTGGAGGCTGAAGATGGAAGTGATGGCCGAGCTGCATGGAGAAAGTGGGGCTGGTCACGTGAGTCTCAATACTTGTGGATGTTGAAAGTACCAACAAAGCAAGATGCCACTATGGTTTCTACTGCTGATCGAGTATGGGACTGCGACGCCAATACTCAAGCTTTGCCTGATCGTGCCTTCAAGCGAAGCAGTTCGCCTCCCAAGTGCATCCTCTCCTTTTGTAAAGCCACTTCCTTCTGTTCGAGCTCGACCCGACGGAGCTCCAACAATATCTCGCCCTCCGTGCGCTCTGCTTGCCTCTGAACAGTACTTCTGAGCGTTGCTAATGGCGGCAATGTGTACTTGTCCCTGTCGGCTGGCTGAACAACCGGCTTCGCTCTTGTCTTCATCAGGGTCCGAGGAGGACTACTTGGGGACCTCACGACGAGGTTGTGAATCGTGTCAAGATTGGCATGTGTGCTCGACTCTTGTTTCACCTTTGGGCTTGCCTCATCATTAGAGTCGCAAAAGTCCACGATCACAGGCAGCGCAGTAGAAGGCTCTTCCTTGACCTGCCCTTCATGTCTTTTCGACCATGCGCTACAAGTAGTATCCGTAGGTACAGTCGAAGCGGCATGATTATCATGGTTGCCGCGAGGGAGGCATTACTATGGCCCGTGTCTGAGGCCTGTAGCCTTCCCGGCGCCAGCACTTGTCCGCCATCATTGCCGGTGCCACTGCAACTCTGACCTCTTCTCTTCGCACGGTTAGCCTGATCTCTCGATTGTAGTAGTTTATGCTTTTGAATAGCCTCCGGGTCGCCTGCAAGGCGTTAGCAGTCTTTCATACAATGTGACTGATGTTCTGTGCGTACCCGCGGCTAACTTTGCCTTATATCGCTGGTAAGTCCTTTTGTCCTTTGCCCTCCGTTGCTCAACGCGCGCAGCCCACTCGGCCGATGCTGTACTGAGATCGACTCCTCATGCAGGCATGTTAAGCAGATGCGCCGCATCGGCGAAGTAAAGTATGGGTATTCAAGTTTCCCACGTTCGGAAGTTGGAAGCAACCGCTGTTGAGGTGCTAGCGTGCCTTCCTGTCCTGTGTGCTTCCAAGGGGCTGCTTAAGTGGAAGGCGCGCCCAGTAGCCAGCTCATATCAGCCAGCCGCAGTCTGATTTTGGAGCACTGCAGATGACAAATGCAGACCAATTACTCACCTACGCACAAGAGGCGACTGCGAGCAGAAATTATGGCATTGATATCTGCATGATAAACTAACAGATCCCATGGCAGACAACTGACCTATCCAAAGGTATCTCTCATGAACACCAATCATGACGGCATCACATCATACAGCAGCCTCGCAAGCGCTTCGCAGACCATACTGATACATGGTCCCAAGCCCTTGCCTGACGCCGTGCAAAAGAAACCCACATAACACAAACCACACGCTGTGCACTCATGCATCTGCAAGTATCATATCCTCCTCTTCCTGAGCCTTGTACCTCTTGAGCTCATCCAGCTGGCCCGTTAGTTCCATGAGGACGTCGGACATTGGTCCAGCTTGCTGAAGCATGCCATCCTTGAATGGTCGAACCATATTCCTGACGGCAAGGGTGGAGATACATGTCTGGGAGACATTGTCAGTACGCCGTGCACATTCGACAATAAATCCGCAGAGACTCACCTCAATCCTACTAATCTGATGTTCGACAAAATTGACCAAAAATCGATCAGTAACCTCATTGGGCTTACTCCTGATCTTCTCCAACAATGCCGTCTCCGGCGGCTTCAACGCTGTCACTCCGGTGCTCTCGAGACAACTGCACAGCATCTCCAGCTTGAGACTAACGTTCCAGAGATCCCACACATTCTCGGTATCGACCGTCAAATCAGGTGAAGAGCCAGTCCCGAGCTTGTTACTACTATCCATCCGCTCTTTCTCGGCGTCTGCACGCTGTTGCTGGATCACAAGACGACTGGACAGCGAGTGCGGGTACATGAGGTAGATGTACTCCGGATTCTCGAGACCCTTGAGAGTTCGCTGGCCCAGATCCTTGACTTCGAAGCCTTGACTGCTGAGCGAGCGCATCTCCCTCTTCATGGCCTCGCCTTGCATATCATCACTCATAGTTTCTTCGGAGCCTGTCGACCCAGTGCGGTCACTTTCGATATGGCTCTCAAGCATCTTCTGCACTTCTTGGATGAAGTCGGTGGAGACACAGATCTGTCCTCCATCAGCCACGCCCTCAATTCGAGCAGCGCGGTTGACCATGGGTCCGAAGTAGTCCATGCGCTTGGTGACTGGGTCGATCTCGCACACAGGCCGACCCCAGTGAATGCCCATACGCACACTCAGACCACGGAAGATAACATTGCCATCGACGTCCTGCACCTCCTCGCCGTGGACGCTTGACAATATCTCTTGTGGCCATTGCACCTCAAGCAGTTGTGTCTGCATGGTGAAGGCCCACAGCAGCGCACTCGTCACAGTGGGGAAGGCGACCATAAAAGCGTCGCCTTCAGTCTTGACTTCGTACCCTCCGATGATTCGGAGGTGCCGTCGCATGAGCTCGTTGTGCATCTTGATGGCCGACTGCATAGCATCTTGGTACGTCTCCCACAAGATCGTGCTGTTCTTGATGTCTGTGAACACGAGCGCAACATCTCCTTGAGGTGCATCGACTTCCATATCCAGACGGGCCAATTTCGAATCACCAACGGCGTCTCGTCGTCGATTGCCCTTCCGTGTAATAGTCGTGAAGTAATCATCCTGCGCACCACTAGGTCCCATACTCATACTGTGCGACCTCCACTTAGCACTACGCTCCCGTCTCTTCAAATCACTGATACCGACCATCATGACCATGATCTTGCCAGTCGCGCCAAAAGCAATGGCGAGATCCCTCAATTTCTGCGCTGCACGCATAAGATCATTCCTCTCTCCTCTTGCAACATCTACAGCAAACTCTGGAGTCAGATAGTCCCATAGTTCGCGCGAGGCTAGCAGAATCATTTCGTCCGACTCTTTGATGTCGACTTTGCAAACATGTGGGGCGGCAATTACGCAAGGCGTCTGCTGCACGTAGCCAAACGCTCGCGAGACGTCGAGTTGGTCATTGAGCTTGCCTTGACGAGAGACAAAGCCACCTGCCTCGCGGATGCGCGCTCGTTCTGATTGCTCGGCTGGGTCGTGCTTTCTTGTCAGGATGCGATGGCCACCCTCTGACTGGATCAGAAGTGCTTGTGCATCACCTACGTTGGACATGTAGAGTTCCATGCCGTGGAGATACATGACGGTCGCCACACTGCCAGAGTTGAGATCGTCCTCTTCCAGCGTCGGCCCAGAGATGCTACCTCGATGGACCAGCGCACTGCTAGGATGCTCTCTCGCATCAAGTGCTTGTGTCGCCGTGGTTGCCAGCTCTTTATTCAAGCCCAAATATGTTCGGCGCAGGGCATCCATCGGGCCTTCGCCCTGTTTCACCTTTTCGAGCTCTTCGATGAAAGCGTGCTTGAACTTCTCATGCAGATACTTCGCGACTCTACTGCCACCGGAGGACAACGACTGTCCGTCGAACAGCCCGATTAGAGTTTCGTCCTCGTGACCTCTGAAGCGAGGGACCACCAGATCTACGGTTGACAAATGTTCATTTCGGCCAAGTGTATCAGCCATACCGTACGGTATACTCGTCCCAATAATACTTCCAGCAGTCCTAACTCTCCTATCTGGCGCTTGGTCCGGCACGCTCGGGATCGTGAGCGTCACATCCATCAGTCCCAAAATCCTCAGATTTGTCAAACTCGAGAAGTCGGTCAGATCTCTGGTCTCCCTACCACTAGCAGCCTGAGGACTAGGCTTGATCTCAAGTCGCTTGTTACCGCTCATATTTAAAAATCGTAGCTGGTGATTCCAGTTCCAATTCCAGTCATATGGCCAGTTACTCACGTTGTACTTCAGCATGTTGCTGCCTACATCCAGGATGGCGAGCTTCTGCACCTTCCCTAGCTCGGCAGGCAAGACCTGGAACTTGTTGTTGTTGATGTGCAGGACCTTCAAACTACTGCCTTCCTCAAGATCGTCCGAAGGCAAGCTCGTGAGCTCGTTACCAGAAAGATAAAGCTCGGTGAGATGGGTCCATCGTTTGATCGTCCTTGGTGGGATGTCGTAAAGCTGATTGTACGACAAGTTCAAGATTCTGAGCTCAGGCAGTAATTGCAGCTCATTAAAGACATCATCCTCCAGCCTGTTGTCGGCGAGGAACAGATGCCGGAGAGAAGAGCTGAACGTTGAAGCAAGTCTACTGCTCATCGTCGAGTCCTTCCGCGCCACAGGCGTGATCGTGCCAGTCGTGCTTGCTGTGCTGGTCCTACCAGCCATACTTGGCTTAGACGAACTGTACGATGCCAGCGAGCCTTTCCTGCTGACAGTGCCGGGCGAGGAGGATACGGACAGCATGCCGCTCGCTTGACTTGGCCGTCTCATCTGGAAGTCTTCTAGCTTACCCAGCTCTTCGAAATCTGGACTGGTGCTCAGGTTCGAGCTCGAGTTTGGTATGAGCTGTGAGGGCGTGACCTGCGGTTCCGGAAGCGGCGGTAGTGGGCTTCCAGGCTTAGGCAAATCTGCAAGCACATTACTCGAGACATTGAGAGTCTCTAGTCGCTTCGCGTACCAGATCTCCGGAGGCAGAAGTGGCAGATTGTTCTCCCGTACGTCCAGATATCTCAATTCAGTCAGTCTTCCAATCTCTGCCGGAAGTCGATTGAGCTCGTTCTTGGCAATGCTGAGGTACTCCAGCTTGCTGAGCAGCCCAATGTGCGGCGATAATTGTACAAAGTGGTTCTTGCTGATTGTCAACTTGGTCAGGCCCGACATCTTCGTGAAAAGCGCATCCGGTAAACGAGCCAGCTTCGCAGATGCCAAGTTGAGCACACTCAAACTCGGCACAGGCGCGTTGAGATCGAAGTTCGTCACCGGGTTATGATTCAAGAACAGGACTTTAAGCTTGGTAAAACAGCCTTCGAACTGACTGATACTGTTGTGACCCATCATGAGCAACTCAAGCTTCGGCAGCTGAGACACAACATCGATGTTCGAGATCGCATTGAAGCGTGCATCGATTTCCTTGAGGTTGACCAGTGCGCTGAAGCTACCATCGAAGGGCCCGCTGAGCTTGTTGTTCGTCGCCCAGAGCCGCTCGAGATTCGTGAGTGCGCCGACGTTGCCAAGGTAGGAGATGGAGTTGAACGATACGTCGAGGTCGACGAGTGTCCGGATCTCCCTCAGTGCCTCTGGGAACTCCGAAAGACTGTTGGAGCTCAGGTTGAGCGACCGTAAAGCATGATAGCCACCAAAATAATCCGGAATACTCGTCAGCTTGTTGTTGCTCAATTTGAGGCTCAAAAGCCCAGCCAGACGATACAACTCAGCATGCTCCATCTGCTCGAGTCTATTGTTGGAGACGTCAAGCATGGTCAGCTTGGTAGCTAATGTCAGACTTGGTGGAATTCGCCACGCCTCGTTGCCAGTATACTTGATCTCACGCAAACCAGTACAAGATTGTATGAAGTCCTTCGGAATATCGAGTGTCAGGTTTCTGCTCAAGTTGAGCGTGATGAGTTCCGTCGCCTTCTGGTAAAGCGTAATCGGTATCGTGATCAAATTCCGTCCAGCAAGATCGATATTGTTGAAGCGTTGCGTCTTGCCGAACCCAGGGTCGCGTTCCAGGCTAGAGTATCCGCTCATCTTGGCCGGCAAGAAAGTGAAGCGACATAGGTATCCATGATCTTCACGTCCCAGGTCTTCGAGTCGATCATTGTTCTGATACCCAGCGAGCTCCAACAATCGCTTCTGTATCACCAATGGTCTTTCGCCTTGCTCCAGTTGCCGAGAAGTATCTTGCTTGCGCATGACTATCTGGTAGTTATCCAGTTCATCCTGCAAGAATGTCTTCTTCGCCATCATGCCAATGAGTTCTGCTGCTGTTGTGTTCAGACTCGCTGAGATGACCGCAAAGGTGGAGTCGGCTCGGAAGATGCGCATAAAGTACATGGGACCTGGATCCTCATCTCGTTGCACATTGCCCTCATCGTCGAGCTCTCGCAGTCGCTCTTGATTCTCATGCGTGACCCTCTTCACAGCCCAACTATCGGGCGCATCCCACGTCCCAGTTGTGTCTTCTGTAGCGGGTGGTGGAGGTTGCTTGGCCGTGGGCTGTTCGCCGGGCCAGCCGGTAAATATCTCATTGTTTGGCGGTGTCATGGGAGGCTGCTTGTGATCTACGATACCTTCCAGATTCGACATATTGGTATCAAGGTGCCACAGAGCAGAGCCATCCTTTTCAGGTAGCTTTGCATTGGGATCCTTGACACGTACGTCTGGACCAGCATCACCAGTCTTCTTGCTCTTGAAAGGTAATCGTGACTCTTTGCGCACTGGTCCAGCGCCATTACTACCGTCTGGTCGTGGCGGTGCTCTGGAAGGCTTCGCAATGGACCTCGTGTCATTGCGCGTCTTGCCTTGCGCAACGTTGGTCATTGGCAGCGAGGCTGTGGATGCCGAAGTCTGTAACGGCTCCGACTGGCCTTTGTCGCCCTTGTGTCTTCCAGTCAAGCGGTCTACCAGCGATCGTTTCTGGTTGCCTCCCCCGTGTGCGCCGGCAGGAGACCGGTGACTCTGTGTGTTCTGGCTTTGCACACTTTTGATGCTGGGTGTTGGCGATGTCCCACGGGCTTTGAGGTTTAGCGCCGAACTCATAGCAGACGGAGCGCGACTTCTACCCTCCATGTCATTCTGCGACTGCTCTCTGCTTGTAGACGGTCGCAGCGGAAACCCATGGCTGATACTGTGCTTCTCCTCGTTGCTGCGATTGTGCCTATGTCCAGGTAAGTGCAAGCGGTGGTGCGAAGCTTTTGGCGTTCGTCCATTGGGCTGGTCTGGGAAGAAAGAATCCTGATGTCTCGGTGAGTCCTGCTCAATACACATTAGTAGCTGCCGTACAGCATACATCTTGCTGGCAGGCAAGTGCAACCCAGCACAGCATGCAACGCACCTGCATATCTTGATATACCCACGGCGTGACTTCATCGCCTGGACCTGGCCCTTGCCCGGGTGTCCTCGGCCTACTGCTGGTAGGACTTGGAGGTCCACTTCGCAGCAGTCCATCGTTCATCGAGTTGTTCCTGTTCCTTGAACTACTTCCACCCGGAGCGAAAGCAGGTATAGGCCCATTCTGGATAGAGCTCGCCTCGGAGTTCTGCCTGCTATTCGAGTTCGTGTCCTGATACTCCTCACCAAAGAATCCTTGTAGCTTCTTTTTATATCTGCCACCGAAGCTCGACTTGGATCCTGCAGACGAGACGGTCGTAGCGCTAGCAATGGAAGGGCGCCGATCATCTCGATCACCAGGGAAGCCCATGCCGTCTGGTGGCGCATAGCCGGGAGAGATCTGTCCTAGGTTCTCATTCGAGTCGTTGTAGAACGTTCCGCCGAAGATCGAAGTAGCCATTGGGGTCTTGTCGTTGCCGCTGGCCCACGGCGCGATAGCAGAAGGTGGCTGCTGGGTTATCGAAGGTATGTTCGTGCTGTTATGCAAGACCGACAACTCATTGCGATAGCTGTTGAGTTGGGCTTGAGGATCGGAGTCCCACGGTGCGATGTCGCCTCGCGCATTGGTGGGTGGTGGTTTCGTAATCGTGTGAGGTGAGACTTCTGAGTCCTTCCGTTCAAGTCTGGGGCCGCTATAGTTAGCCTTATGTCTCTGATGTACCATTACACTGGTAGCACTCTGCAGTATGCCTGTTTCAGACAGCCTATATCTTCCCAGCCAACGCATCCTTCGCCACGCTCGTGAAAACACATATAGAGACACCTTATCGTAACATAAGAGAGAGTCATACTTACTGCAACCTCTTATTAGTATTGACCCTCATACCCGTCCCTCTGCTGCCGGCCCCAAACGGTCCGCGTACCGTATCAGTACTCTGCCACGAGTCGCTGGAGCCATGGCGTGCGGACTGGAACAGCGCCTGCTGCTGCTGTTGGAGAGCACTCCCACCCTCCAAGCTACTCCTCTCACTCTCTACATTCGTCGAGGCGTTCGTATTACGCAGCGTCATGCTATCGATGCTGCACGTGTCCCATCATGGTATATCGTACAACTGTGTCGGCTCCCTCTCAGTAGATGGCGTAGCATACGCGCATCTACAGTATATTCGCTGCTCAATACGATGATATGCGACCGATCGTCACTTCAGTTCCAGCCTTTCGTCTTCTTTCGTGTTCCAGCCGGATATCCTACACCCTCCCTCGTTTGCCCAGTAGGATCCAGAGAAGCTCAAGGCAACAACGACACCAGCTACAGATTGTGATGCGTAATCGACTACCTCCAGCACCACCAACATGGAAGCACCCGCGGGCGAGAGGCCTCCGGAACTGAGCACTGAACCACCAGCAGACGGCAACGGGCCGCGCAACTGTCGCCTCCCGGGTAGAGTCTATTGGCGCGGAGCCGTGTCGCAGACTCTCGTCGTAAACGAGATGGGATGGTGGAGATTCCTTTATTGGCACCAGAACTCTCCTCCAGCTATGTCATATGTCATCAGCAGTAGAAAGTAGGTGGAGCACGCCGAATAGATGGGGTTACGCACAGCAGCAAGGCGATCCCAGATGGAAAACGCACGAACTGCTCGAGCTGTCCCGGGACCGTTTCTGCCGGGACCTGCAAGCAAGAGATCCCAAATCGACAAGTGGTCTAGGCTCACCTGTGTCTATAACGCCAACGCACTGACCACGACGAAACTCGCTACCAACACTCGGTTTGCTGACGATATTGGACACTATACATAGACGCCTACTTTACTGTACTCATAATAAATGCAGCATTGTCTATCATGATTTATTGAACACCCAATCCGAGAACATGATAGCAATCGCCGGCCATCTGCGAGATCGAGGATCATGATCGAAGCTCCAGGTACGTACTCCAACGACAAGCTCAATCGACACAGAACGCAGCTTTTCTTTGTCCCGTCTCTGCAACAGGTTCTACTGCGGGCACACATCTCCACATCGTGGAGAAGCTCTTACCGGTCACCAACGACTACACTCGGTCATACTAGCGAGGAGGATTCATTGGGATGCTGGCTAAAGTCGTGGAAATGCCTGTTGATCATGAATTGTTGAAGAGTAGTGATGTCTTTATCCTGAGCTATTCTGTACACACACACGACCAGCAGGTCTGCGGACCCTCGTTTTACTCACACCGCACCGAAGCAATACCGTACACACACCTCCACCATTTCTTATACAACTGCCAACCACCGACCAGGGATCACGCTATTGTTGTATCTCCTGCTTCAGCCTAGCATCGCCTCAACACCACGCATAGGGCTGTCACTGATCACGCGATATGGCCGTTTCACCCCGTCCAGCTGCTCGTGAGGAGTTGAAGCCTGATGATGCTCTCCATCAGCCATACCATTGACCTCGATAGTCGGAATCGCATTCAACTTCGGTGCCTGATTTCCAAAGGACCGTCCGCTAGTGGCAAACGCCTCCATCAGCCGCTCATCAACCGATCGCTCCCGATTATCCATTGTCGGCATTCCGTTCTGTTGTAGGATCTCGCTGCTTGGCATGGAGATGGCACTATCCACGCTCTCGTCCGGCTTTGGTCCTACGCCGTTCGGCACATAGGCTCCTCCATTGCCGCGGTAGTAGTCTGTACCTCGAGGTCCTTGCAGTCGCTGGAACGGAAGAGCGTTCAGCTGGCGATCGATATAGTCTTCGTCGGCTTGGCCGTTCATGTCCAGGACTTCGCTTGCGATCTGCTCTAGTGATGGGTACTCGTATGCGCCGTTGCTTTGCTGCTCGGAGGCTATTGGGTAAGGATAGTTGTGGTTTGCGTACTGGTTCTGGTCGCCCGGGTCCGGGTATGCTGAAAAGAGGTTCGGGTCAAGCTCCGGTGCTGCGGGCTCGTCGTCTGGTGGATGATGCACGATTTGTGGTGGCGTCTGCGTGCTTCGCTGCCTTGCGGGACTCGTCTTGGCAGGTGCGCGTGCTGGCGTTAGTACACCAGCAGTGCCTCCTTGCGCTGGTGGTGGTGGCTGCGGCGGCTGACTTTCTTCATCCTGCTTCAACTTCTTGACTGATGCGGGACTGCCACCATCCTCAGAAGACCTCTTCTTCACGTTGCCTCGTGGTACTGGTGTCTCAGCTGCTTTGACAGGATCAACCTTGCCGCTCTCGTCGTGTACACATCTTCGCTATAAGCTAGTCAGTGCCCGCAACAATCTTGTGAAAGAAGCAAGCGCACCTTGGACTTTCGACATTCGAAGCAAGCTTTTGTTCTACCACGCTTCTGAGCTTCACCGAACATCGGAGAGCCGTTCATCAACATGGGTATGTGGGCTTGAATATAGGCATTAGTGCCTGGCGTGGGTTGGCCGTGCCCGAAGCCATTCACACCGTTCCCAGAGTATCCAGTCATTTGTTCATCGTATTGTCCATCGATCTGATACTGTCCGTTTGTGGCGCCAGACAACGTAATGCTATCGTGCATGTCGTGCGTGCCATTAGATGTGAAAGGACCCATATTACCCATTCCAGGAAATTGACCCATCAGTTCCGGCGTCGCAGTCATAACAGAGTCCTTGTGTTTGCATTTAATGCGCCGTTTCCGACAAGTATCGCAAGCGACACGTTTCGGGCCTAGAACGCTGGTCTTCGGCGTACTGAAATGCTGACCCGCCATCGGCGACATCATCAACAATGAAGGCGGCGCTGCCGAGGGTGTATACTGCACAGGCTGATGTGATGAATACTGATGATCTGATGATGAATCGGGTGTGCCTTCGTGCAGTGGCGCAGGAGACTGGCTGGTGGTCGCCCCATCATAGATCTCATGTGTGGCGACGGCAGCCACTGCAGTCGTGGGAGCGGCATCACTATGCTTCGACATCATACGCGCACTTTGTCGGTCGGGTGCAATTCTCCATGCGGCGATGGCTTCTTTGCGCTCCAGGTCCTTGAGGGCGCGCGCCGATAACTTTTTTGGTCGAACTTCGTCTTTCATGAAGGAGAAGTCAGGGTGCGCTATCCAGGCGGGAGGGTCCGCGTTCCCGCATTTCCACGATACCCATAGCGCGAAGTTCTTGGCGATCTCGAGTGGCTCACCATAACCTGCGAAAGTGTTAGTAGAGCGAAGTCATGATACCCAATGTAATAGTACTCACCCTTCGGAATGCTGGCATTGATGCGCTTCTTTTGATCCTCGGAGACGCCATCGACACGTCCAAGGACAGACATCACAGTCCGCCAGATGTAATTCATCAGCTCAGGCAGTCCCTCGAGTTCAGCTTGCGAATAATATCGAGCATTGCGCGCACCCACACGATCATCGTTGGCAGACAAATTACCATCAAAGTCCTGCCAGATCGGGATTCGTCTCTCGAACCTCCTCCCGGCATTGAGTTGCTCACTCACTTCGGGAGGCAATGGATCCTCTGCCAGATATTGAAGTGCGGTGTACCACATGATGCGCTGGAAGAACGGATACCTAAACTTCATCGGCGTATGGTTGGCTTTCTCAATCTCAACCAGCTTAAACTGGTTCTTGAAGGACATCCTTGTGAGAAAATTCCCACCAATCACCAGACTCGTCTCTGGCGTCCAGACGGCATGGATCCAGCCGGATGGAATCAGCATAGTATCGCCCTCGCTCAGATCAACACGATAGCACTCCTTGGTAATGCTGGGTAGGAAGGTGAAGTTCTGCTGCGGACTCTCATTCCATTCCTCGTACGCCTTGAGATGTTTCGGCTTCGGCGGGATGAAAAAGAATGTCTTCTTGCCTTTCAGGATGTGATAGTAGACACTGCTTCCACCAAAGTCGACATGGAAGTCCGTATAGCTATCCGCGACAGACATCAAGCAGTAGTATTGTACCTTCGGCCACTTGCCTTTGTCGCGCTCCTCCCGTGGCCAGACGGAGTCCTGTAGATCGATGTCACGCACTATCTGTGGTCGCCGTAAGAGCCGCCCTAGTCTTGTGTGAGACACTTCCAGACTAATCACGTTCCGAATCGGCTTATCATCACCCTCTTGCTCATAGTAGTCTGCCCATCGATTCAAGTTCCATTTCTGGCCAGAGTTCTGCGTCTTCACATCTATCACATCCAACGGCGTGTCTCCTCCAACCATGTTGCAAACCTGGCGTACAGTGAGTCCTTCAGGCATCACCATTCCAAGCTTATCCTGTCCCACGTCCTCTACGGTGTCGTACTCGAAGTCGTCCGGAAACATGCCATCGTGTATTGCGTCCTCCTTTTGACTAGGCTGGTGTCCTGTACTGAAGCCTTCCTGCTGCTGAGCCTTCTCTTTCCATGGTCTCGGATTCCACGCCGCAGGTATACATATCGGCTCCACGAATATGCCACTCTTCTCAAAGAACTCTCTCGTTACCATCTCCGGCTTCAGTCGCGGAAACATCTCCGGGTCGAACTGAAACGTCCCGTCCTTGATAGGCTGGATGTAGTGATGCTCATTGCTCTCCTCGCTAGTCTTGAGCACACCACGTTGCAGTTCAGCATAATCGACCGAAGCATGGGCACGAGCACTCTTCCGCACAAACGTCGTCTTTCCATGCTTCGGCTCGCAGGCAGTGCAGAAGTACTTGTCCACATCCTTGACCTCCAGAGCCTTCTTAAAGCCAGCGCAGTCGATGTGGAACCACTTCTTACAGCCATTGCATGAGATCCACTCGTCCATTTCGCTATTGGCCAATGCACTTTCGCGAGATGTTAGGCAGCCTTGGCAGATGGTCTCTGGTGCGATCTTTGCTTGTCTTTTTGTCGGCTTCGTCGGCGACGGGTCTCGGACAAGCATATCGTTGTCTCGTGGCACGGACGTTGAGCGTGCGCAAGCTGTAGCCGTCCCGTGAGCATCAACAGTCATATCACTAGCACTCTTTCGTCGAGGCACCTTGGCGAGAGTAACATCATGATCAATTGCAGCAGGCCCAGGAGCCTTCTTCGCCATCCTCTTGCTGTTTGGATTGTTCTTACGCGCTGCAATGGCTCTCTTGGTTGCAACCTTTTCTGCAATGGTCTTGCGACTACCAGTACCACGAGGCTTGCCTTTCGGCCATCCTCGCCGCGTCTTAGATGCGTCCGAGGCCTCGCTGGGAGCGATCTCCGGGCTCTCTGGATTCGACACCGTGTCGTCCATAGGGGTTTGCTGCTGCCGAGAAAAGGCGTAGACGGAGCCCTTCCTCTGCTCATAGGGTGCTCTATCAGTGTTAATCATTGCAGTGTCTTCGTCCTTCGTGGTCCGATGAGGTCCGTAAGGTGCAGATGTCGACTTGTACAAGGTCTGATGTTGGGTCGGAGGCGCTACCCGCTCTTGCTGAGGCAATGCGGGACTGAATGGAGGCAAGAGCGGCGCCTGCTGCACACCGTCTGCCGGCCTAGTATATCTTCCATCACGCGGGAAGCTATTAGCATGTGGTCTATGAGCAGCAGCACTAGCTGGGACCTGCGGAGGTGACATAGCACCACCATTGACGGGCCAGCCTCCTGTCCGGAAGTTCAGCAGCAAAGCAGCTTCCTCCACTCTACTGTCGTAAGCTCCTTGCTGGATTGCATGGGCTTCATAACTCGTGGCGGGTCGTGACCCATATGCGCCGACCTGCGGCGACGGGAGCAACTCTGAGCGAGAACGCTTGTGCGGTGGCTCGGATGTTCCATATGAAGCATAGTGGTTTGGCTCATAGTTCCTGTTCTGGTACTGTTGCGGGCCTGAGCTCGGTCTTGGATAAGCCACGAAGCCTGGGCTCACCGCAAGTGCCGCCTCGGCCAGGGTGTCGATGGACGGTGTCCTGTGGTGTCCATGTCTGTAGCTAGCTACCGGCGCTCTGGAGCTGGATGTTGCTGGACGGGCCGGTTCTGCGCGGACCCTGTAGTCGACATGTGTGAGGGCAGGGTAGTTGAAGTTGGGCTCGACTGGTCGCGGTCTCGGTTGTGGTGACAAAGGCTCGACATACGCGCGGGGTGGCGGAGGTGTGCGCTGTCTGTGTTGCGGGTGGGCTGTCGGCCTGCGAAAGCTCGTATTCCAAGAGAAGGACATGGTGAGGTGGGCGGTTGCGGCGAGCACACGGAAGAGCGAGCCAGCTGCCCGCACTACCACGTCGTGTATGCCTCGACAATTGCTCTTTCCCTTTCGGTTGTGCGTTTCAAGCACACGCGTATCGTTCCAGAGTCTACCGAGCCTCTTTGTAGTGTCGTGCCTCGAGCACTTGAATCGCAAGTCGCGGTGAGTGCCTTGGTGGGTCTCGCACTGTATAGCGGGGGAATTGGCGAAGTGGGCTGGAATGAGGAGATGTCGCCGCCTTTCCCTGGTCACCAAAGTACAATTGACCCCAAGACCTGGAAGTGGTCGTGAATGCGACTCTTGTTCACCAAAAAGCCTGCGTATCTGTAACGTCTGAGTGTGTGAGTGCCAGTCCCCCCCAAAGCATGCCCGCTGCCATTCCACGCACCTGGAGCTTGAGCCGCCTCGGCAAGATCCGAACAGCAATCGGACCCTGCATCTCCACCTCGACTCCAATGCTCCTCTATCCAGCCACCAAACACCATTTCCATCTCGTTCAACAACCCCAGCCCCAAATGACACCCTCTGATCATCCGAACACCTATGAACATGCACACTTGCAAATCTGGCGAGAGCAACGATGCGCAACGAAATTGCTCTTAACTCAAGGCTGAGGCAAAGAACGCACAACCTTTTGTATATTCACATTGTGCTTGTGATGATCATCAGGCATTTCTGTCTCGCATTTATTGCTACATAAAACAGCGCGCTATGGATATCTCATGCTCAGCCGTAAAGAGTAATTCATACCCTGCTTCATACCTTCATCCTCTCATACCATCCCACTTTCCAGACCATGAACCTGTGATCATCTCCATCGACGCCTCTATCAGGCATTGCCACAACCCCCTAGACCTCGTATCTAGTAAGGCGAATTCACAATCGCATTCCTCCCCAAATAACTTCCTCGCCCAGCACCCCTCCGTGGCGTAACAGGCGGCCCCATAATACTCTCCCTCGTCGGCCTCTGCAGCGCCCGGCGCGCCACCATATCGACCTCGTTCGGCAATGCCACCACAATATTCTTATCGCTCCCATATCTGAAATTATCTGCCTTCACCTCCTCACTATAGCGCTTGATACTATATGGATCTTTCCTGCCCGCAAGCACTTTCTTCATGGACCAGGTGACGATGAAGGGACCGGTGGCGGAGATGATGGTGGTTTCGTCTTTGCCTTCGCCTATGTTGAAGCGTGCTGGGGTGAAGGAGAGGGCTTGTTTGGTTTCGTGCTGGAATTGGGCGACGTGCGAGGGTGTGAGGGCTAGACGACGGGGCTGCGGTTTACTGTCCTTGGCAAAAGACTTCTCGAAGCCGAGTTTGCCTTCGTTCTTGCCTTCTTTTTGCAGACTATCGATGAGGAGGAGGTAGGTGCGTGTAGTAGCCAGGACCCATCGGCCATCGGCACTAGTGTCGAGACCAATGATGGGATCACCCAGGGCAGGCAGAGCGGTCTTGGCGTTGATCCCGAGCCGGTCGAACATGCGGATGTCGCCCTTATTTGAGGCGACGGCAATGTAGCCTTGCTCTGTAGTCGCGGCGGCGGAGAAGTCGTTCTTGCTGGTGTATTGCTTGAGTTCAGAATCGACCAACTTGTTACCAGCCAGTCGAGGATCGATACGGTAGAGTGCGTTCTTGGACAGACCCAGGAAAGTTTGCTCGTCTGTTGTTTGAGCAAACTTGTTCTCGGGTGCGAAGATGTTGACCGGGATGTCATCGTGCACCTTCCATTCGTCTACCACCTTACCATATTCGAGATCCATGCGGTATAGGCTATTCGGGTCACCCTCACGTTGCAGCACCATATCCTTGTCTGCTGCACGCAACATGATCTTACTCGGCGCAAAAGCCTTGCCACCTGGCGTCGCGACTTTGTTGATGGATGTACTGAACTGGAGTTGGTTGTCTAGAGTGTGCTTGAAGACACCAATCTTGTCACCACGCACGACAAATGATCGATCAACCTTCGCGCCCACCGCAAGCTGGCTATTCACGTTGCCATCTGCATCACGCCCGAGATCGACCTCATCTTCGTCCTCGTCCTCATCATAGTCTTCTTCTCTCTGACCTTGGTGCGCATCCTCGAAGTCATCCTCCTCTTCGTCCTCCTCCGCTGCCTCAAGTTCGCGCTGATCATCAGCATCATCTTCCAGGACCAGATCATTGAAAGCATCCAGGACATAGTCTTTGTCCGACTCTTTTACCGCCTTCTGCCATTTTGTCTGATTCAGATGCTCCCACAGCGCTTGCATCAGACCTTCTTGGAACTTCTCCTCGGTCTCACGATCCTTGAACTTCAGCAGCCACGAGTACGCTGAACCATCTTCTGTGTAGTGATTAAAGATGAAGGACAGGTATTCGAAGTTGAAGACAGGGTTGATGTCCGGCACAACTTCCTGGCCCAGCCATTGCTGCTTATTACCAGTAATCTGTAGCCAGTATTTCCAGTTGCCCACCTCAGTCACAATCGCTTGCACATCAGAATCTTGCAGCACAAACGTGCCTGACTGGAAATCGAAGAGATGGAGCTCGGCATCCTCATTGGCCAGTAACTCAATTGTGTTTGGTGCCTTTCGTGACAAAGGGGCCTTGGTACGAGTAGGCTCAATCTGATTTGGTGGAGCCTTGGAGGGCGTGGCGGTGCTCTTAGACTCGCGCGCCATCTCGTAATCGCTTGGCTCACGGAGGTCGTTCAGCGAGCGATTGAGTGTGGTCGGTGATGGTGATATACCTGGCGAACGTCCAATCGGGCTGGACAAGGGGCTGGCCTCAGGTATCGCTGGCTCGTCGTCAAATGCGAACTCGCGCAGATTGCGTTCTGTCGCGTGCTGGTGGGGTCGTCGATACTTCCTCTCGTACTGACACTGAGCTGCGATGAGCTCGAATGTGGTCCCAGTCTCAGGTCTCACGCTGTCGTCGCAGACAAACTCAAATAGATCGCCTTCGTCGCCGGAGAGATCGCGCCAAGCAACCACAACCTCGCCGTTGTCCTTGAGCTCGATTCGTAGGTGCAGCTCTTCGTCAAGCAAGAAAGTCTTCTCGTCTCTGTCACCCAAGCCGTTCGCCGCACCGTCCTCTCCTCCTTCCTCTTCCAGAAGCTCGGCCTCGCCTTCCTCGTACGCCCGCTGGATCACGAGCTGGTATTGAAATTCCTGTCCTGTACGGCGAATATATGCTGCGGCGTCCTTGAATAGAAGCTCACTGCAGCCTTTGATCGAAAGTGGGCGGACAAGAAATAGTTGGCCAGACGTGAGCTCGACGATGGTCTCCTTGTTGCTGTTGCCAAAGAGATAGTTGGAGATGCTCTTGAACGCGTACATGCTCGGTTCACCGTTGCACTTGTCGCTGCGGCAACATCATGAGCGTTGGTTGGTAGATGTGTCTTTTCAGAAGAAGCTTTAACAACTGTTTACTGCCTTGTCTGTGATCGGCGTTTGCAACCCCACCATCTCGTCACCAGGCGGGATAAGGTTCAGGCAGTAACACGTGACAGGCTCCGGCTAGCGTGGCATTCACGTGAACCGGCGTCTATCTTTCACTCCTATTCATGACTTCACCGGCCTCATAGAGCTCGCACGCCGCCTCGCAATGGCAAGCTTATTGCTCTACCCCTGCTTGGGCTCCTACTGGCTACTTTCTCGGTCTTGCTATGGACATCACACGGCATTATCTCCCAAACCGGATGAAGAAGCCAATCAATCCTGCAGCTTGCTGGCAAGGTATGCTGTGGCGGCCAACCCTGCCCTTTGACAGTACCACGCCACCGCATGTTCTTCCCACCTATGCTCATAGTAGGTCGAGGCTCTCAGAGTCTTCACAAAGGTCACTATGTCGTTCTATGAGACGTAGTGGCCATCTTTGGTAGTCACAGTATGTCACGTGGTCCTGTCAACCCTAAATCCGAAATGCTTCATTGGGGCTGACATCCGTTGTAATCGTGGGGACATGCATCCGATATCACTACCAAGAAGAGGCCCGCATTTGTGACTAGGATACAAGTGCCTGTATCTATATATGCCATCGGCTGAAGAAGTATAAGAGGTCTCGCCGTACACTCGGACACTTCTGCAAGACCAGCGTTCACATCCTTGGTATTTCGTCTCGTCGTCCCATCCCCAAGAAAGTCTCCCGACGTAACTAATCATGGCAGCCGTCAAGCTTAGAAATAAACCGTCCGTGGGCTGGCTACCGTTGATCCTTTTCAGCACGTCAAACCTCACCACGACAGCACAACTCGTCGACCTCCCGCAAGAAGTGGTGATCAATTCCGGACGTCCTACATTCTACACTCCCGGAAGTCCGTTGTCGGGCAAGATAGCGCTCGAAGAGCACGTCGGAAATACCCTCTTCAGCGGCGTCTACACTCCTCCCCCAGTCAACTTCACCAACGAACCAGCCTTTGATCTGGCCATATACGATGCAGATGTCTCCTCTCGACTCAACGACATCGATACTCGCGTCGCCGCTATGAACGCCGCCAACATCAGCATGAGCGTGGTAATTTTTGGCGCGCCAGGTATTCATGGCATCTTCAACACCACCTTCGCCACCATAGCAGCGACATATGTAAACGATGAAGCAGCCCAGACCTACAACCATGGATCCCACTCATCTCGCTTCGATTTCTGGTGTAGTAACGCGCTTCAAGACCCTATATCCGCAGCTGCCGAGCTCGAGCGCTGTGTCAAGCACCCAGGTGGCGTTGACTCTTTTGTTGGCGGTTACACCAACAACGGGTCAGAGAACAGTATCATCTCCCTCGACGATCCGGTCAACGACGTCTTCCTGGCCAAAGTAGCGGAGTTAGACGTCCCGATACACCTCCACCTGCGCGAAGCAGCACCTAACCAGCACCGTGTTTATCAAGACTATTCCATTATGGCAGGCTCACCCTGGGGTTTCGCCGCGGAAATCGGAGCTCACGCTTTACGTATAATGATGAGTGGCGTGCTCGATACCTATCCCAACCTGAAGATAATTCTAGGCCACTGTGGCGAGGGCCTGCCTTTCTTCATGCCTCGGATCGAATCACGCTTGCGCCATGCGATCCATTCCTATCCCGCGAAGCAGAATCTGACATACTACTGGAACCGTAACTTCTACGTTACGACTTCCGGAATCCAGAGTAAAGCCGTGTTGGATTTGACGTTGGCGAGCTTGGGTGAGGATAGGGTGATGTTAAGTGTGGATTATCCTTTTGAAGATGATGTTGAGTTGGGGACTTGGTTTGATCGAATTGAGATGTCGGTAGGGGCGAAGGAGAAGATTGCTAGTGAAAATGCCAGGAATATTTTGAAGCTTCGTTGAGTCGAGGAGGGTAATAGTAGTAGGAAGTGAGCTCGAGGTGAGTAGGAAGACCTGGCCAAGGTCAGCCGATCCTTCCTACAACCGTGCTGTTCAAGGTTCATGGAGATTCTAATCAAGAATGCAGCTCGCGGTCAAGTCACAGAAGGAGCCAGCTTGACCTTACCGTACGCTCGACGGCATCGTTTGCTCCATCCTCTACCATCGCTTGCCCTGGGAGTAGGCTATCGAAAGTGAGCCATCCCTGACGTCCCGCTCCAGTATAATGAACCCGTGAGCGGCAACGATGACCGTCGACAAGCCATTTCCACGCGCTCTCACCATGTCTGGGTAAATCGTGTCGCACAGTGTTCTCCATTGCCCATCTCCAGCATTCCCAGGAACGTTGATGATAATTGACACTTTCTTCACCGTCTCCAGAACGAGAGGCATCCACCCTTCACACTTATAAAATCGACAGGATCTCTAGACCAGCTTGGCAGTCAGGGATACTCACCATCTGGTCCGCTCGCGGCATTCCCTCTCGACGGTGTTCTATTCAGTACCACCGTAGCAGAGATGTCCGGCATGACACTCACGTGGGATGATGACTGGCAAGATCCGACCAAGGACAGTCGACCGTGCATACTGCCGTGCTGTTCACGATCCTGGAGCGCATATCGAATGACTGTGACTGTGATGAGACCAGTGTACATCGTACTTCCTTTTGCAACGCCATGCTCGATGCTCTTGAGAGAAGATGAGAACGACGTTGTACGTGCCTTCCACAAATGGTCAAGTGGCAGGGATGCACATACTGGGGTTCCCATTGTGCAGAATCGACACGGCATGACCTTGTCAGACTGGAAAGTACCACACGTCTATCATATGGTGCTGATTGACTGCCTGTACCGGACGTATAACATCACCAAGGAGACGGTGAGCTGACCACGGACGAGATGCTTTCCGAGGACACCCACCACGAAAGTCGGTGAAGTAGATAAGTCGTAGTCGAAAATCCAGACCATTCCTTCCAGAACTCTATCTATCCTTCTATGCCAACAGTGCACACCTCCAACTCCGAGACATACTGGTGCATGTGCCTGAGATGTTGGACGATGGGCCCCACGGGAAAGGACGAAAATGTACGAAGTCAGATGTACCTTGCATAGAGCTATAGCCGACTTTCTCGCTAACGCACAGCATGCTCTAGCGCTGCTGCAGGTAATGTGCGAGGGTCCCCACCCTGCAGCCTATTGTGCTGGTGATCGGCCGAGGGAGGCAAGGAGGAAAAAGGAAGTGCTGGCTTATGAGTTTATGTCGTCTTATTGTCTTTCGAGATGTCGTGTGAGCTTCTGAGCGGCCGTAGGAATATGCGTCCTCAAGAGACCATCCCACTTCATTCGGAGCTCAAATTGAGGACAGCGCATCGTACTCGGGCGACGACATTACCTTTGGTTGCGTCGTAGCTTCAAGGTGAAAGAATCCAAGTATTGCATGTGATAGCCGCTCGTCGCGCTTCGGGGCCAAGAAGCAGGATTTTCGTCAACACACAACTCTCGTACAGACATAGGCGGCAAAGCAAGGCTGGCGTGATCGCAACATCATTCGAGAGGTCGAGTGTCGGGTACCTGAGAAGCTGAGCATCTGATTCGGTGGGTAGTGTTTCGAGCTACCTTTGGCTAGGTGGATGCAGTACCAAAGATCTCCACATCTCTTCATGCGGGCCAAGCATGAGCGGCACGAGTGACTTGGAGTTTCCGCTGTTGCTTTCCTGAGGACCACTCGTTTGGGACATCTTATCGTGGAGGGTGTTTGCTGTGCTAATGTTCGGAGCTCTACAGGACAGATGTTGGAGATGCATGTGTGGCATCTGCAACGAGATATGATGCTACGGGATGAGATGGAGGAGAGACGAAAGAAACACGACTTGCGACGCAGACAAATTATATAGCGAATCACATGGTTAAAGTCTCAATCAATACCAAACACCTCACTAGCCAAAACACTTTCTGTATCGGATCTGATCGCACAATCCTCCGCCGAGCCGTTCTTCCTCTCCCACAGGCCAAGACACCCACAACCACATCCTCGACAAGTCCCAGCAAGTGGTTGCGATTTACCTTCATTCTGCTGTTCCGTCCCTGTCGTGTCTCGCCCGCACTCGAATCTACACATACAGCCAAGCCCTTGTATATCTGCTCGCCAAACTGCCGATCTCGTACGTACCTTGCTCACAACCTACTCCAGCCGCTAGCCACGCTCTAGTCCCTAGTTGACGCCAAAACTCGCTCGGTGGTGCCTGTCGTTGTCATTTCCAACGTCAGCAGATCGCCGCTTGGCTGCTGCGACTCTGCCGCTAAGCCCAGTGGCCCCTCTTCATTCCGTGCGGCGTGCCTTATCATCGCTAGTCATCTGCACCCGAGCCTCGTCATCATCCATCCCAGCCCTCTACGCACTACCTACCGACCTACCCTCTTCTCTTGTTGGCACCGAGCGTGCATGTGAGGTCTACTACGAGACGGGACGAGACGACAGTATTGTTCATACGGCTGGTCTTCGATTCGAGTCGCTCCTTGACGAATACGTTCATTGGACGTCGGTTTATCCTCGAGTCCTGTATGCGCGCGGCTGATACCGGTTCTCAGCCTTGCGCACTCGAGCATAGAGGCCGTGTCCGATGAAACGGTTGACTCGGATCACATACACCGTCGCCACCGAACGATAAGATTTTCCAACGACACGAGGCGGGCTAGAAGTACGATCGTCTGTCTCAACCATTCCGTCTGGACTTTGCGCAGCCCGCTCAGCTTGGTGAGAGTCGCACAAAGCCGGCGGCAAGCCGCCTGGAAGGCGCATATTGATGAACGAGCCTGATATGGCGCCCTTTGCCACCATTACCACAACACTCAACGCACCCGAGGATGTTCGATTGAGTGACGAGTTGACGCCAACCACGCCGAAGCCTCGCCCCGTGGAGCAGACGCCGCAGCTATTCTCGCCTCAAGTGTCATCGCCGAAGACACCCACGAGACATGACTTTGGTGTTATCGTTGGTCAACAGCCACTTCCAGATGGTCCGTTGACTCCGGCAGCGCCGCAGGATGCACTGAAGGAGCCAGAGTCGTTGAAACGGGATGCATCGCATAGAACGACCAAGTCCGCCGAGGGAGAAGATGTTGAAATGGGTGAAGGAGACGAGGAAGGCGATGAGGATGACTCGGACAATGATAGCACTACGAGCGAGTCACGGCCATCAAAGAAGAAGAAAGGACAACGATTCTTCTGTACAGAGTTCCCTCCCTGTCAGCTGAGCTTTACACGAAGCGAGCATCTGGCACGACACATTCGCAAGCACACTGGAGAACGACCTTTCCAATGCCATTGCTCACGCAGGTTCTCACGACTCGATAACCTCAGACAACATGCGCAGACTGTACATGTGAACGAAGAGATCCCAGGTGACTCGCTTGCGGCAACCAGCACAAGATTTCAACGCCAGATCAGGACCGACAGAGTACGGCCCCCCAATAATCGGTCGCGAGCATCGACTAATGGTAGTCAGGGCGGCCATAGTCGAGGTCACAGTCGTAACTTGTCGGCGTCAAGTGTTGGTTCCACGACCTCTAGCATGTTCATGCCAGAGGAGACAAGGCGAAGACCACAACCTCTGGCTATGGCAAACGATCCGTCCGCAAGAGCTCGTCCTACCTTGGACACATACGGCGCGCTTGCTAGTAGTCCTGGCCAACAGTATGCTTACTACAACAAATCGCCAAGTGGTTATAGTACACCAACGTCCATGACTTTTTCCAACGGTCCAGGCAGTCCACACTTTGGTTCGCCGCCTTCCTCGATCTCACGATCGAGCTTTTATAACGGTGCACGACACGGTCCTTCCCAGCGCAGGCTGTCAGTACCGGGTGGCGCTCCACTGTATCAGAACATGAGCGGCGTGTCGTATCCTGCATACTTCAGTCCCATCCCGTCAGGAACTGCTTCGACGTTCTCGCAAAGTGGCAGCATGTTTGGAAGCCCTACGAGCTCGATCTTTTCGCATAGCAGGCGCGACTCTGAGACCGAGCTTGAGTACCGAAGAAGGACGTGGCACCCGGGAACTTACTCGAGCTACGCTCAGCGCCCAGCCACAAGCGGTCTGTCATATCACCAGACGCCTGACGATCAAGCACCTGCAGCATCGAGTCAACCTGCGGCAAGCCAAGTGACACGACTACCGGGCATCGAGAGCTTCGACCACGTACCACTCACCGCTGCTCGCCAACAGTCTAGCCCGACGATGGTTGATGTCAGACCGAGCAGTTCGCACAGAGCCTCCGACGCTGGCCTGCACCAGAATCTGACTCGACTGGATATTACGACCGCTAACGCACCAGTCGATGGTCAGTGGCAGGCCGCGCAGCAGATGCAGACGCAGCCAGGATACTTTCCACAACAGCCTCCACCTCAAGGCACTGTTGCTCCGCAATTTATCCACCACCAGCATTCGTCGTCCATGCCTGAGCCGCTAACGCCACGCCGAGCCAAGCGGCACGGCTGGTACGGCGGACCAGTGCAAGCACAACAACAAGTGGTGCACATGACCCACCGCCCGTCGCCAGAGGACTCCGGCAGCAGTGACGGCGTACCAACGCCTTCCACCTCGCAGGGCACTGAGTACCATCCCGTAATCATAGGCCCCAATGGCGTGCCTGAGCCGTACGTTCAAGGCGGCATGGTGGTGACAGACGAGCGAAAGGTACAGCATCAAGCAAGCAAGCCTGAGCCGTACAGGACTGACTCCGGCTTTCAGTCATATGCCCAACAGCCTCCTCCTCCTCAGCCACCTCATACCTACGCCTTGCAGGCTGGTCACGACCCGCGATACGTCGCCAATTACGGCCAAGCGCAAAACAACGATATGGGACGTCTTGAGGCGCTTGTCGCTGTCGCCACTAGTGAGGGAGCGGCGGTCGAGCATCGCTGATTGTCCCCGACCAACTTCAACCACAACACCATTCACACAATTTACGATTTTCACGAGCATAACGAGTTTTACGCAAGCAATGCTTTGCACTTACTTTGATTGACGCCGGGAACGACACGACTTTTACATGGGAAACACGAATGAGGCCATTGGTGTGGGATCTCCTGATTCAGACGGTTTTATGAGCACTATGATACCCCAGCGTGAGCTTCGTCACGATCTTGTTTCCCAGGCGTTCTAGCGTTTACGAATTCTGCTGGCGTAGTTCTTACAAGCTCGAGATCAATGCAGTCCTCGGCTATGCCTCTTTCTTCTCCCCTGCCTCGATGCACTACTCTCATGATCTAAAACCTAGCTCAGTTCGTGCCCTCGTTGCTGAAGCACCCTGCTGCTATATACGGCATCCCGGAGCCAATGTAATGGGCATTGGTCGCATCTCGAGTGCTGCATTTCATTCCTTTGTCTTGCGAATGGCGTACGCATTCGTCATGTGTTAAGCTTCAACACATCTCATCATTTAAATCATCACCATCGTCAGCCGTCATTGTCTTCATCGTCAATCTCCATAACATCGTCGTTTGCTGTCGTTGGTTTACGCTCGTCTTTCGATTCGCGTTCCGGGGTCATGAGCGCATCGTAAAAGACACTGCTCCCGCTGTCTACTCCAGCACTTCCTGCTCTTCCGACTCCGATGCCCAGACTCGGACTCCGTGAACTACCCGGCATCTCCTCGAACATCAGTTCATCCTCGCGTGGTCCGCGCACACGTCTTCTAAGCCTACGCTTCGAACCAAGAACGTCATGATCATCCATCGCCTCAGTATCGACGTCGGCGACCTCAGCCGCAGGAGCACCAGTTCTGTTGCCGACACTCTGGCTATGGCTTCGTTTGAAGACCTGCGAGCCCATATGTCGTCTACTCAATCTGCGTTGCCTTCGGCCCTTTTCGAACTTCGCTTCTTCGTCCGTTTCGCCGTCTTTGCACTGTAGTCTTGACATTCGCCTTGCCATGCCTTCGCTTTCGGATGCTTCTTCAGCGCCCGAGCCGGATGTGATACTGAATTCGTCATCACCATCGCCTTGACTCTCGACCTCTTCTGTCTCCTCCGGGAAGACGATATCAGCATCACGGTATGCATTGTCGGAGTCTGCTAATTCCTCGACCCGCACGTTATCCTCCGCCGCAATGACAGATGCACGCTTTGGAACCTTCTTCGCGGGACTGATTGTCTCAGTGGGATGGATGGACGATGCTGGTGAGTCTGATCGCTCCAGGCGACGTTTGCCTTTGTTCCGGAGAGGAGTGTACGGCGGTGTATGCGGTCTGCCTGAAACACTTGCTTCAGACGTGAAGCCCGAGAAAGGATCCATAGCTCTCTGCTGATGCATGTATCGCATTCGTTGTTGGACTGTTTGAGTGCGCTTTCTTGCGCTTTTGTCACCTCGCGCTCAGCGCTCGTCTTGTCCTCTTCGTTGTGTCCGGCCGCTGTCTGGCCGATGATGTCTCTTCACTATCTGGTTTTCTCTTCGAAGTCCTAGCAATATCATGTTGTACCTGTCGTTGAAGATATGGGCGGTCCAGGTCCTATGAACGCTCCAGGATGTCTATGTCCGGAACCCAAAGACCGATATGCCACGAGTGTGCAGACAGCAAAGCAAAGCAAAAGAGACGACAAGACGTGAGATAGGTAGAAAAGTGTAAGCGAGCACCTTGCTTTGGGCAGCAATCGCCAGAAAATAAATAGCACCCGATGAACTACTGGCAACTCTGGGTGGACCTTCCCTGCAGGTGTGCTGCAAGTCCGGCAGCAGGTGGACGATTGGTAGTGTTTGCACACTCGAGAGTGAGATGGAATGTGATGAGAATCGAAGCAATACTTAGTCGTTCTACAGAGACTGTGAGAGAGGTACTTGTTGTGCGACAAAGGCATCAACGCATTGCCGGAGAAGTTCGGAACTCGTGGAGGGGGAGCTGTCAAAAGTCGTCTGGCCGATGTGTAGCTGCCCGATTGAGATGGAAGCACTGTAGGGCTGAGCATGTGAGTCGTGGACGACCCGCCCAACCATAGCTCTCTCTGCAACGTTGTGTACTTTTAACTTCGTCCTGGGGACATGTTGTTCGCAGCACAAGAATACTAGGGTGACTCACAGAACGGGCACGAGGATACGGCCATCGTCATAAGTTTACGCTAGGACAATCCTTCGAGTCTGTGAACCCATGCCGCCGTCACGTTGTCCAAGATTCAGAGTTATTCTTTATGTGATGTTATGTATACGGCGGCACTTCCATCAACGTGCCTTCCGGAATCAGCTTCGCCATCGTGAAATTGCTTGGCTCGTGCTCCCACGAATTTCACGTCTTACACTTCTGCATCGACCGTCGACATGGCGACCATATCTTCCCTACATACACTCATTGTCAAGGAGCCGCCGAGCTGTATAGCCTTCTGTCCTGCGTGTCCAGAGTACTTTGTCGTCGGGACGTACTATCTCCATCCTCAAGACGTGCAGGATGGCTCACAGAGTGGAAGCACACGAGGACCACAGAAGAGGACAGGCACGTTATTGCTTTATCGCATAGATGGAGACGAGATGTATCTATGCCTTGTCTTTCCCGCTCTAACATGAGTTCACGCTTACGAGTATGTCTAGCGTCTACGTCTCAGAAAAGGAGCTACCTGCCTCTGCCGTCCTACATATCGCCTTCTCACCACATCAGAGGAACATGCTGGCGGTCGCTTCTTCAGCAGGTCATCTCTTCTTCTACGACCTTGCCCTCAAAACGAGCGAAGGTCCGCGGCTTGTTACTCGAGCTCATAAGATGATCTGCCGGCAGGACTTGTTGGTCCTCTACCTGGCTTGGCACCCTACTAAAGCCGATACAGTCGCCGTGACGTTGTCAGATGGCAGGGTATGCTTGTGCACGAGCACCGTTGCCAGCAGAAATCGTCTTTGGCTTCATCATGGAAGCGAGGTGAGTACCTTCAGGACCGCTAAGCATACGCTTGAACCATGGGTACTGGCGTTTATGGACGGAGCGAATGGTGAGCAGGGGGGCAGGGTATTGTCTGGAGGCGATGACATGGTGATGCAACTGTCCCAAGTTGTTACTAAAGACGACAAGGAGGTTGGAGAGACGTTGTGGCGGGATAGCAGAGTGCATCAGGCGGGTGTCACGGCTTTGTTGCCTTTGGGTACGGATCTGGTGCTGACGGGGAGTTACGATGATCATATTCGGCTCGTATCAACACCGACATCTGGGAGACGTGTTGCACTTGCTGAATTGGATCTCGATGGCGGTGTTTGGCGACTCCAAGTTTTGCAAGACACTGCCGATACTGATGCAGACGCCGATGCGGACGCTTCTATGACCGTGCCATCAGGTGAAATCATTAGGTACGTCGTGCTCCCCTGCTCGAGACGCGCGTGCAGCGAATGCCGTGGAGGACCGCTGCATATGTGCATATGCAGCCCCCATCACATGCACGAACATCGAGCTGACAGCATGCCACAGCAGAATCATCACCATCCTTGCAAGCTGCATGCACGCCGGAACGAGGATCGTAAGGCTGACCCGACAGCGTCCTCAAGACAATAGCACCGATGATGATCAGTGGCTGTTCGAGGTCGTGGGGAAGTTCGAAGAGCATGAGAGTATGAACTATGGCAGTGATGTACAACCTACTGCTGAGGAAAGCAGTGTTAAGACCATTGTGAGTACGAGTTTCTATGATAGGAAACTTTGCTTGTGGCGCTATGACCTGAAGGACGCAGTCTTAGGGTGATGAAACGTTGCTTAAGTGCTGTGAAGTATCAAACTTGTGGTATCTGTGGTATACTGATATGTTACGATTAGCTTTACTTATGTCCTGCTATCCTGTTCGTTTCCTCCCCAGGGGATATAATCAAGATCATCTTGATCTCGTCAAGTACAGCTTCCCCCCATGGTATATTGCTCGCACACTTCTAGATTCTCTCCTTGCATGTCGCTGCATATGCTGATATTTGTGACTATTACGTGCCGAACCTCCTTGGCTTCATGTTTCGTTCGAGCCACGTGTTGAGGTGACATTCTCTTGTTGCTCTAGTCATCTGAGAGCTGATTTTGCCATCAGTCTCTACGATCTCTTCAAAATCATTTGCGCTCTCTGGCGTCCTGTGATTGTAATGGTTCGCCTGGGCCACTAATCTTGATCTGTGGTGTAGGCGGTGGTGGCGTTCCCTCGCTATTGTTCCGTGCTCGCCTCCATTTCAGTACTGGTATCCTCTTATCACCCTGTGAGAGGACATTAGCGGACCACATTGATACCATCACCTTAATTTGTTGCTCACCTTTATTTCCGTTGGCTCCTCACTGCCCAGCACTAGTACCTGGCCGTCCTCCTCAAACTTATGCGTCCGTACCTGGATATCACCGATCCAGCCTGGCAAATTACACACCTGGAATGTATGCCTCAACACCTCCTCCCGACCTGCTCCTTCATTTGTGATATAATATGGTCCTGAGTATGCGAAGAACCTCTTCCCTGCTTCCGCCCATTGTGGCTCTTCTCCTTCGCCGCGCTTGAAGCTCTGCTGACCGGGTATCAACATTTGCGCCGACATGTACCCATCTGGGGTGTACATGATAAAGCCAGTGACCCGCGATGTCATGGGATGTGTTGGTCTTCTGATGATCGATTCTGGTGTTGGATGTGCGATATATGATTCCAGCTTCCATGTTCCTATCAGTTTCGATCGCAGAGGCTCAGGAGGCGGCGGTGTCACTATGCGCTCTAGCGATATGGGATCCTCCACCAAATCATCATAGCTCGTGCCCGTCTGCTCCTCCACAGCCGGCACTGGGAGCGCGACTTCAGGTTTCCAGCTCACATAGCCGTTTGTCCGACTACTTCGTTGTTGCTCCTCCTCGACCATCTCGCAACTCAGCACCGGTGTCTTCGCCACAGGTTTCACATTGATCTCGGCTGTTGGCATTGGTGGCGTTGACGGCCGAAGCTTGGGCGACGATACTACCACTTCCGTTGGCCTCTCTGCTCCTCGTTGCCGAGACCGTGACCGTGACCGTGGTTTGCGATGTGGTAGGACCTTGGGCACGGTCAGGTACTGTTGAGACATAGCTGGCATCACTAAGCACTGCATTTCCGATTTGCTCGAGGGTCACACCAAAGAGACGACGAGACGAAACGAGGCATAACAATGTTCGAGGGAGACTTGTTAGTAAGAATGCGAAGTGCGTGGGTGTATGGATGACGGAACAGCAGACGAAACGGTTACCAAACGTGCTTCCCTCAGCACTACTGCGGTCGGACAATCCGTACATGTTAAGGTTCTGCCTCAGCTTTGCCATATCCGATCGTCAACGACTTTCTCTAGACGGCTCTAGTGCATGGGGGAGAGCCGCGACCCGCTGCCCAGCCCGCGAGACCAGACTATCGAATGCATCTCTTATGCAGCATCGCAAGTCTGAGGCTGAGAGAAGACCTTGACATTCGTGCGGAGGATTTGCGGTCAAGCTGACATGCGCGAATCCGGCAACAAGCTCCTCGTACCGCACACTTCACGCCATGAGAGGAACAATTGGCGCTCGAACGATCACGCCTCAAAGCGCTTGACAGTGTGGAGTGGGCACAACCCGTTCTGGACGGACCAAGTGTCTGAGCTGGGTTGAGCCTTGTCCTTTTCGGGAAACACGTCAGGTCGTTTGATCGATGACCAGACGGAAACTTTACACCTCTGCTTGTGGCTTCCTGCTTATACATGAACCCAGACTTGTACGAAATCTGCTATTGGGCCATTTGGTACCAATCTTCGTACCGAGCACACTAGACATGTCATCTGCGCATGGCATTGAGTCTCGACCAACACATGTCGAACCACTCCATTGCCTCTTCGGCTGCAGTCGCACTATTGTTCCACATCACGACTCCACCTGCTCAACGGTCGTTTGAGATTGCGATATGCCGGGTCTCCATCTTTCAGCGGGTATATGTTCTATGGATCGGATCACGTCGTCGATATTTTCGACGAGCTTCGTGAAGCAGCATAGGTAGCGCATGTATCCTTGCATCGACATGCACATAACATGCATCCGGTATGGACTGGCAGCGAAGTCGGACAATGATACAGCTTCCCCTCGCTCCCCACTCGAGCTCTAGCTGTCGTGTACAGTGATGACGACGAAGGGTAAGGAAAGAAGTATTTGATTCTTTTCTGAAATCCTACCATTAACAACGTCTACTCATCCATTACTGTCAACACGACGAAACAACTCCACAAGTATCGAAGAAGATTGCCGATGTTAAACCTCCATCGAGGATGTACTGACGATGCTCTAGTACAAAATCCACGATCGGTATGGCGAAAGAACATGCCATGATGCGGCTCTCGATTCCCTTCGCGATGGGTTACTACTTCCACGATCAAGGTAACATTGGTAAACGATGATGCATGAGCCGGTGTTCGACGTTGACGGAGTGTGCCTATTCCCTCCACCCTGTGGTAGCACAAAGCACCTTACATATGCCATGCCCTCTGCGTAGCGAGCCTTCTCCGCAGTCAAACCGTGGTTGATGTATTCCTTTGCCGAAAGCATCTTCCACATGGCTCGATCTTGCGGAGAAGCTGGCAAGCCTTGGCATATGTAATCTGCTACTGTTATTCATAGGAGAGGGAGGACAACACTCCGTCCGTCGTTCTGAGAATATACGGCAGAACTTGATCAGGATAATACCTGCGAACAAAAGAATCATGCCTCGTCATGCATCCGACCTCACCATGGGCAGTAGAACTGACTTTGGCAGTGACCTGAATCGACACCATCTACGATGGCACCACACGCAATGAATGAGGAGACCATGAACGGCTCTTCGACAACTACCGTGCCTGCCACCAAAATGGCAGCGATTCCGCACACGACTACTGTGCCCATCACTGGCACTCAGACGAAGCCAGACACCATTGAAGCCATGGCCGGCAACTGGGCAGACTTCACATTCGCGTCCATCAGGGAGTCTCAAGTCTCCAGGGCCATGACCAGACGCTACTTTGCCGACCTGGACAAGTACACAGAGTCCGACATCGTTATCGTCGGCGCCGGCAGCTGTGGTCTTTCTGCCGCATATGTCCTCGGCAAGGCTCGCCCGGACCTCAAGATTGCCATTATCGAAGCTGGCGTTGCGCCTGGTGGGGGTGCGTGGCTCGGTGGCCAGCTTTTCAGCGCCATGGTCATGCGCAAGCCTGCCGATGCTTTCTTGCGTGAGGTTGGCGTGCCGTACGAGGACGACGGGCCGGAATCCAACTTCGTTGTAGTCAAGCATGCCGCCTTGTTTACGTCTACCGTGCTCTCCAAGGTCCTGCAGTATCCGAATGTCAAGCTATTCAACGCGACGGCTGTCGAGGATCTCATCACCCGCACTGATGGCGAGGGCGGCATTCGCGTAGCAGGTGTCGTCACAAACTGGACGCTTGTGACCATGCATCATGACGATCAGTCCTGCATGGGTATGGTCATATTCTTGCTGTCCAGCATTGGTTTCTCACTGACAGAAACAGATCCCAACACGATCAACGCTCCACTGCTCATCTCGACCACTGGGTGAGTACATCAATGTGTCGGTATTGAAAAGCTGTAGAAAAACAGGCGCTGACATCAATAGGCACGACGGACCCTTTGGTGCATTCAGCGCCAAGCGCATGGCAAGCATTGGCGCCATCCCTGCCCTAGGTGGCATGCGTGGTCTTGACATGAACACCGCCGAAGACCGTATCGTCAAGGGCACCCGTGAAGTCGCGCCTGGTCTCATCATCGGCGGAATGGAGTTGTCCGAGGTTGATGGCGCCAATC